AAGCCGATGCTCAAAGCTTGCTTTCTCGGTCATAGCTGTTTGCAGAGCGGTGTCCTTCTCCTTGATTTTGTCGCTCAGTTGTCTCGATCTGGCCTTGTATTGTTCGGCAAGCTTTGCCCGCATCGTCTCGATCTTTTCATTGCTCTGCTCCTGAACCTGAGTGATCTGGCCAGAGGCATTGTCTACTTGATCCTGCAAGCCCGTCTTTGCTGATACTAATTCATCGCGCTCAGCTTCTAGCGACTTGAGTTGCTCCTTCAAAGCTTCCAGTTCTGCGGGATCGACTCGATCGTACTTTTGGAGGACGTTCTGAGCCCGTTGCTGCCAGCGGTCGGAGTTCTCTTTGAGAAGCTTCATCTCGCCGTCCTGAGTTTCACGTTCGTTCTTGAGTTCCAAGATCTCCGCCTGCAAAGGCTCGATCTGAGCTTTGAGTTCTTCGACTTCTTTCGCCCTTACGGCCAATGCACTTTGTGCTTGACGAGTTTCGGCGCGTAATGTTACGCTAGACTCACGGAACGTGTTCAACTCATTGATTGTATCCACCAACTTATGGTGGTCGAGATTCGAACGCTCATTGTCGGCCTCCAATCGTCTTTGCTGGCTAAGTCGCAAACGAGTGTCGTCCAGCTGTGACTGGGCGTAGTCAAGTTGCTGCTTCAACCTCTTTCCTTCTTGGGCAGACAACTCTAGTTGAACATCAACGATCTCCTTCTCGCGCCGCAAGTATTTGATGACCTCTTGCAGATTTTCCAGACCGGATGCTGGAATGTCCTCGCTTGGGCGCTCATCGCTGTTTGAGGGATGCTTTTTCAAACTGGCTATTTGAGCAGAGTAGGTCTCAATTTGTTGATGGAGGTGGTTGTTCTGAGCTGTCAGATTTTCTCGCCCAATCTTGAGTTCTGCCAATTCTCTCTCATATCCCTGTCGCGACTCCGCCCAACTGTCTTCGCTCTGGTTGAGGCTTTTACGGGCAGATTCTGCGTCAGTTTTCAACGCTTTTATCTCTAGTTTCAATTCGTTGTGATCCGATCGGACCTTTTGCAATGCCTTTGCAGCATCCGCGTGTTTGACTAGTTCATTCTCGTAATTCTGTTGAGCTTGCTGAGCGATGTCAGCCTGGACCTTGAGATCTTCTTGAAAGAATTGGGCTGCAGCCGCGTGACGATCGTCTTGATCTTTTAGTTGTGCAAGCTCTGCTTCGAATCCCTTTTTGTGTTCTTCTAGGCGCCGCCCGTTTTCTGCTTGTGCATTGCGAAGGCTTGAGAGCTCCGAATTGGTGGATGCGAGCTCGGAGCTGGTGTCCTCAATTCGTTGCTCAAGTTCTTTGAGCTTAGAGTCTTTCTTTTCAATAAGCTTATCTGTTTCTTGCCGATACAAGTCCTGCGTCTCGTTTAGACTGAGCAATTCTTCTTCTGAAGCTTGACTGATCGCTTTGTATTGCTCGACCTGGCCTTTGACATTTTCGAGTTCACTGCGAGCTAGGTCAAGGTCGCGTTTGAGCTCCGAGACCTGGACTCTCAATCCCTGCTCTTTAGTCAAATTCGAGTCTTCACCGTCGAGGGATTGGTGTTGTAAATTTTCACCATCGTTGGTGTTCGGACGTCCTGAAGGTGCTGGTCGTAATGCATTGACACGTTCTTCTGCGCTCCGAAGCTCAATTGTCAACTCATCCACTCTAGTCGAAAGATGGTCTCGTATTGTCTTCGCGGCGACGAGCTCTTCGCGAGTGTTACCAAGGCTGGAGACTAGATCATCAATCCTCTTTTGACTCTGCTCATGGTCATATTCGCGCCGTTGAGCAGATCTCTTGTTTTCTTCCACCTCGTCGGAAAGCTTATTCTTCGTTGCTTGCAATTCTCTCTCGAGATTGTCGGCCTGGGTTTGGAGTCTTCGACGAGCTTCCGTGTCCGAGTGCTCTCGTTCATTCAACAGGGTCTGCAAATTAGCGTTCAGAGCGTTCAGCCGACCACGCTCGTTCAAAAGGTTCTCGTTATCCTCGGTGATTCTCTTCTCAATTGTTTTCCAGAATTCCTTTTCTGCTTTTAGATTGGCTGTTTCATTGCGCATGCTGTCTGCAAGGCCTTTAGCTTCGACAAGTTCTTCAGCAACTTGTTGAACCCGCATATCCTGCTTGGCGGCCGTGTCTGATAATGCTTGCGATCTCTTTTGCAGTTCCGTATTCTCATTCTTGAGCATCACGTAGTTGCCTTGAAGCATTTCGTATCTTTCATGGGCAAGTGTGACCTGGCTGCTGTTTCGTACCACCTCGCTTCGAAGTTCACTATTGACCTTTGAAAGGCCATCCACTTGCTCCTTTAATGTTGATCGGTCTGTCGCAGCCTCGTGCCGATATGCATCGAAGTGCGCTTGAATATCTTTGTACAATTTTGCGTAGTCGGCTAGGTCTCTTGTTGTTGGTGAATCTTCAATGCTGTTAATGACAACAGCAGGCGTTGGAGTTTTGGGCGTTGCGGCTCCGTTGACAGACTCCCCAAACAATGAAGTGACGTCGGTGCCGGGAGGTAGTTGACCCCGGTGAGAGAGCATACGTCTGAACATGTCTCGCTCGCGAATGTAGCTTGAAGACTGAGTCATCAGAGACTTTATCTCGTCCTTGCAACGTTCGTATTTCTGCTGGAGGTCATCCCAATCTCGAGTTCTCTCTGACTGCTTTTGGACGGCCTCCTCGTGCTCCATTCGCTCGCCAATTTCTCGGGTGATCCTGAGTAAGTTTGCGTTCTGTTCTTGAAGTTCGCTGACGTTCCTGAATGTGACGAGGTTCTCACTGATAAGACGACCAGTTGCGGTCGTGCCCTCCATCGCTTCCCCGTCAGCTTGCCCTTGCGCCAGGCGCTCTAGACGTGCTCGGCCATCCGCACCAAGGTCATCGAGGCCTTGATCACGTAGGTGGACTTCCATTAGGAAGACCTTGACCTGAGAGCTGAGATCGCGAAGCTGCTGCCGGAGTACTTCTCCTTCTTTGACTTTAGCCTCTAGGTGGCCTTCCCATTTCTTGGCTCCTTTAAGAGCCTGATCTCGTTCCTTGCCGATGATCTCTACCAAAGAAGACATCTCGGCAACTTCTGATTCTAAACGGATGTGGTCTGCACGTAGCTCCTCGATCTCTGGCTGCTCTGTTTCTAGGTCCTGTACCATGTCGTCAAGTGTCGAGGTGAGCTTCTCACTACGTCGTTTTTCCGCCTCAAGTTCGCTCTTCAGGTCATTGTAACTGCTGTACATCTGGGTAATGCTAAGACCCCCCTTAAAGCGCGATGGACTGGATGGAACCATAGGCGCGGAATCACCGCGAAGAGGTGTACTAGGGGCATGCCCGTTGGTACCCTGATGAGAAGCATTGTGTTTTGATGCTTGGCTTTGCAGTGTCGATAGATCAGCCTGGAGTTGCTCAACCTGGACCTCGAGTTCCGCAATCTTCGCATCCGCGCCTACTCTTTCCCTATGCTCGGTTTCAAGCTCGGCACCGAGTCTACCGAGCTGCTCCGAAGCATCTTCTTTAGCGGAATCTAGCTGGGCGAAGAGATCCTGCTGCCGTTGACGTTCCGTGTTGGCCGAATTCCTGGTCAGCTCAGTAAGGCGATTCGCCGCATCTAGCTCAACTCGAAAAGACTCGTCCTTCTTGGCAGCGTCTTCTTGCAACTGTTGGACGCGGGTGAAGGAGTCATCAGCTTTCTGACCGAGCTCATCAAGTCTCCTGCGTAAAGTCGTCTCGGTGCGATTTGCGGCATCGATTGTGCTCGTGGCATCATCAAGTTGACGTTGTAGATCGGTGATACGTAGACTCTTTTCTTTGCGGTACTTCGTGTATTCCCCAGACTTGGTTTTCAATTCTTTGTCCAGCCAATCGTTGTTTCTCTTTAGCGATTCAATTTCCTGCTGAAGACCTTGTTCGTGGAACCTTGCGCTGGTCGACGCGGCGTTGGCTGATTGTGCTGACTGTTCCAGGTTTGAGACTTCACGGCGGAGCTCCACCGTTTTCTGGTGCTGAGCATTGAGCTCTTGGGCCAAGTTGTCATGAGCTGTTGTTTTGGATTCAAGAAGCGAGAGAGTGTCCCGGTTTGACGACTCCAGTGACGTAATCCGAGTCCTCAAAGTAGACAATTCAGTAGTGATGGTGGAGGTGGATGTTCGCAGATTCTCAAGCTCAGTCTCCACAGACGCCCTCGCCGTTTCTGGAGAAGAAATTAGCTCACTGAATAGGCACAACCTGGACACCACCTACCCTCCGCTTGAAGTTTCTGCCTCAGATCTGTGGCCTCCTTGAGCCCCTTGTCGATTGAGCTTTTCAGAACCCGGCTCTTGGTTTCACCGCCACGCACTGCATTTTCCAATTCCACGCCTAGCTTGAGTATTTCAGACGCGAGATCATTGTGCTCATGTGCTTTCACAGATATGTTCTCCAAAAGTGTACGGACAAGGCCGGCAGTAGGTGCGTCGAGAAGTGTGTCAATTGATTGCTGTGGTAAGGAACAAAACGACGAAAGCTGTGCCACGTCTAGTTGCGCGACTGCCATTGTGATTACTCAAATTCAAGCTCAGTCTCGTCGATTTGGCCGTGCCATGAAGTTTGAAAGGTTGATTCACGGTATGAAAGTGCACTCGTTTTGAGTGTTGTTGGCGATTCTAAAGGAATGTAGGCCTCCTCAGGCTGAGTCAGTGAATGTCTTCTTCATACGCTGTCGAAACTCCGCACAGGCATCCAGCCATAGCGTGTGTCAAAGCAGGCCAGGAAAGTGTGCTTGGAGGATTGATCGAAGCCGTGTCTTTTGTGTTGATCTCATGCTTTACTTCCGCATCTTTCACCAGACAAAGCCGGCTAGGCTAGCTTAGCGTGTCTCGGCGCGCTAATTAAGGTAGTGACACTTTCCAACGAGGGATTCTGTGCTTACTCCTCTATTTTATACCGTGTGTTCAATATATTCATCTTTGGGCAAGGTAGCCCGCAAAGTCTGCTTAGCCCGCGGGCCATTCATCTACAAGCCATGTCGTACCTCGACAACCAAATTAGCGCTTTCAAGTCAAACCTCACTTCGTCCTCTAACAAACTCTCAAATAAGCGTACGGCTGCTGCTCCCGCAAACTCTACCACATCACCTGCACCATCACAAGCCTCAATAACAGTCAAGAACGATCTTAAGCGCAAGCGGGTGGAGCAGCCCAACACGGTCTTCTCGCAGCCAAAAGACACAGGCACCGGCTCCCATATCATAACTCAGGTCACCTATGCGCTAGAAAAGCTCAAGGAAAAGGATATTCAGTGGACGTGGCAAAGGTTGGGCGAGTATTTGTCTTTGCATGGCCGTGAGGAAGGGTACGGGCAGGCTTTGAAGAGAATATTGATCACCCATGACAAGGTGAAGTACCAGCGAGTTGATGGCAAAGGGGAAGACTTTTTCTCTTTCCGGCCAATCCACGATATTCGGTCTGCCGACGAATTGCTGGGATTTTTACAATCTCAACCTACAGCTCAGGCCCTTAGCGTTAAGGATCTGAAGGACGGATGGCATGGTGCGTTAGATGCGATAGACGATCTTGAGAAGCAGGGCAAGCTTTCCGTGACCCGGCATAAGAAAGATGACAGTCCCCGATTCGTATGGCCAAACGATCCATCCCTATTTTTCCCAATCGATCAGGAGTTCAAAACAATGTGGCAAAAGATAAAATTGCCCGAGCCTGGAGCACTGGCAGATGAACTGGAGCGCGAAGGCTTAACGCCTGCGAACAAGAGTCGCTCCATCAAAGCGAAGCCAGTAAAACATGAGAACAAGACGAAGAGAGCGAGGAAGGGTGGAAAGACGACGAATACTCACATGGCGGGGGTATTGCGAGATTATTCGCATCTCAAAAAATGATGGATCACGTACTATCGTGCAAGCGCCTTGCTAGCAAGGTGTCCGGCGCTGGAAATGCATCGATGATCCCAGGTTTGAAAATATTGCGGATTCGGATCGAGACCATGATACCCCAAAATAGAAAAATTGAAGCCATACACTGCATTACATTCGCAACTCATTAGACGCAATGTTACGATCGCGTTGGATCTTTACGCGCACCAAGGAAGTAATTCCCCCATTTCTCCCCACCCGGCACCATCCTCCATCCTACCGCGGGCATATACATGCACCCTTGGCTTTTCAGTCCCCCGTCTCTTCCCCATCCATCTTGTGCGCGAAAGAATCTCCTCAACTCCTGCTCATTGATGTATTTGGTCCAATCGTGCGTTCCCCTCGGAACTAACCTCACCACCTCCTCGGCCACGACGTTAGTCGTCAACCAACTTGTCCATGTCCTCGCGATTGTGCTGAGGATCAGCCATCCACCAGGCTTGACGAACGGTAGACAGGAGCTTAGAAAAGGTGCAGGCCGATTGATATGCTCAATGACTTCAAATAGACTCACAACATCAAACTGTTCTTCTGGTATCCGAGGGATTGGCAAATCCTCGACAGCTTTGTTCTGATATTCTAGCCGTCCCGGCTCAAGAAGGAGAGGGTCTTGGCGTGCGTGAGCCTTCGCAACTGAAATGACTTGGCTGCTTGGGTCAACACCCACCACGCTCTTTGTCCACAAAAGTCGAGCAGCACTCTCGGCGAATATGCCGCCACCACAGCCCACGTCGAGATAGCGCCTATTGGTCGAAGAAGTCGGGTCTGGTTGTGACTCAATGCAAGACGAGATGAAGTCATGACGGAGAGGATTCATTTGATGAAGGAGACGAGATGAACCATAAGGATCCCACCACGTCGAGGCTAGATTGTTGAAATGAGATACTTCTGCTGCGTTTACAGAAGAGCTTTGAGAGCTCGACCGGCATTGGGTGGGTATGCGGAGAAGTCTTGAGAGATTGCGCGAGGTTGTAGGTCGAATGACCATGACTGGTTTTTGAAGTGAACCTGTGAGAAGCCTCTGTTTGGTGATTATGTCGAATGGTCAAAGACAAAGACTAAAAAGTCAAGAACCATGTATGATAGAGAAACAACATGAGGCCTTTTGCTTTATCTTAGATAGACAATACAGTCCATGCTCTCCACACTGGTTGAAAGTCTTGAAGTGGAGGAACTCAATATTTGAATTTGAAACGAACTTTCCGAGCGCAGCAATGGCAGGATAATACCTACTTAACTTAGAATGATCACTTTTCATACTTCAGGTTGTCAGCGCAACGCCGCAAATGCAGAACGCCACTGCTAGGCCGCGATAGCCGCGCGTGTAGAGAATTGATTTTCGGATGTCTTTCTCTAGCTCTACTTATTAACCAAGGGCGGGTTTCTGGTGGACGATATGAAGCTTGCAGCCACCGGCAGAGCTGTGAGGCTCGCCTGGGTTGAACGGTCGGGGATCGAGTTGAGGTACAAAACAAGAATTTGGATTGGTGGCAGTCATTATCAGCGCAGGCATCAATCTACAAGTAAACATGGCCAATTTAGCATACAGAGACAGTACTAATACCATGTAGACGCTCCGAGAACTCCTAGTCTCGAAATCGATGGCAAATGCTACGTTACCGACGATTGGACCAACGTCCCATCCTCGATCCTTTCATATCTTCCCCACAAATTGCAGCTCCAGCCCTCACACCCGGTATCAATAACGCGCCAAGTCATTGAATCTAACTTTCCGTCCCCAACATATACACACTACAATGATCTTCATCCGATTGTCACAGTCGCCGAAAACTTCGACTCCCTCGGCTTCCCTAGGGATCACCCAGGCAGAAGTCGTACTGATACGTACTATATTAACAAAGATACTGTATTGAGGACGCACACCAGTGCTCATGAAGCAGAGATCTTTCGACGTAACAAGAGTGAAGGTTTTACAATCAGCGCAGACGTATACAGGAGAGATGCTATCGACCGAAGCCATTACCCTGTCTTCCACCAGATGGAGGGAGCGAGGATGTGGGATCGACGAAAAGTGCCAGGAGGGGACGTGGCGAAGGCCGTCAGGACCGATTTTGAGAGGCTGCCGAAGCACAGTCTATCAATCGAAGACCCAAACCCGACGACTCACGCGGAAAGAAATCCCCGGCAGGCAGAACATCACAGCCCAAAGGAAGTGGAAGCTATCGCCGCCCATTTGAAAAGATCGTTAGAAGGAGTTGTGGTGGAGCTTTTTTCGAGGGCTCGGAAAGCTGCTATTGCCGCTGGGCACGTCGATGCGAATGCTCTGGAACCCCTCAGGGCTCGCTGGACCGAAGCTTATTTTCCATTCACGAGTCCTTCCTGGGAACTCGAGGTCTTTTGGCAAGGGGATTGGTTGGAGGTTCTCGGGTGCGGCGTCACCAAGCAAGACGTCCTTATCAATGCTGGGGTACCAGATCAGATAGGCTGGGCGTTCGGTGTCGGACTGGAGCGAGTCGCTATGTTGCTCTTCTCAATACCAGATATTCGACTGTTCTGGTCGAAGGATCCACGATTTTTGAATCAATTCTCGAGCAAAGAAAATGTCAATACCTTCGTCCCGTTTTCGAAATATCCCGAGTGCTATAAGGACGTATCGTTCTGGCTTCGAAGCTCCAGCAGCAGCACCGGTGGTGGAATGAGGAGCAATGCCCAGGACTTCCACGAGAATGACGTGATGGAGGTTGTTCGAGAAGTCGGAAGCGACTTAGTCGAAGATGTGAGGCTAGTCGATAACTTCCAGCATCCTGTTTCTGGGCGGAAGAGCCTTTGTTATCGAATAAACTATCGAAGCTTAGAGAGGACGCTTCGGAACGAAGAAGTCAACCAGCTGCACGACAGTGTGAGGAAGCAGCTTGTCGAGAAACTGGGTGCTGAGCTGAGGTGACATGGGTTAACATGGAATATGGGTTGATGGGCGGAGCCAGTGTTTGCATACTGTATGAAGGAGAAAAACGAGCTCTATGACTCGAGTGTTGCTTCATGCCGGCAGAAATGCAAGGATACCCCCAACATAGAGGGGAGTAGTAACTGTACAGCGCTTCGCCCAGCCCCAACGCAAGAAAATAAATACAAGAGCTGCACCTATGACAGGCACTCATCACAAAGTCGTCTCGTCACTCAGCCATTTTTTACCACTCCAACCTTAGCAGCCTAACAATAGAATTAGTCTCAATACCTCAGAAAGTACAAGCCAGATACACTCACCCTTATGACTCTGCCGTTCAGCATGAAGCCCTTTTGTTGCGTCATAAAGACACTCCCATTATCCTTCCCCTCCACCGGCGTTTGGAACGTAGCCTCGTGCAAATTCGGATCGAATTGTTCCCCAATCTCGCTCGGGTCGAATCTCTCAAGTCCATGCTTCTTGAGCGTTTGCATCAATATTGTCTCTGTCATCCTCAGCCCGTCATGCAGATGCACCAGCTCTTTGTTACTCTCAGCTTGCCCCAATTTCTCTGAAGGCACGGTGCCGAGGGCTCGGTCAAGGTTATCGACGCTCTCGACCAGGTCTTGAGCGAAACGGGAGATGGCGAAGTCGCGGGCTGATTGAACGTCGCGCTTTGTGCGTTCTTGAAGGTTGCGGAAGTCTGCTACCGAGCGGAGATACTTGTCCTACATATCGACGTGTGAGGTTGCGAGAGGAGATTAACATTGGGGTTTTCTCAGCTTGGGGCGGACCTTTAAATCAATGATCTCTTTACTCTTTGATTCGAGTTCTTTTTTAACCGGATCGTTGTCCTTGATCTCTGAGTGTGAGACCTCCGCCGCCGCTGTAGCATCGGAGCTGGCACCATCTTTGGGCGTGTCTGTTGAGGAATAATATCTTGCAACTATCCTCTCCTGAAGCGGATGTATACGTGATGGGGAAATTTGAGATCTTATGGGTGAGGCAGTAGGTGTGTAGCGCGACTTTGCACAAAATGCTCGTGACTGTCGAAGTAGACTTCGCTGGATCATAATGTGGATGCGAAGTGGACGCTTGCAATGCTTGGGAAAACAGCAACGCCCGAAGTTTTTTGGTTCGACTTGAGATCTGCGTCATTCGGCAGTGGCGACTATCGCGTCAATGGGGCCAGAGCACAAAACTTCATTCCTTCCTACGTGATTACCTTGACTTCGAATTCATGGGTTCATTAGTAGCTGAAGAGAATCTGATTTCCCCCGTCGATTCGCAGAACAGATGTGCCCTGTCAAAGGCTCAAACCCGCTCCAAGTCTCCCTCAACTTATCGCAAGCCTTGCGACATTTGTCACGCCCCAAACGATGTCCTGGTACGTTGTAACATCGACGACACATCCGTATGGTACTTCGTCTGCACGAAAAACTGCTGGAAAAAAGTCTCCGGTGGCGTCATTGATGGAAGCCCGCATCATCTGTACTACAGATACGGTGGTATGTGGAAGAACAAGCACGCAGGTGTTAGTGCGAAGAAGCCCAAACCCAAACAGCGTGTAGCTGTTCGAGATTGGCAGGATCATACAAGCTACGTGTTCAATGACAAGGTCACATACGAAGGAAAGGTCTGGAGCTGTCGAAGAAGCCACACAAGCTCCGTAGCAAACGTACCGGGCAAAGGCTATGGCTTTTGGAAGGAGGCTGAATAGCATATGGCTGTCTATGGACAAGTGGTGGACGTCCTGTGGCCACTGGTGGTGCTCCAAGCAGAATGAGTAGACGGTTCCTGGCAATCGCGTTTACTATGGGTTGGCGAAGAGACTGCGCACGTCTTGTTGAAATTCAAAGATATAGCAGAGGAAAGGCATCAGATCTGTTAATCTTTTGATGTGCTCTTACCCAAAATGGAGCGCTGTCTTTTGGACCAATTCCGGCCCAATACAAGCAGCTAGCTCTGCCGCGATCCCTTTAATCGACGACGAATCGGATGTCTGACTTTCGTCCCAGCCAGCTAGGTTCTGTTCGACATGTTAGCAGCATTCGTGATGACAGAGCGCTCAAATATGACGCTGTCTTTACCTTCAGCTTAAGGAGGCGTTGCCCGAGTTTTAAACTCCACTGACCAAGGTCGACTTTCTCATCTAACTCCTCCAAGGACAAAGCTCCTGGCGTGCCTGCGTGAAACACATTCGATACTTCTTCGCCCTCGGAGTCCTGTTTTTGGTCCTGCCCATTAATGTACTCAAGGGCGAACTTGAATTTGCTGGGACCCATGTTCAACTCTTTTCGAAAGCTCGAGGTTGTTGTCCGGTCAGACTGCAGGAAAATCGTAAGAGAATTGGAGGAGACTTCTAGTACCCGCTCAGCAGCCATAGACACCCATTTACGTGTTGAAAGACGTTGCATCATCTCCGAGTCCAGAGGATCCCAGACGTTTGACTGAGGGTCTAGTATTGATGGACAATAAGCAGACTTCTACGTAGAACTAGTGGAAGACTTACCGACCTAGGATGTACGTTGGATGGAATGTTGCTTTGTACCGCATCTTGATACATGAATGGATGTAGTAGCCTAGTCGAAGAGTCAATCGATCGGGATGAGCTTGGAACTCTTTATAATATGTACCGACCCATGTAGTAGTACTCATAGTCGCCTTCAAGCGCTAGAGAGATTTCTCGAAGTGCGGAAATTTTGCCAAAATTCCATCCATTGACCTCTTCATGGTACCTGTCTTGATGTGAGCAAGACCGCAGTTCGTATTCTATGGTTAGGCAAGCTACATGAGATAAACAGAGCTCACACAGTGAGGAAGGAGATCGAGTACACCTAGAGCAATCAATTTTCCATCTAATCGGTAGCACTGGTGATAGGAGCCGATCTTCTTTGCTTTGCCATGATGAATACGAGTACTCCGAGGTAAGCCGGAGCAAAGGAAGCGCTTGAAACCATTTTTTGAAATATCAGAAGGACCTTCATGATGGACCTTTTTCTGATAGTTTGCAAAGAGTGCGTATCTGTATGGGGAATTGTCAGAACAGCATACGTCAAAATAATCAGGGGCATTTCACACTTCTCCTCGGTGAAGTTGTCTGGCTCTAGGGCTACTTCAAATTCGTGGGCTGGTTCAATCGGCTCTTTCGTCCGAGTGTCGATTGGCCGTCGCATACAGTGATACTCGGACTCATGAACAGCTTCGTAGACATCAAAGTTGTTTTTGCGATGCCTCTTCTCTCTGTCAAGGGGCGCGACGACGTCAGCCGAGACTCAGCCTCAATTCCTGGTCCTAATCTTTGTCTTGGTCGACTTCCCAAGCCGTCTGCACTTCGATCAGGGCACTTACTCCCTACTCTTTGGGCAGAATCTAGCAGCCTTATGGGTGTAATCTTGTCCCACTACGTACTTGTTCCATCGATTGACCGCTTGACGTTGGTCTCTTCTTGAATCAAATGCCGTCGCATCTAAGCTGGATGACTGATAAGTAAATATCATGGAAAGGACTGAATCTCAAGATACCGAATAGTGTAATGTGGACAGCACGAATGCCGATTGTCAGGCTTGTAGTAATATGTGCCAGATCTAAGAGACGTCAAGCATAAGCCAGACACTCTCCAAAAATGCCGAGGACGGAGAAGATCAAGATATAATACCGGCGCCAGCCTCGATCTACCAAGATCTGATAGACAGAAGGGTGTAGAGAAGTAGACACGAGCCCTACAGAAGCGCCTGAAGAAGGACTGATAATCAGCTTGGACCTGAGGCTGATATACGAAGACAAGGGAGAGGCAAGCCGAAAGCGGGCGTGGTACTGGAAGGCTGACGGGTGCGTTTTGGTTTAGAATGGCAATAGCCGCAACTACTTCGCTGATAGCCTTTATCCCAATCAGCATGCCACTGCTGAGCCATAAAATTATGCAGTTGTTCGGAAAAGGAACGTGAGAGTGAAGGACATAGGGTGGGGGAAAATATGAGCCAGCCAAAGCTGCACGGGGGCTTGATAGAGCTCGGGTGGCGTGGTATCAGGGGCAGCTCACCGGTAGGAGTGAGAAAGGAAAGGGAGTCTTCCATGGCGGGAGCTGGGAGAGACTGCATGACAAGCCTGTTCTTCTAACTTGGACGGATAGTATGGAATTGAGATAGCCGCCGAACTTTCTACTTCAAGTACTTGAATCTGGTGGGGGTCAAACTTGAAGTGTTGTATGATAACCTTCCACCATGCCAGCTTCCCTGGACTCGAGTGTGATTATTGTAAAGTGAAGTATTATTTATGATGAATAAACCCGAATGTTCTATAGAAATACCGTAGATGCCACCTTATTACATGACACAATTAACGCGCACGGTCCTTAGACGAAATTCGTTCAAAGTCCTACCGTCCTAAGTACGGAGACTGGTCTGACCATTTAGCAATTACATAGCACGTTTAGCATAGTAGGGTGGTGCGGATGCACCTCGATGATCCAATCGGAATATTGGGCCTGCATAGAATGATGCGCCCCCATGCATAGAATATCCATGACGGCCGAGAATGAGTGATGATAGGTCAATCTGAAGCATTACCTTTGCTTTCCCACAAGCTGTGCGATGGGAGTCGGTGCTACGAGGGAGTTGATTCATAACTGCAGACGATGGAGAGAGGAGTGCGTGAAATCGACGGAGACCATCCGCATGCACATGCCTGCACTACAATCTGCGCAGCTGTACTCTACTCTCATTAAGGCAGGACAGCGTCGAGAGAGTCGCGAAGACGGATTGCTGATTCAACGAATTGTGTACTAGCAATTACTTGGTGTCTATCATAGCATGTGGGGGTCGACGATGTCGGAGCAAAAACATGCAGCCCAGGCGAGTGCCTGGTGTGATGGTCCCTTCCACTTCATCTCCCCGCCCACGTTTATTGTTCCGTGTTCCATTCTAAAATTCAATAATAATATTAACACTTCCACCAAATAAATAAAAAATGCAGACGCCTTCTGACGACAGAATAATACTCCATCCTCAAACCCGTCCCCCACGGGTTTGAAGGAACCTGTTCTCCAGCTTCCGAAACCACTGCCTTCCGCCTTGACCTCTCCACCTTCGTGTTGTCTTCCTTCCCTAACCCAAGCCTCTTCAATTGCCCTACCGCCTAATTGACATACTCCGGTACCCAGAGTCATCCTCCAGTGTGTCTCCAAACAAGGTCACTACTTTAGCACCGCAGTCTCTCGCTTCAACACCCCAGATACAGCGCACGAGAAGCTCTCCAGGACCTATCACCAAAGCCACAGTCAGACTCTCAACATGGCTCAGAAGCTTGCTTCTACTGCTCGCACTGGACGGGACAATCAAAGTGAGTCCAGCCTCAGACTTCTAATATAGACCCACTACTTGCAATTTTCCGAGGCAAGCACACTGCGGTAGATGTTCAAATTTCTGGTCAGCTGGCTAACATTTCTTCCTCGACAGGGTATGGCGCTCATGGCGAGCGACTCGTTGCTGGTGTAGTCCCTCTCTCTAGCGACAAGAAAAAGGTTCTGCTCATTCAGTCTGCACGTCGAGGTGGCTGGGTACTCCCCAAGGGTGGTTGGGAGACCGATGAAGGGACCGCGGAAGAAGCAGCTTGTCGCGAGGCTTGGGAAGAAGCTGGGATTGAGTGTAAGATACAGCGCGACCTCGGCAAAATTCCCGACAAACGTTCGCCAGAACAGCTTACGGCCCATGCACCAAAGGCGATCTTCCAGTTTTACGAGGTCAGCGTTGAGAAAGAGGCAACGCAATGGCCGGAGAAGCACAAGAGAGGAAGGCAGTGGATGTCGTATCAAGAGGCCAAGGATGCATTGGCTCCAAGGCCTGAGCTGCTGGATGCCTTGAACAAGAGCTCGATCGTGCGGTAGTCGTGGATAGATGGGGCCAGAATCGAGACCACGGAACGGAAAGAATATTTGTAATGGATATGACAGCTTACTAGCCGCTGCTTTAAGCCAGCATGCTGGAGACAGTAAAGCATCATCACATAGAATGGGCGGCTTTTTCAGGTGGAGTAGCTTCCTCTTCCGTTTCCTTGCTGCGTATACATTACCACTATCCTCCACCAATAGAGTGCTAAGAGGTGGCTGATGCACTCGTCATTGCGTACAATTACCAGTCTTCGTGTATGCACACACATGAAGCCAGTGGCGACAAACATTACATGTGCCACGACGTGTTGTGAATTGGACTCCTATGTTCACTATCATAAGGCTTCCAGGCAAATCATGTCATGATTGGGCTAAGAGCAAGTAATGTTCGTGCAATGCGGGAAAAGTGCTGTAACATGCCTTTCCGACCAGGTAATCCAAAGATCCAGAATTCCCGAGACCTTGTGTCACCCATCCACATCTCTCTAAATCCCATCAAACCACATTTTCCATTGATTACTTGGTGTGATTCAAGTCTTGCGAGGAATGGGCCACGCCAGAGTAACAGTTCCTTCGACAGAAATGACTTTGCATTGAAAGCTACATCAATACGCAAGACATCCAGCCGATTCACAATTCTAGTCAAGTGTTGTTGGAGGACAGAGTTTGCCTGCTCTAAACATTTCGCGTAGGCACCCACGCCTTCCGTTTCTTGTGAATACCTGCACCCTGCCTCTTTGGGCCAGCACTTCAATATAACACTTCGCCTTGGACAAACATTCTCAAGACTGAGCACATCCTCACAACAAACAGGTTTCTGCGACAGAGCCACTCGTCTGTCGCATAATGGGCAGACTCACTTACATCAATGTAAGCAATAATGCAGCTTCACTGTAGATACAAGACTGATACCTATTGTCACAGCGGAAGATCGAGGGGTTGAAGCTTGGAACGGCGATATCGAGAGACCTGGTATTGCCCTTCGGACTCCACGCTTGCGGAACTGTGCAGCTGGACCTGACTAGGCTAATGCTTCATTAGGTCAAACGGATTCCACCAAGTGCTGGGTCAAAGGCGGCTTTCAGAGACCCAGTTGTCGAGCTTGATGTCTCTGGAAAAGGCTTGACTGATGAAGGTTTTGCTGAAGTAGCGTCGGCATTAGTAGAGTCCCTGAACTATGACGGCGACCAAGGCAGAATAGTCCGGCTGGAGGAGCTTTGCTTGACAAACAATCGGCTGAGTGCCACGTCACTCCAGGCTCTATCCCCCATTATCAGATTGGCAAGCAACGACCTAAGAGACTTGGACCTTTCTGGAAACAGCATCACCATCAACACAGAAGCCGAGGTTGCGATTTGGGAAGATTTTCTAATGTCTTTCAGCTCTTGCTGCCTTCTTCGGAGAATAGACCTCAGCCGCAATGCATGGGGGCCTAGGGTTTTCGAGGTGATGATTAGAGTCTACGCAAAGCAAGAGGCCGTGGATCTAGTGCTCCCTGCAGACCTTGAGCAAATTCAGAGTAAAGAACGAAGAACGTCTACGGATATTGCTGGGCTTGGGCGAGGAATGAGAAGAATGCGTGTTGTCTCGGATCCAGACGATTGGGGAAGCGACGAGGACAACAGCCCGAAGTCTGACGGACATAAAGGCTCAGGACATGGTTTGTCAACGGCCTCGTAGTTGGCAGAGCTGGTTGACTTTCTGTTCAGGTTCGAAATTCCCCCAAAAGGCTGGTCTTCCTCCTTCCCAACTAGAATCGCCACTCACATACGCTACCACTCGGGGACTCAGATCTGTCCCCTATATTGTGCTGTCTAACAGCGAAATGACAGAAGCTGGCGCATTGCACCTTTCTTACATACTTGCAATTCACCACGTCCCCAAAAGACTCCTGACTCGAGTCCCTCACGCAAAGGCTGGTGCTTCCGCACAGCAATTATTATCTTACGATCAGTCACAATGTCGAGGCATCATCTATCTCCCAAATCCACTACTTGGCAGTGCAGGTCACAAAGTGTTAGAGCTTGCGGAAGTAATGCGGGATGGCTATTCAGACTGTTTGACGGACGATTCCCCTGAGTTCCCCAAGACTCCAATCATGTCCACCAACATGTTGAAACGGGCATCTGGGTCTCACCCCGGACTCGGGGCTGGTGCATACGACAGACGATGTCGTAATACTGCCTCAACAGGGCTTTCTGACCAAGCAGGACAGGATGGTCTTATGGGAAGCGAGCTTGATAGAGCGAGAAGTAGGATACAAGGAACCACGCTGCAACACGCTGGACCCCAAAGCAACGATCTCTGGCGAGCAGCGTTTAAGATGCTTTCTTTGGGCCGGGAAATCCGGCCACAGACGAGAAACGAACCACTGCCTCGACCACCGGCGCCGAAAACTAAGACTCCAATCGTCAGGACACTCAAAGTCCCCGGGATTACTCCCAAGACACTCAAACCGTTGACGCCGCTGACATTACAACGGGATCCTAACCAGCCAATCACACCCTGGACTACACAATTCCCCAAGAAGAGCGGCTGTCTTCCCTCTACACCAATTGTCATTCCACTAACTCCATTGACTCCCAGGATTCCGGTCGTCTCGGCCCCGCTACTTACGGAGACAGCAATTTATCGCACAAAGCTTCCCTGTGGGCTTCCGGAGTATATTTGGAGGCGGATCCTTGGGCTGGCTGCGGGAGCTGAAGGTATCATGAGTGTATCTCAGCAGCAATCTGTACTAAAATGGGCAATGGATAGAAAGACACTGAGACAGGAGAGTGAGTCACTAGGGCTTAGAACGAGCGCTCAATGCTGGAAGATTCTTGAAGCCACAGGATGTTTGGCGTATGAAATGGACAAGCCTTGAGAAAGGAAAGAGTGCTGTCAGATACCGGTTGCTTTAAAACCCAAGATCATTTGTTGCAGAGCTAGATCTTCCAAGAGCATTTGACAGCTCTCGCGCTTCTGTAAAGTAATGATTGACCCTGAACTGAAGATTTCCATCATCAAACATGGAGAAAAGCTCTCCGCCTAGGGCATTGATGTAGGGCTGAGTCCTTTCCACGATGCGCCCCCTCGGCCGTTGGGGAAATCTCACATTTGGATATATGAATCAAGCAGTCCATAACATCACATTCCTTTACTACAGATCAGACGTTCCTTCACACTATCAGACCAACCTAAAACAAGTTCCCCCCTACCCATTCTCGCTATTTGGTGGTCATCTAAGAAGAGTTGGAACAGGCCCACAATTGGATCGACAGGACCACCAGGACTGCCGAGAAAGCTGCCACGGTCTTGATATCTGCAGACGAGCGGTAGCAAAGCACAAGGACTATATCTAGTATGGGCCTGGGGGCGATGCCCCGACGTCAGTACGAGGCCACGTGGCTCGGCTTCCCCATGAAGCAGGTCTCTTTGGTTACGGTGGGCAAGCAGCAACCATTTGAAGACAATGGGAGTATACTGACAACGTTGCAAAGCTCACTATCCAGAATTCCGCACTTATCTTAGTATGTCGCTCACAACTGATTTCCGGCAATTTCTGCTCTGACTGCCTATTTAGCTTCTACATTACTCACGCATCATGCCACTAATAGCCGGCCAAAGATATCTTACATCCACGGCAGTGTTCATGAATGAAGTTATCAAGCTAACTGTATGCCTCACCTTTGCCCTCTACGATATATCACGCACCATTTCGCCTTCCCTGCCTGCCACCAGCCTGTTCAGCGGCGTAACAAGCGCAGTTTTCACAGGAGACAGTTGGAAGCTGGCAGTTCCTGCTAGCCTTTATGTTCTACAGAATTCCTTGCAGTACATAGCGATATCAAATCTGGACTCTGCAACCTTCCAGGTCACGTACCAATTCAAGATTCTCCCAACCGCGATATTCAGCGTCTTATTGCTGAAGCGAACTCTGTTCCCACGGCAATGGTTGGCTCTCGCACTCCTGATGGTGGGCGTCGCCATCGTGCAGATACCCGCAAGTGACCCTGCATTGGCGCCGTTCGAGGCTCCGCGATCCAGATTTTATTTCTCTAGGTCTTTGCACAGTTGGAGGCACATTGGAGGCTCGGCGGCAGCTCCTTTGCACAAACGATCCGCAACTTATGAGGGCATACAGGAAGATGAAGGACTGATCAATCCGCAAATGAACGCGATACTTGGACTTGCGGCTGCAATTTCAGGCTGTATTGTTTCTGCTGGGGCTTCTGTTTACTTTGAGAAGATCCTGAAAGATTCAAACACGCCAGCTTCTCTGTGGATTCGGAACGTGCAGTTAGCATTTTACTCGCTATTCCCAGCTCTATTCATTGGAGTGATGTTCGTGGACGGAGAGGAGATCGCCCATCATGGCTTTTTCGTTGGCTATAATTGGTTCGTATGGATCACCATCGCCTTTCAGTCATTGGGAGGCATCTTGGTCTCGCTTTGTGTCAAATACGCGGATAACATCGCCAAGAGCTTTGCAATGAGCATCAGCATCTTGATCAGCTTGTGTGCCAGCGTTTGGTTCTTTGAATTCGCTGTCACTGCAAATGTAAGCTTTCACCGTCACCAAGCATCAGTGGGTGGTGGTATGAACATCAGCTAACCTCCGATGCATAGTTCCTCATTGGCACCTCCATAGTCGTATTTGCAACCTACTTATATAATAGCGTCTACGAGCGAGCGCCACCTCCACCTCCGATACAAATACACAGCTACGAGAAAACAACCATCGATGAGCAAAAGTCAAGAGAGAATGAACCACCGCTCAGGTTGCCCACAACTCCATTGAAAAGCAGCGAGGGGTTGTCGTCGTCACGGCCCGGTTCGCCTTTGGGTCACCATTCGAGAGTCGGATCTGCAAGAGCGTATTTCGGCGCCAAAGATCGAGATGAATAGGCTAATCGCTCTGAATTGTACGTTCTCATCACCGGGCGTTTCTGGAAGTACCCATCATGACGTGGATGGCTTTCTGAGGTCGCATTACGAGGCTGCATAGCTCTATGTGTATATGTGTCCTGACTCCTGGGGATCAAATGATAGTCTCCATCGTCGCTTGTTCCACAATTACTCGCTGTGGTCATTAGAACCGGCGGGCGGGGGGTCGGTATGCAAAACTGGTCCGTGGCGTTCAAAAACTTCGCAAGACAATGAGGTACTGCTCTTGGAAATCAAGTCATATCTCATAAGAACGATGAGACTCTTTCTCAAAGAACAGTTTCAATGTGGTACTTCTATCGCTTTGACTTGGTAAATTTACGCTAGTCATTACTGTACAATAAGTGCGTCTCCCCCATCTCTTGGCAATCGCTTCCCCTCCACCAGTTAAGATGGTGCAAACAATGAGTACCGTAATTTATCTCTTATCATTTGAAAGTCCCACTCATCTTAATTGCTAATTAAGCACAGCATGGAGGGCTACCAACCAGATATTCAAGCTCTCCTGCAAGACATCAGTAGCAACTATGGAAATTCTGAAACTAAACAGCCACCTCCCCCATATTCGAGACCTATCTCAAAGTCCTACCAAACTCAAGCAGAACGTTCTTTAGTGCCAAGGCATGCTTTAGCCCCCGTCTATGAACAGCAGCTGCTCCATGGAGCCCAGGCTTCGAGACCTTCAGATGCCTACTTTCACAGCAGTAACACCGACACTGGCCTTGATGCATATGGTAGCTGCTCAACCCTGGGAACCGAAAGAAGAACCGCTGATTACTGCCTAGATCGAGCCCTTCTAGCCGAGCCTCAACCTCATTCGTACTGGCAGGCGAACAGTAGCATGAGAATGCTACCAGCTGGACGTCTCTCGTTACCTGGCCACACAGCACCGCATCCGCCTGTGAATGTATTGCAGCAACCAAAGGCTCAAGAACGGCGACGCGGTCGGTCTCGCCCAGGCTTGCTTATGATTCGTTGCTGACAGTCACTAGCTCTGCCTGGGCTCTCTCCACCCGAGGTTCAGTTACGACTAGGTTAGCCCAATGCTCTGTCCCTTGGCATTCCAAGTCTTACAATGACCACAGCTCGATATGCACATACTCCACCTGCTCGGATTCGTGAGAGCTCACCTCCCTCGGACGCGCTTCCATCAAGTCCATCTTTCGTAGCCACTCAGCGGCGAATCCACCACGAAGCTCAGTGTGACAATCCTCGTAATACTCTTGCTTCTTCCCGGGATCCTCGACCAGTTGTTGTATCATCTGTGAGGGATCCCGAAGAGGGGATTGTCAATGAATATCGTCCTCACAATTCTGACATTTGCCATGACAACAATCTTTCTACAGTACCTTCACCTCCGTCGTATCAACGACGGCTCAATTCTCAGATCGAACCTGATCATTCCCAGCCAATCGTTCAAGGCATCCCACTTGTCTCTTTGAATGAAATGCCGGATCGTCTTCGTTCTGTGTTCCGTTATCCCCTCTTCAACGCCATTCAATCCAAGTGCTTTCCTACTGCTTACAAGTCCGATGATAACCTCGTCGTCTCTGCACCAACAGGTGGCGGGAAGACGGCTATATTGGAGATGGCTATCTGCCGCCTAATCCACGGCTTCAAGACCGATCAATACAAGATTGTGTACATGGCGCCTACGAAGTCACTCTGTTCCGAGAGGCAAAGGGATTGGCAGGCAAAATTCGTTGCGTTGGATATGAAGTGTGCTGAGTTGACTGGTGATACCGATCAGGGACAGCTGCGAAACGTGCAGAGCGCGAGCATTGTCATCACGACTCCAGAGAAATGGGATAGCATGACAAGAAAATGGAAAGACCATGCAAGGCTAATGCGAATGGTCAAGCTTTTCCTCATCGACGAGGTTCACATACTCAAAGACTCCAGAGGTGCTACATTAGAGGCTGTGGTTTCTCGGATGAAGTCTGTGGGTTCCATCGTTCGATTCGTAGCTTTGAGCGCTACAGTTCCTAATTCTGAAGACATTGCAACATGGCTTGGTAAAAATCATACATCTCAGCATCTACCTGCGATACGCGAGAAGTTTGGAGAGGAGTTCAGGCCTGTCAGACTACAGAAACACGTTGTGGGAATATCATATAGAGGCAACGACTTCGGCTTCGAGAGCGCGTGCGATCCGAAAATACCAGATATCATCGCGAAATATTCCCATAAGAAACCAATTATGGTCTTCTGCATCACCAGGAAATCTGCTATGAATACTGCGAGGCTGCTCGCCAATGTGTGGGCCAGTAAGGGATCGCGAGACCGCCATTGGGAGGGCCCCACGCAAAGACTCATCGTGCAGGACCCCGAGCTGAAAAACACCCTGACCTCTGGTGTTGCGTTCCATCATGCTGGCCTTGAAGGTCCCGACAGGCACACAGTCGAGAAAGGATTTCTCGAGGGACAGATAAATGTCATCTGCTGTACATCCACGTTGGCAGTAGGAGTCAACCTGCCTTGCCACATGGTCATCATTAAGAATACTGTGAGCTACCAGGATGACGGTATGAAGGAGTATGCGGATCTGGAAATTATGCAAATGCTTGGACGTGCTGGGCGTCCCCAGTTCGACTCGACTGCTGTCGCAGTGATTATCACAAAACAAGAGAAGGTTAACAAGTACGAAAAACTCGTGTCAGGTGAAGAGTTGTTGGAAAGCTGTCTTCACCTTAATTTAATTGATCATCTAAATGCAGAGATAGGACTTGGTACTGTCTACGATCTCTACACTGCGAAGAGATGGCTTGCGGGGACTTTCCTATATGTTCGTCTTGGATTAAAACCCGAGCACTATAAGCTCGACGGTGACGCAGTGGCACAAAGTCTTGACAACAGAATCGAGCGTATATGCAGGAGAGATCTTGGGCTTCTGAAGGACACCCAGTTGGTCAATTCTGGTGAAAGACTCAAAGCTACGGAGTTTGGGGACGCGATGGCCCGATATTACGTCAAGTTCGAGACCATGCAGGTGTTCATGCGTCTACAGCCTCGGTCCAAAATGTCGGACATTGTGAGTTCGATCCCCAGTCCTGACTAAGTGGTGCTGATGACTCGAGCTCTATGCCATTGTTCAAGCAGAGGAGTTCCGTAATATACGTCTTCGAGTGAATGAGAAGAAGCTGTTCAAAGAGATCAACCGCGCGCACGGCATCAAATTCCCTATCAAAGTCGACCTTGCTATGCACGCGCACAAGAGGAGTCTCATAATTCAATCTGAACTTGGCGGAGTCGACTTTCCTACGGACGAGCAATATGTCAAGCATAAGAGACAATTCGTTCAAGACAAGGCGAGTCTGTTCTCCGCCAGTCATCGATTGATATGTTGTGTGATCGACTGCCATATACACCTCCAGGACGCCGTCACTGTACGACATGCTTTGGAACTCGCTAGGAGCTTTGGTGCTAGAGTCTGGGATAACTCGCCCTATCAGATGAAACAGATAGCGCAAATTGGTCTAGTGGCTATCCGAAAACTCGCGATTGGGGGAATCAATAGCATTGAGGCTTTAGAAGCTGCTGAGCCACACCGGATCGAGATGCTCATGAGCAAGAACCCACCATTTGGTAACAAATTACTAGCGAACCTAAGGGACTTCCCGAAGCTTCGAGTGTCCGTGAAAATGATGGGCAAGGTGAAGCGCACATCCTCTCCCAAAGGAGGGCAGCTACTGAACATGATTCAGGATTCCACGCGAGGACGGCCAGTCACTATCAAGATCCAGGCTGAGTGCGGTTTCATGAACGACACAGTTCCCATGTTCTTTCATCGCAGGCCTATATACATCTGCTTGCTAACCGAAAGATCTGACGGCTTGCTGGTGGATTTCCGACGCATCAGGTGAAGATCTTACCGAGCTTGTCCCATATTTTATGCTAACGCTCGGGAGTGCGAAAAAACTCAACAATGCCCAAGACATACTCATGTCTGCCGAATTGCTCAATCACACACAGTGTATTAGGTGCTATGTCATGTGCGACGGGATTGGTAGGTGTCACTGACAGATCCCACGTCTAATTTTGTGCTTATCAGACCACAGCTGGCACCACGCGATCGGCAGAACTCAAGCATGAGTTGCCAGCGTATCTATTCCCTCCGCCATCTCCACAGAAACAAGCCCAGGGACTCACATACCCGAAAAAGGACACTAGGCCTGGTGGCAATATCTCTACAAGCACGTTCCACACAAGTCCAGAGACTTTGGAAGATGATGAATTCGGTGATGATGATTTCAAGGATCAGGAAGTCATGAATGCCGGTAAAATTAGCTTCTTCTACCTTTATTAGTGTCCAAATACTGATGATGCATCCAGTCAAAGAGACGGACTTTAGTCACATCGATGAGTTCGATCCTAGATCGAAGGAGAGGAAGCTTGAGCCAAGGGTACGAGAAAGCAAGGCTCCTGAGACCGAGCAAATTGTTTGGAAACCAGAGAGGCTTGGAAATGGGAAGTGGGCCTGTAATCACAAGTGCAAAGACAAGACAGCGTGAGTAATCTCATGCTGACGCTGATTACCAAGTTGATGGCTTTCCTAGTTGCAAGCATATGTGCTGTCGAGAAGGAGTCGACAAAGCACCTAAGGCCCCCAAAAGTTCTTTCATATCTGCGGCAACCTTAGTCGATCCGTCCCACCTCTCAGGTCATAAAGGTAAGAATGGACGTGTGGCCACCGCGAACAGTTCTGCAGCTCCTAGTGTACCCGCAACAGAACAGAAGGCGGAGACTGAGACAGTCGATCTTGCAAGCCGCCAGACATTGGGGGGCTGTGAGAAAATGCCGTTCAAAGGATTCGGGAGCCTGAATCGTCTGCACGAAAATGTGACTAAAGGAAGGACCGCGTCGGTGGTGATGAAGAAGCAGCCATCCTTTGATTATACGAAAGGGGGAACGCCACATATTTCGTTCCTCACCAAAGATGCTGGCGCTGAAATATCGAGCGACAAACCGTCAACTGACTACGACGCGGATTGTATGGGGGACCTCCCTTCTCCATCTGCCCTTTTAAGAGAGCCAGCGGGAGACCCCGACCCTCTTCCCGAGCATACATCAACAGATTATAATAGCAGCTGGCCTGATGGTCTCACGTTCCCTTCTACTCTCATCCGCCAGAATGATGCGGCTACCGGCAATTACCCAGACAATGATTTGCTGGAAGGTTTCGATCCGTCGCAGTCCAATGACGATGAATCCGACCTTGAAGCGGCCATGGTGGGACTGAGCGACTCGGTAACCATGCAGGAGGAAAAGTCGCAAGTCCAAGCAGCGACCCTTCGGACGAGTTCCCAAGCAGAAGCTTTCCCGCATTGGTCGCCACCTCCAGACGAACCTACTCCTAAGCTCGACCACCGTCCTGCATTCAAAACGGAGAGCTCAGGCACGTCCGAGCTGTTCTCCGCAACAGACAGCGCTGAAAAGGTTGGGGAACTACGGCAAAAGCGCAAAGCAGCGGTCAGTGTTCAAGCGGAAGATCTATCCCACTCTGCGCCGGTACCGAAGAGGCCGAGAGACAGCGATGAGCGCGATCAGGCTCCGAGATCTTCGTCGAGCGCAAAGAAGGAGTTCAAAGCACCAGCCCCAATGATCAAGTCGGGACAGCCGGCGTGGGTGTATGGGTTTGATCCAGGCTTCATTGCAGAGTGGCAGGACCTTGTCGACTTTGTTTGAGCCTTCGATTTGAACATTTGCAGATTTGCTTCTTTCGCTCTTGGGTTGCTTTGTCGGCGTGACATGGTCTAAGTATCGCTGCAGCAGCTGAATAGAGTAATTGCTCTGTAAATGTATTATTTGATGTGGCAATCTCCGGGCCACTGAGGCCGAGATCAAAGGCTCAAATTAAGATGGAAAAGCTGAGGGTGATTAAGGAAGCGAGGGAAGATGAAGCCTGCTGCCTGGATTATGCCTAGGCCCCTCGGTACCTTATAATTACCTTAGGTGCTTACCGTAAAGTAAGGTAAGGTAGGTTCTAACTTATAAGGTACTTTAGATACAGTACTTTAGATACAGTACTTTAGATACAGTACTTTAGATACAGTACTTTAGATACAGTACTTTAGATACAGTACTTTAGATATAGTACTTTAAGGTATCTTACTTTAGAGCCCCTTCTACAACCACATATTTTGGAAATAACCCCTACTTATTTCCACTAATTTTCAGCTTAGCGTTAAATATATACAGAGTATCGTTCTATAATCATATTTTCACATATTTTCGCTTATTAAGCGAAAACAGGCTCGGAAATATCTGAAAATAACTCTTAAGGGTTGTTTTCAGCTAAAATAAGGCTAAGAACGTCAAGAATAGTAAATATCTATAACCGATATATATATATTATTCTCTTTTTCTTAAGAATATCAAGTATAAATAACTTAGACTGTGAAGAATAAGTTTTAAAAGTTATTCTTACTATCTCTTAGTACTATTCTTCTTATTTTAATAAGTAAAAACGAAGAGCGTTTATTCTTTCTAATTATACCTATATAAAAGAGCTTCTTATTAATTATTCTACTATAATATAAAGCGTCTTTTATATACTATCGTATACTCTTAATTAGCTAGAGAGCTAGTTATTTAATTATACTTAGCTAGCTCCGTCTAAGATTATTAATATAACGAAGAAACTCGCTATATTTATATATTTCGTAGGCTATAATCTTAGTAATAATAGAATTAATAATCGATTTTAACACTCTACTAGTACTATATCTCGATATTTTTATAAGATATCTAACGCTCTTATTATTCTTTATAGATATATAATATAATTATCTAAAGCGCCTTATCTAACCCCTTTTAAAATCCTCTTAAACCTTAAATTTACATTCTATTTCGACGATTACCTGAGAACACTTAATGGAATATATATTAATATATATATGCTAGTAGAAGAGTATATACTATGGCGAAATAGAAAGAGGGAACTTAGTTAGAATATTCTAGCTATGTGTGATTTTAATATATTATTTTACTATATGCTTTTAGAATAGAAAGAATTCGTCTATAATATTAAGATACTATAGAACGCTATCTTTAATTAAGAATTTACGATTTCGAAGAATAAATACTATCTCGTCGATATTAAATATTCTAATTATAACTTTCTAATAATATTATATATAAGAATACGATATTATTTAAAAGAATAAAAAGGAGCTAAAAAGAAGCTCGAGAATATAAAGGAACTCTTTAATCTACGATACTCTCAGCTACGAAATATTATAGAAAGAATCTTCGATATACTTAAAAGACGCTTTTTATCTATAAACTTCTTAGTAGAATTCGATGTTTTAACTTAGATATAGATATAATTCGATCTTATAGTTCTATATAACTTTATTACTCTATATTATTCTATAAATAACGAGAATATATATATTACTAAGGTATTAGATAGTAATAACGCCGACGATTTTAAGTCTTTAAAGATTAGCTTTAAGACTAATATAAGAATAAATACTTTAAGAGATTAACTCGCGGAAAATATATAGAGGAATTATTAAGTATATCTTACTTAATAACTAAGATACTTTATTAAATAGCTATATTTTTTACCTATAGCGTATAAAGCCACTCCGCTATTTTAAATGCTTTCTTCTATATACTTTCGAGTTATATTTTTTTTCTTTCTAATTTATTAACTTTCTCTTATAATTAGTTATTTCTTATACTCTTAGAAAGAGCGATATATATATATACTTTCGTCTTATCTAAAAACACGTTTACGGCCTATATAATAAAGCTAGAATTCTTTATATCTATTATAGTCTATAATAGAGCTAAAGCCTTCTTAATTGCTATCTACGGTATCTCTTTTATATATTATTTTTCTTTAATTATACGCTATATAAACTTCTTCTCTCTTTATATAGTAGCTCTATTTATTTATTTATTAACTTTATTAATAGCTATACTCATATACTATCTTCTAATCTTCTTCTATCTCTTAATAAGAATCGATATCTTAATTACGAAGCTGATATATCTCTTTTTAGCTACGGTCTAAGGTATATTATCATTCGACTACTTTAAATATTCGATATTACTTTATAAAGTATTCGAGAATAGAAGAGAGAAGGGGGTAGGATTTCGGAAAGATTGGGATCTATCGGAATTGCGCCTAGAGAATATATAAACTAAACGTAATTTTCGATAGCTATTCTACTTAGAAATAACTCGTCGAACTCGATAATATACTAAAGAGGCTTAATTCGAAGTTCGCTTATAAGCTTATTCTTCTAGAAAGTGTTATTTAACTATATATTATTTCTATATTATTATATACGCTTATTTATATTCGCTATTAATTATTATCTATTAATAATATTAATATATTATTATCTTATCTTTAGCTACTTAGCTTATAGCGAAGTACTCTCTATAAAGCTTATTTAGCTTTATAATTAGTTATCTTTCTCTAATATTAAAATCTATTTATACGATACTTTATTAGAGTTATAGCTTAAATAGTAGCTAGAATCATCGCCTATGCTTTAGATTTAAAGCCGATATCTACTCTCTTATTAAGACGATATTATTATATTATTTCGAGATATAATATTATCTTTATAGTCTAGCTTTAAATTATAGATAATAAGATATCGGTATCGATAGATACTATAAGAGTAGGCTTATTTAGAGTAATAATGGGAGTAATAGAAGTATTAATAATAGCTAAAGCCTATATAGTAGTAGTAGCAGGTATCTCGACTATAATAATATGAAATGATAGGAATATAATAGTTTTTTACGGAGAAGATAATTTTTACGACGATTCTAACTCAGCCTCAGAAATAGGATTATAGAACGGAATCGTATATATATTCTACTTGTTTTGGAAATATCCATAGCGTATTTTCAAGCCTTGTTTTTATTAGCTAAGTGGTGGCGTTATTTAGTGGAAATAAGTAGGGGTTATTTCCAAAATATGTGGTTGCAGAAGGGGCCCTTAAGCCGAAGCACCCATGCCGTGGCAGCCGAGAACCTGCTGGCGCTTAAAATATGTTTGATTGGGCATAAGTTAAGGTATGCAACATAAATTAAAGTAAAGTACAGAGGTCTGTACCGAAAGTCCTGCACCCGCACTAGTGTAGCCCTAACCCTACTTTCGGAAAGCGGCCCTGTAGAGGGGAAGCCTAAAAATATCTTCTTACAGCGCATGATGAGACTTAAGATATTTCTTTTAGCCTTGATAGAGGTAGTAAGCCCCGAAACCTGGCTAGGGCTAGGTGCGATTCCGAAGAACTCCAGACGTATTGTCTAGGTAACCCTTTAGGTGAGGCATTATCCGAAGTCTGAGCGTAAGAGTCTTGGCGGGTGCAGGACTTTCGGTGCAGACCTCTGTAAAGCTCTCCAAGCAGAGCGGATGACCATCGGCATCTGCTCGCATACTAAGTACTTTATTACTCAAAGTACTTTGTCTTTGATTTTGATGCGTAAAGGAGAAGGATACTTGGTGGTGTTCGGAAGTGCATTTGTATTCCGTACCATCATTGCATTCTATCCATCTACATCTATCTGCCCGGCTCCTTGGATTGGGGACTAACAATGATAACAATAATAATGATGATGATGATGATGATAACAACAACAACGATAATATCAATCTCTCCCCTGCCAATTCAATTCACATCAATTCCATCAATCTAGGAAGCACCAACATCCTCACCACCTACGAACCATACCATTATCCCCTGGTCAAACAACTTGCAGACAATAATGAGAACCGACAGTGCCTATAACCCCAAACTCAAGAGCAGACGATTGTGACAAAGCCCACTTCCGATGACTTCGAATCCCAAGGAGCAAAGTAGTAGGTATACGACACAAATCTGGGAGACTCCGCTCACATTGCCAGTGTCTTACGTATCCCGCCGAGGAACAGGGCGGAATCCTTCGAACCCTGCCATTCAATCCTATCTCCAGGACCATGAAGGTTCAAGGATGCCTCAAACCATAGCGCAACGCTCCACCTTGCCGCGTTCCCAAGAGCTCCAAGCCTCCAGCTATCATGGTCCTCCACCAAGTGACGTTGGAACTTCAAGACTCCCTGCACGCAGCGACTTCACCCAAGATGATTCGCTCCCTGGTCTCACCCGCGCTAATAGTTCAAGGCCTTCCCAGTCTGTTTCTGATGGAATGGGAGAGAGACAAATGAATCGCGCTTTGAGAATCATGATCCCAGATCCTGATGGCGCATTAGAGCCTACCACCCTCCCTCCCCTTCGCAGACCAGACCAAGGTCCTGTCCTCGAATGTCCATTCACCTTCCTTAAGTGCTTCAGACAATTTGCCGTCTCAAACGAGCGAGAATGGATCCAGCACAGCTTGGAACATTTTCGCATTATCGATAGAAGACGGTCGAGCAGGGTCGATCCGCCGAAGAACAATTCGTGTTGCTTCTGCTTTCAAACGTTCCAAGCGTCCAGTGGTGTTGACAGTTGGCGAGATCGCATGGACCACGTCAAATTTCATCATGCACTTTTGGGCCATCGTCTGGCGGCTGCCCGACATGACTTTGCCCTCGTTGAATACCTCTGGCAAAATGGGGTGCTGTCGTTGGCGGACTATCGGGAGTTGAAGCCGAATGCCGCTGCAGCATCACGCAGTACGCAGAATATCCCGACTCCGCCAGACTCACCACCTGGAATGGGAGCGGTGGCTGTCATACATCCGAATCAACGGCGCGAAGGAAGATAATGGAGACGACAGTTGCTTTCTTTCCGAAGGAAAAACAGTAAGAGATGATGTTGGTCGGTCGAAGTCAGCGGACGCACCTTGCACCATGCTTGAAGGCGTGCAAAGAAAAGCGAGGACCAGGAAAAAGGTCACGATACATGATTACACACGCCAGAGGTGAAGCTGGGCTGGACACAGGGACCGGCATTCAGCTTTATATTCTATCGCCACTCTCGGCTATTTCGGGCCAGGAGCTGGGGTGGCGAGAGGTTTGCCTCTTTACGAAAAGATGGAGTTTGGATCGCCATTTCTGATACGAATTTCTTACCGAGGGCTCTTCAAGCCTTTTAATCGATGCCGGAGGCTGAGAATGTTCTCAGGGTATCTCTTTGGTTGCCCCCTTTGCACAGCCGCCGGGAACTTCATTCTGCGTCAAAGCGCCGTGTCCATAACAAATCATCTCTCAGCTTCATCATAATAACACTACAGTATAATTCAATCGAGGCTGCTGCCTGCTCTGAAGCCAATCATTCCCCAGCCTCGCCAGCTGTGCCTTCGCCTTCCCTACCCGCATCATGGAGCCTTCAACAGCTAATCAGTAGCATCCCATCCCTGCTAAAGGCAAGGCTGTGCTTGCATATATTAGCGCATATCTGACGCATCGTCCCCGGCTGTTGTCCAGGTCTCTCCTTTCTTACTCAGCACTTGGTAAAGTCACTTCGAATCCCTTGAAAGAAAGCCTCGCGTCGGTCCTTCTCGAAGACATCTTTCCCCAACACCTCTTTTGCCCTCTCTCTTCACCCAATGGCCTTTCCTTCTCTTTGTCCCAGTCCATCTCAGCCAGTATTGGCAGAGAAGCACCTGCTCAGACCAGTCCACAGACACCTATCCCTTCCTGAATGGCAGCCTTGATGCTACGAACATCATCGGTCTGTAGAAAAACCACAATGAAGAGAAAGGGCCCCCAGCCATGGCATTAGATACTAGGCGATGTTTCCCAGGTTCTTCATTCGGTGAGGTGTGAATCCGTAGAGGACCCTTGGTTGATGGATGGGCGAGATCCTCTGAAGCTGCTCATCAGCATTATCATAGGGAGTATTTCTCAAATCTTCGGATCTAATATTAGACAGAATATCCGTATAAAGGGAAGAAACTCGGTAAACTTCCGTGCCACAAGAGACAGTTTCGACCACTCTCGATGGTCCAGCATCAAAATCTGATGACGAATCTTTGAGACGTAAGCAGAAGCCTCCCCGTAAGACGAGAAAAGGACAGGGCAGAAGCATAGACAAGAAGCGTTTGTCCGAGAGGATACTGGCATGAAAGAAATCGAAGGGTTTGACCGACACAAGGCGACACGGTCTGTAGTGGAAGCTCTTGAAACCAAGAAAAATAGAGATTGATATTCGGCACTTTGCGTGCTTCGCTGACCATCCTGGACGCCACGCTGCTGATCCCATCAAATGTCGAACTGCGTTGCCTCAAGACTTCAAGTGTCTTCCATCAATTCCACAGGCGGCCTCGCTGTATGCGTTAGTATCCGTCCTCCTCCCTGGCCCCGTCCATCCACAGGACTCGAGCTCCCGGGGCTTTCCTGACCTTCCTCCTCTGCACCGGCAGTAGTGTCTATCACCATCACCGCAGGTAAACTCTCGTTATCCCCATGGTGCTTCGGATGGTAAACCATCATGCTCCCCGTCCCACTCCTTTTCCGATTTCCCTGTAACTCCTCCTTTTCATCCTCGCTCATTGGACTCCCCGCATCATCCGCACTCGCCCTCCTCTCCTTCCCATGATTACCCAGCCCCGCCAGCGCTCGTTGTAGATCCTCAGCATGAACATCTTTGTTCGGCGGTTCCTCTTCTCTGATTTCCCATCCGGCAGGCGGACTCGGCGGCGGACTGATGAACAGTAACTTCCCCAAACTCGGCGCTTTGAGGTGCTGATCCTCCCCTCCATCGCCCAGTATAGGTGTCGGTTCTCCAAAGTATATGCGTACCCTGTCATTCTCACTCAGTGGCGATCCGTCGAGCAGTTGCCGAATCTCAATCGCGGCTTCAACGGTAGGGTAGGACACTATGATCCGGCGGAAGGAGCGGAGGGGGGAGAAGGAGTTGAGGGGCGTGGGCGTGCTCAGGAGGGTGTGAATGTGCTGCAGGTTTTGGGGGAGGAATGTTGCGAGGGAGTTGAGATTCTGGGACAAGGTTAGCTGGGCTTGCAAGGGCTGATTCGGAGGGCAAAGCATACCGTTATAAGGAGTGTATTTGACGGCGGCGAGGGTGTAATCAATGGAGGAAGAGCGGAAAGGTCAAGGGAGAGTGGCGTTTGGGTGCCATTTGATATGGATGTGGATGTCGGGCTTTCTGATGGAGAGGCAGGCGGAGATTTGTCTTGAGCAGGCATAGTTGGAGAAGCGCGGGGAGAATTCATGATTCGTAAATCGTAAAGGGTTTGGTATGCTGGGTTCTATGTTGTAGAGTGTGGAGAAAGCGCAAGTCTTTATTCTCATGGGGCTCTGAGGGCGGCTCGGTGGCGCAGCAGGCCGACGACAAATTCTCGAAGCGCCGAGCAGTTTTCACTTTTCTGAATATCTCCCGGCCTGCTCCGCCATCCATATTGACTCAAACATTCTCTGCTTGAATCGACTTCATGTGAGGAGGGTCGCGCAATGCCTCAAATCCTCAAAGATGGCAGTGCTGAAGACAAGTCAATATGCTCGAGGGGCTCCGAGAGTATGTCACAGGTAGAGTACGGGGTAGAAAATTGGAGAATTAGTCCATCATACAGACAATGGAGACATGGTCTCTTCGTCTATAGTATATGTCTTGCTCCAAATGATGCCTCCAAAACGCCTCGCTTGCAACCGAAGCATTGTAGAACACGCCCAGGGGCCCATCTGTCAGGCATTCGTCTCTGCGCAGTCATGCTGAACCCTTGGTCAAAGATCTCCCGAGACCGTCAGCTCTGCCCTCGGGCTGACTGATCCGCCCTTCTGCGCGACACTTAAAGCAGCCTGAGAACTTATTGTGTCCTTCTTCATGACTCCTTCACCTCCTTCCCATACCTTCTCCTCCATTCCCTGACCCCTCTATCCACCTCTGCCCTCGTAACTCCATCCCTGACCAAGCACATCACCACTCCCAGGCTCTCCACATTCCGATTCCGTACCTCATCATCGAAGAAGAGCATTTGGTCATACGGCACCCCACTCGCTTTATGTATCTTGGAGAAATGCTGCTTCTTGTCCCCAGGAAAGATCTGCATGTGGTCGAAGTACTCAATGGCGCGCTTGTTATTAGGTTGTACGTGAAGCTGCTTGAGAAGGGTATTTGCGAGGTCTGGAGCGTGGGTACGAGAAGCTGTACCAAGCAGCAGCGGCGTAGGGAGCGCTTTGGCGGCGTGAAGGATACCGGGCACGTCGCGATAGAAGGTGAACGACTCACCCCATCTTCGGATCATGTCAGCCATACTTTCTGCAAAGAGGCCTAGTATTATGGGGGTTGGTCTCGCTCGCATACCGATCTACGGATTTGGCCCCTCCCTCCTTGGCTTTCAAAGGCGGCGATACATGTGTATCTACCCAAAACGGCCAAAGCGTGTAATCCAAATCGAACACCATCATCTTGGGAAGGGGCAGTCCGTCGCTGAAGGTATCTGGAGCAATACCTTGCTCAACCATAACGCTGGCGTTGGACGGTTCGAGTTGTTTTACCGGCTGTTTAACCATGTTCGCAGCCAGGAGCAGAAAAGCGGACAATATCAGAAACGGGGCTACTATGAGAGACAGAGTGCTGGATACTCTTTGTGTCGATGTTGGGAAGTGATCTCGTCTCATGGAATTTATAGATTTCTATGTAGACAGAGGTTTGCCATGCGATGCAGAAAAGACTCACCAATTTTGATGTACGGTGACGTTTCAGGGTCTGTTTTATTTTTAGCGTTGCTTAGATTACCTTAGGGCTTGAGCCTTACGAGTAATCTAAATCCTAAATCCTAACTCCTCGGTAAGAGGTCAGCGCTGTCACCACTGTGATAATTAAGAGACATTGAAGTTTCTGGCACATAGGTCTAACATTTTGCCCCATGTACATTTTTGAGTATATGCCATACATACGTCCAGAATCGAACGGAAGGTTATTCATCGATTTCCTCCCAGATCAGAGCCCAACTCTTATTCATACACTGAACACTCCACCATCTTCCCAAACCTCTTTCCCTACCATCTATCCATCACCACCCAAGACAGCCCATCTTCATCCATGACCTGAGCCTGCTGTTCCACCCCATCAAGGTCCACCACACTACTACTTCCAGTTCTCTTCCTCTCATGACTGATCTTGTTCATCGTTGTAATCCCTCGCGGTGGAGACAGCGTCAGGCTACGACCATAAGCGCTCAACGCGCCGTGCCCAGGAGGCGGTGTAATAGGTGAGTTATGACTCGCCGGTGTCTCAGGTAAGATGTCCGAGGGGCTGAAACTCAAACTGGGGGATGGTTTACCTGGTGAAATAAATCCAGCGGAGCCTTTTCGATTCAACGGTACCTCGGGAAAGGGATAGGCGTCTTGGATTCTAAGATCCTCCGCGGAGGCAGAAAAACGGGGATTTGCTCTGCTCATTTGATTTGCATATTCTTGTGGTGGATGCGATGTCGAAGACCTAGATTCGTAGTTCGAGGATCGGGAAGCTCGTCCATCCGCACCTGCAGTATTTGGCCTTGCCACGATGTCCTGAAGCTGCATAGCCGTTTTGAATCCTTTGTCAAAGTCGTCCTGGCGGATGCTAGCTCTCTTATCTCGCATGGCCTCTAGTAGCTTTTCTTCTTCCGACGTGACCTTCATGAATTTGCTCCTGCGGATAGTCTGCTCTACTCTTGTTCTTGCTCTTCGTGCATCCATACTACCACAAAGAGAACTCTCCCCGCTGTCGACAGTGCTTTCGGTACTTCCTGCGTTGTCTTCCATCATCTCGCGCCATCGCACTGAAGAAGCTCTTTGACTGAGCCTCGGCTTGTCTGGTATCTTTGGTACGGGCGGTACCTTTTCTGAGCTGTTGAATCTTCTCGAAAGAGGTCTGGTGCGTCCGTTAATTACTGACCGTGGCCTGACGGGCTGAGCCCGTTGCGCGTTACCGACCGAGACTTCATTATTGTAGGTAGCCTTTTCAATGCTTGCTCGAATGCGATGGCGTCGACAAGGTTCGTCGGAACGGCTTTCCGTTTCGTCTTCGGAGGATGAGAGCTCAAGGAAACTGACCAATTTTAGATCCATCCCCGGGGGTGGTCCTTTGCTGCTGATCGTTGGTTGTATACTCGTAGCATCGGGACTTCCGGGCGTGCTTCCGGGAGTGCTCATCTCCTCTGGAGCTTGTGATGACGACCCACTATAAAGACTGCGTATAGGAGGAGAATTGAACCGAAAGCTCATTCTTTGATCTAAGAGTGTAGTTGGTTCACCCTTGTTGCTGTAAGAGCTTTTCCTCCGTAGGATCTGGGGAGACTGGGCTCCTTGTGTCATGATCTCCTGTATACTGAGGGGAGGATTGTATGGCTCGGGTATCCGATATTCCGAAGCCTCAGTATCTCGACGGCCGCCCGATGAAGCTCTTTCGTCCTCCAACCCATCAAACCAGTTCCGCATACCTGCTTTTGGCTTCGCATTTGGCTTCTTCACATTGAGTTTGATGAATGGTATATCATCATCAAAGTCTTCCTGGCGCTGCTGGTCTTCGATGGGAATGGGCGGGGGCATTTGTGTCTTTACCTTTGCCCACCACCTTGGCCGGCTGAACAACATTTTTTGTTGGCTCTGTGGACCCAGAGGCTTCGGTAATGCTGCTTTTATTAGAGCTGGCGGCGGAGAGACTGCATGAAAAGCTCGATTGGCATTTGGATGTAGCGTTGGCGGGTCCATGACCGATGGTCTTCTCCTTGGAATACTATTGATCCTCTTGACTGAGTTTCCAGATAATTTGGAGCTCTCGGAGACTTTAGTGTCCGTAGATATATTGCGCGAATGTAGTCCATCAGGTTCGTTAGATACGACTGCCTCTACCATAGTGAGGCTCAGTGGACTAGAGATTGGCGGGAAGCCTTTCCTCAACGCCATATCTCGCGCCGAAGAGGCAGATGTTTGTTGTGAGATCGACAGCGGTGACTTTTTTGGATCATAGTGAGACCGCAAGGTTGGGGATGAATCGGCGCGGCGGGCTCGCGGGCTAGAGGCGTTGCTGAGAGTACCCCCATTTGTAGACCCAAACATATAGTGCTCCCCAAGCAAGGGTGAGGATCCTTGCCCGCCATTGTTTTGTGTCGGCTGGGACACCAATTCACTTATTGGGGTGTACATGCCTGGAAACGGAAATTCATCCGGAGTCTTGACAGATTCGGCATCGACGTCAGACAGGGTCACGCTCATGAAGCTGGGGTATTTTCGCAACTGCTTCTTCCCTTTTTTCGACTGCTTCTTTTTCAATATAGGACCGTCCGATTCTAAGGATCCCAGCACTTTCTCGGCCTTGGCACCTGGATGAGATAGAGGAGAGTCATCGATGTTGCTTTGGTTTGAGTACTGTGAACCAGGTGTCGCATGAGGAGAGGCACTCGGCCTTCGAGGTAGGGGAAAGGAGATCTTGAAAGAACGAGCCATTGCGGTGGAATCGTCGACGGCCACAGCTCAAGAGTTGATGGGATGGAAGTAGGAGTTTCTGGGTTAAGTGGAGGCGCAAGTCATATGTAAGAAGCTCGTTTCGATCGCACACAACAGCATTCTTTAATTGTGGCTCTGTGAACTTGGCGTCACTGACGCTTGTTCGTCCAATCTTGAGTGGATCAGTATCTCCGCGTTTCCCTGATGGTAAGGAGGTCTCACGTATCCGTGTACGCCAGTGTCTATTGCCAGTATGGTAAACCAGAGACTTGATGCTGGAGAAACAGATGAAGAAGAATGGCAGCTGCGGGCTTAAGGCGGAGCTTTGCACACCTCCCTCTCCACACACACAAGCAACATGGTGTGAGAGCGCATCCCTGCCATCCCTGCCATGCCTGAAATTTCGTGGACGGACATGGGGGCCAAAGGAGGCTAGAAAGTAGAGGGTAAGGTAGCACTCCTTACTTTACTCTCTAGACTCTAGCCCACGGCCCACGAGGCACACACCATATTTGGCTTTGAGCCTTTTGGATACGGAGGCCGAAACGGAGACGGAGACTTGCAGTGGGGAGAAATTGAGAATGGCGTCGTTGAGCCGAGGATCCCGCTCGGAGCTAGGCGCAACTCATGCTATTGGTCGTCTGAGTTGAGTCTAGTCGCAATCCTGATACCGACTTCTCATTCCCCCCTTTACTCAATAAAAGTCCGCGAGAAAGTGAAGCTCGTAGATCCAAAGGCTACCTGTCTTGACCTTGGGATTATGAGCAGTGGTAAGGCTGCGTGGGCAGAGTTGGAGAAGGAGAAGAATAAGAATAAGACGCTTGCCACAAAGGCAGTTCCTGAACTAAAGTAACGCCACGTGGGCTCGCCACACAAGAACCTGAAGCGCGAGAAAAGGGGTATTCACATGCTTGTCGACGAACATCATACACTTTTCGGCACACATCATTCACATGACCGTCCATCGAAATGGGAATTGGAAACAACAGCCACGAGGCGCTCAAGTGGAAACGAACTGAAACCTCGGCACACACCCGATAGTTAATACAAAACTCAACTCTTGGAATCGCCACCACCTGGCCAAAGCCTGCGTCACGAGATAGGGGATCAGCGAGTGCAATGTATAGCTGTGGAATATGTGGGTAAAGCCGCCAGGTTACTCCTGCAGCACATGATTGACAGGTCAGCTAGCGCCTTGATTCTTAACTCAAGAACATCTGAAGCATGGACATCTCGACCGAGTCATGTTCATGTGCGACATACTTCTGCATGCCTCTGGGAAGGAAGAAAGCGTCAGTGATGGCTCGAACGCTACTGTGGATCATAAGAAATGCTCTTAAAATGTGTCATGCTTCCATATGGTGTAAAAGGTAAAGGCGGCCTCAGCGCTTGTACATCAAGGTAATGCAACAGCCAGATATTGGGATAGCCATTGAAGCATCAGCAAACCAAGCGTAAATAAGTCCAGCTCAGCTAGGCAACTGTACACAGAGTCCTCCTACTTCTCGTGACGTCCGGTCTTTATACGTTTGCACCGAGGGTCCTCATCGTCGGTCTCTGTATTCGCAGGTACGGTATTGTCTCGAGGCTCATACTAAAACGGTGAGCGCTTGCGATGCTTCTTGGGATGGCAGCGACAGCCGGAGCCCGGGGAGGTACTTACGAAACCACTGATGCTCGTGAGAGGATCACAGTAGAGTTGTCTCCTGAACATTAACTGCTCAGGGGCGGTCACTGGAGATAATCGCGTCCTTCCAGAAGCCAGGTAACCGCCTTCATCCAATCGCTTGATCAACCCCTGTGTCGTCTTTCCATCGAAACCTGCAGTGTTTTAGCATTCTGCCCAGTCCAAGCTTTAGGCATCACTAACGCAGCTTTTGAGCGAATTCTGCGGGTGACGAGGGGGTTTTTTCGTACAGGATCCATAGTGCTCGCCTGAAAATGGCGATTCTCTTCATGTCTCCCAAAACCGGTCCATGCGTATCTTCAAGAAGACATTGATAGCAATGATGCTCGTGTACGTGCGTCTCTAAAGCAAACCCATAGCAGTGATAATGCTGCAACTTTTGGCAGCAAATGCATTGGAGCTAAATGACTTGATGTTAGCATGGCAAGTAATGGCTGTCGCTGGGTCAAGAAGTACCATAGGCACTTCTTCCAGATCGCAAGAGCATTCGCAGCGAACGACTCGATCAGCAACCCACTGTTGGTTGTCTCTCTTTACGCACATCTCCAGTTCTTTTCCTGCCCGCAGCTTCCAATTCCATGTAAGTCGTGTTGGCGAGTCACGGGCTTCCATAACTTGGGTCGGCAGAAGACTATCACCCCTCAACGTATCGTATATCTGTTAAATGTGACATTAGCCAGGAATAATCCCCAAATAATTTAGGGTTCGTGCTCACCTTAACGCTTTCTCCCGAGTCCTTGCTAGGAGGTCCTGGGCTAATGGTCTGTCTTATTGCCCTCGTCGATCTATCTGAATCTCCAGTACCACCTTGCGAGAATTCCAGCCTAATTGAATCTCCCTGCTCATCTGCTTGTCTGATGCCTCTAGGACGCTTTTCCATCCAGGTGCCCACTGGCGGAGCGGCCTGATCTGTAAAGCGCCTTTCGAGATCGGGCTTGAGGGTCCTTGACACAGTCCTTGTGTACTCCATACTCTGGGAAAGCACTGGCCGATGGTTGGGCTCTTGCGCGGCATCGGTGCGAGCCATGAAACCTATTTCCAGGCGCATGCTAAGCCAATCAGTGAGACTTCAAGGAATCAGATGCTCGAGGAATTGTACCGATGAATGCCCGAGTCTATTGACCCGAAGCTTCGCTGCTTCATATACCATAAACCATTCTCGATGACAGCCATGTTGGTGTCTGTACAGGTATGGAACCCCGGTGGTCGATGGTGCCGAGGAGCATAGGGTGAATGAAAGAGGTGACACATCAAGTATCGTTCCTCTTCACAGGTTTCATTAGTACAGATGATCACGGCACTTTCCCCGAGACAACTTACTGGGAAGTGCGGGGAGCTGCTGCTGATAATTTTTGAATTGGTCGATCACATTGACCATGCCAGATCTAACGCTTCGAATGGTAATCAAGCCGCTGCCACCACCCGGAGCCGTCAACCCCATAAGCCGTCGTTCACCGTCCTTCCCATCACGGTATTGGAAAGAGAATGTGTACAGCTCCAGGATTTCGGAAGGTCTCGATTTGTCCGCACATATGCTGAACTGAACGCCATCCAAAGAGCGTTCGAGTAGACCCTTGGATATCTCATCCTGTGCAAGGAAAATCAGCAAGTTCCCAAGCATCTGAGATTTGATGCTCACGTACCAGCCAAGCTAGCAGTGTGTCAACGCCATCTGTCTGGCCTGGAGCTAAGACTACGAGAGGTTGATCTCGTTGTGCCAGTGCAGTTGCTAAATGTGTCATTTCATTATCGCTGCTGGTTGTGTTTGAGCGAGCGTGGGCCTGCTTGTAAGAGCGACGGACTTCTGTGCGGATCAATGAGGGTGATCGCATCTCGAAACACGATTTGGGGAAGAGATTCCTGTGAATGGAGTCAGCTCACGGGCCGCGACAGCCAATGAGTCACATGATGTACCGTTGGTACGCAATGCTGGCTAGCTTAATGTCGCATGAAGAGGTTAGCGGGAGGTCTTTTGATGCCGGGACTCCGCATGTGTACCAAAACTTGAAGAAGTCCTGTTACCATGGCATAGCTTTGCTTTTCTTTGACGGCCTGATCTTCCACGTGAAGCGAGATGGCTTCTGGTGTGACGAGTGAAGTGCCTTCCTGATCCCCACGTTGAACAGTCTTTTTGTTTTGAACCATATTTAAGGAGCCGAGCAGTTTTAGGGGTTGGTGGTTGGAGATGACGGGTGTTTGGTAGCAGGAAGTGTATATTCAACTCATCGATCAGCAACGGAGGCCAACACCAAAGCACCAGAGTTACCGAGTCCCGTGAGTACGTTTTATTGAACAGTGACTGTATTATCTGGGGAAGCTTTGGAACTGTGAACTCACACTGGCCTTGCCAATTCGTTGTTCCGTTTCTGTGGTATAATGCAGTTGTCATGGGGAGTTTCGAGATGGCAAGAGTCGAGATGGAGGAAATGGAGGACAGCGCCTAAGACTACTAGCGCCTGAAAATAGGGATAACTTCGACCACGCTTATGGACCAATCTTGGACGCCAGGGATCATGATTTTGGACTGTGTTATCGAAGAGAGAGATTGACCTCAAAAATCAAAAAATCCGTCTCGATTATCAGTGTGTGTTGTAGAGTCTGTCCTTGAATGCCAAGCCACGAACGATCTCTATGTAGATTGTCACTAGACCTCGACTAAATCAACTACCTTCACCACCTCCTTCTTTCCCAAATCCTTCTCGTCCACATTTCTCTTCGACTTACGCCTCTTGTTTGACTCTTGCCGCCATCGAGGCCTGTCTTTGCATACGTGGTTCAAGTTGTCGACAGTCTTTTAAGGGACCCATACTTTGACCTGGCTCAACACATATCTTCAAGGGCCCCACACAACCATCAGCCGTTGTGCAATATCACAGAACCAAGCATTCACTTGTCCACGATGTGAGTAGTGTCTCATGACCCCTCCTAGTACTTGCAGCTGTTATCATAGCTTTCCGCGAATGCCGTACACTTTGGACTTTCACGATGTGATTCGCCAATAGACGGGGAGATTGCCTATGTCTTTAGCATATCTTCCGTTGCCGAAGCTTACAAGATGCAATAGGTCGATACTACCTTCGGATTACTCCAAGCAAGGAGATACTCCATCTGCGCGGCTCTCCAAATTGGGCTGCGGACCATATCGTCGTCAAAAACACACATCAGGCTGGACTCCCGCCAACAAGATTCCAGATGTCGAGCCGTTTGATTATCGAAAGGATTCTCGAAAGCCGAAGTACATCGAGAAGGGTGATCCACTGCAAGATGAGGAGATACTCCTGCAAGGTCTGCCAATCGTCGAGCCGGGAGACGAGGCAATCAACACTATCAGAAAGGTACCAAGCGATCAGGCTCTTATGCCGTTGAGATGGGGTAGCAGTCGCAGGGCAACCGGCCGATCCAAAAGTGGACTGCAGGTACGTCTACGTTTCGGAGCAATTTCTTCCAAATCCGTACCCCAATGAGAACCCAGAGGCATATTTCGAGAGTACCATACTCACATGCCTTGTGTTGTCACCCCTTTGCCATCTCGAAGAATAACGACTGACTCCGAACACTGGAAGATCCAAGTACCGAGTAGCAACGCGCCAACATCATTAATTCTTGGGGAAGCTATCACCGGAAAATCCATCATTTACGCATACACCTCGTCTTCTTCCTCATCGAGCGGGAGAACAACGAGCAGCTTCGGTGCTGTAGGAGATCATCTTGCTTCGACTAGATCTGCCGTTTTGCCTAGGACCTTGGCGGCGATGGGAGATCAGAACCCATCTGTCAAAGTAGAGCGGTCCGTTATGAGTGCTAATTGTCGTACTCGGTCTCCTCTTGCGGATCTAGTCCTCAGCTCAACGCCTGATGAAGAGTCGTACCAGTTGCTAGCTCTCGGTCAGGTTGGACCGTGGAAACGACCCTTCACACCACAGCTTGTCAAACCCTCGAGACTTTGTACTCTAATTCAACGGCGAAGATCCCTCTCCGACTTGAAAGAAGCCCCGCAGGCTCGACAATGTTCTGTAGGCGTAGAGCTGGAAGCTCCAAAACCGCAGGTACCAGCAAATATGAAGGTATTGGGACCAGATGATATTAAAGCCGTCAGGAAAGATAGCCTTGTTCAGACGGATGAAGTCAGCTCCATCGAGGCAAAAGAGCCACCAGTATGGTCACGCAAAGGTCTTCCATTCGAAGAGAACCGCCGAGCACGGAGTGGGCTGCGCGTTCATCTGAGGTACCAAAATTATAGTCTTGATCCTGAAACACTCTCTCTTCCCTATGGAGTAGGTCGCAGTTGCTGTTGCATGTGGACATCCATCAGCTGACGGAATGGCAGTCGAAAGTGTTCATCATGAAATCGACCAATATCCATAACCTGCGAGCTTCGGTGGAACACGAAGTCTGGTCATCAACGAAGGGTGCAAATAGAGTGCTCCAAAATGCTTGGGAGAGCAGGAAGCCAGGGGAAAAGATCATTTTCATGTTTTCCATCACCCATAGGTATGGTGTGTTTCCTTTGGTGGAGAGAATTTCGTTGACCATTTAAGCAGTCATAGATATGGTGGAAAGTACTGTGGTCTGGCGGAAATGTCCGGACCATTCGATCCAGAGAGGGAAGTTAATATTTGGACAGAGGGACTTCAAGGCAATGAAGGAGTGATTCCGACGCGATGGATCGTTGCCAAAGATGTTGAATTCTCCGCCTTTGACGACTTGAATTACAATGACAAACGTGTCACCCAATTGAGACATGCAGTGAGTTACCTTTTCCGACCCATCATTCCCCTTTTCAACATATCTTGGGGGCCAGGGACCTTTTCCGCCTCCTGAGACATGTCTCCTGACTCTATAACCATGCGACAAGAGAAGTACTGACTCCGAAATCTTTTAGAACACGTAAGGAGGGTTCTCATCGGTTGGTTGGGCTGTGCTCACGAACGTCTTCTCTAGGGTTCCTGGCGAAGCAGGTCGCAACCTTGTGCAGAGGTACTTCGAAGCAGAGCATTCGGCGACCGCAATCCTCCACCCCAAGACAGAGCTTGCATCTTCTACTCCAGACAGACGAGACAGGCGATCAAACCCCCCGAGCGCTTCCAACTCCAGTAGACGAGTTCCTTGGGGATTGCCGCCACGCCCCACAGCACCAGCTCAGGGCCCTCATCCTGCCTATAGATCCATCTATGGGCAAGCAGCTCCGGCATACCCGCCACATCCGGTGTACACTCCCTTGGACAATAGACTGCCACATTCTCAGATGCCTTATGGTGCCGTCACGAACAACAGGGGTGATTCCACCACTTACCCAATGTACGGACACGGGCCCTTCTCATTTCGTTATTGAGTTGAGTGTATGATGCGAGGAAGATTGTACGGGGAAGTAGGACATGGTTAACTCTCGATATTGAGCTCAAGCATGTACTAGATCCTCGGTGAATGTCGAGCTGAAGGAGGGAATTCCAGGGTTGGTAGTGAAGATGAGCGAAACCATTCTGTAATATGAATCTTTCACGAGGTCAACAGTTCTAGGCTTTGACAACTGCGAGGACAAAACGGCTTGATGTAACAATGTTAGCGAAATTGAAGAATATTTTGCAGTATGACAGTCTGACAGTCTAACAATAGGAAAGTCGAGGGTAATTAATAGAATGCCTAAAGTCTCCTTCAGAATTTTGGCGTTTTCAAGGGTCGTTGCCCCAATTATCAGCCGCGCTCCGTCACCGCCCCTCTCAGCAGCGTTATACTGTACCTCCCAACAGCAGTAACTCCCAGACCTTCTTTTCAGCTTCAAAATTCCTTCTCCCTTTCTCATCCTCCTTATTTTCCTGTTTATGCTAGTCAAAGAGTCAATAACAGCCAAGCCGGAATCTGTGACAGTACTTTAACACTGGTCTGTCCCTCACTGAAACGCCACTGTTCTCGGCTCAAGCCTCTTCACGAGTTACCGTTAATCGGCTGGCGCGAGTACTCCAATTTTCCCGTAATCAGTCCTTATGCGACTTCCCCACCTGGCTTCTGTCCACCGCACCACTCGTGGCACCTTTACTTACACACTTGGGACCTCTCGGAGCGGCTCCGATAATACCGTCATGAGCCGCTGAACATGACAGACAAACCATAGCGTCCCATACAAGATTGTTCGAGTACAACGCGCTCCCGCTCGTGTCATCTTCGTGTCTGATGGTCTCTTCCCCCTTCAAGACGGCTCTATGGTACCTCATCCTACTATGAACCCTCCCTCTCGGGGACTTGAAACTGTCCTTCCCACGCAGTCGAATGCTACTCCACCGACTATGTTGACAGGTCAGGCAATGCAGGAAGAAGCATTACAGCCACTAGAGGGTATCCGGTCCGAGGATGCGCTGGGACAATTCTCCTACGCTCCAGCTACTCAGACTACAGTCGTCACTACGACTACAACGACTACCACCAATTTCCCACCTATCATGATGAAGGCTCCCCAGCATCTATATGACTTGGATCCAAAGCTGTATCCCTTGGCTTCTTCACCAACACCGACATCCATTAAGAAATTGTGCTTCGATGTGGATGGGACACCAACATTATTTCAGGAAGCAGACGACACGCTTGAAACTCTAGAGAAGGTGTGTGAACCTATGAAATATCGTTTTAGCTAGGTGAAAAAAGCTTCTGGCTAACAATCTGTGCTCCTTTATAGCTCAAGCATCAGCAAAAAGCCTTAACAGCGTCTGACGGTGCGCTACGCTCCGTTGCAAAATCCGACCATGCTTTTGAGAGACCCAGACCAGAGGAGTTACGAATGGGAAGCTCAGACGCGTTATCACATCAGCAAGCGTCCAGCACAGCTCCGAGTAGTAGGCGGAAGCGATCGGCGTCACCAGTATCCATCTCAGAAGCCGTTACGCTGGCTAGTGGGCAAGTCCCCCGCAAGAGAAGATTAGTGTCAGGAGGTAATACAAGCTCAAGCTTGGGAAACGCTGACTTTTCAACACGAAAAGCTTCACAGTCAAGATTGCAGATCGTTCAGACATCGACACCAATCACTCCGCATCTTGGTAGGAGCAATACTGTCCAAAACCAAACACCCCCAGTGTGGCTGTCAGAAGCAATGGAGGAACACGAGAGGGAAGATCCGGTGTCAAGCACTTTCGATGCATCTGCAGCAAACGAGGATGATCCTCAGATCTTGAGTCCCAGGTCAGAGACCACAAGAGGAGTAACATCTCGAGAGGACGGTGTTGCCAATCATGAAAATGACATGATCGAAGATTCAGAAGTCCAATCGGCGTGGCGAGATCTGGGCATCGGATCCGCCATGACTCCTCGTATGGAGAATGATGAAGATGAGGTTTTTCCACAATTCCGACAGCCAGATCGTCCAAGGCCAACTATACTCGATACGACTGCTGCACAAGATGTTAGCCTACCTAGTCCAAGTCTGTCTCCAGTCACTGCGGCGGCGAACATGCAGAGTCGCAGAGGGTATTTTGAGCAACCTATTCTGGGACGTACAAATGCCCCTGGAAGTTTTCAATCTCTACTCTCTCAGAGTCAGAACAGCATGAGATCAAGCATTTCCGACGAAGCTTTGCACATTTCCCTGAATGGAGAGACATCAGAACCAGCATCCAAGGAAGTGGCCCCAGCCAACGGCCAGATCTCCACACGATCTCTTCTGAGCCTGCCGTCAATGGTCGATACTTTCGAAGCCATGCCCGAGGAAATGAAAAGTTATCTCATGTATCAATTCTTACGTCGTTGCTCAAAGCCAGTACTTCATTTTGTCGCTGACGTGGTCAACCCGGCACTCAAGTGCGATTTTCTAAGGCTTCTTCCTGTGGAGCTCTGTATCAATGTGATCGGCAACCTTGATGTTAAGACGCTTTGTCGTGCCGCTCAAGTTTCGAAGAGATGGAGGCAGCTCATTGATTCTTCCGAGAAGATATGGAAACGTCTCTTTGATGTCGATAACTACGTTTTGCCAGAAGGCGAGCTCCCAAGGGCAATCCGCGAGGGATGGGGCTGGCAGTCTGAATCTCAGACAGAAGACCATGAAAAGGATCTTAGTGCTTTCTCGACAAACCCCTCGGATACGGATTTGTCGGTCTCGTCACGCATGTACCGAGAACATTCAGGGACGAGTCCATTTGCTGCCTCACAGAGCGGTTCTGCGACTCCACAGACCAAGAAATCAAAGCGAAAAGCAAAGTCAAAGTCGAAGCCATCAAGTCGCAAGTACCAAAAGAGGATTCATTCGGCCTCGGTCGATTCAATAGACCTCGAAGAAGAAGCTTTGCTGGACATGGCATCGGCCGACGGTCCATATGCAGCTGCCAATGCGGCCGCTGCAGCAGTGCCATATCCTCGCATTGGGCTACCGAGTCTAAAGAATTTGCATCTGTTCAAGTCGATCTTCATGAGACATCACATCATTCGTAAGACCTGGATGCAAGACGAAGTCACACCTCGCCACATAGCCTTCAGAGCACATCAACGGCATGTGGTAACATGCTTGCAGTTTGACGCAGATAAGATTCTCACCGGCAGTGATGATTCTAACATCAACGTCTATGATACGAAGACCGGCGCCCTCCGAGCCACACTCGAAGGACACGAAGGAGGCGTCTGGGCATTGCAATACGAAGGTAACGTCCTGGTCTCCGGTTCCACCGACCGGACTGTCCGAGTGTGGGATATCGAGAAAGGTAAATGCACGCAAGTATTTCAGGGGCACACATCTACTGTACGATGCTTGCAAATCCTGATGCCCACGCCCGTCGAAGGCAAGAGTCGAAATCAAATGATGCCGAAACAGCCACTCATCATTACCGGTTCTCGAGATTCAAACCTTCGAGTATGGAAATTGCCTAAACCTGGAGATGCGCCACTCTTCCAAACAGGACCAGCACCAGACGAAAACGCCGATTGTAAATACTTTGTCCGTACTCTATCTGGTCACCATCATTCGGTTCGTGCAATTGCTGCTTACGCCGATACGCTCGTCAGTGGAAGCTATGATTGCAGTGTACGAGTATGGAAAATCTCAACGGGGGAAACCCTCCACCGTCTACAAGGGCATACTCAGAAGGTATATAGCGTTGTCCTAGATAACAAAAGAAAGCGTTGCATCAGTGGCTCGATGGACAACCTCGTCAAGGTCTGGTCGCTCGAAACTGGGACCGTGTTGTTCAACCTCGAAGGCCATTCATCTCTGGTGGGTCTTCTGGATTTGCAGCAGGATCGTCTTGTGTCTGCCGCAGCTGACTCGACTCTGCGAATATGGGACCCAGAAAACGGGCATTGTAGAAGCACATTGAGTGCACATACTGGCGCGATCACTTGCTTTCAACACGACGGCCAGAAAGTCATATCTGGGTCAGATCGAACTCTGAAGATGTGGGACGTCGCAACTGGCGACTTCGTCAAAGATTTGTTGACCGATCTAAGCGGAGTATGGCAAGTTAAGTTCAATGAGCGAAGATGCGTTGCTGCCGTCCAGCGCAACAATTTAACCTACATCGAGGTAAGATTTCCGATGGGTATGCGTTCAATCAACTGCTAAGAACTTCATCTAGGTACTGGACTTTGGCGCCTCTAGGGACGGTGTTCCGGGACACAAGCGAGGCCGCCGTATCGTTGTCAATATGGATGGGCAAGAAGTTTCTGACCCTCACGATACCTCCGCCGACGCCGATATCATCGTGGAAGACTAATCTACATCATTCTGCGTTACCCGTCATCGTCTTCCAAGACGACTGCATAACTGACGAGCTCCAACTGTTATACACATACAGGGATAGTCGCTTCGCGGAAAGATTGTCTTTATTCTTTTAAACAGCATAGCCTATGTCCCAAGCAAGATACCCGAAAAGCTTTACGCGATATCGATACATTACGAATAGCGGTTCCCTTAGAAGAGCATAGCGATAGCAAGTACAGCAAGCATAGCATAGCCAAATATTATTCGAGTACTCGTTTTCATTCCCTGTCCACCATTTTCAGGCATGTTCGCCTCAATGGACGGAGGTCGACTTACGATCACCTACTCACATACAATGATATAGAGAGGACCAATATTACCCAGGAGACTAGTCGTAGTATTACGTTGATAAGTAAATGCCCTGTGTTACTACCTTTGCTATTGTCTTGTAATCTGCGACCTCGTTGATAGTCGATTAACAGCTATTTGCAGCGGTCACCAATCATCGGTAGGCAAGTTGGATGGCCGTTCACGATCTGTGATGCGAGAAACCTGCTGTCTTCTGGGATATTCACACCAACTTCTATTTTCAATATTACTCCTCAAGTCAGCACTTCGCTACTGCTGGGCAATTATACATATACACGCAACACATGGAGTAAGCAGATTTAAGCACCAGTACTTTCAAAATCTAGGTCCCCTTGACAATCTCACAAGTCACCATCGGTCCACTTTCTTTTTCTTCAGCAGCATCTCCATCCTCATAGCTAGCTTACGCTGGCTATGGTCAGCCTCTATCGATCCTTAGCGAGAGAGCTGTCCAATTCCGAACTTTCATCTTGTTGGCTTGAGCTTTACGAAGAGTATCGGGAAGAGCTTATACCAGATTCCTGCTAATGACTTTCAATCGATCAGTCCTTTTCGTTCAGCATCCATTCTTCCCACATAACACTTCCTGCTACTCCCAGCTCATACCATTTTCACCTCCACAATCATGAGGCACCCTGAAGCAATGTTTACCCACCAGGAATTGCCCTCACCCCTCTCTTCGTTGGAGCATGGCGGATCTCTCATCCATACCGTCAATATCGCTCCACTTTCTCTCCTTCTCGGTAGTCCAACCCTTTTGCTCTCACCTCTCTTTCTTTCCCCACCCAAGATCATTGAGCTTGGTTTCTAACCCATATACAGCATCGATGGATCCAGCACCTACAGCCAATCCACACGCCGAACTCGTCACCGAATGCTTCCAGGAATGTCCTGCACTCGAGACCCCAACTCGGAACCGGTCACCTACGACGCCTCCAGATGTGAAGCTGCTGAAAGGGTCAGGGTGGGGTGGCGTTATAGAGCCTGCAGTCGATAAGGAGGAGGATCATTCCCAAGAGGGTAAAGTCGCTGACGTCTTGCTTGACGAAGGCTGTGAAGAGGGCAATGTGCCACTGGGCTCTCAGGGTTGGTTGCCAGGCTTGGCCGGTCATGGTGGGGATCGCATTAGTCAAGGACCGCAGACATCTGCTGTTGAGGACTTGAGCAGGTTGAAAAAGGTCCGAGGCTGCACTCTACCGAGCTTGAAGGAGCTGGGTCTTGATATGTATGTCAAGAAGCAGTATTAGAATGGATCTTGGAGTGCGGTTATTTGAAGCACGTGCTATTAAATAAGGAAGGTCATGAATGGTGCAAAGAAATTGAAATTATCGTACTGTAGCAGAGAGATACCTGAAAGGAATGCGTATGCACGCCTGGGTAAATAATTTGAGGAATGAAGAAGTGGTATAACAGATAAAGGGCAACCTATGGAAGCTCTTGCAAGACTCTATGGAAAAAGGCAATTCGGTTGCCCAGAATCTGGGACTCAGACCCATATACTTGGCTGACAATTCGTTCTTTACCATTCAACTGCTGCGCGATTTGGGAATCAGACCTGCAAAGTTTGCTGGTGTGAGGATTGTCAGAGTCCGCTTGAGGGATAGTTTGGGATCAGATTGATTACAGTCGCTGACTTGAGGATGAAGAAGATTCAATAGCTGAGGAAGTGAGGAATCACATCCAGAATACCCGGTGATGTGAGGATAATCAGGTCTTGATCGTCAGGTCCATATCGGTAATTTTTCCAACGGTAACACCATCATCTGCTACAGAAATTCCGATCGACATCGGGATTCGATTGCTCGAAGCTTTAGAGCATTAGACCCGGTACATTCGGTGATCTGATATGATCAGCGTTCGAGACTAGAGTCCGGATGGACAGTGTTCCCAATGGAAACACCATCATTTGGTGTATCGGTCGAGATCTCTGACAACGAAAGCTTCCTCTTCTCTTCACCAAGGCCTGTGGCTGCAAGCACTGCCCATCTGACATTGTCGATACCGAGCTTCTTCCCCTCGAGTGTCACTTCAGCACTGCACGCCAAGATCTCACCGAGAGCTTCCGGGCCGTCTCCGTTCCCGGGTTGTATCTTGACCTTCAATTCTTCACATATGCGATCCAACTCTGGGGAGTTCTGTTCCATGCGGGCTAAAGATGGGCGAGACTTTTGAAACAATATACGATCAACTTTGGACAATATGATCTGATGAGATATTGCGTTCTGACGGAACAACGAAAGAATCTCTTCGTCTGAGCGTTTGAGGCCGTGTAATGTATCAACCAGCAAAAAGGCTCGCCGTAATCTACACATTGTCAGCTAGTTGTAATCATTTCCCACGCTCTGTAGCTCTTGCGTACTGCTTCCTCCCGACAAGATATTTCATGATCTCCTGTCCCCACTCTTCTCGACTGCCCTTTCCATAGCCTGGCATGTCTAATACTGCCAGTTTGCCTGGACTACCACGCCCATCTTCACCTCCAACTCCGAAGAAGTTCATAGATCTCGTTCTTCCTGGCTTGCTGCTCGTATGACATATCTTCTGCCCCATCAATGCGTTGAGGAGGCTGGATTTGCCTACATTGGACCTCCCAAGGAAAGCAACTTCAGGTATTGCACTGTTGTTTACTGTCCGGAATTTCGTCGCAGAGAAGAGTAGCTTTGGGGGCGCTGCGCCGAAGAATTTCTCAGCCCGCCGGAGCTGGGTAGGTGTCGGCGGAGCTGTGTCCCAGTAATATGCAAGCTCGCGATTTGGGCATTTGGCGGAGCCATTATGAGAAGGAGCTGTGGATGCACAACGTGTATTCAGCTCCTTGAAGAGCCAAGATACACGTTTGCCGCAAGATCGAGTCCTCCAACAGATTCTCAATGACATAGAATCAAGTGCACTGGGAAGAGGGATTGTGCTGCAATTTTGCAGCTAGAGATCGAGAAGTCCGTAGGGCTGAGCTAGCGGGCTCTCGGACATGCACTCCGCAGAATTTCTAGAGCTTTCCACCTCCTTATTTGAAGAGCTTTCTCTCTGTGACGGCAGTTCTCCTCATTGCTACATTGGTGAGTGATTGAAAGCAGCCAACAGTATTACTGGCAAGGAAAAGATTTCTGACCTTATTGACCTTAGTAAGTAAGCCGTACATTCTTCGCTCCCTCTACGTTACGTCCAATACACGATGATACATTCAGCTGGCACCAGTCATAGAAGATTTGTACTCTTTTTCTGCTGATTAGCTTTGTCGGAGCTTAGATCTCCATTTATCTGATAGACCACCGTTTTGTCCTTTTCAGCTTCAACAACTGGTTGGGATCTGTAGCTGATCGCATTCCCCAGGTTTCTATACTTACTCCAGCTGAGCTTTGCCCAGCATGGTCCTCCACAATCCGAACAACTGGCATTGGGTGAATAAAGACGTCAGAGAGTGGGCTCGACAGTATCTAGAACAATCTCTTGTTGGGACATCCTCTGAACAGGGGGATGTCTCCGCCACTGTTTCAAAGATATTGAGCATGGATGGAGATGTGGACGTCAGCCAGCGAAAGGGCAAAGTGATCACACTGTTCGACGTGAAGCTACAGATGGAGTACCAAGGTACTGGTGTTCTCAAGAGCAATTGGGGCATATGTTGACTTGTTGCAGGCTCGGCCAAGGATGAAGAGGATGTCAGCGGGACTATCACAGTCCCAGAGGTAGCACATGATACGGAGGAAGATGAGTACGTCGTATGTTCCCTATCTTTCCCGTGAGCTAGTCTCTTCTTCGAAGCTGACCCAGTGTGTCTCTACAGTTCGACATAGACATCTACTCAGACTCTTCTTCCAAACAGCCTGTGAAGGATTTGGTTCGGTCCAGAGTAGTTCCTCAACTTCGACAAAAGTTGTCTCAACTTGGTTCCGCCCTCATCGCTGAACATGGCAAAGATCTTCAGCATGCGACTGGCGCATCACCCTCTCTGCAGCCCACGACCATCACTACTTCCTCCACTGCCTCCCAAGCGAACGCCAAGCCTGCCACCGCCAAATCTGCTCCCAAAACAACCACAACCAACACACTTGGCCATCCCTCTGTGAATACTACGTCACTAACGTCGAACGAAGAATTCCGTACCACTGCTTTAGAACTCTACAAAACATTCACCGACGCTACCCGCATCGCCGCTTTCACGCGTGCTCCTCCGAAGCTGTTCGAAGGCGCTCACAAGGGTGGCAAGTTCGAACTCTTCGGGGGTAACGTTTCTGGTGAATATCTAACTCTTGAAGAGCCTACGAAGATCGTTCAGAAATGGCGATTAGGGCAGTGGGTGGAAGGACATTACTCGACGTTGACAATAGGGTTTGATCAGAATGATTCAGATGCCGTGACTGTCATGAGGGTTCAATGGGATGGGGTGCCTGTGGGACAGGAAGAGGTTACAAGAAGAAATTGGGGCGAGTACTACGTGAGGAGTATCAAGACTACTTTCGGGTAAGTGGAGTCACAAATGTCCAAAGTCTCTCTGGACAAGACAGAAACTGATCTTCATGTACACAGCTTTGGCACTGTTCTGTAAGGAGTGATGAGTGAACATGGTTCAAGATGGCCGCGCAACTGAAACGCACAGTGTAACCGAGCGACTTGAAAAGCGGAAGACACCTGCATCATATGATAGAACGACTAGACGATAGATAGCAAATAAATCACCCACAACTTCATGTCCTTGGCTTAGTGCGTTCATTGTCTGGCTTCCTGGCTTCCTGGCTTCCTGGGATTAACTTCTCTCTCTGCCGGTTTCCCAAGGGAGACAGTCTCCGAATGCTACGACTCGTCGCTGATTTTGCTCATCGTTCAAGAGACAGACACCTAGCGTGAGCTTGTCATCTGACCGTCGGAGTCCACTGATAGCGTGTCTAAAGTCATGAACAGCGGTGTCGCTTGATGTGGCTTCTTGACGGCCTGTACCCTGTTTACCATCATGATGGCTATTAGCGCTCAAAACGCTTTCGAACACCACCTCAGGATACAAGCAAGCTGAATAGAAAATTCTTTGACGGTACAGCTCATATATAGCAAGACAAATCCCGCCTTTAGCGTCCTGGGGTATTTGATGGCTGATGTCCCAGGCGCTCTTTCAGCCTTTCAGCTCTCCGCCATCGGTGGCGTTCTTTACAACGTCGCTCTAAGAGGAAGATAGATCCGTTGAGATGCAAAAGGAAAGCTCTGCATAGCAACAGAATGGTCCGCGGCATTACCTCGATTACGTGGGCCATACTCCATAAAGGGGTAAGAGCATTGAGAGACCAGGCTATTCCGAGTGATGATTCTCGCTTACTAACAGCGGCTAAAGGCCATGATTGGCTAGACGCGAGCACGCAGCTTTAATGCCGCCTCACAATATTCTTATTTCTTGTCCGTCCCTAAGTAATACGAAGAATCACGGTCAGCTTGAAACGGCCAGCGACTGGCAACATGAAATAGGAACAGCGCCTAATTAGAACGGCATCATAATTACGGGGGTTTGAAATAAACACGCAATTATTTTTATCGAGTACGGGATGTTGGAGAGGCAGAAAACCGAATCTGAGACCCTACGCCGTAAATAGGACCGCCTTGGCCGGTGTTCTTTCTTCATGGGCAGGGCATGGTGCAGATTGCAGATCAGCGCATCTGAGCCAGCCGAGCCGCCTTTGACGTTTGGGGCTTGTGGGGGAAACACAATTTTGGACTCACTCAGTGATGATGATGCAGTCAGCTTAGCACTCTGTCTCAAATTTGCAGAAATTAGAGTCATCGGTTGGCGCGCATCATACTGCTCTTACTTTCAATTCCGTCTACAGAGCGGTCAGGGGATGATAAGATGGATGAGGATGTTGAGAATCTTTACAGCGGATACTAGTACTACTTTAACCATCGGGCGCCGAGGACTAATCCTGAAGGAAGATGTTCGTGTCGTTCGGACATCGTGTATACAATTGGGGCTCAATAATACTTTATGCGAGGAAGTCGGCAAGTAGCTCCGTATGTTTTGCGTGCGTAAACAAAGGAGCCGTGTCGGTGGGGAGCAGTTCGTCTCGGGGAAGTGGGAGATGGAAGAAGAGGCAAAAAGATCTCGCCTCGAGTTTGCTCCGTAAGGCAAGTCCTTAAATATCTGCCGAGGTTTGCATGGAATGAGCGGGGATAAGCCAGCGCGAATTGGTAGAGCGCCACGATGGAGGGGCTCTTCTCCGCAGCAAACCAGCCACAATACGGTGTCAGCCTCAATCTTGGCGGCGAAGTCCAATCATACTGGTGATACGCTACGCTTCTTCTCCATCCTCCATAATCGAAATCCAGACCCGACTCCCGGATGAAGCACCTACCATCTCTGGCCAAGTATTACCGGACAATTAGCAGAAGATGGGCACTGGGATCTCATGAGTTCGGACGCCATGAAATTCAAAGCTATTTGAAGCCTGAACCGCATGGCCATTCTCTCCGGCTACTGGCGGAAGCCAAATAGTGGAGGGGCTCATTTCTTGAAATTTGATCACAAGGCCGTCGAATGAAATGCTCAACCACTGGGTCTCCTCAGCTGCCTGCTCCAGATCATCGCCGACGATTCAGCCGACAGCCACTACCATAATCGACAATGTGTAATAGGTATCTTCTTCCTTCGTGGGCCATTCACCCCTTTGCGCACACGGCAAGACCATGGGACACGAGGTCCAGAGTATAAGGTCAAGATGGATCCTTTCCTTCATTCCACTTGATAGCTTCCTTCGATAGACATCGAAAGATCTTCATATCTGGCCATTCAATTATCTACTGGTTCGTGTTAACGCTTCGGAGGTCTTGCTTGCTGGAACGCGTCTCAACCTCCTTACACGTTGACGAGTGCGATCAGAAATTCATCATCTCTGTCGAGCCAGTCAAGCCTCATCTTTACACTCCCGCCGCAGACCCGCATTCGGTCTGCTTCAAGAGTTGACCGCCTCACCAACTCTGCATTTTGGCTCATCATCGATTTGACGTTTCAAAAGGTGCAGAAGATTGGGTGAAACCAAAGGCAGTGGGTGGAAAGAGTCATAGCGACGCACAAAGCAGCGGCCCAACCCCTTCCCTTCTTACTATTTTAAAGGTATGTGGAAAATGCATGTCTGATTGGCTGTCTCCAAGGCCGCGCGCTAAGTGAAGCAGAAGCGAAGACAAGGGAGTGCGGGTATCCAATCAACCCCTTCGTTTCAAGTGCTGCTTGCAGAAGGGCACTTCTCCACCACCAAGCAAAACAAGGTCGTCGAAATTCCTCCAACCTAGCCACCCGCCGGGAAGGGGGGAAGACCCCAGGTCCATTGATTCCATTCTTATTATACTCATTCATTTCTCAACCACTTGAATCTTCACTTCACTTTAACCTCATACAAGAGCGGGGCACCAAGCATAGGGGCCCGTCTTTGCTTCATCTTCACGCCAAGGGCGATCCTCATCACTGCAAATTGATAAAGAAGCTTCCCCTCCGCTGCTCTGCCTTCTCTTCCCAACATCAACAACTCGATCCTCAGTCAATTGGATCTACTGACCGCTTCATCTTTTCTTCTGCCCTCTTCTCACCACTTCGCCCCATCACCCTCAACTGGTTTGAGGTTCGCATTTCATCGTGGACAGACTTTGGGCACAAACTTTATACTTATATTCCTCGACAGCCCATCAGCTAGCCTTTCCACGCAGCTCGGCCAACTCGTTCTGCATTCAGCCTGTCTTGTTTGCCAGATTTGCTCAGTTCGCGTTACCAACTCGCACTAAGACTTTTGGCCCCTGAACATCACCAGGCACCGCCCGAGGCTCCGATCTAATACGGCAAAACCAACCTAATCCCAACTCTCTTACACTGTCCGTCTCCAAGGCGGAGAGCCCCCACTGAAGCCCCTCCAACCGCTTCACTCCTCCAATTTGCTTCACGGCATTCAAACTACAACAATCTTTTACGCTTTACGAGCTCGACGCTCTAAGCACACACGACACGACTACCTCGAATTTAGGAGACTGTCTTTCCGCAGGCCGGGAAACGGTAGACATAATCCTCCACCACTCCTTCAGCACTCTGATAGTCCGCTACTTCGAGAAGAGCCACCTTCTCCTTCGATCATTCGGCTCATAGCCCCAGCGATCCACGACCTTCACCACGACCTGACCAAATATTTATTGCCCCATTCGGCATTTCCGTGGCCCCCATAAACCATAATCCTTCATCCACCTTCGATAATCTGCCCTAAACCAACTTGGGATCCAGCCGACTCCAGATCAGCCTATCCACAATATCTGTCAAGGGTCCTTCTGGCATACTCGCCAACACAACCAATCCCCCTACGACGTCACACCTTATATTGGATTTGTCCTAGAGACATACTTATCTGCAGCTGCCGCTCTCGTAATCAAAGCTTTAGATCTTCATCATTACCACCATGGCGGCTTTCACATCCTCGCAGAACCGAATGGCCCTGGATCATTTTGTTATGATGCCAGTAACATCTGAGATGGTTTCGTATCTGGCACAGAAGGCGACCTCTGTCATCCGTTGCGAGAATCGGCGTGCTCAGACAGAGAAGACACTTCCTCCTACTCCACCTGCAACACCGCCTCACGATGCAGAGCCATTATCACCCTTACAACCATCCCTTCCGTCCTTGGAGGCATTCATTCAGTCTCTGGTGGACAGATCCCGCGTTCAGGTCCCCACCCTCATGTGCTCCCTAGTCTACCTCTCAAGGTTACAACAACGGTTACCTCCAGTCGCCAAAGGAATGCGTTGCACCGTCCACCGCATTTTCCTCGCCTCTCTCATCCTCGCGGCCAAGAACTTGAACGACAGCTCCCCCAAGAATAAACACTGGGCACGGTATTCGTCGGTGAAAGGCTTCGAGGGCTTCGGCTTCTCCATCACAGAAGTTAACCTCATGGAAAAGCAGCTCCTCTTCCTCCTTGACTGGGATTTGCGAATCACAAATGAGGATCTCTTCACCCACTTTGAGCCCTTCCTCGCTCCCATCCGCCTTCAACAGGAACAAGCCGAGCTCAAGCGCAGAAAACATGCCCGCGAGCACGAGCTGCTCCAGCAACAACGAGCATATTACAGCAAACCCCAGTCAGGCCGTGCCTACGCTTCCACAACAGCTCTTCCTACACCTCCACCATCAGTGGGCGTGTATGCTTCGCCGACCGCTTACAGCTCCTCATCCTACATTTCCGACCTCGAGCGCTTCTCTTCAACATCCACTACCTCCATCTCTCAATCGTCTAATCTCCCAGCGCGCACACCGCGCCGCCCGATCCGTCAAGCCCGCTCCATCTCTCCTCCTGCAGCGGACAATGTCCCAGCTCTTAGTCGTCCTGGCACATCTACGGACAACTACAGCGTCTCCTCCCGTTCTGCTTCCTCTTCTCCACCTTCAACAACACATGGAACGCCTGCTTCCACCATATCTTCATACGTGGATGACACTTACGTGCCAATCATTGGCAAGGATGATGGCTATGGTGGGGAGTACAAGCTCAGGCCAATGCTGGGGAATCATCAGCTGAGCAGCTACGGCGTAGAGGAGAAGCCTGCCAAGAAGATGCGAACGGGGATGATGGGCGGAAGCATCATCTCACGCTTCTTGAACTCGACTCAGCCATACCGAGTCCGGGTGTGAGAAGCAACACGGTCTGGACCGTTGCATAGTCCCAACCTCATCACACATCTACATTACTATCATGAGCTCTTCACCCTCATCTATACTGCTTAAATCGAGCGTTTTAGCAAGCGGCATTGTGACGGCGTTCCATCTATACGAATCTGTTTTGAGCATCTTATGTGCGTGCATGGATAATGGAAGTTTGGAATGACACCATCAGGCGGTGGCTTTGGATCGAATGATGAAATGCCTGGAAGAGGCATGTGATTGATCTAGCTAGATGCTTAGCTCAATCAGTGATGATTCAACTGTCCCACCTTGACGTGTCCCATGCGCAGGTGATATTGTCAGAAGCGTAGGTTGATGTCTAGATCTTGAGTCGTAGGGGATGACATCTTTTGGCTCGAGGCCATCATCCTTCACCTGTATGGTTTTCTTCCGGAGAAGAGAGAAGCTTCGGCGTCTGTTACGGAGAATGTACTGGTAGCATCAATCTTGTTGACAAGCCAAGAGCAAATTCGCCGAATCATGTCTAGATAGAATCATTGATGAATAGTTTGAGAGAAGTGGAAGATTTCATTGAACGTCCTCGATCTTTCCTATCCGGAAGCTGATGTGTTGCTACATTCCTCAGCCCGCTGTGCTGATCTTAATCCCTTAAAGCCCGTACCATCATCCATCCGCAGACTCGCGTAGTTTTGTAGCAAATCTGGCCCACCCGTTCAAGCACTTGTCGCTGGTCCGCGTCGCCGAATTCGTCAATCTGCGTCGAGTAACCCATTCCTTTCACTCGCTGGCAGGCGTTTCTCATCTGCTTGAAGATGAAAGTAAGTATGACGTCACAGCAAAGAGGCTTCGGAAATGTCCGCAACAGTGACAGTGCAGGAATTATGTCAGATCTGATGCCCGGTCATGGGCAATCTCATCAATGCTAGAGTGTAGCTATGCCGACCGTCGTGAGATTGTAGAAATTTGATCATCATTTGAAGGGGGCTATGGATTGCAAGTAGGGAAACATACCGGACGTTAGAGATGTTCACAGCTCGACAGGCCAAAGAAGTGGATAACAAAACCTTCACCGAGTATGTCAGTACCTGTACTGGCTCATGGTGTTATAGCCGATTAAAGATCGCGAGAAGCGGATCAGTACGAACAGTCTCTTCTTTGATAGCGGTCAAGCTAACTTGGACATATGCTTGTCTTTTGATTGTTTGGAATCATCATTTAAGAAGGTTGAACGCATCGAGAATGGAGGACGTACCGCTTTCAAGGGTAGGGATGCTTGATCGGGCCTCGATCGCACCAATGCGACAATAATTTGTGACCTGTGAGCTTGGAGTGTTGTTAGCACACGCACAAAAGAACAGGTCTTAAAGAAGGAACAGTATGGCTTCGTCAGATATGCATGAATGGTATATATAATAAGTGTGTCTACATCGGAAACCCGAATCAGACTCGTCATCTAGGTGATCATCACAGAAGCATCTAGGTACTCGAACAGGGGCGGCATACCTTACTCAGTCTCCCCAAAGGTGAGGCTGTCGTTACTGATTCGCCCACCGTTTTGTGTAGCGGAGGTGTGAGTTGCCGTCTCTGTATGTACATACTAGGGGGGTCTGGAAGCAGAGACGAGATCTTTGGGTTGAGGGTCCCTCGACGTGAAAAATTCAAAAGAAGACTGTAATCTAGGATCAGCTGCTGCGTTGAAAAAATTCCGAGACAGTAACAGGGAACAGGTGTGTGGTATTCAGTGGGCGAGGTTTTCTAGGCCTGCCACAGAAAGGCATATCTTCTTATTGCTTTTATCGGAGCCCAGTGCCATTCATCATAAGATCCGTGCTGGAAAAGAGGGCGGATATTTGGCCCAAGGTCGCTTACTGCTGATTTCCCTCTTCATGATTGCCAAACGTCTTTAGGTTTTCAAGGGCAGGTTCCCATGTTCAATGAGGTGCCAATAGATGTGCTACCACCAGGAGACAACCGACTCAGCTCCTGGCCTGTGACGCTCGTCCAGTCAGTCAAATGTTCCTAGCCCATGTTATAGATGGCATGATGTATAATTGTAGAAGAGCTCAGTCTAAGCCATTTATTGTCGTCAAAGACCTCTAGGGTCTCAGTCGGTAATTTCCAGCGTACATAGTACGAATGATCATCGTCGCTCAGTTGTAGAAAGGTAGGCAGGTGTGCTAGGCGGGGGAGACGAGATTTGAGGATGCGTACCGTACGTATGAGGCTTCCAAACTTGACCGTGACCTGCATTGCCGTCAATTTGAGGATTGGCGTCAAAATTTCAATGATATGAAGCGAAAGACAATGACACGGATCAGACTGACGTGTGCAATAAAAGTTTCATGCCCCGGAAGGGTCAAAGACTCTAGTTTTGCGGTTTGAACAAATCATCAGGTAAGGAAGGGGCTTCGGAAGGGAAGATATAGGACCAGAACACTTACAATGACAACGACATATAGAATTATCTATTCAGCATATGCTCGGGGGTGGCTTTGTGATGTCGTGAAATGATGCTCGGGCTGTGAAGTTGCTGAAATTTTGACTTGTAGAAAAGAGAGTGCGACTAAGTTGCAGCCTTGCCAAGAAGCTATCACGTGATTCATCTTGGATTTGAACTTGAAACGAGTAGTTGTTGTCAGACTCTCAGACTATCAGGAACCACATAGATTCAATAGATCCAGGCTTCCCATTCATTGCACCTGCGGACGAGCCCGCTACTTTCCTGCCGAGCACACTCTTGTCTCTACATACTCTACTGGAAGATGATCGGATGGAAGCGGGTACTTGCGGTCTTTGTGGAGACATGGCTGAGATGGATGGGAGAGGGGCTCAGTGGTGGGGCAGAGGAAGTTGAGGGAAAGCCATGACTTGTAATTGATCCGAAAATATCGAAAATATGGAAAATATGACATCCGCCCAAATGTACCGCTTGTATCCTATCCATGCATTCGGCTTTGCTTGGAAATTGACGTTGTGAACACCGTCTCACCTCCCTCCCAGCCATATCTGCCCTAATAAGTACAGAAAATCATCCTCAATATCCAACTTCCAGGCATGTCTCTGAAAAACAGCGAAGCGGCTCCTGTAGCCCAAGAGAAGATCAACACTGATATTGTCACGCTTACTCGCTTTCTGACCGAAGAGCAATCGAAGCATAAGGAGGCCACTGGGGACTTCACGTACGTTTTCAACCCCCTCTCCATCAGCATCCGCTCTCCTACCATGCTAATCCCCGTCTACAAGCCTGCTATGCCATGCTCTACAATTCTCCTTCAAATCCATTGCCTACTATATCCGTCGAGCCAGTCTCATAAACCTCAGTGGTCTTGCCGGTTCATCCAACAGCACAGGTGACGATCAAAAGAAACTCGATGTTATTGGCAATGATATCTTTGTGGCCGCCATGCGGACCTCGGGCAAATGTCGACTCCTGGTTTCCGAAGAGGAAGAGAGGTGTCTTGTCTTCGATGAAAACCCAAAGGCGCGGTACGCCGTCGTCTGCGATCCTATAGACGGCTCAAGCAATTTGGATGCAGGTGTCAGCGTGGGAACGATCTTTGGAATATTCAGGCTGGCAGAAGGGAGTCAAGGAAAACAAGAAGAGCTTCTTCTTCCCGGATCGGAATTGGTAGCCAGCGGATTCACTATGTATGGTGCGAGTGCTCAACTGGTCATTACCATGAAGGGAGGCAGCGTCAATGGCTTTACCATGGACAATGCTTTGGGTGAATTCATACTGACCCACCATGACATGAAAATGCCCAAGTCTCGTGCGATATACAGCGTCAATGAGGGGAACAGCCTATATTGGGAAGAAGAGGTCAAAGAGTACTTCAACAGCCTGAAGTACCCCATTGAAAAATCTGGAAAGCCATACAGCGCTCGATACATCGGCAGTATGGTGGCAGACGCCTACCGGACGTTATTGTACGGGGGAATATTCGCGTATCCAGCGGACAAGAAGAGCCCAAAGGGAAAGCTGAGGATTTTGTATGAATGCGCACCTATGGCTATGGTCTTTGAGAACGGTACTTCCTGAACGCCATTCCTATTGATGATTTCCTCATGTACTGACGCGATCAAAACAGCTGGAGGTCAAGCAGTCAATAGCCGTATGGAACGTATGCTTACTGTTGTTCCCGAGCATATCCATGACCGATCTGGTATCTTCATGGGCAGCTACGACGAAGTACAAAAAGTGATCGACGTGCATAAGAAGCATAGTCATTGAGCGAGATAGATCAGTGACTTTGAAACACGCGAACCGTTGCACGTGAACACTTCAGTCTCTTCGCGACTTAATGGGGTTCGAGTCAGGAGCCTTCTCCGGCGTTGCCTCAGTGTTTAGTGTTGGAGGGGCCCTGCATGAACCTGTCAACCGTCTGACTCACCTTGCTGTGTGATTATACTTGGCCGTGGTCATGTGTAAGCAAAAGGCAAAGAGTGATCAAAGGTCTGCTTCCTATATAAGAACTTGGCTTGACAATTATTTGCAACCAGATAGAACGCCTCGAGCGGAATACCAATCCTAGCAATAGACGCAAATCGTTGTCAATCCTTTATTCGAGGAGGACAATTCATTAGTATCATCTTCAATGGCAATTACCGTTCAGTCTCGCTCGCGTGTCTTTCCAGACTCTCATGTCCCTTCTTCCCAGCCCAAAGTCGAACCCTTATCCATCATCGATGCAATTGTATTGCATTTCGCGAAAAGCGCCTGCGTTTGGTTCTACGATGTATCACAGGACACCGATCGACTGATGTCCAGTCTACGCAAGACTCTCAATGCTTATCCTCAATGGGCGGGCCAGCTGCGCTTTGCTGAATACGACCCCGATGCTGGACACATCTATCGCTTAGGGCGAATGGAGATTTCTCATGGATCAGACTCTGATCCAGGCGTCGAATGCATCCTCGCCGAAGCTGACTCTCCTATGGCGTCCATGGTTCCTGCCGATAAGACCGAGAAACACTGGGATCCTACGCATGTCAATTACGAAGAGTTTCTAGACATGGAAACCGAATACGCTCTTCACGACTCGAAAGAATGCCAAGGTCTACCATCCATGAAAGTTCAATTCACAACCTTCAGAGACGGCGGCATAGCCATCGCCGTCGGTATAGTCCACTCTCTCGCAGACGCCGCCGCTCTACTCACCTTCATGAAAGACTGGGCCGCTACGAACCTTGCCCTCTCGTCCTCAAAATCTGTCCCAAAGCTACAACCTCTCTTCGACCCCTCCCTCATCGACGCTGCTGCAGCCGGCAACATCGACGCCAAGAGACCCGACCCGTACATCCTCGAAGTCGCCGCCAGGTTACCCGTGCACCGCTTCGACCACTGGGCCTCTGCCGGTCCTTCAACCCCGGAATGGGCGCTGTCATTAACGAAAATCCCACCGGAGCTCGCATCTCAATCTCATGACATCAAGCTCGGCAGACCCGTACCGTACCATACCTGGGATGCCACAGCCCCCTGTTCGCACACGACGTTCTTCTTCTCGGCCGCCGAAACGCACGCAATCTATCTCCACGCCGCTGCGCATACTCAGACACGAATATCGCATCAAGATGCCCTGCTCGCCCACCTATGGGCCGCCCTGATTCGCGCCCGCGGGCTGAAGGAAGGGGACGAGCATTTCCTTGACGTCAGCATCGACGGGCGGCGACGCCTACAGAAGCCCTTGCCGCCTTCATTCATCGGCTCACCAATCCTCAACGCTGGCGTCCGCACCGAAGCCGCAGCCACCGCTTCCCCTGCAGGCAGTGCGAAAGACGTAGCGGACAAAGCAGCCGCCATTCGCAACACCATCGCCGAATTTGACGGGGAAGCTGTAGCAGCGCTGTTGCATGAAATGTGTTTTGAGCTGAGTGGGCAGAGGCGGTGGAACTGCTGTTTGGGCGATTATCATACTATCGTTACGAGTTGGGTGGGTATTGGGGTGGGGGAGGTGGTTTTTGAGGAGGGGAAGAAGGTGAGGTGGGCGGAACCGCTGATTCCGTCATGTGATGGGGTTGTGATTGTGGGTGAGGGTGGGGTCGAAGGGGATGGTGCAAAGGAAGGACATGACGCAAAGAAAGAATGGTGGAGCAAGGGGGTGAATCTCAGCGTTTATCTGAGGAGCGATGTTATGAGGAGGTTGATGGAGGATGAGGGAATCAGAGCTTTTGCGGAGAAGGAGTGATGGAGGCCGTAGGCTTGATTTTTGGACGAAGTCAGGAGGTGGAGATAATTTTGAAGCCCAGCATTGATTGGATGAACTGTAACAATCCGATCCAAATGTGTAACCCCTCCATGGTCTCGTATATAACGAACGCCATGATGGGGCCGCCCAGCATCAACGAAGTTTCTCATAGCATGGCCCACACATTGACAAAAGAAAGAAAGAAAGCACAGGGAGGACCGCAAAGGAAGAAGGTGTCAATCAACCTGTGCTACGAGACTCATTTGTGCTACAGCTACGAGAGCAATAGATGGCAGAGATAAGCAGCACATTTGAAGACGATGGCTGAGAAGGTGGCTAAGTATAGATGGTAGAGAAACATGTTGTATGTGAAAGAAAGAGATAGTAAATTTAGGGGCCATTTGGACAGTAGCCCGGGATGATTGGTAGATATATTTGTAGATAGTAAGACATGTAGACAATGGGATTTGTGGCCGTATGCGGGAGGAAAGTATGTGTAGGCGTATGTGTGAAGGCGGAGGGAAGGACAAAGAAGAAGAAAAAAGGGTGCAAGGACGGAAGGATAGGGCAGGCACAGACGGAGAAAGCAAGGGAGTATAAAAAAAGAGAAGGGCAGGCAAAGGCGGAGAAGCGGCAGGGGCAGAGCAAAGATGAAGAAGCGAGTATGGAGTATTGAGTATTATGAAGGAGGGAGAGAATTTAGGGAGATCAGGTGGTTTATAGGCATTGTCAAATGTCAAGCCTGGTAAATGGAATTAATTGGCAATGCACCAAGTGAGCAGGTTTGAGAGTGACAAGGGCACAGTGAGGTATTTGAAGGTATGCAATGCTTGATCTCGAAAGCCTCGAATGATGGAGATCGATGGATAGCCGTTAAGCAGTAAAGGCTCCTTCGCACTCGAGAGTGCGTCAAGTCTACAGGACTTGAGGCTGGGGACATGGAATCAAGACCCAGGTATTTGGTCCTGAACGACCAAGAATCTTGCTCTGGCGCATAGACTTCTGGATCATGGTCGCCGCTCTCTCTGTATATATCCGAGCTCATGGACCGGCAGCAAGAAGTACGCCAAGTTGATATGCCTCTACCAAAGCTTTTCTGCCAAACGTTGGCCCAGGTTTTTCCATGTCTCTGTGACCGAACGCTGTCCTCAATCTATTTCGCAATCGAAAAAGCAGCAATTTGCTGCTGCGGCACTTGATGCCGGGCCTCTGTAACCCCAGGTTCGAAATGATGTGGTGGAATCCTTTAGTCGTATGACTCTTTTCGATTCTGCGTCCTGGGCGGCATGGCGACTTCCCATCCCAGACCTTAACTTCTCTTGCATGCTGAAGTCCAAGAAGTATCTCGAATAGGGCTGGGTCTTTCTCCTTTTGGCCCTCCAGTCAAGCGAAGCTTGCCAGATTTTGTCAACTCAGCTCTGTGTCCGGTGGACTTCCAACGTCTGTCGAGCTTTGTCAACATCAGCAATTGACGACTGGATTGATACGTGACGCTGTGATACACACTCTCACGTTTCCCAATCACGACATGTCCAATGTACGACGCTCCATCAATTCTTCTTCCCAGCCCGCCACTCCTCAGGCAAATCCATACCCACCCTCCTCGCCGTCAGCCGAACCTTCTCTTCCTCATCCATCGACATTCCTGGATTATACCTCTCCAACAGCGTAGCGTACATCCTCTGTGCCTTCACGTACTGGATATATTGTTCGGCTTCTTCGACTTGCATTGGGGCGGAATTGGAGGAAATGGAATTTCGGATGCGTTGCTGGATTGGGGAAGGAGTGGAAAGCGGTCGATGAGGTAGTTCACGTAGGAGAGAGCGGTAGAGAGAGCGGAGATGGGAAGGTGATGCTGCCATGGCTTGATGAAGGATTAATTGGCTGGATGTAATGGGAGTGGACATATCGAGTGAGGCTGTGGGGATGGAAGGAACCGGGGATAAGGTAGTATATATCCGGTCAACCCTACGGGAGACTACTTTTCTGAGCCGTCAGATACTGCATAGTGCATTCACATTGCGAGGTATTGGTCGTTGCACATACAACACGAAGCATATTGTACGATAAAAATGCCTCTAAAACAATGATTGTTGAATCGAGTCAACAAGTTACCACATGGTCAGCGTTTGTGATGTCAAAAGAAGTCTACTTTTGAGGTTCCCCGTTGCTATGGGGCTGAACGCAGCTCCAAGTCCACTTGCCATTTCTGCTCACATCGAATTAGCCGATCTGATCCTTCATTCGAGAGAAAGAACCTTGAACATACTTTCTTGAAACCCAGATTCCGTCCTACTCTTGCCAGCCTTGCTGGATGCTGCTCCAACTTTTGTACCCGGAGCAGTACTTCGCAGAAACACCACTCCCACTCGGACCGGCAGCTCCGCCAGCTCCGGCTCCTCCACTTTCGCGAAGGATTATGGTGTGATAATCGAACGTCGATTGCCAGTCTCTGGTATGGTACATCTGATCCAACAACTTCTGGCATGAATAGTCGCATGGAGGTCGTAGTTGGGCCACCACAGCCGCCTCCGAGTAGTTGTTGAGCTGTTTCATGAGGTCGACGGTGGGCCTCAATGCGAAATCATGGACGTCGGCTTTGTCAATCTTGTTCCTGCATGAAATCTGTTAGAAACCTAAACCGGAATTGGGCCTCTGTCTCTGCCTACTTCATCGCAACGATGAAGAAGAAAGTTTCAGCGCAGCCGCCAAAGCCTGGATCACCATGCGTGCCATCCTTTTGATTCTTCTGCCTTGATACGTCCTCTGTCTGGGGAATGGAAATATCGGGAGCCCGGAAGCCCGCTCTCTCAAGATACTCTATCCTCTCACGTCTCATGATTAGGCCTCGGTCTTTGACCTGTGGAACAGTCTGGCCTGTCACCTTGTCCTTGTTTCGTACAGTGTTTCTTGTTTCTGGCTGGCCGAGTGTGGCGCCAAGAAGAACGTCCGTGCCTTTTGACTTGGTGTTGGTGAACCAAGTAATGTGGGTCATGCCCTCGAATCTGCTTTCGCCCAGGACTGAACACCATTTCGAATACAGCGCCAGCATTGGCAGATAGTAGTTCTTCGCCGTGGCACCTGGAGGGCCTGAACCACAGACGGACAAAATCCATCCTAAGACGTCGAAGGCAGTGTTCACCGGCAATTGCTCTCCTTTATACTGCAGCGCTAGGGCCTGATCTAGGTAGTTGTAGACAGCGTTCCTATTTCTGTGCACTGATCTTTAGTTTAGGGAATCGCTTGGGATTTCCAATCCAGACTTGCATCTGACTGATCAATTGTTCCGTTGCTTCCTTGATACCAGGACTTCGAATGTACTCTGCCGCCACGCCCCAAGCTTGTGGACTGGCCGCAATTTTCTTCATGCATGTTGAGATCTGCTCATCAATTCACGCAAACACGTCAGCTTCCTCTCTATGCCACCTCCATGCTTTGAAAGTACAATAGCTTGTGAACGAAGACGCACCTCGTCTTTAGTGTATCGGAATGCTGTTTCTGGCCCTTACAACGGAAGTTGGCGGTTCCCGGCCGCTAGTAGTGCCATATTTACCTACTAGAGCCACCAGAGGGGAAGATAAGTTGTTTGGGGTCAGTGAGGTACAGAAGCAGACAGAAAGATAGCGGACTCGGATTGTATGAGTAGTAGTAGTGGTTCTTGAAGGTCGGTTACAAGAAAAAATCATTTGAAGTGGACTTTCTTCGGCCCTTGAAATCAGGAATGATTTGTTTAGAATAATAGCAAATTGAGTAAGCACGAGAACTCGGCGAAGTTAGCATGGCTCAATAGGACTTTGCAGCAAGCATGAACCGCTTGGAATAGTGAGCCTCACCAACCACGTTCAGCTTGAATTGCGCCAGCTAGAAAGCACTAATTAAAGTCGCATTCTTACAAGGCACGACAGTCAGAGCCAATATCAACGGGCAGTGCGTTAGCAGATACCGTATCTGATAAGCCCTCCGACACTAGAGCGAGCCTTTCACCTCACTCATGGACTTGACTCGTACATGGCTTCAACATAGCCATTCACAGCGAGAATTATCGCAACTACTTACAATGCTGAAAAGCGAAAAGGGTATCGATGCTGAAACTTTTTGCCCAACGATTATCCTGATTCATTGGACTTTCCGATAAAAAAATAGTGCGACAGTTCGTATAATGCATTCCATCTCTTACGTCACGCAGGCTCCCCCCATAGCCAGCATACATCCCAGCAAAGCCCACCCCGCATTAACGGCTTTGTCGCTGGAAGCAGCTCCCTTCGAGGGGGTCGGACTTGGTGTAGACGTTGCAGTGAAGACACCAGTCAGGACTGCACTAGTTGTACTCGGAGAGCTGCCCTTCTCAGTAGGCGCTGGCCCTGTAGTCGTTGTCGAAGTCGGGTAGGTCCCAGGGTAGCCTGCCATCACGGAAACCGAGGACGGAGGTGGTTTCCAATCGCTAGCCTCGTCGTAAAGTTCACCGTTGACGATGACGCCCTGGCCTTGCTGTAACATCACCTTCTGGTCATTCGTACACGTGTTCTCGATATTTCTAACCCAGCAAGTTGGGTCCAATTGTTCAGGGGCCTTGCGGGTCTCCGTGGCATTTGCGGTACCATTGCTCGTGTAAGTTGATAGATCAGCAGCTTCGCCAAGCGAGATGTCATTGCCCATGATAATCCTTGTGAAAACGGTAAAGGCAGTTTCGGGCTGGTATGCAGGTATGAGATGGCCGGCATCGTAAATTCGGGAGAAAGACAGATTGCCGTATTGACGAACTGCACCACCAATGTAGGTGGTGTTGACCACTATGTCGGCGTAGCCGGCTGTATAGAATGGCGAGTACCCGGCCGCTTGCGCTGCGATAGAAAATGAGACTGCCTCTCCACCAAACCAATTGCATATGTAATCCCGATCTCCGTACACTAGAGCGATGCGGACACCTAGTGAGAGTAAATGAGCCATCTCGCCGATGTAGTCGCCACGTTCGTAGTCCCCCGTCTGAAGGAAAGCGTTTGCCACCGCTGCGTTCGTCTGGGTATAGTTTACAGCCACACCAATCGCAGCTTGGACATCTGCATTGTTGAGGTACTCCAAATATGTGCTTGGAGGGAACGGATCCGGCATGTTCTGAGTGATATCGTATACATCTCGACCAGACGAATAGTAGGGCCCAAAAACCTCGTTGTTGCAGGTGTTCTGGGCGTTTGCGCAGATCTGATTCACAGAGGCCACATCCCCCTCATTTTGAGGATCTTGAGCAGTGACCGCATTTCTACAGGATTCGATAAGCTGCTGGCATCCGTTGGCACTCAAGAAGCTGCTAGCAACGGCTTGCTGGTCGGTCAGCGAGAGTGCCTGGATCCCGTAGGTATTGTTGTTGGCAAATATTGGGTAGAACCTCCCTTGAACCAGATCATCGACGCATCCCTGCATGATGCCTAGAGAGGACAAACGTATCTCCAAAGTTTTGTTACTTGGTATGGAGCCATTCTTGCGCAGCAGATTTTGTTGCTCCCAAAGTGTCGCAAAGGCGGGACCATATTTCCCTCCATAGCTCTCCGCGAAGAGGTTGACACCGACAGCCCCTGGTTTTGAACTGTTCGAGTACCTGCCCGGATTGTATTGGGGAAATGCTCCAAGGAAGCCTTGCAACATGTGCCATACTGCGTGTGCAGCAATTTCAGTGGTATTCGCCGTCGAGTTGCCGCTGTTGGAGCTGAAAGTACCATTGAGGTAGGTATAGTCTGGCTGGCCGGATGGTACGTCCGAGGGTGGCTCAGTCGTGATGGAGGTGAACAGATTCATAGATCCATTGGTTGGCGTATCGTAGGAGAAGCCCACTTGATTTGGCTGGTCCACGTACAGAATGTTGGTGCTCCGATCCCATCCCCAGTCATTGGGCTTTGTACCAAGCTTATCCTGAGCTATCTCCACTACCTGGCAGGGTCCATTCTCTTGAAATAGCCCGACCATGCTGCTGCTTCCCGGTCCGCCGTTTATGTATATTGTAAGAGGAGCTGTGCTTGACTCCGTCCGAGCTTCAATGAACCAAAAGAAAGTATTAATTGAGTAATTTTGCTGTATGGGGGCGAGTGTGAACGGCGGCAGAGAAACATATCCGGTGTATTGCTTTTGAGTTTGGAATGCTGTTGTACATGTACCTGCGGGCGGCGATTTGAAGCGTATGGTGATGTTGCCATTGACTGGAGAATGCAGAGTGGTAAAATTAGAATCTGGTATGATGGACGAAGAGAATTGGCCACTTGAATGTGGGACTTGAAAGAGGAAGATTAAGACCAAGGCGAAGATGCTTGAGAAGGCTGTGAACTTTTGCTGCTGAAGTTAGCACCTCAATAAACAAGCATCAAGAATCCACCCACATTCATTGGATATGCCATTCTGTATTTTTTTCTGCTACTTGGATCGCTGCAAACTTTTCCAGGACCGTGGATTTTAGCGATGTCCAACCCATGGGAACTTGTTGAAATTGGGCCCGCAAATGCTGGCGCCGAGAAACAAGGGTCGGGTTTTCTGAGCTTGTCTCAGCCGGCGGTGTCTGATTATGAACACAATATAACAAAGAGAGATAAACGGCCAAGGAGCGTAGGTGAGTAAGGACTGAATACGGGATTCCTTGCGGCAAGACACAGCCTGAGTGATTCCCTAGGTGATTTACTGAAGCGGCGAGAGCGGCAGAAAAGTTACAATCAACAACTGATACTGACAGTTTACTCGTACAGCAAAGAAGACAATGGGAGTGACAGAGTATAAGGCAGGAAGTAAGATATACCTGGAATGCTAATACTGCATATACGAGCCAAAGAAAAGCCCGGAGAAAGAGTTAGCTCCGCCGGGACGCTAGAAACTCAAGGTGCCGCTGATGCCCGAGATGCCCAAGGAAGCCTCCAAGCAACTTAGAAATACCACATTACTCATGCCCTTCTTACGCCGTCCGCAGACTACTTCACGAAGTTGCCAATTACATATGGGAATATCCTGAGGCTTGTCTCAATTCCAGTATGATTCGGCGAGGAAGGACCTAGACTTGACTGTACTAGAGGTTGGATGACCTCTATTTTTTTTTTTTTTTTTTTTTTTATTTTTTTTTTTTTTTTTTTTTCCAAAAAAAAAAAAAAAACCCCCCAAATTTTTTTTTTTTTAATTAAATCCCCTTCTTTCAAAAAAAAATATTTTTTTTGGATTAATTTTTATAAGAGATCTAAGATTCCATAATGAGAAAATAAGTCTGTACAGAGGTTCAAAATCGTTGTGTATGAACATAAAATATTTGATATTCTGCCAAGACATTTTACCCCCAGGCGCCAGACGATGGGATAGAATCTACCATTTTTCTGCCATGTGCACTTAGACCTGGAACAATTCGGATCGATCATGACGAGAGGGAGGTGAGGCATCCCGGCGGCTGACATACTGTATTTGTCTCCTACAAATCTTTGAAGCACGTTTGTATCCCTTGATAGAGCATAAGTACCTGCTTTATTTAAGTTCCTTTGGTGAAAACCCCATCTTGAAACGCAACATCCCCTTTTCCATCAAAAACTAACCTGATCGCTCAAGTTCCACAGCACAGGGCTGCTGAAACGTATTTGCGAATTGTACAAGCCCAAGGATCGCACCGCCTTGCAGTTATGCGCAGTTGTGAGTAACGCCTTGGGAGCAGGCGTCGTCATACATGCATTTTAAAAAAAATGTGCAAGATTAAAGCTTTCTGACGGAGGCTGAAGGCTATTATTGTGGCCACATTGATGTTTCTTCGCGCCAATCCCAAAAGAGAGGTCTCATCGGTCTAGGGGAGGCAAGTGGTTCATGCAAGAATATGGCCCGCAAGGCTGTTACTGGCATAGCCCCCAGCTTGTCTTCCATCATGCTCTCTTCCTGTGGTCTTTTGAGAATGGAAGTTGGTGAACCTCGCATGCTCTTTCGGAATTATAAGGACTATCTTGGAGATGCAGATGTCCGATCGTGATTTCTACAGGGCCCCAGAAGTCGGACAGGTGCACAGTACTTTGGAGGTAGGGCATCAACCTGATCCGCCCCAGATTTATAGTACTTTGGAGTCCCGACAGCCCGATTCCTCACTATTCGACACATACAAGCAATCGACTACCGTGTTACCTCAACCTGAGATCTTTGATGCCTCGCTCGATACACCCAGCAATATAGAGAGCGATAATCATACCACACTCGTCCGGGAAGGTCGTGGCCCACGCAAAAGAGCTATCTGGTTCCTCGTAGCACTGGGCATTGTCATCATAAGTGCCGCTGCTGCAATAGGTGGTGGTATTGGAAGTACCCGTACAAGCCATCGCTCGGTCAGCTCAGGTTCTTTGAGTGATCAAGCGCCTTCGTCAACAATGACCAAAATGAGCTCATCGGCAAAGTCGTCGTCAACCATTATTTCTAGTGTCTCAATCCCGACCATGTCGACCGCGTCTTCCTTTCCCACGCCAGCAGCAAAGCTTAACACTACACTACTCAACACCACAAAACTTGCCTCTGTAGTTTGGAATATCAATGGCGTGACAGAATATCGAATGTGGTATCAGACGGAAGACAACATGATTAGGGAGGTTGGGAAGAATGACACGGGAAATCAGTGGTATACATCCGGCCAATCGCATGGACCGGCGAAACGTGGCTCGCCAATCGCAGCTTCCTACACGGGTCCTCCGGATTGGCTGCTCGTAGGTGATTTGAGTCACTGACCGTGATATGGGCTAATTCACTGTTCCTTGCGGCTCATAGGAAATTAGCCTATTCTACCTTTCTGAGGATGGTAGTATAATCTTTACGAAATTCGAGGAGAAGGACCAGTCCTGGAGTCCGAGCAGCCTCAGTGAGATTCCTGCCGATGGTGCAAATTTAGCTACACTCTGGTTTAGACACGATGAATGTAACGATTGCTCGAACGATCTCCTGCTTGTGTGCCAAAATAGCGACGATAAGTTAGCATTATTCAACTCGACCGCTAACGCGGGGCCTCAATGGATAACATTGGACGCCAATCCAATGCCAGGAACAGGATTGGCTTTCAACCTCGTGCATGGAACAGACGATACGGGAGGTTTGCTTGTGTTTTATCAGCCCGCTAATCAAGGACTCTGCTCAGCCAGCTTCAATGAATCCCAGGGCTGGACTGTCAACGAAGGCAACCCTATTTCCGACCTATCTACACAGGCACCCCTCGCCGGCTTTACCTGGAATGTATCCGGAGCTGAGTATCTGGACATTGTGAGCACAGGCCCAAGCGGTGTTACTGTCAATTACTTCAATTTCACGAACGGCGACTGGACCTCAGTACCGAGTTCTGGAGTCTTGGCCCAGGTCCAAAACTACTCCTCCATTGCTGCCAACGCCGCGTCGCACATCTATGCTTTCCAGGATGGGAGTGTGAAGGAGTATCAACTTGCACCAGGTATGGCATATTTCGGGGTTTTCTTCTCCTGACGTCTATCCCTTTCTGAGTCTCAAGCCATGTTCCTGAGCTTACACATGTGTTTCGTCTTCGACACTGCTCTCAGGACTCGTCCTGTGACTTGATTTGCATTCTGGTGGAGAAGCGCTGACTTTGAAACATCCGGTAGATGGTGTCACTTGGTCGTACGTGGGCGATGTGGACACCTTTTGAGTTCGGTGCTCGAGCCGGTGTATTAGTATAGGAAGAGACTCTGGACATTTGTGTTTTGGAAATGGGTTGCTAGCCGGTAGCTTGAATTGAGTCTTGTTCATTGATACTCATTGCGACGGCATTCTCTGGGCTGGACATTATCGACGTGTACGCGACTGTTGTTGTTTTTGGTCAGCTTATCGGACTTCTCATGATGCTACTTCGAAGGGGGCGGTCTACGTAAAAATTCTTGGTTTTCATTTACTTGGGCTCATTGGTTAGCTAAGCATGGAGAGGCCTAGGATGCACGGAGGCGGTGGGAGGCTTTCAAAAGCCCTACAGGCATATCATCCGACAAAATAGCAGCCGTGAGCTGTATCGGTTGCTTGCCAACGTAAACCATCTCACGACACCTTCTTGATCCAGGCGAAAAGTGACATTTCACAGCACACGGAAGTAATTGGTATTTAGCAACATTGTAGCAGTGTGTTTGACGATTGGAAAATACAACGCCTGCGTCGTCGTCAAGAGCGTTGTGAAAATGTGGAGGCAGATTTGCGCTAGGTAGTAAAGTACCGAGGATACCTTGGAGTAAGGGAAGGGAAGGTAAGATCCTACAGAAGAAGTTCACGATAGAGGCCACCAGCCAGGCGTCAATGGTCAATCGTCGAGCTTCAAGGCGCGTCAATAAATAGGGGTGGTGGGGGTGTGGTGGGGGGCTTCAACTTCAACAGGGCCCGTGCTAGTGGCGGATATACCCGTACTGGGCTCTACCTTACTTTAGTTAGTAGCTACCTTACCTTACCTTACTTTACCTAAAAAGTTCAAAAGTACCTGGGCGAATTATACTTGCTCTGCCAAGAGCACTGCCACAATTCCGCCAAGCCGGCGTCAATTTTGATTCGCGGGATGCATGGTAGCGCATCACCATCCACGTCAACCATCTGGTACTGCATTGAGCAATCTTCACGAGGACGTCAGCAATAATCGCATACCTTCCCTCGCTCCCTGAAGTCCCGACAGTGCCAATTAATTCCCTTGCGCAGCAGAAGCAGCATTTCTCAATTGGCCTCGAGAGCCCAGAGTCTGTCAGATACAAATACGAGCCCGGTACCGTGGATATGTGTAAGTAAAGCGCTCAAACAACGACTACTTGCCACCCCTCTTCCAATGCGATAAAGGGAGCTTTGTCGTCCTTTGCATCTCTCACCCACACTGGCACATTGGCGCAGTCCCTTTGTCCACAGCCGTCCCCTTCCCTCGTTCTTCCACCCACCGTACAAGACTGACAAGCGCTATGGACAATCCAGCTGCCACCGGGATGAAGTCCAAATTTCGAAATCATGGAAGGCCATCAAATAGCCGGAGCAATAGCATGCGTAGCGGCCGTAACGTATCTCGAGAAAACGGCAATTCCTCAGGTGCTACAGGTGGTGTCATCAGTCCAATAAACGAACACACCAACGAACACACCGACGAACAGACTCCCCTCCTTGCGAGGCACTTTAAAACTTCAAATGGTGTCTATCTATGGGAGGACGATGCGAGACCCTTCGTTAAATGGCCAGCATATTTCGGGCTCAAGGTGCAGCAGACTTTGACGAGCAATTATGTTAATGTGTTTTTGGTCTTCGTGCCGTTGGGCATCGTCTCGGGAGCAGTGGGATGGAGTCCAGCCGCAACCTTTATACTGAATTTTCTCGCCATCATACCACTTGCCTCATTGCTAAGCTTCGCGACGGAAGAGTTATCAGCCAAGCTGGGCCAGACACTAGGGGGTCTGCTCAATGCAACGTTCGGGAACGCTGTCGAGTTGATTGTATGGGCGCGCTACCTTTCAGTGCGCCACAGAAGCTGATTGAATCTGTAGGTCAGCATCGTTGCACTCAAGAATAACGAGATCCGCATAGTCCAGTCGTCTATGCTCGGCTCCATTCTTTCCAACATCCTTCTCGTCCTCGGCTGCTGTTTCCTCGCCGGCGGCATCAAATATCCACAGCAAAGATTCAACGACGTAGTAGCCTCGACCATGTCCTCCCTCATGGTCGTTTCGACCGCTTCCCTGATCATCCCGGCAACACTATACGCTGTCATGAAAGGCACAGACGCAAATCAAGACAACAATATCTTGATCCTCTCTCATGGGACCGCTGTCATACTTCTATTGCTATATGTGCTGTATCTGCTCTTCCAGCTGAGGACTCATTCGGATCTTTTTGACGCAGAAGGCGAGGCGGAACAGGACGGCGAGCCAGAAGAAGGCAGAGTTCTTTCTCCTCCGGCTGCAGGCGTCGCCCTCGTGCTCATCACTGTCCTGGTTGCCGTCTGCGCAGAATATCTCGTGGACAGCATCGACAGCATTGTCGAAACGGCGCATATCTCCAAAACCTTCATTGGTCTTGTGCTGCTTCCCATCGTTGGCAATGCGGCTGAACACGTAACCGCAGTTGTGGTGGCTCTGAAAGACAAGATGGATCTGGCAATTGGAGTTGCGATCGGAAGTAGTATGCAGATCGCGCTTCTTGTGACACCTTTCCTGGTTATTTTGGGGTGGATTATGGACAAGCCAATGACACTGCACTTTGAGACCTTCGAGACTGTGGTATTCTTTCTAAGTGTGCTGATTACAAGCTATGTGATCGCTGTGAGTTTTCCCTCTTCTCTCGGGCAATTAGTTCCACGGAAGCTGACGACTGGCCAGGATGGAAAATCCAATTACCTTGAGGGTGCCATGCTATTGGGTATGTACACTATTATCGCTCTCGCATTCGTAAGTCTTCTGTCACTAGCCTCTTCCATATTTGAGCTCGTGCTTACAAATCCTAGTATGTCTACCCGGACGATGTGAAGAATTCAGGACTCAACCTGCTGTCATTGCTGCCAGGAAGCTCGTCATAGCCTTCCCTTCCAATTTGACAATCTTCTATAAAATAAATCTTGTATATACTTACGGTATTTCCTGGGCCAATGGCAACGACATGAATGACCCGCTGTTGCAACCTACTCCTGGTTTACGACATTTGTCCCAAATATCGCGACTCAATTGGTGCCATCAGCGATATCTGAGGTGAGCGAGAATATCATGGCCTTTGATGCCACCCTTTGGCCGAACTCTCGAGATTGCAGCGTAAGCATTACGCTACTTTTGGAAGTCCGATTCGTATTCGTTTTCCCGAGTCCATGTCGTCAGAGGGGTCCAACAGTTGAACCGATCCCGAAAATGTACATAAAGTAAACATGCACAGGCACCTACATGTGCAACCCAGTCTCCTTCCCATTGTAACCTCGCCCTCCAAATTTCTCCTGACTCTCTTGCTACCACCACAACAATGGCCGTCCTCTCCACCCTCCTGCACGCCACCGCCTTCTCCCGCCCCTTCCTCTCCACCATTGTCCCCTCCATCGCCCTCGCCTACACCCTCCAAGCCGCCGTAGCGGTGCCCTCCATAATCGCCCAGTCCGAGCGTTTCTATGACCTCTCAGGCTCCCTCACTTACCTATCCTGCACAGCGCTCAGTCTGTACCTGCCTACGATCAGAGCACGATATGCAGCGGCTGCCGCCGGCGCAATCAAGCCCGCCTGGCCGAGCGTTTTGGGAGCATTGAGGGGTGCGAGCGGAGCGGGGCTGAATTGGAGACAGCTGGTGCTGAGCGCGGCGGTGAGCGTGTGGGCTACGAGATGTGAGTCTCCTGATCCCCCGTGAAGGGTGTTGTATGCTTGGGCACTGTCTAAAGTACCCCTCCATGGGGCTTGGGCAATGGGCTAAACAAACCGTGCACGTTGCAGTGGGAACCTATCTCTTCCAGCGCATCTCCGCCGACGGTTCCGACTCCCGCTTCGACGACATCAGACAATCCCCGCCCAAGTTCCTCGGCGCCTTTTTCGCCCAGGCAACATGGGTCTCCCTCTGTCTGATGCCCATCCTAGCCATCAATTCCCTCCCCGTCTCGGTCTTCGCCTCACTGCCCGCCGCAGTCGGCATCACCGACGTCATTGGCATCTTGCTCTACGTGGGCGGCTTGTCCTTTGAAGTGGTGGCCGATCGCCAAAAGAACGGATGGGTGCAGGAGAAGAAGGAGAAGAAACACGAAGAGGATTTCTTGACGCGGGGACTGTGGAGTAAGAGCCGTCATCCGAATTACTTTGGCGAGGCTACGTTGTGGACCGGCATCGCAACCGTTGCTGGAGGGGTCCTGATGAGTGGACCTGGACAGGTAGGCATGGGATTGGCCGGTTGGGGGTTGTTGGGCAAGGCCATCGCGGCGGGTGTGTGTGGTGTGAGCCCGGCTTTTGTCAGCTTCTTGTTGCTCAAGGTCAGTGGGGTGCCGATGAGCGAGGGGAAGTATGATAAGCGGTACGGTGATAGGGAGGACTACAAAAAGTGGAAGAGGGAGACGCCGATGTTGATCCCCAAGCTATGAATACAGACCTAGCGGACGACTTTGGCCAAGCCGCTTAGATAGTCGGCCGTATATATGGCACCGGCTCTCGTGGGCAAATATGGGATTATTTGGTATGTTTGAAGGAGCAACTCCATTCTATAGACCTTTCCTCTCTTTCTTGAAGGCGCAATAACCTCAATCCGAAGCAAGCCATGGTCGTCGTCGTCTCATGAATCATGACATCTGTATGCAATCTGTCCCGCACAATGCTCTATCCAACACCAATGACCCATATGCCATACTACTTACCTGATTACTTACCCTCCACCTCATCTCATACTAATCTCTCCTTTCCTTTCCTTACCCTCTCTAGAGTCCCCCAATCGCAGCAGCAAAAGCCATATACCACGTCCTTGACGCACCACCATCCAACCATGACCCATCAAAATTCTGCTGCGCGAAGAAATTCCAGCTCTGCTGCGGATCTATGCACGCCAAGTTCCCATACAGAACACCCTTCCAGCCGGCAGCGATGGTGGAGGCAGGGTAGGGCGATGTGCTGTTGAAGTAGGCTTCCCATTCTTCGGCTATAAACTTTGGATTTCGGGTCAGGGGTGAGGAGGGGCTGAGAGGGAGCATGTGAATGCCTTGGATATACTCGGGGTTGGCGCCGAAGTAGGTGGTGTGGTCGATTTTGTTCTCGAAGAGCTGGAATGGCTCGTTAGCGAGGGCCTATCTGGGACGGGAGGCCGGGAGAGGACTCACAATGCCAGTGACTTTGTTGCCAAGGAAATTGGCTGGTTGGTTCTCATTATCACTTGACAACAGAAAGTAATTGTCCAGAGTCCTGGCCAAGATCGATAGCATGAGATTACCTCTCGCCTCCATGGAGATGTCGCCGATAACATGGCCCCACATCTTCATTGCATACGCGAAGAAAGCGTCTTCGGATGAGGACTCCTCATCTTTGCTATCTGCTAATGGGAAGAGGCCTGGGGCGAACGAGTGGCCATGATACCAATCGAACATTCGAGAGAAGGGAAACGCGTTGTCTTGCGTGCTTGGATTGGCAGCATCGCGGACGAGGGTGTTGACCCAAGCCTTGTTGAGGGAGAGCCAGGAGGGGTCGAGATAGCCTATAACGGCAGCCGAGTAGATGAAGTAGCTGTAATGGAAATGATGGTCGTCTTCAAGAATTCTGGGTCAGCATTCCTTCTATGGGTAGAAGTCTGAGGTGATACAGGTAAGAGGAGTACATATACTCTTTGGACATGTCTGATGACTCGGAAAGCGGTAGGCTTCTGGTGGGGGGGTAGAAACAATTCGAAAAGTAGACTGACTGTAATATGTATTTCCGAAATCCTGGCCGGGGTCACCCGTAATGTAGCTCACTGAAGACACGACTCCGTTCCAGACTGTATCATATACCAATGGGTATTTTTGCTTACGCAGATTTCAGAGTCAGCATTTCTTATTCGAGGTAGGTAACGGAGCTGCAAGCCAGGTCTCGGGGGCAGAAAGGTCCTCTTGCGACTCAATTCCAATGTTGTATGGGAACGATCAGCTCCAAAATGTACGTACCTGATTGGTCGAAAATACAGCAAAGGCTCCTTTTAGTTCATTCAGTCCCTGAGTCGCAAGGTTGGGTTCGTTCAACAGGTCGTGGGTCGTGTATATGATCATTGCGAACTTGGCTAGAGCCTTGCCACTGAAATACATGCCTTTATGATTTCGGAGTCAGCATTGCTCTTTCGGGAGAAACTCTGAATCGTACTGTCTAGATTGGTCTGGGCGTTGTAGTCTTGATTGATCTCAGAGACTGCCACCTGTTGGATGAGCTGCCTTGTCGCTGCGGACAGGGTCGATCTGCTTCTAGTTCTTGGAGTCCAAGGTGCAAAACCAATGTCTAAAGGCAGGCTTTGCTCTTGCATCGTCCAGCTATGGAAATTTTCAAGTCAGCTTTGTTTCTTCGAGAGGAACTTCGGAGGAACGAGACAGCATGAGGGGGCTTAAGGCCATTGGTGCTCCCAAAATAAGTCTTGCACCTCAAATTGTGGCGTCATTTGGGAGAGGATTGCTCCGAAATGTACATACCTATCAGCGACAACCGCTGTTGCCACTCCTTTCGTAGTTGTCTGGAGCTGTAAATTTGTTTTGTGCTTGGTGGTAGCGCTGTCAAAAGACTGAGTATGATGCGGTAAAGCGTACATCAGAAGCGAACGAGGTGGATATGTTATCAGTCCCTTAATACGCCATGAGATAGTATAGGTACCAAGCTTATCCAATGTAGAGCCTGTGACCGCTGCGCTGATGGGGTAGATTCCCGCAGATTTATCATAAAGTTCCTCGCCCTCTGAGCCAGCAGGGTTTTTCGCAATTTGAATCGTACCTGACCAGAATCGTAGACCTTGTATTTGTGTGTTCGACACAAGCTGCAAATTAGGGTCTTGGTGGTTGCTTGGCATTGCGTAGAGAAGCCAGTTTTTGTTGTCTTCGAGAATAATCCGATACTTGAAGACACCAACCCTTGGAGAGGCTACTAGAGTGACCGATTGGAAGAATACACTGCTTTGAATCGCGGGCATGAGACTGTTGTAAATACCGGTTACGAATCCCATGCCTTGAACGAGCGGAAACGTGATATTGGAGGAAGAGCCTGCCTGGGGCGAAAGAATTGCATTGGCCGAGAATGCCTTTAAGCTGGAGGTAGTCAAGACCGCGGAAGGTCCCAGCTCTACTGCGGATAAAATGACGGATTGAATGCCAATAGGATTGATGAAATACTGTATTGGTGCTCCCGACAGGGCAGTATTCTGTGGCCCATCGGCTCTCTGGTTTGCATCAATATGAGAGACGGCCATGCCCCAACTACCAATGTTGCCGCTTCCTTTGCTCCATGTCACAGAGTATGGATGAGTCCATACCCCTTGGCTCTGAATTCCAAGGAAAAGGTTGGCATAGAACTTGTTGGTAGAGACTGGGCTGCTCTGCGGGGCCTGTGGTTGTATCAGCTTCTCTGGCATTTTCGAATGACCTAGGGGTATGTGGAACTTACTATACCAAGTCTAGGGACTGGATGATCTCCTCTCGATGGTAATTGTCTGGGCAATGCTCCAGTGGCAACCGGCTGGAAACAGTCTGTGGCTCCTCTTCTCTCCATCTTCGTGGATGGGAGGTGGCTCTTTGGCAACCACAATACGCTACTAATGCTCGTAACCTTGGTAGACAACGCTTTCGATGACCTATCCGTGATCAGTGAAAGATCTCGGGAGAATGCTGTTGTTAGTATGATGGGTGGTGGTATATAGGTCGGGAATGGTTGCAATGATGGCTGGCCCTGTGTCTCAAGGCTTGTAACAACGGTCTGATCCAAGTAAGCTCCCTATTTTTCTGAAGGACAACTTGAAACTCTACGTTTCCAGGTGATGGAAGGAAAAGCCACTGACCCCTATTGTACCAGGAATTGTGTTTTGTACTGTTGTTGTGGGTGGATATTGGGTAGTAGTTGTATTTTCCCAGATATTTTGAATAAGTGTCTTGCTAAGTATGGATGTGGAGAGTAAGCCCGTTGCGTTGCCGATTGGTAAAGCGCTGACTTGAGTTTTCTGGGAAAATATCAGCAAGAATATTAATACACAGGCTCGCGTGAAAAAGGCCATGTTTGCGAGAGCAGGGAAGGGGAGATGATTGTAAACAATCATCAAGCAAAAGCCAAAAGCCAAAGACAATGTTTCTCGTTCAGAGTCCTAGAGGCCGGGTCTTGTCGAAAATATATCTTCATCGACGAGTAAAGTCTTTTCTCTTGAAACAAGCCGCAAAATCTCTTGTCTTGTGCTTCGAACGGAGTCGAGGGATATAATAGGTGGCTTCTCATGAAATGCTTGTAGTATCGGTGTAAAACAGGATAAATAAATCTTATGTAGCACGCTTTGAGGCCAACATATAAACATAGAGCATTCCAGGGGGAATGGGCAACGCGAACCACGTGGGCACAGAATAGGCAAGGAGTGTATATGAGACAAGAACCTACTCAATTGAGTAGGGGAGCCATCCCAACCAGGACTACATTCCAAGAGACCAGAGACCTCGTGGATGGGCAAACGCTGGTGACGCTGCAGTGCTGGAATGCCAAAAACGGTAGAGCATAGGATTGGAGAGGATAGAGATATGGATATCAGACAGACCGTCTACAGTATCAAAAAACTGTTAGACAGGTAAAAGTAAGAAGTAACAACAGCTTGGGCGCACCAGGGCTCCTATCTGTTCTCAGCCCTATGGTTCGGCCGAGGCTCGCCGTCACCACCGTCTTCTTCTTACACATCCAGCGAAAGGATCAAAAAAGTATGAATCGCTTCCTCCGAGCAGCGAGCCAAGCGCGAGCCTTGTTTTTTGAACAATTTGGTCCTTCCTGATCGCTTTGCCCTTGCTAAAGCCGTAAGAAGAACAGCTTTGAGGATAGGGTGCATCCACAGCTTTAGCCATCTACTGGCAAAATGATAGCTAAATGAAATTTGACCTAAGGAACCCTCGGGGGAGGCTTGCTATCTTGGGGGCCGTCTCCCTCATCCTCGCCTCCGCACTATACTTCGCTTCGAGGAGTTCAAGCTTCAATGCCTCGAGACAGCAGGGGGCGAATGGAAATTCATTTTCGAGCACCCATAGTCACCAGTCAACAACCACAGGCAGCTATGTTCGTATTGCCCAAGAGGCTACCTCCGCCCTGGAAAGCTTGCTTGAACAGGATATAGATGTATCAGATCTTGGGGGCAAAGGTCGGCGCGTTTCCGCCCTCTCTACTCTACTTGGGGCCATCATAGAAGATCCTACTATCCCTCGAGACAGCTTCTTTGGCTTTCGAACCGAGGAATTTGGCTGGTGGAGGCTTTCGAGCAAAACATACCTGCCATGGGGAAACACATTGGAGTCAGAAGTGGGCATAGTCATGTGCGTAGGTCAGAAAGATCTTGTCCTGGCTGCGCAGAACATCCGAATCCTTCGCAATGTACTTGGGTCAACCCTCCCAATCCAGATCTTTTACGCTGGCGAGCATGACTTGCCTTGGGAAAAGCGGAAACAGCTCTGGGATCTTGCCCCCAATATCCAGACTCTGAACATACTCGATTTCTACGATGATACTGTTGCTGGGATAAACGAGAGCTTGACGGGTAACGGCTGGGTCATGAAGCCGTTCGCCATGCTCGCCAGCCGATTTCAGAAAGCCATACTCGTTGATGCGGATACCATTTTCTTGCAACGGCCTGATGCTTATTTCGACGATGATGTGCATTTGAGGGAGACGGGAACGCTTTTCTATCATGACCGAGCGGTCAAAGGAGGCTACACCGGCTGGATCGATACCCTGAAGTGGATTAAGAAGGTGCTCAAAGACCGGAACCCTAGCGCCGTGCTTAAGAAAAGCATCTTTTGGACTGAAAAGCTGGAGCACCAACAAGAGTCCGGCGTTGTCTTCATGGACAAAGAGAAACCCGGCGTCTTCACTAGTTTGATGTTTGCAGCCTGGATGATGACTAAAGCTGCGAGGGTTTCTGTAAACAAGCATGTCTTCGGCGACAAGGAGACGGTACGCACATTTCAGAGTTACTCTTCCCCGTTTTGTACCAAAACTTGAGTCGCAAGACATAGTCTTGGAGCGAAGCCCTGCTCATACTCCTGATATCTATGTCATTAACCCAGGTTTCGTGCCTTGACTAAGCAATGCTGACTCTGAATTGTGCTCAGTTCTGGCTCGCCTGCGAACTCGCCTCCACACCCTACTATTTTAACCCCTTCTACACCGGCATGATAGGCCATTACGAGGCGGGAGCAAAGGAAATGTGCAGCGTCCAACTCTTGCATCTTGACTCGAAAGGGGACCCATTCTGGCTAAATGGTGGCTTACGAGATAACAAAAGGCTGGATCAAGAACTCGGCCAAAAGGACTTTGCAACACTTACAGATTATATTCCGGCAGGCGTAACATGGGCAGAGCAACCCAGATGGCGGTACTTGAAACATGGTGTATTTTGTACGGATACGAAGGCGGAGAAGGTGAAAAGCCTTGAAAAAGCAGGGTTGACTAAAGTTATGGAGAAAATGATCATTGAAGCCACTGAGGTGGATAACATGTTTCCGAGTTGAACAGAGGAGATGACATACTTTGCTCGCGGGAAATAAGCAGTCAGCTCTCTCTGGCGTGGGAAAAGTGCCACCGGCTACACTCAGAACCCTGGCCTTACGAAACCACACAGATCGGTCAACCGTCCTCCCCAGTGGATTTGCAGGGGAAAAGAACCCTCCAGATTAGCGGACTTAATGGCCATAAGGTTAGCGCCTGGTCGAACTTCAGAGAATTGATCTCCCAGAAACCGAGGTGTCTACTTGGACATGAGCTTTGACCTGCAGTCTTTCATCGGCCTTCTGCGCGTGAGTCGACGACCCTGGGGCCGAATCTCCCGCATCCGAAAGGGCAGCAAGATGAAGTCACGCATCGTGGGCTGCCCCGCCTTCGAAGACAAAGATCAGTCTCGATTGGCATATGCGATTATCTCAATGTGTAAATAGAGATGTTATAATGGAACATCATCAAAGCATCTAAAGCCTGCACGCTTGCACATTGAAGCGCATTAGATAGCTACGTAAGTCTACATAACCCATGTCCTCAAAGCATAGGCTTACTCATAGGGGCAATGACCCCAGGCTTCATCAGAATCCTCGGCTTCGTCATCCCTTGAAACGTCTCCTTCGTCGTCCACTCCGGCCCCACTGGCAGCCTCAAGCTCCTCTCATACTGCTGTCTCGTCTCAAACGGATGCGGCAGACTACTTGCCAAATATTTGCTATTCTTCTTCACCCTTTTCTCATTGATGATAACCCTGTCCAGCTTCGCATCCTGCCTTTTCTCTGCCACTATTCCGGGTATCTTGGTGAGAACTTTGCCCTTGTTGCGTCTTTCGGCTTTCTTGCCAATGCCGGCACCAGTCCAGGAACCCCAGCCGGGGAGGGTACTGTCGATGACCTTCTCGTCTTCATCTTGGATAGTGGCGCGCTTTTCCTGCTCGAAGTTGGCGACGACTTCGTCGCCGGCAAAGGCTTTGCGCACGAGGTCTTGGTTGCGAAGGACGAAAGGCAGATTTGCGGCATCGTCGGACTCATTTTCGCTGTTGGGGTTGTCGGTGTTGGGGATAGCTGGGGTGGATGCTTTTTTGGATGGTTGGACGCTTTGACGAGAAGCTTCTGCTTGCCGTGCTCCTTTAAGGGCGGAACGTGGTCTTATCTTCTCAGCAGGAGGTGGAATAGCGTTTACTGCTTGATTGTTGGAAATGATGGCGCCTGCATTGGGATTCTGTGTTCGTCGTCTACTGACACTTGAATCTTTCTTGGTACCCATCAGCCACGGGTTCTCGCTCGCTTCTTGTATGGGGACTTCTTGGTTCTCGTAGGGTTTCCTCCTAGGCTTGTCACCAAGCGATGGCTTTACTACGGCGTTAGCTTTTACCTGAACGCTGGAGTTGTCGACCACGATGTCAACATCTTCGTCTTTGGTTCCGTCCTGATCTTCCTCGTCTTCGTTGTCGGAGTCAGGTCGCTCTTCGAACTCGTTCTTCTCAGCCTTCCGATCTGATTGACGACCTTTTGTAGATGAGGTCTGGCTTTTCATGGGACCATACGACTTTCTCCCTTGGCCCTCCTGACCCTCTTCTTCGCTAGGAGTCTCCTCACCGGCGAAGTCTCGTCGAAGGTGTTCCACATCTGCATCATTTCTTGTCTTGCGAAGTGTTTCTGCTTTCTTCATGAAATCCATCGATGCGAGCCTGGAACCTTTGTCATTAGAGTCGAGTTCATTACCGTCCTCATCAAGTCTCCGCAATCGATCCTGGAATTTGCGACTGTTCCTGGTGTCTCCGTCCTCGATGTCCTCCTCCTCTTCAGACTCGTCAGACTGAGACTCTGATGAAACCATTCCATCATCATCTCCAGCCACTGTTCTGCCTTCAATTCTTCGTCTGAGATCCTCTCCTCTTCTCGCCATTTCGGTCATTCCACCACGAGCATCTTCATCCCACTTAGCCCTCCCGCTATCCTTGACGCCCTTCGCCCACCTGCTCTCTCGATGCCGAGCTCCCATCCTCTCTTCAGCTCGTCGCCGGTCTTGTCTTTCTTTTTCACTCTCAGAGTCATCCACACCAGCCGCTGTGAGCGTATCCTTCTCTCGTTGCAGGTTTCTCTCGCGTTCCTTACGGTGTACCTTCCGGTACGATTTGCTCTTGATTTTTTTGATCCTCTTCGCACGGATTTCTTCTCTGAACAGAAGCTCCCGAGCTCTTCGCAATTCTGCTCTTCGCGCCTGGACCTCTTCAAGGGGCATTTTGTTCGTTTCCAGCTCTTCGAATGCCTGCATCTGTTCTTCCTCGGATCTGCCATTTGGACCCACTAGGCCGCTGTCTTTTAAGATATGTTGTATGGTACCCTCGAGATCTGTCAAAGGCTGCGAGTGAGAAACAGGCATCAAACGCTGCGAACCCGGGGGAGCAGTCGCGTTAGGGTCCTTTAAAGGGAAAGAAAGGTGTTCTGCTCTCCGATTGTGCTTTACTGTGTCTATCCAGCGGTTGAGAGTCTCTTTGCTCTGTTCATAGGCAGCAGCTCGGTTCAAACGATCTTGTTGCCTCTTCGGAAGAGGGACATCTAGCTTCTTCGGTATCCCACCACGTTTGCTGGTGGGTTTGGGATCATTGTCCGCGAGAAGTTTGAGCGACTTTCGTAATCCAGGATCCGTCACAGAAGGAATCATATCAGCGATCGTGAGCTTGCGCTTCGATTTCAGTCCGAACTCTGACGGAGTGGTGGACTCTTGAGCATCAACAGGAGCTCTGCTGCGACCAGTATTCAGGTTTTGCTCATTCATAGTAGAGACCATGGTCTGTAGCGAAGCTAGCTTCGCAGATTCTTGAGCATCGTCTTCATCCCCGGAGTACGAAAGCACGGACTCTCCATCCTCTGTTGATGATCCGTTGTCTGGATTTCCGTCGCTCTCTGACCCATGGAGACTTTGGCTGGATTGACCTGGGCTTTGATGTAGGTAATTGTCGTCATAATCATCATCACTAGCATCTAGCATAGTATCCAAGTCGACAGCACCTTCGCCCAAGCCATCACTTTCTTGATCCGAGCCAAGGACCTCATCGCCATCCTCACGTAGATCAACGTCTCGTAGCTCATCATTATCTACCTCCGGGTCTGCTCTTCTCGAATGAGCCTTCCTGCGCGAAGTCTCATCTTGAGAACCTGGAAATCCAAATCCTTCAAATCTCTCCTCATCACTCGAGCCCAAGGCCTCATCGCTGTCTAGGTCGCTGTCGTCGTCACTGTTGACTTGACCAACTACCCACTCGTTCCCACTGCTATCATTCCCGTGTTCGATTTCACCCCCATACTGATCTTTGCCCCAAGTTTTCCGCCTTTTTTCCTTCCCATCACCATTTTCAAACTGGCCATCTTCGTCATCTTCCGGCCTCTTGCGCTTGGTTGGTTCGGGCTCAGACTTGCCAAGGCGACTTTGACGGATTTTAGATCTTGTAGGATTCTGTTGCTCCGCTATAGCGAGAGCATTCAGGGAGCGTTTGGCCTTTTGCCTCTTAGGTTTAGGCTTCTTGAGCGAAGGGGCCGTAGTAGACTGTCTGCCAGGCATTTCGTGAAGCCGAAAAGGTTGTTTCGAGCTTGTCACTCCTCTTGCGTCTCAAGAAACAGAGAGACTAGTCAAAACATGGCTTCAAGCTTCAGCTTCGTTCAAGCGTCTCAGTGTGAGAGGCTCTTTGTGGAGGGAAACTTTTCCCGCGAGATAGGGCTGAAAATTTTGCGCTAAATACAAGTAAATGGTTCTGAGCTTTGCCAAAATCTTCTAATTTCAACATCCCAAGATCTCGCAGCCACGCAAACCAGCATTCATCATGAAACCCACAGCAGCTTTATGCAGCAGAGTCAGGCGCCTGCCACTCACGACCAAGCAAGTCAGCAATGGCTTCTACAAAGGCACAGGCACAGGGGCAACGGGTCGGCATACGAAGCATGGGGGCTACGTGATCGAATGGCGTAAAGTCCGGACCTACGTTGTGCCAGAGCAGTTGAAAGACTGCAAGGTACGCAGATTCCGTATTCTAGGCCTCGTGGGGATTGCTGATTCGCTGTCGCAGCTCACACCATTTGTTACGAGGAAGATGAGACCTTCGAAAGGACGGTTCGAAGGAGAATTCAAGGGCCCATTGAGCGGGGAAGCGTATCTGAAAAGATGGAAAGAGGAAAATGGAACCGATTGAGCTGGCAACGTGATGACGCCGGGCTCCGAATGGTTTCGGAGGAGTGTAAAGGATGCAGGGCTCGAGGGCTGCCAATTGTCCCAAGGCAAGGCAGGGCATCGTAAACATGTCCTAACTCGTTGGAAGAGCAGGAAATGGGTCGGCTACGGCATGATACGTATCGATCTTGCGGTGGCTTGGTTTGCTGTGCCAACGGCGCCCAAACAATCGCAGAGCATACAAAGCATAATTGTTAGAGGGTAATCGTCTAAGTTCTGCCCCACAAATGTACAGCATGGGCCTCTACTCATTCCTTTGGCCTGCCGACAATATCGATACTGCCTCTAGTGAGACCATCAAAGCCGCAACAAAGGCTGATTCAAGACCAACAAGATGTGTTAGCCATTCTGGAGACCGCGGTAGTCGTCCGAGTGCGTACTGGGCCTTTGAGGTGGACAGTGTGGTAGTTTCCACAAATGCATGCAGCGCCAATGGAGATCTTAATGCTATTTTCCGTCGCCCGAGTCTTTGGCCATGTACTTTTCACTCAGGAGCCGAAAATCAACTATCTCATTGTAGCCTCCACGATTGTGTCTAACGCAAGATCACAATGGGAGCATATTGTGACGACTTGGGGAGTGGAAAGAAAGGAGCGAAAGCCAAAAACCGAAGCAGAGTCCTCAATTGTCATGCAGGTATACACTACAGCTGCGACGTCCGGATGCCTCTGCACATCAAGAGCATGCCACAGCCTTTTCGCCGCGGCACCGATCCTGGCAGACTCTATCTTTTTACCAACGGCCACGACGAGCAATTAATTGAGCTTTACCGTTACCATGAGGACTGCTGGACGTTTCTTCCCAAGGCCAGAGACGAACGTCTCGCTCAAGGTTAAGATATATATTACAAGCCCCAGGAGTTTGTTCATCCACGTTAAGTGGACGTTTGCCGAAAGGAGAAGCCCCGAGCTTTCAAGCCGGGAAGACAATGAGCAGGTCATACGGGATGTGTGAGATGAAATCGGGTCACTGGAGTTTACCTAGTAGGGAAGGAATAGGAAAGGAACGAGCCCTACCATTTAACATAGCAGAGGAGTGTGGAATTAGAATTCTTGATACGGCGCTTTTCAGGGGTTTGCTTTATAGAGCGATAGGGTCATCAGGATATCGTTATCATTAACTACGACTATCAATTACATAAATACTGCGTCGGCAGTCTTCCCAATTGCGAAGTTGCAATAGGAGCATACTCTCCAGTCGTGCACGAGAGAACGCAGGCGCGGCTTTGCCGCGGGCTTTGAGGGGTGGTCCTTGCTGAGGAAATGCTAGAAGGTGCTATGATTAAAGGCTATGATCATGGGAAGAAATCTAAATTTTCAAGCATGTGGGAAACCTGCGACATCCTGAGTGTGGTATATGAATGGCGCGGGGCCCGAGCGTTGGGGTTTCGAAAGAGCGGTGGTGGCACTTTGTGTTGGACGGAATCATGGGATTGGGCTTCACACAGACGGAGAGCAAGGAGCCCCGGAGATTTCGGGAGTTGAGCTCTGGTTTTGTTTGGAGTAGGTCCGTATACCCATCGGTTGTTCCATCTTTTTCGTGGCTTTGAGGGACGGAGAAGGTGATGGGAAGGAGTTGGTGGAGTGAATGGGACGTGGTCAGTGCTCGAGTACCGTACCTTCACTGTCCTGACAGTTTCTAATGTTTCGAACGGTATCCACCGCACGTAATAATATCAGTCTGGTCGTTTGTGGGTCTTTGAAAGATGAAAGGTTCAGCTCCAAAACAGCAAATTGCTGGCTCATCTCACCAATGAGCCTCACTACAACTGCCCTGAACAGAAGTCATCTCAGAGACTTATATTCTACGAACTTTAGCAGTGAGACATTTCTTTGTATATCTGATAGATGCAATGATGCGCTGTACAACGTTCACTGAATCTCTAATCCTGTCCTATGCCGCTGAAATACTTTGAAAGCGTCATAACACGTGTCTCATTCCCATATATCTGTTTTCCACACCCGGGGTGTTGTCGTCTCCACTTAGCTCAGGTTAAATCCAGCTCCAGCATTCACACTATACAACAATCTCTCCCTCAAAACCTTTTCTTCCCTATACACTGGCAGCTTCAGCAGATTGACGCACGTGCTCGTACTCGGTAGCCGCGTCTGATCGCTTCCGCTGTCTCGGATACTAAACTTCGGGTTCAGATTGCCGAATCCAAGCAACGGCGCTCGAGGCGTGCTAGTCACAAACTTCAGCACCTTCTTCCTGTCACTATCTTCAAGACTTTGCAGGACTTTCCAGAACATCTGTACGCAAGGATGTTCGGCACCGTCATCTCCAATGGCATAGAGACCTCCGTATTGTGTATTGGCTCTGAGATCAGAGACAGAGATCTCGGAGCTAGCGCCACCAACAAGGGTTTGCAGCTCAGACTGGTTGAACATGCTCAGCCAGGACGGGGAGATGATGGTGCCGAGGCCACGGAGGAAAGCTGAGGTCTGGAGATGTGGTTGGATTTGGAGGCGATGACGAGCCATGTAGGAGATGTAGACTAGGCGATTCTCATTGGTGACGGAGATAGAAACTCCTGAGGGACGGAGTTCATGGGTGATCTGTTTGGTCTCTGTGGGGGAGGTACGGATGGTGTCCGTTACGGCAAAGTTGAGGGAGAAGTCTTCAACATCTCCCGGGTAGTTCTTCAGTTGCAGCTGGGAAGAAGTATTAGTAGTAGTAGGGGAAGGTTTTAGCTGGTCATTTTTGAAAGTATTGGTACATACCAGTCCTTCGTAGAGCCCTTCATCAAGGTCTCTCAGGTCATTGAGATTGGCACGATAGCCTGATTCTTTGGTTGCAGACCCAGAGCCTCCAGTTAGGGCCCATTTCAGAAGAAAGAAAGGTGCAAAATGTATATCGACCAGAATGCCTTCGTAAAGGCATTTACCAATGATGCGTCCCAGAAATTCGTATCTTCGTAGTAAGTCTCTTATATTTTCGTTCCAGTCCAGGGAGCCTTCCTTGTACATGGCTTGCTGAAGGGTCGCTTTCCGCTCTTCCACAGCAGAAGGGTTTGGATAGAGCAGGTGCTGATCGTTCTCGATGAACAGTGCTTCCATACCATTGACAGCGCCAAAAGCTTCGTTGGTCACACTGGTGAGGAATTCTTTTGTCACACCGCCGCCGTCGATGCCCTCCTCAATGGTATCGAACTTGTCCACGAATCGGATCTGAATCGGTTCTTTGAGGCCTTCACCTAGGTCATAGAACTGAGCATATGCGTCTTCGAAGATGTGCTCTCTTCGAACCTTGGCGCGGTGTTTGCTTATATCTCCAGCTGCGGAGTTCATCTGCGCAAACCTCCACATGTCGGGATCTGACGTGCCCCTTCTTCGGTGCTGGTCCAGGGCAACAAAATGGCGGAAGATTTGAACACGAGTAGCGAAAGGTATGAAAAAGGGCATGTTCTGTAGAATCTCCAGTCTCGGTGCAACAGACTCGAGCTGCTTTCTCCTTGAGGTCTTCCGCTGCTGCCTTTTCAAGCGCTCTGCACGCCGGACTTGCTGTACGTGTGAATTACCAATGAGGGCGAGCCCATCGTCATCATCGTCATCATCGTCCATGTCAACATCCCCTCCGCCCTGACTATTGCCATCGGCCTCATAAGATTCGTAAGACTCCTGTATCTGATGTCTATGTTCCTCCTCTTCTACCACGGCAGAAATAAATCGGTCCATCTCGAAATACTTTGTCATCAACCAATGGTCTCTGGGTAGGAACTTTCGACGAGAGCTAGGATACTCTCAGCCAAGTCTGAACATAATCATACTGCCACGATAGGGACCTACTCTCGCTCGTATACCATGCGGAGTACACCAGTGACCAGACCTTTCATATAGACTAGAGTCATGCCACTTACACCGGCAATTGACATTTCTTGCAATTTGGCTGAACCTTCGTCTTGTCGATATTCATTCTGTGCTGCTTTGTTGCCGCCAAAGTACTCTGCAAGGCTCGTCTTGACTTCTGCTGCCTCAATTCCGGCAATTTCTGAAGCGTTCCAGTACATAGAGAATGAGAGGTTCTTAAGGAAACTGGTCAGCTCTTTGACTTGATCGAGTGGTAAAGCGCTCTTCCTTGTCCACGACCATTGGTCATTATATGCAGAAGTGCCAGCAAGGAATTCTTCGTCATCCATTATTTTAAGGACAAATGTGTACAGCTCCAGGAAGAGGAGGATCACACGCCATTGCTGATCTCGGGACTCGTCTGCAATAGAATATGATGGTTTGTTTTCTCGGATCTGAGGCTTATCTGGCCTCAACATGCTTACTGTTTCCCGAGGGTCCTTGCTGATCATTTGGTAAATCTTGCTTTTGCTTGCAACCTGGTAGAAGTACTTTATAGCCGGGAGTGGCTCTGCAGCGTGACTTGCCTGGCTGGACCCTCTTGCTGTTGAACCACGGAAGAGCCACATCCGTATCTCGTCCCCACGACGTGGAAAGGCTCTCAGCAGAGTTAAGGCATAACTTGCCAGCGCAGATGCCTCACTGGGCGTACCCGACACACCCTCACTTGAAGCGGGCACCACGTCAAAATTTGCAAGAAGGCTGCTTACGTTCTGCTGATTTATCAGGGTTAATATCTCGGAGCTCACAAAGGATGGCAATGGTTCAACAGGACTTGCTGCAGGAGTGGAGATGCTGCTACCAGACGAAGGTAGCCGATTGGACACTTCTATCCGTGAGCCGATGTCGTCTGCTAGGAATGATATTAGTCTTGATACAATCTTAACATATTGCACATCCGGCGAGTCTGTAGACTTTTGCTGGTCAGAGTAGGCCAACCGGCGAAAATATATGAAGTAGGCCAGTAGCCAAAGAAGACTTTCCCGGCTTTTAAGCTGTAGTATATCGTCGTGTGATGAGGGTGACAGAACTTTATTCAGTACATCAGCCAACGTATGGTATCGTATTCCACGACCAAATCCTTCCAGGCCACCGAACACTGCAGGAAGATCTGGTGTGGCCAGAAATTCAGACACAAAACCTTCGTAGCATTGTTCGGTTCTGTCACTGGTCGGCTGGAGTAGTGCAAGAGCTGCTGACTCTATCGAGGGTGAATTGGAGCATCGACGGCCGATTCCTGCTTCGGCTAGCGTCCGAAAATACTGATGCGAGTAAGAAGCGAGCTGTCTCGGGATAGCAGTAGCCACAACATTGAGAAGAGCTATCAAGTTGTCCACGGTGCAAGTAGATAACGGAGGAGTCCGCTTCGCACTCAGTGTTGCTAGAGACAATTTCGCCAGACGTAGCAAAGGGTATGTCCATACGTTTGCCGGATACCCACATGGCTGCATTTGAAGGGACTGGAGGTATCTGGTTGTGAAACGATCAAGGCGCTGGATATCAAGCTCGTTCCTCAGCGAAGCAAACTGTACGAGCAGTCTGAGCGAGCCGAAACACTCATCTTCCGAAGCGTAAGCAGCCGGCGCAGCAAGCTGGGATAGAGATCCACGGGTCTCCGAAGGTCCTCTAGATTCCCACCCTTCTCTGTTGTCCCACTCTTGCCTCCAAATGACCTTGGCCTGCTTTCGCCCCTTGTGCCCTCTCCATGTCTTCTGAATTTTAGTCGCCGCAGGTGGACGTTCCCTCTCTTGCTGTCTCAACATCCGCTCATGCTGAGCTTGAGCGAGCGCATTTTGCGCGGTCTGCGGGGATGAGGAGGTTCGAGAGCCAGGTAACGCAGCGAAAGGATTGTTGTTACGACCTGAGAGGTTCACCTGTCGCTTGGGCCGTGTGCTGCCTGTAAAGGACGGAAACATTGCTACTGCTGGACTTCGGATCGCGAGGCGGCCCTGGACGGGTGAGGATAAACTTGGAAGTGACACAGAAGTAACATGCTCGATGACAGTGATCGAAAGAATCTTGTTGTGGTCTAATTCGCCACAAGACTTATTAAGGCGAATTCAAGCACCAGATAGGTACGCGCACGGTGTTACTTCTAATAGAATCCTCGGGCTTAAATTTTTTATATCCGCCACACCACAGTGTTCCGCTGTCAGTGAAGAGGCTACTAATGGAAGTCGCTACCATCTAGTCTTAGGAGGCCGGCGTTGATGTCACACTGCGGTCTATATATTTCTTCCCCTAGTCTTCGAGCTGGTCGGAGCTTCGTTGAAGTACATTGAGTGAAAGTTTCGCCGAAAAGGGCTACACATTGGGCAATATGTCAGATATGAAGTTCACCACCTATTTTGCGACAAGCCTCCACAATGAACCGCGTTGTCAAAAACCCATATACTCGAAAAAGGTAATAGCTTAATCCGACTGAAGAAAGAATTTATGATTGTAGTTGCTGTAATCGTATGAGGAGAAAACAAAGGTAAAAAGGGTACCGGTTAAATATCGGTCGGTCTTGCCATGCTAGCCGGACACGCTAGAGAAGAATTTCCTCTTTCACGATAATCTCTTTTTTCTGCAGCTTGCTCTCACATTATAAGTGACACAACACCACGTCCACCGTCTGGAACATACATCGTACACCTTCCTCTATCTTTGCACTCCTCCCCTATCAGAAAACCCTCGTGACATCAGAAAAAAACTTGAAAATACCCCCAAAAAATCAATAGTAAACTGAAGCTGTGTAAGTGTCACTTGACCGCTCAACAGGCTCCACCAAAGCTACTTCCGCACACTTCTCCATCTATCTCATGGCAGAAGGTCATCTCTAGTTGCTTCTAACTAACACTGCATCATCCAGCACCCCTCTCCACGCTCTTCATACCTCATACCGGTCCATATTGACCAGCTCAATCCTTGTACCTCCTGAACACATTTCTTCCCAGTCGCTTCACGAAATTTCTACAAACTTCGGTCGCTGCAGGCTCCTCTGGCATATAGTCCCCCAACCGTACTAATTAAAGCAAGCATAACAGTATCATCACCATGTCTGCCGAAGCTGCCTCTGGCTCCCCGCCTTCGCTTGAGAAGCTTTCGATCGATGACAAGTCATCCGCTCCTACCAACGGACTGCCCAACGGTATCGACACTAGCGTTGGTGGACCACAGTCTCCAAGCGATCAAGATGCCCTCCAAACTCCAAGCTCTGCAGCTCCAGGCGGAGCTAACCAGCCTCACTCTGCGTCACTCTACGTTGGTGAGCTAGACCCCAACGTGACCGAGGCTATGCTCTTCGAGCTCTTCTCTTCTATCGGTCAAGTTGCTTCAATCCGTGTTTGTCGCGACGCTGTGACTCGTCGCTCACTCGGTTATGCTTACGTCAACTACAACAACACTGCGGACGGCGAGCGCGCCATGGAGGAGCTGAACTACACTGTCATCAAGGGGCGTCCTTGTCGTATCATGTGGTCCCAGCGCGATCCTGCTCTGCGCAAGACTGGTCAAGGGAACGTCTTCATCAAAAACTTGGATACTGCCATCGACAACAAAGCCTTGCATGACACTTTTGCATCTTTTGGTAACATTCTCAGCTGCAAAGTTGCTCAGGATGAGTTTGGGAATTCCAAGGGCTATGGATTCGTTCATTACGAGACTGGAGAGGGAGCAACAAACGCCATCAAGTCCGTAAACGGTATGTTGCTGAACGAGAAGAAAGTGTTCGTGGGATACCACATTCCGAGGAAGGACCGCGACAGCAAGTTCGATGAGATGAAAGCGAACTTTACCAACATCTATGTGAAGAACATTGAGCCTGAGGTGACAGACGAAGACTTTCGAGCACTCTTTGAACAATATGGAGACGTCACGTCAGCTTCCATTGCTCGAGACTCGGAAACGGGCAAGAGCCGTGGATTTGGTTTTGTCAACTACATCAATCACGAAAATGCGGCCACTGCCGTGGACGAGCTGCACAACAAAGACTTTAAAGGCCAAGTCCTCTACGTCGGTCGTGCACAGAAGAAATCTGAGCGTGAGGAAGAGCTTCGTAAGCAGCACGAGGCGGCCCGTGTCGAGAAGGCGTCCAAGTATACAGGCGTGAATTTATATGTCAAAAACCTGGACGATGATATCGATGACGAGAAGCTCCGGGAGATCTTTGCAGGTGCTGGAACGGTCACTTCTGCGAAAGTCATGCGAGACTCTGGGCCTGATAGGACCGATTCTCCAGACAGTGAGAAGGGCAAAGAGAACAAGAAAGAGTCCACGAAAGAGGCTGAAGAGGAGGATGGCGGAAAGAAAGATGACGAGAAAGAAGATAGCGAGAAGGACACCGCCAAATCCACCAAGCGCCCACTCGGCAAGAGTAAGGGATTTGGTTTCGTCTGCTTCAGCAATGCCGACGAAGCTACGAAAGCCGTTACCGACTTCCATCAGAAGATGGTGAATGGAAAGCCACTGTACGTTGCAGTGGCTATGCGCAAGGAAGTCCGCAAGACGCAATTGGAACAGAGCATTCAAGCACGTAACGCTGTTCGCATGCAGCAAGCTGCCGCTGCCGCGGGAATGCCAAATCAACAATTCATCCAGCCTGCGATGTTCTACGGCCCCGGCCAGCAGCCTGGCATTGTAGCGCCCAACGTTGGGCGCGGTGGAATGCCTTTCGGACCCCAGCAAGGCATGATGCTTCCGGGCATGCCGAGTGGTCGTGGTGGCCAATTTTCTGGCATGCAGCCTCAACAAGGTGGCCGTGGTGCTATGAATCAACAGCAAATGCCACCTCAAGCCTTCGGTATGCCTGGACAGGTGCCGTTCGGTGCCATGCCTCAAGGTGGTCCTGGCGGTTTCCCCACCGGTCTAGCGTATCCTCAGGCTCTAGCACAAGTACAAGCGCAACTAGGTCGCGGTGGGCAAGGTGGTCGCGGGCAGATGCAAGGTATGCAGGGTCTCCAGGGAATGCCGCAACAGATGATGGGTCTTCAAGGTATGCGCGGTAGAGATGGCCGTCCCCAACAGTTCCCCAGCCAGTCAGGTCGTGGCGGCATGGGCATGAACATGGGTATACAGCCAGGTCAGATGGGTGGATTCCCACAGCAGGGACGTGGAGCTATGGGATTCGGAGCTGGCCAACAAGGTATGCCACAGGCATCTGGAGCTGGAGCACCGTCTGCCACTCTCGAAGCTCTTGCCGCGGCACCGCCAAACCAACAAAAGCAACTACTTGGCGAAGCAATCTACCCCAAGATCCAAGTCCTGCAGCCAGATCTGGCTGGCAAGATAACTGGCATGCTACTGGAAATGGACAACCCAGAATTGATGTCTTTGTGAGTAATCCCGTTAATCGCAATGAGCGATTTCACGTGCTGACAAAATTAGGATTGACGATAACGACAAGTTGCGCGAGAAAGTCGATGAGGCACTTGCAGTCTTCAACGATTACGTCAAGACTCAAAATCCCGATGGTGTCACAACACAAGAGGGCGTCTCTTCAGAACAACAACCTAATGGCGAAGAAGAAGAGACGAAGGCATAGACTATGATATCCGGCCCATCACCCAGCAGCACCTCCTGCATACCCGTACACATCCTCTAGCATTTTTCATGATTAGGTTCTCTCAGCATGTCGCTAAGCGGATGGTTCTATATTCTCTTCATAGCCCACATTGTCCTTGGCAGCTGAGCTGACAAGGTGCTTGGGCCTGGCTCTAAAAGCCATACCAAGACTACCTTTAATATTTCTAACGACTTCGCTGAGAGGGTCATGTATCATAGAAGGTGCTCCCGGCCAGACTGGTACATCTTACAGGTGGACGTGAGCTTAGGCTTATCTCGCAGGGATGGAAGGAGATATGGAAGCTATCGTGCTACCATTGTATGATAGACGTGCCAGGTACCTATTAATGAAAACTAGACTTCATTCAACGTGCTACGGAGACTTGATGTCACAATAATGCTCAACGCTCCAGGGCTAGCGCGATTTGATGGGATCTTTGTGACTGAAGTGTTTTGTGTTGCCGGGTGGATCGAGTCTTCGTGGCTGAGGTTTTCTATTTTGCCCGGTAAATCGAGGACTAGCGCCACCTGGCGGCATCCTTGTGTACCTGTACCTCATTAAACCCTTTACTCCACGACAACACCACCTCAGGACTATCAACATCACCCAGTCTCTTCATTTTACACTCGTCATGCCTGATCATAACATAGTCTATAGATCATAGTCCTATCCGGAGCCTACCAAGCAGACAAAAGTAAGCCGTATCCCAGTCCCAATCTCTCACTGCAGTCAAGATCACCTCCCCCTGGTTTTCTCATTTGACTCCCACCCTCGACTCACAAAGCGCAAGCCAAATTCTGTTCGATCGTCAGACGGTATGATATCAATTGCTCTGGCAAAGTGGGCAACGTTCACTCAGTACAGCTTGTCACCTTGGTATTGCTTCTCAATTTGGCTCAGTCAGAATTCTCCCCATCCAACCCTCTTCACCTTCAGGAGCCCCGAGACATTACTGACGCGCGAATTCTCCACAGAAGTCATCAAGCTCCAAAGCTCCCGACTTTTACGTCACCTCGCAAAAGAATACACCTTTGTAATTACCTAATACTCTTTGCTCGGCTTCGCATTCATTGACTAACTTTCTCAGTGATAGCACGTTCACTATGTGTTCATGAATGCAATAATGTATACATGCATCTATATACGCGTCTCGGTAAGGCGGAGACCGGTAAGTTACGTCCCTAATCTCCGCGAACTATGGGCTTATACACTTCAGGTGCGGGAACGACCTTGTCGTACGGAATCCCTCTGGTAGAGTTCCTGCAGACTAGACCTCGCATCCAAAAGATGCAAGTTCGATGGGGATGGCTGAGCCATTCGACGTGATCATTGCACCGACGCACGAGCTGGCGATTGAGATTCATGCCACTCTGCTTGACTAATGCTGGAATGAGAAAGTCCGTTGTTGCGTGGTGTACGGTGGAGCTCCATCAGTGCCCCAGATGAACAAGCTCGGCCAAGGCTGCGATATCTTGGTTGCTACAACTGGACGACTCCTAGCCATCCTGAGGGAGAAGGCACTGCAGTTCGGCAACCCGAAGTACCGTGACATCCTTTCTCTGGATAATTTGAGTTTCATTGTCTACGATGAGGCCGATGAACTACTGTCGGAATCCTTAAAAGATGTCTCGTCGAAGATGTCCAAGACGAAGACATTCAAAGACGAAGTCGACGAGGTTGAACTGCGCCTCCCAACCAAGAAACACCTCTACCATTGGTACTTCTCTTCCCAGTACTCCAAGGAGCAGAGTCTTAGAGCTGAGGGGTTTATGCGCCTCGAATAAGGCCACTACGATGAAATTGACTTCGACCATCCGAAGGAGGACGCCTTACAGTGCTACACTCTTGTCAATCAACAATTCGTCAAGTATGGCAGAGTGGTCAGACCGAAGCTAAGTCGCAACGGAAAAAAGCTTGGCTAACTCCATGGCATTCATTTCGGACAGTCTTGTCCACGCGAAGGCAAAACACTCATTCTACTCCGCAAGAAGAATGATGTTGACATACTCGAAAACATCATCGCCGGAGACATGGTGATCAAATGCGAGAAGACGCACGGCGAGATGATGCAGCTCTATCGCGAACAAGCGATGTTCTCGTTCAAACATGGACATGTAACTGTTCTGGTCGCCACGATGAAGCTCTGCGGACGAGGGATCAATGTCCATGGTGTGAGCTCGCTCATTTTCTCGGATCTGGCAGACACGTTGGCTGAATACAAGTCCTGCTTGGGTCGTGTCGGACGCGTGGGATACAAGGCTACAACCATAGCCTTTTATCAAGATTTCTCCGGTGTCATGGACGAAGAACTATTGTTGTTCCTACAGAAGAACAGGCAAACAATTCCTCCAGGCAGGGTTGAGGCCTTTTCGCCGTACTCGAGCGATGATATGTGGGCGCATTACCCTGAAGCAGCCGCGAGAATAGTCGCAGACTCCGACGCTGGGCCGGGTTGGGGTACTGCAATGGATGCTTGGGGCGCTGGTAATGCATCTGCAGACACGGTCGAGGGAGTTGATGCTACTGGAAACGACGCTGGACAGGAATGGGGTGCTACAAACAATGCCTGGGTCTCACGTTGACTTCGTGCATTGGGGCAGATAGACAAACAGCAAGAGCTCAATTGGTCTATCAAAGAACCTGGCGGATGGAAGACGACAGTATCGGATAGGAATGGCATTGATTTTGAAGGTTGAGCTCAGACTACCACGCTATAATTGGGTGATGCCTCTACCATCGAGATGTGTCACGATCTAACAGAACTTCCTCACGCAGAATTCTGAGAGCAAGTCAAGTGTAAAGTACCTATCGCAAATGTCCAAGCCCGCCAAGACCTCCGTAAGCGCCCAGGGTTTGTGACCTATCCTCCCATTGGCCAGCCATGCCAACCCCTGATGCTCCAGTTCCCGCCCTAGCAGAGCCCTTTGGCTCTAGCTGATGCAAAGAATAGAACGCCCTCCTCATGGGATGTGATCTAGAACTCTCCCACCAATTGCACGCCAGAGATGGCACATTGGAATCTCGCGCTTCTTTCATCCTGCCTTTGCTTTGCGGTGCGCATTCTGTGTCTGCAGCATGTCCTCTCCATTGACCCTGGTTGATTTGGCACATCGCATTGCCTTTGAGCCCACTCTCACCCTGGTGACCCTGTCGATGCGATAGCCAACAGTGGCCTCACCGCAGGCCTCTATTGACCCCTGGCCCAGTGGATATGAGTCTCCCTCACCCGTATAACGTCTCGGGAGGACCAGCAGGAATAGAAACACCTCCTCGACAGCGTCAGACCCCCAACCAGCCCCCAAACCTCCTCACGACAAGTCTGGGAAATGCACGCAACGCTGGTCTTGGTCTTGGACTTGGAGGAGTGGTACAGACACCCATCTCCAGCACTACTCTGAGTAGCCCATTCTCTGCATATCCATCTCCAGGTGGAGCCATGAGAGGAGCATCGCCCACGGCCTCCCGGTCCGCTTCTGGCTTCAGTGGTCACTACAATCCTCAACAATGGGGTGCGGTGAACAGCGTCAACATCTCCCCCAATTCAATGTCAATGGCAGGAGAGCACAGGCAGACAAGTCAATCATCGAGGACAGCGCACCTAGCTCCCCGTCTTGTGGGACCTGATGGTAAGGGTGACTCCTATCTGGCCAGGACCCAACTGATGAAGACCGGTATAGAACCAGTCGCTTCTCCACCACCACCGTATTCACCTCGTCGAGATCAACAACCTCAGGACTCACCACGCCGCACTTCAGATATTATCTCTCCTACCGATACTACATCACCTGACACCGAATCCTCACGTTACGGTACGCCAGTGAGCGCCGCTACAACCTTGTCGCCGGACCTTGTCCCACGATTTCCTGGGGGTCGGTCTCCTTTGATCTGCCAACACACATCTCCAAATCAGTCTCCAAACGCTGCATCGGCGCCTTCATTTCCTCCTCCTCCAGGACCAGGGCAGCGGATACGCGCAGGTTCCAAGAACCATGCAGATCGTCTACTCTCTTCATTGACCTTGAGAGGAAAAGCCTCGAAAGTATCATTGGCCGGTGATGCTATTGATGCACTGCAGGATCATACAGCTCAAATGCTTGCTCAAGCATCCTCAGCTAAACACAACGATCCAATGGTACACCCACCAGCAGCTAGAAGGGCTGCATCTACAGGTGGAATAGGCCTAGCTGGGGGATCGTCGCGCTCCAGCAGTCATTCACCTAGTCCAGTCACCTGGGAGCCGAATATGCCCCTGCCACCGCCTCCACCAGGGCCTCCCCCAACATCTGCGCGTTCACAAAGTCTAAATCGACCTATGGAAAGCCCGTCTTCCGGATTGGTACCCACGCTTCCATTCCGGTCCAGACGTCCGCCTGGCACAGGAACTAGCCTTGATACGGTACCACCGACTCCAGCGGACTGGAGGGATGAAGATGGCACAAATGATCAGGCACCCCGTTCGCATGGGCCATCGCCGTTGCATATAGATACTGGTAGTGTACTACAAAAGAGACGGTTGGGGACTGATTATCCATTGACTGCCACCGCTGGGGCCTTAGCCCACCCACGGAGAGACTCCTCAGCCGGAGGGTTGTTTCGTAGCCCTGCAGTCAGAAATCGTAGTGCGATGGGTATCCGAGAGCGGCGCAGTGAGAGCAGAAATGGCAAGGGTAGAGCTGTGGAGGATTCCGCTGTCGAACCTTCAAGCAGTGTGGCTCCATGGGCAGACGGTCTCGATGTGAGACCAACCAATCTGGTTCTGTCAGCTTCTCAAATGGATGCCTCGAAGCAAAGGATGACCGCAAGGTCTACTCCTAAGAGCGGTAAGAGTATGCAGAGTCTGGATGGCGCATTGAACAGCCCGGAAATCCAAAAATCCTCTGGTAAAGCTGTGTCGTTCGTCTCGTCGTGTAACACGCCACAGCCAGGATCTAGCCGGTCACAGCACTTCTCAGGCACTTTGATCTCTACGCCTCTTTTCCCCCCCGGCAGAGAGACTCTAGACCGATCCACCTCAGCTGTCGCATCGCCTTCTTTACCGCTGCAAACGTTCTCAGTATCGCCCCCTAAACGACTGAGTGGTCCTTCCAAAGCATTGTCTTTGATTGTGCCGCCTGGGCCTGAACAGCGTCCTGTGTCTCATATTCTTCACACGCCAAACCTCGATGACTCCATGCAAGTTCCTCTGACCCCATCGACTAAGGCAGCTCAAGAACCACTAGAAGACCTCCTAGGCCCTGAAAGCCCGAAACTCTTTGCTGGACGAGCCATTGAACGACATCGAAATTTTGCAGAACGTGAAGCAGCAGCTGCCAATGACTCTGAGAGGCTCGATCTCTTTGTCCATTTCATGAAAGCTGAGTCGAGGATACGGCGAGAGCAGTACGCCTCTGTTTTCGAAGAAGACGGCATAGAGGTTGATGAGTTGACACAAGGCCTCTTCGGGCATTCCAGCACTGATAAATGCCTTCACGATCGGCATCAAAGTCTATCAAGGCAGAATATGTCGAAGCGGACAAGCATTGCATCTAGTGCTTTGGGAGACTCCTCCTCACAAGATGATTCCTCCGCCGTCAGTCGGAAGCACGAGTCTCCCAGTAGCGCCACCACGAACAGCAGCACTCAGCAGCGGCCAGAGAGTGCCTATTGGAAAGACTATGTACCATGTCTTTCGCCTATAGCAAGTATGAGTATTGTGACTGGGCAAGATGAAGATTCAAGGGGCAGAGCTGCTAGCCGTTGGTTCGAAGATCATTCTCATCCCGGCGATGGCCCACTGGGTGAAGCTTTCAGGGTTCTCGAAAGGTCAAAACGCGAATCTAAGTATATGGGGGTCCCTCAAGAAACACGCAACCCACCAGCATTTTATGGAAATCTAACTTCCGTATCAACAGGGGGCGGGCAATGGCAGCCCTCAGGAGCGAGTCGACAGCCTTCATATGGTCCAAACCAGTACCCCCCAGAAAAGACTGGTTTGCATGAAGAAGATTCCTCTTTACCTCCACCACCTTTCCTTCCCCCAATACCCTCGTCTGCACCAATCACTCCTGACCCGAGAAGACTAGACATCTCGCGGCTTGTGACACTCCCCCCACCGTATCCGCGACATCACCCAGCAGTCAACAACAGTCACCCAGATCTAGCAGACGTACGGGGCGTGGTTCGATCACTTCACGAGAAAGAGGAAGCAGAAACTATTACAAGTTCTTACCGCACGCAAGTCCTCGGAAAAAGGCAACGAGCCGAATCATGGTGCAAGCATCAACACTCACTGCACAGACAGGATATCGAGTTCCGCATTGAGCACGGCGAAATCTCTCAAGAGGACTTCGATGATGCTGAGAATGAGCTAAAGGAGAAGATTGCAAGTTCCGAAAAAGAGATCATTCAAATAGATTTCGACCTTTACCAGCACATTGTCCTCACACCGCTGCATGCACTCTTCTCAGACCGCATCAAACTAGCCGATGCCTCCCTTGACAAGCTCAGCAGCCGCCTCTTCTCGGATTCACAGTCGCAGAACCCGAACCTGCCTCAAGAAGAAGGCGATTTTCAGCCCGAATTGCTGGAGAAACTAACCCAGCTAAAATGGTACGCACATTTCAGAGTTATTCTTCCCTATTTTCTACCAAATCTTGAGCCACAAGACATAGTCTTGGAGCAAACCCCTGCCCCTACTCCTGAGGTCTATGTCGTTAACCCAGCTTTCGTGCCTTGATTAAGCAATGCTGACTCCGATATCGGCTTAGGCTCTTTGAAGCCCGCGAGACTTTGCATCGGCAAATCTATGATCTCCTAAGCGAACGTAATGATAGATATAAAGCTATCGTACTCTTGCCCTACAAACAATCCCAGAACCGGGAGAAGCATGTCGAAGCCGAATTCTTCTTTGCAAAAGACGCGCAAGAACGCAGATCCACATTTCAACAAGCCGTTTGCAAGCGTGCTCAAGCTTTCCAGTCTGTCATAGAGAACAATGTGAGCCGTGGCGTCGAACTCCAGCTTTCCGCTTTCTGGGATATTGCCCCCTCGCTCCTCGAAGTCCTGCATAAAGTGCCCTTGCAACTGGACGGCTTCGAGGTCCAGATCCCAGCGGACGAATATGCCGAAAACCCATCCTACTACGACCATCCACTTCAATATCTCTACTCACTCCTCGGCCACGCGGAAAAATCGACATATCAGTTCATCGAATCCCAGATCAATCTCCTCTGCCTCCTCCATGAGATACGTTCTCACGCTTTAGCGGCTAGATGTAAGGTCGAGGCGCAGGGCAAGGATGCGAGCTGGGCAGCGGAGGAGGAACAGAGAAGGGAGGAGACGAGGTTGACGGAGGATTTGAAGGAAAAGGTTGGGGTTGTAGAAGGCCAGTGGGAAGAGGCGTTGGGAAGTGAGCTTAAGGAAGTTAGGGAGAGGGTTCGAGGAGCGTTGTTGGAGGAAGGGGGGTGGGATGATGAGGGGGACGAGGTTTAGGGAGTGTATAGTGTCGACAGAATATAGTCGATGGGTTATTCTTACAGTCACTTCCATGGCCTGAGGAGGCAAGGCCTTGGTTCAGCTATGTGGCAAGGACGAAAGCTTCGTTGACAACTTGCATGCCTTTCACGACTGGATGGCAATGTTCCCTGTAGTCGATCCCAACAGAAAATGAAGCCAAATCATGACATAAGCAGAGCCGTGATACTCATTGTTTTACAATAAAGGAAGGCACCCTTATAATTCCCGCTGGCTAGCACTCGACAGACCTCCAATCGCAGGCCACTCAAACACTTCATCATCTGGCGTCGCGTTATGATCAGGGCTCCCCGTGAGAAGATTAGGGGTATCAAGGGATATCTGCCGATGCACGAGGGGTGAGTCTTCCTTCGGAGTCAAATTGACATCAAACTCCTCTTCTTCCAGCGCCACTCTACCATATATACAGCGTATTTTATCCGATATCGACGGGTCTGGCTGCCGTCCTCGATGTTGTTGCGAAACGTGCTCGATGAAAGCTTTCTCGCCCCGATATACGTTGTTCGAAGGTGGCTGGATGCCACAGAAGACGCATTGGTAATCATACTGCCCATTCTTGACTTTGGATAAAGCGACATGGCATTTGGCTAAAAAGGCCCATCGATACTGCACAGCGTCGGATACTCGAACGGTATCATCGAACGTCCAATTCTTCCCCTTCCTACAAGCTGGCCCTTCGTATGCGCATTTGGAGCTAGCACAGGCCCAGTAGTTGGATTGGCCTGTCATGGATGTTGATTGGTTGCGAAGATTGACGCTTTCTTTGTCGAGGCCTACTTGCAGCTTGTAAGCGCCTTTGCAGTAGCCACCGTATGGGTGACGGGAGCCTAGTAGGGCGCTTTGGTTGGTCTGGGTTCGTGAGATGATTGGCGAGATTGTGTGGGCTACGTTGTGCATATGGGGCTGTGTTGCATCCTGAGTTACGTTTGCCGTAGTTCGTCTTCGAGGCATGAATGGGAACTTCTTCTGCGTCCCTTTCGATTCTGGGCGCGTTCCGCTCTCTGCCACAGGTGGAGCATCTGATTTCGGTTGTTTCCGAGGCTTGTAGGCGGCTACCCTCCGCATGGGTTTCGGCTCCCGCAACGGTCTTGGGGGGTCTTCAACCGAGGCGGCTTCTCTTCGTGGCATGTACGCCATTATTCCTGTCGCTGGGCTCAATTCTGGAGCAGCGGCTTTCTTAACGCCACCGTTCGAAGTAGAAGGCTCTTCTCGCCATGGGTTCTCTTCATCAATTGACAACTCAGAAGATAACTTCCACAGATCGTCAGCAAAGTCTCTTGGGGGAATAGAGCCTTCTGAGGTCACCCGCGAGGATGAATTTCCTGTTGACGATACATTTCCTCCAAATTTGATGCCTGGCGGAGAATCATCGAGCGCTGATTCTCGTGAGTTGCTAGGTGCGAGGCTTCCCGAAGCTATTTCCGATTCAAGTTTGCGCGTGCTTGAGGGAAATACTCCCCATTTTCTCCGTGCAGAGACAGGCGATTTGCCGGGGTCTTTCTTCGATGTCGAGTCTTCAGGTGGTAGGTTTCGATCAAACAAAGTTGGAACAGGCGGACTTTTCGCCAAGACCTGGGATGCCACCTGATGTGAAGGAGCAGCACTGGTCGGATTTGCATATTCCCATATGGATCCTGAGTCTGCCGTAGGTTCCCCTATCGGCAGCTGCATGTTTTGCAGAGGAGCTGCTTGTGCCATCCGCATATACAATTCATTGAGGACGGTGACGGATTGAATACGTCCAAAATCAGAAGCGTCTACTAACATGTGGAAGTCCGTCATATTGTCATCTTCTGATGCAGACCACAGATGTCTTAGGAGAGTCCCTTGGAGGGCAATGAGGATGTTCCTGAGAGCTTCGGTGGCTATCTCTAAAGCCAAATGTCAGTAAATGGCTTATAGGCTACTACGCATCAGTACTCACGGTCTCCAGTAGCAAATAGAGACCCATATCTCTCGATTCCATTGTCCTTTGCTTGCTCCACGGCTATAGGACCTCGCTCCAATGAGCTCTCAAGTGATTTTGTTGGCGTCAATGCTTTCTTCGCAGCTCGTTTCGCTTTGATCTGTTTTACAATCTTTCCACCGTCTTTGTAGGCTGATACCACCGCGGCAACGCAGCCAAGGACTGCAACAACTTCCATCCCACTCATGATGAACGCCCGAAAGGTAAGATGTCAGAGGTCCCGCCGAGGTTCTGCTGCCAAGGTTTAACGTGTGGAGGAGCGGCTCCCATGGAAGTTAGGATGATCGTGTCAAATAGGCGCCCGGAGGCTCAAGGCTGCCGTCGATGATGATAGGCCAAAGAATCGTGCACGGCATTGAGTTGCATATGCAAGCCATTGGCAGCCATAGTTCCAACCAAATTATGAGGATAAGACATCAGCTTACAGGATGTCATTGAAGGTCTGCTTCATGTATCATCACCCTGCCTTTTGTCCGATGATCTTATCTTTACAGACCTCTTCCAGTGACGCCTACAATCGATAATGAGGTTGATGCAGTCAGCCATGTACCTCCACCCTCTACTTGTAAGGCTGATCGGCGTTTGCTTCAGATTATGTCCGTGCCTCGGCTCCTCTTTTTCGAAGCATTCCATCTTTTTTGGCGTTTTTGGCCCGCTTCAAAAGACCATTAATTCCCCTCAGAATCGCATCCTTCTCCTTGAGCAGTAGAGACTTTGATAAACCTAATAACATCAAACATGTCGAAAGCACACGAGCGTCTCTCCCAGGTCCAATCTCATCTCGCCTCTTCCGAAGCCGACATCCCCCTCGGCCGCGAGTCTATCCTATCCAAGTCCCCCAATGATATCGTCATTACCTGTGCTCTCCGCACTCCTTTCACTAAAGGTGGGAAGGGTGGGCTCAAAGACACTCCAGCCGCCGATCTCTTAGTCCATGCACTCAAATCCCTGCTCGCCCGCTCGAAACTCGATCCTTCTCTCGTTGAAGATATAGCTGTGGGAAGCGTGCTACCGCCCGGCGGAGGAGCTACTGAGTTCCGGGCAGCAGCACTCGTTGCTGGATTTCCTGAGAGTACAGCTGTGAAGAGTCTGAACAGACAATGCTCGAGTGGATTACAAGCATGTGCTGATATTGCCAATGCCATTCGTTCGGTACGTAGATTTCCGACCTGTTCTTCCCAATTCTTTGCCAGAATTTGAGTTGCAAGATATAGTTCGGGAGAACCCCTCCTTCTACTCCAGAGACCTGTTTCGTAAACAAGCAATGCTGACTCTCGAATCTGCGTAGGGCATGATTGACATAGGCATCGGCTCAGGTGTTGAAAGCATGAGCTCTCAGTATGGTCCTGGGGCAGTAACCGAATTCTCCGATTTGCTCGAATCTGACCCCGAAGCTAAAAACTGCAAAGTACCTATGGGCGTGCTGTCCGAGCAGATGGCAAAAGATCGGTCGATATCGAGGAAAGATCAAGATTCATTCGCAGCGTCGAGCTATCAAAAAGCTCTTAAAGCGCAGAAGGAAGGGAAATTCGATGAGGAGATCGCCCCACTGCACAATGTGAAGTTTGTGGATATGAAAACGGACGAGGAGAAGGTGATTACAGTCGATAAGGACGATGGGATACGAGATGGCATTACAGCCGAGAGTCTAGGCAAGATTAAGCCTGCTTTTGCTAAGGATGGTTCTATTCATGCGGGCAATGCTTCGCAAATCACCGATGGTGCCGCTGCAGTTCTGTTGATGAAGAGGAGCACAGCGGAGAGGCTAGGTCAGAATGTTGTTGGTAAATTTGTGTCCAGCTCTATAGTTGGAGTCAAGCCACTCCTTATGGGAATTGGCCCATGGAAAGCTATTCCTGTTGCTCTGGAGAAAGCAGGGATATCTAAGGACGAGGTGGATGTCTTTGAAATTAATGAGGCTTTTGCCAGTCAATGTTTGTGGTGTGTTAAGGAGTTGAAATTAGATGAGAAGAAGGTATGTTTACTCTGCTCGTGAGTTGCGCTGTGGTTCATCGCTGATTCTTCAACAAGGTCAATCCCAACGGAGGTGCAATTGCTTTGGGCCATCCACTGGGCTGTACCGGTGCGAGACAAGTGGCGACGCTCTTTAATGAGCTGGGAAGGACGGGAAAGAAAATCGGTGTTACATCCATGTGTGTCGGTACGGGGATGGGTATGGCTGCCGTCTTTGTGAAAGAGTGAGAGGGAGAAAGAGAAGAAAGGTGTCAGCATATTTGACGAGCTGTTGTAAACCAATAGACTATGGTTTTTTTTGTGCTATCGTCATCTTCCCTTGAACCTCAAGCATTCTTCGTTGTGACTACTCGAGTCTGACGCTAGTCCCAATATGACTTCTACATCAGCCCTACTTCATGTCAGCGGCGAGGCTGCTGTCTTTCAACCATATTACATAGCCTCTAACGGTATCAGCCTGCACCACTTACGAAGATGAGCGCGAATATTCCGTTGCAGCAGAGAGAATGCCCGGCAGATATCCTCCTACTAATGTTCGAAAAAGTTCATCATACTGCGCCGGCTTCCTTATGCAATCTGCGTCTTGCTTCGAGACAGTTCAACGTCTTAGTCAATCTTATTTTCTGCCGTCATCTGAAGCTCTCTGATGGCCTCGTCGGGTGCCTCAAGGTAGACGATAAGCCTGACGTGCCTCCCAAGATGTTTCGAAAAAGAACATCTCTTGGCCAACTCGGTTCAAAAGTCAGCGAAAATCATGGACGTCGTATTCACAATTCATCATCGTCTGTCCGTCAATCGCACAAATAGCACCGCACGCAATCTCCGAAGCTCTCCGACTCTCGATTCTTAAGCACGTGCCCCAGTATGTACTCCAAAGACTGCGCTGCCCCCTCAAAACACTCCATTTAGATTGAAAGTCCCTCACATCCTCCACCACCCAGGGGTCTTTGAAAACAATTCCCTAGGTCTCCAAGAACTTGAAGGCTTCTCCGATACCCTCACCGCCTCTGCACCGTCTTCTAGATTCGTGACGGCGGGAAAGTCTCCAAAGCCAGTCACGCTGGAGGTCTCACTCTCGGGCCCAAGTTTCCTGATTGCAATTTCTGTCTCCTGATCCTTCGCCTTGTTCTTTCTCATTTTCCTTCGCCGGTGTGAGAGGCCGAATACAAGGATGCCTATGATGAAGAGCGAGAGGATTGGGATGGCGATGGAAAGGGTGGTGACTGCACATTTATGGTCACATGTTTGAGACGCTCTGGATGCTTTGCCGCCGGACGTGGGCTCGTTGCTGCCAACGTTGGCTGTAATTGGAGGATTGCCCCTTAATGCGACCATTTTACTTGGACTGGGTCTGGTTATTCAATAATGAGAAAGGAATGATAAGAGTAGGGCCCGGCTTCACTAAGGATACTGATGAGAGGCTCGGGGATAAGGCGACCTTCCAAAGGGTCAACAGGCAATGGATATGAAGATAGTGGTTTTGGATGTTCTGTTTCGCGAATATTTTATGTCAGGAGAAAAAGGCAAAGATGGAAGAGAAGTGGAGCTTTTTATAAGCGAAATGAGACTGATGTTTCCCTTCATAAGTCACCGTCTTGCCACCGGTTTGCCTATGCGAAACAACGATGCAAGAGGCATAGAACGTGTGCAGGATTCAGCCGTGATAGATTAGAAACATGAGACTTAAGCACCAATTGCTTCGACCACCCGTGATTGGGTAATGCCAGATCATGTTGGTATTTCGAGTGCCTGCATCGCATTCTTCGCTCCAACATCAGGCTGTATCAAAGCCGAAGGATGCATGCAGGGGCAATTCAGCCTCCAATAGGGCGAAGTAGAGGGCTTGGCACCGGCGGTTGTACGTTATTTGTGGACAAAGAAGATTGTTTCAAAGCCTGAAAAAAAGATGTTGAGAAATGAGCCCGCTGTATGAGTGGATCCAAGTCTTAAGGAGATGCTTGGTGTCCGAACGCAAATAGCGAGAGTAGTTTACAGAAAGGAGTTGCCTCAGTCCTCGGACGCTTCCCTCACCCTTCTAGGTTAGCTTCCGTTTCTAGCTCAAGGTTCAAGATTAAGCGCCGCGCCAACCCACATAAGGTTTAGATGCGCTCGATTCCGTGCTCGGGCTGGGAAGCCCCTGCTGTCGGCTAGATATCGGGAACTACCCAACAGAGTAAAACGCGGCGCTAGAAACTTAGTAATCAGATTAGTAGCGCGACTAGCCAGTAGGGGGGATGGAAGCAGAGTAAAGTACTGTACTTTAAGTTTAAAGTAGTGGATCTCCGGAGGAACTTCGGAGACTCCAAGCCACGTCTGACGCGTGGCTAGCGCGCCAAGCGCGCTGCTTTCTGCCTCGCTTCTTCTGCCTGCTGGCTCACAATGACTTGAACGTTGCTTTCGATGCGACCGTCTGACTGTTTGGCTATTGAAGCATGTTTGATGTTAATTTGGACGGTCTGCTGGACAATCGCCCTCTTCTAAACCGATCTGGAGATCCTTTGGGGCCACCAAGGCATCTCTGTCCTACTGGAATCTGCCTCGCATGTAGCCAGCAGCATTTGGTTGCCTTGCGTTGAGGGAGGCCTATCTGCTGCCTAAAGAGCTTAATTTGATCTTTGGAATACAAATTGAAGCCTCTCGTCTGTCTGATAACTTCAAATCAACTTGACAGACTTTGGATACTCTAGTTCAAGTCCACACATTGCCATTGTGATATACCCTTGAATTCCATCACAGCATTTGAAGATACGCCTGCCGGGCCGTCCGTTCTGGCTTTTGGCTGCTGTGATATAGCTTTTGAATCCAAGGACTACTGTCATCATGGCTGAAGAAAATATCCACAAGCAAGAGTTTACGGTCCGCAACCTGCAAACCCGTAACGTGACTTTCTACCCGACTAGAGCGCACATAGTTCGAGACATAAATGACATTACTCTGAAGGTGTGTCCTCTGTTCTTCTTGCTTTAAACTGAGACTAAATGAATCGTCTGCAGCCAGGTGCGAATGAAATAACCATTTTGGGGCTCACGCCTACGGCAGACGAAACCTCGATCAAGGTCGATGGCAAAGGCTCAGCCACCATCACAGACATGATGGTCGAGCTCATACCAAATCCAGACATTTATGAGAATGTTTACCCAGAGTCTGAAGACGATGTCGAAGAGTCGGAAGACGACCAGAGTGAATCAGAACCCGAGTCAGATGCCACCAAAGCTCTAGCAGATGAAAAGAGACGGAATGATGGATCTGTCATGGAAGCTAACGAGGAGAAGAAAGCCGCTGCGAGCCGCTTAGCGATGCTGGAGAGTTACGGGCGAAGTTTCGAGAAAGACCGACCCAACGACCTTAAAGGCTGCATCTCTGCCTATCGTGAAGAGCGCAAGAAGGCGTTCGAGGTTCACAAAGAGAGCGAAGACAAGATCAAGTCTTTGGAGAAAGAACGGTTCAATATACTCAAGCGGCAGGTCAAAGATTCAAAGGCCACCGTGAAGGAGAAGGGGAAGGCCTCTAAAGAGAAGTCCAAGAAGCTTGAAAAGAAGCAGAAGCTACTTCAAGAGAAGTCGAATGCGAAACGCAGCCTGAAGGAGGAGCGAGTCCAATTCTGGCCTCGACGCGTCTACCGAGTCACTCTGAGTCTTGACACCAATTCCGAGTTGACCCCTGCATCCTCACGCCGAGGATCAATTGACAACCTCACAAAACCCACGTTGGAATCACCATCCTCGGATTCCTGCCAGATCTCTCTATCCGTCTCTTACATCACGAACTCGGCATATTGGTCTCCGAGATACGACTTGTCCTTGGATACTGTTGCCAGCTCTGGTCTCATCATATATCGCGCTGAATTCTGCAACACCACCTCCGAGACATGGAAAGATGCGCAGGTTATTCTATCTACATCTCAAACTGCATTCCAAGGACTTGGAGAGCCAATACCAACCATGCTTCCTTGGCATATACGGCTTAGTAAAGGGCTTTCAAGGACAGCCGATGGCACCAATGGCGCTCTAATGAGCGTCTACGAAATGGAAAACAGGCGCAAAGGCCCAATGAACGTGGCTAGCAGATCTATCGAGCCTCGCAATGTACTTTTTGGATTAAGCGGAGTGTCTTTTGCCCCTCAACAAGCCGCTTTCAAGGGTCAGCAACAGGCCATGCAGAATGTGCAGAGGCAACAACAAATGCAGCAGCAATACGTGCAACAACAGCAAATGCAGCAAGCGCAAGTCCAAGCAGGTTTTGGCCAAGCCGCTCAGCAGCAGAGTGCGTCTGCCGGTCTCTTCGGCAGCAGTAATGCGACATCAAACGTGGCCAGCTCCAACTCAGCGCTCTTTGGCTCGTCAAGCGCAGGAATTCCATCTTCGGAACGTAATGATGCCCTACAGGATAACCAGATGCAGATGATGCTGTTGGAGCAACAAAACAAAAAGCGCATGCTCATGGCTCGACAAGAACAAGATACCGTACGTGGAGCCGTCGGCTATGGCGAAGGTCTTGACGACGGTAACGCCGAGACCATTATACCAGACTTACCTACTCTTGGCACCCAGGAATCCGAATGGACTGAATCTGGGTACGTTCATTCTGGAGAGGCTTCACCCTGTTCGAGACCCGAATCTGAGCTTCAAGACCAATTTCGCGACTATAAATCTGTTGCACCTGTCTTTTTAATACATTTGTATTACTCCGGAGAAAAACTGCTGACCCCAGAATATGCGTAGGTTGACTACCGCCTACGGAATACCAGGATTGCGCACGGTCGCACCTAGCTTTACCACACGTCGCCACAAGATCGCGTCGGTACATCTCAAAGACGTCCATCTGTCTTATGTCCTCGTCCCAAAACTTCGAGTAGCAGCCTTCTTAAAGGCCCGTCTCCGTAACACCTCATCCGTTGCACTCCTCAAAGGACCAGCTGGGCTTACGCTGGACGGCTCGTTCCTCGGCAACACGAACCTGCCTCGCTGCAGCGCTGGCGAACACTTCCATCTCAGCCTAGGTGTCGATCCCAGCGTCAACGTGACCTATTCCAAACCGGTTGTCAAAAGATCACAAACTGGCGTTTTCAATTTCACCAAAGAAGGCAGTGGCGTCTACACGCGGACTTGCACGATTACTAACACTAAATCCAATCGCGCAATCGAGGGCACAGTGCTCGATCAAATTCCTGTGAGCGAGGAAGACCGTCTAAGAGTGGAAGTTCTCCAGCCTCTCGGCCTAAAAACAGAGGGCGATGCGGTGAAGACTGGTACTGGCGTTGTAGGGAAAGGGAAGGAGACTTGGGGAAGGGCGACCGCGGTGTTGAAGAAGGGTGGAGAGGTGGCTTGGGAAGTCAAAATTGAACCGGGACGGGGAGCAAAATTAGTCCTGGAGTACGAGGCCAAGTTCCCAAGCGCCGAGACGGTCGTTTGTGTCTGAACGTGGGTTTTGAATACCCAAGGCAAGAGCAAGCGAGGGACAAAGCACCGAAAACAATGTTGCGAGCAATCTGAATTTCTCAAACAGAAGTCACGTAGGCGAAATGTATATCGGGCACGTGGGAGAAAAGAGCAAGGAGCAGCAAGGAGTGGGAGAAAGGAAATAGTAGAGAGGATTTCTGTCACCATTCTACCATATGTCAAATCACAATGCCCGATGCCTGGTAAAGCTAAGTGGTAGAATTGACAAAATATCCTCAGGCAAACGTAGTTCGTCTTGTACGAGAATATAGCAAAAGTCATGCATGGAGGGCGACAACCCATGATGAAATTGTAGAAATCCTATGCGGCGCCAGAAAAAAAGTGGTGACTTTCATCGCCTGTTGCTCAAAACCGTCGTTTGTAGAGGGCGAAAACCCTCTATGCAATTGTAAAAGTTCTACGATTCAGGCGCGGTGCCAGAGAAAGGTGACATTCTCCACCAAATGTTCCTAGAAAACCCGTTATTTTCTTTACAAGAGAAGTACTTTTGGTGTGTTTCATCCTTTCTATTCGATGTCCTCTGATGGGAAGAGTCTTCTTATCCCGGTCGATATTCACAGGAAATGCGTGAACGAAAAGAAGGAGAGCTTTCTCATGCCGTGGATTGGAATTCTCTCTAGCATGACTTTTGCTGCATTCTCTTTACAGAAAACATCTACTTAACCAAACAAAAACGACGAAGAGGAAGAATCCAACGGTCAGCGTCTACAATGGAGGTAAGGGTGACCATCCGCTGCGGAGAAGAGGATGCTCCGGTCTTGGAACCGTGGACGCCATGATTTTGGCTGTACGGTACCCTCTTGAAAGCTCCCAGTTACCCAGAATGGCGTAGTGCAGAAAGGCGTAACGGTGGAGCATCGGCGATGAAGAATGAAGCGGTTAACACTGGGAAGCTCTCTTGTAGGCAACTCGTGACCAATCGTCTCGGACCGGCTGGATGACATTTCAAGGCAGGCGAGATTGCAGGATTGGCGGTTGATAGGTGGACATTGGACAGAGGTCGCCGGTCGGCCACTACGGTTTACGAATTACGAATGACGGGCTGCATTTGCTCGAGCTCAGCAGGCGGCAAAGAAGCATGATGCAAGGGAGCGGCGCCACGCGCATAGACGAGGTCGTATTTGATTTTTCCCACTTAGCTTACAAGTAAACGTATTACAGAGCCAATAGGCGCACAAGTACGCCGAGGGTAAGTTTTGTCGGACAGTCAGTGGCGTGGTTTGCTTCCCTGGTCCTTTTTTCAACTTTGATAGGAATTGGAAAGGGGAAAGGTTGTAGCGAGCGGAGAATTTGTGCAGCTGGTTGCAGTGCTTCCAGTGGTTAAGGTAGTACGGAGTACAAAGTTACCGGTAAGCTTCATTCTTTGACTTTGGAGCGTGGTGACTGGATCCAAAAGTGATAATGCGTATGTAACGTTTTTGCAGGATGCCTGGCAAATTCTGCATATGAGAACATTCCGAGTCCAACTTCAGTATGGGAGTGCAGAAGTGTGCGTTGTGGTTGCTCCGAGTACGAGTACATTGCATGCTTATGATTCTGCGTCTTGCGTGGGATTACCTCCGCCAACAAATCATGTCACGCATATCTTCAGAGCTATTGGGGGCTGTGCTGGGGGTTTCGGCCCCAGCTGGGCGATCTGCAGCGGCAGTGCCCATATGTATCACGATATCTCAGACACGGCCTGCCAGCGGGTCATTAGGCGAACAGTCACAGTCTCACAGACACGGCCGAGGAGATCCATCAGACCCGACATGTTGGTATTGGCCCTCATGCCCTTTGGTCGACTTTCGTCATGCGTTTCGGAACGACTGGCACCACGAATTTACGCAATCATCAATGATGATAGTTCAGATGATCTCGGAAACAGATGTTCTCCACTGGCTTCATTGTTTAACGCTGGAGTGGTCCAAGAAATTCAATGGCTTCTGCGAATGCTGAATTGGTGACCTCGCATGAGAGGGTCAAGTGGAGAAAGTGATAGCCCAAAGCGTTTCATGCCACGCTGCGCAAGGATGGAGCGGGATGTCGATATGTTCTATTTAGTAAGAAGAAGTCGAGCGTTGCTTGGATGATGCTGATCGACAATGGTGCTGCAGCTAGAGCGGCAATAGCATTAGCAGCCTTAGCAGCCTTGGGGGGACTTCCCCTAGAGAGCCCCTAGAAAACCCCTAGAAGCTTGGTGGAAGGGTCGTGGAAGCATTTTCGAACACTCTCCTGCATCTCGTCGGCTAAGCCCAAATTTTAATACTCTAATGCACAGTAGATCTCCAACATTGCGACTCACATGCATCTGAATAATGAAACCCTTTATCGATAGACTGATACACTGATTGTAGATACAAGATAATGCTCTCCATCACTCTGTGATCATTCTGTGAGGTACGATATATTGTCGCTGCCAGTGTGGTAGGAAGTATCAAGCCACGAAATTCGTGGTCTTGTTGCCGGGGTCACATCCAATCTCCGTGAGCTTGCTTGCCCCTCTTAGGACCTCCGCTTTCCTTTGACCAATGAAGCAGGAGAAGGCGCCCCATCACATCTGATTCGACTTCACCGCAAATTCCCCTGCTTCCTCGACGTCAGGGGCTTCCAGTAGCCCCTCATCGTCTTTCCTAGTTCTACGAGCTCTGTGCACACTCCGCCCCGAGAGCTTTGATCCCAACACCAACATCTTCCCGGCCTCAACTCCAGCAACAGCTTGGACCAAACTGCAGAGCGACATCGCGGGCCCAGATCTAGCCTGAATACCCATAGCTCTCCCCACATTCAAAAACTCCGACCCTGCGCTACACAGGAGCCTAGCTTCGAAAGTCGTTCGTTACCAATCGACAACAACCAACGTATCCTCCAATTTTACACTGAAGACTCAACCTTGGCTTAAAAGCCGCATATTCAGTACCTCGCAAGAAAAATCGAAATAGGTTCGATAGCCATACACTTGGGGAGGACAGCGTTCGAATAGCGCTCAACCGTCTCGAGGCACACTCCCTTCAGCTCCAACTGGTAGCAGAGCAGAACGAAGAGAAAAACCCTTATCGCCCCACCAGGCTGCAAGGAAAGATATCTACACACAACGACGTCCAGAGCGCTCATCCCAGACCCTGAAGCTGATCCAAAGCGCGGCATCACCGCCGACTGACCTTGCTTGGCTAATGGGGTGATCACGAGCGCCAGCTGCTAGACCTACACGACACCGTGAATCTTGCCCATCCCAACTAAAAGAGACTGCGCGAAGAGAAGTCGTGACTCCATCATCAACCAACCTTCACCGGGACTATCTCCGGAACGCTGCAGTATACTTTCCAACCCCGTGGTTCACCCACAGCCTCCCGGGACACCGCGCCTGAAACTTCAACGTTTGAGTCAATAAAAATTTTACCTTGGTTACTTGGTATCATATGCAAAAGGGTATATTGCAATCCAGAGCCCGCACGCGTCAGCCTCTGTCGGATCAGCTACAAGACATAGTGAGACCTAGCGTCTCTCCGGCTTCGCCCACCATCTCTTCGTTGGACCGTCTGTGCTTGCTGGATAACAAGTTTCTTGGAAGAGGCAGCTCTCCCACGATTGTTGTCGTATCCATAGGTGCAAAATTCCGGACGAGGTGCCGCTCCACCCTGCAGCTGCTTCCAGTCAACCATTTGGCCAAAGGACTACGCTACGACGAAGCAGTCGAACGCGAAGCTTCGCCGCTGCAATTGCTCAGGATCTCCCGCACCACATTCAGTTATGGATATCACGAACATGTTGAATGGAAAAGGCCCTGCTGCTGTTGCCGCCGCCGCCGAGCGACAACTCCAGCAGCATATGGCGCAGGGTGTGAGCTATAATCCTCCCCCCCAGCTGCAGCAACAGATGCCAATGCTGCCAACAACCTACGTGGAGCGATCCTTCCAAAACGTTTACATGCAGCAACAGCAGCAACAGCAGCAACAAAATAATCAGCGCGAAGCTGGTGCTGATGACTCCGGCAGTTCGCGGCAAAACAGCAATGGAAGTGTAAAAGCTTTTGCATGCACTACTTGTGGAAAAGGCTTTGCACGGAGGAGTGATCTTGCTCGTCATGGTAAGTATATCTGAACGTAGTCATCGATATCGTCGCTAATACAATACTGTAGAACGGATACATAGCGGTGACAGGCCCCACGTGTGCCCGGAGAAAGGGTGCAACAAGCCCTTCATACAGCGATCTGCTTTAACAGTGCATATGCGAGTTCACTCAGGTGAGAAGCCACACATGTGTGAGCGCTGCGGCAAAGTAAGCAAAAGTTGTAAAAGTTGACGTGAACTACGCTGACAATCTTCGTAGCCTTTCAGCGATTCGAGCTCTCTGGCCCGACATCGTCGCATACACTCTGGGAAACGACCATACAAATGCCCCTTCGCAGATTGCCAGAAGACCTTTACCCGTCGCACTACTCTAACCCGTCACCAAAACCAACATTCTGGCACAGTGGAAGAGGCAGCTGCCGCGACTGCAGCGGCCCTTGCTTCTCGCAATCCTGGACAGCACAGCCGAGCCGACTCCGAAGTTGGGAGTTTCTCTGACACCGCATCCATGGCTTCTGGAATGACAAGAACACCTTCTCCCAGCGAACGGAATTTGCCCTTGTCGCCCTTGAGCGACGTCCCTCACATGCCCTATCTCAACCGCCAAACAAGCAACACATCCTACAACTCTAACTACAACTCTAACGATTACCTACCCCCTCACATGCGAGCCGGACTCCAACAACCCAGCCCTCGCTCCTCTCCATCCGCAAGCTCGCCAACCCTCTCGGCCTACGGTGGCAAACACCACCGTCCATCCCTGACCTCTCATCCCATGCTTCCTGTACTCGAACCTCCTACTTTCCACGACCTTCGTCAACCTAGCAGCGGGAATGTCAGCCCACATATGAGCGGCAGCTCCGGATGGCAGAGCCCAGCACATCCGAGTGGTTTGCCGAGTCCAGGGCACAACGATGGATTTGGGTATCATGACCCACCGTATGCATTTCCTCAGCACATGATGTCGAACATGAGGAGGCCGCAGAGCACGGAGCCTGACCATTACGAATTGAGGCCACGACTGCCGAGCAATGCTGGTGGGTGGGCGACTAATATGGGATGAGGCTGCTACTGTGAAGGATTACCAGGCCTGGGTGATACTATTGCATTCTTGCTGGTTTCTGTATTATACCCACGCTACTTTACATTGCTTGCGGCCGGCACGTTGTCTTATCTTGCATTCTACTCGCAGGATCTTTATTAGATGAGCGTGGAGTTTTATGGGTTGAAGCTGCATGCTAGTTCTGAATGGAGGTCAGAGGAGGTCATTCATACACAGTTTGCATACATTTTCGGATGGCTTGGTGGCTGTTAATGGGATTTCAATCTCAGTCATACAGCCATTACGTTCAAAACCCTCCTTCGGTCTGTACATAAATGTTCCATCGTTACCGATGTCGAAGATAGACAGACACACGGCTAATCCTTGGAGTATTATTCTCAAGCTGATACTCGTCTCCCCGCGATGTAATTGTAAGGAGCAGAGTCTATAGGAGTATCATTCGTGGCCCTCCTGACCGGCAACACGCACACACTCTCCTCTTCTACCGTGGACGCGAGGTTTCATCTACGCAGCGGTTGCCAGCAGTTTTCACAACTCCGGCCTTCTGTGACGGCAGAAGCATGGTCTGGCATAGATCAATGTATCCAGAGCCACAAGAAAAGTAGCAGGTGGAATTTATCCTTCCTTTTCACTCGCGTGACACACTGACTTCGGTCTTGCAGTCCTCAAATTCCTAGGGTGTCGTCGCTCCCTCTCAGATCGATCGGCTCTGAGATGGACGTCGTGCTGCCTTCTGGTATGAAACCCCTAAACTATAAAAACGTATTTCTTGCTAACCCGCTCAGAATCATGTAAACAATACATACGACACTATCAAGATATGCATCGAGAGCTGATTCGTTCAACGGCTAGCATCGCTCTAGCCTTCCCTAATGCCCATGACTTCGCTGAGGCCACAGGCATGAGCCCTCAATCATGGCAACTCAGTGTGGCGAACAGCACTTGTGCTTCTCAAGAATGCCTTTTTAGGCTCTACACAGATCCTAGGACGCGTCCCTTAGATGTTCAAGCTGTTCTTGGCTCACCAGTATGGCGTAAAGACATGTGGAATCTTTTGCCAACAATCAATGTGGATGAGCCTCAATATGCAGAACGCAGATGGTCTGTGTACGTTATCAAGCTTGAAGAAAGTCGTGGCCATAGCGTTGAGGGAGGACAAGATCTAAGCCCCGGACAGAATCCACAGGTCAGTCAAGTAGATCAAGGAACCTACGTGGGAAGCGCGCAATCACAATCGGCAGGGAGCGGTTCCCTGGCTGGTGAGATCAGCCGGTTAGTCTCTGGTCATGAACACTTCTTTCAGTTGTCTACAGATGACATCTGGGAACTCAGGAGTACAAGTGCGGAGTCGAGTGCCCTGTATGTGCATACGATTGGAGCACGCGAAGAAGTTCCCAGATCGTACCATTCGACCGCCTCCTTCCCTGTAATCGAATCAGCCTCGTGGTTTCAAGCCCGGATCCGGCAATCGATTCAGCGTCTTGAGAACGACCAGGCTATCATTCTGGGTTCTTGGAATATGAGTAGACCAAAGGGTCCAAGAGCGAGTATAATTACGGGACTCTCAAGCATATTTCGAAAAAAGTGCGGCCATCTTCCTGGCCCCGTCCTTCGCGGAATGGCCTTTAACCAAGTTTTGCCTTCCTCACGAGCGCAGCAGCTACATTCCCAATCACCTTCCATTGCAGTCCAAGGCCTTTGCGACGCATTACGACTGTTTCACGAGAAGACCAGCGAGGTCCATCTAGACGCATGGAATATCCGGTGCATCTTTAGCGAGAACGAAGGACTCATAAAATCGAGTCGGCACATACTGCCTTCAAGTGTCCGACAGTTTGTGAGGATGTGCTACGCGGATGTGCTTCGTAAAAAGGGTCTGAAGTACGAGAGGCGATCTTGTCAGATGCTTCGACTCCTCTTTCCGATTCTCTGGGGTCTTGCCCAACCCTTTGATGCGTCGGGGCTTGTACTTGGAGAATATGATGCGGAACATATCCTGCACTGGGCCGCCGTTGATTGGTGTCGTCTTGCTCAACTCGCGCAAAAGATCGCTCCTGAAGGCGAGGAAAAGACATATTCGCCTGCCTTCTGCGCTCAGAAAGGTACATTTGATCGTGCAAATACGACTTTCCGGAGGCGGTTTCCTTATAAGCCAAATTTCGACGCAATACGCGATATATCATGTGACTTCTTTCTATTTGATAGCTTTTAGGCCGCGCCAGAGGATTGATGCAATTTTTCTCCATGCAATTTCTTGATAGTCGTGTTAACTTCGACACCATCAACGGCCTCGAAATTGTAGAATTGCTAGCCCCGACAACGAAAGAAGGAATCAAGAGTCTTCTTAAAGAGCTGAGGGATCATGTTCTTCAGACTTCTTCTTCTCACATTACGCGTGAACTTGACCTTCGAAGCAAGAACAAGATGATTCAGTTGTCCGAGACTGAGTTAAGTCGTCTCGGCAAAGCATTTAGGGGGGTGACAGAATATGTCCTCAGGCGCATCCTAGTTAATGTCGAAGGGGTACGGCTCGTCGACCGGATAGCGTGTTCAGGTTCCTATGAACAAGACAGTGAAGCTCTGGCGACTAGAACTTCTCCGATTCTCGCCAAGGACTGGCGCGATAATTTGCTCACGGGATTACAACCCTATGTGCAAAATGCCAACGCTGACATCTGCGATGATACCCCTTCCGACTCCAAGGCTACGAACGAGATGAATGCTCTTACTTTGTTTTCAAATGAACAGTCCATGAAACTCGACGGCGTTGAGCTCATCGAGGAGGATATTTTAGATCTACGAAAATATCGCTCCTGGATCACTGAAGAAGGAGAATATCATCAAGCTGTCCAGAACTCCAGTGAGGTTCCCCAAAGATCCGGAGTCCTTACACTTCTAGAGAAAGACATGCGTCGAGAAGACATAAAGGCACCGAGTCAAACGAAAAAAGTAAGACCCAAAAAGAAACGCCCCGCCAAAGACGCTGTTTCTCTGGTTATCGAAGAAGTCCAAACGATTGAAAAGTTTACCCCCCGATGCTGTACCTCGTGAACCTCCCAAACACAATGGACTCGAAGACGGTAGGAGGTGACCCCTCTTGATGATTACTTTTCATGCGTCTGATATCCTAAACTATTTTCACGGGATGAACAGTTCTTTCTTGCGCTTTCTCGGTGGAAGCAGAAGCAGCCTGGCCTTCGCACAACCTATGACTCGAAGTCCAAAGAGCTACGACCGTTTGCGGAGACATACTCCCGACTGTCCAAGGGTGAAACGGGTGAAACACTGGCAAGCCAACGTGTGAACGAAATTTCCTCCGTAACGCAATCAAATTTGAGGACGTAGGGAGCGCGAAGCTTCAGAAGATGCAAGTGAAAGCTTTTGCAGCCGGGCTTTCGTCGGCGCCCAAATTTACTGCTACCGGTATTTATAGATATTTCTCTCCCTTTTCTCGATCTTGCTTATTCCCTAATTACAGGCGCAGGGCTTCTTTTCAAACTCTTTCGTCAATCAATATCTTTAAACACAAAGCAAGCCGCCAATGCTGCCATCTCGCTTGCCCCGTATTTTACCAGTAACCGTAGTGCGAGAAAGGCCATCCAGGCAAATATCGCGGATGATTTCACAAATCGCATAATTGCTGAGAGTGAGCTGAGCGGTGTCACTTGGTCAATTTCGCCTGACAACACCAAGGCACGAATAGTCTAGATATACACGATCACCCAAGGGCAAGGAAGGTTTTTCCAAGTTCGAGGAAATGGAAAAAGAATCCCATGCAACATATCAGCAGCAGTGCAGCAAGTGCCTCTGGCGCCATGCACCCAGCAGTCCTAGGCTTCGGCACCACGAAGAGAGTTGCATTGGACGATGCGATCGATGTGAGGAGCACAACCTACCTTGTAGAGTCTTTAGCCAACGAAGCGAAACAGATCCAGATCCAACTGGAAATACAGACCGTATCTTCTGTTTGCAGTCCAATGAGAAACGTGTCCGGATGCCAATGTAGGAGTTGACATTAGCTAAGAGCGAAAAGAACGACTGAGCCGCTGACACGTCATGAGAGCACAAGAGGGCCTGGCCCCTATGATTTGCATGAAAGAATAGATTTATGTACATGAGAATCAGCTATCACGCCAAGTCAAGTCCCCGTAAACAAGTTGGTCTGTGAGGACTGAGTCTTTGTATATAGGGGAAATTGCCAACCTAGGGAAAATGTTAGTAGAGTCCTTACAAACAGTACGACTTTTGACCGTTTGGGTCTTAGATTAGGACGCGTCCCAGAATATTTAAACGGAACTTACAGAATAGCCCCTTAACAATCACTCCCGAAAGATCATATCCTCGCGATCTTGGCCAGTCCCGATGTAAACAATCTGTGAGGTTTATCAGGACGGTAGTATAGTTTTCAACACCCTTTCGCAATTTACCTTTGTACCAATCGATGACTCGACGAACTTGATATACTCCTGCGCTTGTAACGGAAGTTGATTCCATATCCGTACCCCCTTTGTAGAGCTTTGCCAGCCCTGAAAATCTTTATACTCAACCGTACATTTAGCAAGCTAGGTGACAAGTTAGATGGCGAAAATATAGAACGTTAAGAAAAGCGACGTACAAGACTTAGATCTGCTGGGAAACTTGTAATCTTTTCTCCATCAGGTGTAATATATGCTGTAGCCACTCGAATTATTGGAAATGTATCCAGTACATCCACTAGAAAATTTAGTTTCTAGAGTATACTAAAGATAAAGCACGGAGTACTTACGCTTAGTCAAGTTCAAGGAGGTATAGTCTATCAATTTTCTCGTTAATAGTTCTACTAAGAGTAGGAAGTAAAGCTCGAGTACGCTACTTACTATTCACTGCGGCGGAGTACTGAAGAACTACAAGATCAAGCCATCCGCCTGACACATCTCCGAGTCAGCTTTATCATATGTAGTAAGTAATCAAAAGAAGTAAAGAGGAGGAGGGCCGGTATCGCGAGTGTTGGAATTGTAGCTTGAGCCCGTTCCCAAGGCACCACCAGTCAGGCCGGTACCGCGTGTGGCTGGGCCGTAACCAGAACCCATACCGGAGTCATTGTCAGTCAAACCGGATCCTGTCTCTCTGCTCGTCATTTCAGCACCGCGGATAATCGTATCGTATCCAGAGCCTATCTGAGAGGCTGAGCCCTCAGCAATCATACCCTCGTCATCGTTGAGATCAGTATCACTCGTGATATTATCTCGGTCTATGCGAGTGTTTGGATTATAGCCAGAGCTAGTACCTCCTGTAATACCAGTATCGCGGGTATTTGAAACATCCTCACCGGCAACACCAATGCTGCGACGGACGTTGGGGTTGTAGTCCGATCCGGAGCCGGCGTTTATCGAAGACTCGTTCATTGTGATGCCACGGTCCGTAGTGCCAACGCCAGAGCCAACAAGAACAGTGTCACGCTCGGTTGTTCCAGTGTATTGAGGCCCGGAGGAGGAGGGGGGAAGATTCTGAAATGTGCCTTACATCTTCTTCTTCTGCCCGTCGAAACTCCCTGAAGAGCGTCAGTCATCCAAATGCTAGGAGATAGAATGGTTGTCGTCAATAGCCTACAATTTCTCCGCCAATTTCTTGCAGCATTTTGCCGATGTCCCCACCCTGTTCGGTTGGGAACATTCCAGCCCCGACTCGTGTAGAATATGCCTTGACCACGCCAATGATGTTCCTGATCTCGAAAGGGTTGAGCGCTAGACCTTGGATGCACCCGCCTATTGAGCATGGCGTTGCGGTACAGAATGGATAGCTACCATAGTCCAGATCGAGCATTAAGGCCTGAGAACTCTCAACGAGCATTGAGAGTTTGTTCTCTCGTAAAACTTTCATATATTCCACGGCATCGACGACATATGGACGTAGTTGTTCCTTATATATCTTGAATCTTTGGATCTCATCCTCGACAGAGTATTTGAGAAGCTCGCCGTATCGTTTACGATAACCTTCGGCTAGCAAACGTAGTTTTTGTTCGAAAGACTCGTGATACAGATCAATAACTCTCAACCCGTCCCGAGCAGCCTTCGTTGAATATGCTGGGCCGATACCTCTTTTGGTCTGTAGACTTCGAAGTCAGCATTGCTCATTCAAGAAGCAAGTGGAGTTGTAAGAGAGATTGAGGGAAAAGGTCCTCCTTTTGCTGCCGAAACACATTCTGGCACGTACCGTTCCAATCTGGTTCGTGCCTAGTTCTTGTTCTGAGAGGCCATCGACCGCGCTATGCAGAGTGAAATTTAGATGACATCGAGAGCTGACATGAATGCGTTTATGAAGACGAGGCACACCCTGAGATTCAAGTTGAGTTAGTTCTTTAAAGAACGCTTCAACGTCTGTTGTATTTCTCCAGATCAGCACTATGCTTTCAGAGGGAGCACGGGAGTCCCGAGACTATGTTTCGGGGCTCTCAATTGGCTTGAGGGAAATACGAACTGAAAACAACGCCCGAGCCTATCAGATTGTCCGTGTTGGGGTTTATCAAGCCCGATGGCAAGAGATGAAAGCTATAGGTCTGACCACCTGTCCTGACCGAATGCCCAGCATTATGTCCACCTGTTGCCCGTGCGCAGACGTCGAACGAAAATTCGTTGAGGAGGCGATCTGTCAACTTGCCCTTCCCTTCGTCTCCCCATTGAGAGCCGAGGATAATGGTCCCCATCGTCGCTAAGTGTTTGCTGGCGATTCGTGAGACAGCAGTCTGATGTATAGCAATTGTAAGAGTACCTATGGATCATAAAGCTCGGGAAAGCTCGAAAATAATATTTCAAGTCTCACTGAGGCAAGTTTGCCGAGGTGCTACCGGGGTACATTGCCTATGTCTTGGCACCTTGGGTAGTCTTGGCAATGCTTCTCTCAAATGAGCCTCTAGTGTACCTCTGTACTGGCATAAGGATAATAACGCAGGCCCATTTACCCATACTTCGTTTGGTAAAGCAGCATAGATTGCTTGGACAAGACCTTTTTACAATCCGGGAGAGTATTGCCCGCCAGACGCCCCCAACGAGATGTACTTTGTCTTCTTCAATCACCAGCAACATCTTATAGACAGCATACCAGATATCTACTGAGTTCGACTAGAGCTGTTGGTGTGACGAGCGCTCTCAGTGCTGTGGGCACATTACACGGTCAAAGGCCAGATCTAGCGCCACGGAATTCATGGTCCTCCAAGAGCCGAGTCATTCATCTCAGTGCATAACAAAGCTAAAACGAGCGTCATGAGGGTCAATGGCCAAATGCCAAAGTCATCATCAAAAGGCTCATCTAGCCGCTGCATGCAAAAAGTCAGGCGAGCTGTCAACAAAGTTGGCAGTTGCAGGGGTAGGAAGTTTATGAACTTAGACAGTAGGTAACAGCACCAGGGACAAGGTTGATTCTCTCTATGACCCTCGTTTGATCTGCTTCTACGCATCGATTGCTACGTTCTCTTGGATTCATACTCATCAATGGGGGAGCCTAGAAGAGACCAGCTCCCAAGTCTGTCACCACATTCATCCTTCGTGGATATGCTTTTACATTCCCCAAATGACTTTGTTCACTAGTTGCACTGCCCCATTCTATAAACTCCAAAGACAATCAAAGCGCGTGAACTCGCGTCAGCTCATGTCAAGCGCTTGTGCGCCTGGGATTGACCAGTGCCGAAGGAGACGCATTGAAGCGCTTGAAACAATTGCTATGCACTTTGAGTAGATACTGATCAAGCGCTGCTACATTCCGTGCTGTGTCATGCACGTTTGATATCTGTTTGACGAGATCAGTAGCTCCGAAAGCGTCTCTCAATATGGATACGCCGTGTCGATTAGCAATACGGCCTTCAAGTGGTTTCCTAGGTTTGTGCAGTAGTCTTGAGGCAGTGGCTCCTTTACAGGTGTGCGTCGCCCTCGTACTTCGTGTGCGGAAGAAATCCCTCGTTCGCGATCAACAGCCTGTGTCGAGGGGCGCCAACAATCTTGAGCAAAATAACCGAATAATTTCACAGCGTATTTGGTGCAACCCCACGCGCTTAGAAGAAAGGTGGGCATGGAGATCCCTCTCAAGCGCTGACCAAACGGACGTTCAAGGACTTGTGGCAATACACAATTTCCGAAGCAACAAAGCTTTTAGAGCATGTGAGAAAATCATATCTCCAGGTCTCGGACATGTCAATTAGAGCAATTCATATTTGCGCAATGGCAGTCTCTTTGAGCTCTCTGAGTCTTTGACTTTCCTGCTGGAGTCGTGCCATGCTCCTTTCTTTACAGAAAACCTTACCCCCATTGAGATCATCATGAAGCACCCCAGACTACTCACATTTGCTTTTCTCATCTTCACCACGAGTAATGTCTTGGCCCTACAAGCACTAAGCCTGCCTACCAATCCAGCTCCTCCAGGCCCGCCAACAATCGCTACAGTACCCGGGTGGACCTACCGAGGCTGCCATACTGATCATATAACTGACAGAACTCTGACTGGGAAAAAGTGGACGGGAAAGCTTACGCCAAGGCATTGTGCAATTATCTGTAGTGGATACAGATATTTCGCCTTGGAAAGTAGTAACGAGTGAGCCCTTTCCCGTTGGCACTATCAGTTATGATTTCGCGGCTGACAGGAAGTAGATGTTACTGTGGGAACACCGTCGCTCATGCCAGTATACCCACGCCAGACCATTTCTGTGCCAACGTCTGTAGTGGAAACCAACAGTCAGTCTGTGGAGGTATCAATGTGCTTAGTCTGTATGAGTCGAATAAGTTCGCCTCGATTGCTTCCCCCTCAATCCGACTCGTCTCATCAAATTCGACGATCAACTCCTCAAACCCAGCTCCCTCAAAACCCCCTACTCCACCCGCGCCACCGGAAGTAGTCAGAGTACCGGGTTGGACTTACCGAGGCTGCTGGACCGATGATCCGCACGACAGGACGCTCACTGCGAAGACTCGGAAGGGCTCTATTACACCGGAGAAGTGTGCTCAGCTTTGTAGAGGATATACCTTTTTTGGTTTGGAGTATTCAAATGAGTGAGTTCAACCCTGTTACTCGCGACTATCGAAGAGAGGAATCATGGCTGACGTTGGTAGGTGTTACTGCGGCAACTCTTTGTCTTATGGCACCACAAGAGTCTCAGAAAATCAGTGCTCAAGAGTTTGCATGGGGAATTTTAGGTGGATCTGCGGAGGAAGCGGTACGCTCAGTTTGTACGAGGTCGAGCAGCCTGAGACTGCTGTTTCTTGAGGAATGAAAGCACAAGCAGATGAGGATCGAGGTTGCTGATACATAGCGTCGGGACAAGGAGATTGACTAAGAGAAAAAGGGTACGAGGCATGACAAGGTGTGGAACAGGCACTGAGAAAGTGACGTGCAGTCCGTCTAGGCAGAAACAACGTAGGGTGCTACACTTTGGTACAGAGAAGTGGAGTCGCTTTCTGAGAGAAGAACATCCTGTCCCCGAATGGGTCCATGGACCTGACACAGACACTCTAGCTGTGATATATAATCCACACTCTTCCCAAAGCATCTGCTTTTATCTTGTAGCCTACGACCTGTACGCCGTTACTTACTAGCTAGCACCTCAGAATCCGCTTCTCCGTCCAACCCCCACGTTCTGCATCAGCTCCGCTGCTCTATTTCCCGTCAATTGACCCCTGCAGCTTGTATCCAAGCTCGGGCGGCCGCCGGAACCGTCGGCTCTGATCGCTGCAAGGCAGTGCCTGATTTTGGAGGTACGGCGCGAGAGGGATTATAGAGAAGAAGATGCTGCAAGAGGTGCAGGCTTCAATGGAGGGGCGGGGGCTGCGGCGGATATTGAGGGGCGAGAATGAGGGTTAGTCGTTGGAGGACGGTAGGTGATATCTAGGATGTCAGCAGAAGCATTGGCTATGAACGTAGGACGATGGAGCTTTGCTAGATTTGCGAGACCCTGTGGGAAACTCCTTATGTAGATGCAATATGGTTGGCCATCGTGACTTGAAAGGGCGAGGTACTTGCGTCTTGAACGCTCCGTTATGGCTGCTCTTCTGGCTGGCTACCTCGCCACCTGAGGTAAGAGCAGGTAGCAAAAGTCATGCATCGAGGATGAAAATCTTTAATGAAATTGTGAAAGTCCGACAGTTGCAAGACAATAGCGACGATGTTTATGGACTTTTCCTTAGAAACTGTGATTTTCCTCCAATTTATCCCTCGGGCCGGGGTCAAATGCAAGGGAGAACTTATCAGAAGTCCATAACTTTTTTTTTTGGGGGGGTTTTTTTTCCCCCTCCTTTTCCTTTTTTTTTCCCCTTTTTGGGTTTACCCCCCCCCCACAGGGATAGAAGATACAAATTAGGCACAGTGCCAGAAAATTGTGACGATTTTCGCAGATTTTTCCTAAAGGGCCGTCACTTTACCTGCAATAATGGAGAATCTGTAGAAGTCATACAGTTCAGGCGCAGTGCCCCAAGAAAAAGACATTTTTATCAAGTTTCCCCTCCCTCTATGCATTTGTTTGTTGCAACTCAAAGCTAATCTATTCCCAATCCGGATTAGCGCATCATAAATCTTGGCATCGTGCGATTTCCAAATCTTCGCGCCTATTTTTTGATCATGTCAATAACGCTTAGGGATAAACACAATCGGGAGACGATCAGAGTCGAGTGTATGATTGAGGACTATTCTATGGGAAAGGAATCGGTCAGCTTCTGCTGAACCACTTGAAGCATTTGTGAATAGCTTGTCCTGAGGAACCGAGTCCCCTGCATTTCGCAAAGCACGAGCACTGCGCTGCCAATGCCTTCATGAAAGTACCCATCAAGCCTTGATCAGTGTCTTCCGCCCTGGAGATTGGGACGAAAATCAGCATCGCCCATGCTGCTAACCCCTAAGCCGAAGCCTTGCTGCGTTTCGCCAATAATGGAGATTTGAGCTCGAGGAGGAGCGTTATCTGGCGAAGAGTCGTCTCCTTGCCCTTGATCACGCGGTACAAACCAGGCTCCAGGCATATGACGATGTCTGCAATGAATCCATCCTTGTCGGCAACCACCGCGCTGTCCGGCTTCAACTGCCTCCCACTCTTGGAATCGATCATCTTGTGCACTTTGAGCAAGTCCGTGGTGACAGGCTTGCATTCGGTTATAGGTGACTCTGGGATCGAAAAGACATAGTTCGAGGTAGATATTCGGATCATGTTCGCGAGCTTCACTGCAGGAAGCAAAACTTGGTCGTAGAATGTGGCGTGAGCCTCTCGACTGGAGAACATGAAAGGAAAAGTCTTCCCTAGCTCTTTGAATAGGTGGCTATTGAACTCTTGGGTTCGCTTTTTGCCGTAGTCGTTACACTCTGTGGTCTTGGCAAGTGCTTTGAGTGTCTCCGAACGCCAGCTAGCGATCGTCACGGAATCTGTTCATGTCAGCTGGCGCCCAAAGGTAACCCGGAGGTACATACCTCTTGGCGGCTCAACTTCAGCCATTTTCTGCTCCGCTTTCCACAGCAATTGTGCAGTCTCCTCTGGCAAGCCCCAAAAGTATACCTTCTGCCCAAACACGTTGTCTTGCAAAGAGCGATGGATCAAGTATCTTGCCAGATGTTCGCCTGCGCCCGGATGGAGTCGTAGGAAGGTTGTAGCATATTTGTCCTCTCCGACTAAGAAAATTTGGTCTGGATTGGCCTCTGGACGTGCTTTCTCAAATATTGCAACCTGCGTGTCGATCCAATGAACGATTTGCTGACTGAGGCATTCGAAGCGCTTGACAATGGCGGAGTCGGGGATTTGAGTCACTGTCTGCATCCTGAAAAGATCGTCTTTGCACTTGCATAACTCCACTTGAGAGGCTGTGAAGCAATCTTGCAAGTCCCTATTATTTGCTTTCAAATCGCGGCCAACATGCTTGGAGGTTTTGAGTTTCCGTTTGCAAGCGGCTAGATCCTTTTTCTTGCTCTGCAGCTGGGCTTTGGTGTTTTTCAAAGCTTCCTTAGATGCAGCTAGCTTCTTTTCTGCATCCTCCAGATTGCTCTGACAACTCTGCAACTGTAGTGCGGCATTCGCTAGGTATTCTTCAACGCTACCCGCTTTGGCTTCGTAGCCCTCGCCCTTGAGTTTTCCGTTTTCGACCGTCTTCTTTTGCCGCTTGCTTGCTGATCTGAGAGCCCTGACCGAGGTGATTTGAAGGTCTGGCGTATCATCAGATTGTTGGCTTTGGCCTTTTCCTTCGATAGGAGCTTGATCTGTCATGATAACATCTTCCGACTCATTCTCAGGCATGATAGCTTTCTGAAGTGAAAACACCTCGTTCTCTCCCCCAGACTCTCCATCTCGTTCACGCATCGATGGCAAGAGACTGAAATAAAGCATTTCACCGAGGGTCGACAACTTGCACGACTGATAATCACTGAAGTCTGAAGTTGTCAGTCCTAACCTTTTCAACCTCGTCACACCTTCAAAACATCACTGATCGGCCGACTGATCAATCACTAAGTCTGAAGTGTCAGTCTAGAACTTCTCAACCTCATCACTTCTTCCAAAGATCACTGATCGTGGAGGTATTAAGTTCAAAAGTGATCTGACTCACAATAAGCAACATTGTTAAAGATGGCATCAAAAGAAGAAATCGGTGAGTTATTTCGTTAAAAGGCTCTGAATCTTTTCACAGTGGTAATAAATGGCGAGTTTGGCTTGGCAATAAGTGGAGTCACCTTCGAAAGACCTCACTTTGGATGGAAACTTCCCCCTTCATTTCTCACTCTTATGATCCATCATATCCTACTTACGTCCGCAATTCTATGGTTGCTTTACGGAGACTTCTATACTAATCATTTACGATGGCCAGAGCTCGCCAATTGCGTCACGGTGCCTCGAACCAAGAAGCCTGCGATGCCTAAGACGCCTCCAAAGCCGAAAAAGTCCCAAGAACAGAAGAAGCCTACCACTGCCACAAAGAGCACCGAGTCTCCAACGCCAAAGCCTAAGCGTAAGAGACAAGAGACAAAGAAAGCGACCAAGGAACCTGATCGCAAGATCCTAGTTGCCGTGGATTTGTGAGTGAAACTGCACTGCCAGCCTCCTATATACTGATTATTCAAAAGTGGAACCACTTTCTCTGGTATCGCGTGGGCTCAGACTCGCCAGGTACGCATGAAGGTGTTCACGATCTCACGCCTCCAATTTGCTAATTTAGGACAGCCGGAGGTTCCATCGATAATCATTCAGTGGCCGGATGCCACTTCCGACGGCCTAGAAGGTGTCAGTAGCGACAAGGTTCCAACGTGAGTACCTGTGGCATTGATAGTCCTGAGGGTCGGAATCTTCTGCTTACATTGCGTAGGGAGATCACGTATGATGGCGAAAATTACAGGTGGGGCTTTCAGATCGAAGATTCGAAGCAAAGACATCAGTGGTTTAAATTGGCTCTGGACTCTTCTCAAGCCTGCGACATGAAACTCGCATACAGGTACCCTGATCCCCTGGCTTGTCCCCCACCATACGACGCCGAAAAGCTCGCGACAGATTTCATGACCGCTCTTCGCCAGCATACCGTACGAGTTCTCCGTCACAAAATTCCGGAAAGTGCATTGCTCTCCACTCCGATCGAATACATCGTATGTACCCAGGGAACCTAAGCAGAATACGTGGTAGTCCATCGCTGATTTTTGCAGATCACCGTCCCCGCCATGTGGTCTGACATGGCCCAAGCTAAAACTAGAGCTTGTGCAGAGGCCGCTGGCATGGGTGCAGGAGCTGCTCTTCACATAGTCTCCGAACCTGAGGCTGCAGCATGTTTCGCGTTGCCCGCTCTGGACCCACACGGTATCAAGATCGGGGACACTTTCATGATTTGCGATGCCGGTGGAGGAACCGTTGATCTAATTACTTACAAAGTCTCCGGCTTAAAACCAATCCTGAAGCTCGCTGAGGCGAGTCCTGGATCCGGCTCAGCGTGCGGTGCTACGATTCTCAACCGCAGATTCCGAGAGTATCTTGACGGGAAGCTTGAAAACGAGGATGGATACGACGACGAGGTGTTGGATGAGGTAAGATCCTCCATTTTCGGGTGCCGAGACGATAGACTAAAAGTTTGATAGGCCATGAAACGATTTGAGGGTATCGTATGTGTACAATAATAGATTTCCTCGGTTCTGACTGCATGCTGACGTCGGCTTCCATGACAGGTCAAAAGACAGTTCCGTGGAACATTCGGCGAAGAATTCCAGATACCGGGTTTGTAGCCACTGTGCTTCCCAGGGGTTTCGCGGTGACTGACCACGAGTGATATACAGTTCCAGGTCTCGCAGATAACAAGAAGCTGGGCATCCGTAAAAACAGGATGACTCTGTCAGGTATTGACGTTGGGGCCATCTTTGAACCCGTGGTGAAGGAAGTGCTCGCATTGGTAACCGGCCAGATTAAGGCCGCTAGGAGATCTGTCAAAGCTATCGTTTTAGTTGGTGGTTTCGGACAGAATTCTTTTCTGCGAGATGCCATTCGCGAAGAAGTCAAGTCCAGCAACGTGGAAGTCTTGCAATCTCCCTGCAGGTTAGTACCAACCCTACCTAAGATGATACGGTGGGCTCATGCCCAGTAGTTGGACTGCTGTCGTTCAAGGGGCTCTGATGATGGGGCTGGCATCAACCTCCCCTGCTTTTGCAACGGTTGCAATCAGTGGGCGGTCTGCCCGAAAATACTATGGTACCAACTGCGGCTTGCAGCATCTCGACCTGGAACACGGCAACGCAAGGAAAATTTGGGATGCATGTTCGGGTTTCTACCGGACCTACATGATGGAGTGGTTCATCGAAAAGGTACCTTTCCACAACAGCCATGCTAATCTAAGGTATCTCAACCCAGCTGACACACGACGATAGGGCAATCTCGTCAAAGAAGACAAACCCGTACGACTGAGCTATCAGCGAAAGAGATTAGTGTCCCGTGGATCCCTCACAACGATCTCGACAACCATCTACTGTTCCAGCGATCCACAGAACTCGGGCGCGCCCAAGTACGTCGAGGACGGTAAGACCCGGGATCCCAAAACCCATCCAACCAACAGACCGATCCACTGACCCTGCCTGCAGAAACCGTGACCCCGCTCGTCAGAGTCGAAGCGGACCTGAGCCGCCTCCCCGCCCACCAGATCCCCCGGAAAAGGGGCGCCGACGGCAAGATGTACTACCACGTCGACTACGCCATCCAGGTCACGTTCATGTCGGCTTACACCTCCTACGAGCTCCTCTACGGCGGCGTCAACTACGGGCGCGTCACCTCCGAGTATGTCTGAGGCCCGGTATCTATCCATCAATCAGCTCATCGGCCGATTGGGCCATTTTTAAGCCAGACTCGACGCGTCAGGGTTCCGGCGGCTTTCATGATCCCATCCCCATCCCCAGCGTTCTGGCAGCGGCACGTTGGGGCCTCGTGCCGCAAATACGGCTTTACAGCGCAAGGCCTTTCCCCCGTTCCCCAATTCTCGTCTGCACGAGAAGAAGAAGAAGAAGAGGCGGTGGACTTTTCCTTGGTTCAGACGATGCTATCAGGGTTTCTTATAGACGGGTTTGGTGGCTACGGTCTTCGATGAGAATGGCATCATCTACAACGCTATGCCTCTCAACAGTGCTAATGCTTCGGATGCGCGATATTTCACATACAGGCTTTGCCTGTCACTATGCTTGAATTTTCATGACTTTGCTATAAAATTCCGGATCAAGTGGAATCGATGGTGATCAGATCTCCACATCCTTTCTGATTTATATACTGAAGCGCCAAACGGAACGCCGATGCTAAAGGTAGGGCTAAGATATCCATTCAGCCTTTGCTCACAAAGAGGCTCATCACGATATACTCTCTCCTTCCATCACAGGTTGAAGACATCGTCGCCAAGAAGCGGAGGTTGAGGTGGTGTGTACTGGTATTGATGAGGATAGGTCTGGTGGCATTTCTCCTCCGTTCCTCTCATCGACGGGGGCATTTGTCCTCGCGCCGCAGCATGTGCGGCTTTGGGGCCCTGACGACCCGGCGTTGGGCTCCCTCAAAGTCGACATCTCCCCTAGATACCCCGAGAATAGGACTTCAGCTGATGGACTAGTCCCCGCAAGCCTCTCAGAGACCACAGCATTGTTTTCCAATGCATCAGAACGTCCGATGTGTATCCGGCTCTTACTAAAGTTGAGGAGTCATTCCGTGATGCTCCATTCTTCAATGCCGTAAGTTGATGATCGCAACCTGTTTGCGATCGTCAGCCGGGTCTGCGCGGCCTCCGGACGAATATGGTGCCTACCTTATTGCCAATCCCCAATGCCAACTTTCCACTTTCGGCGTCCCAGCTCAAAGAGCTGTTTGCATCGCCTCCAAAATCATCCTCCTCTTCGCTAGCTCCATTCCCATTGGTAAGCATACCATTGGGAAATTTGCCCAGCACACCTTTCCAGGTTGCCTTCGGCAACCCTCCAGCTTCTGCATTCCAGATCAGCACTCTATTCCAATTCGCTGCTGCGACCAGGTAACCGTCTGGAGTAAACGACATAGCTATTGCGGGTGCCGCGTGGCCTAGTGAGAGGGTGTGCACCAGATCGAAGGGTCGCTTGGCGTCCCATACTTTGATGGATCCGTCCAGCGAGGAGGTGGCAAGGAGGCGGGGAGCGCTGGCTGGGTAAGCGGAGAGGTTGGTGACAGGTTGATAGGCGAGAGCTGTGATTTCGGATTCGTGTGCGGTGATGGTACGGAGGGTATCCGATGAGTCGATGAGGCCAAGGACCGGTGTATCTTCAGCAGCGAGGGCGGTAGTGTGGGTGCGGGAATCGTAGCGTATGTGAAACCAATCGTGTTGGGCTGTTGGCTCAGAGCGAGTGTTCAGTGCGATGATGCGTTGGTCTTCGAGGAGAGATGAGGCGATGATATTATTGCCGCAGATGGTGATTTGGTTATTCGATGTCCAAGCGGCATCGGTGATGACGCTGGGAAGTTGGTAGGGAGGCATCGATTGCGACGAGTCGACGTCCCAGAGTGCCAAAGAGGAAGTGGCATCACCGGAAGAGGTGATTCCTAGCAGTTGTTTGCCGGAAGGCGACCAGCGCAATCTGAGGACCAAGTCTTGGACAGCTGGTAGCTCGTCGAGTGCCTTTCCAGCCTTTGACCAAAGACTTACTGCGCCGACCCAGACGGAATTGTCATCGCGAGTAGCGACGGCGAGTATTTCGCCCGTCGGATCCCATGCCATAGTAGAGACGAAGGAGCGGTGGGATGAATCGAACAGGTCGACATATGATTGGTGGTTAGGATTATCGTCAAAAGCTGCCGATCTTGAAATGTACCAAAGACGGCATAGCGCCTCTCCACTAGTTGCAAGGATAGTTGGATCTTTCGGGTTCCATGCAGTATGCATCACGTGGCTTGTTTCAGATACTGTCAGAATGCTCGTTTGCGGTCCGAGTTCTGCCACTTTGTCGCTTTGAACGCCTCTGCTTTCGCCGTTGGTGAGCGTCTGTATTAATGGTGCATTGTCCGAGGCGGGGCTGCCAGGCGCATCGGCATCTTCATCCATGTCCATGTCCATGTCCATGCCATTGGCCGTTGGACCATCTTCTGCGGGGGAGTAATTAGTCGGCGATACCGGTACCGGTGCTTCATTCTGATAATGATAGCCATTTTGGTCGATTTGCATGCTGTCGCCGTCTCCTCGATCGCCATTGGTGGATATGTCACCATTACTGCGCCGACTCCGTTTTGCTGCTGGTGCCGGTGGGGGTAGATCCAAGGATAGTCCATTAGTATTAGAATCCCGGCCATGTTTTCGTGCGCTTGAGGATCTTGCCCTCTCGTCTTCAATCTGCTCTTGTTGCGCTATAGATGATGCCCGACCGGCTTCAGTACCGAAAAATAGTAGGGTAGCCGCCGACGAAGATTTCCGACCCCCGGGCTAAATAATCTGAGAACATGCGGTTATTTGACTGCGCAACATGACTTACCTGGTCTAATGATTGCTCGATTTGATGGTACTGGAGACCTTTTTGTACTAATGATACCAAGGCGTGGGTTTTGATATGTTGTGCGAACGGAAGGGTCTGGGGATCTAAGAGCCAGTCACGCTGCAGCTTGACAGCCGCATCACCGTGGCCTGAAAACACAGGATATCAGTATCTACAGGACCTTGGTGGAAGAAGATTCGGCAATCGTGTTACCTGACTCCTGCAGATATCTTTCGGGGATGATAGAGTTAGCGAATCGTTTGGTCTTGAATTCGATCCAGCATCGAATGGACGACGTACCTCCAAATTAGATAATTCACATGGTCCGAGGTTAATGTGCCGGCAGCCATATCGATGGGGGATGTGTCGCATGCGCCTACATGAGGCGAGAGATGATGATAATTAATTGTGCGTGAGGATATAATGGATGAAACACCTTGTTGGGTGGAGGTAAGGTATGAGTGTATGACCGAGGATTTGGTTTCGATTTGCCAGAGCACCACCTGGAAGCTAGCGTTCGGCAGGCAAGGCGTCAAGCTTCCACTAAATTAGTGCTCCCGAAGAGCAGATCTCGAACTCCCAGGGGGCCTAAGGTACTCTGTAAGGTAAGTACGGTACGGTAAAGTAATAATGTAGAGGTTGTACTATAGTTTCACCGCGCTGTCGGCAACAATAATATTAAGGTCCCTAATGATAATAATAATAACAATACCTATAATATCTGCAACGGTCTGCAGGCACGTGCTAGCAATCCACACTCCGGCATCTGGCAGGTAGAAATGTAAAGGGTGAAATTGAAAGAGACAAGATGGGGTTCATCCCACGCTGACCCCAAGCGCAGATGCACTATTGCGAAGTGGCTTGAGGGGAAAACCGCGACTTGGGTCTGTCTTCATTGGCTTTGGAATTGTTTTGGGTCAAAGCTAGCCGTACGCTAGTGATCCTTGTAACGGCGTCAAAATTCCTCACAGGCTCACAGTCACAGCGGAAGGGGAGAACGAGTGAACCAATACGAAGATCATCATCCTCTTTAAATTAAATGACACTTTGCAGCAATACGAAGCATATGCATTAAATTATTTATTATTTATTATTTCGATTATTGCCTTGATACCTACGGTAGACTACCATGCACAATGCAAATGCGTATCAATATACCACCCTTGACCCGCGTCCTTCTCGGTCTCCTCCTTGCCATCTCAACCACTCATCAAATCACACGCTACCTATTTGGAGGTCTTGACCCCGAACTCCTCGCCCTCATTCCCCAGTGGTCACTCTTTTACCCATGGGTCTATTTTACAGCGACGTTCGCCGAGCAAAACGTCCTTACATTGCTCATCGCCGGTGCAACCATCCTGTATGGCGGCAAATACCTGGAACGTGCGTGGGGGTCAACCGAGTTTGGAAAGTTCGTGCTGTTGGTGACTGTGCTGCCGAATTTCATTGCAACGTTGGTGTATGTGCTCTGGTTCGCCATCACGCGTGATGACTCAAGAGCGTACGTGTTCCCTCTACTCCGTCCCCTTAACCATCAAGCTCATATCCTCTCGCCCCAGCTTGGCTTTCATCCAAGGTTCCGTTGCCCTTCAAGGCGCCTTCCTCGTCGCCTTCAAGCAGCTCGTCCCCGAGCATACGGTCACAATACTCAAAGGCATCATCAAAATACGAGTCAAACATTTCCCTGCCATATTCCTAACCGCGAATACAATCTCTGGGCTGGTTATTGGAACAGACACAGCGCTTGTGTTGGGCTGGGCCGGCTTCTTTACAAGCTGGACATACCTTCGGTTCCATAAAAAGGAGGCCGAGCTCTCCGGAGCCAGCACAGGAGGACCCACAATAAAAGGAGATGCATCCGAAACTTTTGCTTTCGCTTACTTCTGGCCTGATGTCGTCCAACCCCCCATAGCGGCTGTTGCAGATGGCCTTTACAATGCTTTGGTGACCATACGCGTCATAACACCTTTCTCTGCAGAGGAAGTCGAAACGAGCAATGAGCAGGCTACGGCAAGAGGTGAAGGCGGCTTACCAAGCCTGCTCAATCAAGGAGGCAGAAGAGGTGGTGGCGGAAAGAGGGAAGAAGCAGAGCGGAGGAGAGCATTGGCTCTGAAGGCTTTGGACCAAAGACTGCAGGCTGCGACAACGAGCAAGCAACAGCCAGCGGCTGCTCCGCCGCCAGCACCGATTGGCCAAGAGGTACCAACATCGAGTACCGAGCCACCACCTGAAAGCGAGCAAACTTGATTGCTTTTGTTGTCTACTTAGCCAGCCAATGGTCCTCCGCTTTTCTAAACGTCGAACTCGCCCAACGATTACTGTATATACAAGAGGATCAAGATACCCGATTACATATTATTCGCTCTTTTGTACCTGATACTGCAATTTACCGGAGTTTGGCTGCCTTTTGGAATGTCCTCTCCGCCTTTGGTCGTTGTCGTGTAGGTTGTTGGAGCAAAACCGCCGCCGTGTTCGTTAGGGTCCTCCGCAAAGGCACAGTTGAAGGAATTACGTATTCAGGCTGGTTGGCACGCCTGATCAGGACGATAGAACGAACATGTTGAACTCGAAATGTTCTATAAGAACCTCTCGACCAACCGCACCCATGTGCGGTTTTCGATACAGTCTGAAGCCTTCAAGCCTTCAAGCCTACCGGTCACCATCTCATCCAACAGCTCCATTTGTTTGCCCGTATTATGTCCGACATGTCCAATACCGGATTATCCGAGAATAGCGCCCAAACAAGATTCGCAGCTGCTGCCAAAAAAAAAGTGCCTGGCCAGCATTGTGAGCTTTGCCGGAGGCGACCTATGCAGTCAGGTACCTTCCTCAAGCGAACCACACTCAAGAACGCGACTTAGATGCTCACCGTTGGGAGCCAAGCGATGACTGCGCGTATACAGGTGGCGATCAGCCGCACGAGACGTCCGGTAGAGGCAGGTTGCATCGGAGAGAGCGAATAAGGCGGGCGTTTGAGCGGACATACTCCTAGCATTATGTGTACGGTTTTCAGAAATGATTAGAAGTCAAGTCTGACTCAAGATCAAAGGAGAACGGTATATAATACATAGAAACAATTCCTTTTGATCTAGATCACACATATGATTGCATTTACCATGGATCGTTTCGACGAAATACCTGCCAGTTATTCCATCATGTAGATACCGACTAGCTCGTTAGCCAAGATTGATACAACGCGAAGCCCTATGAGAGGGAGCTAACATCTAGCCTACGCCCTAACACTATCGATAAATCCTGGCCTCGCAAATCGCAAAATGAAACAAAAATATGGAGTGCATTTCTAGCTGCCCATGAGACCTCATCCAGAATGTCTTTGACCGAGAAGCTCGAAAAAATCAGGTCGCCCAAATTGCAGAATCAGCGAGAGGTTGGCCAGGGCCCAATTCCCAGACCCTTCCAACCCCCCACTGACCGCAAGCAGACCTCCGTTGTACTCTCCGCAGTCGAAGACACCCTCAAGGACCAGAAGTATGGCTCAACCCCCACAGCATACTTTGCTGCCCTGCTCGCATTGCTCAGTCAATCAGTTTCCCCGTCGAATGGCATTGTCAACAAAGAGCTCGCGACATCAGTCGTCTACCTCCTCGACATCATAGCGCCCCACGTACCTGCGCCTCTCCTTCGATCGAAGTTCTCTCAGATACTTACGAGTCTTGCTCCTGTTTTGACTCATAATGAGATTGAAGCGCCTTTGATAAGGTCATCGGTAGGATGTCTGGAATCGCTGCTGGTCGCGCAGGACAATGCAGCGTGGGCGCTTCCGCAGACCCAGGTCAGCCCACGGAGAGCTATCGCAGGCTTATTGGTCCTCGCGTCAGAGCACAGACCGAAGGTCAGAAAGCGTGCGCAGGACGCGGTCATGCATGTCTTGAAGAACCCCCCTCCAAGCCCTTCACTGGATCATCCAGCCGCGGATATGTGCGCCGAGACAGCTTTGCGAAATGTCAGTGATATGGCTGCAAGTGGGAAAAAGAAGGGAAAGGGTCACAGGCAGGAGGAACATCAGCCAGGTCTCATGCATGCGCTGCAGCTGGTCAAGACAATAGCTTCCGCTTCTGGAGGCTGGCCAAGTAAGAAGATTGAGCCACTTTGTGAAGTCCTCATGAACATCTCGCGGTCAAACAATGAGTACCTCACAATGTCTGCTTTTGAAATATTTGAAGTCATATTTGCAGGGATGGCCGACGAAATATCTTCTGCAAAGCTACCAAAGCTGATGGAAGCTATCTCCGAGCTGCGGCCTTCACAGAACGATTCGCAACTGCTGCCTCCGTGGATCGCCGTCATGTCGAGAGGCTATGATGTCTCGGCGCAAGTCAGCCCGGATGAGACATTCCAAAAGTTGCCTGAGCTCTTCGAGACGGTTTCCGGATTCCTTGCTTCCTCGTCACACAACATCCGCGTATCTGCTTCAGAATGTCTAATTTCATTTTCGGTCAACTGTGTACCTGACACAGCAATCCTAGAGCCTTCCATATACGACGAAAAAGTACTTGAAAAGCTAGCGAAAGCAGCAACTGCACTTTTGAGTGTGAAATATCAATCTGCATGGATGGAAATTTTCACCGTGTTGTCGGCTCTCTTCTCGGCGTTCAGATGGAGATCAGTTGGTCTTCTAAATGACATAGTAAAGACCGTTGGGGAGCTACGAGGTAACGACTCGTTCAATGGTAAAAAAGAAGCGGACGTTGTCCTTGGCAACGCCATCGAAGCCATGGGACCAGACTCTGTCCTCCAGATTCTACCGCTGAACCTGGCGAAGCCAAAAGCAGGTCAGCCAGGAAGAGCGTGGCTGTTGCCCATCTTGCGAGACCGTGTCCAGAACACCAATCTCACTCATTTCAGATCCGAGTTTGTACCTCTGAGCAAAACGATGATTCAAAGAGTGATAGACAATGGGAACTCCGAAAAAACAATGGAAATCAAGATATTCGAGACCCTGGTGCAGCAGATTTGGGCGCTCTTGCCGGGCTATTGCAATCTACCACTAGATCTGAGCACAGCTTTTGATCAGAGCTTTGCCGAGATGTTGGCTACTTTGCTCTACGAGCAGACGGAGCTTCGGGTAGACGTTTGCAAAGCTCTCCAGATGCTGGTGGAATCGAATCAAGAGATTGCCAATATGGAAGCTTCTGACCAGGAATCACTCCTCAAGAAGCGGGCTACGAAGGTTAATGCGCAGAAGGACCTCAGTCATCTGTCGTCATTTTCTGGAAATCTGCTAGCAGTACTAGTTAATGTTTATGAAAAGACATTGCCGCAGTACAGGGGTTATATTCTGCAGTGCATCAATGCTTACTTGAGTATCACTCCCGAGAAGGTATGATACTTGAACGCTGCTGAGTTTCATCGCTAAAACTTCCTAGGAGCTACTCGAGACTTTCCAGGGAGTCATAAGGATGCTTAAAGACGCCCTCGCCCTTGCAGAATCCACTTCTCAAACTCAAGCCGACAAGCAAAAGCAAAAGCAAACCTCGGCCGATAAGATGCCGCCAACAAGCCATACCCTCATGGATCTGATCATAACAATCTCAATATACCTCCCGCGCCCTACCTTCCCCACGCTTTTCTCCCTCGCCGCCCTCATTCTCCCACAGTCGTCCGACCCCCAACTCCAAAAGAAGGCCTATAAGCTCCTGCCCCGTCTCGCCACCTCTCTAACAGGCACCCTCGCCCTCCAAGATCGCAACGTAGAACTCCAATCTCTCCTCCTTACCACCGCCTCTACCGTCTCCGCCCCAGCCCGCCGCGATCGTCTCGCTGCGATTTCAGTCGTCGTCGAGCACCTCCCACCGACATCCCTCCACTTCATTCCCTCTATCCTCTCCGAAGTGGTTATCTCGGCCAAAGAAGTCAACGAAAAAGCTCGTACAGCTGCATTCGACCTCCTTGTTCTCATGGCTCGCAAGATGTCTCAAGGCGGACAAATCAATCAATCGCAGATCCCACACATGGCGGCGGACGCACCCATTGCACAAGCCAGTCTGGAGGAGTTTTTCACCATGGTATCCGCGGGACTTGTGGGCTCAACGCCGCATATGGTCTCTGCCAGCATAACGGCCCTGACGCGAATCCTGTACGAGTTCGCTTCGCAACTTCCTCACGCGGTCATTGAAGATCTAGTCCAAACAATGGATTTATTCCTCACCTCCACGAATCGTGAAATTGTACGTTCCGTTCTCGGGTTCGTCAAGGTTGCTATAATCTCCCTCCCCGAAGACATTGTGAAACCAAAGCTCGACACACTGGTGCCAGGCCTCATGTCATGGTCGAGAGAGCATAAAGCGCAATTCAGAGCGAAAGTGAAGCATATACTCGAGCGCGCTATCCGGCGATTTGGCTTTGATGCCATTGAGAAACAGTGTCCAGAAGACGACAAAAAGCTTATAAACAATATCCGGAAGACCAAGGAACGGCGTAAGCGGCACAAGGCAGCTGACGACACTGAAGCTGCTACCGACGAGCCAGCCAAACGGAAGAACAGGTTTGAGAGCGAGTATGATGAAGCGCTTTACGGTAGCGAATCCTCCTCCGACTCTGGCCATGGTTCCGACGATGAGCGCGGGGCGGAGTCCAATGGCAGAGGAGGGAGAGGGCAAACATACATTACCGAAGACGCCGACGAACCCCTCGATCTCCTCGACCGCAAATCCCTCGCCAACATTTCGAGTCGGAAACCAACGGCTGCGAAACAAGCGCCAGGAAAACAGCGAAAGAACAGGACCGACCTCGACGGCATTGCTTTCAAAAATGACGGAGACGCTAATGATGATGATGATGATTTAATGGCCCTGGATTCCAACGGTCCGGATGTGGGCGACGAAATGACCCTTGAAGGCGGCATCAACGCTTATGTCGACGCCATACGTGGCCGGGACGCCGTGCAGCGAGGGAGAGGCGGGAGGCTGAAGTTTAGCAACAAGCGCGAGAAGTCCAACGGGAACGGAGACTCCATGGAGGATGATGGGGATGATGGCAGGGCAGTGAAGAAGGTAAATGGCGGTGGAGGGGGGAGGAAGGAGGTTCGGTTCGCTGATGCCAGAGGAGGGAAAGATCAGGGTAGTAGAAGTGGACGGGTGAGCGGTAGAGGTGGTCTGAGGGGAAGAGGAGGAAGCGTCGGGAGTAAAGTGCAGAGGAGGGGATTGGGCGAGGCGAAGGTCAGGGGGGGGAGGGTTATGAAGGGAGGCGGGAGACGTTGAATCATGGGTTAGAGGCAGAGTGCGTAGTGCATACTGAGCCAGCGAAATTGATTGTCGATACGCATGACAGGGATGGGTGTATATGGATAAAGACATCGTCGCTTTGCGTCAACGTCTGAAAGATTACTGCCCTTCACATCTTGTCATGTTGTGGTGTTTACACCGTGACTCGACGCTCTTCCCGCATCCACACTCTCCTTGCCTCGAAGTGGCTCTCTACCCTTCGATGGAGTGCTGCATCGGGTTCACGCCGCCCTTCTCGTACCATCGAACCCACCAACGAGCCAGCGCGCGTGTGCAAAGCTAGGCCGTAGCCAAGAGGTAGCTTCTGGAGCCACAGCCAAGTCCAAGATCCCGATCCGGTACCGCGAAGTGGCTGCAACCTGGCCACCTGGCCGGTTGTTCCGATTGCAATAATGCTTGCTGACTATTCTCTTCTGCAAACCCACCACCGGTCCGGCCTTCTTGTTGCACTAGGTTTATTCGGTCCGTCTCCTTGGCCAAATTGCCCTTTCTCATTTGACCTTACTCATGATGGTCTCGGGTCCTCGTTCCACATACACCTCGGTCGCTTTCGCTTTCACACTGCTCAGCATGCTCCTATCATAGTCATCTCTGGCTCTGAGAGCGCTCTCGACCCAACTCAGCTGCACGTCCCAGTACTCTCTCTTGAACGCCTCATAGACGGTCGCCACGGCAGTCTTGTCAGACTCGAGCATGCGGACGAGATAGTCGACTACGCGCCATTTTCGCTTGATAGTTGCAAACTCTGGGTATTTGCCGAAGAAATCGAAGGAGGTAAGTACGTCGTCCTTGAATTTATCGGTAAATGGTTCCCCGCGCCGGAATTTGGCGCCCTTGTTTCGAACGGAGGAGAGATAGCGCACGAGGAGCTCGTCTGCCAGTTCCTCAACGAAGACGTCAAGAAGAGAGCTGTGCAGCACGCCTTGGTAGTCATTTACATAATCCTCGAAAGTTGTAATGATACGTTTCATGCCATATTCTGTATACCACTTCGCGGTGAAGAATTCCGGTAGCACGGAGCGGAAGTCAATGATGAAGATTAGGGAGACGAATGTGGTGATGCAGTGGGTACCTAGGTCTACGAAACCATCGCGTATGTTTTCGAGTTCAGCATTAGCTTGAGCAATGTATTTGGGTGAGACCAGGGGCTCAAAATCGCGCTGGAAGCGGCTTAGGTATCCCATTTGGCCGGCTTCAGCGTTGTCGTCGATGCAGGCGATCTGGTCGTTGGCAATCGCAACCAGCCAGTCTTGGAGGACTTGGAGACCATCTTGTTCGGCGGTAGGCGTCTTGTATTTAGCAGACTGGTCATCGACCATCTTCTGCCAGAGATTTTGCCGTGTTTTGAGAGCGGTGAACATGGCGTCGATGACCCCTTCGGCCACGTCTGTGCGGCCTGAATTGCCAGCGACAAGGAGTTGCTCGCGAAGCATGCGCCACATGTCTCCTAGGGTCTTGGTGCGGAAGTAGCCATGCTCGTCGTTGTCCAAAGAGCCCTCCTTGCGCTCTGCGAAGGATTTTCTGTCGGTGGTGAGCATCCGATCCATCCATTCGTCCACGGACTTCACAATCAGTTCTCGGTAGTCTCGAATCAGCTCGATCTCTCTATTGTCGAGGACCGGAAGCTGTAATTCCTCTTGACTCCACCCGAGCTTGTTCATCTTCCCATAGTATTTCTCGGTCCACTCGATGATTGCCAGCATATGTGGAGGGGCTAGGTTGGGGTCGTCAATCCGCCGGATGAGCCAGTTGTGCATTAAGCTGTGGTATATATCCGTGTATGTCTTGTATATCTTCCATTTCTTGGGCATCAGTTCTGTCATGCCTTGCTCGACGGCCACAAGGTCATTGAAGAACCACGCCATGATCTTGGACAGCTTGTCTGGATCTTCGAAAAACTTTTCCTCTGCCGAATCGAAATTCTGTTGTGCGGAGAGCTCGATGGCTTTCGTGAACTTCTCCTTGTAACCCCGTATTTGTCTGGCGCTGGTGTTCATGGACTTGAACCTGGACGCAAGGTCTTTGTAATCCCGTTGAGCATCTTGCAATGCCTGGACCTTCTTGTCACTTTTTTCCTCCTCTTCGATGATGACCGCCAAGCGCACTATCATGCTTTTGTTGTCCGTTTGTACTAAAGGTATCAGGTTCATGCAAGCCTGGCCGATGTGCTCATCGAACCAATTCACTACATCTTCCAATCTCTCGAAATGATTCTGGAGTGTATTCTCTAGAGACGCATCCGAAGCTCTTTTGATCTGGTCCATAGCGTCATCCCGGATGTCTCGTAACTGCGTAAGTCCGTAGTGTACGTTGAGAATATTGGGCTGGTTCTCCAGGTCCTGGTCGTCTTCACTCAGAAGCCTGGCCAATTCATCTAGCCTGCTATCGAAAGACTCAATATTGGCCTTCATTGTCTCTACCTGGGTGAAGTTCCTGTGCACCTGGGAAACCAAATTGATATTAGGGAAATCCCGGATCATATTCTGCGACTCCGCGCATAGCTTGTCGATCTTCATGAGCTCCTCCTTGATCTGATTGACTGTTCTCTGTCCATCTCCAATCGAGTTCATGCCAGACTGTGTGATCTCCAATTGCTCCTTGAGCCCAACCTTGAGCTGTCCGTCTACCGCGGCTTTCTTGCGAATAAACTCGGACTTTAGAAAGGGTATCTTATCGAGGTCTTCAGGGTGCCGTAACAGCTCTGCAAGCTCTACCGTCACCCCTTCATTATCGGCCATTTGGCCTGCTCTCAATCGCGCAATCTGGGCATGGCCAGCATGCTTGATCCAGACCGCGAACCGAGGTGGCTATCGTGGCTATTTACACGTCCGGAGCCTCGCTAAGCCCCTTCGGCTCCTAGTGGGCTTAAGCGCAGATTTCCTTTCCGCGCCAGACTCAGATTTGTGACGTTTGGGGACTGCAGAATCCCATCTTTACGACTACCTATTTATCGATCAGCCAATTAACCACAGGTTTCGTCGATTAGAATCTAATAGTAGGTATTTCCTACAGTCTTTTGTCTTCGTCCTAACGCCTAAGCATACACGACAGATTGAACCAAACGAATCGCCCAAGCCCACCACTTCTCTCCACGCAAATACTGCCACCTGCTCGAGGCAATGCCCTTCTTCAAGATCACGCTCATACGTTCATCCATTGGCCTGCCTAAGAAGACACAGGGCGTTCTTAACGCCTTGGGTCTGCGAAAGCGAATGGCCACTGTCTTCAAGCCCGTCAATCCCTCCACCGCAGGTCAGATCATGAGGATCAAAGAGCTAGTTGCCGTATCAGAGGTCGAGGAGGCGTTGACAAACGCAGAGATGCGGGAAAGGAGGAGACCGGATCCTGGGTACTACATTGAGAAGCCAGTAGCGGGTTGATAGAACAGGTGATTGATGGACTTCTGGACGAATTCATGCAGCTGGCACCTTGAGGATTGGAACAGCAAGTGTGGAGCTGCCTCGAGCCGAGAATCCTTGATCTTCAGGGCAAACCTACAGTCTTACAAAGGACGAGATCGCCGAGTTGTCGATGGCTATGGGACGCGAAGAGCCGGATGTTCCCAAAAAGTCGATCAGATCGCTGGCAATGACGCCTTGCCTCTTCCACTTTAGGACGCTTTGGACAATGGAAAGATGCTGCTTAGGCATAACTTGAATTATTGAAATCAGCAAGGCGTACGGCAAGCATGTGCAGCGATAGTAGTTATTCAACTTTTCTCCCCTCCGATGATGCCAAGCCTGTTAAATCCGAGGCCCTCGGCAATAAACTTCTCAAGCCTAGAACTTCTTGATGTCTGATGATCTCAACGTGCTTTATTTCCCTTGGTCGCTAACCTTCATTATCCCGCCGGTTACTGACGACCATCTATAGATGATGGGAAGCTCTCGTATGCCTGTAAGTCTTCGGACGGCGCTACCGTCTACAAAGAACAGCCCGAGAGGCAATTATCTCAATATAGGCACTGAGATGTAGAAGCTCTCTATACGCGTTGTGCACCACACTGGTACTGATACTGAATACAGTCTCCGTAACCTGATCTTCTTCTCTTTTCTCTTACGATGGACAAGAAAAGGTGTCTTGCAGCTCAAAGGCCGCGGGCTCTTCGGGACAGTGGCGGAGGCGTACATCTCGATACGACGGACGCTTTACGGCATATTCCTGAAAAGTCCTGGCGTACGTAGCCAAGTACAAAAGCAAGTCACTGAAGCAATTACCAAACTCGAAGGAAAGCTAGTCCCTCAAGGGCCTGGCATAAGTCGATACCTCACGCTACCGAAGGAAGGATGGACCGAGCAGCAAGTGAGGGCAGAGCTGGAAATACTTGGTGGTATGGAGCATACACGCTGGGAGGATGGCCTTGTTAGCGGAGCGGTTTACCATGGCGGGAACGAATTGATCAAGCTACAATCAGAGGCCTTTGAAAAGTTCAGCGTTGCAAATCCAATACATCCAGACGTCTTTCCAGGAGTACGAAAGATGGAGGCGGAGATCGTCGCTATGGTCCTTGCCATGTTCAATGCACCAGCTGGAGGAGCTGGAGTTACTACGAGTGGTGGCACGGAGTCAATATTAATGGCGTGCTTGAGCGCTAGGCAGAAGGCGCGCGCAGAACGTGGCGTCACTGAGCCTGAAATGTGTGTGCAGCTATGGACTGTGAAGGGCTTTGCTGACTAGTACAGGGTAATACCAGATACTGCTCACGCAGCGTTTCGCAAAGCTGGCGCTTACTTCGGTATCAAGGTTCACCTGGTAGCCTGTCCGGCACCAACATACAGTGTACACATACCCGGTGTTTCTCGTCTAATCAACAGCAATACCATACTTCTCGTTGGGTCTGCCCCAAACTTCCCTCACGGCATCGTTGACGACATTACATCTCTATCCCGCCTCGCTCTCCGCAAGAAAGGATCTCTGCCTCTTCATGTCGACTGCTGTCTCGGCTCCTTCCTAGTCCCTTTTCTCGCACGCGCGGGTTTCCCGACTGTCCCGTTTGACTTCACCCTGAAAGGCGTCACAAGCATCTCCTGCGACACCCACAAATACGGCTTTGCGCCCAAAGGAAATTCTGTCCTTCTTTACCGGACATCGGCGCTCCGCACGTACCAGTACTTCGTCTCCGCCGACTGGTCTGGAGGCGTGTACGCCTCACCGAGCATTGCAGGCTCACGTCCTGGTGCTCTCATTGCCACCTGTTGGGCTAGCCTAATGTCTCAAGGCGAAAGCGGCTACATCGATAGCTGCCATAAAATAGTTGGCGCTGCTAAGAAAATTGAATCAACCATCCGAGAGCACCCCTCTCTGCGGGACGATCTCACTGTCATGGGAAAGCCGCTCGTCAGCGTTGTCGCTTTCACGTCGAGAACTCTCAACGTGTACGATCTTGCCGATGCTATGTCGAGTAAAGGATGGCATCTAAATGCCTTACAAAGGCCACCAGCCATTCATGTTGCTGTAACGTTACCAGTTGTCGCTGCCGTGGACAAACTTCTCGGAGACCTTGTGGCAGTGGTAGAAGAGGAGAAGGAAAAGGAGAGGGTAAGAATTGTGGAAGGCAAGGGAGCAAAGGGCGGAGCGAAAGGCGATGCGGCGGCGTTGTACGGTGTCGCCGGGAGTCTCCCGAACCCGAGTGTGGTCAACAGTCTGGCTGAGGGTTTCTTGGACACGCTGTATAAAGCCTGAGGATGCTTCTGACGGAGCATGGGCAAGGGACAAGGGGCAAGGGGGGATCATTGGAGGCAAGCAGCATATGCATAGCGTCTAGGAAGGCATGATAGCAATGGTATCGATTATCAAAGGCTTATTTGTACGACAGGGCAAATGCCAATTGGCGTAAAGCAGGCGTGGGAACTGAAGTCAAAATAATATGTATAAATGTTTGAGATGGTGTTTTTAAAACTGCATTGATCCAATTCCTCCGCTAAATTTTGACCACTCTATGACGTAGTCACAAGCTCGCATTAGCGCTGCTGGGAGAAGCTATGCTGTTGCCATCTACTTCACACTCGAGAAAATCGAGCCTCTCTTATCAAAAGTACAAAAACTTCAAGTATACGTGACAATGGCATCCCGCATCCTCCGTCTCTCCACACGCTCCCCGGCGTCCCTCCAACCACTCCGTTATCCCTTCACCCCACCCATCTGTACCTCTCCCCTTCCCCCTTTCTCCTTTACCAACTCATAGATTAACAATCGTAACAGTCCGCCGCAGCCTCACAACCACATATCCCCGTTTCGCCGAAGGCGACCTCGGCAACCCGCAATCCAGTTCCAGCGATCAAGCCCAGCTCAAGAAGACCCGCGGGACCGAGGGTGCCAATTCCCCAGATACAGCGAGTGTGCAACAACCTGTGTCGGAGCGGAGCGCTATTCCGGGCGACAAAGATGAGGGTACACCTACGGAGGATGCGGTGAAGAGGAATCCAGAAGGAGCCAGCGGAGAAGAAGAGGGAGAGCGTGGAGAAGCAGGGGGAGAAGCCGCTAGGGCCAGAGGATGAGCAGAAATGAAGGGGGAGGGGGGCCAGGGGTTGAGAAAGGAAGCTTTTTGCTTTGACAGCGGCAGTGCAATGGCTTCTAGGGGAGGGGAATTTTCACTTCGATATCGAAGAATATATTGAATCTGCTATGTCTTTCCCGGCGTCTCTCAGCATTTCAAGAAGGACTGATAGACTTGGAATCATGATGCTGATCACATGAACGGAATTAACAACAGCCCTCCCTGCCATTGGCCGCTTTAATCGAACTTTCTAAAAAAAGCTTGACGGACCAGCTACGGCACCCTCTTGTTATTTTTCTCACCACGCTGATATCCGAACGAAATAGTCTCCCTCGCTGGTCAGGCCACCACATCTCCATATGTTTTGGGCAGGTATGCTTGATAGTGCAGAACACGTTGCTCAAGTGAATATTGACTTTCATACCAGCATGGAAGGCTAATGTGAAACAGAGCGAGAGAAAGGTTCCCGAGGACGGTCTATACGGATATTCTGGACGGGTAAATAGAAGTCTTTTCATATCTGGACTGCCCAAGCTCTCGTTACCTTTGTGTCCCAGCTCTCTCACATCCTCGGAGAACTTAACGGATGAAGAACGGTGTGCAACTCTGAAGTTCAACATCTGTTTGCATAGAAGGCGCATTTGATGCAATGTTCCCCAGCGGCATTCCGCCGCTGCGATCTATCGCGACTTTGGAACAACCCACATCCAGAGCCAACAGACCCTTGGTCGGGTTTCCTCGTTCGAATCGACGCCAAGAACTGCAGCATGCTTTCGTCTTCCTCTCGAGCAGCGGCTCCGCATCCCATCTAATTACCAGCCCACCCTACCGCAAAACTTTCTTTGATCGAAAAGAGGCTTGATGGCGCTCTGACTGTCGCACTCAGCCAGCCTTGTTCGAAACACACGAAATCGATGTGGCAGTCTGCTAGTGCCATCACGTAATCTATTGCTATGATTAATGAGGTGGGCGAAAAGGCTGGGTCGCTGTACAACTACGCACACCATATGGATAGCCTGGTGCTGGATGAGAATGGGAAAGGGGAGGCCGAGAACGAGACTTTGGTCTAGCTGGTAAAGGTATTTTCAAACGAGCCTGTTCAAAGAGATGTGCACTAATGCAGACTCGAAGGTTTCGTTACGAGGTATACTTGATATATGTGACAATAAATAACATGTATTTTGTCTTTCTTTCCCGCTGTCTACTCTCTAGAAACTGATACTATTCTCAAATTCTGTATCTTGAAGGTCTTGGTTTAGTTACATTTATGTTCATCAAAGAATTGTTGTTTAATTACACCTAATGATCAACAGCACTCGTCCCGTCCCTTCCCGCACTATGGGTCCGAGGTTGAGTTCCTGGACCGTGTTTTGAACTTGACATACCCATTCTGCATACGTTTTAAGGTATTTAGAAAGGATGTGCGAGCCACATGCATTGCATCTTCACACCCTCGCATAAGATCGCCGAGAGCACCGAGGCTCGGCCCACCTTTTGTTTCGCCACGCTTGAACATCGATGGCTTTTACTAGACCCTGCAGATATGCATCCATAATCCAGTGTTCATATGGAGATTTCTCTTCCTGAGTGAGTTCTAGGAGTCGTATCCTTTTCAAACCATTTCTCCGGGCTTCTGCGATCACTGCTGCCCACCCAATGCAAACCAAGCTTTCGCCAATTGGCCAAGAGACTGGCTCTGGCTCTGCAATGCGATTCACCAGCGGATGAATGTAAAACGTACATCCTCTCAATTGAGCCACAATTCCAACGAATGTGGTCCCCTCTCGTCCTTGAGCCGTCTATCCTGAGGGCGTTTTATTCGCTTCATCCTTCCGCTCACTCGAGCTACACAGTGTTCTCTACCCCAGCAGAGACCTTTCCACGATGTCTCGTATTTTGCCAGCAACAAGAATCGGCAAAAGTGCTCCAGCATCTTTGTACAACACCGGATTCCGATCTTCGCGAGCTCCATGCCGTGCTCCCGATGGGATTGCCGGACAGGTCTGCAACCGGATAGAATCAGTCCAGCTCTCGGACATGCCATCGAACGTCCAGACCAAGGTCAAGTATCTGGTTCTCGATGCCATCGCCTGTGCTATCGTAGGAGCAAAGCTGCCATGGTCAAAAGTAGCTACGCAGCCTGTATGGACGTTGAGGGGACTGGCAAGTGCGCCGTCTTTGGCTGGAACAAGGTACGTGCAAGCTTTACTTTTCCTTGAGTTCGGAATGTTCCCTGTTTGCTTGTACCCTGTACTTAGGACAGCCAGCGCACAAGTCCGCTCAATGCAGCCCTCTTGGATGGGTCTTTTATTCAAGGATTCGAGCTCGATGATGTCCACGTTGATGCACCGTGGCGTGCCAACTCAATCATACTGCCAGCTCTGTTCGCTGCAGCGGAGTACGCTCAGGGGTCGGATGCGGGATCGAAGATTGATGGTGCAACGTTCTTCATCTCCACCGTCGTAGGCTTCGAGCTCGGCTCCCGAATCGGCCGTGCCCTCCACGGTCCTGAGATGCTGAGCCGTGGGTGGCACAGCGTAGGTGCTCCTTCCGGAGACTTCAGTTCGGCTGCCAATAGCTGAATCATCCGAACCAGGGCGCCGTCTTCTGTCCTCCAGTCGCAGCAGCCGCGGTTTCAAACCTCCCTTAATCTCCCCTCTGGAAAGATAGAGGATTCCCTTGGCACAGCGTGCACCCAAGCCTGCGATTTGATGTCTGCACAATATGAAAGCATGGCAAAGCGCATGCAGCACGGTTTTGCCGCCCGCAACGGACTCTTTGCCGCTTTGATGTCCAGAGAAAATTATACAGGCATCGATCAAGTTTTCGAGAGACCATATGGCGGCTATCTCTCTACCTTCGGTCAACGCTCGACGTATGACCCCACTTACAAAGAGAACGAGCTCATTGGTGGCTTGGGACGGGACTGGAGAGGCATTGAAGGGATCAGACTCAAGGAATACAACTCCATGATCGCGACACATGCTCCTGTTGACTGCATTGCTACGCTGCAGGCAAAGCACCCCGAAAGATTCGCAGACCTCGGGTCCGTGAGCAAGATTGTGATCGAGCGGCCCAAGGCTCCTCACGCACACGGTGGTCAGCAGATCGGTCGACCCATCACAACGACCGGCGCTCAGATGAGTACGCGATACATCGCTGCTGTACAGCTGCTAGATCGAAAAGTCCTGCTCGAGCAATTCAGCGAGGCAAACCTTGAGCGCGATGATACTTGGGACTTGATCCGGAAGATTGACTGCGTGTGGAATGAGGAGTTTGACGACAAGAGTGCTTGGTACACGAGAGTGTCAGTAGAATTTACCGATGGCGAGAGCTGGGTGCAGGAAATGCCGGTCTTGAAAGCTATCGGAAGCCTTCTTTCTGGGTGTGAGATAAAGGAGAAATGGAGGCTGATATGCCTCCTGCACGACCTGAGATCATTTTCGTCGCAGATCGCAGTGGCAGTATGGTCAACGAGATCCCGATGCTGATATCTGCGCTGAAAGTCTTTCTAAAGTCTTTACCGGTCGGTGTGAAGTTTAATATCTGTTCCTTGGATCGATTCACTCTTTCCTTTGGCCCAAAAGCCGATCATATGACAATGACTCGCTAAAGGAGGCGATAGCCCATGTCGAACATTTCAAGGCCGACTACTGCGGGACTGAGACTCAGAATACCGTTAGAGCGGCCATCGACAGCCGTTTCGTAGACCTCGACTGCGAGATTCTGGTCTTGACTGACGGTGACATATGTCGCCAACACGAAATTTTCAGCTATCTCAACGACACTGTTGGCGACAGCATTCGCGTGCTTCCACTAGGAATTGGCGATGGCGTTTCTACCAGCCTTGTTGAGGGTGTCGCTCGTGCTGGCAAAGGTTTCGCGCAGACGGTCGGCGAAGGTGAGAAGCTTGAGAAAAAGGTCGTTCGCATGCTGAAGGCAGCATAGTCCCAGCACGTCTCAGACTACACTATGGAGGTCAGGTACGAGAAATCTACAAAAGAAGAGGGCGACGTGACGTGGGAGATGGTTGACAGACGGTATAAAGGTCATGCTTACCAAGCAAAAGACACCACAGGAAACAACGGAAGAACATGAAAATCCCATCTCGCTCTTCGACTCAAGCATCAAGACAGAAGAGGAAGTGTGCCCGCTTTCGCTGGGCAATGACAATGAGGATCCGTATGCACATCTGCCAGGTGTTCCAACACCAAAGCTGCTACAAGGACCACACCGGATACCTCCATTATTCCCTTTCGCACGAACTACAGCCTACCTCCTTCTGTCTCCTGATTCCACCCAAAAGACTCCCAAGTCGGTGATTTTGCGGGGCGCATCTCCACAAGGGCCTCTGGAGCTTGAGGTCCCGATCCAAAGATTGCCTGAGCCAGGCAAAAAGATCCATCAATTGGCCGCGAAGAAATTCATGCAAGAGCTCGAGGAAGGTCGAGGCTGGATCTGTGATGCCAAAGACAACGAGAGTGGAAGGCTATTGAAGGACATTCATCCCAGCTGTTTTGAGGAGATCGTCCAACGTGAGGCCGTTCGATTGGGGTTACGATTCCAAGTGGGTGGGAAGTAGTGCTCGTTCATAGCCGTATCTGGGAACGAACACACGAATATGAAGCCTTCCGAAGACGATATGCAAAGCGTTGAGGCCGTAGTCTAAGAGTGCACATCATCTTTTGGTGAGTCCGAATCTTGCCCTTCAGCAGGAATCGAATCCGATGAAGCCGAAGAAAGTGACGAGGACATGGGTTTTGGTTTATTAGACACACTCCCCCTCCTAGGGAAATCACGCCAGCAAAGGGACACGACTCGTGGTTCTCTTCGCATTATTCTATAGGACATGGAGGGCGTCCGACCAAAGAAAGCGGCAGAGGCCGCGGTGGCCGACCACTACCCCACCATCTCAGAGTAGAGGAACAGCAACCCAATCAGCGGGTCCACCAACTCAAAGCGGTCTCTTCGGCTCAATCTCTGCTGGTCCGCCTCTTCGCTTTCACAACATCGGATATGAGCAATCCTCCCGATCGCCAACTAAACATACTGGCAGTGCCAATGGTATGTTCGGTTCAATGGCATCGGCTGGTCCGTCTCCTATGTCTAGTGCAGCGGCGGTCGAAGAACGTTTCGAGGCCCTTGGCTCCAACCAAGGAAACAACAAACATGTTGCTACCGAAAGTGAGAATGTGCCTTTCAATCATTGAGCTGCATGATTTCGAGGGCTCCTGGACTGAGGCGACGCAGCTTACCAGTATCTTGGGTATCAAGGAAAAAGTCCTGTGTAAAAAGAGGGAATCGTACTGGATCACCTTGGTGTTTATTGCGTTTCTGGAGGAAAAGATGGGCCAGGAGAGGGAGACTTGGGTTCTGGTGGTTTGCAAGGCGAGAACGTGGTTGAAGGGGAAAAAATTTCAGATGGAGGTATTGGAGGCGGAGGCTCGTCAGGTTATTCAACAGGGGAATTGAAAGAGTGTTCTTCTTAGGCGTATCGGCGTGGCGGAAGGATTTAAGAGAGAAAAGTAAGTAGTTGTTGTTACAAGACTAGAACTTGCTCGCTTTTGGTTAATATAGAAAGATGAACGAACGGTAAAGTTGGGCTGACAAAGAGCAAAGTACTGCGTCCTTTCAAGAGGCAAGATCGTTCCAGAGCGGCTTCATGTCTCCCTGTTGGTCGAGGTTTTGATCGCCATTTGCGTATAATTAGTCCCAAATACGCCACACATCTTGCTAATCTCTGACTTCCGCAAGCAAAACTCCATCAGCAAACCATGGCTCCCTTGCGAAATCCAATGCATCCACGGCCAGCTCCCAAGCAAGCACCACCCTCAGGCCCCAAGGCTCCTGAACCCACTTATGGTATTGAACAGGAGCACTTGGCCACCCACGACGGAAGAGTGAAAAAAAACTTCCACAAATCTCGTTGCTGTGTTTCAAACAGGTGTCGTAACACTGGCGGGATGCAGCGCCCAACTTGGACCAGCTTTCACGTCCTGGTGAAGAGAGATCCAGTCGGTAGAGGCATTTCTTCCTGACGCCATACTCGTAGCATTTCCCGCAGCTCCTAGCATAACGTTCGCTTGGAAGACATCAATAGTATATCAAGTAGGTCATCCCGCTTTTTTTTAAGAATCACGACGGCGAACACATCGAGAGTTCTGGCAAATCGGCCAGAAGCATCGCGCTAGGTCACAAAGGGACTAGCTGCTGGGATCACTTACTCTATCTGGATACTCGTACTGTTATTCCCACCCGAAAATAGACTTGGCAGCACGCGCTCTTCTCTACGCGCTGGTGGCACTTTTAAACTGGGGAAGGGAATCAATCTCAAGCAGTCATTTTTATCCTGCACTTCTGTCACAAGTTTGGGCGTCAGAGATGTATGACGCAAAGTCTCGTCTTCATTCCTTCACCTCTGCCTGCACGCTGCCTGAACGTTCTAAGTCTGAAACGAAGGATTTGAATTTGCTCTTTTGGTTATTGTGATAACCATTACATCCTTCATTCAGCGCCTAATGGGGCCCTCCACTTCCTCATAGAGACGATCAAGTTTCAAAAAGACCTGGGCTTTGCATAGATTCTGATCCGAAGGCTGCGATCGGCGCTATTGACCGAGAGCATGAGGCCGAGCTGACTCCGCAAGGTTACAAAAAATTGTAACACGAAAATAGACTGCTTTACTTGATCAGGGCAGATCGAATTATAAGTACTACCCTTCCTTCAGCAGTTGTCATCAAGTGCTCATGCCTGCTTTGTCTTGCTTGCCTCTCTCAAAGTTCCGTTGTCTCACAAAGTCTCCCTTTTCGCAGGCGTTCTTCGCTATGCATACCTTTCGGGAGTCGTCACGTGCAGCTGTACACGTTGTGTGGTTTTCCTTTGTCAACCTAATAGAGGCTACATGCTACTATCCTGATAAATCGGTCGCTACGGGCTATCAACCATGCAACGCATCTGTCGCCGAGGGGGTTTACAGTGCATGCTGCGCTGAAGGGGACGGCTGTTCAACAACCGGCTACTGTTTCGGTGGCTCTGGGTTTGCCTACCGCGGTGGTTGCACCGATGTGAATTGGGCGTCAGAATCATGTTGTCCCTCGTGTAGATCTGGTACTCAATTCTCGCTCTCCAGAGCAACATCACCTGCGCTGACACAACGGTAGATTCTATACATAGCTTCAGCAACCTGTATCCCTGCCCTGTTAATAGTGGCTCTTATACGGACACTTGGTGCTGTGGAGCGGTGGAAGGCAGCTCGCAGGCTGCGGCTGGCTGTTGCGATACCTCTGACTTCACCATGAATGCCCCTGGCATCGGAAGCTTTTTCGGAGTAGCCCAGGTAAGCAATGCGTCGACTGCAACTTCATCCACTCCAGCTGCCTCCACATCAGCCACCGCATTCACCTCCTCGAAACCTGCAACGGCTTCGAAATCGGCAAGCTCATCGACCACTTCATCTTCTAAGCCTGCATCGTCATCTAATCGATCAGCGGCAATCGGAGCGGGAGTCGGCGTACCACTAGGCGTACTACTGCTTTCATGTTTGGCCTTACTGCTCTATCGGGAACGTAAGCAGCGGCTTCGCGCGCAGAAAGTGACTGATGATATCTATGCTGCTATGAAAGTGAGAGAGGCAAAGGGAATATACCAAGGCTACGAGATGAGCATTCAGGCGAGGCGTCAGGAGCTCGGCTCTAATCAGAAGCAACTTGGAGAGTTGGATACACGTTCAGACAATGTGTATGAAGCGGACGGGCAGCCGTAATATGTTGGCTATCAGTCTGCGCGGGGCCTACGACACCATCCCTGCAATGTAAGAAAGAGATCTGAGGCGGTAATTCAAAAACCATTCATTCATTCACAAAGAAAAGGCTGAACATCTATTTGTTGCCTCAATCCGCAAGTGCCCGAAATGTGAACCAACCGTCATCCCCGAAGGTCAGCAACTCGATCCCACCGACCCATACCATGCGTTTCTCTCAACTCGACCAATTCCTCCTCCATCTCCTCCTGGAACCCCTTCAACGCCTCCCTCAGCCTCGCTCGCTCGAAAATTAGTGCGACATAAGTAAAGGGACGATTTCTCTCGACCCACAAACCGTGGTTGATCTCTGCGATATTTGATTCTAGTTCCGTGGTAATTTGGTCCAGCTCTCGGACTATGTTCGCTTCGATGCGAGAGGCGCAGCGCACGCAGAGGGTGGGGGCGGCGTTGATTGTGGTTGTATGGAGAACGGAGACGGTGCCGTCACAGCGATTTCGCGTGTGAGAATAGGACTTGCAATGCTGGAGGGGGTGGACTTTTTGCTGGTGGCCACATGAGGTGGAGACTTGAAGATTACTCTGACACATTGTGGTTGCGGTCTTTTCTTCCTGAAGCTGAGTGTTTTCGGTGAAGCAACCGAGATGAGAGAAGTCGCTCTGAGGGTGGAACACCGTCACTAATATGCTGAAAGTCGGAAGATGCAAACAGGGATTGCACTCAAGATCCAATGTCATTCAATGTCATTCAATGTCATTCAATGTCATTCAATGTCATCGCCTCTCGACGTACAAGGGATAAGGGAAGTGAAAAGCCTGTCACACTCGACTGCCAGTGTACCATCTCCAAGTGCTTTCCTTTGAGTGGCAAGCAACAAAGGTAGGTCTCTTTGTCGATTTGGCTGCAATTGTTTTTTCTTTGTGACGCAGAGAAATGAGATTGTGGCAAAGAAATGACAATTCTATCTATCCCTTTGTGAGGTGGCCAAAGGATTCTCGTGGCAAGGAGAATGCCATCTTCCTCTACATGACATGTTTCACAAGGGAGATCAATTCGTCCATGACAGATCATCACTCCTCCCCACTTTGCTGTTCGAACCCCTTGAATGTTTGATGTCTATGTTTCTGCTATTCCTTCAGTGTTGCGTGCCTCTCTCTTATTACCCTATCTTTGCCTTTGTGGAGACCTTGTCATGGCGTGATATGAGCTCTCCAATGTGCTCTTCGTGTACACTACAATCCGACACGTAGAGTCCAGGGACTCGCACAATGATCAATGATACGAGCGCGTCGATCTCCCGCCTAGGATCAAAGTTGCCTCTGAGGTTTGCAATGTCTCTTGATTGTGACCATTGACGAACTTGCAGCGTCAAGCAGGATCTTCAAGCTATATTGTACAAGCTGAAAATGTTTGGTTGCTCAATCTCTGGCAGAGGGGGTGCACAGGTAGAGAACAGATTATGGAACCGTGATTCCGACCTGGATATCGTTCCCGAAGTATTCTGTCCCATGGTCGAGAGCGACGTTTCTAATCCACCCGGTTCGAGATTCTCTGACGCTTAGCGAAACGTCGACCAATCTTTCAAAACGACTGAATATGTGCAAAACCCTTCAGCAGAGAGATGAGCCAAGAGTTAGGTTCGTCATCTTCAAGCTCATACTCGTACACGAGACATTGGCACTGCTGTCCTCCATGCTTCCGCCCTGTGAGACCGGATGTTATGCGTAGCGGAAGATTTCCGCCGCCTGGTCGCGAGGCGACCACCACTTGATTTTACCATCTACTCGTACCTTGGACTGCTACCTATGAGTTCAGCCCCAACAGATCTGTCATCGATTTTTCCAGCAAAGACACTACGCACTATTGGCCCAATCTTCGGCCGAGATGGCATCACAAGGGTTTTTCAAGTACACACAGTTACAACCATTGTTGAACATGACTAGAGTGGTCAATATACTACCAGGAGATCATTCATCGCCGATTCAGTGCGAAGTAAGGGCGATAAATCTGGATAAGCCTCCGCTATACTGTGCACTGTCGTACGTCTGGGGCAAACACTCAAAAGGCTACAAAATATTCATAGACCAAACAGAGATGGGTGTTACGCAAAGTCTGTATGAAACCCTGCAACATTTGCGCTCACATGAGGAGACTCGCACATTTTGGATTGACGCTATATGCATTAACCAGCTAGACATTGCGGAGAAGAGCGCCCAAGTCCGAAAAATGCAGCAGATATATGGGCGGTCCATAGGAGTCCTGATTTGGCTTGGGCCCGAAGGAGATGGAAGCGCCTCAGCGCTAGCGCTAGCATCCATAATCTCAGCATACTGGTCAGATCAGGCGCTCAATCTCAGTGATGCGGAGTCGGAGTTTCGGAGTAAGAGTTTAGCTGATTTGTCCACTCTTTTGGATGAGTGCAACTCCAAATGTGATACTACACCTGTAGAAGCGTTCAGATCCCTGATTACTCGGGATTGGTTCGAACGGGTATGGACGGTTCAAGAGGCGGCGGCACCCGTCAAAACGAAGACTATCCAGTGTGGAGACTCTAAGATCGATTGGTGGAGTTTTATTGCTGCGGCCAAATTTCTTTCTCATGCCATTCAAAGACCGGATCTGAAAGTGTATTTCCCAAACACTAGTGCTCTCGGCACCACCTCTATGCGCGGGCTCTTCAATTTGGACCATCTTCAAAGATTGGTTGGGGGTGGGAAGTATCAAGCAGATCTCCTGGGAACGCTTGCCAATTATCGACACTACAAGGCTACAGACCCAAGGGATAAGGTATACGCATTGCTGGGTTTAGTCACCGAAGCCTTGACCGAAATCTTGGTTTGCGATTACGTTCTAGATCTCCCGACAGTTTACCTCAAAGTGGCTGAACATTGCATATTGCATCGAGGTTCTCTTGAATGTTTGGGCTATTGCAATCCTTCCTCGCGGGACCTCGACTTACCTTCGTGGGTCCCGAACTGGCGCGATCCTAGCGTTAGACATCCTTTAGCCTATCTTTCAAAGCACAGACCAAGTATCTGCGCTTCAGATCCCGCAGCGAAAAGCATTTACTCCTCTAGTGCTGATGTTACGTCTCAGAAACGTCATCTATCCTTCTCAAAACTTCAAAAACCGAAGCTCGTTACTGAAGGATTCTGTATAGGCAAGGCTGTGGCCACCGGTCTTCCATACTACCAAGGTGCAAATCGTGACTCCGAGAGCGACGTCATAAAGGGATGGCAGCCGGAGAACCTCCAAGGTGTTTACGAACCAACTGGCGAGACAATTCTTGAGGCTTTCAGCCGTACCATCGTGGCCGACGTTGCCGAGAAAGGACCTCTGAGGGAGCGAGGCTACAGTATTGATTGGAGTTTCTGGCGTTCTACAAAAGACTACACACAACAACCCGCATCACCCCAGCGGCGACTTGAATGGGGCTCTCTTCTTTTCGCAACAGTTGGTAGGAGTTTTGTCTTGTCAGAAAACGGCTACATGTGCTTGGCTCCGGGGGAAACTCGGCCTGGCGATGAGATTTGTCTCCTCCTTGGAGGCCACGTTTTCTACATTCTCCGCCCAGTCGGCGAAAGCTGGTCTTTTGTCGGCGAGTGCTATGTTCATGGGTTCATGGATGGCGAAGCGATGAGTCTCCTCGTGAATGGAACCTTTGAGCTTCAGGAATTTACGATCGTTCAGATGAGCTACAATCCACCTGCAACACTTGTCTACCGTACAACCTCTGGTTTTTGCAGAATGTTTGCTAAAATTGTAAAACGAGCGAATTGATCACAGCGTTGGGGATCCTTAGCACAGATTGGTGCCATCAGCATCACCCATAACTGTCGCAGTTTCTTCAGTCTGCCTATCCATCACCCCCTGGATCTAATCTCGTTCGCATTTTTCGACTCCGCAACGCAACAGTCTTAGAGACCATGGATGCTGTCCATAGTCTTCAATCATTACAGCGCTACGCTCACAGTATCTCCCAGCCACCATGGCATTTCTCTGCGACTTAGCCAACGGAGGTCCGAGCGACAAAGCTTCCAAATTCCAGGATAAGGTGTCGAGGAATGCCGTTGATTATAGTCAGCCTCAAGCGGGCAAGGATCTGACCAGCTGCATCCAGTTGAAGGTGAAGAGGAACAGCGGTAAATCAATGGTCCCTGGCGGCGCAACTTCACTGTTCGTCGTACTGCCTGAATGTTGGAACCAGCCTTTGTTGAATTGTCTGTGCCTCGTTGGTGCAGCGGTAGTTCCACCATCGGGTAGGCCATATGTTTGGTGTAGTATGTATCTACTTTGTGAAGTTTCAGGACCGTGCTGAATCAGAGTGAGCGGGATAGAATCAAACATCTCCACTTGTCTCCAATCTTGTGTCTCAGGTTTGCATTCATCTGTTATTTATGGGCCTGATTATTGAAAACTATTGACCCTTTGACTTTGACAGGCTTTACAAGGCTCCAGTCCAGTTCTATGTTGTGTACTGGGGTAGTAAGGCATGTCCTGTGCTCTTGCAAATTGCAATGATGATACAGAAAATAAGAAGCATCGCAACACCATTGTACCAGCGCCATTAGGAATCGAACCTAATACGAACTCAATATCCCCAACAACTAGACTGATCGGCGGACGCGCAGGTATTGGTATTTCGACAATGCCCTATCCTCAATACGGTAAAGGGGCGGGAGGGGCCGCATGGTAGATTCTCGTCTGACAGGTCACGCTACCTTTCATCTGTTTGTGTTTGCTCAAGTTCATTATCTCTTGCAGTGATAAAATGCATATTCCAATACCACACTTTTGTACCATATCATGACAGCATTTCTATTAAATCCCAGATAGACCAAGTCAGTGTTTACCGTGTGCACTGCTCTTGACAATGGCGTCTACTCCAAGCTCTGAATCTACGGGCTGGACTCCACCCGAAGGCAATTGTGATAAATGCGGAGCCCCTGCTTCTTGGGCAGAAGAGTATGTAACTTTGCAGTCCTTTCCTTTTGCATGAGACCTCTTTCACAGGTCTTGAGACGCGTTGTAGGTGCAAAATATTTTTGCTTGTTCTTGAATTATCTTTTAGGCGTTGGATTTCGGACTCACCAACGCAATGCTGACGGGCAAGTATAGCTGGACAAAAAACTTGTCATGGTATGATGGCGCCAAACTCCATGTGGCTACTTATTTTGCAAGCCCACGCATGTGGCCCTTAGGGTACATACTTGGTAGTCAATATTCGCCCCTCAATCTGGAGCAACAATTTCCAAACCTCAACTGGAGGGACCGCTTCGAAGATCTTCTCGCACTCGAGTCTGGGAAGAAGATGATCAGTGCAGTCAGCAGACAGAAAGAGGCCGCAACCGCCTCTCGGATCCGCAGTGAGAGTGTCCACGATGACATCTCTCGTGTGAATCAAGACCTTCAGCGCAACCAAGATTATGTTGTCCTACTGCAGAATTTTCGAGAAATATCACTTCGCAGGAAAGATACTGCCCTTGTTTCAATGATTGACGATGACGGACTACTATTCCAGAGAAATTGCTCCGAAACGATCATCGCAGATGGGAAAGCTCTCATTGACAGCCTCAAAAATCTTCAGAACAAACCGGCTAGCAGCTACAAAAGGAGAGTACCTTGGATCACTTCTCTCATCTCGAGCGGTGCGATGCTAGGATGGGAGTCGGCGGTTTACGACAGCGCAGACGGGTGGTTGGCAGATGTCTACAAGGCTGACAGCTCCGGAGACGGTCATATTTTCTCTGAGTTGGATTTGACCATGATTTTCAAAGAGGGCTCTCAACTGGATTTCAGGAGCCCCACATGGTCGACATATGAGGGTTCTTACCGGGTTAGCTACCCGCAAATCGAGCAGCTCTGCCCGGAGGGAGACGCAGATCCAGACGCAGATCATACATACGATACCATTGAGAATATTCGCCCGTCTATAATCTCACAATTGACAACAGCGCAACGGAGAAAGTCGTGGAACGGCAGCATTGAGACGCGGGTTGTGCTTAAGAACCGCTTCACCAACGGCAAGGAGGAAGAGAAGACGATCGTGAATGATGCTTCGAAAGTTCTCGAAGAGGTGGAAAAGGCACATGCTTCTGTCAAAGAAAGGCATAACGCTATCGGTCTCGCACTCTGGGAGCTGTCATACCGAAAGCAGAAAGATGTTCTTGCTGTCGCGAAGGAAATGGAAGATGAGGAGGGGGTGGAGTAGAACGCTCCAAGAGGGACGCAATATGTTTTCTGCGGTTCAATGGTATTTCCCCTCGCTCCTGGCATAATCGGAATGCATGCTGACTCATTAAGATACCTCTCGACGGTTTACGATACCCATGACTGTCCATTTCCTTCTCTGGTGGACCAGCTTTACGAACCATCTTTGTGGTATGATCCTCATTCTTTGCGCATGATGCGAGACAACCTGACATTTTCCAACAGAGCTCGATGATGGTGGAACCCTTCCAGCCTTGGGTAGAGACGTGGCACTGGGCCGACCTATTCTCTCATCCAGAGACTTTTCTTGAATTGATCATTAATGCATGCTATTAGCGTCCATACCCATAGAAGCGACTGAATGAAACCGGGAAATTTTCCTCCGATGCACCTTCTTCGATGACAATAACCCTCTGTACGAACCTCGAGCCACCCGTTCCTCATATCTCGCCAACACACCCACCATATCCCCCACTCCAACCCCGACCCCCTTTTCCTCCTCTTCAATCCTCAAACCCTCTCCCTCTTCCTCCTCAAGCCCCAACCCACTCTGAAGAACAAGCACACCGTCCACTCCAGAACGACACCGACCCTCTCCCAACACCTCTCAACCAAACGTTCAACGTGCTCCCCAAATCCCATCCCCTCCCCCCCATCACGGTCGCCAGATTCGTAGAAACACCATTCGTGCCTGTGTCTCGGGCCCGGTCCCCATCTTGTGAACTGTACGCTTCTTCCACTATCCCCCAAGCAGTTCCGCCATCCTCATGCCCACCAATCCGCTCACGTACCCCATCCTCGCAACACTCCCATGTCGAGACCCACCGCACACGTCGACATCTCCTCCCACGCTCGCGTTTACTCCGCGCAAGCATCTCGATGCGCGGACCGCTGCATCCCGTCCCAGCAAGCGTCTCACGGGAGGCATCGGTTCGGCAGGCTTGGTCTCTTCGCGTGTTGTGACGGTCCGCGGGGGGGGAGGGGGTTTTTTTTTGGATTCTGGCTCGCGGCGGTAGGTGAGCGAGGTAGGGTACCGGGTATGCGTTGCCGTTGGGTTTGCGGAAAGTGGATACCTGGGGCGGACGATTGCTGTTGATTGAGGAGGTAGGTTGGAGGGTTGAGAGGGTGTGAGATGGAGTGTTTTGCGTTGTGAGATGAGAAGAAAAGAGTTTGGGGGGGGGGGGTGCTCCTTCGTTTCGATCTGGCTGATATCGAAGTCGGCGGCTCACCACGTATCAACATCCATCCCGTCGCTCGCACATACTCACTGGTTTTCAGGCATTTATGCTAGAATAGACGGGCACGAGAAACCCTCCGTCCACGATGCATGGGTTCTGCCTCCCATGTTGCGAAAGAATAGACGGTTCGATGTCGTTCGAAAACGTAGTCAGTTTTCACAGAAATTTTGTCAGGAACGTAACGCTGCCCAAGACGCCTGTACCTACTCGTCCCTCTCCAAGCGTCCTCCTAGAGACCATCGTCTTCGCTCATTGAAGCTTGACCACCTTGTCACACCGCCATATCCCGGTCAGGCACCACGGCGCTGCTTCCAGTGTCTGGGCTTCCCAGTCGGACCATGATGCTCCTCTCTGGAATCATTGGCTCTCAAAGCTCATTTCCAGACCCTTTGTTCCCTTCAACTTTCTTCCTGATCTTACGATCATTGAATTGCTCCCTGCTCGGCACAGTCCAGCTGCCTGAGTCGTTCTCGATGGTGAAGTACTCCTTATCGGCACCAAGGCCTTTTCCTTCCCTGATGTTCCTCCCGTACTTGAATCGCTTGCTCGCGCTCATGGGCATAAAGTTCGTTCTCTGTGCAGAAGCACCTGCGCGCGAAAGGTCTGCTTTACATGACGGGTCTCCTGGGTGTGAGCAGCCCGCTGCTGCGTCTTCTTCTCATGGAACTCTGCCATCAAATCACGGGTCCAAGCGCTTGGCAAGGTCGACGAAGGTGGGAAGTCCCAAGTTAATTTGGGCAGCGAGGGCAGATGAGGGTGCTCCGCCCGAGGGAGATCTTGTCGCTGGTGGCGCTGGGATGGAATGCGTTGAGCTAGATGGTCCTACAGCTGAAGACCCTAGGCCTGATCGCATTGACCCTGATGATGCTGATCGGGGATCTGTTAGTGTTAAGGTTAGTGGTACTGAACCCAAGTCGGGGGCCGCAGGAGCCTTTGGAGGAAGAGAGTGCGACATTGTACTTTGCCTCGAACGTTTTCAAGGTTTGGCTCAGATTGAATCTTCGTTTTTGCAGTCTAGATGACAACCGAAATCACGGTTGGCTCGGAGTGGTGAAAGTTGAAGGCTACGGGGTCATCGGTATATAAATATCATTAGACGCTAGGTGTCCAACATTCCCGCGCAGGTTCCAAAAGTTTGTGGACAGGTGGAGCGTCGAAGGTAGAACCACTGATGACGAGATGGCCAGACACTTTCAGCATACCTCGAAAGCTCTAGACTTGCTTAGAGACAACCTGAGACGACGGATGTTTTCTGTCGTCGGAGCTGTCCGCAGTAAAGCCCACGTTGGCAAAGGCTTACTTCTTCGCACGAGAAGCTTCCATCGCAGTCCTCATCTCATCCAGAAGCTCTGGATGCGTATTCTCAATTAGCCTGAGCCACTCTGCATCTCTCTCCAGATCGCGTCTCTGCGCCTCCTCAGCAGCAAGTCTCGTACGATCGTTCCACCTTCCCTCCCAAAGGTCCTCAATAGCGTTCCTCGCCTTGTCGATAGTCGCCTGATACTCCTCATGAAGCATAATAACTTGGTCAGTAGCATCCTGCTGGATACGCGCTAGACTTTTGGTATGAGTAATAGAAAGCGACTGAATTCGCTCTTCCAGTGCAGCGACTTTCGCAGCACACCCTTCCCTACCTCTCTCTAAGTCTCGATCTAGCGTTTTCTGCATTTCAGCAACGCTAGCAGCAGCCTCTTCGCGAATGCGCTCTATTTCGCGATTGTTGGCCTTCCATTCTTTTCGATAAGCTTGGTCGACGGCTTCTCGGGTTGCGGCCAGTTCTTGCACATGGGTTTTCAACTGTTGATCATGCGCCTCATAGATGCGGGCAAGCTGACGGGCGTGATTTTCGTCGATGGTGCGCACGACACGGCCGTAATGAATACTGAGAGCATTTTCGGGGTCGGCAGTCGATGGAGTTGGCGGTTGCTCTGAGTCGTTGCCGCTTGGCGCGGAGGTTTGGATGGGTGCTGGCCTGGGTGCTTGGTCTTCATACGGGGGTAGAGAGGGCGCAATGGAACGGATGCTGTACATGGATCCAGGCCGAGTGGAGGTAGTTCGAGCAGCGTTGCCTTCGAGGACATCGTCAATCTGAAAATGCCCTTGCGGCAAGGTGGAAATGCTGAATTTTGTCCCGGTCGAAATGACACTAGATGCCCTTGATCGGACTGAAACTACTTCAGAATTACTGGTACCTTCTCTCGGTTCAGGATTGTCTGCCTGATTATCTGCCATATTGTACAGTAGTGGCTGGTTCACGATGAGGGTCATGGCCACTCGTTATATGGGCGTAGCCCCGAGAACTTGAAGTCAAAGAGCAAGCATTGTATTATCAGTGCCAGGCTACAAGGCTGCGAGTCTTCAAGGTTCTTGGAAAACGTCACAGAGACGGCTGATTAAAATAGAAACGAGCAGGCAGACAATTTGTCGTCAAGATTGTCGGTAAGTGCACAGCCTTTCGATATCGCAACACGCCAGTCAACCAACAGACTAGCTCTTGTTGCTCGAACAGAGTCACGAGATCTGTCTCTTCTAATAGAACCAGTTCTTACCAAGTCTTACCATGTCAGTTTCTGAGGACAAATTCGATTGCAACTTGCAAGTCGGTTGAGTCAGCTTACAGCGCATCCCTAAGGTCTAAGGTACGCTGCAGTCAGACTTTGCTTTAGCGTAAGTATTGTCGCGGTGAAATCAATCCCCGCTGCCCGGGGCCAACCCATGCCCAGTGAAACTACGTAGCAGTAGTAAGCCTCCCAGAAGTCAAGCACATCATCATACATGGAGAATCCTCATTGGAGGAGATTAGCCAATCAATGCACGGCGACTTTGGCGCTCACTCATCACAAAAAGTAAGCAATGAAGAATAAAAAGCCTGAGAAGAACGACGAGAACAGGGTTGAATCAGTCTTACTATACCAGACAGGCTCAACCCCTTTTCTTCTTCTATATACATGTGATCAGGTTGTTTCTATCAAAGTCCCTTAAACTTATGCCTCTCAAAGTGATTGTCGTCGGAGCAGGTATTGGAGGTCTGTGCGCGGCTACATCGCTGCGACAAGCAGGACACGATGTCGAGGTAGGTTCAAAGAATTTGCGAGTGTTTCTTTCTTGCCCGTCGTCATTGAGTTGAGCAGATTGCATTTTTATTGTTCTTGGCTTTTTGTTGGTAGAGAAACGATGATGCTCATCCTGGTTGGGTTAGCGGCCAGCTGAGTTGTCCTTCCTACTGATCGTGGATACTGCTCTGTTTAGATCTTCGAAAGGTCAAGCTTCACGGGCGAGGTGGGTGCTGCGCTGGTCTTGACACCAAATGGTAGTCGAGTCCTTTCAAGTCTCGGATTCTCCTTCGAGCGAGCCCGCGCCTGCAAAATGGTACAATGGGACACGATACTCGGAGATTCGATGGGGCGTGTGGCCAGTCTCGACCTGAGCATGGCTGAGCAAAGGTTCGGCGCTCCTCTTTGGTCGGTGCATCGCGTGGACCTGCACAACGAGCTCCTTCGTTTGGCAACTAGCGAAGATACACCAGGCTCGAAACCAGTCACTCTTCGGCTGGGAGCACAGGTGGTGGATGCTTCGACAGATGGCTCAATTACGCTAAAGGATGGTTCACGTCATGCTGCAGACCTGATTGTAGGCGCTGATGGACTTCATTCGGTCTTGCGAGGCACCGTTTTGACACATGATACCAAGGTGTCCGCTAGCGGCTTGAGCGCGTTCAGGTTCTTGATGGATACAACAATGCTGGAGGATGATGCAAAGCTTGCACAGGTAGTCGAGGCTAGAAGTCCAGGGCTTTCTCTCATCATCGACGCGAAAGAGACCATCAGTGAACGTCACGTGGTGTGGTATCCATGTCGGGAGTGGGTTACTCACTGTTGAACCGCACTACCGAGATCCTCATGCTAATCAAGCCACCAGCGGCGAAGTCCAGAACTTCGTAGGCATTCATCCGACACGACCAGCGGATCATGAAGAAACGGAAACCGAAGGTAAGACTAGAAGTTGAAATCCATCGACATTTCTGGTTGCACCGCAAGCTAAATTCATTGGTGGGGGCCCTAAGCAATGAAGGACTCCATGCTCAAGGAGTTTGGTCACTTCAATCCAGGAATTGTCCGGATTATTTCGTATGTTGCAACACCTGCGTACGTACGTTGGGCATAATAATTTGCTGACCTGCTGTGCAGCCAGTCTTCGCACGTAAAGTGTTGGCCGCTCTATGTTCACGAACCCCTACCTACATGGTACAATGGCAGAGTCATTCTAATCGGGGATGCTGCCCATCCGGTGTGTCGACCTTTCACAATGCACCAAGCTAAGCGATCATGACTGACAAATCAGATGATGCCGTTCGGTGGGCAGGGTTCCAACTCTGCGATGGAGGACGCTGGGGCGCTAGGCCATTTATTCCGATCCGTTCATGATCCTGCGACGATCGAAAAACGGCTGCAGTTGTTTTGGCTTGTCAGAAAAGACCGGGTCTCCAGAACCCAGACCATGGCAAAGGTTAGGGCCGGTAGGGAAAAAGAAGTGGAGCAGGAGCTTAAGAAGTATGCCGATCCGCCAGGATCAGGTACGTTTTGCATAGCCTGAAAGTAATTGGAAAAAGCTCACCGGGAGCACAGCCGTTCCGTCTACACACCAAGAACGAACTGACCACGACTATGATTATGATGTTTTCGCAAAATGTGAGGAAGTACTTTTAGAAGGACAAATGGGGGAGATAAAGCTCGAGTAGCCACTCCTTTCCCAAGCTTCCGAGACTTGAAAGATCGACAGGATGATGCTCAGCTGCTACTGGACAGTTCAAGGATTCGAAAAGAGATCAAGATTGGTTGGTTGGCTGAGTAGGTTTCTTCCTTCCGTTGAAGCGTCGCAAGATACCCGACGTTGGATAAGTCTTCAGGGATTTAGCCGCTAGCATCGTCTAAGGATCTGATGAGGGCGAACGGTCTGGATAGCAGTCCGAAACTTATAGCCGCCATGGAAAGACGAGGCGTACATGAATGACATGATAGGAAAGTCCATATGCACGATCATGCGGCTGAACAATCAAAGATCGTTTCATCAAGCTCCTCCCCTCAGCTTTCATATGATGCTGCTTGTAGTTGTCCGACTTCTTTCGGAACGCTTTTCCAAGACGTATTGCAGGATTGCACACTTGATAAGAAGAACAACAACTACCGTTGTCGGAGCATATAAATGTGGAGACCTTTATAACAGAGCCGAACTCTGGCGCCAGTCAGTGATCAAAGTCGATCGCGACTCGCGAGCTCATCGACGTGGGGCTGAGAGACCGGCAGCTGGGCCGAGCCTAGCTGTACCTTAGCGTACTCAGGATGTTTTTAATACCCGGATGTTAGTGTATTGAGAGACAGCACGTCCTTTCCGCATCCCTCGATAACTTCTAAACCAAGGCCTTTATGAAAACAGTCCTGGTACGCAACATCTTTTTCCGATACACCTCTACACTTTCACAGCTGAACCCATCCTCGGAATCGTCCTCGTCGTCAAGCTGCGCAGTGGTGGTATAGTGCGACCTTACACAATTAGACCTAAATACTTGTCCGGATATTAAAAAAACCCCGGTATTGGGGTAACGGTTCCCGACCTGAAATCCCCGCCCGGGCGCCGGCATGCGGAGGCTAATGCAGGGCACACCGACCTGAAAAGGTGATCAATCGTGTACTGCGAAACCCGTTCGATAAGCGTACCACACGGTCCCAATACGCATACAACCTCGACTCTCCTCTCCTCGCTCCCATCCATACTCTCCTTCTTCTACTCCTTCTTCTTCTCCTTCTTCTCCTTCTTCTACTCCTTCTTCTTCTCCTAATACCCTCTCCTCTCCCGATCGACCCCGGAGCTCCAAATCCAAAGCTCCCATTCATTCACAAATGCCTCCTCCTCCGAACACACCCCTCGGCCCGAACCCGGCCTCGGATCTCAAACGGGGATATCAGACCGGTTCCTCCCCCGCGGCAGACGACGCGTCGGATCCGACTCCCTCGAGGCGGACGGGTGAGATGCGGCAGGAGGGTGACCGGCGCGAGCGGGCTGCCATGGTTCTGGGGAGTTGGGAGCAACTGTCGTGGCACAGTCACACGTATGGGGAGGTGTGTTTGATTTTTTTCTTTTCACCGTTGCGGGAATCGCATGGCTGTCATCTACTGCTTCCTCGATCTCTGTCATTCACTGGTTCTGAGTGAGCATCTGGTCAAGCACGAGTGCTCGTTAGTGGACATCATGACTGATTGATGGTGATTGGAGGTAGAGTATCCCGCAGACGAGGCTGAGGCTCGAAAAGATCATGAATGGACTCGAGGCTGGAAGCGGAGAGGAGGAGTGGGAGGATGAGGGAGAGGGTGACGAGAAGGGGAAGGAGAGGGAGAGGGAGAGGGTGGAGAAGCAAAAGAGGATACGCAGGACTGAGGGGAATGCCAGGAAAAGGACAGCTGGGAATGGTTAGGACGGTGGTTGCTGGTGAGATGGGAAGACCGGCTACGACGACTATGATCAGTATGAGTTACGCCAGCATGAGGCATGCGCTATGATGCAATGGTATTAAATTAGGCCAACAGTGGTAGATCAGTCAATGTCTATGTACAATATACAACATTCTCTACTCTATCGACTGCAGAAAATGATGCTCGCTACAGCTCTTGCCTCGCGTCCTCCAATGGCCTTTCTTCCTCATTGACCAGGCTTGCAGTATCACCAACCTGCTTTCTTGTGCTGACTTCTCGGGTTCTCAACCGCGATCGCATCGCTGCTAGCTTCATCGTCAATCCTTGAGCGTTACCTCTCATGACTGCTAGTTGTTATTGGAGAGGCTCAGAGCTGGAAGAGAGTCTGTTAAGGTGGAGGTAGACGTCTGTGCCGTATCTATAGCACCAGGCCAAGTCAGTAATCATACCTTGGTTGAAGTGCGATTTTCCGAAGTACTGACCCTTCCATACTGATGAGTTTCAGATCACCGCCAAAATACCTCGCGTACAATCTACTGATGGGCAAACCGTACCCAAATCCAGCCATGGGCGCCTTGAAATCACTTTTGTTGAAGTCGGGATCCAAATTTGGCGTAGTCTCCACAGTTGTGTACATGTACGTCCAGACCAGCGGTATGGAAGATCTCGGGATACCACCTCCCTCATCCGAAACCTTGATCGTTATATCCTCCTTACCCTCTGCAATGATGACTTTGGTCACAGGAAATTCCTGCTTGTCTTGCCCATGCGTCTCGACGACTGCACGCAACGAATTCTTGAGAGTCTCAAACAACATATGTGACAGATGTCCTGGCACGTACATAAAGTGGAGATCTGCTTTGCAAACCAACTGAACCTTGGGTGCATCGAAAAGGCCGTAATGATCTTCGCACACGAATCGAGCATTGTCGATAGCTTCTTGGGCAAGTTCCCGCACGTTCGTCTTGGTACATATTATACCCACGTAGTTCGGTTCTATTGCTTGTTTTTGGTCTGTAAGGGCGATATGCTGACCTATCAGCATTCGAATACCTATTCGAGACATGTAGAATCGATCCAGGAAAGACTGGATATTGTTATCAATCTGCATCCGTTGCCGTTTCCGTTTGTATTCGAGTATGCCCTGTGCAACGGTGGTCACTACACTGTCATGCCGCCTCTTGATTCCTTCCAAGGTCCTGGAGAAGCGCTTGTTGTAGTCATTGAGTTCCGGCGGCCAGTCTCCCTCATCATCTGTAGACGCATAGTACCTCCTAGAAGAACCTTTGCCCCCACCATTGGAATTACCATTCGTCTGTTGCGACCTGTACTGGCCCTGTTTGACACTAGGGTTGTGTGTAGTCTGGCTCAATATCTTTGAATCTCGCCCGTTTTGCTTCATTGGCCGTAGCAGTCGCTCTCGAACATCCGACGGTAGGTTGGGCCTTGGGAGTGTAGTGATGTCCTGGCGATGAGTCAGTCAACAAGGTCTCGTGGTGGTACTCGGACCACCCTGAGATTATCTTACTTCGAATGACTGCGAATACCAATCCTGGACTTTTTGGATCGAGGGTATATCATTCAGTCCATCAGGCAGATCTCCAAGTTCTTGGACTCGATGTGCTAAGCGTATGGGAAGCTCTTCAGAGAGGAATTGGGAGGCGCGGAAGAGGGTGCCTACATTATTATGCAGTCAGCAGAAGATGTGGCCGTTACTCCCCAGTGTACTCGTACCTGTGGATGGTCTTTCACCAAACTGCACCATCTGCCTCAAGCTCACTCCAGTGGCCGGGAAACCAGAGTAGTGTTTGATGGTATCCATCAACCTCTCGGACTTCTTCCATGACATGCTAATTGTTCAGGCCTTTCGGCCTGTGTTCCGTTATGGAGACCAATGGCTTCCGAGTCTCCGCGCTGCTCCACTGAAAGATTTGGGCCAAACGAAGAGGTCACCAGATGCTCTGTGGTGCCTGCAAGAGAAGGGCGATGCTTGGGTCAATTATCCAAGTTCTGTGCACGACATGTACTTGCGAGCGGGCTTATTGAGCAAGAAGCTGATCAATTGAAGATTCCAGAGGTATCAATGGAAGTTGGAGGTGTTTGTTATATCTTTTTATTGCCTGAGTCATTGTCATTGTCATTCGTTCGAGATGAACAAGCTCCGAAGTTCGCCCGGCGGGAGTTTCCCCACATTTCGCCTAAGATTAACCCTGTCACCCGAGGGACCCCTGTAGGCTGTGCACTTCTATTCTCCGCTGAGCCGTGAAAAACTTTGACTGAGTCTTATGCCGGCTTTGAGAAGAAGCTACAGGTACCTATTATTAACAGACCCAGACCATATGGAGAAGCAAGGATTGGGCAAGAGGGGGAGAAGAGTCGTCGCCTTTTCTCCTTTTGCTTACCAATCAATTCCAGGGTTACGCATTGTTGAAGAATTTGCCAACTCAACAGCTGTTGTCGAATGATGAATTGGAAATCAACTCCACGGTTGACTTATCATTGATAATGCAAGAGGAATTCGGATGAGAAATGTATCCTCTACCATGACATGCCAACCATAGGGTTCCCAGATTCATCAAAGTAGGATTATTGAATATTAACATAGACGAGTTCTACTTGCCTTTTCATTTTTGAGAATCTATATCAATAGCCTACTCTTTATTATTAAGTGAATACCTTCGCTATATAACGTTAAAATATTATAAATCGTTAATAAATCGCTTTTTTCGTTTCTTTATCTTCTAAGCTATTAAGAATTAAGATTAAATATTAGATATTATATTTATTAGTATATATAATATATATATTTTTATCTTCTTTTAATATATCTTAAATATCTTTATAGTTATCGCGACTAGTCTTATCTTATATACGACGATTTATAATAGAAGATATTTACTTTTTTTTTTTTTTTTTTTTTTTTTTTTTTTTTTTATCTATTAATAATTTTTTTTATTGAGGGTATAGTATTCTCTATCTACTCCCCTTTTTCTTATTTTATATTAATTAAGAGGAGACGTAGGGCCAGAAACTCGCCTAATATCTCTACTTCGCCTCCGTTCTTACTATTATCTACTCTATAAGATTTCGAGATATTAAGAGTATATCGATATTAATTAATCTCTTTATAGCTAGTTAGATAATTACTTAGTCTAAGACTATTAGATTTATCTATCTTTATAGACATTAATTTAATATTATTCGATAATTAAAAAATAAGAATTTAAGATAAGCTTACTTATAATAATAATTATTTTCTTATCGATATCTTTAAAATTATCTACGTTATAGCGAGACTTAAAGGGGAAGTTAGTTAATATATATCTATTAGACGACGATATCGCTCGTACTCTATAGTCGATAATCTTTTAAATTATTTAAGCAACGTGTATAAGATACTCTTATTCGTTCTTAGAGAAATCTATTAATATACTTACGATAAAATAAGCTAAGAAAGTTAATTATTTCTTAAATTCTACGATAATTTTATTAAGTATATCGAATGTAATTTTAGAAATAATAGTCTTAACGATCTTAGAAATAATAGTCTAATAAACGATATACGAAAGAAATCGGAACTTCGTTTATGTGACTTAATTGATCTATTAATAAGAGATTAAATTATATCTAAATTAAAGAAATATATTATAAGAATATAGCTTTAATATTAATAATCTATTAAGGAGTTTATCGAGAAGAAGGCTAAAAGATTCGCGGAGTAATATGTAAAAGTAAAGGTCGAGACTAATATAAAGAAGGAATACTTAATTATAACTCGTCTTATTTTTAATATATAGAGTTTAAGTCTTACTAAGATAGAGAATCTTATAAATAAGAATTAGGCTTATATATAAAAGCATAGTAAATATTATAAGCCCGATATAGATTTCGACGAAGTATACGAGCTTAGTTGCTAGGGCTTTCTATAAGCGACTCGATAATACTTCGAATATCGTATTTTTAAACGAATTAAAACTATTCGATATTAGAATAACCTTCTTTTTTTATATTAAGAAATCGATTTTCTAGATCTATATTACTTATTAATAGTTTTATATTAAATCTATTAAGCGAGCTTCCCTTATTATTATATACGTAAAGATCTTTCGAAGTTATAGTACGCTATCTATAGACCTTACTATCGCCGTCGATAGCCTCTATCGATATCGACTATGTGATATCTTATAGAGAAACTTACTTGATATTGAATTAGAGTTTTTAGCGCCTATAACTCGATTCGATTTAATTCGATTCGAGAGCCCTCGATTAGTTACATTATATTATTTTATTAAAATTCTTTACGCTAAAATATCGACTTAAGAGTTATTATAGATTATTAAGATAATTATAATTATTACTTATCTATTCTTTTACCGATTTTCTTTAAATTAGACTCTCTATACTCGCTATACCTCTAGCTAGCGACGAGGCTAATATAAGAATTTATATAAAGCTTAATACTACTACTATCGTCGCTAAGAACGAGTATTATATTAAAAGTCTCGAATACTAAAAGTTCTTTATTTTTATAGATTTTCAGCGAGTATAATATATATGTATGCGATGAAATTATTTAGTTCTTTCGAAGGCCTATAATAGATAGGCTGGACGGGAGAAGGATTTAGAGAATCTTACTGATACGTAGATAAGATGTGGCTATATCTTCTGGATCTTAACCCTCTCTAGTTAAGGACTATACGAACTATGAATGTTTGAAGATATAAGGTAAGTAATGGGCCTGCATCTCCGGTCTATCAGCCATAGGGGCCATGGCTATTTGAGAGAGGGGGTAGTGTTATGAGCGTACCCTTGACACATCACTCAGCCCTATGGCTAGCGGGCCTTGGCGGAGACATCCCCTACTATATCATGTCTCCTTCTCATCTACATAGTTCGATAGCCTTATTATTCTAGTTCTATCTCATCTATACTAGTATCGCATCTATACTAGTCCTGATATTATTAAGTATCAACATAGACGAGTTCTACTTATCTTTTTATTTGTGAGAATCTATATTAATATTCTACTCTTTATTATTAAGTAAATATATTCGCTATATAACGTTAAATCGCTATATAACGTTAAAATATTATAACCCGTCGATAAATCGCTTTTTTTATTTCTTTATCTTCTAAGCTATTAAGAATTAACAAGTAAAGGCCTATGAATTAAATTCATGAAGTTGGATTTTTTCAAGTCAAATCGAATTTTAGCCCTAGCCCTAAGTCAAATCGAACTCTGATCGCTTGCTGTGCGTTTTTGACCTACTTCCACCACTATAAAATTGATTTAATCTATGTGGTATACAGGCACATATGTACGGAGAGAGGCGCGCTAAGGCCTAATTAGGAAGGTGTATCGAGTGTGGAGGATGGATCCGTAATGATTGCCCACAAAAAACAGAGAAAGGCCATATTCTTATGGCAAGAAGTATTAAAATACCGGAAAGAAATGGAGATAACATGCCAATTAGTGGTGTGAATCCCACATTATCTCCTGCCGCAGTGAAATCTTTCGAATAATGAAATAGCTGTCAGAGCAAGATATCGGACGGTTTCAATTCGTTCAAATATGTATCGTTTGATGTTCCTTCTGCAGAGGTCTAATTGGCTATAATCGTCGCAGTAGATCCTCCTCTTATAACGTTATTGTAGTAATATACTATATTAATGCAGTAGAGATAATAGGCCAAGTTGCAGTGGTGTTCTCCGCTTGCTGAGTGATGATTTGATGTGGAACCGTGGAGAGTATATGACGTGGGATCTTGGAGAGCTGAGCCGTGTTCTTGACGATGGTGGCCTTGTTGCCGCTTGGTTTCTCCGCAGTGTTCTCCGCAGTGTTCTCCGCATTTGCCTGTTGTAGTTCCTCCTCTTACTCCTTCTCTTGTAGAGTATCAGACTGAGTGGCTAGCTGAGTGGCTGACTGAGTGGATGACTGAGTGACTGGTTGACGATCTGACTGAGTGGATTGCTAAGCTGATAGGGTAGGTAGTGTTGACTGAGCGGCTGGTCGAGTATCGCTGGCTTGGGAGGAGTATGTAGGGGAGGACGATGGCTGTGAATCCGTTCGGGCTCTTTTTGAGGGTCTTTTAACGCGTTTATGAGTAGTAGTAGGTAGCTGTTGGGCTCGCTTGCGGCCTCGATTGCTAGTAGTAGCGGATTCGTCGAGGGGTGACTTGGGGGCGTCAGTAAGGGGTTTAAAAGACGGGCGGAAGGGATATGTGCCTTAGATATTTAGTAATATTTGGGCGAGGGGTATCGAGGGCGAATATATTCATAATTGGTGGATTGGTAGAATTATAGAAGAAACATGATTAAAATAGGGTGATAAAGAATGGATAGGGGAGGAAGACGCGTTTTGAGAGGTAGCATCGCTGGGTTGGAAGGCACTACCGCTGGCTTGGGAGGAATCTGTAGGGGAGGACGTATCCGTTCGGGCTCTTTTTTGAAGGGTCTTTTAACGCGTTTATGAGCAGTAGTAGGTAGCTGTTGAGCTCGCTTGCGGCCTCGATTACTAGCAGTAGCGGATTCGTCGAGGGTGGCCTGGGGGCGTCAGTAAGGGGTTTAAAAGACGAACGGAAGGAATACGTGTCTGAAGCGTTTAGTAATGTTTCCGCGAGGGATATCGAGAACGATTATGTTCATATTGGTAAATTGGTAGAATGGTGGAAGAAGAATGGTTACACAAATAGGTGGAAGGATTATTATCCGATCCCGGACGCGTCTGGTGTGACTACCATGATATTTAAATATCTATTTAATCCACCAATAGTAGGTTAAACTTCGAAATTTTTACATCGTTAGAAAGCGTAAACTAAGCTCTATAATTTACGAAATTATGAAGTAACAGCATCCGTAGGGAGCTGGTTATTTCAGAGTGTAAAACTTCTATATATAAATTTTTAATAAGGGAGCTCGGGAGGGCTAGCGGGCTAATTTAGCCGATCTAACTAAAGAGCGTAGTAATCCTAAATTTATAATTAACTATATATACAAATTTAAGATTTTTAAGCTTAGCTCTATCTTATTCTATTATATATACTAATTCTATTATATATACTAATATTAGATATTAGATATTAGTATATATAAAAGAATAAGATAGAGCTAAGCTTGAAAATCTTAAATTTGTATGTGCAGCCAATTATAAGTTTAGGGTCTATATTTTTATCTTCTTTTAATATATCTTAAATATCTTTATAGTTACTTATTATAAAAACTTTACTTATCTATAATAATAGTAGCTTAATTATTATCTCTAAGCGAATTACTTTTATATAGTTTTTAAAAAGAGAATTTTAAGAATAATTATATAAAAAAAAAGTTTAAATCTATAAATTAAATTTATAGAAACTAATAGATAAGTTTTTAATAAGCGATATCTAAGTTTCTTATCTTTAAAATATTATAAGACTAAATTATAATATTCTTAAAATATTAAAATAAATAAATTATACTCTATACTTTAAAAAATAACTTAAAAGATTTTAATAAAAAATAAGAAAGTTATTTTAAATGTAAATAATATCTATTTTTTTTTAAAATAAGACTATTTAATAGAGCGATCTTTAATAAGCGATCTTTAATAAGCGATCTTTAATAAGCGATCTTTAATAAGCGATCTTTAATAAGCGATCTTTAATTTCTTTATCTTTAAATAATTATAAGATTAAAATTTTAAATCGTTAAAAAGCGTAAATAGCGCTTTATAATTTAAAAAAAATTAAAAGATTCTAATAGAAATAAAAGAAGTTATTTTAAAATTAAATAAGATATATCTAGTTTTTTTAATAAGAACGCTCGAGAGGGCTAGCGGGCTGACTCAGACAGTTTAATAAAAAAGCGTAGCGGACTCGAATTTATAATTGACTGCATATACAAATTCAAGGTTTTTTAGCTCAGCCCTACCTTATTCTTTCATATATACTGATTTAGTGGAAAGTAGGTATTTTGATGTTACGTCGTATTTATCGGGTTGTAAAATTGCGCATTTCCTACGGAGGTTGCCACCGAAAGTCCTGAACATTAGGGTTAGGGCTTCAAAACCCTTGGTATTCTTAGCAAATATCTTAAATATCTTAAATATTAATACTTTATATAGTAGCGATATTAATATTATATATATAGAGTATATGTATATAAAGTACATAGTAGCGATATTACTGTATATATACGAGGTATATAGTTGTGATATTACTGTGTGCACAGTAGCGATAGTAGCGTATATCTAGATATATTATCGAAGTTATTCGTTTACGAGGCGATAACGAGTATTAAAAGGGTCGTAAAGAAGGGGATAAGTGACTCTATAATCTAGCTAACCAGCAAATCAGTATATATATAATTATATGAAACATCGTATGTAGATTATGAAGCTATTCAAGAAATTTGCTAAAATGCTAGAAATACCAAGAATGCCAAGGGTTTTAGCGTATGTTCAGGACTTTCGGTGGCAACCTCCGTAGTATTGTGCGTTTCCTCGTGAAACTACAGAGGTCTGCGCCGAAAGTCCTGCACCCGCCAAGACTCTTGCGCTCAGACTTCGGATAACGCCCCACCTAAAGGGCTACCTGGACAATGCGTCTGGAGTTCTTCGGAATCGCACCTAGCCCTAGCTAGGTTTCTGGGGGTTTTATCCCCTTTTAAGCCAAAAGAAGTACCCAAAGCCCCATCCATGCGCTGTGAAAATATATTTCTAGGCTTCCCCTCTATAGGGCCGCTTTCCGAAAGTAGGGTTAGGGCTGCACTAGTGCGTGTGCAGGACTTTCGGTGCAGACCTGGTGGACCTCTGTAAGTAGGGCAAGCTCGGGGTGTAGGGAGCGTCTGAGGACTGAGGCAAAGGTGGTTGCATAAAAGCTAAAGTAAGGCTTAGCAGGGATCGGGCGCTTGAGGATGCTGCACCTCGCAATAAATATAGGCCTAGATATAATATGTTTCGACGAGAAAAATGGAGCAATAGATTGTGTGCATGCTTGCCAAGAGCAGCCGGAGCAAACATGTAGATCCGATCGTGTCCGTTATCTTCGCCCTACATACACAGCCTCGACACAATCTTTAGATCTACAATCCTCTTGTTGACCCGGCTTTCCAGCACTATAGGCGGTGGCATCCCCGCCTTAAAGCTTTCAGGTTGGTCCATGATTCCTTAACGATGAGTTGCAAGTATATAATAGGTAGATCCTTCAGGAATGCTATGGACAAGCCTGGCCGTGTTCCTATTTTCCACCTAAACGGGCAACATGACCCAGTCCTTACTAGCGTCCAATCCCGACAGGTCTTTTTCGTGCATGCTATCATGCATTTGAAGTGTTCCTTGTCCTTGGCTGTTCAGCATCTAGATTGAAATACTACGCCCTTCTCCCTTTGACCCTTCCCGTGCCTACCTTATCCGAGAGCCATGCTCAGCCAACGCCTCGCGGTCCTGCCACGGCGATCCTCGCATAAGCATGTCAGATCAACGGTGCGTAGACGAGATGGCCCAAATCATATGGGGTCTGCCACTTATGTGGACACCGCCTACGCAAATATTGTCCATGCAACGTCCAACGTGCCACACCACAACTGATCTCCAATCCCTCTGCTCTTTCTTCAATGCCTGTTCGGTCTTTTTGCGAGTAATCTTTGTCTTTGCTCCAAATGTATCCACGCACCATTGGAATGTATACAGGATTTGATAGAATGAACACTGTGTTTATGACGAAGGCTCAGCGTCACAAGAAGATGATCAAGCCCTTATTGGTCGTTGCTCTTTGCGCGATACTGGCTCTATTCTTAGGTCTTCAACGTGATCGTCTCTTTCCCTCCTCGTCCTTACAATCATCATCCTCAAATTCGAGTCCTTCTACGAGCTCCAAGCTCGCCCATGTCCTCTCCCAAAACAGCATACAAGCAATACATAACAATACCCTTGGCTTCGGCGACGTCTACTTTATACACATGCCCGACCGAACCGACAAACTCGATTCCCTTCGCCTTCTCACCTCTATCACCAACATCTCATACACTATAATCCCAGGTGTAGACGGCAAAGGAATTCCCCACGTCGCTTGGCCAGGCTTTTATAAAGAAGGAGAGAGAGCCACAAGCATAACCGGCTGCTGGCGCGCTCATATAAATGCTGCTGCCTCGATCCTCGACAACAATCTCTCGTCCGCCTTGATTCTCGAAGACGACGCCGATTGGGACGTCTCTTTGAAAAACCAACTTACTCAATTCGCCCTCGGGACCCGACATATCCTCGACGCGCCCACCTCCTCGGAGCCTTTGTCCCCTTATGGCGATGGTTGGGATATGCTTTGGCTCGGCCACTGCGCGCAAAACAAGCCCACAAAACCCTTTTCGCGCTTCATCATCGCCAACGACACCACCGTACGTCCGGCCGGTCACCGCTGGCATCTGTGGAACCCTGAACCAACTCTAACCTACGACCTCCCCCACAACCGCACCACCCGCGTGGTGTACCGCTCCGCCGGCGGCATGTGTTCCTACGCTTACGCGCTCTCTTACACCGGCGCCCGTAAGTACATCTTCGGAGCTGATCCTTCCCAAACGGTAGTAAAACTGAGCCGTGAGAAATGTTTCGGGAATAATGGGATTTTTCTACTCCTGAGACCTGTCTTGGAGCTCCAGTTTGTGCCTCGAATACGCAATGCTGACTCCGAAATCTGCGTAGAAAAGCTGCTCTACTACCTCTCCTACTCCCACTTCAACGATCCCGTCGACGTCGGCCACTCCAGACTCTGCAAGCGCGGGAGCAAGGGTGAAATTGATTTTTCGTGCGTGGTCCCTTACCCAGGACTGGTATACACCGCCTCCGTGCAGAACGACATCGAGTACCATCCGGACAAGCCGAGAAAAGACAGGGTCAAGAAAAAAGGAGCGCCCGGGGCGCGGAACCTGGTTTTTGGTGTGAGGGCGAATATGAAGAATATAATTGAGGGAAAGGAGGCCGAGGGGCGGGGGGGTGAGGAGGAGAAGATAAGGGAGGAGATGGGTGAGATGGGGATGTGGTTCGACGAGGGGAAGACCGAATTGTGACGTGAGAAAAGTCTAGAGGGGAACCTAAATCATCAGTAACATTAGAGGTTTGAATTTCCTGGGCGCTTCGAGGCATCTCTAATATCGCTACATTATAGAATCTATCGAGATGAGTAGTAAGGATGATCTGTTCTATTGAAGCCTGCTGCAGAATATAACCCTATTCGCCAAGCACCTATACCGTATAGCTAGCCTGCATAAGGCTGCACCTTCCGACCCAACTCCACGGTAGACTTGTCTTTGATAATGCAAGAGGAAAAGTCAAATGACAAGTGTGTCCTCTACCTTGAAATGCCAACCACAGGGTTCTCAGATTCATCAAAGTAGGATTATAGAGTATTGACACAGACGAATTCTACTATTTTTTGTGTTACTTTTGTAATTGATTGGGATCCGTACGACGGCCTGTGTTGTCAAGTGAATGCATCCGCTGCGTGGCGCCAAGATACCATGAGCCGCCGGCGAGTCGCCCTTTCTGTTTCTTCGCCTCCCAATCCCATCAAGAACGGGAGCTAGATACTAGATACCACGTTTGTGGATAAGCATGGCGTATCCATTTCCATCCTCTCCCAGTGCACCTCAGACACCCTTACAGGTGCCAACCATGAAAACTCCACCCATTCGCAGTAACAGCAACCCGGTCGCTGCCTCCAAGCGGACTGCTTTCACTGTGATCCTTGCCATTGCTCTGTTCTTGTGGATGATCAGTCCATTCTCTGCCTCTCCAAGACAACTAGATAGGGTTCCGTTCTCGCAGAACTCGGTGGAAGAGTAGGTCGTAAAGCCTTTCTTCCAGTACAGTCTTGCTGACAAGCCTAGCCACTTCTCACACTTTGAAGGACATGGAGATTGTGGCATCAGATCAACGCAGCTCTACGTACCTCCAGTGGCACTCGACGATGATGCCCCGAAGCATACGCTTTACTGCAACAACCGGGCAACACTTCTGGAAGCCATGAGCGGAGGCGGTCGACACGGATTCGAGAAGCCTTATTTTCCCGCAGGCTGCCACTACCGCTGGTACTCGACTGCAGAAATCTGCATGATCCTGGAACGCTTTGATGCCATTGTCTTTATTGGCGACGACTCCCTCAAGCATATCTACGCCGCCTTCAACATGCTGCTCAGAGAGGACATGGCTATGGGTAGTCTCAAGCAGTGGGAGCTCAACGAAAGCCAGCGTGATGCTTGCAGGTGCGACAATCAGCTCACCAAGTCAGAGTGCTGGAGCCACATGATCATGGAGAGTCGGAGCGTAAGAGAGAAGGAAGATGGAGTTGGTCACAGAAACCCTTTCTACTGCGATCGTAGGTCTACCGTCAAATTAGGGCTCCCCGAAGCCAGTGTTGACTTGCGTAGGCACGCCACATGTATTTCTTCCCGTCACAGACTCCCCAGCGCCCGAGGAGCTGCATGCCAGCTTTACCTCGCTCATCAGCGGAGACCCAGATGCTTACAAGCCGATTCCAGTCATCCATTCTCTGTCATTGGCAACATCGCTTTCCTGGTCTAAAGCAGTTGATTCGATGGATGAGTGGGTGACTCTAGCAGATGCTTCTGGTCGAAACATCCCTATCCTATGGGTAGGCCCGAATGCGGCGGGCCATCTCAAGCCTCCTGGCCAGATCCTCACTCAAGGCAACAATGCTCTTTGGCACTACACCCTGGAGACAATGAGAGAAGCCAAGGCGAGGCAGCTTGACGCGCTTGGGATGTACAATCTCACACTCCAAGCGAATAGCTGGGATGGGAGTAATTATGGACAGAAAGTCGGACTTGTGCAGGCAATGATGGTAAGACGTCTTCGGGTACAAGGCAGCTCAATTGTTAACGTCATTCAGGTTATCAATTGGCTGTCCAGAGTGGAATCGACCTGATAGAAACGTGGGAGCCCGGACTTTACCATGAGAGTTGAACTGCACAGTGATCTGCAGGCAGGTATCAGATTCCAGGCCCAAAGGCGCTTCCAGGAGTTTGCCCGATATAGCGGCCTAACTTTGTTGCCACTGAATAAACGCAAGTCAAGCTAAGAAAATGCCATTGGAAGCAAAACGTTTCAGATTGCTTCCACCAAGCTGTTTTCGCACGTCTCGTTGATATCCATGATCTTTCTTTGTGCATCACCGGAATTGCCAAATCACGCTTTGCACAGCGATCTTGTATAGCTGCAGAAGAAAGCTTGCTTGCAAGAATACCTTCCTTCCGAATTCGGTATGGGAACTTTAAAGCATACAAACAATAAACAATGAAGTTTTCCCCTGAAATGCAGTCTCACTCACACGAAACAAAGAACAATGCTAGAATACCGACAGCGAAAGTAAAGGAACGCCCTTCCGTATCTTACACGCAGCCTTTCCCTCCTCCGCTCCCACCTCCACGGCGCCCCTACCCCATCGCGATTCTCATCTCAACGTCATGGGCCTCCTCCCCGTCCCCTTCATCACTCGCCCTATCGTCAGCATCGGCGGCCGGACTGTTCGCAAAGTCATCCAAGTCCAACTGCCGATGCACCGTCGCTTTCACATCGCCGGCGTCCTTCGGCGGATCAATACTGCCAAAGTGATGGCCGGGCGTCGGGGAATGATGCAACAAGGGCGCTCCAAATGTCAAAGGAGAGTCATCTTCGAATTCGTCGGCGTTGGCTTCGGCGTCGGAGAAGGGCTTTTCGAGCTCGTGGCTGTCGGAGTCGTTGGCTTCGGAATCGGCTTTCTGCTGGCTGTGGAGGGCGAGGCGGGCGGCTAGTTGGCGGCGGGCACGTGATGGTGGGAGATTGAGGGGCGGCGGGGTTGGTGGTGGGTCTGTTGGCGGTGTGGGGGTTATGTTGAGGGTTGGGTGGTTGGGGAGATACTACATGCGGTGTTGTCAGCATGGCTGTTTGCGGGCAAGATCGTAGCGGATGTGAAGGAAGGTATTCGGGTGTATGTCATTTGTGAGGTGAAAAAGGGGCAGATAGAGCGACTTTGTGCGGAGATGGTGGATGTCGTGTTCTGAAGAGTGTGACGTGAACGAGGGAGTGGCAAGAGCACAACAAGAGAGGTGAAGCATGGCATGTTTGCAAGGTTGTCTGGTTGCGTAGATTGGTCAAGCGTTCAAGCTTACTCTCCAATGCCGCTTGCCATACCAGTGCGTGTGCACCACAACACCCTCAAGATGCAGTTGCAAATATCTGGGCATGATCTCGATCGCTCATGTCGATGTCCTCAAAGGAAAGGTCACCCACCGAATCTTGACCAGCACCGGCATCACCCTCATCAATCTCCTCCATTTCCTCATCCTCCTCGTCGCTTGAGCTACCGAAGCCGCTTAGTAGCGAACCGCTGCTGAGACCACCGAAGCCACCGTTGGAAGTTCCGCTACCATTGCTGGCAAGGTCCATCGAGTCGAGGCCTGGGTTGCCGTTGAGCCCAGCGTTCGCGAGGGCAGATGATGCTCCTTGGCCGAAGCCGTGGGCTGCATTGACAGCGTTGAGGACTGCTTGTCGTGGGCCGAGAGACATGTCTGGTCTGACACCACCTAAGATGGCGTTGTCTCGTTCTCGCGTCTCTGATAGCGTGTTTTCGACATACTCGGTCCACTGCTGACTTGTCACTTTCTCGAGTACGACCTGCGACAATAGCTCTGGCGGATGCCTGTCGCTGAACTTGACCACTTCCTCAGCGACCAGCGTGAGATGGCCCATATACCCTAAGCGCATATTACTCTTCGCCTGTGCTTCGTCACTCTGTGCCTGGCCTTCAACTATCCGCTCGGTGACTCGTCCGGTTTGGAAAAGATCAATAGCAAGAGTGCGGTTGTATCCTCTATCCATGGGGCCGTTAAATACTTGCTGTACAACATCATATACTACATTGTGAAGAAAATTGTTCCAGGGGAATCGAAAGAAAAAGTCCTGCACAGGAGAAGAGATTAGTAAGTTGCCAGGGAGACATTAACCACCGGCACAACATACCAGGATCGTAGGTACAACATGGTGTTCAACAAACATCATCTTCAGAAAGTCACCGACCATCGGCTGACCGTCAACATCATAATCGAATTGCGATGCGAAGCTCTGGTCATTACCACTCACGAGCACGGAGCGGCTAGTGTCTCCATCTTCGCCATGAGTAGTATCAATAGTCTGCTGGCTGTCGCCGCCACCAACCTCCTCATATCCTTGTCTTGGAGTGTCTGATGGCTGATCTACTCGACTTGCAAACAGAGGCGGTGGCTTGTCCTCTGGGTGTGGTGAAATGCCCCGAGGACTCTCGGAATCTGGTGTCATGGGATCTAGGTGCCGTTCTCGGTGTGGTAGAGGAGGCGGGTCAGCGCTAGTATTTTGAGAAGGTGGCTCCGGCGTTGTTGGCGCCTCTGTATGTTGGATCTTAGGTGTTTCGGTTGTTTCTTGGTCTGCCATTGTTGTGTCCTCGTTGACTGCGAGCTCATTGACTCCTGATGCTAGGCCAGAGGTAGGAGACTCGGGTTGAGGCTCAGACTTGCTCGGAGACTTGGGCTCCAAAGGCTCCGGGACTTCAGCTTCTGGCATCTCTGCCTCTTCCTCATCGACAGCCTCCAACCTCGGAGAAGTCAAAGGCTCATCGACAAAATCCTCGTCAAGATCCAATCTGGGCTTGCCAGGCTTGAGTAAGTTTGGCATTTGCGTATGTTCTGACTCTGTGTCAAAGGGTGATCGCTCGTCCTTCTCGTCAAAGTCATCCTTGATGTCTTCGGCATCTACTAGGTCCGCAGAATTTCCAACGTCCTCGTATCCATCGTCTTCTGCACTGTTTTGCACCTGGAGCTTATGGTTCTCCTCCGGCTCTGTGCTTAAACCCAAAGGTGACACTCCGTTGGCGAAGTTAGTGGAATCTTCCGAGAACTCTGTAACAGCTGATGTGGGAATTCTCGGAGCCAAAGCGCCTTCAGCTTTCATTCGCTCTCTTTCCTCGTCTCTTTGCCGTACGAAAGCTTCGCTGCCTCGCTCATTCAGTAGACCCATGTTACTGCAGTGGAGAAGTTCCGCCATTAGCTCGCAAGTTTTGAAGCGATCGAATCCTAGGGGTTCGATCTTGTTGCCAAAGGCTACGCCCAGCTCTTTCCTTTTGATGGTTATTTGGCTATTACCGTCGGCAACGGCATGGGTTGGACTCAGCAGTAACCCCATGAAGTCGGGGACACGTTTGGCAAAACATCGTAGTAGAGTCCCCAGGTAGATAGGATCATTACTTGAAGGGACCGAGTCTGGACCAGCTCCAACATCGGGATCATAGTCCGAGTTGTTCTTCCTGATGACTTCGATGATCATCCCAACGCCAACCGTCAGCGGGTTGCCGCCTCTGAGCATGTTGGAAAGCAGGTTTTCAATACACGGCTGCGATACAAGTTGTCTGGTCAGGTTGTTGGGACCTATGCAGGACTGCTCGTTTTGTGATGCGTTGGCTGAAATGGTGACGATAGCTTTGATAAAGTCTCCTGCAGATGTCTGCGTCCCCGGGGCGTTGTCTTTCTCCAAGAATGCAAGTAAGCGTGGCATGAGGTCTTGACTTTGTAACCACTGTATTTCCTGTCAGCCTGCGAACAACAGAATAGCCCTTTCTCTTAGTGTAACAACATACGTCGACGACTCCTGCACCGCCTTCACTCTTTTCCATGCTAATAATTTTCAACAACAGGTCCATTATGGCGGCACAGTCGATATGTTTGAGCATAATTGGTATGATGCCTTCAAACGACTGAAGGAAATGCATCATCTCCTCTGTCTTCTTATCCAGCAGCGTTTCGTTGATCTTTGTAAAGTATGCTGCCTCGGTTGAATCCAACGGTGACTCTCTCTTCAAAAAGCCCCAGAATACCCGCAACAATTGCTGATTCTCCATCAAAGACTCGAGTATCGACCAAGTTTCCGACGAGAGAACCTCGCACGATGTGTACGCTTTCTGTGTCCTAGCCTTGTCTGCTTTATCCCAGTCCTCAAACTCTTCTTGCCGCTTTGATTTCTCCTTTTTGACTCTTCGAAAAGGGCTCAAGGATTTCTCGCGCATGGTCTCCTCTTCGCTGTCCTCGCCTTGCCCATCATCTTCCGGTCTCGGAGCTTGTGGTGCAACCACCAGCTCCAGGAGTCTCCGCAGGACATTGTCATCTCGCAAGAATTCGATCAGCTTCGAATTTGACTGCTTCAGCTCTTGTATCAGGTCTGATTCCTCCAAGACTTCTTCAAGTGTGACATCGGGTTTTTCGAGGATAGTATTGAGGGTCGAGACGTTGGCGTAGCCCCCGAACCGCCAAAACATTGTGGTTTATGTTTTGGCGGAAGTGAAGGATAGGGATGATATGAAGTGAATGGAATCGACTATGTTACAGAGGAGGAGTCGTGACTGATCATGCGAGAAGCTCCCAAGTTTGACAGGTTGTCCTCCGCACGAGCTGTCGTTGAATTGAAGCTTGCCCGCATTCATCTACGTACTTCATCGGCATCTGGATCCCGAGTGGTCCACGGTGATCGACGAACGTTGTATGTCAGAGTACGCCAGATTGGGAGATGGCCTGTCGTCCGTCGGCTGGGTTCGGCGACCTTGTGGGGGATTGGTTTGATCGCAACGAATCGGGTGAAAGGACAGAGTCTTGAACAGGTGTAAAAGAATACTTGAACACGGTTGAGCAGGTCCCGATGCTCTTCGAACTCAAGCAAAGTCATACAATGGGTATTATAAACAGATCAAGCTCTTTGTTGTGTCAGGATGTCAGACTGATTCTAACTTCAAAAGATGAGCCAGCGCTAGCGTCTCAGGCCGGCTAAAACCATTCTGTACTTTCAATGTGGATAATCCATCAGCTCCCATGTCTACAATCTGTTCCTATTTCCAGCCTGAAGCATCTATTACATACGACTCTGACACCTCCCTCCAACTGCATGACGCGGCGAGGAGAAAGCCCTCTCGCGTGCTTTCCTCTTGGCCGTTGGGAGAGCTCTAGAACAACCCCTGTTCCCGCTGTTGGTGCGGTTTTGAAAAGCCATTCTTCGATCTCCATCTGCTAGGTATGCAAGATATGATGGCTCTACCTAATTCTCGCCTTGATTCAAATCAAAGAGACTTTCTGGATAGATAACATGATACTTGGATGTGCAAGAGACTATGAATTAATCAATGTGGGTGAGAAGATAATCATCGATGAGGAGCAGGGATCATGGTTCGAATCTCGGCAGTGCCCGAGCCAGCTGCGAGGTTTCGCCGAAAGTACCTTCAACTTCTGAGCAGGCAAACACTCGACACCGCAACTGATCCCATGTACCACGCTTCGACAAGTGTCAAGTCTTCTACCATACAAACCAGATGAATCGCCTCTTCGGGGCCAAAAACCCTGGTCCTAAACCCACCCTCTCCAGCGCCATTTCCACCGTCGGTGCCCCTTCCCAACTACAGCACTCTCTTGCTAACACCCCAAGCAGACTGACTCCCACGTCGAATCCTTGGACGTCAAACTCGCGAAACTCAACGCCGAACTGACCACCTACCAACAACGCATGTCCAAGATGCGCGACGGCCCCGGCAAAACCGCCCTGAAGCAAAAAGCCCTCAAGATCCTGCAACGACGGAAGATGTACGAAGGCCAGCGGGACCAGATGCAGCAACAATCCTGGAACATGGAACAGGCCTCGATGATGACCGACAATCTGAAAAACGTCATGACGACCGTCGACGTCATGAAATCCACCAACAAATCCCTGCGCAAACAGTACGGGAAGGTGGACATCGACAAAATCGAGCGCATGCAGGACGAGATGCAGGATCTGATGGAGGTGGGGAATGAGATCCAAGAGTCGATGAGCCGGAGCTACGACGTGCCGGAGGATGTGGACGAGGCGGAGTTGGATGCGGAACTGGAGGCGTTGGGGGAAGAGGCGGAATTCGAGGGGGGGCTGGGAATGGGACAAGGGGTGGGAGAGATGCCGGGCTTTATGCAGGATGAGGTGCCGAGCTTTATCGATGAGCCACCGGAGGGGGCAAAGGTGAAGGAGGCGGCCGGATGAGAGGTGTGGGCACGGGAGGGGAAGAGATCTGTACATTGAGAACCACGAGAGGCATGAGCGTCTGGCGTTTATCATCGGTGGACGAGCGTTGAGCAAGGGCATGGGAGTTTGAATCAGCGTGGAACATCATTGGTGGCAGAGGCCCGCAATTAAAGTTCAACTTCGATGGAGACTTTCCATACCATCAGATACATGGACCTTTTCCTGTTCCAAGACGTGTAACTTGTGTCTCTCTCCGTTTGGTATCATCTGACTCTAATCCCATGCCATACGCCCGATGCCCGATGCTTCAACGCTATGCGATGCCAAAACGCCCCATGCCTCAGGCTTCTCCCAATCCTGCAAACACCAAAGACGCCACATCCATGATAGTAATAACAAGCCAGATTGCGACCGCAAGGGCTGACACGAGCCGGTGGTTCCTCATCTTCACCTTCTCCGCTTCTGGCTGCAGTTCCTGCCCCATCTCCTCCCCTTCTACAGACTCCGTGCCACCAACAACCATATATTTGTTTCGACAAGTGAAATAGATGAGCGGTGCTGATATGAATGGCAGGGCAATACTGAGCGCGAATTGGGTCCCGTTCAGTGCTGCTGAGAGGCCCTCCTTGCCTACTGCTCCAGCGACAATGATGCTGGGTACAATACTGATAGATCGTGTAAGTAATCTCCGCACCCATGGCGCAACTTTCCATTGCAAAGCTCCTTCGCTGAGCATCTGGCCTGCTATTGTACAAACAATGCCGGCGGAAGTACCGGACAAGAGTAGGGCAAGAGCGAAGATTGTTCCAGCAACAGGCGCGAGTGTCGTGGACAGAAGGTCATGGATACCAAATAGATTGCCACTTTCAGCTGCAGAACTCGAGGAGAGCGAAGCACCGGCAACGATGAGAATGGCGCTGTTGACGAAGAGTGCGAAAGTGAAGAGCGAGATGATGACCTCTGCGGTAGAGTATGACAGGCATGAGCGGATGGCAGCCAGAGATGGTCGGTACAGGTTCTTGTTGCTGCGATCTGTCACATCCGGACCGCTGTAGTTCCTAGCCGCGATATCAAAGTCGATGAGCCGCGGTTGAACTAGCCCACTACCCAAGTACAAGCTATGTGGCATTACGGTGGCACCGAGTATACCACAACTAAGATAGATGCCTTGGCCTTTGACGATAGCAGAAGATGGAACGAATCCATCAAGCACTTCACGCACAGAAGCATCTCGGATGTAAGAAAGCTGAATGCAGAAGCATACTACTACGCCTAAAACTAGGATTATAATAAAGTACTCGAAAGCACGCAACCGGCGCGTAGAACCATTGGGGCTGTAGAAAATGAGAATGATGAGCACATCAAAAATGGTGATAACGCAACCCCAGACGAGAGGTACTTTTATCAATAAGTTGAGCGCGATGGCGGAACCAATGACCTGCAACTCGAATTAGAGAAGAGGTTAAGCAAGCGGAAAGCATTGAAGGCTCACCTCGGCAATATCGGTTGCAACGATAGCGCACTCTCCGACAATGTAGAGAACGATGTTCAGCCACCTTGGAAGGTGGGCTCTACAGTGCTGCGCGAGGTTGAGGCCAGTCACTGTTCCTAAGCGTACAGCCAAGGACTGCAGGACAATAGCGAAGACGTTGGACAAGAGAACGATGAACAGCAGCTTATACTTTGTAGCAGCTCCAGCTGACACATCTGTAGAATAATTCCCAGGATCAATGTAGGCCACTGATATCATGAATCCAGGTCCGATGAATCCGCAGAATTTAGCCAGGGTCCTCCAGATGCGCAGAAAGAAGCTGGAGGGAAAGCGAGGGGGGGAAATGTTTCCGAGGAATGGAAATTCACCTCTTGGCTCTACGCTGCCATGGGTTTTGGCAGGTCGTATTTCCGGGAATGACTTGACAGTATGAATGGACCGTGATGTGCCTATACGCTGGCGAAAGGACGATGTACCGTCGGGGTCGGCAATCCGATGATAGTCATTGGGGCCATCTATTTGCGAGCCTCCGCGCGCATCCTCGGCTTCTTTGACGGAGTCCTGTCCGGTCCGAAGGTTGACTATGCCGTTGAGGTCTTGCCTTGTCGTGACATCTGCAGCTAATTTCGAAGGGTTCTGATTCCAACCGTCGTGCGCTGCTGGCTCATCGGGCCGAGATGGACAATTCATGCTTCAGAGATGCTACTCTGTCAGTATGTCAGATATTGATAGGGCATGTTTCAATGCAAGACACACCGTCGAGGAGATAAAGAAGTACTCTGTTGATGGGAGTTGCTTCAAGGATAGAGGAAAGCTAAAATCCGAAGATTCTTTCGATCGCGACTTCTTCCGAAACTATGCATTACGCAACGTCATGAAAGCCCGAGAAGCGCACATAAATCATAAATTGATTCGACTTTGCTAGAAATATCCTGAAATATCATGCACGAACAAAAGCAGTAAACAATGTGCGACAGCCCCCAAATGTGCCAAACTACTTTCTAGAGCATTCTCGTGAAGCCGAACAATGGAATATACAAAGCGCGCGGAAAGCGCTCGCTGCTGTACTTCTCTTCTCTGATGGTTCGAAACGCCTGTTCAAATGGTCCAAAACTCAGAATGTCATTCTTGTGGAAGAAACACTTGCACAGTACGGAGTACTACTGTCGTATGGCACTGGAATTGCGGAGGTCGATGGGTAGACTGTAGCTGCCGCGCATCCTGGTGACGAAGATCTATTTTGCCATGCCAACCACCCGAATAGGAATAGGGTCAACAGTGCTAAATAACCCCACATTACGTTCGAACGAGCATCATTCATTTCGCTGAGATGTTTTCTTGCCTCGTAAGAGCAAGACAATTAGTCTCTATGTTTTGGAGCCGTTGAGAGGTTTCTCCATCCCTAGCAGCAGCTGGTGCTATTCACTCAGCCAGTCAGAGGAGGGAGAATACAGTGGCTGCTCTTGATCCAGCCGTCCAAACGATCTTGGTATTCCCTTTCAAGTGTTTGCCTCTTTGAATGGTCACTGTGCTGACTGTACCATCCAATAGTCCTCCCACAATGGAGTCGCAGGCACGAGCAGGCGTCACTTCCGACGCGTCGCCGCACAAGCGTACCAAGTCTTCCGTTCTCAAGTCCATTATGCCTGGCAACCATAAACGCAAGCCATCTTCCAAGAGCAATACTCAGCGCCTCTGGAATGATGAAAGCGATGGCAAGGAAGACTACATGTATCTCGGCAATCAGTCAATCCTGCCCCCAGACCATCCGCATACACGACAACATCTCCGAGAAGACAGCGGCAATGGAAATATCACAATTGCGTCGCCTAAGAAATCACTTGACGCACGGAATGAAAAGGATTCAACATCAGGAGATCACCAGAAAACGAAACGCTCAGCGTCGTTCAAATCATTCGGTGGGAAGGAAAAAGAGAAGCCTTCCAAGAAGAAATGTGAGAAAGAGGAGCAAAACAAAATGAAGAAGTCGAAGTCTTCCACAAGCATATCCGCCATCCTATCGAGGCCACGATCGTCGAAAGGTGTCAAAGCTGAGGACGCTCATCGCCAGAGAGACAAGGAGAATCGGACACCACCAAGCTCTGCGGGGATGGCACCACCGCCAATATGGGCTCAGTTTGCAACCCAAGGCTTTGAAGAACCATCTCGTACTATAAAAGTACCTCTCAACGATCAATTTGCCGTCGAAGAAGAAGTGGCATTGTACACACCTCGAGATTACTCGCCATCGAAGCAAAGGAATTTCCAAGACTATCAGCAGCCAACACTTTCCCGAAGAGCCGAACCAAAGCCTCGGCCAAAATCAGAATGCATCGCATCTGGCCCAACTTCAGCCTCTTTTGCCGAGACAGTATCTGGCCTACGGATATCTGGCCGGGACAAAAGCCAAGTAGACATTATCAATCATCAGCGGCAGACTGGACAAGCTGCGGACGCAAATGTGAAATTGTTTGCAGAGGAGAACCATTGGAGCGAAAGACCATCAAGCGTGGAGAACCGCAAAGTGAGTAACGACTCTGCCGACTCAGACTTGCCCATGCCAAATCGTGGATCGCGTGTAATGGCGGCCGTGGCAGTCTTTAATGGCAAAGCAAAAGAGTTACCAAAGGAGCCACCAAAGGACACCGAGACCGTCCAGCTCGACCGCAAGGCAATCGAGACTGCTTTCGAGTCCCTACTGGTAAGTCAGGTACTACGACGGCGAAGTCGTGGCTAATTAGGCCTTTAGGAAGCCAGGAACGTCCCGCAGAACACGAGAGACAAAATGAGGTCGTTGGACACCAACATTAAAGCAGACTTCATCAAAAAGGAAAAGTCGGGCTCAGGATCAGCGTCAAGTACGGAGGGTCTATTGTTGCATTCTTCAAGGCCTAGTGCTGGGAAGCGGTCCCAGACTGATGATCCTACTACGCATGATACTGGGGAATTCGTAGGCCCAACGGGCTCCACCGAGTCACCCAAGAAGCCACGACCAAGGAGCCGGACATTCACGTTTAGCAAAAGTGGCCAATCTCCGTCCAAGAAGCAGAAGTCTGAACGTCCAGCCTCTCATCAAAGAACAAAATCGGGCGGCCTGACACCGTCAGCTTCTTCCACATCATTGGCGTCTGATGGAGCCGCTCAAGGCTCTGCATTCGTCAGTAAAGCCAACAAGCGAGCCGTGCCTGAAGATTACATCAATTATCTGAAGCAAGTGCAAGCCCCAGGCTTTGTTGAGGTTGGCAAGATTCATAAATTGCGCCAGCTCTTGAGAAATGAGACTGTCGGTTGGGTTGATACATTCATCATGCAAGGTGGCATGACCGAGCTGGTAGAATTGTTGTATCGCATCATCAAAGTAGAATGGAGGTGCGTCGTTTTTTCTTTGTACGAACCTGGCCGTTGCTAATATTCTATTTAGAGAGGAGCATGAGGACACACTCCTTCACGAAACCCTCCTTTGCCTTAAAGCTCTATCTACAACATCCTCAGCAATGCGTCAGCTGTCTAATATTCAATCGACTCTTTTCCCCACCCTGCTTCAAATGCTCTTTGATGAGGAGAAGAAAGGCCCTAGCGAGTACACGACCCGCAGTATCATCATCACTATCTTTTCTACCTATCTTACCGACTCCAGTTCATCCGATTTAGTAAGCCGCGCGCGCCTTCTGCTCTCATACTTACACGATCCTTCGAAACCAGAAGAGTCTCAACCGCCGGGATTCATTGCCTCCATATACCACTCTCGGCCTTACCGCGTCTGGCAAAGAGAAATGAGCAACGTTACCAAGGAGGTCTTCTGGATATTCTTGCACCATACGAATATCATCCCTTATCCAAACATCTCGGAGACCTCCGGTTCTTACGCCTCTCGACATTTCACTCGCGAACACCCTCCGGTCCCGGCTGCCCCATACATCGGCGGCGTAGAATGGGACGCTACAAACTACATGACTGCTCATGTCGACCTTTTGAATGGCATCATTGCCTCCCTGCCCAGCTGCGAGGAACGCAACAAGCTCCGGCAAGAACTTAAAGACAGCGGATTCGAAAAAGTCATGGGTGTCAACTTACGCACTTGCAAGGAGAAGTTTTACGGCTGTGTGCACGAAGCGTTATCTACCTGGGTTGGTGCAGCGATGGAAGATGGATGGCCATATCAGGATGTCAGACAGGGGCCGAAGCAGGAAGACGTGAAGAGGATGAGCCCGAAGAAAAGTCCGAAGAAGAAGGATGCGGCGCCGAAGCTGGAGATGCCGAAGCTGGATCTGGGTGGAGGTGGGAACGGGGGCGGAGATGATGGCGGATGGCTGTGATGACGATATGGATCTATGAATATTTAATGAGCTTGTATGCAACAATTCACGGTAGTCACTGCGCGGCTTTCACAGCACCTGTCTATTAGCAGCAGTAGTCTATATTGGGTTTTGTTTTCTAGGTATCCCTTACGGATAACGGTAATTCTTACTATACATTGCCCACTCGTCGGTTCGCTCACCAGATGTCTCATGTGTCCTCTTTCCAACAACCCTTGCGGCCATATCCGGATTTCCGCCCCGTCCTTTTCGGAACCTCTACGCATTTCCTCCATCCACGACGGATAAAAAAAAACTTTCCCGGTCAATTGTCGTTTCAAGACTTCGGTCGTACAGGAGCCGTGCTACAGGATCTGGACGTCTGCTGTCAATTATCCGAGGCGAGGGAACTCATGATTGCTCGTGGTAGAGTACAAGCGTTTCATCTGGAAGGATGATGGGTCTGGATGGTGTGGTCCTCTCAATCGCTTCGTGTGCTGGGAGCGTGGTGGGGAGATCGGTTTGGAAGCATGATAGATAGATCAAGATGGTGTGGTCCTCTCAATCGCTTCGCGTACAGAGAGCGTGGTGGGGATCGGGTTGTTGTGTGATAATCTCGTTTGGAAGCATGATAGATAGATCAAGGTGGTGTGGCTCTCAATCGCCTCGCGTACAGAGAGCGTAGTGGGGGATCGGCTTGTTGTGTGATAATCTCGTTTGGAAACATGATAGATAGATCAAGATGGTGTGACTCTCCTTCGCCTCGCGTACAGAGAGCGTAGTTGGGAATCGCCTTGTTGTGTGATAATCTCGTTTGGAAACATGATAGATAGATCAAGATGGTGTGACTCTCCTCCGCCCGGCATGCAAGCAGTCTAGTTGGGAAACAGGGAGAGGCAGCATGGCCCCCTTCACGATCCCGGGCCTGGGATCCTCCAGCGTGGGGGTGTGCGGGTGAGAGATGAAGATGGCTCCCTTCCCGATTCCGGGCTAGAACTGAAAGAGTGGGGGTTGGTGAGAGAGGTCGAAGATTGCCTATCCAAATCCTGGTCTGTCTCGACGCGTTGCTCGGCGACTGCATCAATAGACGTGGAGATATCAAGCGGGGCGAGCAGAGCCATTTCCACCTTTGCCAGCAGTCGACACTCTCTGGATGATTGGTCCGAAATGCCATAGTAGCAGAACCAGGCCGTTCGATTTCCCAGCTCCCAGACAAGGCGCGCGCTCGTGCGATGAGAGGACATGGTGGAAGGAGGTCGATGAACTCGGCCAAATTCCGTGTGGCAGTATTGTTTGATGGAATGTCCGAAGCCCGAAAGGTGGACATTAGACGAGCTTGCTTGGTTCTGCGTCCAGCAAGATAATAGGTGCACGTCAAATATTAGGAGAGACCAAGGTAGACGGGAGACTGCACGCTCTGCCAAGATGTTCGGTCTGCTGACCTATGGAAGGGGGCTCGATATGCCCCGGTGGCGTACTTTGTCTGCATTCATTACGGACAGATAGTCACGCCGTCGACGTTCAGAGGGAGAGAGGTCATTGTGGACGAGGTGGCGATTGTCAACTCAGATCTTGGACCCTAGCTTAGAGGATCGCGAATAATATCTCCGAGGAGAAAGATACGCCACGATCGAGCAAGCTGGATGAGATCTTGCAGATTTTAGTACGTTGACTTGATCGATTGACAGTAGGGGACCATACTTTATGGTAGCGTTGTCGGCTTATATTTCCTGGATGGATGTCAGCCACCGGACGTCGTCCCCAATGTAGCCAAGCATGTGGCTTTTACATGGTAGTCCACGGCTAGATTATTACGAAAGAGTGTAGAAGCGTGTGGCCGCTACTGATTCGTGATATTCGAGCCGGCGGCAAGATTCGGTGAAGCGGACCGTTGACCATGTGGCATTAATTTTAGCTCTACCACGCGCTTTAAGATTGTAGTCAGGTCCCTCTGCAGGTCATTGGGTATCTGCAAGTCATCGCGGTCGGATGGTGGATGTCTTGTGGGTGGCGAGGTCACGCTAGTGACGGTCATCCTCGGTGATGGAACCTATGGACCAGGACCCACGTGGATGCCACGCTCCTTCTTTTCTGGCAGCCCGCCTCGGTGAAGGGGAGGCAAGTATTGCCTGGGATATTTGAGGATAATCGAAGGTTCGGACTCGCCGACGTTGGTAATGAGCGTCGCAATCGATTGTCGACGATGGATTTGGGAGTTGTGTGCTAGACAGGTTAGTGGCTGCATGTCTACGGTATCATCTTGCACTTGTGGGCTAAATCATATTAGCGCGATCGGAATCGGCTGTGTAAGGTATACGAGAAGCATCAAATCCAGTGGAGGAGTTGGCAAGGTTCGAATGCCACAATGGTTCTGATGCATTGGAGCCGAGGGTCATAATCTCCGAGATGCTGCAGCTTTAGCAGTAGGCTTTTGTTGTAACCGGGTACTGCGAATTGACCCAGCAGGCCTTGTGCTTTTGAGACCGAAGTACCGCGGTGGTAGTTTGGAATGTAGTGGTAATAGTGGTAATAGTGATATGAGGATGTATTGAGTATGACGGGATTTGTGGGATGTGGGAAAGGCATGTGCATGTGGAATAATTGCATGTCGCGTGGGGATGGAAAGTTTAAATAATGTTAGGACCATGGTAAAGGCCGGGAAAGCGCTGCGGGGCTGCGGGGCTGGCGGGAGAGATGCATGAAAAAAGAAGAAGAAAGTAGAAAGCGAATTAATTATCATTCATTCATTCATTCATTCATTCATTCATTCATTCTCATTCATTCATTGGATGATGGTCATGCTCGGACTTGAAAGATGATGGATGCCTCGAGAACAGTAAGTACAGTAATAATGATTATAATACTATTCAAATTTAAATTCAAAAAATCCATCATTCATTGAGTAACGATGAGAGGTCGCCGAAGAAGGAGGGGGAGAGGGGGGGGGGGTTTCCCTCGTCCAAAGCTGCATGGAAGAAAACAGAATCCTGTTTGGCAGGATTGTTGCTTGTCACATGGCTCATGCTCCTTACAGTAAGTAGAGCCGTCGCTTTTTTGCTTTGTGCTCTGTCCTCCAGGCTTGCATGATTGGCGTCTTTTCTTTTTATTCTTCTTCTCTTTTCTTTTCTTTTCTTTTTAGAAAAATCATGTATGGTCCCTTAATTGTTGCTGGTCCGATGATCATCATTATGATTATGATTATCAATATCATTCTCATTCTCATTATCATCATCATCATCATATCATCATCATCATCATCATCATCATCATCATCGTCATCATCATCATCCTTCGATTCATTTGCAGAGATCCGGTTACTTATGATTAAAGCTCAAAGGTTCATAGCGAATGATTTACGACCGGGATAGCAGCGGGTCGATGCGCAGATTTAGCGGCCGAAAAGAAACAGGGATTAAAACCCAGAGATTGCTCTCCCTAGCTCGGTTACGAAGCGAGCTCTAAATCCCTCATGCTCCTTTTCAGTCATAGTATCTCTGCAAAACACGGTCAGAAGACCGTGCCGTGCATGATATGATGATAATATGGAGAGCGTCTGCCCAATAGTAACGTTTCATTTGGCCGCGCAACTGCAAGAAACAAGGAGGAAGTCAGATGACCTCAATTCCTAAACGCCGACGGATAACGAACCTGTCAAATGTGCATATGCACCGTTCTTCCCAGGTTTACCTTGACCTGTCACCGTCAACAAAGTAAGGATCGACAAAGGGCCTTGATGCTTCCCGCATCCGGCTTTTTGCTGCAGCTCAATGTACCTCTTCGGGACCTCAAGGCAGGACCAAGCAAACACCAGAGGGGATTGCTACCGTCATGGCAGTTTGCATGCGTCTATCTTACAGCTTGCTGCAGTGCACAAGACAACTTTCTTCAACTAGGCGTAAAGCTTGCTGAGGCCATGCCCTCGTTGGTCCGTTGTGGGCGCCCAGGTACAAAGTGTCTTTACCCTCGAGATGGGCGGACGGGCGCTATAGCCCAATCCCGAACGCGCGTAGAAGGCGTGAGAAAGCGACTAGAAAAGTCACATTTCGTAATTGTGCTGCGGGTGATGTGATAGCGACGGCGTGGCGCACGGAGATGACCTGGTCACAACGATGACCAAGGACAGTTCAGGGCGTTTCAGCGCCAATGCGATTGGCAATATCTTAGGGCTTGTAGAGACTAGAGGCAAAGCCAATTGTGGCTGATGTCGGTTACAGAGTTATCTTCGACGTGGGGCCGTTCAGAACTATGTTTCCAACGCAAATCGTGCCCGGGTATGAATCCAGTCCCCCAGGCGGATTGGGACTGAAATGAGTGGGATGATACGGAGTAGTCTGGATCAAAGTTGCGCTCTTCGCTGTGAACATCCAGCAGACACATCAGAGAGCCCGTTCGCTGCTGACCCTCGGACGTTCATGTAAGCCAAGCCTGTCTAGAAGCCGTTTTCGCATGCAACAAGCCGTCACGCATGCTTTCGAACAAGTAGCAATTTTAACCGTGGCAGAAGTAGTCATGGACAGGTGGAGACGAGAAGGTCTTCCGCATTGAGACACGACAAAAGCCATATGTCAAGCCTCACGGTTGTGCTTTCTCAACCAGTCCCGGCTACTTGAGTGGAGGTCGGCAGTCATACAGATTGTCTAGGGAATTCTTGCTCGGCTGGAGATTTAGCTCAAGTGTCATGCACCCACGCGACAAGCTCGGTCGACGCTAGGCTTAGCTGCAGGTCGGCCTGCGGCCACAATGCAAATGCAACCCCGAGCGCGTTAGGCATTCGACCTCCCTTCTGATGCCAGGAGTATCAGGCGCTGTTTCCAAAGCTTGTTAAAGGCTGGGAGTTGGAGGATGGAGTCGTTTGGACAATGTCAACATCTGACCGACCAATGAGAAAACAGTAAAGTTTCAGAATCATAGTGCCCGACTCTTACCAGGTTTGCTTTAGCGGACGCCAACGATCACTCAACAAGGCTATTCCAAGCAAGGTGTCTGCTGTTTGACTCCTTCCGACTCGCACTACCCATCTTCCCCTAAATCATAAAATGTTCAAGTTCCATTTGACTCCTCGCTTCCACCGAATCCCAGGGTGTCGCAGGCAGATGTGGTTAGGCGAGTAGTCTTATGATATGTAATATGACATAGGCAGTACGACCAGAAGATTCCTGGATGACCAAGCTCTTTTGAACGTCCACTTCGCGTACTGCTTTATCCAACCTTTCAACCATTTCGAGTCTTTGATTTGCCTCTGCTCATCCATCATATTCTTCCAATTGTCTGGCTTTCCGACTCGAACCCAGACCCGGGAAATCCCAACGTACACCCATTCGTCATACCCGACTTCTTCTTACCCCCAGAGCTGATACGTCTTTGGAAAGGAGTACGGCTCAAAAGATCGGACTTTGCGCATCTTGTGATCCAACCAGGCGGTAATACCCTCAAAACCACTCGTATCGAGACAGCCTTGGATACGACACACTGCTCGGCCGTGAATGAAATCGCTTTTTCCCAAAATTGGTTAGAGGCTTCGTCTGCCAGAGGTCAAAAGCTTCATTCTGGAAGTTCTCTCCACGGCCCGTGTGAGTTTGGATGCTGGGTCCTTTTCCGAAGCTTGGTGGCCAGCACGGCGTGATTGATCTCCACATTTCAACAGACTTCAATGTTCGGCGGCGCGGTTGGAAGAATCTGACTCCACTCGGCTTGAAGAGGAGCAGTCAGACTTCCTGGTGTGCTCATCGGTGGAGAGCAGACTCAGGAGCGTGGAGAGGTCAGAAGGCCATCATATCAGGAAGACTCGTCAGCGAAGGCTTTTCCCGGCAGGCATAGTTCGATTAAGAGTCAGAAGAAAGAAGAAAGAAGAAAGAAGAAAGCAAAGCTTGTGGTGCTTGTATCATTATTGTTACTTGGTGGAGAAGGTTAGACTTTGGCTTTTTCATCTTGTTGATGTTTATCAATTGCGAAGTGGGGAGGGAAAGTTAGAAGGCACGGGACCAGCAAGAACTAGTCTCAACGCGTCAAGGGTACCAAAGAATCCTTCCCACATCCCAGGCCATCACGATTCACGACTGTCCGAATTTCCTGTCCTGACCCATTCAAAGCTGTCTGACCAGCTCTTTCACCATTGACCTCGCACTCAACTATAAACCACAATCGCATTATATGGTCCCTGATTTTACCAAAATATCAAGTAGAAACCAAAAAGCCTGGTTGGAGAGCTCAGGGACTTGAGGACGCGCAAGATTCTTGCCACGGATAGACCTTCAAGGAAACCCCCTCATTGAGCCACAAGATCAAGCCTCGGGTTTCATTCTTGAGTCAAGGATCAGGGAATTGACTCAGCGGGCGTTTGCCTTTTGCAACCAAAGTCGGCTCTCGCCGCACCACCTGGTTCATTGGGCTGACCCTGTGTTCGGACAGCCCCACCCAGCTGGGGAAACAGAGGAATCGACACCACAGCAAAGGATTCCTCTGTGCTCTTGATGGTTACATCTTCAAGTCCTCTGGCACCTCAGCTGTCAACCGAAACCCATTCATTTTCAGAACCGTAAACCCCCGGATCAATCGGTCAAAGCTGTCCATTGATGAACGCCTCACACGTTGCGGAAGAATCCTCGCAACTTCTGAGGCTCACGAGGTACGGCAGTGCCTCTGCAGCCGACTGACTGATCTCAATTCACTGCCGGGAACCTCACTGACGATGCGGATGCGTAGCAATGCATACACCCTGACGGTCCGTCAGGGGCCAGAGCGGGCCAAGGCTTTCGCGGGGCCAAAGGAAAAAGGTGAGGCCTTACTGACACTCCTGTATATTGACAAGACTCTGACCACGTCTGCCTCTTCTACAGACCGCAAGCCTGTTGACCCGCCACCCATCATACAATTACAGATTAGGGATCCCCAGGATCCAGCTCAGTAAGGCAGACGAAGGATGAGGACCCCGTCGTACAAAAGCTGACTCGAACAGGAACTACCTGCAAAGCCCATACTTTTTCATGTGTTGCAACCTTTGTGACGCCAACCTTGATCGTCCGGGACAGTTGGCCGCTGCTCATCAGGGCGAGGATATTGACACAGCAACCCAGTCCGCTCTGGCAGGAACATTAGTATCCTCACTTCATAGACTGAAGGACGTTGACAACACTGGTATGTGAAGCTCCAACTTCAGTGGCTACACCAACACTCAATCATTTTAGATGGTGGCTTCTTTGTTTTCCCGGATCTCTCCGTGAAGATTGAGGGTGACTTCCGCCTTCGATTCAGTCTCTTTGAGATGGGGAAGTAAGTCTGTCCATTCCCATTGGAATGAAGCTTTGACTGAAGCAAACCTCAGAACACGTGTCTCATATATAAAATCCGTTACATCATCTCCTTTCACTGGTCAGTACCTTCTCCAATAGATTCCGATGACCAAGTTGACAAATGTCAGTATTCACACCGCGGGCGTTCCCGGGAATGTCTGAATCTACATTTCTATCACGCTCATTTGGGGACCAAGGGGTGAAGCTGAGGATCAGGAAAGAACCTCGAGTTTTGGGGTAACATGTCTGACCTCCTTCTGAACTACCATTCTAACGGCTCAGCAGCAAAAGGTCAGCACCTTCGGATTTTCTACCCGCAGACGCCGCGCACGGGCACCCCCAGCAAACACCCGTTGAATATCGAAACATGGGGCTGCAGCCGCAACATGAACAAAGCGGAGGCTTCGGTCCTTCGGGGTACAACGACGATCTGCCTCTTAAGCGGCAAAGAATGTCTATTGATTTGGCTAGGAGGACTGCATACGAACATGACCAACGGCTCTCTCAACGCTCTTACATACAACAGCGGGATGCTTATGGTCAATATGCTCCATCAACACCTAGTCGTGGATCATATTACGTTCAAGGTCCTTCAACCGGTCCTGGTCCCATCGAGTACCCCTTCAGCCATGGACGTACAAACTCATCTTCCAACTCTTCGCCATTCTTGTCTCCTCGGACAGAGTATCCTGCGTATCAATTTCCAGCACCTAATTCAATGTATCAGACACATTCAAGGAACTCTCCTCAGCAGTACCAGCAGAGTCAGTATACCCCTACCCAAGCAAGACCGGTCCAGTTGGCACAATCTTTACCCCCTTACCGTCCGCTGCCGTCATCTGTTCCATCTCAGCCAGAGCAACCCAGAGCATACTCACGATCAATGGAAACGGACGAGCAATCACTGGCGAGTCGAGGGTACGAACAAAGCTACAACAACTCTCAATATCCTCCCATAAACTATGACCGCCAAGTTCAGCCTCTAGCTCGGACTCTTCCAGCGCCTTCGCAAGCTGTAACTAGTCTCCTCCCTCCTCTGCAGTCCTTATCTTCTGCTCAGCCACGAAGAGATACCTTGCAGTCATATTCAAGCGGTGGGATGTCAAATGTAGAAACCAACACTCACCTACCATCATCATTGCCGCTGGTGCCGCCAAGCTCGGAAGCACAGAACTTTCTGCCACAGCCGTATCGGGGTCGAGACCATGGCTGAGGGTCTTGACACTTCAAGCGCATCGATCGCACTTTACTCTGAGACAAAAAGGACATCCTTAGCTATAGCATCCACTGTGTTGACCGGTAGAGCTAAGCGCGAATGCTTAGTTCTATCTCTTACGGGCTCCGACCTGACTCTTGCCAAATTAAATGGCGCAGCGCTCCTGCCTCTCAAAGGCTCTTCTTCTAGCATCGAAAACAATAGGTCCAGGCTTAGCATCCAGCCACCCGAGTCATTCTATTCACCAATACAACAGCTTTTAACGGATCAAACCGAGCTTTTTCAGGCGTTGCAACATTAAACCCCAGTGTTAACAAGTGTCGTCAACTCTCGAACGCGGTCATCACACTGTTACCCATCCCTACAATGTCGCCGATCTCGAGTACACATTCCTCTAGTAGGTTACTCCCGTACCTCACGGATAGGGAGGAAGTTCGAATGCTCATGTTCTACAGCGGAAACGGACCCAGACTACAAACCGGAGATTCAGCTACGTAGCCCCACAAAGAACGAAGACAGTGTGAACTGCCACCCTTGGAATACGCGTGGACGACGTCTATTTCCCCAACGCCGCCCTTCACTACCAACTTCTATAAGCCGCAATGTGAATGTCAAACCCGGCTCCCCACCCTTCGAAACCTCGCCTCCGAGCGATCACTCCCCTATCAATCACCAAGAATACGACAGCAACACCAGCAGTCCAGACTCCGTTGACTCCGCCACCACAGTAAAAGTCCGTATGTCTCCTAGCCCTGACCGGCCATTTCCAGAGACAGACTCGAGGGTTGGGGAAGTAGCCCGTGTCTGTAGGCCTTGCCTGGCTGGATCGCTCCCTGGATCTTGCTCAGCCGGACCGCCGATCATCCCTTACAAGTCATCAAACAACAGCTTGGAGACCAGCCTTTCTGCGCCACTGTATACCGATACGCCTGCTCGTGGCAATCTTCAGTGGACGTCTATGGCACAGTTCCACAAATCTGGGCATCGTCTGAGACCCAGGACCCCATCGCAACTACCGAATGGCGAGCAAATGACCCGTGATTCAGACAAATCTCAAGATGCGCTTGTCCGTACAACTGACACGTTCAAAGGCAACTTACCAATTGAAATTGTTCCTTGCAAGTGGAGCCAGTCACCAGGAATCACCCCCTACCCCGAGTTGTTACCAATCGAAGCCCATCAAGACTGGGGCCGAGAAGAGGATCCTTACGTTGTTGCTAAGGACCTGAGCCGTCCTAATGTCCCAACAGTCAAGATCGCTACCTGGGATTGTACGGTGAAGCTATCAACCGTTGCCACAGTCACTGGTAATGGAAGGCTGCATATCCACCATCTGGCTCTTTTGTCGGTCATCATGCCAAGGGAAGAGCTCTACGCTGAGAAAGTCAGCCTCTCTTTCGTGGTCACGAATGCGCTTCGGAACGATCACAAAAGCAGCTTGGGGCCAGGTCAATCCTCGTTACTGTTTAAAGAAGACGTCTCCCAGCCCGGTTTTTTCCCGCGCGAAGGGGCAGAATTGGTGATTGTACGCGACAGCTGTGATCTTGAGAAGCCGCTCAATCTGTACTTCGCTTTCACATATCCATCACCTTGTCACTTTGGTATGGCATCGCTCCCTACTTTTCGACCCAAGGAAGGAAGATCACTCTCAGAAGTCGTTTTTATTGCAGAACCTCTGCCACCACTGAGTATGAGAACCTTTATAAGAGACCCGCTAAGCAGTTGGAAATTGTGTCATCATCCCGCCAGTCAAGTCACCTGCTACGAGCGAATCGATCTGCCTCGACTCTACCCTGCGGGCTTTCAAGATGACATACAGATGAGAATTTTAGAGCTCGAATCTGTTCGCTTCCTAGCGCTTGGAGAATCAACCCTTTCCAGCGTGGTTTGGAAGCTCGACATCACGGTTCATGAACTCCCTGAGGAACAGTTGGAGTGCCGAATAAGCTTTTTTCTTGAGGTCGGAGCGGCTACGGCCCTTGTGTCTTTGGTTTCTCATGGCTGGGTGCCTCGATACTTCATCGTTGATGGTCGGATAGCAACCGAAAAGGTTGGAGGGTGCTGGGAGAACAAGGAAGGGCACATAACAATTTTCAAACAGGCTCACATGGGCCCTGGTCCAATCATGATAGAGACTTACTGGCAAGGACCTCCAAAAAATGAAGAACGTGATGGCAACAGCACCGACAATTCTCCGCTACCTAGGGTTGCGGATCGCAAAGTGCTTGGAGGGAGATTGACGTGCCAAGCTAACAAAAGTAGGTACCACTGTCAACGAAATACATTTATACTCGTTGATGTGAGAATAGTTGTTCTTCTAAACCACGTTGAGGAAAGAATCCGCCCATATGGCCCTGATAACGGGACTTACACCCTACTTCCAACCATGGATGCTGGTTATATGATCCTTCTTAAACGCGTCACAAAGGTACGCTCCAACAAATTCCGACGTCCGGTTTTGATGCGTCTCCCTTTGCTGACCGTTCCTGTGGGTATTCAGCCTTCCGAGCATACTGTTTTACGTTCAGACGCTGAAGTGAAAATGGATCATGGGAGAGGCTTGAGCCATATTGCCAATGACGTGAAAGGGGAAGCAGCCCCGAAACGCTTACTGCAGGCTATGTTACCGTCATTACTCGTTCTGCTTTTGTTGGTTCCGGGTTTCCTGCTCTTTGTCGGACACGTTCGTAAGGGAAACAATCACAATGAGCGCACAAGTTGGAGGGAGATGAGTCGGGACGGGGAAAGGCCCCAAACGGTCATAGATTGGTTGGGCTTGGACCCCTTGCAACCCGACGTTGCAGCGACGGACAAACCCATCGAGGTAGCGAAGTGTGAGGGATGGAGGGATTGGGTTGATTATGGGAGTGGATGGAATGGATGTATCCCCTGAATACGGCGAGGTGGGAGGAAAGTAGGCCGTCCGTTTGTGTTGAAACGCAGCTTGTCTATCATTAGTAGTAAATCGATACCCCGGCTCAAAGCCTTGAATGTGGTTTTTGGACTCGGGCACCCGGCCCTTGTCCGACAAAATCTGCTGTCCAAAATCCGAATCATGACGAGATATTCCACCCCTGGAGATCTCATAACACGAAACATTACGTCCAGGCCCGCAGCGCATTATCGTGGCAGATCCATATCATACACTCATCACAACAGTCTAGGGTATCGCCCAACACTTGCGAATTGGACACCCCATCCACTCATGCATCAGAACGGAAATCTTCCATCCATGCCCCCCTACCAGCAGAACCCCTCAGCGTGCAAATATATCCCCTGCGCTCCAGTCCCCTTGTGCACACCCCTCTCATTACTCATCTCCGCCACCGCCATCCTGACCGTCGCATTCAATCCCAATGGTCCGCACACCGCCACGCCGGTCTCGCCCTCTGCGCGACTGAGGGTTTTCCACAAGAGGTCGGAGATGGGCGGACGGCCGGAGATGAGTGATGCAAAGGAGGAGATGGTGGGGGCGGTGTTGTTCTTCTGCTTCATCTTATTGCTGCAGCAGGGGGGGTTTGGTGGTGGTATTGCGGTTGTGATCGTTGGGATGGCGGGAGGGTTTTCGTCTAGGTCAGTGGAGCTGGTCGAGTCTGGTCTGCTCTCGTTTAAGGTATCGGCGTCATCGGTTGGTGGAAGGGAATTGCGGACGCAGCAACATGGTCCGAGGGACTTGTCGCATTGGCATCCTGTTTTCTTCGTCGCGTCGGATGATTCGGTGAAAGCCCCGTCACAGGTTACGAAGATCCTGATTTCGACGTCTATGCCGGAAGCACGGAGCTGAGCGACGGCCCCAGACAGTTCTTCGGAGATCCAAGACGTCCAGGAGCTGTTCTTAATTACCCAGACGAATTCTATACGGCGGACCGGCAGTCGTTGGGATGAGGCACGGTGGGCAATGTCGAGGAGTTGGGGGAGGATGAATGTTACGCCAGTGGAGCCGGCGATCAGGAAGACGGTGTCGAAGGCAGCGAAGTCGGCGTGGGAGCCGCCGTAAGGACCTTCGATTAGGGCTGTGTGGGTTTGTTGGGGTGCTATGGCGTCCTGTTGGGTCCTTGGTAGCAGAGTGGCGGTGGATGAGGTCGCGGATGTCAGGAGGCGGTTGGTGAAGCCTTTGTGTGCTTTCAGGATGAAGACTAGGTCATTGTTGTGCGATGAAGGCACTGATGCGATTGTAGCAGGGTGGGATTGAATGAAACCAAGGCGCGGGACCTTGAGAAGGACGTGAGCACCAGGTCTCCATTTCTGGACGTGCTTAATTGGGACACGAATCTTAGTTACGCCGCCTTCGAAGGCTGTCAAAGTGGCGCGGCCAGGGTGGATGTTATTGTATGCGAAGCGCAAAATCCGGATGAGGCGGTCCACGATATACAATGCAATGGGGATGTATATGTAGACGCGGGAGTACAGGGCGGTGGATGGCAGATGAATCATTATGGCAATGATGAATCCGAAGAAGGTGATCAGGTGCTGGATGACAAAGAATTCATAGGAAAGGTTCCGAAATGGCGCTAAAGTGCTCAGGTTGAGCCAGAGCAGTATAGCATATGCGGCGATACCAGTCGGTGGGCAGCTATCCGTAGACCATTCCATATGCACTAGGCCGTACAGACTCCACCCGTAGTTCTGGTAGCCCAAGTGCAAGGTAGCAAGAAGGAGGAGGACCCGAGACACCCATCGATGAAGTACGTTCAGCCGCTCGTAGGAGACACCGGTGACGAGGCCAATGAGATTGTGCTTGGCAGCAAGAAGAATCAAGAGAGGGACTTGAGCCACGGCCAGCCATGCTGCTCGGATACCTAGCGCTTGGTAGTGTTGCGCACCTGGGACGTCATTATCGATGAACTCGAGAGCAAGGACGAAGCCAAGGTAGGCCAGAAGAAGACTGATGGTGCCCAATGGTGGGACCTTGAGCCAGAAAGTTCTTCTGGTCGGGGTGAACTGTAGATAAGATCCCTCACGGAGTATGGCGGTAATGGTAGCCAGGGATTTGCTGATGATATTGCTCGGTTTAGCTGGACGTGTTGCGTTGGCAGCAGCAGCCCGGATTCTCGCGCACGATTAGCATTCGTCCGTTGTTCGAAGTAGGAGAGAAAGAAGATACCTCAACTTGAGAATTGCCATCTGAACCATGTTGAAGATTGCAGCGATGCCAATGACAATGACGACGCCATACCAAAAGTGTCTTGCAAATGCGTTTCCAGAAATCTGCAAATCGCTGTCGTCGAGGATTTCTCCCAGAAAATCCATGGCCTGGGTATCATTTGAAAAGTCAACGCCAGAAGAATTCAAAGCAGAGGACGAGTCGTCGCCCATGGCGGGCATGGACATTGATGTGTCCATTGTGATGAGGCACCGAGGAATGTAAAGACTGGTATCTACACGGTGGAATGTTTGAAGCGCGGGAAGGTTTCACAGCAAGATGTATATTGAATGGCAAGAGGAAGAGTACCTTGGAGAACATTGACGTTAGGGGATTGGATCAAGTCATGGAGGGTGGGAGTGATTGATTGGTTCAGGGAAGGCCTGGTGGGCCCGCCAGAAACACGGGCACGCGCAGCACATGTAAGAAGATGCGAGATGCCATAATAAATAAAAATAAAAATAATAAGGTCATCATCTTCTCCACCATTGCTTCATGATGCCTCTTCTACTAATACCTACTACAGTGTACGGTAGGTAGGAAAGAAGAAGAATTGTCATCTTTGTCCATGCGGTCTCCGAGAACAACAGGCTCGGTGAATGAGATTCTATCATTAGCGTCACACTAGATACTTTAGCGCTCTCAAACTTGCTCAATCTCTCTCTCTCTCTCTCTCTCTCTCCGCCCTCATCCTCATCCTTCACTATAAGATGGCAACTGTATGGCGGCGGCGTTGAATGATAGACGTTGCATAGAAAGAACAAAGAGTAGGTAGATCATTCTTCAATAATGTTTCCGGTTCCTGATGCCCTTGTCCCGTCACCACCCTTCCTTACATGTACATATGTACGCAGGGTCGAGATCAAAAGACGGAGACCGTTGCTTACATGTACTTTACTTTACCTGACTTTTCCGCCCCAGCTGCAACTTCCCTTCTTCTAAACATCTAGAATGTTTACAGCCTTGTCTACTTTCCTCATCCATGCCCAAGTCAGTTGCTCTTACTTGCCGCCCAAATTAACCCAATCTCATCTTTTCTCCTCTTTTTCTTCATCACAAAAAGCGTTATCACCATCTCACAATCTCACAGTACTGTCGAACCTCACACGCTCCTCGGGTGGTTTGCTGTTTGCGTCATGGACATGTCTTCATCCACTTCGCTTTCCACTAACGGCGGCTCTATGTCCTCAATGATGGGCACTCTCTTCACCTCTACAAGCACCCCACTTTACTCAACCAAATGGACACCTGCAACCACGGGCCAGTACGCTGGCACTTGCATCTTCATAATCATCCTAGCCGCCATTTTCCGTGGTCTCGTCTCCTATAGGGCAATGCGGGAGCGTGGATGGCGAAATGTCGAGCTCAAGCGACGACCAATCATAGTCGCTGGTAAGAAGCAGGACGACGAGGCAGCCGGACTTGGTGAGAAGGGTATTGGAGCCGGCGGCGGAAAGGAGAGGAGAAGCAGGCCGTGGAGGATCATTCCGGATGTGCCTAGGGCACTGCTCGATACAGTAGTCGCTGGGGTCGGATATCTGCTGTCAGTCGTTGGCGCACCCGATCGGAAGATTTACATGCTAATCTCTCTGCAGCATGTTGGCGGTGATGACCATGAACGTCGGCTACTTCCTTTCTGTCCTCGGTGGCATATTTCTGGGCAGCCTAATGTTTGGACGTTACGCGGTCCACTTTGCACCATAGCCACCTCTACCGCAGATTCGTGTCATGGAGAAGGCACCTGGACTCCAGTTGCAGAAGTGACACCATTCCGGCAACGGTGTATGAAATCGCTCTGCAGGACGATGTAGCACAAGGATACTGGGCCAGAAAGTGGTACCTAGCTATGTTAATTCCAGGGGAACAGACAATGTCTGCCTTTCTGGTTTATGGGGAGCCGGAATGCTGGCCTCGGCAAAGTCGCTTTGCATTTACAGTATGACCAGCACAGTGTATGATAGAGCAGCAATGCTAGTCCTTCTCACGGTTTCACCATTGTTCTACATGTTTGCTGCATGTAGCTAGCTATCTTTGTCTCCAACAGTCAAATACTGACTGTTGGCCGTAACTTAGTTCTTCATGCATTCTACATCATCACCGTTGTGCCTCGCTAAGTAGAGCAAATGATATCCAGTGGCATGCAGCAGAGTCTACCCGTAAGCTGATCATACCAGCGCCTACGACACGTAATCTGATACCTAAGTGACGACGCGTTGGGTCTTTGTCACAGCCAGCCCCTCGAGCCTCGGCCGAGGAGGAGTGGCGAATTTGGCTGACTAGCGCTGCCAAGGTATCCCGCCGACACCGATACCAGAGCTTCTTCCCAACGTCATTCCTTCTGCCACCGGACGAGAGTCGTATAACGAATTCGCCCATGAATCTATTCTTCGTAGCTACAACCTGATTTTGCACATCTTTTGGTTGAGCTGCTCATAGAAGCTTGCACAAGCTCTTTCCTTTGGCCCACAGTCATCACGCGGCTAGCACATCCGTTGGCCTTTGCGTTACACTAGAGAGCCTGTTCCGGGGATTTTGCGGCTGCCAACAGCTCCTGTGCCATCGGAGCACCCTCCTAGGCCTCAGGCCAAACTCTTCCCTAAATCGCGACCATGTCGAAAGTCGTTCGAAGCGTAAAGAACGTTACCAAAGGCTATTCTCATGTCCAAGTCAAGGTTCGAAATGGTATGCGCCACCCCAGAGCCAATGATAGCGCAGCAACTGATCATTCGCTATCAGCCACGAGCAATGATCCATGGGGACCTACAGGCACAGAGATGAGCGAGATCGCTCAGTTGACCTTCAATGGGTACAGTTACCATCCTCTTTCGTCGCCTGCATTACTAAGCCTAGTTAGTTCTAACGACTTCTACGAAATAATGGATATGCTCGACAAGCGGATGAACGACAAGGGCAAGAATTGGCGCCATGTCCTCAAGTCGCTGAAAGTGCTAGATTATTGTCTCCACGAAGGATCAGAACTGGTCGTCACTTGGGCTCGCAAGAACGTTTACATCATAAAGACTTTGAGGGAATTTCAATACGTTGATGATGACGGCAAAGACGTTGGGCAAAACGGTGAGCAGAGATATGTGTGGCGCTTCCGACCAGAGCTGATGAAGACTAGTACGAGTCTCCGCAAAAGAACTTACATCATTAGTCCTGGATGAGGAGCGCCTACGGACTGAGCGGTCTGATCGAAAGACTTGGAAGTCGAGAGTCACTGGTATCGAAGAATTTGGACCTCAGGGTTCCGGATATGGGGGTGGTAGTGGCGGTGATCTCTCAACACCCCCACGACGTAGACCCGAAAGGCGCAAGCAGAACGCTACCGACGAGGAAGATGCGGAGTACAAGTTAGCAATTGAAGCTAGCAAGTACGAGGCAGAGGAGGATAGAAAACGAAGGAATACAGCTACAGAGCCTCCGCCGGACGATGACTTAGCAAAAGCCATAAAGCTTAGCAAAGAAGAGGAGGAGTTGCGCAGGCGGGAGTTGGAAGAGAGCAATGCTACGTCACTGTTTGATGATACCCCAGCCCCCAGCAGTCAACAACCACAGTACACAGGCTTCAATCAGGGCTATCAGCAGCAGGGTGCGGTAGACTGGTTTGGCAATCCCGTGGACCAGCAGCCGCAACAGCCACAATCTACGGGCTTTCTCAATAATGCATATTCACAGCCTACCGGCTTCCAGAACCAGCAGACTGGCTTTCAGAACGGGTTTCAACCTCAACAGACAGGGTTTGACCAATCACAATTCCAGCAGCAACAACCAAATTACATGCAACCGCAATCAACAATCCAGCCACAGCAGACTGCGTTTGACAACTTGAACAATCCATACACACAGCAACAGAACGGATTTGGCAACCAATTCCAGCAACAGCAGCCGCAACAAACCAGCTCGCCTGCACCACAAGCAGGTAGCCACAACCCTTGGGCTACGAACCAGACACAGTATGATGCATTAAAGCCTATGCCGACTGGATCAAATAATCCTTTCGCGTCGGCTCGTCCACCAGCCCAGCAGCAGCAAACTGGCCCACCATCCTTGAGCTCTCTTGCAGAGCAAAGAACTGCGACGAATTTCAACAACCAATCTGCCTTCAACCCGATTGCCAACTACCAGGCGCCTCAGCAAACCGCTACACCACACAAAGCACAAAACCCTCAGCATGAGCGGCTCAACGCTCTGTTAGCCTCGGGCGAAGGCATGGATACCTTTGGTAATACGGGCGAAACGCGTATTCCATCCCAGCACACGGCGCCAGGTACCTTCGTCAACAGCTCCGGGCAAGGCCTCAACAAGTTGCATGCAACCCAAACAGGGAACAATCCATTCTTCAGTCAACAATTCACTGGCGGTCCTCAGATGCAAGGTGGTTACGGAGCACAGCAACAGCAAACCCGCATGGCACCAGCGCAGACGGGACCAGCAGGCATTAATGGTTTTGGAGGAAGTCCATTTGGGCAGGCAAACAACAACCCCTTCGGAGCCCAGCAATCGCATCAAGGTCAACAGCAGGGAGGAAGTTTGATTGACTTGTAAAGCGTGCTTTGGGGTCAAGCAGGCAGAGCTATGGCAGCCTATGCATAGCGGAGTTTTCTATTTGCCATTTGTGTGCTCACTCAGATTTTGATACCATTGAGTCGGCGATGCTCTCTCTCCTCTAAGCTGGTAGAAGTCTGTCTCTCGTCGACGCTACTCAAAGGATGCATTATTTGCCCACTAACCCTTTTATCGTGGTCCCGCCATTGTTCCTCATGATCACAGCCTCATTAATCCATGATATATGTACGCTACAACTCTATCGCAGCCGACTTACTGGCTGCCTCGAGCCCCGCCTTGCAAATGAGGTCTGTTCCTTCCGGTCGCACTCGCCGAGCGTACCCCTCCAAGCGAGTTTTCTGAAATGCTTGCGATGGATTACTTTAGAGTGTCAAGGCCTTCGAAACACAACACATTCAAGATTCAAGCCTTATAGGGAGAGAGCCAGAGCCACGGGTCGGCCGTTGAAGCCAGCGCTTCACACTTTGACTATGACTCTTTATATTCTCCAATTCACTCATCCTTGGCGCCCTCTTTCTAACATTCAGTATTCATCTCACTTGGCCTCAACCTTGAACACAGAGCGCACTCGCCTATTACAGGACGCTCTTTCCTCCTCCTTCCTTCCTCAAGGTTTCACAACACCATATTCTGTACTCACTTTTTACTCCTGCTTCAGCTTTGGGTCTTACATACCGATTGTTGCACATCAATCACGACACAGCGCTTCACATTGTGGGAGGACTGACTGACATCGAGCCGCCGCACCACCTATCCGATACAACCATTGTCATACCACCTGCCTCATCCTACTCAGTCTTCTCCGAAACTTCTATATTTTTTCTGACCGCCTTGCTCTTCCAATTCAATCTATAATATCGCCATGACTTCCTCCTCAGGTGTCGACGCAGCGACCGAAGCCCTCATCGCTCAGCTCATGGCAGAGGACCTCGGCGAGTCATACTATAGGCACTCCACTCCCATCGGCGCATCTTACCATGACTACGAAGAGCCGTTGAGCTCTTACGAGCGGCAATGTCTGGATGCTGAGAACAATCCAGATGAGGAGGGTGGGGAAGGGTCTGGCTGGGGTCCTGAGGATTCAGATGAAGTCAACGGTGCAGTTGCGCCGGATGAAGGCCTGTATCCGACCGGTCCAACTAACGAAGGTACCTGGGACTCGACTAATGAGAATTGGGACTCAAGATTCGTCGACGAAGACGGCCAAGTCCAAGAACATACCGCATCAGGGCAAACACCACAAGCAGCCGGAGCTAATGAAGGTGACAGCCACTCTGACTCCAGTTCTTGTTCAAGACCCACGAACGAAGAACTTACAGGCGCTCCATCTCGCGTCGTCTCCCCACCCGCCTACGACGTCCCCAACAATCCAGCTGACGAAACACACAACATCTCCGCCCCGATGACTCTCCCCACTCTATCCACCCCAGGCGCACCTGATGGCCACCTCGATCCCTCCGACCATTCCAGCCACCGCGAACCCTTCATCCCTTCCTTTCATCTCGCACCAAATGAATGGCTACCTGCTTCTAGCGCATTGGAAGTCGAGGGTCAGTGGGATGATGGTCTAGACTGTTCGTCCTCCAAAGGCAAAGGCAAAGCCGTACGCGCTTACGACGAATTCAAGCGAGGATTGAGGGATGGCGAGAAGGAGAGCTGGGACCCCAACATCGCTGACCTTGAACATAGAAGGGGAGAAGATGCAGACTCCGACAGCGAGGAAGAAGGCGAGGTCCGAGACGAAGATCTCCCTTTCATCAGCATCCCCTGGCCTTGCGCGGAGAACGACGAACTGCTCTCCCGGCGCGAAGATGCAGAGGTGGTAGAGATTCGTGTGGGTGATGATGAGACGTTGGAGAGTATCCTTCGGGACATCTCTCTGAGAGATGAGAGTCGGCAGAAAGGGAAGGGTGTCGAAGGCAGGATAGAGTGTGCGGGGGAGGACGTCCCGGGAAGGAAGGATGTTGCAGCTTGGTGGTGAGAACCCCGACATGCATTCAGGAGGATGGGATGGCTGTTGCTTTTCACTACGGACTTTGAAGGATGCGCTATCACATCACGAAGGGACGATTGGATACCCCGGTGGAAAAGTTTTTGCTTTTGTCTGATCGATCGATGGCCGAGGATAGAAACAGGCATTGTGATAACATAAGATACCAGATAATGACAGTCATCCCTATTACTTCAAAGGCCTACCTCGCCCATATTCGTAAAGCTCATTTCTCATTAAACATCCACCCGATATCCCCCCCCTCCCGCGTGACAAAATCCCATCAAAGTCATCAAATCGTCAACCCATACGCACATGTTCCCTACCCATCCATCCATCCATCAGCCAACCCTCCACCCCCATCACTCCACTCCACTCCACTCCACTCCACTCCACTCCACTCCACACCACTCCACTCCACTCCACTCCACACTCTCCACACCAACCCCTCAGCGCGACCCCGCCACCCTCGCCCTCCGCCTCGCACTCGACCCTCCCACGACCGTCTCCTTCTTCTTCTGCTTCTTCTCTTCCTTGGCCTTGTCCCCCTCGGCCGGCTCGATCAGGACCTGGATCTGTCTGTTAGATGGATGGATTGTGATGGGGGGGGGGAGGGGATGTTGTGTGGATGGATGGATGAGGTAGGGATGGATGGATGGATGGATGGATGGATGGATGGATGTGGGCATGTGGGCATGATAAAGCGGTACGTACGGTAACTTCCCTATCCGTTCGCACCCATCTGCACGCACGATACGAGCGTCAGTGTTGCTTTTGTGAGGGAGGTGGTATGGAAGTAAGCAAGGAAGTAAGTAAGGGAAAAAAGATGATGCAACAGGACGTGTTATCGGAGTGGAGTGGGGTAACAAAGACAAGGACAGAGAAAAGAAAACAAAGCCGAAGCAGAAGCAGTAGGGAATGAAAAAGCAGTCTATCTCACGACGACGATAACCCGCCATCGTCCATCCCACTCATCTCCAACCCTCCAACCAACGAACCATCTCATCCCCGATCTTCCTACCAGCACTTAAACAAACAAACAAACAAACCGCGCAGAAACGAAACAAAAAAACAAACAAAACGAAACAAACAAACAAACAAACCGCGCAAAACCGAACCAAAAAAAACCCCAACCCCCCAAACAAAAAAAACAAAACAAAAAAAAAACAAACCAAAAAAAAAAACAAAACAAAAAAAAAAACAGAAACAAAAAAAAACCCACACAGTCCTCCTCCCCCCCCCCTCCAACCCCTCCACCGTCGTCGTGATCCCACTCTCCACGACCCGATACCTCACCCAATTCTCCCCCCCATCCCCATCCCCACCCGCTTTCCCCATCTTCCCCATCCCCATCCCACCACCACCCGCAACGTCCGTCCCAACCGGCAAATACCCATTCCTGGTCCTGGGCCGTTCCGCCACCGCCTTTCCGTCCTTTTTCGACGACGACGAAGGAGAAGAAGAAGAAGAAGAAGAAGAAGAAGAAGAAGAAGAAGAAGAAGAAGAAGAAGAAGAAGAAGAAGAAGAAGAAGAAGAAGAAGAAGAAGAAGAAGAAGAAGAAGGAGGAGAAGAAGAAGAAGAAGAAGGAGGAGGCGGTTCGACCTCCACGGGACCTTCCCGCGTGACGACCGGCTTGGCGGCGGCGCCGGTCGTCTTCGTCGACGTGGCTTTGGCCGCGAGGGCGGAGGCGGGGATGAGGGTCCGGGGGGCCGGGAGGAGTTGGGGGGTCGAGAGGTGGGAGGTGGGGGCTTCCGGTTCCGTGGTTGGGGGTGCCGGGGTTGCTGGGGGGGTGGGATCTTTGGCAACGGTGGCGGTGGAGGAGGAGGGGGGGGAGGAGGAGGAGGGGCTTGTTTCGGGGACGGGGGCGGAGGTGAAGATGGGGGGCGGGTAGGCATGGATGTGGATGACGGACGATGGGGTGAGTGAGGCCATGGTGCTCGCGCTGAGGGCGCACTGGAAGAGGGAGCGGAGAGCAAAGGGCTTACTTATACTTGGTTTCCGACGTACCGACAAAAGTCACCGCATGGAAGGGAAAGACGAAAGGAGGTGGAGGGGAAAATACGTCACGTATTAATGCTCGGTGTTGCTCGCTGCTCGGCCGGCGAGCATCCAAATGCGGTAATATGACTGGGTTCCCTTGACCCGTTGGGCCAAAAGTGTAATGCGGCGAGCCTGACGAAGCGGGGTTCGGATGCCATCATTGGATACCGACCGTCAAGGAACACGACGATGGTCTGATCGCGGAAGGATGTCCAACGAAAGCCTCATGGCCTTGGAGATGCGTAAGAATGTGTATGTCGCCCGCTGCGGTCCCCGAACATCTGGCTCAAAATGAACGAGTCGTTGCTCGTCTGACCCCGGTCCAGAACGATAGCATCCTCCGGTATGCCGGTGCACATACCCTTCACATCAGCCCCTATGACAACGCCTTGATGATCCGTTAGAACAGGTACTTGGTTCTCTTCGGTTCCTCAACCTCTTGCTCAAACTCGGTCAATTCTTCGTTCGACTGGCCCGGACTCATGATAAGAGCATCCTGAAGCAAATCTGCGTAGCACTCACCCACGTAGGGTCCTGGCGTAATGAATGCCAACTTTAGCCCTCGGAAGCTCAACAGCGTCCTAAGGATACCATGTCGCGGCTCCCAGACGTAAATGTCCCTGTCCGGATCAAGCCCATCACCCTCATCAACCCCATTGCCCCAATCCGCGAAGCTGACTTTCAGGCACCGGAGTCTGTGCTTCGCTTCGAGCAAGAGGAAGATCGAGTACCAGAGCGTCTCGGAACGAGTCCCGAATTGGTCCATCACACCCTCTTCGACTGAAATCGCAAGGCGTTTGATCTTGGAGATGTTGGATCCAATGCGCTCGAGCCACCACAGTGAGACTTTGGCGTGCTGGAGTTTGAAAACATTCTCGCCGTAGAGGATCGTAGTGGCTTCGTCGACGAGCTTCTTGCTGCCCGCGAAAGCTACGAGAACCGTGGTGAAGTTCTCTTTTCCTGACTCTTCCGCGGCGACTTCGAGGGCGCCGACATTCCAGAATGGCTTGATCTGCTCATCGCTGAAAAGGACACAACGGAGGATCTGGTGAACGACGTTGTCGGGACAGCCTAGCAAGTTGAATGGCCTGTATTCAACCTTTTTGTTGTTGGAGGATTCGACCGTGCTCGTTCGGAGGTCCGCAGTGTTGGAAGTCTCGTTGGGCTCCTTTGCTGGTTTCTGTTCGTGGTCCGCACAAGTAGATGTTTCGACGGGCTCGTTTGCTAGATCCACATTGTGGTTCCCGGTTGCGGATGTTTCATCGGACTCTCGGAATGGATTCATATTATAGTCTTTGATGGCACCTGTCTTGTCGGGCTCTCCTGCTGGATTCTTGTTATACTTCTCGACCGTAAACTTTGGGTAGAGGTCTTCGACTGGAAGCATACCCTCATTTCGAATGGTATCTGTCTCGTCTGAACTTGCGGTAGCATCCGTATCATGGTCCGTAGTGGTAGTAGCGGTATCCATCTCATCCGAGTCCTCAGGCTCTGAATCGGTTGATTTCATGGTTTTCGATGAAAACTTTACTATGACTTTCTTCATTGTCACTGGTGAATCCATCATGGGCGAATTGATGGAGGGACCGTCCCGAAGCATTTCCAAGGTCGAAACAACCTCGTCTTCGTTCTCGTCTAATCGGTTCCATTCAGCCGAGTCCATGGTCTTCTCCTCGACTGTCTTGGGTTCCATGTCTATGCCATGTGTGTCGGACTCCTCTGAATCTCTCTCAGGACGACTAGAAGAGGTGATCAGCTTTCATTGTAGAGTACGTCAGGCACCTGCAGTCTTACATCAGCATCTCAGCATCCCACCCCCTACTGTTTCCTTTTGCTCCTGCTTGGTCACAATTTCCGGCAAGGTTGGCCGCGTTGAACAGCTGGGGGTGTCTTCTGTACTGTTGACTCACACTGCTCTTGTGGATCTTTGGGTTGTGCTTGCCACGACAATAGTTACCTTTAAGTAGCATCGTGAAGAATGTCAGGAGCGATGTGGGCGCCAAATTTTTGCTAGTGTTAAAGCTGAAGCTGATCTGCGCAGGGAGTGTGGAAAAGTTCAAGTTGCTATGTCATGAACTGATGTTTGTGTTGTGACGTGAGGGTATTCGCATTAGTGATGATAAAATTACACACCACAACACCACAAACCCACAAACTGCTTTCGCTATGCCTGTACGCTCTCTCCCACGGAACTACATCGGAATAGAATAATTTTCTGATTTGAAAAGCTCCTTCACTCGCGTCCTACAACGTTCAATCATGGATAGGCATCTCCCCACCTGCAAGTCTCGGAGTTAGCATTTTTCTTAACGACAAATAATCTTGAAGTTGCCAAACGCGGTGCAGGACTAGGTGAGAGCTTCTCCATTGTCGCGACGTATGTGATATTTCGTAGTGCCCTACAGAAACAGGAGCGACTGCCTCCGCGAGGTCCACTTACATATCAGCTTCCTCCTCCACAGCGTCATCAATCGTCGCCACTCTCCTTCCCTCCTCCTTCTCCCTCCTTTTCCGCTCCGCCCTCGTGACAAGCCTACTCGGCGTCATGGGTGTGAGCGGGGTACGTGGCATATACGGACTGTACGGTGTCATCGGCACTCCAGTCATTGGCGTACGAAGACTCTGAACATTTGGCGCTTTGCGCTCGAGCACTGTGGCTTTGATCATGGATGGAGGACGGTCGGAGTTATAGTTGGTTGGGTGCTGGTTCCGCAAAGGGAGAGGAGCACTGCGGAGAGGATGGTGCTGGGCGCTGGAGCTCGAGCCGGGCCCAGAGCCAACAAGAGCTTGAGTGCGAAGTGCGAGAGGAGCAGGCGTACGCTTTGTCTTGGACCTATTGCTGTTCCTGCTCTGCATTTCTGGTCGATTATATGTCTCCGGTATTGTTTCGATCACTGGAAATGCGGGAACAGAGGTTCGTGGTGTTCGAATAGACGGTATGGAATGTTCCTGAAACTGCACGTTCCTCGGACTGAGCCGCGAAGCATCCATCACATTGTCCCGCGGTTGAGATGCTTTTCGTTGAGGTGGTGTGAGTGGTGGAGGACCTGGGTCATCATAGACCCTAGGAGTAAGTGGTTCTGCTTCGCCGTATCCGGCGTTGTACCCTGGAGCAAGGTCCGGAGAGCCCATTGGAGGAGAGATGGGAAGGTTGCGAATGCCGCGTTTCTTGCTGAAGCTGCCAAGTGATGAACGTGAGGAGTTGCGGCTGTGGAATGAGAGGGGCTTAGGTCTAGAAGAGGCGCGAGGTGACTTTGTTGCGATTCGAGCAGGGGACACAGTGTCTGAGCGAGGTGGAGGTTCCAATGGCTGCTGCGTAGAGCGAAGATGTTGCAGCTCTGGTGGGCTTTGAGGTCGCTGTTCGTCTGGCAGATGAGAGACAGATGTGGACTTCTTCTCATCATGCTCCATCACCGCAGCATACAGTCGCTCCATCTCCTTCTGATTCCTTTCCTTGTCGTCTTCAATCACACTCTCATCAAAAGTCACAACGCTGCTCACTACAGACGGTTGCTTCCTGTGACCTTTGGCTATAGAGCCCCAAGCATCACTGTTTCTAGCGCTTTTGTTCTGCGGGCTTGGCCAATTGTTCTTCATATCAATCGTGCTGTTTGGGCTTGGCCCATAGAGATTGTTATTCGAAGGAGATACTGGAGAGGGGTCGAAGGCTTTGGAGACGTCATGCTTCACAGGCTTCATCATTTCCATTGAGAGCGTTCTTGGTGAAGCTTGAGTTGCACGACGAAGACGCCGACCAACAAATAGGATGGCAGAGCCGATGATTAGGACAGAGAGGACGTATGCGCCGATTATGGAGGCAATCTGTGCTGGTAGGTAAGAGAGATCTCGGAGGGAGTGGTCGTCGAGTGGTGGGCCTTTCCCTGGTGGAGGTGCCGGCGCCTCCCAAATGCTAACGTGCCAGATGTCAGTTGGTGAAGCCGTGGTTGCGGTAATGAAGAGAGCTTGGAGTAGTGGTAGGTATGAGACATGGAGAAGGAAAATGGAAGACATTGTGCGATTCTCCTCTTAACAGCGCATCTTTGGACAAAGTGAAGAGAAAGATCATGCAGACACTTCCGAAGCGCAGAGATGAGTGGCATTCGTCCCCTCGCTGGTTTATACATGACTGGGGAGAGGCTAATGGTGGGATGTGATTGGTTTGAGCGGCCTGTGATGGCCTGCATCTAAGCGCTGGGGAAGAAACAGCCCAAACCAAGTACAGTCTAGACTTTGAAACCGCGAGAACTAGCTTTTCTCAAGTGGAACCACTCCACGATCTTTCAACATCTCTTGCTTTTCACATAAAATAAGAGCACAATCGAGGGATTGGAACTTGGGAAGGCTACCATAAAGATGCGCTTACCTTGCCTTACTGTCCCGGCCAACTGGCTGTCACAGCCCAAGTGACGTGGTCGTTATACACTTGGATAATATCGAATCTAAATCTCACTCCGCTCTCTTCGATGTCCAGGACAAGACTTCTACTGATTCTCTCCACACCCTCCGGTACTTGCAGCAGTTCGGCCTATACAAAAAAGGTCCCCTTCGTGGATTGCGTAGCTCGTCTTGATTTTCCCTCTGTAATCGCAGGTTATGCTCAATCCGTCGCTGTCTCTCTATCCAACAGTTGTACTCTATCACCCTCCGTCTTTGACTATGTTCTACTTCCTCTGCTCGGCGCTGTTCGTGCTCTTCTGATATGCGTTCGTTCCCCTCGTCATCAGGTGATGAGATCCGGTTTCTTAGCCAGTTTCCTACTCTCCAGACGATGGTTGGTTGTTGGGGCATGATGGAATGCCTGTCTGTATGTGTGCATATATCGTGATTGAGTCTACAAAGCTGTGCGGAGTTCTGTGGGGCTGTACTCGCCTACTCGTCACCACGCCTTCACGACGACCTACGGGCTTCAATTGGCTAGCACAGATCAGGCAAAACATTTTTGGAAGCACTGGACTGCTCTCCTTGGATAAAGAGAGTGGTAGGATTATCCATGTGTTGTTATGCTAGGGAGTCTTTTTGGAAGCTATTAGTAGTTCAAAAGCTTGACTCTACATATGCCATTTTCCCACAAATTCAATCAAAGCATTATCTACCTCCTTGGGATGACTTGCACTCAAGAAATGCTGCCCGTCCTTGATAGTGACAAGCTTAGCCTCCGGAGAGTTCACAAACATCTTTATTTCCTGTTCCGCGTTTGCGATTGAGTAAACCACATCACTTGTACCGTGGAGCCACATTACTGGGCATCCGACATCGAAAAGCCTCCCATGTAGCCCATCTCTGTCCCTGAGGTTGATAGCAGCCATCCTCGCCCTCTTTCTGCCATCGTTGCCTTGGTAGTTGGACTTGATTGTCTTTTTCCAATAGTCTCGAACACTGCTGTCACAATTCCTTCCAAACCCAATGTCAATCAGGAAGTTGCAGACTAGCACATTTCGGAATCAGCATTCCCGTTGGTAGACAAAGATTTGATTAACAAGACATGTTGGAGGAGTGAAAAAGAGGGAGTCAAATAGGTAATTTGTTTCTCCAACATGTCTCGCAATTCAGAAAGCAGTCTCGAACAAGAAGTGACAATTTCAAAAAGTGCCGTACAGTGGTCATCAGGCTCAAAACCGGGAGTAGCCTTTGTCGTGGTCCATTTGTCGATCGTCCCTGTGCAAGCATCGATTCCATCCCAACAACCTAACGACCTCGTCCGCTCCGACTCGCTATCCATACTCGTGCCTAGAGGCACGATTCCTTCGATCTTCTCCGGCGCCAGCAATGCCATCCGCACGGTAATCCAACCACCCTGGCTTGTACCGAGTACAAAAGCCTTCTTGACTCCCAATGACTCCATGACTTGCAGGTTCATGAGAGCAGTATCCCAATACGTGAAGTTCTCGTGCGGAGTCCGGGTCTTGCCATGACCAAGGAGCTCAATGGCCAGGAGATTCATTGCGGAGGTGAGCTTGGAGTTGCCATACTGGCCAGCGTAGAGGTCGGAGGATGTAGTGAAGGAGTTAACGAGGACGAGGGTGGGTTTTGATGGGTCGTAGGGATGGGGCATTCTGGAGGATAATTTTGAAGTTAGTATTGCCTATTGGAGGGCGCGTATTGAACTTTTGGAAGATGTCTACAAAGTGAACACTCCCAAATATGTCTCAGGACTCCAATTTGGGTCCCAAAGGGGAAAGACGGACTCCGAAAGTACGTACTGGTAGCCTGCAGTGGCATTGAGGTGAGGAACAGAGACGGTCTTGGTATTTGACATGGTGACGATATTACTGTGATATTTTCTAAGCTGCTTTGGTCAAGGTGTAGTAGTATTGTGGATGAAAACAACTCTGTGGACAGCGAAGAGCAACGGCTTCATATAAAAGTGAGATGAGAAAGGCTTTTTCCCGCAAAGCGGAGAAGGAGCAGCATCCGACAGGAGACATGCATCGACCCTACCCATGAGCAGGCTTCAGTCGCTTGACGTCACTCCCAAGTCTGCCAGCCGGTAGTTTGAGGAGTGGAAATGTGAACCATTTGGCCGGATGTCTCCCCGCAAAGCATCTGCGCTTAAGTCCATGTTGAGCTTTCAAGCCCGCCTTGATTCCGCTTCATTGACAAGTCGACCCCTCCATCTGGATCTGGCTTATCTGGCAGAGACGACTCCCGATTACCTATCCGTTAAGGTGACTTGAGAACATCTGGCATATCAATTCATGGAGTGGTTCGGAGGTCTGCACCTAAAATCCTGAGCAGCGCTAATACCAGCCCTAGCCCTACTCTCCGAAAGCAGCCCATTAGTGGGAAACCCTAGAGCTACCTCGCATGAAGCATGAATTGAACTACTCTAGGGACCTCCTTTGGGCGTGATACAGGCCAGAGGTACAGTATTTCCGAAGCACTTCTAAGCGCACAGCCCAACAGCACAAAGTCTCAAACGAGAGACGACGCAACTTGGGGAGCAGAGTCGTCCAACACTCAACGCGGGATCCCGGGTTTTGGGTGGGGGAGTCTTGGCGTCCGGGGCATTTGGTGCAGACCTCCGTACAGAAGCCATTTTGCCAACACCAACAATCCTTCGACCATAAGAGCCTCAAAATGTGCTTACATCATTGTAGATACAGGTATGCTGGTTAAATGATACAAAACTGGTTCGTTCAAACCGCTCTTATCCAGTGACAATTCTCGGGATTCATTTCGTGAACGTTTGCGTTTGAGGTCTTTCGTTCCGCGTTTCCCTCCATTGGCTCTGATGCTCAGTGTCTTTTTATAATTCTGCCCCTCACCAGGAGGAATGTTTCAGCTTTGCGTTGGTTGTCCATGTCTTATCTCTGAAACGCACAAGAAATGCACAGCTCTCAGCTATATTTTCCAAGGGCTTTGCAACTTTGATTGCTCAGTGCTCTAGTGAAAGACCCACGCAACCATCCAAAGGGAGACAAGAACGCTTCCGATTATCTTCTTCGGGGTCTGCAAGGAACAACATGGAGCTACACATGTGTGGCTTCAATACGCACCATCAACTCGACCATAACCAAGACCATCACAAAGACGAGATCACACAATTCTGGAAAGTCTTGAGGTCGCCTCAAATCAACGTGTCGTGTGCACTTTGGAGTTCCACAGTCATTCAAAGTGATGGGACTCTTCTCCATCAGGGATACCGCCCATCGGGACTTTATCCCACACTGATAGACGGTCCACCACCGAGAAACATCAAGACCATTTTCGGGGATACGAGCGGCGTACTCGGTGCCCTAACTACAGATGGATGTCTCTTTCTCTATCACGACGACTGCGGCAGCAGAGTTGGCCCAGAGTTTAAGAAGCACCGATTCCCCGAAGACAGCTTCATTGTTCAGCAAAGCTTGGCGATTGAGCATCTTGCAATTGCTGATAATGGTGAAGTCTGCATCTGCACCAGTGCGTCCCTCTCCATATCAGCCCCTCATACCTATTGACTTTGACCAGATAGCGCGTCCCGAAAGAGACATTCCGGTGGAAACACGCCCTCACTGTCAGACAGTACACCGCACTTTCTGTTCTCTCCACCTACTGCCAAGATCGAGATCCAACTATTTTCATCTTTCCAGAGCCTCCTGGTCTGCGAGCCTGCAACGGCCACTCACTTTATTCAAACACCTTTATTTTCTTTACTATCTTCCGCTACGAGTTTTACCGCGTTGACTGTAACGCGTGAGGTGCTGACTTTCGGATCTGCCTTGCATCCTCAGAGTCTTGGACGAGATCCAACCGTATCCAATCCTGCCGGTTCACCCTGTGTAATTCCCTTCTTGGGCGGTATCCCGATCGGCAAGATCGCCGTCGGTGGCTGGATTGGCGCCGCGGTGTCTGAGGATCGGGATCTGTATATCTGGGGTGGACGTGCTGGTGAGGATAGGAGAATGCACGCTTTACCAAAGTTCTCAGATGACGAGACAGTCCGGCTAGTGGATATCAACGGTGGGGTGGATATCTTGCAGGTAGGCGTGGGATCTGGGCACGTTATCGCGCTGACGGCAGAGGGCGAAGTCTGGGCTGCGGGAGATGGAGAATGTGGGCAACTTGGCACTGGGGAGATGAGATTTGAAGAGGATTGGGTAAGAGTTAGGGGCGAGTGGGAGGAGAGGGGAAAGGTGGTTGGTTTGGGCTGTGGAGTTTGGTGTAGCTGGATATTGGTCGATACCCGGACGACGAACGAATTAGAGCAGTAGCCGGCAGGCATATGTTGTGGTCATCGATAGTGCAGTTTGTTCCAATTACGGGACTTCTTTCGCAGCTTGCATGCAGCCTTCGGTCAGTCAGAGGGGTCGTTGACCACGGTTCTGAGCCAGGTAGTCAAAGACACAGGGCGCAGCGGGAAGAGTTCTGCATCACCTTGCATTCCTGACATCCGAGATGGCGAACCCTTATTCTAGACACTCGACATCTCCCCTTTCCTCCACCCTCAACCCTAGCTGGCCGCGTGTACAGTCGCGCTTGAAGTTCCGCGTTGTGTCTCGAATGGTCAGGGATGCAGGGTGCTCATATCTACTTACTTCAGGCATCAACGATGCATCCACAAATTTATATTTACCTCTTCAGGTTCTTAATGTAGTTTTCTCTCTCGGTCTTATTGCTTTTGAACTAGCACTGTCGAATATATAACACTGTTCCACAAATGACCGAAAAGACCACTCCGCTTAATCTTCCATTTGAGTTGAGGCAACAGATATGGAGAGAAGTAATTGGACACCACAAATACCTCCATATTCGAATACTCCATTCCCTAGATGACCGCTCCTCACAGCGGTTGAAACATTCTGTATGTGCTAGGGATTCTCCTGAGATATATGGACATAAGGCCCTTCCCAATACCAGCTCCTCCATACCTATTCACGTCGGCGACCTCAAGCAATCAATCCCTATGTGTCTTAATCGCCAAAAAAGATTACGCAACGACGTCCCTCAAGTGTCACTCAGGTTTCTCCAAACATGCCGTCAGGTACATGGCGAAGTGGAGCGGCTAGTATACACGACGAGCACGTTCTCCTTCGGTCGTCCGGTGCTACTTTGGGATTTTGGATCAGCCCTCACAACAACTCAGAAGTGGTCTCTTCACAAGGTCCATCTTATTATCAAAAACCGCCTCTTCACAGCCGAGGATTTCCATGATTACAGTACTATGGTTTCTGCAATTGCAATACTGTATGGGCTCAAAAGCTTGCATGTCTGCGTCGATATGTTAGACCAGGTGGACAAGTATTTGGCGACAGGTATACGTCAATCGCTCAAGATGACGAAAGTGTCGGTGACTATTGTGTTGTCGGATGGAGAAAGTTTATGAATGAGCGATGGGAATGTGGGGAATATACTGAGGACCAACAAATTCGATTCGCGGATACCGTCTGGTTTCGACTGCAGAGGTCGGCCACTTGGATTGCCGAAATTGCACAGGAGCAAACAATGGGGGACGTCAAGTACACTCTATGGGCTCCAATGGAGGGCTGGATTGACGAAGTGCTGGAGTATCAGCACTGTCCCATCTCTTCGAACCACACGGTAGGTTTTACAACCGGGTGTGGTATACGGAATGTCGGCTGCTAACCGTTCTAAGATATCTCGACTTGTGTGGGCTATCATGCACCCTTGCTCACTCCGGAAACGGTTCCCCCGTATAAATATCGACCGTTTTGATCTCATTGCGGCCCAACGCTTCATTCAACACCGCCTCCTTGACTTCTACCACTCTCCGCTTCATGATCTCTTTCAACAGCACCAGCATCGTAGCCTTCAGCGCTTGACCCTCCTTCCGCGACAGCGAGGGCCCCTTATCACCGAGGAAAAGATTGTCAGGAATCCACTTGGCGCGAACCTTGACTCTCAGAGTCTTCTTAGTCACCAGACCCTCCTCTATTTCTTCCTCGGCTAGTAGTCGCAGTATATCAAGGACTACTTTCCTAATATGCGTGAAGAACTTGCCGTCCTTGCTCGCGCCGCACATCGAAAACGCTCCGATGAACAGCTCGATGTGAGCTAGGCGGCACAAAACATGCGGATATATTGGCCCTGAACCTGGAAGCGACGGGAGGTGCCAGCAATTGTCTTTATGAAGTCTTTTGTAGATTGTTGTGCGCTGATTCGGATGGGTAACGAGCTTCCTCGGGCGATCATCATATTCGCCGTCTGTTGAGACATCTGTGGGAGGGGTACGATTGGATCGGAATAGTGGTAAGATAGGGCGTTTGTGGTTGAGTTTGAGTAGGAAGGTGTTCTTGTTATACAAATGGCAAATTGCTTCTTCGTAAATCTGTTTATTGGTGCGAAGAATGGAAGGGCAGAGGTTAGAGTGTATTTCGCGGCCTTTGCTGTCGTCATAGAGCGTGAAAGGTTCAGAGCGCTTAGAGGAGAGGAGTTCGGAGTAGTCAAGATTCCAGAAGTGAGTTACTTGATAGAGCGAGGACACCAATAGATACATTAGCGGCATGCACTTGATCTATTGGTGTCCTCGCTTATATCAAGTAACTCACTTCTGGAATCCACGAGTAGAGATGTTGCGGAGCTCGAGTGGCAGAGTAAGGAGGGTCTGTGTGTGTATGTTGGTGGCCATTTCTGTTCCTTATTTTCTGTCATAACGAATCATTAAGATAATGGGGAGAGATCCTCTTGCTTACTTTATGTAGTAGTCAAACCTGCTAGAAGGCTACCGTGACACTGCCGCTCGCCATTGAGAGAGGTCGGTGGTGGCTGTGGACGCTAGTACGAGTACTAGTACCTGTCTATGCTGGACAATCGTCTCCATCTCCAGAACCTACGATCATAGCCAGTGGAAGTGAACACTTCTCATTCCCAGTCTACTCGGTTCCGGCCATGCATGTAGCCAACGCTCCCTTGACCTCGCCGTTATCGTGTATCCTGAATGGCTGTCGACTTCTAAAACGCCAAGCCAAGCGTGATAGCAGTCGCTCCAGAGACCGCCTCAAGGTTCCTCCCACACGGAAATGTTGTCCCCCTTCCCCTCTACCAGACGATGAATATCCCACTGTCTCTAGAGAGACCAAAAATACAAAAATGGAACAGTCCCGATCTATGTTCATGTCTAGATTGCCGTTGGAGGTGCGAACGATGATCTATGAAGAGGTGCTTTGCAGACCTGTGGGTGTCGTTCATATCACAACCCGGAAGGATGGCAAATTGGTCTACTTTAGGTGCAAAGCCGAAGACGGTCGATGTCGTGGCTTGGAATGTTTTCATGGCAACAACGAGGACTTGTATAGCACATGGCGGACAAGGGACAAAGACCTTTTCAGTACATGGAGCCCTAGCAATACACCAGATCGGGCCGATGGGGGCTTGGTAGCTTTACTCCAGAGCTGCCGGCAGGTGTCAGTATCTCTGAATATGTGCAATACCATCTAGTCGTATTGACTGCAATTCAGCTACACCGAAGCCATAGGTATGCTCTACCGCAACACTTTTAGCTTCACGGAACTGCCGCTCTTCCTCCACTTTACCTCTGCGATATTGCCCGAAAGTCTGAGTTCTGTTCAGAGTCTGCAGTTTGAATATGCTCTGTTTAGAGAGCTATGCTACATGTGGCCGTATCTTCATCCTTGGGGTGAACGTCGTGAATGGATGGATACGCGACAAATCCTTTCAAGCATACAAGGACTCCGGGAAGTTCGTGTCAAAGTCGATATGCCGGCTAATGGATTTGACGAATCTGAGCATGCCAGCGAGCTGATGAGCCATCTCATGTTGGGAACAAAGGCGAAGTTGCTCGTGGAAGCAACATAGCTACCCTTCATGCAAGGTGCGCCAGGGGACAATTTGCGAGGTTTTCGCCCCGTAAAAGGCAGAAACCAATGCAGGAAGCCTCAAGCGATCAATGGTATGTAAGCCAAGGAGTTGTCTCCGCAGCCATTGACCCAAGAGATCAGTCTATGGTTCTGTGGGGGATTACTTGATCTTGGGCCTTGGAAGCTAATATTTGTCAACGACTGGCGTGCAGACAGTGGTACAGATCTACCAAACCGTCCCCGATTCTTCAGAGGGGGTTTGAGGGCAAGAGCAGACCCGAACCTTTTCTGCATAGCGATTTTCCACTGCACTTGCACACCTAGCGAACTGTCGAAGGAATTTCCCGCTTTCTTAGCCTCTGCGTGCTCAAAAGTGTTTGGGCTCGCAAGTACTAAACATGACATTTACTATGGAATTTGAATGAATGATCAATAGCAGAGACAAGCCTGCAGAAAAACAGCCAGTCATCCATCTTGGAACTATGGTGTACAGAGATTGAACAAATCATACGAAAAAGCATTGGGCTGGAGGCTTAATCAAGGTTGAAACACCGAGAATACTCGTAGAGAAACAATCTCTGACTCCATTTCAAGTTCGTTTTGGTCAGCGATTGAAAGTCTCGATACGGGATGTTCAGAGTTCATTACAGTAAGCACAACTTGCAGCGAGAATGAGGATCTTCTTGAGTGGTCCAGATTTAATGATATTCTCGTTTGTCCTCCGTCGTTCCCTCACCCGGGTTTGCCTGACCCTCTCAGCGCTTCTGGTATTAATCACGGATCACGCCGCAATTTTCCTAACCAAGCTTTCGCACAAGACTCTGCAAGGGAGATATTGAACTGAACATCTGAAGGCCCAGCTTTAGTAGAACAGTACGACACGATATTCCCCAGTGGCGGACCAAGCCAGCGTTGTGGCAGCAAGCCTCATGGCTTTGAGAAATCGCAAATCAATGCTCGGAGATCTCAGGAGAGTTTTCAGCAATGAGAAGAAACCCGAAGTGCCGGCCATGCCAAACAAGGATCCTGTTGATGTCCCTGTCAGCGCCTTGCGCATCAGCCGCTACGGTCTCGTACAAGACCTGCAGCTCACATCCTACAGAAAAAACGATCACAAGTTCATGATTGGCGACAATTACTACTATGTTCCTAGTTGCATGCAAGCACCAGGAACGACCGACCTAGATCCCGCGATTCGCAGGTTAAAATGGGGTTTCGAGAAGGGGTATGCTTCAAAGTCCACGGCAGCGAAGCAGGAATCGTTCATGGGGGTCTACAGCATTTGGTACAAGGACTTGGGGACGTCCCGTGGTCTCAAGACATTGTCGCAGATAAGTGGCGACTTTTGGATGATGAAGCAGGTGCAGGATGCGCCGCAGAGCGGTGATACGATTGAGTGGGGCGAGATTCCCAAGGATATGGTCAATGAGTTGAATCATGATTGGTGGTTTATGGGAGTGCAACTGCCTGACATTGATGCTGTTTGCAGAGAGGTAGCAGCGAAATCGGGACGTCCATCCTGACCATCCTATCAGATCAATTAGAACTCCGGCACGGTGTACTGTAGCACGAAGGTTTTAAGACGGTCGACCAACAGTAAGATACTCTAGAAGAGCTGTCTCTACCCCGAACAACAAGTATTGTTTGTTATAGGGAGAGCTGAAGGCGAACATATCGCGCCGTATTAAAAGTCAGTGGACGAAGGCCAAATGAATCGATGATTTGTCTGTCGCCAACCTTTTGATGTTAAAAGAAGCCCATCGCCCAACAAAAGACTTTGAGTTATCGTGTGTCACAGAAGCATGAATAGTGGGCTCTGACCGTCTTTGCCTCCTCATTTCTAGCTCAGTACCACGCTTCCATCATTCTTTGAGGTTGGTCACGAGCACACACTTCGCTTAATCGCAGTCAATTATTTCTATTCCTCTGGGAACGCTACTGGTGGGATCGTTAAGCAATGACTTGGCCACTCCCTTCTCTCTTCTCGTTTTATGGGAAAGTGTCTAGGCGATCTGGATGCGCACAGTTCTCCTGCCAAGGCACCACGCTGTAAACAATCAGCCCTTTGTGACGAAGGTTCGGGCTTCTATCGTCCAGTGGGCCCTCCCATGACCATATTCTTGCAGTAGCAGCTCCAGTCCTCTTCTCCAAAATGAAGCATAATTGGACCTTGAGGCTCTCGTAGCACCAAGCGTTTCCAATCCATTCAGGCTCGCGAGTCGAGACCATCCTTGTTGACGAAGGATGAAGGTCGAGAGGCGTGGAATCTGTATTCAAGCAGTTCAATTCGTTCAAGCGTTGCTTCGCCCAGAGATGGACTCTCGCTACCAGTGAAGGAGGTACATAGTAAGAGACCATATCGAGGGTGAAGCCTTGAGCGGAGACGGGATCCTGCCAACGTAAGACGTTCCATTGAGGGCCGCTCTTTGCATCCGGCGCGGCGATCTTGTCATAAGTGTGAGTCGATGTGATTGCGGACATGGTTGCGAGAACATGCCAAACAATCTTTTGTTCCGAGTCTTTAGCCAACACCTCCTAGAGATTCTCGAGCGTTTCCCTTGGAACACACTTTGTCATAAAATCTCGTATGCCTCATATCGAACATACCGAACTACGCTGCAAGTGCTGTCTGCATATCGAAAAAGTCGTGTCGAAAAAGTAGCCGTTTCATTTGCATTCAAAAGGTATTTCGACGTGGAGTGTGTGACTGAGAACAGCGCCGACTGTTAGAGATATTAGACCTTTGGTGTAGTAAGCCATAGTTTTGCAAATTCAAGGAAATCCGCGTGAGCTCACACAAGAGACAAGACTCAACACATGCTTGGGTTAGAACACATTGTACAATGGCATTGCTGAGACCAACGTTCCGAGCGCTGGGATTCGCTGTAGCGAGTGTTCAAAGCTCATGCCAATTAGATTTTATTGGACACGAGACAGGCCAATGGTAAGGATGGACGGACCCCCGAAGGAGTGGTCTTTGCTGTCGGTATCCCATTCGCTGTGATGGCTGAGAGTGTGCTCAGCTTAAGAGAAGAGTTAGTACCGGGGGCTATCTTGAGCAGGCAATATAGATGATAGGGATCCGTTTCTAGGCATTCTTTCCTACGCATTCATCCCAGGGTGTTTTGGACAAGGGGCACTTGGGCATTAGGTCAAAAGGCACTATGGTCGGAGATCCTGAAGACGGAATCGGAACTTTTGCTAGCATTCACCAAGCAACCTGTGAGCCTCATTGAGCTTCTGTTGCTTGACCATAAGGAGCCTGAATAGTCCTTTCGGAACGTAGCTGTGCTTCCGCCAATTTACCCCGTTGCTCGCTCACTACCACTCTTCTGCCCTCCCGCTCTCGGCTCTCAATACTCGTACTCCTTGACTTTGAGCACAAACTTGGCTCGGCTTCCCTGTTCAACCGGCACCAGCAGTTGCAGCTCACTTCCCGGATCATAAATCCTTGCCCAAACAGCGTACGCAAACTCCTCCTGGCTATCCGCAGGCCATCCCACCTCCATCCAGTTGGCCTCTCGAGACCTGACATGCGTCTCTTCCACCAATTGAACAATCAGGACCTCGGAGACTTTGACGTTTCTAACCAGCTCATAGACGCGCCGGGCTTCATGCTTTGTAGTATGAATCCAGTGATCAGTCCAGAACCAGATATTCAACGATCGTAGACCGCTTAGCTTCTCCATAGCGAAACGCACCTGAACAGCATCTCGGGTGAGACTGCTGTCTGTGATGCCCGATTGGTTGAAGAAGTCGTTTGGCATCTTGATCTTCATATTGCGAACGTCACATTTATGGGCAGGAGTGAGGCTTCTTATCCACGACACAAGCGCTTTGGCCTCCGTGAAATAGAAGGTTGTGTTGCTGAAAAGGTCGTAGCCCGCTTCGTTTTCGATTTGACGGCAGCTTTGAATGAAAGCGATCTGCAGTTGCAAGCTACGAGGAAAAGGTTCTGTCGAGAACCACATGGTCGAGTATTCGGGGTTGATGTCCATATAGAGACGCAGCCGCTCGACATAGCTGGTGTAGATTCTGGGTGCTACCTCTCTGACATGAACACAATCAAAGTCTTCGAGAAGCATTGTCCATATTCGTTGCCGTAGTTCAGGCGAGAGTAGCAGAAGACGCGAGGTAGAGGGCAGAGGCCGATGCAGTGTTCGGTTCGCTCCGATCAAACAATGTTGAAGACTCTCCGGCGATTCCAGTAGCAGCAAGAGGAGAGAGAGAATAATGGGCTTGGCTGTTTTGTAGACGTATATGCCCAAGCGCCGGAAGAGAAAGCGGAGTAGCTGGAGCTTCTTGGGCCATTCCAGCAACGAGAACAGACGAAACAGTACGAAGATTCTAGCCAATATGGCGAAGAGGTGTAGGGGCAGTAGGCGCTCGGAAGCCGCAATCCAGTAGCTCAGGAGCTCGAGCAGAAAGCAGACTAGCTGCCAGACCATGGATCCCATGTTACCCAGAGTGTGGTCTAATAGCAGATGAGAGGTGTGTGGTAGATTGTGTGCAAACAAGAATGTTGGAAGTCGATGGTTGGATGCCAGGTTCTGAGGGTGGTTGGTTGATTGCTGAATTATTGCCACAACAACCTGGGAAAGACACTTACTCTTTGTGTCACTTAGTCTCCTGTTGTGAAAATTTTCACTGCATCCGTAGTAAGTGTGACGCCGTGGCCGTACACCAAAGCGGCCACGGCGGTTCAGAGCTATATTTAAAGCAAAATAATGACATCGACAAGAACACTTAAAGTAACGACGTCCATAAGATAAGAAAAACAAGACCTTGTTATTGGATCTTCTTGTCCCCAATGTTCTTCGTACCCCTCCGAGGCACCAAAGCTAGCACCCATCCTACCAGAAAAACAATTAGCCCTATCATATATATACAGCCTCGCACAGTATGATCCATCCACCCAAGCACCGGTCTCCTTCCTCTCGAAAACGTCGAATCCACGAACTCGAACGGCAGCTTTGCCCCCAGATGCTCTAAGGCGATCTTGAGCCCGCTCGAGAATCCATCCTCATGGAACCCATACTTAGTCCAGGCGCCCGCATAGCTTATGCCCCTTGTGTTTTGTATGCGTGGCAGAAGTTTCTGCGAGCGTATAGCAGCTGCATTGTATAATGGATGATGATATGTCCAACTACCTTGTGCAGATTTGGGCGGATGAAGAGGATTGAGAGTCACAAGGACCATACCATAGAGGGAGGGAATGTGCTGAAGAAGGTTCATCCAGTAAGTCAGGCAGACGGACGGAGCGGTGTTGGGAGATGGGGAGGTAGTGATATAATTCCAAGAGGACCAAGCAACGTATCGCTTTGGCATGAGCTTCGATATGTTAGTGTTCCATTGAGAGAAGCTGGTGATCTCGATACATACCGAGCGGTCTGAATGGAGCACTGCTGTGTTCTTACTGGTCTTGAATCCCGACATGATTTCTGTTTCTTGTGGTGTGGCTATGTTGCGAATGATATCCATTGCTTGATCGCCGTGCGTTGCTAGAATTACATGGTCGAAATCCTCTCTTTTACCATCTGTTCGATGAATAGCTAGCTGTTTGTTCTCTAAGAAGCTCAAGGATTGAATCCCGGTATTGAGATGAATGTGATCCTCAGGGAAGTCACGCATTACAGCATCAATATACTGCTTCGAGCCGCCTATGATCGTCATCCATGTTGGGCGAGCAGCCACTGTGGTGAGGAGATGGTGGTTCCACATAAATCGAACGAGGGTAATGGCCGGAAACTCTAACGAAGCTTTGTCTGGGCTTGTGCTCCAGACGGAAGCAGTCATGGGTATCAGGTAATCGTTGCGAAAGGCTTCTGAATAATCCTCTTGGTCCAAGTACTCTCCAATACTTTGTTGCCGTGCAGGCTTCCCAACGTGTTTGGCTGACCCGTTGGCTCCACTTATGTCGATTTCGCTCTCGTCTTCCTCAGAAAGCAGATCCAGCGCGAATTGGTTGAATCGGACAATGTCGAAGATCATCTGCCACATCCGAGGTCTGAAGAAGTTGGATTTCTGAGCGAATACAGCAGAGAGAGATGTCCCAGACCATTCGAAGAGTCCTTGATCGCGAGACACCCCAAAGGTCATATCAGTCGGCGAAGTGGGTATTCTGATCTCTTTCAGAAAGGCAATAAAATTCGCTACGAGCGTGAGCCAACTTAGGGCACACGTTGAGGCCATGGACTAACGGTAGGTAGCGCTGTTCATAACGATGAAGCCAGTATCAACATTCACAGTTTTTCCTTCATATCTAAAAGGGACTGTATTGGTATGGCCCCCTAGCCTATCCTTCGCCTCATAAAGATGAACTTCGTGATTGGTACTTTTGAGAGCCCATAGTGCAGCAATGCCAGTGCAGCCGCTACCAACGATGGCAACTTTCTTCTTTTCCTGCATGATATACGATAGACAGAAGCTTTTCAGCGGCGCAAACGAGGTACCAGAGGCCTCTAGATGAAACGAGTGGAAGGAGACGCAGGTAATGTTCTTTCAAAAGTCAGGCGGTTTTCTTAGAGCTTTGAGAAAAAGAGAAGCCTGATTTCGGACCTCAATGGTATTCATTATACAAATTTGACGGCTATCAAGCGGCGTGAATATGTCACGGAAAGCTCTCGTATTCGTGTCCGGCTGATGACTTCTATATCGGTGTTCGGATTAAATATACGCCTAGCTCCAGCATTTCAATGACAACAGCCTAGAACAGCCTCCTGCAACTGCAACACCTTCCAGACAAACTAAGTCTGGCCATCGGCTCTGACATCTGTGGTTTGACAGCTCACCATCATAATTCAAGACAGCTGGATACATCCTGTGCCCTTCTCAACCAAATCCTTTCCTATTTGGTCTACAATCATAACCGCCCAGAGCCGCCGCTCAAGCAGCCAACATCCTGCCCTTCGACCATGGCGAACCCACTGGATACAGACGCCGGCTCAGAGCTTTTCAGCAACTATGAAGCCGAGCTGAAACTCGTACAAGCAGACCTCAGTCAAAAGCTCGATCAAATAACAGAATTATCCGGTGAACCCAGGAAATCAGCAGTACGGTTAGCGGAGCGCTCACTTGAAGAAGCCAATGAACTGGTATGTCCTCTCTCCGCACATTCCTCACGCAGTTCCTGCCCTCATGGTTCTGGATATGCTGACCCCCCCCAGCTTGACATGATGCGCATCGAGAAACAAAACATACCCTCCGCAACCCGCTCGCGCATAAATCCCCGCTTCCGCAACTTCGAAACCGACATCGACGCCGCGAAACGCAAGCTGAAGACTCTCTCCGACGACCGCTCCGCTCTCTTCGGCTCCCGCTACTCCGACAACCCAACCAAAGACGACCAGCTCGAGCAGCGCCAGCAACTACTGAGCGGAACGGATAGGTTGGACAGGAGCAGTCAGCGGCTGAGGGACAGTCAGAGAGTGGCAAATGAAACGGAGGATATTGGAAGGGGGACGCTGGCAGATTTGCAGTTGCAAAGGGAGACGATTCAGCATACGAGGGCGACGATGTTGGAGAGTGAGGGGTATGTGGATCGCAGTGTGAAGACGCTCAGGGGGATGGCGCGTAGGTATTTCATCCCTTTCACCCTACACGGCCGCACCTTTTGGATTGCGAACTGATGTGTGTGCAGGATGGCTACAAATCGGATTATAACCGTCGCGATCATCACCGTGCTCGTTCTTCTAATAATCCTGGTTGTCTATAGCAAATTCAAGTAGGGGCTGTACGATCACGATGTTTAAATATGACCTGCTTTCCCCGAATTAACGAATTTTCCAACACGTGTCACGTGCGTGAGCGAGAGATGAAGCTAGAGGTCTTTTGCTGGTGCAAGCAAGCAACCCCCCAGACTTCCTCCTCTAAAGGACCGCATCACAAGCGCGGCAATACTGATGCATATATGCGTTCATATCGATGACCTTCTCAGACTGGCCTTTCTGGACCAGGCTATGAGGCTCTGCGACATTGGAAACCCAGAGCTTTGCCTTTCGGCTCAACATTCCAGAGGGAAACCTAGAAGAGAGATCCGTCAAGACTTCGAAGAACAGAAAGGAGGAGATAGAGTATTTACCCATATATCCCTCTCCATTGGTTCTCTCAGTGAATGAAGATGAGTGCTCAAAGTAGGTGATTTGTGAAGATGGGAAAAATCCTTAGCTACCATACCTACAGCCTTTGAACCCCAACAATTTCGCAGGGTGTTTATAGTGCCGAAGGAGGATGAGCGACTTTGGCAGCTCCAGACATGAATGTTGAGAATTATGCATCAGCCGTATGAGATCACTCTGGCTATGCAGCCTCTCACTTACCAAAGGAGAGTGTGCATATCTTGATCATTCTGCTCCCGGGTGAGGGCGTACTATGCCATTGCTTTATATACTTTTCCCGTCTAGTAGCCTTGGACCATCTTGGCTATATACGGCTCTTCCAAATACTTCGCCTCTTCATCGCTCAACTCGAACTTGACCGCCTCGACCGCCTGGTCAATCCTCTCCTTACTTCCGAGTCCCACAATCGGGTTGACACACTGTTGCCGTATCGACCACGCGATTGCCACGAGTGCCATGCCCACGCCTCTCTTCTTCGCAACCTCTTCCAACCGATCTACAATATTTTTATCGATTTCCGTCTCTTTGCTTCGGATAAGAGATTTGAGGAAGTTGTCAGTCTCTTCACGCTTGGTGGATCGATCGCCCCAAGGTCGGGTGAGGACGCCGCGGGCGACTGGAGACCAGGGAATGCAACCTACACCCGAAGCGCGGCAGTAGGGGAGCATCTCTCGCTCTTCTTCGCGGTAGAGGAGATTGTGGTAGTTTTGCATGGAGATGAACTTGTGCCTGGACAAAATTTAGCTGCAATCAACCAATGAGCAGTTGGGATCTTACCATCCATTGGCTTCAGCAATGTTCTGTAGCATCTGAAACTCCCATGCCGCCATCGAGCTTGCTCCTATGTACCTCACTTTCCCGCTTTCCACCACATCGTTCAACGCCTTCATGATCTCCTTCTTCGGCGTTTCCCTATCCATCCTATGGATTTGCAGAACATCGATGTACGTGCCCAACCTCTTCACACTTGCATCCACTGCATCGAAGATGTGCTTGCGGCTCAGACCGACTTGGTTGACCATTTCGTCGTCGTTTTTTGACAGGGCTGCAATTCGAGGTTGGGCGCCGGATCGGTCAACGCCTTGGCAGGTCAGTTTTGAGGTCATACTTGGAGATAGTCGATGGATGTATGGGTACCGAAAAAGCATTTTGACAGAATTACCACTTTCTGACGGGGGATGTTGTATTTCGACAAGGCTTTGCCTATGATCTCTTCGGATTTGCCGTTGGAGTAGACGTCGGCCTCGGTACCAAGTCAGCAATTGTCAGAAGAGAGATGATCGTCAACGGTATCAGGTGAATTACGTACGGTATCCCATGTATTCAGCCCAACTTTATAGGCATGCTCGAGCAAAGGGAGCGACTTCTCCTCATCAAGAACCCAACCTTGCCATTCGGGCGAGCCATAGGACATTGCCCCAAGGATGACCTTCGATATCTTGAGACCCGAGTCTCCTAATCTGGGAACATTATCAGCTTCCTTCGCGACATCCATACCAAATGAAATATATGTTCTGCTTGCCGTGTATACTCCATTGTTGATGCGAATCGCTGAGCGTTGTGTTGCTGTGATAAGTGAAGGACTGGCTTGACCGTCAAAGTTGAAAAGACAGCTTTCAAGAGACTTTTCCCACAGAAGACGTTCATATTCGGAATTTAAGAGAAATGAGGGACGGCTTGGAGAGTGTTCGTCTTTGAATAGTGCAACATTTTAACATCATCATTCGGACGTAAGGCGCTAATCTCCGTGCTTCAAATTGCCGTTGTCCCGGACCGCTGTCAACCAAGACTAGTGCTGCTACAAGAGATCCACAACTCCATGGCAATTAGAGGAGATGCCGCTTTAGCAGAGCTCGCCGAACTTTAAGCTTTACGCATTTCCGTAGATGATTGTCATCGTAGTCGTATTGACGGCACAGCCCCTAAGAACCACGTCCATTTGCTACTTCTTATAGCTTACCTGTATAGAGGATCTTTGAACCGCCCCAGATCTCTTTGACTGTTGAGTTTGCTGGCCTCCAAATAAAACATCATGGAGTACAGGTGTTAGATCACTGCTTCGGATCTATCAATGGCTTGAGCCCAAGAACTGCTCAGGTTTTTGGGGTTTCGAGCCAGACTATGCTACTTTGTGAGGAGGCCTGACTGTAACCCATGGAGAAACGGCCATGTAGACTGTGTCTTTTGAACAAGACACCGACCGAGCAAGCACTGGAAATTTCGTAGCAGTCCATATGCTGTATCCCGATCTCTCTTGGTATCGCGAAGCCTGCTGCGTAATATATGCGTATGCTTCAAAAAGCGCCTCTAAACTGATCCAGTATACCTCTTCCCAGTGTTCTTCTTCTCGCCTCGCCCTCACTTCTACCATCAGCGCCAGTGCCACTTCCCTCGCCTTCCAATCTTCTCCTCAATCTCTCGAACCCTTGGCCTGTATTTGCCTTCTTCTCACCAACCACCCACCCTGGTACCCTCCACCTACCCCAAGCGCCAGGTCCCCATTCGCCCCTCCAGGCCACTCCAACCATCCAGCCCACACTTGCCGCTATCGCGGAGCCTGGGAACGAAGATAGGGCAAGCTGGCCAGCGAGCAAATAGACTAGAAATTTATCGCTGAGGACTGGTCCTTGTTCTTCGCTTGCGCTGGAAGATGTAGAAGGGGACTTAGAGGTGACAATACGATACTTGTAGATTGTAGGTATTGCGGCGTGGTATTGAGCGAGAAGGGCGAATATAAGGGGCGTAGGACCTGCGGGGAGGTGGTTTACGGCGCCGAATGTGAGGGGGCGAAGCATGGTTGTGACTATTGGAGGGAGGAGTAGGGTTGGTGGGAGAAGGCTGAAGAGAAAGGACTACATAAGGTGTCCGTCAGCCCAGCTATGATCGTAATAAGATACAGGGATGAATGCGTACGGCGAACTTTCGAGAGCCCCACAGGCGCTCAATGATGCGGAGGTGGTAGAGTGACATGGCGGCGAACAGGAGTTCTGTGGAGTTGTTGTAGCAGCTCTAGTCAGTTGGCAAAAGTCAACCTTAGTCTGTCCCTCAACAACTGCTACCTCCTCATAGAGTATCATGATTTGGGGACCTTGAACAGAGCGAGACCTACCTGCCAGACCAGCAACCTCCATGCCTGCTTATACTGCCATAAGTGCGGTACGACCTGAATATAAAAAAGATACTTGGTGTCTGTGATACTGACAAGTATCGAGGAAGCAATGACGCCAAAGAAGAGACATTGAGACACAGGTGCCGCTGTGAAACCTGAGGCGAGCATGGCGGTCGATAGACAGGGCTTTGTGCAGAGTGCTGCTAGGTTGAAGATATTAAGGTGGAAGTACAGCTGACTTTTTCATATCTGCACGTTTTCGTTGTAAACATCAGCAGGCTTTTGCTCCTGGTCTTTGCGAGGTGTTCATCACACCAATTGGCAAGTAGGGCATTGGAGAGTGACCGAGAGGTCGACATCTGGCCATTCTAAGGGCTGCACATAACCCTAACCCTATGACATCTGCTGTGGCAAGAATGGCTCTAGCGGCTACTGTCTCTCTTTCTTTTTTCTACCGAAGCCTTCCTACAAGGATTGGTCTGGGCATTCATTTTTTACGGGATAGAGATGTCGCAGCTGGGAGTCATCGCGGAATGATAAAGAGATTGGTTTTGGGCACTTTGAATGCTCATCGCTTGTTGTGCTATACTACCTGCACTTCAAAGCTACCTATCAACCTTGAGGCTCATGAATGAGACAAGAACGACTGGCGTGTTCATCTTTGGGCGTCGTAGATGATCTGGAAAAGTTCCGCACTGTTCATTTTCACCGCCATCATCAAAGCGTCATTGCCCTGATGATCTCTCAGACCTAGACGAGCCCCGCTCTCCACCAGGAAGGCAACCACATCCTCATGACCACCCCTGACCGCTTTGTGTAGCGCCGAATCCTCCTCACCGGTCTTCATGTACAAATCGGTATCACTCTTGCGTATCAGGTTGATGTCAGCACCGTGTGAAACCAGGCAGCGAACTGCTTCGAGGTTTCCATGCTCTGCGGCCACAATCAGAGCACCACTGCGATCCATCTGAGCTCCGTATCTGATAAAAAGCTCGATCATCGCAACACTGTTCTTCTCGGCCGCCTTTGCCAGCGGCCTGTATACGCGGTTCTGTAGGTCGCGATTCACATCAGCTCCGTGGTCCAGGAGATACGTTGCCAGGGGGATGTGGTTTGTCAATGTCGCCCAAATGAGTGGGCCCCCGATCGTTCCATCATGGTCGTAATTAAGGTCGAAGCCGGCGGCGATGACCTTTTGGTAGACGTTGAGGCGGCTAGACTCGAGAACACCTATCCGCACAGCGTCGTCGTTGACGTTTGTACCTAGGCTGATGCAGAATTCGAGGACTTTGGAGTGGCAATGGCGAGCAGCTATCCCAACGAGCTTTTCAAGGGTGGTATCTGCTTCTTGGAGCGAATATGAAGGATTTGGCAGTAGAAGCCTTTTGAGTACTTCGAGGTGACCTTTCGATGCAGCCCTGATAATGATTTCTCGTAAGGATGGCATTTTCCTTTAGTGGTTTTTAAGGAAACAAGCAATTATAGAGACAAGAGAAATTGCACTATTGGTACTCCTCAAAGCCTGAGAAATACAACACAGGAACGCTAACAATCTTTTGGGAAGACACAAGTAATGACAAGGCTCAACACTCTCCTTTCTAGGCATGAAGACGTAGCCTTTCGCCTTCACATGCCAGTCTGTATATTTATAGCGTGTGAGATCATCGCACACTGGGAGCTAGCTCTTTTGGCTACAGTTCCATAGAACACCAGTATCTCCAGCTTCACATACTCGAATGAACGGGTGAGCTTCTGTCCAATTGCGCCAAGTGATCGCCGTGGGATGGGCAGACTCTTTCTGTACCTAATAGCACTCGTTCACTAAAGCCAATATGGACGACAGAATGCACTATTTACCTTGCCTTCTGTTTGGCTTTGAAAACATAGAAGAACCCCAACTCTCATCTGACACGTAAAGAAATGACCCTCAGCATTCGCGTTTGCTCGTAGCTCAGCAATGTACCCGCAGTCCTTGCTTACTGAGCGAACTCTTCTCCCTGGTATTCAATCTCATTCAGCAGATTTTGGGTTCTGCTACATTGTTGTGATTTCTGAGTACTTTGAAAGCCTATCCTTTGAGCAAGGCATGGGTCCTGCATAGATCTTCTGTATGGGACAAATTTCGATCCTCGGACTTTTCATAGGACATTGACAACAACAAGAGGAATGTGACAGAAACTTGTAAATTCATCAAAAGAACTGTTCCGTCCCCCAAGATCCGTATCAGTGCTTCCGTGCAGCGCTAAATCCTTGCGCTAAGGGGCGAACCGAGGCTCGCAAGTGTAGGAATGACAACGTAAACAGGATACGCTACGCTTGCTCGTATCCAATATAAGAAATCCCTACAAAGCTGGCTTTAATGTCAGACCTCGGCTGTTATGAAACGGGAACGGGAATAGGCAATCCTCCGCTCTTCTCTCAAGCTTTCTGGCGCCTCAACGACGATGGCTGCCGTTGTTTGTACACCTTGTAGCCTATTGGCCTTTCATAATCCGCTCTTCCCTCTTGGACCATCACACCGTTTTGGTGTGCTGCTCATGATAAGTTCTTGCCAAAGCTCCACCTTCGGCGACCAAACCAAAACGACTCATCCACAATGGCATCTTCTTTGGCAGATTTCATTCTTATAGGGCCCGGAACCTTCCTCTACACGCCTCCAAAGCCGACGCCTGGACAGCTCATCATACTCTGCACCTGGCTGGGCGCTGCACGCAGGCATATTGCAAAGTATACAGCTTTGTACCGTTGCATCGCCCCGAACGCTCGTATTCTGCTTGTTGAAAGCTCAGTCGGCATCCTCACAAGCGCGTTTGTCCGCCCACAACGAGTCATAGAATTCGCACCTGCCGCGGCCGCCGTCCTAGATACGCTGGCTGAGTGCGAGCATCGCTCTTCGTCTCATCCAAAAAGGTCCGCAAACGGACGCCTCAGCGACGAGATGACAAATTCCCGGACCTGCCGATCCACGCCTTCATCCAGCTACGCGCAACCCAAAACACTCATGCATATCTTCTCAAACGGCGGGATGAATTCAGCGACCCATCTTTTGCGCGTTCTCCGCTCAGGCATGGACCAGCCTCTGGCGCTCACAGGCATGATGTTCGACAGCTGCCCCGGTAAGGCGACATCCTACTGGCAGACGTTCGATGCGATGGTGCTTTCCTTCCCTAAGACCATCTTCTGGCGCTTCTTGGGCGCCTTAGCAGTCCACTGTTTCTTGATCTTCGTGTCCTTGTACATAGCCTGTGGGTATGAAAATCCGGCAAATTTTTGGCGGAGGGGGGTGTTGGAGGAGAGCAGTCCAGCCCGTGGGGCATGTTATCTATTTTCAAGAGAGGACCGTATGATCGAGTGGACAGACGTTGAGCAGCACGCAGAGGAAGCGAGGAGGAAAGGTTGGAGGGTCAAGGAGGTCCTATTCGAAGGGAGTGGGCACTGCGCGCACTTGACTATGGATAGAAGAAGGTACGTCCAGGCTGTCAACAGCGTTTGGGACGGTGATCAAGGCGATAGTGAGGTATTTCCAATGTAGAATTTCTGAGAAGTCGTCAGCAATCTACACGATCAGCATTATAGTGCGACATATTAGACTGCGGCTTCAATAAGCTTGCTCGTAAGTCCAAAGTGATATTGCAATGTGCCTTGTATGAATGAGGAAAGTACTTGAGTAAAGCAGAGCTTAGATGAGCCCGAAGTTCTGCCCTGTATTGGCTAGTACTTAGGGTAATCTAACAATCAAGCGCCTTTTAGCAGGAAGTAGGGATGCGTAATGACTGACATCTGACCCCTATAATAGTCATCTGACGGTCATACGGTAACAGGCCGTTTGACCTGACAGGTAACAGCGCTAATCGTATACAGTAGGTGTCTAACCATAAAAGACATAAGGCTAATAAAGACGAGCGTAGTAAACAGAGGCTTAGCGTTATCTATCTTTAGCTCGGTAAGAGATCGCTAGTAATATTCGATCTCAACCTCAGAGACCTCTAAATTCTACCGTTTCCCTTGAATCTCACGCTTTACACTACTATAAACCCTTTGCAGTGCGGTTATTTAGCTATATATAACTGTCAAATAATCGAGTAGATCCGACCCGACGTCACGTGTCATATGAAAAATCCGCATCCCTAGCAGGAAAAGTGAGGATTCAAGAAAAACCGCCGTCAAGTGTAAAGGTCAATGGTTTTCCTGCATTGAATACTCCTTTTGCAGTATCTTCAAAATGAATAGTCAATTGCGTGATCGGTGCCTGCAAAAGTATGCAAAAATTGGAGAGCTACGAGCTCTCAAGACTGCCCCTTTGTCTGGCATGTCAATGAATCGAGCTACAGGAACTCCTTGTCACTTATACACTCCATCAATGACATGTTACCTCTCTTGCATATGAATCCGGCTCCCTGCTGCTTGTCAGCTCTTTACCTTCATTTTCTTGAAATGCACGCAACTGCTCCCTTACTCATTATTTGTGGCTTGAACATATTGCGTTATGCTCCTGAATGGCATTGGTAGCGTACAGTGCAATGCTACCCTACTATACATCACAAGAAGAAAAGTGGGATATGAGAGGATCATGGAAGGGATTTGATAGAAGTAGAGGTGTTGGTAGAGAGTATTTGAGATAGTGCTATCGACTACAGAGAAGGTCAACGCAACGACGCGTTGACCTCAACAAGCGTGTTTACGTATGGAACACGGTCGAATTCCGCTTAGCTGCAGACATGGGGCTCACACCATCCGACTATCCTGTCTTCATCACTGTTTAGCTCTACTAAGACAGACATTGTCAATATGGCTAAGCACGTTAGAGCACTCTCGGCGACGATTACCAACAATATTCAATCCTCTGGCAATACAATCGCAGAAGCCGGTCAAGAAGCTATCACTAGATCCACAAACGCTGTTCAACGCATCTTGCACTATGATCAACTCCCCGAATGGAGTACGTACATTTCTAAGCTGATTATTCTTATTTTGTATCGAAACTGAGTCGTAAGACATGTTTTGAGAGGACACTAACGACACCTATCCCTGAGACCTATCTATGCTGAAGAAGCGATGCTGATCCCAAAATATATATAGTGAAAATCGACACGTACATCAGACGCGGTTATCGACCTCAACAAGATAGCTTCCGTGACTGCTTCTGGTCGTTGTTCTACCTCCACAATGAGAGTGTCAACATCTGGTCCCATCTGTTACCTGCCTGCTTTTACCTGGTGTCCCTGCTCGGGCTAGACTTTTGGACGTTCCATAGCGGGATCAAGGTGCCAACTGCAGACAGTGCTATCTTCCAGATGTACATTGCATGTATAGTGGGCTGTCTACTTCTCTCGGCAACCTACCATTGCACCAATTCGCACTCAGAACAGATCTCACGTAAAACCCTCAAACTCGATTATTTCGGCATTCTATTGAGTATTATCGGAACCAACGTATCGGCAACTTACTTCGGCTTATACGGCAACTTTCTTCTACAAGGGTCTTACATCATCTTCATCCTTATCTGTTCCGCCTTCGTGTTTAATGCTTTACTACGCGATGACATCGACGGACCAGGGGCTGCTATACGAAGGTACTTCCCATCTCTCCCTCATCCTCAAATAAGAGAGAGCGTTAGCGCTGACAATAAATATCACAACAGAACTAAAATGTTCGTCGCGTTGGCCAGTACTGGTCTCATACCCCCTGCATACATTTGGATACAGGGCATGGATCAGGGTTTGCAAGGGTATGCGTGTATGCATGATGTGATCACGATTCTGTTATATTTTCTAGCGCTCTTCTTCTACTTGACGCACATACCGGAGAGATGGTGGTCACACACTTTTGACATTTGTGTGAGTGGACTGTCTCACTTTCCCACTCGCTTCTGGGTAAAGAATGGCAAGCTAATCAGTGTCTTTTGAGGTCTGCAGGGGGCAAGCCACCAGATCTTTCACATTCTCATCGGTGCCAGCCAGCTTGTGTTTCTGTTCGGATTGCAGGAGGTGATGCAAAGGCACTGTTTGCGTGTAGGGGGGCCGGTTGCCCCGCAGGTATCAGACGAAACGAGTCTTTCATTGTGGATCGAGCCGAGTGTAGCATTGCGGATAGGGAGTCTGCCGTAATTTCAGACAACTTTTTCGTCAACCTGTTATGCATTCATAACCAGACAGTAGTGCAACTGTCAGAAGTCTGTTTCAAGATTACCAAACTGCTTTGAGAATAGATCCACAATGCACAACTCTGGCAAGACTGTCTTGCTGATCAAGATATTGAAGTCCATATTCCAAAGAAAACAACAACAACAAAAACCTTTATACGCAAAAGACGGCCTCCATAAAGTACTTGAAGGCCGGGGACTGATGATAGAAAGTTACACTCGTGGAAAGATACGAGTAAGCCGTTGCGATTTCGCAACACCAACCAGCAAGAGCACCTTGCGTATACTTCAAGGAGTGTCTTTTGACCTGCAGCCCATCCGTAGCACTCACATTGGATGACCGATGTGCATGGCCATTTCTCATACCATTTCCATACGAATACGTCCGGAAATGTGACGAAGATAAGGTTATGCAAATCCGGGGAGTATGGGCTATTTTTGGACCCTGCATGGGCGGAGCATTCCCGCGAAAGGCGTCATCTTCTATTACTGAGACGTCTCAGTATTTGCCTCATTACCAAGTCAATAAATGCCTTTCCTCTGTTACACCGCTCTCGTTTTACATCTTGACTCACTTCTATCGCCTATGCGATGGCCCCCGTTTCAGAAGACGATTGTCCCGTCTGCCAAACAACACTCTCGCAAATGAGTGAAGGGACAAGAGAATCACATGTCCAGACCTGCATCGAATCACATCTCTCAGCACCGCTGAAATATCCCTCCTCTGCATCCAAACTCCCTCAGAACTCTCGGGCACAAGAAAGCGAAGATAAAGGAGAATCATGTCCCATCTGCCATACATCATACTTGACTAAAGACTTTGATGGCAGCGACTCTGCTCGCGAAGCACACTTCTCTACTTGCTTTGAATCGCAGTCATCGAGCTCCAAGTTTGCACCATCTCCTGGATCGCCGCCTTCCTACAATAGAGAAGGAACCTTCGACAGCAATTCTAAGTCTTCAGAAGCAGCGTTCCCGTCGGAGAAAGGAGCCGCCTCAAAATTAGGACCCACCCCATCAAGAAGCGCGACCATGCCAATTCGTCAACCCGTTCCAACCGAGGCTCCACCGAGCGGCTCTCGGAGGCTTTCCATCTTTGGGTTTGGAAACGGCAAGAACAAGGAACAGAAAATGGAGGAGAAGGTCACGAAAGCTGATGGCTTGATGCGTCAAAGATGGGGTCCTCCAGGCTCTCCTACATCGGAGATGGTGAGAAGGTACTGGATGGCGACAAGAATGGAACAGCATTGGGAGTATCTCCGAGCGCACCATCCTAGGCAATTCAAGAAATACCTGGGTAAAGGTTACATGGAGCCCATACCTGTATGTACTCTTTCGGGCCGATTTTTTCCCTTTCAGTACCTTGGCTTGAGTCATGAGACATGTTTGACGAGTAATAAAAATGTTCTTGCTCTGCAAAGCTGTCTCATCACGCAAAACCCCGTTTCACAAGAGAGATCCTAATTTCGAGCGTGTAGACGTCCTGGGTCCAGAACAGACAGCTGGCGTACCTCTATCCGGAACCCTCAAATTGGGAAACGCCAGCAGAGAAACGATTGTACTACCTGCTCAACAATGGGGTCATGCCTGACGGATCAATGGTACGTATTTTCGGAGTCCATATTTCCTCTTCTGGACCAGATCTTGAGCCTTGAAACATGTCTTGAGAGTGTCTACTTGGTAGACAGATTCGAAGGCTCAAGATAAACCCTCGATTAGGCAATGCTGACTCTGAAACTATCATCCAGCATCCAGTGTTACGACCACTTAATATCAATAGAGATATGTACACCATTATCCGACGAGGCAACGAGAGGAATGCCAGACAAGTCCATCTCAATGCGCAGAAGCTAGCTCAATACCAAAGCCCGGGTGACGTTTTCCAGAGTGACAAGGATATCAAATCGCATCGCTACTCGGATCAGGTACCCAATACCGTTTACGAAGCCCGGACGGCGGCATTGCACGAGCTTGCTGAAGGCATCATACACGGCACAGACCATCTTGAGACCATGCTATTGATTGATGTCTCGGGATCAATGACGTGGAATCCTCATGGAGGCATGCTGGGGCCCGATGGGATTCTACGATTCCACGACCAGCCCTCCAATATACTCCTCGTGCAACATCTCGTCCACAGAGTATTACACCATATGATCCCTCGACAACAGAAGGAGCATTCCACCCAGCTAGGCATCGACACCGTGACGTTCTCGAGCTTTGGTAGATACGTGGGTCAGATATCTGCAGATCGCTTTACACAGGACTGGAACAGACAGGTCCAGCTGGGCGGCGGTACTCAAGTCATGCAAGGTTGGCAAACCGTCAAAGCCACATATTTCCAGCACCAGCACGAGAGCTACGGTCATGGCAGGTGGGACCCTGTATTTGGATGGCAAGCTACGCCCGGCATGCCCAAGCTGTCACTACTGGTCTTCCTCGACGGCGAGGCTACGGATATGGATGAATTCGAGCTCGAGCTGCTGGGCGAAACATGGGCGTACGTGACGATTGCGCTGGTCGGGATGGAGAACTGCCCGCATCATCATTCGCATGCTATCGAGCTGGAGCGGGTTGCCAAGTTCAACCCGCATGTTGGCTTCTTCGATGTGCATGGGAGAGTATGTGAGAGGATGGTTGTGGAAGATATACTGAGCAGTGTCTATCCTGTAGACCCACCCTCATACAGTGAGATCCTCAAGCCAGAGTACGATCTGCCACCTGAAGAGCTGCCGAAGTATTCGGCGTACTGATGGACAAGATTTGCTGGCGTTCAGTGATGGGTGAATAAGGATTCAACTTCCAGACTGGTTTCTTTGAGCGACCTCATTATGCATGCGTTAGCGATTTCTACGAATCTCTTAAGAAGGCGTTTCGGAGAAAACAACTCTTGGCGGGGTGGAAAGCGCTGTTCTGTACTAGTACCATAGCTCCTGCGCAATCGCAGAGTTGATTTGAATCTGAAACACCTGCCACATATCAAAGCTCTGCCTCAAAGCCAACGTTACATCCTAAAGGAATCGCCAGCGTACACTGAGTGATGCAAAGGCATCAGGGCTGTTAGCCTCATTTTCAGCGCTAATGTACGAGTCCCGTACGATCCAGAAGCCGGAGTCCGGACCAAACAGGTTTCCGATGGGCAACGGCCCCACCAGCGTCGAGAATTCATCAAAGCAACAGCGTAAAGTACGGACGGTAGGTACCTCAATTACCTACTATCATTTGCATCCGCATCCCCAGTACGCAAGCAGCAAGATTCAAACGCGATAGGTATTCTATTTCACCATCGTTTGTTCGGGGCGCCTCGCTCTTTGTTGGTCGTTGGCGGGGGGTCCAAAAAATGAGCGCTCGTCAGGGTCAGGGTCAGCCCATGCGACAAAGGAAGGGGGGATCCTTCCTTGAGAGGGTGGGACAAGGCAAGGCAACGCAATGTGACGGCAACTTTAAGCTCTTTCAGCAAACCTCACACGCGATCAGGAAGGGAGAAACCTGTGAGAGGATGGGACAAGGCAAGCCAATAATGCGATGGTGCGGTGAGTAAGCTCGCCAGTCAGAATGAGGTAAGCTTCGCGCAACGTTGGGAAGGGCTGAGATGCTCAGCTCCGTCAGAAAGAGAAATGGAAAATGCTGCGCCGTGCCATCTATACATATACCTAACAATAATAATTAATGTGTGGATGTGGGTGGTAAGTGTGTCTTTTAATTACTTTACTTTGTCATGAGTTTCTCCTACCTTAGCCAACGATGACAGGCTAAGAGTCACACGAGTGTCTCTTGGCTTTCTGACTGAGATTCCCGACTGACTGGGTTTCCCGACTGACTGAATTTCCCGGAAAGCTGACAAGCCGTTGGCACTCGCATCTCAGAAATTCAAATCCTTTAAAGTCGAAAGGTCGAACGGGTTCGGTCTTTATCTTATCCCGACCCCGCCAGGATCCATTCCTGCATCCATACGAGCCTGCCTTTCTTTCAACTTCCTTCTCCCTCTTTGTTGTCCCTCCAATCGTTCCTACCCTTTTCCCTTTTTCCTCCTTCCTCCGTTGCGACATTGCTCGGACGCCTTGCGGACACCAAAAGGTCCGTGCTTCCAGCCTCCGCCATGCTTGCTGCCGAGACGGCTCACGGCCAGAACCTCACGTGCCGTACACACATCGACAGTCAGCAATTAATCTCCCAGGTTTACTGTGCTTTCTGTCCAGTCGCGCACACTATGAATTACATTGCAAGCGCCTTCACTTCGAGGCCCATTTCCGCAAAATCTTTAAAATCTGGGGTCAGTACACCGTCGATATTCGAAGAGACTGCCCTAGATGACGGACGGCAAGATTCAAGCCTTGAAACCCAAGCTACCTCTATAGCAGATTCAGATATAGCATCTAAGAGGCGGAGAGCATCCAGCAGAACTAGAACCAAGACTGCCTTTCGCCTTTGCCATCCGCCTCCTGTCCGCATCCACAAACAGCGTCTCCATATACGGCCGAGAGTGCTTCTACAGCTCCAGAAGCTCTCCAAAGCATCCCGGCCGACTCCTGTCTTCGAAGTGCTACCTTCGGTTGTCTTCGCGCCAAGGCTTGCGAGGCGTTTCCCCCGCACTTTCAAAGGCAAAGCTGGTCTGGGCGCGGATGACTTGGTGATTGTCAGCAGTGAGAATTACGAGGCGCAAGAGCGGCACTCTCATGACGTTGACGATTTGTTCGACGACAAATGGGATAAGCGGGAGATCATTGCTGCCATCTGTCAACCAAGCAAAGACGACTACCCGTACGGTCAAGGAGAGACGGAGATATGCCTGAACCATGGACCATCCTGGACTGCTTCGCAGCGTAAGAATGGCTCTTACGAGTTCGCATCTACCGACGACTGCGGTAATCAAACGTTAGCCAGGTGGGTACCCAAGCAGGCGAAAAGTGACCGGACAGCGTCCATATCATCCGTGTCCGAGGAAAAGAAATTCAATTTTAGCATACTCAACCCAAAGTCGCGTCGTCATGCCGTTATTGCAACTCTGGACTGTCATACAATAGAGGTTTCAGATCAATACTCCCATCCGTCCACAAGCCTGAGCTCACAAGCTTCTTCCACGCCTACGACGTCCTCTTCCTCAGTTTCCGAAGAACCCCAGACGCCCTCCATAAGATCAAGCCTACCGGCTCGAGATCCTGTAGAGGTGGACGACGCACTGAGAACACTTATCACCATCACTGGTATCTGGGTAGCACTTCGAGAAGGCTTTTCACCAAACTTCAAGTACGGCCAAACCACGCAAGGTCTGCCAATTAGCCCTAATCTGGCTCCGGGTCATAAGCATCGAAGCCTGTCTCTCAACGCGAATCAATTCAATAGCAATCAGCTTGCGATTCCCAAAAGCCCAAGTCACAGCTTAAGCAGTGCGAAAGGGACAAGGACCGGCCTTCAACACACCGTTTCGAACTCCACAGTACCACTGTCATCTTACCCACCGTTTACTCCACCTCAAAGGTCTGTCTCCGCCGGTACCGCGTTTATGCAGCGACTATCTACGCGCAAATCATCCACGCCAAAGATCATCCAACTGAGCCCTGTTGGTGACCTTGAGGGTAGCGACACGGAGAAAGATGCGTGTCGGGCGAATGGGTCCCCTTTGCCGCGTTCATCGATGAGTTCCAGAGAGGGACGGGATGTTTCTCTGGAACAAGGCATTGGCGGTCTCGGTTTGGACTTTGGAGATGGTATTTCTCAGCCGACGAAAAGGGCGGCAAGAAGGTCCAGCAGCAGGATCAGGAAGATGTTTGGCCGGAGTCCCAAAGAGCGTGATGTATGAAGAGAAACAGCCAGAGATGTATTGCAGCGTCTAGGACTACTGCAATCCCGGCCTCTATTCATAGCCATAGCTGTAGTGATGGCGAATCATTCCTCTCGTATATCCGTTCCACTAGTACCTTTGTGACTGATCAGATGATTTCAAAGTCCACATGATGAATGCGATTAGTGGCGACCGTTTCAAATAAGGGTGAACCATGAACCCTTGGCGCTGGTCTGTGCGCGCCTCGGGCGTTAAAAATTTCCCCAAAATTATTTCGCGTCATTTGGGCCTTCAAGTCACTGCTCGCGATAACAACTCCACCCACTCTCTCTCACACTCTCAATATATCACATATGCCAGAGCATAGTATGACTACTGCCCTCTACAGCTGTTTCATGAGCTGTCGAGAACCTTTGAATCGCGCATGCTACTGCCGGAAAAATCAGGAAATCATCAATAAAGGAGCACACGCCTAGACCCTTGAATGCCCCTCTCGAAAGCACCAGACAAATCTTGGTCAACACCTCTCAAACAAGGACCCTACCTGAGGAGGATACCGACGAAATCAAAGAACCCTCAGATTGAAATACTATATATCCTCACTTCAATGGCAATGAATGCGACCTGTTGAAAAGATTTATGGAGATGTCTCAGAATTTCAACGGCTACCGTGGTACATCTCACGGCTCACCACCGCCACATGCGAACAATGACTTTACAGGCCTCATGGGCTCTTTGATTTCACCTGGCACTGCCCCCGCTACACCACTTCAGCAAGCCTTTGGTATGCCGTTCTACAACACGCCGGCTTGGCAGAATGGTGGGCAGGGGAACTACAGTTTCAACGTGCCATTCCAAGGGTCGCCCGTAAATCAAGATGCTTGGAAACACAATGGCGGAGAAGACTACATGGCTCTCGGCCAACAAGAAGAGGAAGAAGAAGAAGACGACGAAGACGAAGACTCACTTATGGTTGTTGATGATACGGAGATACTCAATAGTCTGCAGAAGAACCAACAGCACAATCAGAACGGCGGATCAGCAAGCCACACGCAAGCAGCAAATCACGAACCACCTGCTAAACCCGGGCAGCTTCTCAACCTCGCTTCGTCCTCCCCACTAACTCTACCTCACCCCAGACTACAGGGCCCGGTAGCCCCCACTCCAGCGTTGGTGACAAAGTATCCAATGGTCAACGATAGCGCTGCGCGTGCAGCGGAGCTGAGAGCGAAGCTCCTGGCTAAAAGGCCTTCGACTACAGCATCCCCAAGAGCAAGTCCGGCTGTGAATAGAGCCGAGCTTCCCAACGCTACGCAGACCAACGCCCAAGAGCTGCATATAAACGGAGCACTGACAACAAGGGCGAAAGCGGAAGATGATTTGAAAATTGCCGCGGTGCAGGCCACCGCAGCAACAAACGCCGATGAAAAGTCTACAAGTAAACCCCAAGGACAACCTCAAGGTAAACCTGTCAAAGATGACGAATTCGAACACCTTTTTGCTCAAGCCAGGAACGCCGCCGACACTGCCAAGTCAGAAGCTAAGATGACGAATGGAAGTCGTCTTGTCAGAGCAAGTGTTGAGAAGCCAGCAGACCTACCCATGAGCGACGTCAAACCGACAAAACCTGCTGTCTCAGACATGCGCCCCGCCTTACAGAAGAACCACTCCTCTTCTGAAATGTCCGAAGGAGAGATTCACAGCGGTCCTCCCTCGCCAACCGTCGCTCCACCATCCCCAAAAGCTACAGAGGCCAAGGAGAGCAAACAGGCTGACCAAGACAAGAACGAAAAGCTAATGCGCCAGAATGAGGTACATAAGGCGTATCAACCTCTTAGGATATCTAAGCAACCAGCAACAGAGCCTGCAAAATCAGGCCCAAAGATGGCGGATCACTCCAGAGCAGAACAATCACCGTCCCCCAAATTATCGAACAAACAGCTCAAGCAGCAGGCGTGGAAGCAGAAAAATGGCTACGCAGGATCTCATGATTTGTATTATCCAGACTCACGAAGGGATCGAGAGTGGGATCGAGCTAGAGGTCCTAACGCTAGAGATGACGACAGAGATTCAAGAAGACCATCAACATCACAAGCATCTGCCAATCTCGCCCAAGTCGAGCGAGACGCCCGACGAAGGCTGTCAGATGATGAGATACGTCGACAACAGCGCACGGAGGATAACGCCAGGAGAGCAGCGGAATATAAGAAAAATCTTGAGGCTCAACGAGCAGCAGCTTCAAAGAAGGCCTCAGACAGCTCCAAGGTGTTTTCGTCACCAAAAGACGTTCGCAGACATGAACCGGAACCACGAGCATCGCAAACCACTGAAGGACCCAATGATAGAGATGAATCAGATGCGATCCAACTCAAGATCGACACGCGAATGCCAACAGTTGAGTCAGCGACTGGCGAACACGACATTGACACCGTGATGCTTTCTCCCACCGGGCAAGACATTGATGGGGACGAAGATATCAGCGACTGGCTAGAGTTGACCGAATACTATGACCTAGCTCATCGCGAGAGAAGACTGACCTGGTTTCGCAAGAAAAGGGCGCTTGACGTTCAAAAAGCAGAGTTTGAACGAGAGGAACAGCTGGAGCTGCAAGAAAGGTCAATGCTGAAGCGGGCGCAATCTGTCCTGCCTGCCAACACTCCTCCCAAAGTCACCCGTCGCGCCTCCATTGTCCAAGCCAAGATGCCGCCTCCGCCCCTTCCCCTCAAAGAAGCTAACAGTGTGGGTATCAAGATCAAGGACTCGGCGTTATCGGCCGGACTGCCGACACCCCAGACACCTACAACAATGTTGAAGAGACAACATGCTGAAGATGATCTCGACACTAGGCGCATGCAGCCTGCTGACAAGATCGCGCGAACAGATCTTAATGGGCATGCTACTAACGAGAAGCCACTAACGAGTCCTGCCAGCGTTCAGGGAGAAGGATCAGCCGTCAGAGGAGATCGATACGTACCTCGACAAGGACGGAGCAGATCTCCAGGATTACGACGTAGGAGCTTGAGTCCCCGTCACCAACGGCGCTCCAGGAGCGCGTCTCCTTATGGGAACAGGACATTCTCAACCGGAAACGGATTTCCGAAACACCTTCGCACGTGCCACAACTGTGGTCAGCCAGGCCATATTGTCAACGAGTGTACCGAGCCTCGACGCGATGGTAAGGAATGGAATAGAGGCTCGAGCGAGTATCAACAATGGGTCTCTCCCAACTACCGCGGGCGCAACCCAGTAGCAGTTGCTCGAGGAGGAGGAAACCGCTCGCCTCACCCTCGTGGTGGAGGGACCGGGAATCGATCACGATACAGCTCGATCGGCAAAACCGAAGACGGAGAGACGAGCAGCTCAAAGGAGAACGTTGGCGGTGCCTCTTTGAAATTAAGAGACGGCAGTCAGTCTCGTCGATGAACTACCTAGCACTTTAATCCTCCGTGGCTTCGTTGCCCATACCTTTCTTTCTATAACAAGCCTCTTTCTGACATCCGATTTCCGTAATGCATTAGATACCAGGTATTTTTTATGATCAAAAAGCTGAAACGTTGACAATGTGCAAATCACGCACCCGTGACAGTGAGTAGACTCCGCGCATCGCTCCCCATCCCATCCCATCCGTATCTGACGCACAATCCCCCCCCCGGCCATATCCTCTCCCCCCCCCTCAATCCCGCATCCCACACCACCCCGCTCACACATACCATACCATACCATCCACGCTCTAATCAACCACCCACACTCTAACCAATCATCCATCCATCCATCCATCCATCCATCCATCCATCCATCCATCCATCCATCCATCCATCCATCCATCCATCCATCCATCCATCCATCCATCCATCCATCCATCCATCCATCCATCCATCCATCCATCCATCCATCCATCCATCCATCCATCCATCCTCCCCTTCCCTCCCCCCCCCCCCCCCCCCCCCCCCCCTCCCCTCACCCAAAACAGCACCAGCGCCCCGCCTGCAGCACAGCACAGCACCCTCGACGCCCTCCTCACCCCCACCCCACCCCACCTCATCCTCCTTCTCCCCTTACTCCCTTTCTCCGTCACTTTTCTCCGTCGCTGTCTCCGTCGCTGTCTCCGTCACTTTCTCCGTCACTTTCTCCGTCACTTTCTCCGTCACTTCCTCCGTCACTTCCTCCGTCCCTTTCTCCGTCACTTTCTCCGTCGCTTTCTCCGTCACTTTCTCCGTCGCTTTCTCCGTCCCTTTCTCCGTCGCTTCCTCCGTCGCCTTTCTCCGTCCCTTCCTCCGTCGCTTTCTCCGTCCCTTCCTCCGTCGCTTCCTCCGTCGCTTTCTCCGTCACTTTCTCCGTCACTTTCTCCGTCGCTTTCTCCGTCACTTTCTCCGTCCCTTTCTCCGTCACCTTTCTGCGTCGCTTTCTCCGTCACTTTCTCCGTCACTTTCTCCGTCATTTTCTCGGTCCTTTCTCCGTCACCTTTCTCCGTCGCCTTTCTCCGTCGCTGTCTCCGTCGCTCGTCGACTTTCCCGTCGCTTTCTCCGTCGCTTTCTCCGGCGACTTTCTGCGTCGGGCCGTCTCGGGACGGATTCCCGTTCAGGCACCAGTGGCCGCGTGGGGCGTGGGTGGACGGGGGGGGATGTTGCGAATGGGGGATGGGGATGGGGATGGGGATGGGGGGGGGGGAGGGGGGGGGGATGGGGGGGAATGGAGGAAGGATGGGGGGGGAAGAGGAAGGGGGGTGGGGGAGGTTGGGGGGGGTGTCATTGATGAGGGGGGGGGAGAGTGGGGAGGAGGTTGGGGAGAGAATGAGGGGTGTGGAGGTGGGGGGATGGGGAGTGTGTGACAGGGGGTTTTGGGTGGGGAGTGGTATTGCATCCTCCGTATGTATGGATGTATGGATGGAGGAGTAGATTAATTGCTGGCCTTTGGCATCGCGCAACTTATCTCCCGGAGGATGGGAGCTCGGGTTCTTTTCCTGACAGCGCCGGGTTAGTTGCCTGGTTGGATCCTTGCTCATTGATACGGGCTGTGGTGACACCGATGGGGGGGGGGGTCTTGCGTTGTTCATCATCGACGGCTTGACCGTTGGTTGTTACGGACTGGTCTATAGGCTTGGGGAGGAGGGTTAGCTAGGCTGGGGGGGCTTAGAAGGAAAGCGTTGACTTGGTTTCATGCAAAGGGTTGGAGGGTAGCGATGAGCTTACGGACTGGTCTAGAGCTGGGGAGGGTTGGCTAGGCTGGGGTTGGAAGGAAAGCGTTGACTAGGTCTGGGTAGCGACGAGCTCGAAGAGATGTCGCTAGCATCAATGAGGGTCAGCGTAGCATTGGGTGAATTATGCAATTCATTAGATCCAACACTTTCTCACAGAGGCCCGTGACTCAACTCCCACGCGCGGCCCACAATCTCGAGGCTAACATGCACACCGTACCTCAAATCACGAGTCGCATACACAATTCGATACGGGCTAACCAACCCTTGTTCGTATGTACAAACCAGCTCGCTGCCAGAAACGCCACCAGACTCCAGGCTACCGTCCGCCCCTTCAGAGACAACCGTTAGCTGCAAGTCGCCAAGGCTGAGGATTATGGCTGAGACTTCGGGATTAGTTTGCCAGTCGAAGAGGCAGGCAGGATGGCGGATGTTGGCTCGAGGGTAAGGAGATGGTAGAAGGCCGGTGAAGTCGAAGGCGGGGGTGATGGCGCGGTGATAAAGGTGGGTAGAAGAGCGTGCTTGTGATGGATCATGTCCAATATTAGGGGGTTTTGATCGGTTCGATGGTGATGGTTCTTGAAAATTTTCTTGGGCTGAGGTGTTGTCTGAGATGGCGATACGGACAGGCGGGCTTGCGGTTGAGAAAGTGGTGAAGAGATAGAATAGGGTCAGAGCTTGCCAAGTCCATCGTGGTTGCATTATTCTCGTGTAAAAGGTGAGGGTTCATGCTGGATCATGAATGTGTAGACTTCGAGGATTCAAACCGAAAGCCGTAAGGAAGGATATCGTAAAGTCCACGCCGAACTCCTGGCTATGCAGAAAAACACAAAGAGAAAAAGGATTGGATAGTAAAACAGTAACGGAGGTTCTCTGCGAGCTTGACATGATAAATGGGTCCGCCGAATTACAGACAGCGGGTCGCATACAGTGGCATATTCGCGGGCGCGCGGTGGTATTTGCTGGTCCAGAACACCGGTCGGCTATCGGCAACAGCCCTAATACCATCGCATTAGAAAGATTGCAAGACCTTCTTGCTTAGACTTTCTTTCTGATCGTCGACCAGCTCAGACAACCCCTCCCTCTTCCGCTTCTTCGCCGCATTAAGCACCATGCCCCTATTGATTGGCCTTCCACCGGGCGTGGTGGGATTAATAAACAGCTCAGGCTTTGTTGACGCAATGTTGGCCTCATCAACGAACTCTGTCCCCTCTGCTTCGGCTTGCTTTTTCGCGGCGAGATAGTTATCAAATCCGCGCCCGAGATCGATGAGTTCAGCCGCGACCATAGTCTCGCTGGGTTTCCAGATCGCGTTCTTCTTCATGCGCTTTCGGAGAGTCAAGAGCTCGTAAGAAGTCAAATGCAGCCAGGGGTGGTGCCTACTGCCCATCGCGGCATCTGTTGGTGGTGATTCTTCTCGCATCATGGCATTGGTGACCGAAATTCCCGCGAGGCCGCTGTGCACGTTGGTGCCGCGGCTCTTGGGTGTTCGGATGATGCTGTCTTTGGGCTCGCTCTTTGGTTTTTCGACGCTGGCCCTGAGTTCGCTGATCAGTTGTGCGGAGGGGTCGCCGGTGGGCGAGCTAGTGCGTTTGCTGGGGGTTTGCATAACGGGCGAGCTCGCTCCTGGGCTGTTTGTCTTTGGCATCTTCTCTTGATAACCTACGGAGATAAGGTGGAGAAGGCCGGGGATGGGTCGCCCTTTGAGAGAAGGATCACGTGCGGTCGCGTCTAGGCGACGGTTGCGATGGTGTTGCGCCCGGAGTCACAAAATTGGTGAACGTGTGTAAGAATTTTCGAGACACAGGATAGCCAAACCTGACCCTATTTAATGTCTAGACCAAAAACCCAAGTCTGATTGTGTGCTTATTCAAAATCTGAGGAAGTGGGTGTTAAAGTAGAGCGGACAGTTATTCTGTGAATCAGACACGGAGTAGGTAGGTATCATAAATTTGTTGCCAAGGATATCACTGGTATCTGCATGTGAGCTAGACCAAGTGTCGTAAAGCTAGACCAAGCGTCGTAAAGCGGCAAGCGGCCGGCACCTAACCTATAACGACCGTTCTATAAGATCGTCTTTTTTCTCCGCGTAGATACTGTCTAGCAAAGCTACGTGCTTTAAAGCTCCTTGAATCTATTGAGCTACCAGGAAAGAAGGAAAAGCGATTACATACGAATTTCAAGCACAGCGGGAAAGAGGACATGTTGAACGAGAATCCCAGTAGGGCCTATTGAAGGAACGCCTATACAAGTAAGGAAACATAGGAAATCACCGATGCTCAGCCCCAGATTGACAGCAAATCAATGCCGTGACACGCTCAGCCCAAGTCTACTGTTGAGTTCGCAAGCTTGTGTCAAGACTCGGATCGAGCGTCTTGCCTAAATCGTCCTTTGTGATCCAAGCTTTTGCATGGTTCTGGTGCTCTGCTTTTCCCGTATGGTACCGTGGACGCGTGCCAGTCAGATGGGAATGTTGCTTTGCGGCAGTGATAGTTGATCCTTCATTTCGTGTTTGACGCCTCGTTCCATTCTTCTGTGCTCCCGTTCAAGACAATAGCGGTATAGGCTCAAACCCAGCTCCTTCTTTTCCGGTGTGGCGATATAGAATAAAACGCAGCGGTCCATTTCGTCTACCTGCGCGGCCAGTCACGATCGAGCAAAACTGTCGCTAGGCTGACAAGGAAACCCACCTCGAAAGGCATGGATTGTACTGTATTCAGGCGCTCGCAAAGGGGCGGGTCTGGCCACACCGTTGATTTATTATGAACCCTGAGGGTGAGAAATGGGGCCTACTGAGATAAACATCCGCACAACTTCGGCAGCGGTCGCCCTTTCAGGCTGTATCTTGCCTTTCGAGGTTTCAGCGATCGTAAAATTTGCGGACCAAAAGCCGTCTTGTTTCGGTGCTAAAAGACGAGGTGTACCCACTATATTGCACTAGTCCAGAATTCTGTCTACTTCTACATCAGTCCAGAAGGCTCAGCTTCATCCATTTCTGGACACGCCGGGCTCCCAATCATTGGGCAGTTGTAAGCCATCCTTTTCTCTGCCTTGTCTCCTAAATGAATCTAATATTGATCCTTTAGATCTAGATCAATACCCCATAGCACACATAGGACCCTGTAGTCGCCGCACTCCACCTCTAAGGGTTTTTTTCAACGAATATTTCAAAAACCAGCCTGGATCACTGATTCCATATGCATAGCGTCTAAAGAAAATGAGGCAAGTAGACACGCATGGTTATGATCACGACGCCTATTGTCTGCAGGTAAGGTACAACGGCGCATTGTTGATTGGCACTCCACTATGCCAACGGGATGAACGTGTTTCCATTGGAGAAGACATGCAGTGACAGCGCTAACAGCTATACTACATTGGCAAAACCGCTATGCCAAAACCCAACACCTGCAGAGCAGGTTACATGTCACGGGGCCTTAACCAGCTTTCCTCAACCCATCCCAGCTCCATTTGCTGATTCCCGTCGAAGAAAAGATACATCCAGCGTTTCAGTCCTTCGCTGTAATACATATCTTTGATCAGGCCGAACATGCATGGGGGGCATTCGTAGGGAGGGGTGAGCTGGACACAGTCGATGAGGTCGAAGACCGGGCCGGGGCGGGGCGGAGAATACGATGCTGTTAGTGTCACAGTATCATTCTGATCTTTGTTATGTAGAGGATGTTCCTCTGGTGCATTTAGGGGCCTGCGGGGATGGCCTGTGAAGTAGGATTCGGGGAGTCTCGCAGGCGGCTTCTCTGTTTCCTTTTGCATGTGTGCCTTCATGGAGAACATGACGGAAGTCGGTAAAATGGGACGATTCGATGATAAAGGTTCTCTGGGTGTTATGTTGGTGTTCTATCCTTATGATAGTAGCTGAGCTATGAGAGAGAAAGGAGGTTTCCTACTTATACCTCGTCCTGACTTATGGCAGTTGAAACAGACGACTTTCGGGTTTTCAGGCAGTAAACCCGCCTAATTGGCGCATCTGTGACACGCAGGCGTATGATATTGGTCGCCTTGCCTTCCGGAACGATAAAGCAGGATCGGGTGTGAAAGCAGGAAAAATGTTCTCACCAAGCAAGGAAGACAATGCCGACCGTGGTGGTGCTAGCTTCGGAGAAAGGTCATGCCTCTGTTGAATCAGACGAGGTGCTAAGGTCTGCCGCAATTCTTCATTCGGAACCGTGAATGTTGTAGAGCCGCCTGGTGTTCCAGGTATGGTGTGGAGGCTCTCGGACGATTTCAGTCATGCAAATCTTCTGACACCCCCTGGGGATCGTAATATCCATTCGCACTCACCCAACGATCTCACCTCGTACCCGCCGAGCGCGATGAACCCGCAGCAAATCGTCGCGGTTGCTTTCCGGGTCCTGGTTCAACTACGCCGGTCTTTTAGAAGGGCGCGCCACACTCTGGGATGAGAATCCGTCTCGGCAGTCATGGTGGCCATGAGTACCCTCTACAACACCAGCCCTGCTTCCCCAACGAAACCGTCAGCCCGGTATCCAAATCTTCCAGATCTCAACGCATTCTCAAACGTCATGACCGAACCACTCAACATGGACACCAACCCCATCACCCGCCGGTACGGCCCAAAGCCCCAAAAGCCCAAGAATAGCGGTACACTCCTCAACCGGTTACGCGCCAGATTGGTGAATCCCCATGCCAGGGCTTGCGTATGACTGACAGATGAATTCGCCGACACAGGAAAGGCCCCAACCCCTCTTTCGTGTCGGGTCTTCGGTCTGGGAAATATGGGTGGGCGGCAGACGGGAGAGACGCGTTATTAGTGACTGCACGTGGGATGAGGGCCAGGGGTATGTGGTCATGGAGGAGTCTGCGATGAAGGATCTTGGCTGGCTTGAGGAGTGTTCGTTGACTTCGGATGGGCCATGAGTGGATGTCTGAGGATATTAGGGATCGGGGAGTTGTTACTGGGTATGGACGGTCGGGTCTGTGCTTTCTAGCTGGCTTTTCCATTGTTCTTGGTCTGCTTGTTAAGGGTATGCACCATAATCCGTGGTGTACTGTTGCTATTTGTCCTTAACGTACTTAGTAGACTCAATACAACGGTTCACCCCATAGCAATTCCAAAGGCCTCTCATCCACCGGAAGCGATGTTAATCACTCAGCGAATTATTACCAATTTCTCAGTTCTCCGGGGTATAATCGGCCCAAGCAGCCTCCACGCCGCCCTCTTCCACCCCTCACTACTATATTTCGAACCCCGTGCTGGTGACTGTCAGCCGCCAGATCCCACTCCTCGCAAAGCCCGCAGCAGAAGATGAGCCAGTACGCGTTCTTCAGCCATTTCTTCGCCCTCTCCTCCCTTTCCGTCTTTTTTTTCGGCTTTGCGCCATGCTCGGTGTGCCCTTCCCGGCCTTTTATATTGCGATTTGCAGTTCTATCTCGGTCCTCAAATCTTATTACTCGCGGCGGCTGATCATCCGTAAGCACGCCCGTCATCGTCCTTTGCCCCTGTTCAGATCCTGTTGTGGGCAGTCCATAGACACCGTGTACCTGCCTCTGTGGTGGCAAATGCCCACTTCGAATCGGCGTAAATTTTCCCCTCACGAGCACCCCATCTTCCCCTCTCATCACGACGCCTTTCGGTAAGCCGACCGTCTGCTTTAGCCATTCTCTTTCAGCTGCGGTGGGGCTACGGAATTTGTCACGAAAGCGTGCTGGTGGAGGTGGCAGGCGATAGTTGGAAGCTTCGGGCTTGTTGAAGGAGGGCAGACCAGGAGGCGTGGGGCTGCGGGTTGGTGGTGGGTGACGCGGTTGGATTGGTGTGAGCACGGGAGAGGATGGACGAGAGCGCCGTTGGGATGTGGGGTTTGGAGATGGTGGGAGGTCGGATGTGGAGAAGGACTTGCGCTTGAGGCCGGAGGCGCGCGCGCGGAGGGTGGCTGCTGAAGAGTGCGCTACTATAGATAGCGGGCGTAAAGTGGCAAGAGAGGATTGCTCAGTGATAGGATAGAGGACGTGGGGCGTATGCATGAGCTTTTCAGGGGACGCTGTCTCCGTGCTGCGGAGGAATGAGGCGGGGACTGGAGAGCCAGATGCATCCATAGTGATGTTAAGCCAGGCTGGCGATTCATCATGGTTGGACGTCATTGTGAGATGGTTTATATTCCCCAAGCCAGCATTGTCCCAATCATTTGTCGCGCTGCTGTCTAGGTGCTCCTGGCTGGCGGCGAAGGGCGCTTCGTAGATGGAGTTGTGAGGGGATGGATAGCTTTCTGATGAGTCGAGGTATGCCCCGAGAGCCTGTGTGGCTGACTTACGACGAAGAATTGGTCCTGTTTTGGCTGTGCCTGAGGGTGGAGATGGTGTTGGGGTTCGAGCCTCATTGGTGGTGGACTCCAATGGCGCACGAGCATCTGATGCGGCACCCATGCTTGCCTGAGTGCAGGCGCTGAATATAGCGTTGATTTTCGGCACTGTAGCAATGATGATGCTTGATGAGATATCTGTCGACGCTTGTAGGATAAGGATAGCGATCGGAAGCAGAGAAAGTGAGATTCGACATTGGTACTTTTGAGGATCAGGAAGCGGCGACTGAACCGGCACCAGGTCAGTTGACACCAACCATCTCTGTATGCATAAGCGTGTAACAAATTCTTATGGTTCCATGATTTATGAGACTTCGATGAGAGGTATGGGAAAGAACCGATTTTTCTGGTACAATCTTGTCAAGTCATTTACAGGGTCGCGCTATTTCGCACATTTCTGCAGATAGTACCCCAACACCCTAGTAATCACGCTGAACTTCAATGCTTATCCAATGCTATGCTATGCGTTGAGCGTACAGGTCCAATGTGCCATAAGTCCAAGATGATAGACCAATCTGTCCGAAGATTTTGTTCGACGCACGCCGGGATCTTTATGGAGGAAGTGGCATGACAGAAGGGCAATCGCACATGCCATGTTTCCTCCCAAAATCGAAGAACTGACCCTGGTGGTAAGAACCGTTCTGGTATCTGGCTTTGTGAGAAGTTGGTCGTCCACCAGTGCATTCATCGCTGCGAGATCCCCACCTCGAAGAGCGTGTGTGCATGCATTCTTGATGCTGCAGAGTATATACTGCTCATTGAGCCGTCATAGTTCGACTTAATGATGATTTTCCGGGCGCCTTCAGTGTTCGAAGCTGGGCTTCGAGTTTCCGGCGTTCGTCTTGCTCGACCTATTCAGTAGTCAGCAGTGCTCAGGGCCCATACCTGGAATGCACTTACTCTTAGAACTCTCAGGCTCTCCGCCCTCGTTTCTCTCATCATCTTCTTGAACTCATTCTTCAATATTGCAGTGCTCGTATTGCTTGAACCCTGAGACTCCAGGCTGCCAGGCTTTCCCGGAACGTTAACCCCAAGCGATTCAACCTTTCCGTCACTTATTTGGGTTTCAAGCACTTCAATGCGGTCTCGCAAATTGTCGATGGTATTCTCCAACTGCTCGCGTTCCTTTTCGTACTCAATGCTAGATTTGGTCATGACCTCGTACTCGCCAATCGTTTCCGAGAGTTCTTTTTGCAAAGCTTGCACCCGCTGGTTAAGCTCAGCGTTGCCCGCCTCGTGCTGAGTCTTCAGCCCAGCAAGCTCTTCCAACAAGGTCCCGTTGCGCTCATTGAGATCCTCTATCTCCTTTTGCATAACTGGATGAGACGCGACCTCGGCTGCACGCTGGGCACGAGTACCATACGCCCCATCAAGCTCTGCTCTGGCAACGGTAAGTTCGGTCTGTAAGCGAACCATTTCTCCCTCGGATTTATCTAATTCGGTACGCGCTTTCTCGGCTTCTGTGTATTTTTCTTGTAACTTCGCCTCCAGGCCGCTTGTCTTAGCAATGTGCTCATCCTGCTCGGTTGTCACAGTCCGTAACTGGACTTCGAGGTTTGAGATATTGTCGTGCTTGTCCTGTAGCTCAGCCAAAAGCTGGTCCTTGTCTTCCTTGCGTGCTGCCAACTGAGCGCTGAGAATATAACTTCCTTCTATACTTTCTCTGACGGTAGACTGAAGGTCATTCCTCGCTTTCTCGAGCTCTGCAGTTACTTCTGCTAATCGTGCATCTTTTTCGGAATCAGATTTGCTGTTCACTTCCTTCTGCTGTTGGATTTGACGACCCAATATTTCCTTTTGCTCATGCAAGCCTTTCACTCGTGTGTGTAGCGATTGAACATTCGCGGAGAACGCCTGTAACGAGAAGCTATCCTCTTCTGAAAATATATTTTGCCAAAGGTCCTGTAATGCAGTCTCATACTGACCGACTTTTTCCTCGTGAACAAGCCGAGTAGATGTGGAGGTCTGGCTATCATCTTTGAGGCGCTCCACACCCTGCTCTAATGCATCAAGGCCATTCCCAAGGAAAGCTATTTGTTCTTCCGGACCACGACCGGAGACATCAGGAGGTTGAGGATACTGTGCATCAGGATCAAGGTTACTTCGAAGTATAAGACCACGAAGTTGTGTGTTGAGATCCTCAAGCCTCTCTTCAGCAGCGTAGGCTGACTGCTTATAGCCTTGTAGCGTATCGACTTGACTTCTTTGCATGCTGTCGAGGCCCTTTTCCAAATACTCCACCTGCCCTTGTAGCGCGACCTCGTGGTCGTGTTGCAATTTGGACTCTCTGTGTGGTGCAGGAGGTGCAGGTAGCATTTGTCGACCAGCGCTCGCTTGCGCGATAGAATCCCTCAGACGTCGGTTGAGGTCCCAGAGCTTTCGCTCTGTCTCAAGAATTGACTCAGTCTGTTCGGCAAAAGCTGAGGCAACCTTCCCGTTCGTCTGAGTATCACCGGATTCTAAAAACGAGTCTAACGTCTGGTAGAAGCTGCGATCGTCGAACTCTTTTCCGAAACTGAGCGTGGGTAGGCTTTCAGAACTTTCAGGGTAGCCGTTCATGTGCTCTGACTGTTCACGAGAGGCGTCATTTTCCAAATAACCCTTGTGCGTGATCTGCAAGACTCCAGCTGTATGTTCTAGCAACCTTTTCTGTAGCTCTTGCGCTCGTCTCTCAAGCCTCAGCAGTTCCTGCGCCAAATCCTCACACTTCTTGTTGCTGGCGACCAACTCATTGTCTGTCTTACTCAACAAATCACTAGCGCTGCCTTTGCTTATCACACTCCTTCGTTGCCGTTTTGATCCGCCGTCCATTACGCTTTCGCGACTGTTTGGGGTATAAAGTCGATTGAGTGAGGTTGCCGCATCACGAAGCTTGTTCTCAATGGCTAGTTTGCGCTTGGTTGCATCAATGCGAGTCGATAGTATGGATATTTCCTTCTTCAGCTCGTCCACCTCCTCGAAAGACAAGAGCCCATATTGTGAACTGTCCCCAATGGCTGTCTCCATCAATAAGTGCATTGACACCGGATCGCTTGTGTCCAATAGCTCAGAGGTACGCGCTAGTGAGCCATTCGTCTGCAGGGAGGGTCAGTCTACTATATATGCCAACGTATCTTCCGCGCTACCTACATGTTGAAACCGCTGCCGGTCTCCTCGGTCTTCGTCCGTGCTTTCCAGGGAGCCTTTGTAGCCTTCAAGCAGTGCCTTCGAGGAGGGATGTAGACCGGTGCCATACCGGGAGTCGTAATTCGAGGCAGAGGAGGAGCTCCGTACTGCATGGCCGTTCATCGTAAGGGTGCTGGCTTGCGCAACGTCCTCCAACAACGGTGTCCCAAAAGAGCCGGAGGAAGAGAAAGGTTATACTACGTGCATGATTGCAGTTTTCCCTTATAGCAAAACGCGACAGCGTGGTTTCTCCGATACTGGACGATTCAATGATATATTGAATACTCAAGTGCTTTGAAATGCACTTCTTCAATTGTACTGGGCCACTGTGAAACCTCAAAGGCCAAAGGATCGACGGCTAAGGTAGCGCGGCTTTTGGCGCTAAGGATCCCTTCCCCGCTGACCTGGTGGGCCTTTAGTTCTGCCAGTCACCCACCATGCCACCCTCCACCCTCCACCCTCTTCATCTTCCAATTGGAGTATGGATCGCTGCAGTGGAGATCAGGTGTGAGATGACTCCTAGGAGTACACCATTGTTATACGGTCCCTATGCTCTGCAGTTGCATCATCGACGAGTGGATCTTCACATTGACCAGGAGCACAGCCCAACGTTCTATGCCAGCAATTACTCCGTGCTTCAGTTGTAATGACGCCGTTTGGAGACCGTCAAATTCATTGTGGTCGCGCGCAAGCCAACTGAAGCTTGCTGTGAAACCTCGCCGCGCCTTCGTGGTATGAAACAGGCCTTGCCGCAAGTTCGCCGCGCAAAACCCCCGAGGCTGAGCGAGCCTATCCCTCAAGCTCTATTCGTGGATAATATAAAGGCGCTCCACATGATTCAATTACTTCCTGCAGTCGTGTTTTATTCTCACTCTCAAAAAGCTATAGATGTTCTCCACGTTAAGAATCATGGGAATGTTCAATAATTGGTTTCTCGTGAAGGACAACCGCTGCTGCTGTCTTTCGCAATCGTAAGTTCGGTCTCCAATCGTGACTACAGAACGTCGAATAGATCAAGCATGTTATCACTCGTACTAGCCATCATTCTTCCCACCACTTTCGCGTCTGCAGCGACACCTACCAACGAGACCGCGGATTGTGAATTCACTAATGGTACTCTCAATGTCTACCAGCACCCCAATGCTTCGAGTTCCTACAGCATACCCGCGATAGTCTCAACCGGATCTACAGTCATGAACAGTACGACCAAAACCTGGCAGATAATCAACAGCATCGGAAACGTATCGGACTCATCGAACGTCGTCGATCCGCGAGCCCAACAGTTGTCACAATACATATTCTTGGATACATCAAGCACCATCAATGGATCTTCTTCTTCATCTCCGCTCCCATTCGCCGGCTGCTCGTTCACCTTTGGGCTGCCTTCAAGCTACATTGGGAAAACTTCTAGTGATGGGACTTGCGGCAAGATCTTCGGCCAGTCATGCCTCAACGAAATCATGCAGATCGCTCAAGACACCACAGCTACCATTCCGCCTGCTGTCGGATTAACGACATTGAAAGATGCGTGCGACACTGTAAGCGAAACCATTAACAATTACATTGCAACGTCTTCGAAGGCCTGTAGCAAAAATGGGCCTTCTATCGAGGTGTGGCAGGGTAAATGATATCCACGCCCATGCATTGCTACAAATATATAGCTGATTCCGACCTAGGTATAAACTTCTCCTACGCCAATACCGACAACTGCACTAATCCTCCTACTACCTTGCCTATTCAACTTTTTGAGCAATACGAGCCGTTTCACCAAGGAAATTATACGACATATGACCAGTGGACAAAGACCACCACGCCTATACTCTTGGCTCTGTTTTCCAATGACACGACCATGAACGGTGCCGGTGGCAGTTATTCACAGGCTTATCTGACCTGTACAAGCCCGATGAACGTCACTGCGGGTAGTCATGATCCGACGAGTGCGGCAGATCCTTCTGCGGTGGCGGACGTGAATAGCGTTGTGGGCTTTGCCCTTGCGATTATTGCTTTGGTATTCCTTATGCTATGATGATGATAATGGATATTGACGTCTGCTTCGCGCTTTTAGCGATGGGAGGGTTGCGTGCATTGTTCATGATACCACTGTTGTTTATGGCCACTGCATATTTCTCGGTCTGGGCGTTAGACGATTTGGCCGCGCCGTCTGTAATTTACTCCACGCGCAATACTATGTGTCTAGCAGTCTCGCTACGATATATTGAAAGAGCATCCATAATCCGAATGGATAGTTCTTGTCGGCCATCGCCTTAATATGAGATTCATTCTATGCTGCGTAGACGGTAGAGGTACACGTTGCACGCTGAAAAATGCCAAGGGCTGAAGTACAGCTGTACAAGTCCGCCAAGTTTCGTTGCCTTGACCAGAAGATGTTGGTCGCTGGCACCATGAATTGACCTTGTGCTCCATCCCATTCACCGCGACCACCTGCCATTACTTCAATTGCCGGAAGAGCTTTGGTGCGGCGCACTGGGTCGCGCAGTGTTGGAGGTGGAAGACTAGACATAGTTAACGTTTCATCAGCATTCGTCCCGGTATGAGCCATGTATCGCCATCAAACTCACATTCCTCCACGCAGTCTTCCTTGGGGCCCTTGTGGTTTGGGTTCTCGTGCTGCTTGGTAACGCGATCGGCGCACGCCTCGTAATGGTGCTTTGCGGGAGCGCATTGAGCAGACCTGGCGCACTCTGAAGACGCAAGGTTGTTAGCTCTGTATTTTTTTTTCTCGGTTCGGGGGCTCTCTGCGGGGAGCCAAATGGATGCAAAGCAATGGCCAGGAGTTCCGAACGGGACCGGAGCTCAAGCTTGTCACTTTTGCTGGAATCCCACTTTGGACGCCGTAGCCCAAGAATAGACTGTAGGGCAATGTATTATATATAGAGAAAGCCATTGACTTACCCTCCTCAAGCTTAGGCTTTGGATCCTCAGGCTCCTCCTCCTCCTCCTCCTCCTCTTCTTCCTCCTCATCTCCACCCTCGTCATCGCCCCCCTCCTCCTCTCCGCCTTCCTCTTCTCCCTCTTCTTTATCACCATCATCGCTTTTCTCCTCTCCCTTGTCGTCACCTCCTTCGTCGTCCTCTTTCTCCTCTTCGGGGGGCGCCTCAGCGTGCAGCTCCGTGAAGCCCATCGAGTTGTAGAAATCGGAGAAGATGTCGGAGAAACCCATAGCGGCGGCAGGCAAGAATTATGATGCTGCCGCAGCTGGCGAGAGGGTCGTCAATGTTCAATGGATGGGGTCGGAGGCTTCTGGTCGAGGGCAAGGATGGGAAGCGAGGTTCTTCGGGCCTAAGGCATTTTGATGAGGTAAAGCTTGGCGGCACGTGATTGGCTGGATTTTATAGGCACGGAGACGACGTGCCAAATTCCGAATCTCAAAGGCTCTCCATTACACTTCACAACTTGAAGTGCGGTGGAAAGTCTGTATGTGTGAGTTAAGCTCTTCAGATTACATCCAACAGTGCATACAAAATCTGAGAACAAGCCTTGGGCTACCCACTTGCATACAACATGGCTAACTACATCTCAGCAAATCCACTCTGGTGCCTTCTTTGGCACGTCTCCGCTGGACTTTGCAAAGCAATACACGAGAAAGCTAGGGAATTGCTTAGAGCTCGGCCTAGTAGTCTTCAAATGGAGGCTTCCCACACTGTAGCCATCTTGCATCCTGGAACAAGAAACACTGGCCTCAGATTTCAACTCATCTAGCACGGCGGTTTATGCAGTACGGAGAAATGGTCTTCTACTGCTCTAGCAGGTCACATGAGTGACCGTCTTCGATAGTTTTCATGCATTCATCTCCTGAGAATAACAATTCTGGCAATGCTTTTTCAATTAGAAAAGGAGTAGCTTCTTGCTTTGCTCATCAATATCAAGTAGCCCCACAGTTAGAAGCAGCTCTATTCTAATACACATAATCTCAAAATCAGTGTCATGTGGCAACGCGTAGAGACAAAGCGATGATTCCTCCTTGAACATGCACAGGAAAGGAGGCACCTAGAACATTCAGGGTCTCACCAAAACACTGATCAGAGCAAACCAAAGACACTCAAAGCTATGCTTTTAACTCAGTATGCCCTGCCTCTCACACTTTGAGAGCTTCAAGTGAGATTCGAAGGAACGCGCTAGCCGCGCGCTACGCCTCCGCGTTGAGTGGAGCCTCCTTTTTCTTCAACACCATCACCGAGAGCTATTTTTGCTGCCGTAGCTTGAGTCAAATCTTTTTTTGATGCTAGGTTGTTGATGCTCATCTTTTCACCCTCACTTTACATTAAACATGGCACCTGTGAACCAGCCCACATTCAGCAAGGACGAGAAAGTCTTGTGCTTTCACCATGAGCTCTTATACGAAGCCAAAGTGCTCGACTCGAAACACACGGAAGAAAAGGATAAGAAGAGTCCGATGCAATATCGGGTTCACTACAAGGGATGGAAGAACACGTAAGTGCGATTTAAATTTACATCCTATTGTCAAAGTTGAGGTTTGCCCTATTGTCATTCACTCATTCACTTCACCCCTCTGTTCAACTATGCTGAAACACCAACCTCCCCTTTCTTGATACATCAGCTGTTCAGCGTCTGCCTTTTTCTCTCTTTCTCTAACATACACACTGTCTTATTAAAACTCCCGCCGTTTTGAAACACCACATTTTCTCATACCTCCTCGCTGATCGAGGCTTCCCTTCGCTGCAATTATTGTTGTATCTACGCCTTCTTCACTGTACCACATTAATCTACCTCGCATTGTCACCATCGTATCTATTTACAGCAATTTTGCGCAGGATCGCATTTTCATCAGTACATCATACTAATACACACGCACTCCGCCAGCTGGGACGACTGGGTGCCAGAAGACCGCCTCCGCAAACTCAACGACGAAAACAAAGGCCTAGCCACACATCTCAGAAACGAGTTCATGGCTCTACAGAGGCCCGCGAAGCCAAGCATTTCTGCTGCGACCAAGAAGAAGACTGCCGGCTCTGATCTCAGCTCTACTCGTGGGAGCGAAGAGCGTCATGCTTCTCTTCCTGCAACTGGCCGGGGTCAGAAGCGCGGGCGCGACAACGACATTGAGAAGGCGAGTGAACCTCTTTCATTAGACCAACGACGCTCTTCTTCACGCGAGCGGCGCAAGCCAAGCAAAGCGGAATCGCCGCCACACCAACCTCCGAAAAGAACAAAAGGCAAAGCCAAGGCGGATTCACCAGCAATTATTCCCAAGACAAGAGGCAAACGTAAGGCTACGATCCCAGCATCAGAGATAGAAACGCCGACTTCCCCACATCCTCCACGGGACAAACCGGCTAAACGCAAGGATGCACCCCCATCTGAGTCGCCGCATGAGCCCTACGTTCTCTCGGAAGGATCCTCATTTTACGAGCGCTTTTCGCTCGATGACTCCAAAGTGAAGACTTCAAAGCCACCAACTGCGCCACAGAAGCCGACTGCCAAAAATGATTCGGACGATCCTCTGTTGAGCTCTGCTCGATATTCGCTACAGGATCTGGATCCAGGAGACGCACTTGGGAGGAGTCAAGGATCAGAAGCCGGTCAGAATAGCCGGAAAGAACGAGCAGAAGCCCGTCATGCTCGCGAAGCAGGCGAGATTCGTCCCGGTGGTGCCCTGCTCGCTTTGTACAAAGACCAGCCTCGTGGTACGAAGATCACAGTTGCTGGAATCCCACTGGACGAGACACCCGCGGACCTTGCGTCGTTTGTGAAGAAGAAGCGTCAGCGTGTGAAGACTATAGACAATAAGATCAAATTTACTGACAAACCTACCTTACAACAGGAGGAGACATTCAACTTGCGCCCAGCCATCCACATCAATGTCCCAGACCATCTCAAATCCATCCTCGTCGACGACTGGGAGAACGTTACGAAGAACCTTTCTCTGGTGCCGTTGCCATCTAAGCCTTCTGCCAACGAAATTCTAACAAGCTACTTCGATGAGGAGAAAAACAAGCGTCACCTCGGATCTCCCGAAGCTGATCTGCTAGAAGAGGTCGTTGCGGGGTTAAAGGAATACTTTGAAAAGTGCGTTGGTCGCATCTTGCTCTACCGTTTCGAGCGCCAGCAATACCTCGAAGTCTACAATGCGGTGCAGGGGGGTATGGGAGAGTATGAGGGAAAGGGTATGGGTGATATCTATGGTGCTGAGCATTTGTGCCGTCTGTTCGGTAAGTCACTTGCCTCTCCAATTACGACATCAACTACCCATACCTTTACACCAAGCATGCCTCACCCACTCCCAACGCAAGGCTGACGGTTCATCTCAGTTTCCCTTCCCGAACTCATCGCCCAAACAAACATGGACCAACAATCCGTCAACCGTCTCCGCGAAGAACTCCACAAGCTGACCCAATGGCTCGGCAAAAATTCCACTCGCTTCTTCAAAGCTCCGTACGAAACCGCCAGCCAGGATTACATCGAGAAGGTCCGTGGTGTTTGAGGAGAGTTGGGTTCAAGGTTTGGATAGAGGAGAGCCAATCGATGAATGCACGGACAGAGAATGAGAATCGTATCTTTCAAATGGTGCTTTATCTCGAGCGAAAAGGCCGTTGAGCGACAGAGGTCAGCATCTCGAGCGTCTCACATTCGCCTCTCATACGCCTGCAAATCATTCGAGGAGCATACGAGCTAGGTGCATTCAAAAAGGGTTTCTCCACAATTCCATTACGTTCTGCGAACCATCACCAAGCACATGCACGATGGACTACTCCACATGGAAGGGAGATCCTGAGGTAGCAGAGGTCTAGCATAGAATAGCATGCAATAAGACATTTCAACCCATCTGGTAATGTTGCCTTGAATGCGTTGATGCATGTTCTTTGGTTGCTTTTGGCCAACGCACGAACGCCAACAGTAGTATTTGAGGTTGAAGCGGTAGGAATGCTCCAAAAAAATGAGAAGCTCACACCAAACGGGCTGGTTTTAATAGGTTATCGATTGAGCTGACTCGCTTGACATTCGTACCGATCATCCTCTTTAAAGATAACGCACAAAGTTGCCGTTTACATATGAAAACAACGGATCAGATTGGAAGCTTTTGTGACAGCTTGCCTGTATACATATGTACATAAATAAAGTTACCCTAATGTACCTCTGCTCCACCATTCTCCTTCTGCTCATACCTTCTCTGTGACCAATTGACGCACTCACTCCCCCTTCAACTTCTCCTGCACGACCCCAAATGCCATATTTAACATATCCATCTCCTCCTTCATATGCGTCCCCTTTAACCCCGTCGCCACACTCGCGCTAGGATTCCTCCCCGCATACATCACATGTTTCCGATCATGATGTTCCGTCTCATTCAACAGCGTCTCAAGCCTTGGCTGCGTAAAACTCCACGCTCCCGCATTCAACGGTTCTTCCTGCGCCCACACGATCGTCTTCGCGTTGGGATAGATATCTAGATTCTCACGGAGCTGCGCCCAGGGGAAGGGGTTGAGTTGCTCGATGCGGGTGATGGCTGTGGAGTTTAGTTTGTGCTCGGCGCGGTGTTTGTGGAGGGCGACGTAGACTTGGCCGGAGCAGAGGATTACGCGGTCGATTTGGTCATGCGGGAGGATGGAATTATCGTTATGAGCGGGGTCGGGGATGATCCATTGGAAGTGCGACTCGCCGGTGAAGTCTTCGATGGGGGAGCGTGCAAGAGGGTGGCGGAGGAGGGATTTGGAGAAGAAGAGGATCAGAGCTGGCGAGGCGTTGTCAGTTCGCTGGCTAGAGGTGGAAATTTAGGATATACATACGTTTTCTGAATTGTCGGTTCATCTGCCTTCTGAGGATGTGGAAGAGATTTGACGGTGTAGTCATGTAGGCGATTTGCATGTTGCAGTCCTGATGTTGGCGGTCAAGCTTGGCTTCTGAGGGGAAAATCCTCGGGTCTTCGTTGCAAAGCTGCAGATATCGTTCCATTCTGCCAGAAGAATGCTCTGGGCCTTGCCCATCATAACCGTGAGGGAGGGACATGACGAGACCAGAACGCTGCATCCATTTCACTTCCCCTGAGGCGACGAACTGGTCGATAATGCATTGACAATTGTTGGCGAAGTCACCAAACTGAGCCTCCCACACGACAAGAGCGTTGGGCGAGGAAAGTGAGTACCCGTATTCGAAACCAAGGACGCCAAATTCGCTCAAGGAAGAATTGGTAATTCTGAAGGTACCCTGTTTCTCACTGATGTGCTGCAGTGGCGTGTAGGTCTCCTCGCTCTCCTGGTCATGGAGCACTGCATGACGCTGGGAGAAAGTACCGCGCTCTACATCTTGGCCCGATACTCTGACGTGATGCCCCTCGTCACAAAGTGTACCAAATGCGAGTGCTTCTGCCGTAGACCAGTCAATGGCTTTGCCTTCGTCGACAGTCTTCTTCCTGCCTGCGAGGATACGCTTCAGATTCCGATGGACGTTGAAGCCTTCCGGTGCAGTGCTAATCTTTTCTCCTATATGCTTCAGTTCCTCTACTGGAACACCGGTTGGCAAATGTGGCAGGATCTCCGTTGCAAGCTCCTTAGGAGATTTGAATCCGTTCCAGGCGGACGTAAGCCATTCCTTTGAAGTTGGCTGATAGTCTCTGCTAGATTCGAAGCTAGTGGTCAACATCGTCCAGACCCACTTCTTGTGCTCCTCAATGTCATCCTTTGTGAAAGACTTTTCCTTCAGAAGCTTCTCTTCGTACTTCTGTACAGCTGGCTTCTGCTCATTGATCCTCTGATACATCAGTGGCTGGGTGAAAGACGGTTGATCTGTCTCGTTATGGCCTTGTTTTCTGTAGCATACGATATCCACAACGACATCCTTTTTGAACTCAGCTCGCCAATCTGCGGCCATCTGACACACGAAATTGACAGCTTCGACATCATCACCATTGACGTGGAAGACGGGGGCGTCAAATGCCTTTGCAATGTCAGAGCAATAAGGGGTAGACCTGGCAAATCGAGGATCGGTGGTGAAGCCAATCTGATTGTTGATGATCATATGGATTGTTCCTCCAGTTGAATATGCAGGCAAGGCATGAAAGCCCATAGTCTCGTACACAACACCTTGACCAGCAAAAGCAGCGTCGCCATGTAAGAGGACACCCATCGCCGAAAGAAAATTCTTTTCATCGTTGTTGTAGTGTTGGATGGCTCGGGTTTTGCCCAGAACTACAGGATCTTCGGCTTCAAGATGCGACGGATTTGCTACAAGCGATAGTTGCACACGCTTGCCAGAAGGAGTGGGACGTTCAAAGTTCATGCCGAGATGGTACTTGACATCCCCAGAGCCTTCGTCGGAAGGTTCAGCACTGCCACCAAACTCGCTGAAGATTGACTCATTTGGCTTTCGGACCACGTTACTCAGAACGTTGAGTCTGCCACGATGAGGCATGCCGATAACGATATCCTTGACACCGTAGTCAACACTACGGTCGATCAAAGCCTTCATTCCAGGGACAAGCGTTTCACCACCTTCCAGTCCGAACCGTTTGTCATTTGGGTATTTAGTTGCCAGGAAGTTCTCAAAGCTCGAGCTCCATATCAAACGATCTAATATCCTACGCTTATCGTCGACCGAGTATTTGTATGGCGAAGGGATTTCCGTACGACTTCGGATCCAGTCGCACTGGTCCCTATCGGGGATATGGATGAATTCCACGCCATATGCGCCACAGTATAACCTCTCGCATGTGCTAATGATATCTCTTAATGTCATCTTCTCCCTGCCATCAATCTTGAACCTAGGGAGAATGCCGCGGCCCAGTGCGAATTCCGTATCGAGGTCCTTCTCAGTAAATTGATAGTGATCGAGCTTCAACTCTTTTGGATCACGGTATCCGAAAGCTTCAGCTTCCCCGCGTATCCCTAACGGGTCGGTCTTTGCCTTGTGGTGTCCACGCGCTTGGTAAGCGCGCACCAAGAGTTGTACTTTGAGATGGTTGGTCACGTCTGGGCCTTCACTTGCCGAGAGCCCAGCACCGGGCATCGCTTGTGGGACGCCACCCGCAGGAGTCGGCACTATGGTCGGTGGAGGTTGAAAAGCCTGCGACATGGGCATGTTTCCGTCTTCCATATTTCGAAAATAAACTTGCCAGGAGAAGTGGACACTTGACGGTTCCTTTTTCCATTGCATATACATCTCGTCTATATAGTTCGCGGTGTTGCCTTGCAGAAAAGAGTCATTAGGATCCTATAAACTCATTTCTCAGCTTCATCTTTTCCCATGTCGTTTCCAGCGGCAAGACTACTTACCACGCCTTTGTTGGTCTCTTCTGCGGCCACAGCATAATGCCGGCTTTGCAAGCGCTGTGACAACATAAGAAGCCTCGACGGGCGTACTGAAGGGACGGAGGAGGCTCTCAAAGTAGCAATGGAGCATGTTGACCGTCTGAGAGGGCAGATACCTCTTGAGAGGCAGCTGCCCGATTTGTGGAGGGAGGAACGGAGCATCATGGAATGGTGAATGTCTATAGACAACGTACTCCATGGACCTTGGGTGGGCAGAGCACACTCAAGCAAAGTCGCTGTATGTAAGGAAAACAAATAGCTCAAACAAGGTCAGATGTTGTTGCCGCTAACGGCGCCGGCGACGCTTCCGCTTTGTCCGCCAAGCTAAGCCTTGTCGGATGCAGTTGCCCTCATTAGAACATTGACTCCCTCAATGTGTGTCATTCTGCATAAAAATATCCTCGTTGACCATGATGTAGAGGTCCAACATGGCACCATCCAGAGGCTCTGCCGCCTACAAGAAGAAGGATGGCACCCTCGCTGTCTCCAAGGACGGTCAGTCGGTGTCATGGACGCCGGTGGCACCTCCACGATCAGAACCCGCCTTGACACTGCCCGTCTCGAATATCACTAGTGAGTATGAGTCATGTAGCCCCAGCCGAGCTGCCAGGAACAAATACGATCACTCTTCCACGTTGAAGTTAAAAGCGGATGACTCTAAGCTTTTCCAGTTATGCTAAACGTAACTTGAAGCTGACATGGCACATAGACCTTCAACAGACGCCGGCAACCAATCCAAAAGTGATGCTTAAGATCTTTGCTCAAGCTTCAGGTACATCTACTTCAGAAACCCATACCTTCACGTTCACGTCGCCCACGACCGCGAGGGCCGAGGCGGATACCATCAGAGATGCCCTCAGCAAGACGATCCAGATCATCAAATCTGGAGGAGCCCCACCGGCTGCGTCAGGAGGAGCTGGGGGTTCCTCTGCAGCCATGGCTATCGCAAGTGCCGTGTCTTCAAACCCCAGAGCAGGCGCAGACTCGCGTGCCTGGTATGATGACGAAAAGCTAAAGAAAGACGTGGAGTTACAACAGTCGATACTGAAATCCAATCCATCACTTTCCAAGACTTTCATGGAATCCTTGCGAACGAAGCCTGAGTCCATATCAAGTTCCCAATTTACGGCCCAGTTCTGGTCTACCAGAGTACATCTTCTACGAGCGCATGCTATTGAAAAGAATCAGACTAGAGGCGCCTACAATGTCTTGTCGAGTATCAAGCCCATGACCGTGGACAATGCAACCAGGCTTAGCATAAGCAAAGAGCAAATACAATTGATATTCAATCAACATTCTCTCGTCAAACGTGTCTATGATGAAAACGTTCCAAAGCTCAGTGAAGAAGCTTTCTGGTCTCGCTTCTTCCAGAGTAGACTCTTCAAGAAGCTCAAGGGCGAGAGGATAACGGAAGCCGATCCTACGGACAATGTACTCGACAAGTACCTACAGTACGATGATGATGCGGAGAGAGCCAAGCAGCTTATGGCGTCCCATGTTCCGCATATCATTGACGTGGAGGGCAATGAACAGAATCACAGCCAGCGCAAGGGAAATCAACCGGATCTCACGATGCGCCCAAGTTCCTACGACAGAGTACCAATCATCCGAACTTTGAATTCTTTGAGTGCAAAGATACTATCTCATGTAGCGCCTAACGACATCGACCCTTCCTTGCCCATAGGCGTTGATGAAGAAACATTCAACGAGCTCGCCCTACGGGATTTACAAGGCGATGCTGCCGAGAACCGTGTGATTCTAAACATCAAAGACCAAAGCCGCTTCTTCAATTCTGACAAAGGAAGCGGTGTCTCGGCAGATGCGCTGCTCTATGCCAAGCAGGACCCAGTCAAAGTCCTTCGGTCAATACTATCGGACCTGGCGCGCGTCAGCTCTAATACCAACCTCGACACCGCTATTGGTGTAGATGACGACAGTGATAGCGATTATGACGATGAGTCTAACCTGAAAAAGGGCCACGTAGGTAGCAAAGCTAGTCTTTCAGGGGCCACGGCCCAAATGCTCTCCGCCATCGCCCAACAGCGGGCCCAGAGTGATGACCTTTCCGCTTCCTCGTCCGGTTTCTCCACGGTGCAATCGTCGTCAACCTCTGGCCTTTCAGCAGCCATTTTCGACCGCCTCTCCCTCACACATGCAACTACCACCGAGTTTCTCCAGCACTTCTGGTCCGCTTTCCTTTCCGGCGACCCTAATAGGGCTGATGAAATCGGCAAGCTGTTCGAGACATTGAACAGAGCCATGGATCGCATCAAAGCGGTCGCTACGGACGCTGAAGCGGAGCGCCAAAAGGAAATCGAGAGGTTGAAGAAGCAGGTACAGGATCTTTTTGAGCGGACGGGCAAGAGGCGGAGGATGGATTATGAGAGCACTCCAGGGAGTGCAAAGGCAGTCAATCAACTGTTGGCGCCCACGGTGAAGGCGATTGAGGTTGCTACGAAGCAGTACAAGAAGGCTTTGGCGGAGCAGAGTGAAGAAATTGGTTAGACTTAACGGTCAGCCAGCGGAGAAGTGTTTGTACAATTTGATGTAAGGATGCATAGCGATGGTGTTCTCATCCATGGTAGCCAGAAGCTGGTGGAGTCCCAGAATACACAAAAGTCAGACTAATGGAACTACATAATTGAAAGAGCGTTTCGTAATAAGATGCATCCCATGGTCGCGCATTCGCCCAAACCGTACACACGCATACAAACCTGCCAATAGTCTTGATGGAGAAGGAGAAATCGTGGGGATGATGACACAGGAACGAGACAATGGAAGGGATGAAAACCTAAGAGAAAGCGAGGAAACTGAACCTCGGTCCACCCTCATCGGGCCATCCAACCCGAATCTTCTTATCCTCAACAGCCGCATCATCATCATCTTGTATCCGCACGTTTCCAGCCAGACAGACAAAGAGTCTCACATCTGACTACCGGCCGCCCTACAGGATGGGCCTCACTTACAGCGTGTCCTCCTGGATCCAATCCTTCACCCTCTGCAATTCCAACCCTCTTCTTTTGTTAGAAGTCTCGCCTTCACTCCAAGTTACGCCGTTTTGTGCCTTGACGTGCACGGTAACATCGTTGTATCGATTGAAAGATATGGTGTACATCCGGTGGCTGACTAAATCATCAAGGAAAGGGCTTGAGGATCATTTTTGAAAATATTCGAATTCGTGGGCGAGGACGTCTTTGTTGAGACTTGTGTTGAGAGTTCTGATAGCTTGGGTTGTTATGGCTGAGGGTTGAGGAGTGATATGGCGCTGTGCGAGCAGCGGGAAAGGCGGAATCGAATTAGGAGGCAGTTAAGACGTTGTATGCTAATCTTGGTGTATACTGTGATGTGAGCAGAGGGATTCGTAGGATGCGATTTGGCTCGTGGAAGTCTCGTTCTTTGTGTATTTGGTTGAATGTCCTCTATATATGACTAAATTGCTCCTAAACAATTACTGTTTCGCATGAACCTAAGTGGCCTTTTTCACACGTTGGTAGATCTAGGGAAAAGTCTGGGCCCATAGCAAAGATATTACTATATCGCTTGATACGTTTGATCAGTATTCGGCTGCTCTAATGAGGCAGACTTTGGCATAAGGGAACGGAGTATCCAAAGGGAATTAAAGGAGGTAAGTTGTATCTAGGTTCCCCGGGCGGGATTCCGTGGTCGTGCCACTATTTGTTCGTACGCAACCTTATTCCGGAGAATCTCTTTGATGGCTAATCTATTAGCTAGATCAGGCATACGCGGCGACAGGTCATAGGTAAAGTCATATTTTTGATGCCGAACATATCATCCTTAAATGAATTCAGATGACATAAGCGAATTGCTGACTTGTCCAAGCATCCATAAGTAAATACGGTTTTCTGCAGAAAATAGTGACTCACTCCTAACTGACTGGTAGGTGGCCTCACTATCTACGTTCTCTCATACAACGCTAAAGACTGGAGCAACAGGTTGACCATTGCGGACGGCAGCGAACCAGCAGATGAGTATTACGGAACCTTGGACGCCTATCTATCGCTGTCAAAGGCTCAGGACGCAGGAATTGATTGGGCGCTCGAGCAATTTCGGGATCGTCTTGACAGATACGATCCACCTCTCGCAACCAAAGAGGACAGAGATGCGGCGTCTGAGGACTGGCGGAAATTGGAGTCCGAGCAGGGCGATGTTTGGTCGTACACAATCAGCAAGGATGATGTGACATTGATCGTGAGGGCTGAGAGATATGTTGCATATGGTTCTCATATTCCTAGATTTGATGATGACGGGGGGAGGAGAACATTAGCAAGATGAAGGGAATAATAATTGCAGGGCAATCGGGTGTCGAGGAGAAGGCTGTGCAGCAGACGGTAGGGTGTGGATACCAAGCGAACGTTAGAGAGAAACAGAGATGGTACCTTTCACATTAGGTTCATCTAACGTTCCAGTAGTCTTCTCAAAGAAGGGGCTCCAATCAGCCTGCGGTACCTTTCACAGTAAGTCAAGATTCGAGGATAATGATAACCAATGATTTGGTCATTGATCTTGCGCTAGAATCCGCAAGTCTCTATCACTTGCAGGAGACTATTCTAGATGCTGCACGATTGCCTGCATGATGGCATTATGAAAGGGAAGAGAAAGGGAAAAGGAAAAAGGATGAGGGACACAGGCGGTCTCAATTGGCTCAATTAACATCAGCACTAAGCAAGCCCTAATTCTCCTAGGCTGTCTCGGTAAAGTCGGGAGCCTCGGGAGGCGGCGTCCTGGAATTAAAATCTGCAGCTCGAGCCTTGAGCTCCACCATTACTCGTACCTTAGCTCACCAAACAAAACCCTTACTCAACCGAACCCGAATTTGTACGAGTGAGGCCAGCTGTCATTACATATTCCCCCAGACTGCAATTGAATACTTCAACACGCAACCCAGTGATAAGGTATAGCCAGCGAAGCACACCATTGACCTCTTATTCAATCTTTTATCCACCTGTTCTCTTTGTCTCTCGTTCATTGCTTACTGCACGAAAAGCCCACTTACGAGCAAGTCCACCCCACTATCCGCCTATTCATTCGCTCGTAGTCCTAGCAATTCTTCCGTCATGAAGGGTATACCCCCTCTATGCTTTCCGCTCATCAATGCAGCGAAGCTGACCTTTTCATAGCACTCATCCTTGTTGGAGGCTATGGCACCCGTCTACGACCTTTGGTACGGCAACCTTTGCCCAGCGAGCACGATGCAGAAGCGCCATGATGAAAGAGCTACATGTCTCTGACTGCTGCCAGACCCTCACTTTGCCCAAGCCATTGGTTGAGTTCGCCAATCGTCCCATGATCCTCCATCAGATCGAGAGCTTGGCAGCTGCTGGTGTGACCGACATCGTCTTGGCCGTCAACTACCGACCCGATATTATGGCTAAAGCCTTGAAGAAAGTATGTACCCTCACATAAATCAAGACATTCTGGGAGATCTAAGCGATGTTACTAACAGCCTACAGTATGAAGAAGAATACAACGTGAACATCGAATTCTCCATTGAGACCGAGCCTCTTGGAACGGCGGGCCCTCTCAAGTTGGCTGAGAAGACCCTTGGCAAAGACGACTCGCCATTCTTCGTCCTGAATTCAGACGTCATCTGTGACTACCCCCTCGAGGAGCTTGCCGCATTCCACAAGTCGCATGGTGAGGAAGGCACAATCGTGGTCACGAAAGTCGAGGAACCGTCAAAATACGGTGTGGTCGTACACAAGCCAGATCACCCATCGAGAATTGATCGTTTCGTCGAGAAGCCGGTCGAGTTCGTTGGCAACCGAATCAATGCTGGTCTATACATCCTCAACCCTAGCGTTCTAAAGCGCATCGAGCTTCGTCCCACATCCATTGAGCAAGAGACGTTCCCAGCTATTGTCAAGGACGGCCAATTACACTCTTTCGATCTTGAAGGTTTCTGGATGGACGTCGGGCAGCCGAAAGACTTCCTCAGCGGCACCTGTCTCTACCTCTCTTCTTTGACTAAAAAAGGCTCAAAGAAAATTGAGGCATCCTCGAAGCCATATGTATACGGAGGCAACGTGATGGTTGATCCCTCGGCGAAGATTGGCAAGAATTGCAGAATCGGTCCGAATGTCACCATTGGGCCAAATGTCGTCATTGGCGACGGCGTGCGGATACAGCGGTCTGTGCTCTTGGATGGTAGCAGGGTCAAAGATCATGCATGGGTCAAATCTACCATTGTTGGTTGGAGAAGCACGATTGGCAAGTGGGCTAGACTCGAGAACGTGTCAGTGCTTGGAGAAGACGTTACAATTGGGGATGAGATCTACGTCAATGGAGGATCGATCTTGCCGCACAAGTCGATCAAGCAAAATGTTGATGGTATTTTCATGTATCCTTTCCGGAGCTTACGATCAACGCTGACCCGTCATAGTCCCTGCGATCATCATGTAGAGAATGAACTCGGTCTACTTCATTTCGACATGTGCATTAATATTCTCTCTGAAGCCTTGATCATCTTCACTCACCTCGTCAGATGAAACTTCGATCTCTCTTGCATTGCGTGGGCGCAGAGATTATATGAGCCCTTTTCTCAATAGAAAGATGAGAAAGCAGAGCAGACGCGTTGCCCATGCGAGATCTCTCCTATGGCACAATAGATAGAGCTTCGATGAATTCAAACCCCCAATGTCTTCTCCTCAAAGGGCTAACTGCATTGTGATCTCGAATCCCCTTCTGTCGACCAGCACCAGTGATAGTGACCCATCATGAATTCAAGCCCAGGGCTCTAGTCATCTCAGCTTCTGATACTGTACGTAAGATACCTGCGGCGACCTCACCCCCGGTCCATTCCATCACATAGCCATCAGACAAAGTCCATAACACTATCCTCCACCAACATCTGCTCGATCATGATTAAAATCCACAGAAAGGAAAAGCCACACCTGACGCTCTCCCCGCTCTTTAACGCACGACCCGTAAGCCTCTGCACCGGCTACCTCCATCCCGCCATTTCCCCCATCTCTACCGCGTCTTGACCACCGCAATCGCACCCCGGCGCCGGATCCGTTCCGCTGTTCGGTTCGAGAGCGCGGATACCGCATCGACTCCGGGTCTCAAACGGCAAATAGGTGCGTACTTCGGCCGAAACGGAAGGGCCCCAGCTCTTCGATCGCCGTGCTAAGCGGGATCTCGTTCGAGCTGGTTTCGCACGGACCGAGCGCGGCGGATCCGATAGCGTGGCTGTCGGCCTGAATGAAGATGTCCGAACAATTGCCGTATCCTTTTGAGACAATCATTGCTAAATCTCTCTGGTGGATCGCCGCCCGGGATCTTGACCTTCCCTGCGCTTCCAGGGAAGACCATCGGGCCATTGGCCGAGCATGTAATATTGGCCGCCGTCCCATTCGAAGTGGATGATGTGCCGGGCGCCGCCGTGAATCCGCCATTGAGGCCACCGAGACTGAGGCCTTCAGACCTTGAGTCGGAGCGAAACCCGAGCTCGCGCGGTGAACCGGCGATGTCCCAATTGCCAGGCTGTCGCTTCCAGCCGATACGGGTATTTCTGAATTTGTGATGGTGGGCGCGTCCGCTGTTGATGCTGTGCCTGCGATTGCGATGCCGTTTGAGAGTGCGGTGGTTGTCTGGACCTAGGTGGTAAAGGTGGAAGGAGAATAGGCGTGCAGAGGTAGGGTTACTGTGGATGTCCCCATAGGATTCTAGTCCGCCATTCCCCCAATGACGACTGTGCACCTGAGGCTGTGACAGCAGGGCCGTTGCTAGTCAAGTTCGCGTTTTGAACAATGATACCGCTTGGAACAAGCGTAACCGTTTTGTCAGCCGCTATGGTCGCTACTGATGGAAGAGACGAGTTCTCAGCGCCGAGAGGTACGGTGGGCGTCCGGATGGTCAATGCCGTTGAGCCCAGTGATACCACCTCGCTGTCGATTGTGGGACCCTGGTCGCCTGCTGCGAACGTCTTTCCTACGGCTATAAGATGAGCGGCAGAGAGGGTCATTGTCTCACCGCCGACAGGAAAGTATAAGAAAGTGAGGGAGGGGCGAGGCGGGATGGTCGAATTACCCAGTACGAGTCGCCATTTGTGGCAGAGCGATGATTGCTAGACGCGATGTGGGGTCCAACCGTAACATTGACTGTCAACGATGACTACACTAGAATGGGATGCAGGTACCTCAATGTTATCATGGCCATCAACAGTGGTCACGAAGGGCGCTTGTACCGGAGCTGCGGCATGTACTGATGGCGGAGTATACGGCTCGCCGTTGGTGTTTGGAAAGGGCCTGTTGGGTTGCTGGTCTGTGCTATTGGATCCACTCGGGTCTGCAGGGTGCTTTGCAGGTTGTGGAACCACAACATCGGAATTTTTGCCTCCATTGGGACCACTAGTGGCCAGATTGGGAAACCCTGGGCCATTCGCCGACTCTGAAGCCACAATGGCAAGACCGTAATCAACATTCGGATCACTCGTACCTGGATCTTTGGTAGACGCAGGACCGTCCGTGGGGTTTGGAGCCACAACGCCCGCATCGGTGGTAGCTGAATTATCTACAGTCGCTGGGTCATTGGAAGGTTTGAAAGCCGCAACGCCAGGATCTTCATTAGAATTCGTATCACTGGTAGCTGAATTCTGCGCAGGCGCTGGGTCAATGAAGTGTTTGAGAGTCGCGACGGGAGCATCTGTCTCGGCAATCGGATCAGCAGACACTGGGTCCTTCGCAGGCGTTGGATGGTCTGGAATGCCGCTCGCTGACTTACTATCCGCGGCACCACCAGGTGCAGGTGTGCTTGGAGGGGGTGTCGGCGAAGGCGTGGGTTGTGCAGCTTGTGGACCTGGTGAGGGAGCAGCAACACTCAATGAAACCGAATGCTTCAGTGGGGTAGGAGCCACAAAATCAGCTGCCGTCAACGCACGAGGCGGGTCGTTTATATCAAGACTGCGAAAACAATTCGCCCAGGCTGGGTCTAGAGCTTCCAATCTAGGTGGGGCTTGCAGCCATGGGTGGCAATGCTGCAAGTCATATTGTGCGTCAAGAAGGATACGCGAACTATTGCCACTGTACCAGTTGCTGGAGCAATTCGAATAGTTGTCTGCGTAATTGATGGGTACTCATGCATTGCTGTGAGAGTAATTACCATCTCGTGTCTTTAGATCCGTGGGTGCGTGAGCTATCATTGTGCTAGCGATGGTCTTTCCCAAATTTCCAAGGCAGTCCTCTGTTGCTGAGATATTACAGTAGGTGACGTAGGCTGATGCGGAAGTACTAACTCGGTTATCAACAGCAAGGTTCCAAAGAGAGAAGGCTTTCCTTACTAGGTGAATCCATCCGAATCAACAATGGTTGTAATAGCGGGCTGAGGCGCCGGTGTAGGCCAATAGTGTAGTTGAGCATTTCAAACGCGCACTTCGCAGGAAGTATCACAGGATGGAGAAGTGACCTGCGGTGTCCAATCGGCCACATAGTACTGCGCATTGGTCACTTGGAAGTACACAGGTCTTGTTTTCGTATAAAGTGCATCCGATATGGATGAATAAAAGCTACTGTAGTCTGCTGATTCAAGTGACAGACAAAAGCTTTTGGCGCTCGCGTTAAGACCATAGAGCTGAAGAGTCTCCGGCTGGAGGCCTTGGGTGACCACTGCTTTTACCTCAGGGTCGGCCCAAATATGAGAGCACCAGTACTCTTTGAATGGCATAGGGTACGAGGTTGGTGTAAAGGCAATGTCTGCGACGCAGAGTCTACAGTTTCAATCAGTCCACAACTCCTGTGAAAAGTGGGTGGATCCCACAGCCTGCAGTCCAAAAATTCATTGGGGTCGAACTGCTTTAAGGATTTAGTACGTTGCTGCTTGGGGTTGGGTTGGAAAGGCTTGACAGGTTTACGAATCTTCCACTCGAAGAGCTTTGACGGGGCATGATTGCTGCATTTGCCACGGATACCAGAAGCACAAGACAGAGGACGTTTTCAATTCTAGGGGAGCCAAGATCCAGGGCCTGCACGATTTTTGAATGAATCAAAATGGATACGGACAGAAGGAGGCATCCTGAGATAATATAGGGTATCTGAAAGGATGGTAATGAGAAGTGCGAGCTCGGCCTATCTGAAGATGCTGTGTATGTATAGAATCGGGAGAATAAAGGAGAGAGACCCTGCACTTTCGATTCACGATTGACACATGATTGGCTACAAATGGCGTCGACGGAATCCGTGGTCTTCAGCCTCACTCATTATGCAGGCCACAATGCAACGCTTCTTGGGGGATTTGCACAAATGCAAGGCATTATCGAGAACAGTATAACATGAAATTATTAGGTCAATCGATAAAATGGCATCAAAGAACGAAGGATCTGGTGAAACGAGCCGCGGCAAAGCATCGTGTTTGGTGGCCAGCTCATTGAGGCAGTGTCGCAACCACGAATTCTGGACTTCCTGCCATCTTGCGTGCAACTTGCAGATGAAACACAGTTTCAGCAACAGACAGCGAAAACGACCGAGGACCAATAAAGTAACAAAATCAGAAGGGTGTCACCACAGGCACGGAGAAGATGGGAGACATCCCAGGCGCGACGCTACAACCAGCTTGACAGCTGGCATCTCGCTTCTTGATCGCGCTTCTGACCTTCTCATACGTATGTTTAGGTCAATACAGAGACTGAGCGAGAGTCCGAGCGGAAGTCGAATATGTTGAAGAACGGTTATTTGCTCGCCTAACTCACTCGCTAAAGCGGCCACGGCCGCGCGAGTTGGACTGGGGCTGTCGTGCTAAGGCTCTCATGCTTGGACCTCGCCGCGGGTCAGGCCTCCTATATCTTCAGCTGTCACCTGGCTTCAACCTGGCTCTTACCAAGAAATTCAGAGGACCGTTCGCGGTCTGATACGGAAAATGTTTCCGGACAATGCGTGGAGACCAAGCCGAAAGACACCAGACCCGTAGTGAAGCCGAGCGTCTCCTTTCCGGCGACTCGATGGAGATGGGGGATACGAGTCCTCGGCAGACGAGGGAGTGCAAACACCCATCGCAGGTGGAAGAGAGATACACGGACGAGCAGAGCAATGGACAAGCTTCATCCTCGCGACTCACTGCTGCTGGTGAAGAGGAGGTTGCGCCAATAAATGGACGCCATACGGAATACAGGGTGTACAAAATCAGGTGGTTCGGGCTCTCTCAGCTGATCTTGCTTAACATCGTTGTGAGCTGGGACGTAAGACCACTGATATCCAGTGCCCGCGGCCCGATCAGGACGCTTAATGGCTAATATCTAGAACTCAGTGGCTCTCCTTCTCCGCCGTCGCCAACACCGCTGCAGACTTCTACTCTACAAACCCTAGCATCATAAATTGGCTTTCCACGGGATTTCTCTTCGCCTTCGTCGCCGCCGCTCCAGCTACTATCTGGACCCTCCATACCGGCGGCCCGCGGCTCGCAATCATCATAGCATCCATCCTCATTCTTCTGGGAAACTGGATACGCTATGCTGGCACACGGACCTCACCTCCCAGCTTCGGTCTTACGATGTTCGGTCAAATCCTCATCGGTCTGGCGCAACCCTTTGTCCTCTCAGCGCCCACTCGGTACTCAGACATCTGGTTCACGCCCTCCGGCCGCGTCTCCGCTACCGCAGTCGCTTCCCTCGCAAACCCCTTCGGCGGCGCGCTAGGACAGCTCATCAACCCCTTTCTCGCAGCCAAAGCTTCCGATATACCAAATATGACCCTCTACGTCGCCATAATCTCGACCGTTGCCTCAATCCCTTCCTTCTTCATTCCCTCCAAACCACCCACGCCCGTCTCCCCGTCCTCCACGCACACCGCGCCTGGCATCCGCGAAACAGTAAACCTGCTGGGCAGGAACCCAACCTTTTACCTCATCTTACTGCCTTTCGCCGTCTATGTCGGCTTCTTTAATTCGATCTCCTCGCTCCTCACTCAAATCATGACGCCCTACGGCTTTTCGGAAACGGAGAGCGGCATTGCGGGCGCTGTACTCATACTAATTGGGCTGGTTAGCGCAGCTGTTACTTCGCCGATTATGGATCGCACGAAGGCTTATCTACCTTTCATCAAGACTTCGGTTCCGCTGATCGCGCTGTGCTATCTTGCTTTTATCTGGGCGCCTGGAACTCGCAGTCTGGTGGCTCCTTACATCATTCTCGCCATCCTGGGCGCTGCTTCTTTCTCCCTAGTTCCTGTGGCGTTGGAATGGTTGGTCGAAGTTACATGGCCTGTAGGTCCCGAAACCGGTTCTACAATCTGCTGGACTGGCGGCCAGTTGCTGGGTGGAATCTTTATTGTAATTAGCGATGTATTGAAAGAAGGGAGCGAGGGTAATCCGCCCTTTACGATGGGTAAGGCATTGATCTTTCAAGCGGTAGTGAGTGCGGCTGTCGTGCCTTGCGCGATGTGTTTGGGGCTGGTGGGCAAAGTCACACGAGGGAGATTGGAAGTTGACAATGGCGTTGCGGCAGAAGACCGGGAGGGTTGAAGCTATCTGCATCTTCAGAGCGACAGGGAGAGGCCCAAAATCCCTTGGGGGGGCGGTGCAACCTTTCCCAACCCCCGTGGGGACGGCCGGAACAGAAGGGCTGGGGAGGCGGACCAAACGGGGCCTGTGGGGTTCGTGATAATGCTCTTGGAGCTCTCAATTTGGGATCTGTGATGAGGACGTTCGGGAGGCGAGAATCCACGGTTTGGATAGTGGAACACGATCTTCTTCTATCTCTTCTTCTACTATCTCTTCTTCTACTATCTCTTCTTCTATTATCTATCTTTTATCTCTTTCTTCTCTTTCTTCTCTTTTATCTCTTCTATCTCTTATATCTCTTATATCTTTTAAAGTCTATAATAAAACTCGCTATTATAGCGAAGTAACTTCTCTATTATCTCGCTATTCTTATTATAACGAAGTAAGTATTAATAATATTAATAGATCTAATATAGAAGATATAATAATCTTCTTTTTAATTAAATTTTTCTTTTTCTTTATATTTTTAAATAGAGCTAGTTTAAGATAATATATACTTTAAAACTATTTTTAAAATTTCTTTTTAATCTAATTCTTTAATCGCTATTAAATAATTTTAAAACTTATAATCTATTCTTCGTCTTAGTATTCTTTTTTATACTTAATCTTATTCTTTTTTTATTACTCTATCTTAATAAGATTATTATTAATAAATTTAAATAAGATATTAATAACTAGAGCTAAATTATATACTTTATTAAATTTTTCTAATAATATATAATTATACTTTTTAATCTTAATTTACTAAACTAGCTAATTAATTTATTTTATATTTATTAAAATAAATAATATAAAGAGAGAGTTATTATTAAATATTATAATTATTAATTTTATAAATAAAGATATAATTAGTCGTAGTTCTAATATCTTAAATCTTAATTTATTAAAAATAACTTATAATTAAATAAGAAATAATTTACTCTTTTATTATATATATCTAATATTTTATTTTATTATAGCGTTCTTTCTTATTAATTAAATTAATTAAAAAAAGTTTATTTTATTTATTATATAGTTTAAGTAATCTTTATATTATAAATTCTTCTCTAAATATCTACGATATATAATCGCTAAAGACTAGAAGAATTTAATATTTAATAATTAAAAAATATATATAATATAAATAGATAAATATAAAAGAATAATATTCTTATTAATATAGAATTATATTACTTTAATATTAATATATAATAAATATTCGTTAAATATAAAAAAACGATTTTTTTAGCGTTCTTCGAGTTTATAACTTAAAGTATTTATAGAAAAATAAACTAAATAGTATATTTAGAGAAGTATTTTATAAGAGAAATAGCTTTAATATATCTTATAAACTACTTTAAATCTAATACGTTATTTATTTAATTATTTTTACTTAATATAATATATACTTTCTTATTCTTTAAAATATTAAATTAAATCTTTATTTAATATTTATCTTTAAAGATTATAAAAAGTATAAATAATCTTTTAATAGCGGAAATATACTTAATAAGAGATATCTATTCTCTACTTTTATTCTAAGCTTTATATATTTATAAATTATACTTAAAATAAATAATTCTTATTTTATTAATAGTATTAAGAGTAGACTCTTTTTTATTTATATTATATATATTCTCTAACTAAATATTATATTACTAAATAATTAACTTTATTAATTAAAACTATTATAAGAGTATATTCGAATTATAAATTATAGTATATTCTTTATTTAATAACTAACTAAATCGATTTTATAACTCTTTATAATATTTAAGAAAGTAAAATATCTAATTTATATCTAGTTTTTTATTATCTCTCTTTTCTTTAAATATTTCGATAATTATAAATTATATATAAATAATATTTATAGATTAATTCTATTATATTATTTATTAAATTTATAATATTAAAGCTAACTTCTCTATAGAAGTTTATCGCTATTAATCTTTAACTACTTTTTAATAAGAATAAGATTTATTAATAACTCGTCGATTAAGAGTAAAAGAAGTAATATTAAAATATAAAGTAATTAATTTAATAGTAGACTTCTTTTTTTAAGAATCTATACTTTTCTTAAAGACTAATAAAACTTTATTATACTTTTTAATAATAGAATCTAAGCGTTTCTACTTAAATAGCTTCTTTAAAGTCTTAAACGCCTTTAATAAAATTATTAATAAAATTATTAATAGAGGAAAAGAAAGAAGAATATAAAATTTTCGCTATAGTATTATAATAAATTAATAAATTCTTTTCTTAGTCTTCTAAGTTATCTATTCGATAATTAATTAATATAAAAAGTATTATATAAATACGTCTATTTTAGATTAAGAAGACTTATAGAAGAGCTTATAGAAAAACTTATAGAAGAACTTATAGAAGGGCTTATAGAAAGACTTATAGAAGAACTTATAGAAAGGCTTATATAAAAGCTTATAGAAGGCTTATATATATCTATTTTAAATAATAGAAGATACTCTATTTATAATATTAATAGGCGATCGATAGAATCTCGGATATCGTATTTTTAAATAAATTAGATTTATTCGAAGTCTTTAGAAAGCACTTTAAGATCTTATTTTTTTATATTTAGAAATCGATTACTTAGACTCTTATTATTTAACGATTACTTTACGTAAATCTTATCGAGTACGCTTTTCTTATTATTCTATTTATAAAGATCTTTCGAAGTAATACCGCGTTATTATTTAATCTCGCTATTATCGTCTAGTCTTCTATAGCGATTTCGTAAATATAATATCTTAAGAAGAAACTTATTTAATATTAATTTAAGAACTAAAGACTACGACTCGATTCGGCTTAAGAATACCCGGATCAATAAGAGCGTATTATTCTACGATTTCTTCTTCGCTTAAAAATATAATATTAAATAGTTATCTTATAGCAAAATACGTTTATAGCTATTATTTCTTCGTTTCTTTATTAAATCTCTTTAAAATTAAAGTTTTACGATATTATAATACTAGATACTTAGACTATTACGTAAGATTTATCGTATTCTCTATTTTATATAGCGTTTTAAAGTATTAAAAAAGAAGTTTAAAAGCCTATTTATAAGTAAATTAATAGAGGTTTAATAAATTTTAGATGTATATAAGTAAATATAAGCTATGAATTAGAATAAACTATATACTTATAATATAAACTCTCTTATAATTACGAGAAATCAAATATTAAGTTATTATTTTTTTATTATTTTCGAAGAGGTTTTAATGAATTTAAACTTACTTATAGTAAGATATAGCGTAGCCTATAACTAGTTACTAGTTACGAAATTTAGGTATTTATAACTGCTGTTACTCTCGGCTTTCGTGCAGAGTTTAGGCCTACATGGCCCAATCAGAGGCAAAGTCATTCGTCTGACTTGTTTGCTTGAAGTAATATGTTTCCCAATTCCTACATATCCATCTGTAAGTATGACAGGTCGACATATCCGCAGATTTACTCAGCACCTCATGCCGACTTACTCGTCAATGCCGGGTGGGCAAAGTAGTTGTCTCTCGTTGAATCAATAGAGGCGAGTGTAGAAGGGCGAGGACGTTAAAAGGGTCATTCAAGGAAGGGGGACATAGAAGTGTTCCTTCTGGGACCTTTACTGTATATTCTACATAGTGAACGTGGATCACTCAAAGACTTTCGCAAAATATTGTTGACCATGGCATCTCTGTAGCCCTAGCCTCGCATCCCAAACGTCGACTTTGCCCTCCATCCAACTTCAAAACAACATCCCAACATCATTATCCCAATCATGCACGCAATACCCATATCCTTACCATGCACATTCCCCACCCTCACCACCACATCCCTTTCTTCCGCATCTGGTACTCTACAACCTTCACAGTCCTCTCCCTCGTCCTTGCCTCCCTCCTCCTCGTCACCCCCGGCGACCACATCTACGAATCTTTCACAAAGGGCGAGATCTTCCACATCTTCATCGTCGCGGGTCTCTACCTGCTTACATTCCTGATCGCAGTCTTCATCTACGCGGGCAGGCTGTATGCGGCGCGCAGTGCGCTGGCGGGTATACCAAAGGAGGTCAATTGGGGCGAGGATCCGGGAAGGGTGGGCCGCGAGATCCGGAAAGGGTTGGCTAGGAGTGCTGATGTATCTTACGAATCGCATCCGAGAGACCTGAGGGACGAGAAGGCGGCGCGGGGGCTGAGGAAGAAGGCGAGGTTGGGGAGGACGGCGGAGGGGAGGCAGAGTCCGGACACCGTGACCGGCTTCGAGCCCGCTTGGGGCGTCATCTCGCACCCGGGCTGGTCGTCGCCCTGCTCGCCGGATCTACCCAATTTACACTACGAACCGGTCGTCCGGGAGCTGTCGCATCTCATCGAGGCCAAGGCCGTCTCCCTTGCTCCCTCCGACCCTCTCTTTTCCTACGAGCCCGACCTCAACCTTGATGGAGAAGAAGAAGATGCAGAAGCGCCGATACCGGATCCGGTTGCCGTGGAGCTCTTACAGAGACCGGCTTCCATGGGCTTGCGCGACTACTTGTCCCATCTGGCTACGGTCGGTATGGTCGACCTGGAACCCCTGGCATCCGATTTCGTGGCTCGATACGAATACGCAAGATACTCCGGGGAAGAGCTTGATGAGGGGGACTTCAGAGCCTTGATGGGAGTCTTCGCGGAGATTCTACGGGGCATGAGACCGTTGGATGTGGGTATCGTGGAGGAGATGCGGGCGGAGATGGCGGAGGCGATGAGCGGCGAGAGTGAAGATGGCGATGGGGCTGGGTATCGAGATGCAGAGAGTATCAATACGACTGAGACGGTCCGACGCACACCGCAGCCGGAGGCCTACTCCGCCTCTTCTTCTTCTTCTTCTCCTTCTCCTTCTTCCTCCTTAGCTGGCTCTCGCAGTGGCAGTCAGGGCACCATCCACACAGCTCTTTCTCGGCCCGCGGCTGCTAGGAACCCTTCGAGCAGGTCCCGTGACTCCGCCAAGAACCGTTCCGTTCATCAACCCAGTCTGAGCTCGTTAAGGCGGGTGAGGACTGATACCTCGAGCAGTGGGTATTCAGCAAGGTCGAGGGCGGGGAGCGTGATAAGGCTGAAGGAGGCGAGCGGGCCTTTGGATTTGCCTTATGCTATTATCACGGGTGATGGGGAGGAATTATGAACGCTAAGTTCAGGGGCTCGATTTGTTTGATAGCGATTCAGCATGGCGTTTGGGAGGTTGGATACCCCTGCAGGTCTTGAGCGGGCAACAGCTCACAGCTGCTGTGAATTCTGAAAGCCAAAAAATATATGCATTTCGTTATGACCCATCAAGGCTATCTACGGTTACCAGCTCGTGAGCCCCTTGGCCCGATCAAACCCACCTCTCAGCTGTCTCTCCGGCTTTACAACCTTGCCCTGCAAGACGGTATATTTGATTATACCTTCACAGTCCTCTGGCCGCACTCTCGCAAGCCAGATGCACTGAGCTCCCTCTTCCTCCTCCCATCCCTTAGCTTTCTCCTCCTCCCCGGCTGTGTCCTCTTCTTTCTCTGTGCCAGTTTCCTGGCCACCGTCTTCTATTTCTCCGTTCACATTTCCGATTTCATCAGGAACCTCTCTTCTCTTACCGACTGCGTCCGCACGTCGGTAGATCATGACATTGGCCGAGAATTTGTGCCCTCCGACATGGCTAATGAAGTATATGCCGACCCCTCCTGGTCTCTCATCATACATATCTCGATACAGTCCCAAAGGCCGGAGGTGCCGTTCAAACTCTCGCTTTAGCAAGGGCGCAGATTGCCCGCATCGTGCGTCTCGAGTGCGTTGGGAGCACATTAGGATAAGGTATTTGTGGGGACATGGGCGGGTTTGGAAGGGCGCTTCGCGGGAGCCTCGAGAAGGAAGGGTTGAGTGGTTCAGAGGCATGGATGTTGTAGGAGCGGGAGATACGTGGTTGTTGATGAGCCGAGGCACTGTAGCGGGGGTGACGTTATCGATAAAGGTGAAGGCGGGGAGGAGGAGGACGGTTGTAGGACGGTGCTGTGGCGGGTAGGGCTCGTGGGAGGGAAGGGGCAAGTTGGAGGCGGAGAGCATCAGTTTCTGTTATACACAATGATAGTCAGCTAGACCCTCGAACAACAGTCAGGGAAAGGGGCGCACATACCCCGTTACTAGGCTCAACCTTACAATCCCTAACCGCTTCCATCACACTCCCCTTCTCATCACTCACATCCTTTACCCAATCCGTCTTCCCGGTGGCCACAAGCATGTGTGTAGCGAACCCATTTACGTGTCCGTATAACTTCTCTTCCTCGTCAATTTTGAATCCTTTCGGATATTGGACCTCGCATGTCTCGCAGTCGTGGTCGCAATCTTCACCATCGATCGCCGGGTCCACCTTAGGGAAGATGAAGGCCGTGACTTTGGGTATGGAGTCGGTGGAGGTACGGGGGGTGAGGAAGGCTTTCCCCTTTTGAAGGACGGAGGAGAGCGACATTTTCTTGACGGTATTCACGGTAGGTTGGGACTGACTGTTGAAGCCGGAAGAGCGAGGCATTTCAGAGCGGAAACCGGCGGGAGTGGCAGGCTACCGCACGGAGGAATTGCGTGATGTCGCTTCCCTGGGGGAGCCATCTCGTTCTTATGTATTCGGCTGGCGCTCATTGTCTGATCCTAAACAAATCTGTAGCCTTCTGGCGCAGACGTCGTTTTCTGCCTAATTGGCCTTATCAGATGGCGCTTTCGGGGCCGAATAATTATCAGATGGCGCCAAAAATGCCAAACCCTCCAATACTTCTCGGTCTCCGATCCTCAAGACCGAGCCCATCGGCCGAGAAACTTATCTCCTTTGTCTTTGGCACGGAAGTACCTACCAGTCAATAGCATAGTACCCTCAGTGAGCCACTTTTTGAAATTAAAAATCAGAGTTTTCAGTGTCTAAGGTAGATACCACCCCGCGTGGATACTCACGTACTCAATATCTTAATTAGTCAGCCGGTCTATCAATCTTCCGCTCCGAAGCCCAGGCTCGTAATTTAAATTCGAATTTGGATGTTATAGCGGCATGACATAAGGTTCCTTCCAGACGATAACTACAGTATACACACATCTGCCATATAACAGCAAGCATGGCTCCTCAAAGTGTTCTTATGCTGTAAGTGCCAAGTCGACCATCCAAGAAGTGATTCACACACTAACAGCATCGCAGCGGCTCTGGTTTCGTTACCAAGCCCACTTTGGATATTTTGAGCGACGCTGGCATTGAGGTCTCTGTTGGTGAGTCACTTGCGAGAGACACTTCTCATAACTTTCACTGACGTTCTCCAGCCTGCAGAAATATCGACAGCGCAAAGAAGCTCTCCGAGGGCGTCAAGCTCGCAAAGCCAATCTCCCTCGATGTCACCGACGACAAAACCCTCGACGCTGCGGTAGCACAACACGATCTTGTTATTAGCTTAATCCCATACAACTTCCATCCTACCGTCATCAAATCCGCGATCCGAAACAAGAAGAACGTTGTCACCACGAGTTATGTCTCCCCAGCCATGCTCGAGCTTGAACAACAGGCAAAGGACGCGGGAATCACCGTTTTAAACGAGATTGGTGTAGGTTATAAACATTTTACTTTTCTTTTGAAATACAGGGTTACTAATTGTTAGCTCGATCCCGGCATCGACCATTTATACGCAGTTTCCATGATCGAGAGCGTACATAAGGCAGGAGGGAAGATCATATCATTCTTGTCATACTGTGGAGGACTCCCAGCTCCAGAAGGTATGAGGGCACAGATAAAATACAAGCTTACTAAGGCTGATTTTCAGACTCTGGAAATCCATTAGGCTATAAGTCAGCAACCCTGCGTACCTTTATATTCTCCTGACTTGTCTGTCTTGATACCCAAAACCGTCTTGAAAGAGTAATGCTAATATCGCATTGGTCGAAGGTTCTCTTGGTCGTAAGTAACCTGTGCACCTTCATATTCTCTCTTCTGGCCTGTCTTAGCTGCATATGTCCTCCTTTAGATTGTCTGAGATGTAAAGCTGGGTGCTTTTCACGTGGACATGCACCTAAGATATTGCCCTGACACCTGAATCCCTCCTGAAAGTGTTCTACTGACACTGCAGGGCTGAAGATCCCGTGGGGTTCTGCTCGCTCTAAGAAATGCTGCAAGCTTTTACCAAGGAGGAAAGGTTGTCAACGTTGCTGGTCCAGGTAAGCAACTCTGCGCACCCTCCAATTCAACATTCTGGCCCGTAGGCGCGTTTCGAATCCCACTCTAGGTTGTCTGGGCTGCGATGCCTAGCTTGGATTTTAAAATACCATATCTTACACCAATTTCTTCCCAAAAGAACAATGCTAACACCGCATGATAAAAGAGTTAATGGCCACCGCCAAGCCATACTACATCTACCCAGGTAAGTTTGAGAGACGCATCTCCCCTAATCGTCTGTGGTATCCTGATATCCCGTCCTTACTTGCATCCAGGCTTCGCTTTCGTCGCATACCCCAACCGTGATTCAACCACATATAAGGAACGCTATAATATCCCAGAGGCGAAAACCATCATCCGTGGGGTGAGGCTACCTTTTATTTCCCCTTCTGGCCTGTGTAAAAGGCAGCAGATCCTTCCCAATAGAGTAATGCTAACACCGTAGGGTTACAGACTCTGAGATATCAAGGATTCCCAGAATTCGTCAAGGTTCTCGTCGATATTGGCTTCCTCAGTAACGAGGAGCAGAGCTTCTTGAAGGAGCCAATCACCTGGAAAGAGGCCACTCAGAAGATCCTTGGTGCGTCTTCATCAAGCGAGAAAGATCTCTTATGGGCAATTTCATCAAAAACGACCTTTAAAGACAACGATGAGAAGAACCAATTGATGACAGGTCTCAAGTGGGGTAAGCAACCCTGCGCACCTTCGAATTCCCATTCCTGGTCTTTCTCAGGTGGAGTCATAGACTGTCTAAGCTGCAAAGCCACGTGGTGCACGTGGACATGCACCTAAGACATCGTCTCAGCACCCAAAACCTTCTTGAAAGAGCAAACCTGACACCGCGGCGTAGTTGGCATATTCTCCGATTCAAAGATTACCCCACAAGGAACTCCGCTGGATACTCTGTGCGCCACTCTTGAAGAAAAGATGCAATTCGAGGAGGGTGAGCGTGACTTAGTGGTAAGCACTGTCTCGGCACCCAAGACTTTCTTGAAAGAGTAGTGCTAATACCTAGGGTTCAAGCTTCTTCAACATAAATTCGAGATCGAGAACGAGGATGGCAGAAAGGAGACCAGAACTTCTACCCTCTGCGAGTACGGTGCTCCAATTGGAACTGGAGGCTACTCAGCAATGGCAAAATTAGTCGGCGTACCGTGCGGAGTTGGCAAGTTTCCCCACTGTCTGAAATCCCTTCTGGCACTGCAATGAATCTTCAGAGGGGAAGGTGCATTGCCACCTGAAGGGTCGCCTTTGACCACTGGGGATCTCAAACTGTGCCTCAAGACCCAGTCACTTCTGAAAAGAGGAGTTGCTAACGTTTTGTGTCACACAGCCGTCAAACAGGTACTTAATGGCACGATCTCCGATAAGGGTATTCTCGCCCCAATGAACTCCAAGATCAACGATCCATTAATGAAGGAGTTGAAGGAGAAGTACGGGTAAGTTTTCTTCATCCCAATCTCTTGGAAGTTCATATGCTTACGGAGCCCATAGTATCGAGTGTAAGGAGAAGATTATCCCATAGAGCAGTAGGATCTAGACCAAATCGTAGGTTACGGACCAAAACATTGGACATAGACCAAATCAAAAGCGATCCATACAATCATGTCAATTCTCCTAGCGTATCTCCTGATCTCGATTGCAGTCGACTCGCCTGAAGACGCTTCTGCCTGGAGTTGCTATGTTACGTGAAATTGACCAACAATTTTCGCGACCTTGGCGTGACAATACGGATTAGCCATATTAGCACTAACATTGCGATTAGTCAGCAATCATTTTTAGGTATTCGACTCAGTGTTAACTAACCCACGCTCTGTGAAAGAGTTAGCTTTCCTACTCACGAAATATATTCGATTCTTCACCAACCTAACCAACTGCTGAGCGATCTTGTTCATAAAGCAACGATGTTAATTTCAAATATATTCTCAAATCAGTTGAGGAGGCAGGTAGTGAATTCCAGGAGCTGCCGACCGAACACCAAAATCTGTCGCTTTCGACACCGCACAACTCAATAACAAAGCGCTTTACGGCAAAGCTTTCAATTTCGCAAATGCTTTGCTCAAGCAGATTCACAATATCATGGCACAAAATTTAATCGTAAAGCTTGTCGGTCGAAAGTTGTTGCGTTGCAAAGAAAGCAGATTCTGCCAAGACGATTTACTACCATTTTCTCCGAGATATGTCCCAAGGGGTTTGTTGAGAGCAAATGGTTGGTTTGGTTTGAATAGTTGGAGATAGGGTCGTGTTAATTGAAGTAGACCGTTCGAGCTGACTCTCCTGAGGTTCTCCGGTCCGCAGGAGCATCGGACGATCAAGAGGAACACGCAAGAGCCTCCGTGATCCTATCTTGAGCTTCCAAACGCGCTTTGTTCGTGACTTGTGTGCCACTTTTCTGTTTATCTGTCTTACCCACTCAGTTCCTCCGGCTTTCAGATCCTTGATTCTACCTTGGACATTTCGAAGATGATTTCTTCCCCCCCTGCTTCAGCGTAATGCCGTCGTGGCTGAAGCAAATAATTACATCCTCCTTGGTCTCCTGCACCCTTGAATCATGCTTTTCGGTTGTACCAGGTATCAAATCCGCTTGGTTTTCATCAACGTGGATACGAAGACTCCCATTTGTCGTGATTTGGATGCTTTGATAGTCCCAGTACTCTCTGACATGGTCTTCACAGCGACCAAAGCATTTCTGCGGTTCGCAGCACCTCTTACCACCGTACTGGTGGTACCAGGTACGATTCTGGAACCCGAAGTTATTTTGAGTTGACGTAGAAAAGGTTGGTGAATTTTGTCTAGAAAGCACTCTCGTCTTTCCAAAAAGGCGGCGGTATCTTGCTTCAAATATGAGGTTGCCCACGACCAAAGCCCAGGACCGCAGTCATCCTTTGTCAATATCCTGCCAAGGGCTTTCTCGTTTCCAACATGCTTCCAATATAGATCCAGTAGCGCTGCTCCTTGAATACCTTTTCGAAACATAGCTCCTTGGTTTCACAAACGTGTGCTGTTCGCTTCTTTGGTCTACAAGCCATAGATTTGCGATCCAACATTATGCGATGTACGAATGAGCCAGCATCGAAACCCTCCAGCGCATCGTCAAGCTCTGCTCAAACCTGAGCAGAGTGGATTTCGCGGCGATGGTGGAACCAATCGATTTCACGAGGTTAGAGGAGGTATAGCACGGGTTGCCATTACGGCTATCATGGAAATCTCATGCTCGATGTTTCCGAGCTTGAGGTACAACAATACGAGGACGACAGTGTTGAGTGGCATGCCAAAATTGAGGTACGTGGTGTGTAGATTGCATCAATCTTTTCATCTCAGGGCTCCCCTGGGCCAGTATCTGTATCCCTCACGAAATAGATGGGTGTTCCGAGAGGTGGCTGGGAGGTTGGGAAACTTATTTGGATATGGCACGAGGTCGAGCAAAACTTCCAAGTTGAGAGGGATATGGCACGATGCTGCCGAGGTGGGCACCAAAAGTCCTGCACATGCCGAGACTCCTGCGCCAAGAATCGGATAACGCCCCGCCTAAAGAGGGTGCCTGGACAATGTGCTCAGAGCTGCTTCGGAATTGCGCCCGACCTGAGCTTATTTTGGGGCCATTCCGCCCTTAGCAAGCCCATAAGAGAGGCCTAAAGTTCAATCTATGCGCTTTAAGGAAATCGTTCCTGGGTCCTTTGCTACATGGTCGTCTTCCGAGAGTAGGGTTAGGGCTATGACTAGCGCCGTGCAAGACTTTTGGTGCCCACCCTCCCACCTCGGTAAGGTATGTATGCTCGAATCGCTTTCAATGGCCGTTGGTGATGCGCCGTTGTCCCGATCTGTTTAAAGATGTTATATTGATAAAGGCGTAGTGCAACGACTCGGCAATGCCGCTGGCCATAGGTCGGCCAATGCCAAGCTTTGAAATCCTTTTTTGCGACGCCTGATCAGGCAGCCGAGGCAGCCACACAACGAACCCGATTTTGGCACCCACAATCCATCTTTACAATTTTCCCAAATCACCCTCTTTCGTAGTAATGAAGTTTCAAAATCCAAGACTGAAAATCACAACGTATTATCAATGCAACGTTCCGTGGAATTATTGCTTTCTTTCTTTCTTTCTTTCTTTCTTTCTTTCTTTCTTTTAGAGGATTTGACAGTGCAAATTCCAGTCGCGCAGTGGCATCCTTTGCGACGCTCATCGAAAACACGTCTAATACAGGTTTTCAATAATGCAGTGATGATGTAAATAAATTGTGACGCTTGGGGTTCTTTGCAGTGAAATCGGGTTTGTTTGTATGGCTGACTTGGTCCTGCGGCCGACTAATGATCCCGACGCCCATTCCCATGATTGGCTTCCAAAGACTGTGCCGAGATGTCAGCGTTCTACGCAGAAAGTACGAGGCTTCGTTTCCCTTGTTCTCGCTCGGGCGGCTCGCTAATTCAACCTTGGAGGAGCCATGTGCCTGTGACCATGGGTTTCAAGCCTGGATGCACTCCCCGCAGCTAAGGTTGCATTGCTCTAGCCTAGCCTTCTACATCTCCCAGCCGGAGACAAAAACGAAGACTCAGCTGGATGTCAGCTTTCTGCGGGTTGGGTGGCTCTCTCACATTTGCTGCTCTGCAAGTGGTGGATGAGTGCGTGGGTCAGACTCATCACTCATGCATGGGTCATCCTCCGATCCCCCTGCATAAGCCTTGGTCTATATATCACAGCACCTTTGCTGCTCTCTTTCGACTGATTCTCTCCTTGTTGTTTCTCATTGTAAAAAAAGGTTGTTGCCTTTGCTTCACATTCGTAACTTTTGAATCTTCTTGCTACACGAGAAAGTCAAGATATTGCTCAGGCGCGATATCCCGGACGCATCTGCAAATCGTCTCTTTACAGTAACAACTAGTTACGGGTACGAATCCAATGAGGAGTCTCAATGCTGCAGTGTGTTTCCAGCTCCTGCTGTGTTGCACTTGGGCTTCAGCCGTGTCGGCAGCATCGTTCCATGACCGAAGACAAACAGGCACCTCCGAAACCTCAGGTGCAGGTTACGCCTTCGGCAAAAGCGGAGTCGACGCTTCTTTCGACTATGTTGTAATCGGCGGAGGCACAGGTGGACTGGCCATAGCTACGCGACTAGCTGAGAACCCTTCCATTAGCGTTGCAGTGATCGAAGCTGGAGGTTTCTACGAAGCCGACGATGGCAATATCAGTGTCGTGCCTGCATATGACATCTTCTACGCTGGCACGGGCGCCAATACCACCAACCCGCTGGTGGATTGGGGATTTCTCACACAGCCTCAAGCGGTATGTTTTTTTGCCGCTGCTAGATCCACATCATTGACATCTTTGCAGGGCTGCAATAATCGAAAATTACACTATGCGCGAGGCAAGACGCTAGGAGGCTCATCGGCCCGTAACTTCATGTTCTATCAACGGCAAGTTAGCTGCATCGAATCGATCGCTTTTACTAATCGTTGCAGGCCGACCGTAGGAGCGATGCAGAGGTGGTCGGACGACGTTAGCGACCCAAGCTACACTTTTGCAAACCTTCTGCCTTTTTACAAGAAGAGTGTGCACTACACACCGCCAAGTATTGCTTATCCGAACAGCTCGAATGTTCAGGACAGCAGTGCTTTTGATCCCTCTGGAGGACCACTCCAAGTGTCTTTTGGCAAATATGATGACCCATTCGGAACTTGGGCTCAAAAAGCATTGCAAGCCGCGGGTGAGGTTGCTATCGCTGGATTCCAAATAGGCAGGCTCATCGGGTCCGCATACCTGGCATTCACCGTGAATCCCGTCAATGGTCATCGGTCTAGCTCAGAGGCAAGCTTTCTACAATCGGCCAAAAGCCCTACCAACCTGTTCATCTACAACAACACTCTGGCCCAAAGGATCATCTTCAAAGGCCCACAAAACACTGCTCAAGGTGTTACTGTCTCTTCAGTGGGGACCGATGTGCAGGAGTCCGGTCCCATCTACACTCTAAATGCCAAACACGAAGTGATCCTCTCTGCGGGAGGGTTTCAATCGCCGCAACTACTCATGGTCTCTGGCATCGGCCCACGAGAGACACTCGAAAGTCACGGTATCACTGTGCTCAAAGATCTCCCCGGGGTCGGACAAAATATGCAAGATCATGTTTTCTGGGGCACCTCGTTCCAAGTCGACGTGACCACCTCTTCCTCAGCGTTGAACCACCCTGAGCTCGAGGCCGAGGCTGTACAAGAATATAACGAAAACGCAACTGGTCCCCTCACAAATCCAATTGTCCCAGTCCTCGGATGGGAGAAGATTCCTCAAGCGGACCGTGCTGGCTTTTCAACCGCGACACAGCAAGCTTTGAGTACCTTCCCTGCCGACTGGCCCGAGATCGAGTTTATCCCCATCGGCACCGTTCTCGGCTACGCAGCCGACTTTGCAGCAGGGGATCCGGTGAACGGAAACAATTACGCCACAATGTCTACAGTGATAATCGCAGCGCTCAGCCGCGGAAATGTCTCCATATCAAGCAGCAAGATGACCGACCCGCCTCTCATCAACCCCAACTGGATGACCCATCCCGCAGATCAGGAATTGGCCATTGCGGCGTTCAAAAGATCCCGCGAAGTGTGGAAATTCATGAGCAACATCACGGTCGGAGAGGAGTATCTTCCCGGCCCGCAGGTGCAGAGCGACGCCGATATTCTAAACTTCATAAGACAGGCTCTGTCGCCAGTGTGGCACGCGGCTTCTACTTGCAAGATGGGGAGGCCAACCGACCCGATGGCTGTTGTTGATACGCAAACGCGCGTTTATGGCACGAAGAGGCTGAGGGTGGTTGACGCGAGTGCCTTCGCGGTCCTACCGCCGGGACATCCGCAGTCGACGGTGTATGCGTTGGCGGAGAAGATTGCGAGTGAGATCAAGGCGGGTCGTACCTAGGTAATCGATGCGTGTATGTTTGGGGGTGGGGGACGAGCAAAGAAGTGTTGGTTGAGCATAGGATTTGCCGTAACTCGTGCTATGTTGTACTGGCATACAAACTGACTGCATACATGGCTTAGAGAATATATCCATTCTTCAAAGACTTCGCGATCCCCCGACAGAAAAGAATCCATCCAGATTGCGCTCGCAGTATATTATTAGGGAGTTTCAGACCACTTTTTTTAAGCGTGGATTCTTCAGGTCGTGGGAATTCCAGCGATTTGCCACCAACTGCGCCATCCACTGGGGTAGCATTGGTGAAGAAAATCGGCCTATTTGGTGGATTTCTCGTGTCGATATTCTACATCTCTTAGCAAATCTATCCAATTAGAAGGCCTTCCTTCTTACCACTACTACTATTACCTCCCATTGCTATCACCTCCCACACGTCTACGTCTTTCCTACCGTCTTTCCTACCGTCTTTCCTACCGTCTTTCCTACCGTCTTTCCTACCGTCCTTCCTACCACGCCGTCGCAGACACCCCCCCCTCCAACCCTAACCCTAAGGATTAGGTACGGGGAAGATTACACGATTTTCTCGGGCAATGACTAAGCGGATTTATCACAAATCCACCAAAGAAGCCTATTTGGTAAGTTTACTGGATTTAAGATTTCGCATTTCCTAGTATTTCGCGTCTCCTCGTGAGACTAAGTAGCACAACAGCCATTTTCACAGCAATTCAGCTTGATGACGACATCAAAAGACGTTGTCTCTTCCGACACGGCCATGGAAGCAACGATCAGTGATCAGGACCTGAAAGCATCAGAGCCTTTCCCACTGCGACAACTTCCCCTTGAACTGCGCCGCAAAATCTACCGGCACAACCTTATGGCCACTCGAAATCCTTCTCCGAAAGCCATTTACCTAAAAAAATTACCCGATGGTTCGAGGGACCCTCCTTCTCCGCTGCTACTAGTCAATAGCCAAGTCCGTACTGAAGTCCTCGATCTGGTCCAAACATGGCCGATTTTTCTCCGGGTCACCCATCAGGGCATTCAATTTGGTAGTGTGGCAGAGACCTGTTTCATCGCACAGCAATGTTCAAGAGACTACGGCAGCATACCTCATCTTGTCGTAGAGATATGGCCCCCCCACCCTGATCGCCCGACAGATGCGATTGATATTTGGAGGCATCTTCGAAACCTCCGGGCGGAGCTACGTGCTGTACCTCTGCTGCAGCGAATCTCTTTCCTCTTTGCTGACAACGAAATGGCTTCATGGACTCATAATGGCAATGCCATCGCCCTCCTGGACTCGGGTGGCTATGACGCGGAACCTTTGGCATGGTGCAATGATGTAACTTACATCATGGACCTATTCGCCCGTATCAGCGCTGCGAGCGCCCGTTTCTACCTCCCCCATGGTTTGAAACCTGGCGAGACCACCGAGCACGTCCGTACCCGGCTCCGATCCGTTAATGCCATGATGATGGGACGCATTCCAATCGTTGAGGAAACATACACTGAAGAAGACGAAGAGCGAGCGGTATTTCAGGATTGGGTCGATGACTGTAGGGAGAGGAAACTTCGAATGAAAGGTGCGGAAATTGCGCGCGATAAGCTCGACGTAATGACGCGGCAAGGGAGAATGCAATTGACACAAGGACAATGGGAAGACTTCATTGCGGTGTGGTCGCCCCATTTTGAGAGTCTGTTGTTTCAGGAGTTCAAGGGAAAGCTACATTACGTGTACGAAGACCATCCATTGGATAGCGCATAGGAGGAATTTATGATCTACTAGCAATACGAATCATACTTCGATAGACCTCTCACGGTCTCGCTGTCGCCGTCCTCATGTTCTCCCAAGATGTTTTGGCCCTAGTCTCCTACGATTCAGGCTAATGCAGTCTCCTTATTGATGGGACTTGCTCTACCGTTGTTGGGAAGGCCTACTGGAGGCGAAAAGATCATCGGCCGAGGGGTATGCCGTATTCTTATCAGGGCTAGGGCAATTTGACTAGACTGACCATGAGGATCGAAGCATACATGCACCCGGGTATGCTTCTGTCAGTTGTATATTCGATATTTACGAAACATCAAGCCGTTGCTTCCATCGGATTCCATTGACAACCCCTCACGGATTCGCCGGTTCCCTGGGTGCGCCTTTTGATACTATCGCACCGATCATGAAACCAACAGAGACGGTGAAGGTACGCCAGATTTTCGAGACTTTACCCTGTGGCTCATGACTCAGCCTTCCGAGCGCCTCGTATCCTCAACACGCCAAATAAGCCCCCAAGCCTCTAGATTCAACAGAGATCCAGAAACCAGTCAATACTTCCGAGATTGCTACACACCGCAGTGGCGATTCAACGCGCTGGCTTAGGACTCAAAAGTGTGAATGGACGGATGGTACCGATCTTATACAAGTGACGGACATAGTCTGCTCTCGATCTGCTCAATGCGCAGACTTGTTGGCCCAGTGTCGTCAATGCATCAATTGACGTGGGGCTTGCAATAAACAACTCTCGGGGCCTGCAGTCGGTTTCCCAACCTCTGATTGCAAAACGCACCTTTGACGAAATGAATATTATGCGTGCCAGATGCTGAGCCGTTATCAAAGTACTCAGGCAGCTCCAATTTTACGATGGCAAGACGTTTGTCATTTCTCCAGCTAAGCGCTATATATTAGTATACTTGAGAACGCAGAGAGTGCATTCGTTCTACTGAAACGACCTCCTACTTGAGTCGCCCACTCCGGGTGGTTGAACATGATCCAGATCCGTTAGCGCGATGCCTTCGCTGCCCTCGCTGGTCTTATATGGCCGTACGGTTCCATTACCGTCAGATACCGCTTCACCGCCGGGCCCACACTCGAGATCTCTCCCGTTCCGATCGTATGATTTCTCGTCGCTGGCGTAGGTCACAAGCCCAATCCCTCTGCGAAAAGATCGATCAGAGCTTCGAGGCGCCCATGCCCAGCCTCCACCTCGGCTGATTGGAAGGTGATACCAGCGGAAGCCAAGCCATGCGCTAACGATACCCAGGATTGCACCAGAGATGATATCGAAGCCGTGATGCATGAAGTCGGAATACCGTGTCGAAGAGATATAGATTGCGGCACTGATGGATACAAGCGGGAAGATAATGAGATAGGTAGGCGGCGCAGCTGCTTGCTTGCGAGGCTTAACATGCTGCTTGTTCCTGTCTATGTCTTGGTAGTTAAGGAAGGGTATAGTGACTGCCAATTTAGTACAGAGGAACAAGGCGAAATATGTCAGGCCGGCGAAGGAGACTATGAGGAGAGATGTCAGCTGATGATTAGAGGCCTGAACCCGGTTCATCTACCAACTCACATGACGAATGACCGCTAGGAAAGCTTCTGAACCCGTCATCCAATGTCGAACCAGAATTACGGCAGATGGTCCAAGAGACGAGGTTGATTCCTTCATCGACCTGATTACCAATTCCCCCGACCGTGCTATTCAGGAGTCGCGACAGATCCGGTTCACATCGAGCAAGCATATTAGGCCTTGGCTTTCCAACCAAATTCTTCGTGCCAGATGTGATCATGAAAGCAATAGCCAGCGAGAGCCCAAGGCCCATCCATGCAGCGTTCCATTCCCATATCTTGCGTTTCCAAATCTTCGAACGGGAAGCACTCTCAAATGCGGGACCTGGTACGACCGCGAGGCATACGATGAATGTAATAATGGCTGGAACGACAAGCCCGATGGCTACCAGCAGGCCTGTTGAGACCTTTTCCTTTGTGACATATGGGAAGGAGATGTCTGCATCGGTGACATCGAAGGGTCTCTTATTGGGCGTGGCGACCGAGAATCCAGCGCCGACTGCTGCAATTGCTCTACGGCAATGTCAGCTTGGCGTTTCAGTGGTTCATCGTGTTTGCAGGACGCTTGACTGCTTACATTATTATAATCCAGTCGATGATGTAGGAAAGTACTAATCGAACAGAGCCTCGACCGTTTGATTTGATCTCAGACGCCATAACATCAAGATGCCGTTAAATTAAGACCACGTACGAATGATGAAAATAATAGTCAGCATATGAAGAGGAAAAGAAAGCGCGAATGGCAGTTGATCTTGTGAAAGATTGCCAAGAACAGCCAAGCGTACTCGGCCGAGTAGTTGCCAAGCCGGCCGAGAACAGGAAGTGAAATCTAGAGGTACCTTACATCTTCCTTCCCACTCTCAAATCGGGTTCGCAGTTTACCGAAATGCATTGGGAGCATGTGTTCGGTATTTTGCCATTTGGTGTCAGCGGCGACCGTGCCTCTAATCTAGAGTTCGCGTAATTCTACGGCGGCGATGCCGATGGGAGAGGATTTATGCGCGTTGGAAGGAGGAAGGTTGACAGCCTTGAATGATATCGTATCATCGTGGGAACATTCGATTTCGGAAATTTCAAGCGCGCGTGGTCCGATGAGGGTTGCGATGAATAACGGGATTCTATGGTTATTGTGTTGGTGTGCTGCTCATTTTGTTTGACAACATTGTGAGTAAAGGCTGAGACAAAGAAGGGTTGAGAGGGTCGTCAGGTGTGAGAGGCCGAGCGAAAGCATGGTGGTTTTTTGGACTATCAATTCTTATGGAGACGGTAGGTGGGTGACGCTCTGGACCAATTTGCGAAGAATGACTTTGTTGAGATGACAAAGAGCACAGATCTTCCCCTTGGGGAAAGCATCGACTTCAATGTGTGGGAAACAGGTCTCAGGAATGCTTTCTTTTATGGCCCTCGAACTTCTTGACATCCCTGCCATTGTCAGGCCAACAATCTTCGGAACCAGATTGGATCCCGACGGCGCTTAGGGGAACATTGAGGGTCCATTATAGATCTATGGTTTCGCGCTTATCTAGGGTGACATTGGTGGTATCTATCTGAGATGATACGAAATGGAAGAAGGCTGTCCGATGTCGCATCTATCGTGGGAAAGACACTCGATCTTGAGGCATATACCCCGCCAACACGTGTTCAGAAACCGGCAATAGCGTTGATACAGGGAGGTGATCTGGGTTGATGTTCACGGGAGAGACTCTCAAATGGGCAACATGGAAGGCTGGCGGTTGGCAGAGATCCAGGGATTGGGTGTTGCGGTTGCACATGAGATGGGAAACACAGCATGGCCTCTAACGAAACTGTGAGTAGATTTGCATTTGCTAGAGCTAAGATGTCGTAAGTGCTGAACTGAATACTCGTACATGAACGTCTGCTACCAACGAAGCCGCTCCACGGCGCCAAGCCATCGAAGCTCTTATCTATGCACAATAACCCCGGACATGCTGTAAGTGTGCTTTAGCAGATGAAATCAGAACCCTGCAGTCCTGAATCTTTGGATCGTTGGCACAAAAATGATAGACACTTGAAACGTAGCCGACGGAGCCATCTTTGATCATGCGGTAGCACCAGCACTACGGAGTTCGCAATTCCAGCAACTTGACAAATGTCCCGATCGTCCGAAAATCAGGTAGCATCATCTTCAGCCTCCTTCTGGTCCAATGACGCCTTCTCGAAGTAGTGTTCTGCGAGAAGGGAGACATCGCTGGGCTGCACTGCACCATCTTCACCCGGTCCAGTATCGTGCTGAGAAAACAGATGCTCTCTGTCTCTTCGGGCTTTATTTGGCGTTGAATCTTTTTCAAACGTGAACTGCGCTTCTCTCTCTGGCCATGGGAACGCCTTCTTCAACTTTTCTTCCTTTTCTTTTGCAGGAGTGGGATGTTCGCCTGGTGGATATTTGCTGATAATGCCCCAGACGTCCTTGGCCCATCTTCCTGCGTAATCCATCTCGAGGATAAATTTTTTGTTGCTAATAAGGCGACCAGAGTCGCTGAGCTCTCTCGGCATAGATTCATGTGGGCGTGGCGATGTAAACCAGACCTCGGGAATTAGTCGACGCGGAATGAAAAAAGCGTAATTCGGGTCCAAGGTGATAGAGTGCGTGAGAAAATAATCAGCATATCTGAGGTGATGGCGGTTGTCGCCGTTCTTGGGTTTGCCCACAATACTGTGGCTGATGACAGCTTCAAGACCGTTTGGGAACTCTGAGCACCTGGAGATGACGATTCTGAAGTCTCGCAGCAGTGGTTGGTAGTCCAAGAAGTCGATGTTCATAGACGATCTCCACATGGGAAATTTCTCGTGGATGATTCGCAGTGCTTTTTCCTCTTCTTTTTCGGAAGCCTGTATTGATCGGTCAGATTCTGTCAGTTGTGTTCCTGATACTCCAGGCATAATGGCCACCGGAGTGTCGGCCCTTGGGATTCGTCCATCCAACCCGATTTGGAATGGAGTGGTGGTGGGGTGCATAGGACGGTTGGCGCTTCGCTTGACCTCGTCAATGTGTGCTAGCAGAAGTTTGGTAGAGAAGCTGTATGCGAATAAAGTTGCGGCTGGTATTTCATCAGGAAAATACTCGTCTTTGCCAGTGCTCTCGCCTCCTTCGACTCGCCAGTATAATCTATGGGGAAGCAGTGCGATTAGGTCGTGATCGTTGGAAAAGGTAACAATCAAGAAGTCGGAAGCTTCACGTTGTGCTGGCGATATGTGGCACTGAGAGCGTTCGATCTTTTCTCCCTCAGCATCCATTCCGTCCTCCTTGAATGCAGTAACTATGCTAAAGGTCACGTAGCTGATATCCTCTCTCGACGTTTGGAAGTATCGATCTGCATATGACTTCGGGAAGAAACCCTGGCCAAGGTACACTGCACCGTCACAGATGGCGTTTTTCCAGGCTCGAACAACGGGGGCGTCGGTGAGTAGGCTGAAGATGCGGGCTTTGTGGCAGTGAATCTCTTCTTCGAGTGTGAGCGTGGCATGAGCTTCGGTTTCTGCGCTGCTTGTCTCCATGATCTTGCTGCTAACGACTTGTTCCGCAAGAACTGCCGATTGTCAGCAAAGGCTTCATCATGCAATACTTTACATTGAAGGAGGTTGGCTGGCATACCAAGTCGGGGCACTCAGATAAGGTAAACTGACCAAAGTTATGTGGCGAATTGTGACTCTGGGGAGCACTCCTTTTGATGAAGACTAATTCAGCATCATCAATTAGTCTGGCAGTACTGAGGTAGAACATCCAGGCACTGTACCGTTTTCTGATGCAGAATTTGGGAATAAAACTTCGCAATGGGATAGTTGAAGTGAGATGGATCAAAAATCTCGCGTCATCCTCACACCTTTGTTTACCGAGATCTCGTCCGGATATTTGCTCCGACCTTCACTTACATTTTTACTACCGCCACCATGTCGAGCACTTTGCTAATCTACGCATTTTCTGACATGCAGTCAGAAAAACCCAACCTTGGCCAGCCAGGAGATGCGAGGAAAACGAAAATTCCCCGAGACTACATGTGCAACAGAGCAAGTGGCCTTTCTGCAGCTCTTCAGAATCAGCGGTCGATGGAATCTGAGAAGGTTGCGGAGACAGTAAGCTACTCAGGTTTTGGTCAGAATCTTAAAATGGGTTATCAGACGTGATGCAAATGATGCTGACAATGCCCTTCCAAAGAACTGCTGGATCTGCGGTGCGGTGTACTCCCGGGAAGATCAAATGGTCTACACAAAATGCTGTAACGAAGCCATTGGGTCTTACTGCAAAGCTCGAGATATCGCTAAACATGGAAAATGCTGGAATTGTGACGAGGAAGAAGTGCCGAGCAAGGCAGCTTCCGAGGCAAAGTCCTGGATTTCTTACGACCTCAAGGATCCTATCAAAGAGGCTCCACGTCTCCCACAAACTGTCACTTCCCTTCCAGCAAAAGGTGCTGGCCATCAGCCAGCAACAGCGACGTTGAAAGCTGGCAGTATCTTGCCCAGCGGATTCACCACCCAAGGTTCCAATTCCCCCACCTTCTCTAACACTTGAGAGTCCGATCGATCTCAAATCTTTCAACCTCTCTGCATAGGACTGACTGAAGAGCAATGCGCTCGAGAAGTAGCGATGTATCGATCGCAAAGTGCGAAAGAGAGCTCCAAAGTTGTGAGGATGGTACCACAATCTTCGCCCAATCCGAAGACGGAAATACGAAGGAAAATAGTCTTCTTAACGGAGGCTTTGACCAGGCAAAGGCCACTTCTCCGAAACAACAAGACTTCCTCCACAATGGATCTGAGTCCGCCAGCTCTGATTTTTCCCAGGACGTCCAGCAGCATCTTGGTGGCTTGACTCAAAAAAAGCAGGAGCGACAAGTTGCTAAACAGTACGTGATCGGAGCCACCAAGCATCTTGTAGAGATGTGCAACACGTACTGGAATGAAATCGATGGGGCGGATAAGGATGAGGTTATGAATGAGGTTCTAGAAGCTGTAAGAGGTAAGTCGCCTGTTTGCTAATGACGCAGAAAATGTCTCTGATCGTTTCCAGGCTGCAAGACGTCCGAAGCTGCGATTAAAAAGATGGCCCTTGGAAGGCCCTCAACTCTTACCACACGGCCAGCATCTATTCAGAGTCACGCGACTGTCCACACCCCAGACTTCCAGTCCGTGGAAACCCGGGCATCTTGCAGCAAGTGCGAAGAACTCCAAGCCAGACTGAAGAAACTGCGGATGCCCTGCTAAGTCTATAGACCTACTTCGACATCGCGTCAGGCAAGCCAGGTACCCAATATGGATGGTAGGGTGGCCTTGTTATTACGATCGGTGCGATGTCAGACATGGAAAAAGATGGATAGTGAATATTTCGATCCTTGCTCGGGCACCTCGCATTGCGCTTTGTCTGCTCCTTTAAGATTCTTCGCACGAGTTGTTTAGCACATCGCATTCAAGGAAAAAGGTTCAGCTGCAAAAGAAACGTCTATGCTGTTTCAAGTGAGAGCGTGGCTCTTTGAGGGACTCAGGCTCTACTGCTTCGATTCTCGTTTTCATTGAAGCCACCTAACCATAGACATTTGCAGACATAACCCAGAACAGAACTCCGATGCTCTTCGTCTTCGATGCAGAGCTCAATGCACATCGACATTCTCATAGGCGGTCCTTTGACCTGATTTCAGCAATCGACCGAAATTGCTACTGCAAACCCAGCCAGCGTCCCACTACAGGCCATGGCCCTGCTACCAACTGACACGTCATCGCTTCCAAATAGATATCCCATCAAGACTTCTCTTCTTTCGAGCCCCTCAAGTGTCTGACTGCATCGAAGCTGTAGAGAAACGCTGTGCAAGCTCTTCCTCGGCCTCGCTTTCTTCTCGAGCTGAATCCACAGCACCGTGAGTGGGACACTCAGAAGGAAACATGTTCGGAGTTCCTACGCCGTCCAGAGATGGGAGTCTCCATGGACAGATACCACAGTGATTTCCTGGTTTGATAGGACTGGCGCTGGGGGGGTCATGTTAGACGCGGAACTCAATGCCTCAAGTTCTCACTGTTCCAACCTGAAGATTTCTCACGTTTCAGAATTTCAGGCGGTTTCAATCTGTATACACTACACCCCTCCACTAAGACGATATGCGCGTTGTTGCATGTTCAGCGCGGTACTTGTTCGCATGAACAGTCTGAGGACTGACAGGCTTGTGACAAGGGCGGGCGAGGGTGATTGATTCCTCCCTACTTAGTTCCAGCGACCTTGTTATGACGTTGATAGCAACATGCTTCTGTTTATCCACTGGTGCTCGAGCCCGTATGCGGCAGACTGCGCAGTGGACCGCGGCTCGAGAATATCTTTTTCCTCCACCAACGCGGTGTCTCTCCAGTTCAATGCGCAACGACCTCTCATAAAAGCGCAGTACCGGGCGACAGCTTTGACACAAAACGGTTGAGGCTACTCAGAGTCTCCTTATCTGCCTTTGTCCGGTTTCAGTATTGTTTGAGTATATGCGCCCGATCTGTTATCGTATATTAGCGACACATCTGTCCGCGTACATATTCCCGCATATCATATTTCCGATCATGTAGTGTGCTCCGAGCGCAGTCCGATCGCTGCATATTTTGATCAGGTAGAATGATGTATTTTCTATTCCAAAGCCAAGATGAAGGCCGTACGTACAAGTGAATCATCTCCTTGTGCGATACTTTCATTTCTCATCAGCCTGTTCATCCTCCACACTCAATCTCTTGCCCTCACTCCATCTCTCTCCCTCACGGTCCCCACCAACCTCACGGACCTCTTCGGGTTATGGTCATACCGTCACTGCGTGTCCGATCCAACGTGGAACCCTCGCACCGTGCACATCGCCTCATCCTGCGAAAACGCCCTCGTCGCCCTCTCCGACGACTCCTCGACCTGGGGCCTCCATCCAGGCACTTTCACATACAACCTTGGCGGACGCTCCACCGCCTACTTCCCTGGGGCACGTTCTCTCCTTACCCTTCCTAAACGTTATGTAGTTGGGGACTGCGTGGTTGCGATTGTCATGATGAAGATGTTTGAGCGAAGTAGTATAGGCCAATTTCCTGGACTGCCGGACTCCGTGATTGGAAAGTGGCGTGACAAAGATTCGAGTACTTGGAAGGACATGATTGAGCCGGCGGAATACGTGAGGGCGACTTGTAGAAATGGGTGCGGTTATGCGGTTTTGGGGAGAGAACATGGGATCGGCATTGCGATTTGGGAGACAGGAAGTAAATGGGATCGGTATGCTAGAGAAATGAGCTCTTTGAGCGAGGTAGACAAGGTAATACCGTCGTTGGAGATTGGGAACACTTCCGTTGTCGGGATGGGTAATGGATCTATTTTGGAGGCGTTGCGTTAGGATTTCCTAGGAATCTAGAGATGTTCGAGCGCCGGCGTTCTGGATGACATGGTTAGAGATTTGCAGCATAAGGGTTTTGAACCAATGCCGCTGTCACTCCATGCGCTCGTTGTACCTGTGCTTCGTCTCTACGGCTACCGAACCGGGAAGATCAAAAGCTCACATCCCACATTCGAGCACGAAAAGAAAAGTCCTTGAATCCGAATACATTGACTCCGCCTGGTCATCTCACGGACGGGTCCTGATAGCGACTGAGATAGCGAGAATTTGTTCGACTGCCAAATTACCAGCCAAGGAAGCGCCAGATGTTTCGGCGTGTATTGAGCGCCAAATAGTTTTTCGAAATTATGGGGTGCTTCCATAGGAAAGCAAAGGAGCAGCATAGCTGAATAAGTGAACAAACATATAGCGTAACGGACATACAACTAGACTCGGAGAATGGGAAGAAGAGAAATGACCAACCCAGTGTGTATAGCAGAATTGATCGACTTACCTCGCAAGGCACAATGTTGGGGTTCATTGATTAGTTACTATCCTTGAGGAAGGGATCTCAAGAGAGGATGAGGATGCAAGGCTTGGCATGCTAATCCGCATCGAGTAAGCGTTTCTCGGTCTTATCTTCCGAGTCTTCGCCATCATTCAACTGTTCTCCGCCCAAGCAAGACATCAAGCAATCATCACAGCCATACCTCGAGATCTGCAATCCTCGCTTTAGGATTGGGACATTTGAGAAGGAACCACCGCATTGCGTCCAAGGCGTTTCTCCAGTTGAGCCCTTCGTGGATAGACAATCCAAACCTCTCGCATCATGGCGGTCCCCAAGGATTCCCTCTTCCGCTCCTGCGACATGTCCTTGACCCAGCTCTACATTGCGAACGAGATTGGTCGAGAGGTCGTCAGTGCTCTGGGGGAAGTGGGCGAGGTTCAGTTCCGAGATGTACGTATTGCCTCTTCCTGGTGCTAGACCTGGGCAGTAGGCTGCAAATCTTGGGGCCTTGAGGACGGGGCGAACCTCGAACGGCAGTCTCCTTAGTGATTTCCAAGTGACGTTTTTGGGACAGCCCTGGCATGTCGAGCTTGCTGACATTCTATCTCTGATAGTTGAACTCGGAGACTACAGCTTTCCAAAGGACCTTCACTCAGGAGATTCGAAGACTCGACAATGTCGAGCGGCAGCTCCGCTACTTCCAATCCCAAATCAACAAAGAGTCAATACCTATCAGACCGCAGCATGAATTCTCAAATATGCTTGCAGCCCCTTCAGCTTCTGAAATTGACGAGCTCTCCGATAAGAGTGAAAGCCTTGAGCAGCGAGTGGCATCTCTTAATGACAGCTACGAGACGCTCAAGAAAAGGGAGGTGGAGCTTACAGAGTGGCGCTGGGTCTTGACGGAAGCAGGTGGTTTTTTTGACAGGGTAGGTCGCCTCGATCATATATCTTCGAGACTGTCGCTCAAGCTGATAGGCTTTCAAGGCCCATGGCAACGTCGACGAGATCCGCCAATCTAGCGACAATGACGAAGCACCACTGTTACAGGATGTTGAACAGCAAGCAAGAGGTCAAAATGGAGATGCCTCTGGTGGACCATCGCTTTCTGTGATGAACATTGGCTTCGTTGCTGGGGTAATACCACGAGGCAGAATAGCCGCTTTTGAACGCATCCTATGGAGAACGCTACGTGGGAATCTATACATGAACCAATCCGAGATACCCAAGCCCCTCATCGACCCGGTCAACAACGAAGAGGTTCACAAGAACGTCTTTGTCATTTTCGCACATGGCAAGGAAGTCATTGCAAAGATCCGCAAGATATCAGAATCACTAGGCGCCGATCTATACAGCGTGGATGAAAATAGCGAGCTTCGACGAGATCAAATACACGAAGTCAATACCCGGTTGAGCGATCTGGCGAGCGTTCTCCGCAATACGAAGAACACTCTTGATGCAGAGCTCACACAAATTGCCAGAAGCTTGGCTGCCTGGATGGTTGTCATTAAGAAGGAGAAGGCCGTATATCAAACACTCAACCGCTGCTCATACGATCAAGCCAGGAAGACTCTGATCGCCGAGGCCTGGTGTCCGACGAACGGTTTATCCTTGATCAAATCTACTTTACAGGACGTCAACGACCGGGCAGGATTATCAGTTCCAACGATTGTCAACGTGATCAAGACTTCAAAAACACCTCCCACATACAACAAGAGGAATAAATTTACGGAGGCTTTTCAGACAATCATCGATGCTTACGGAACAGCCAAATATACGGAAGTCAACCCGGGCCTGCCAACTATCGTAACCTTTCCTTTCCTGTTCGCTGTTATGTTCGGAGACTTTGGCCACGGGACGTTGATGTTCATCGCTGCCCTTGCCATGATATATTTTGAAAAGCCCATGTCGAAGACTAAGCTCAATGAGCTTGTGGCTATGGCTTTCTACGGACGGTATATCATGCTGATGATGGGCCTTTTTTCGATATATACTGGACTTATTTACAACGATGTCTTCTCGAAGGCGCTCACGCTTTTTCCCAGCCAGTGGGAATGGCCACATGACTTCAAGGAGGGGGAGACTGTGCGGGCTCAGCTTAAGGGCGGCTACAGGTACCCATTTGGACTTGACTGGAGCTGGCATGGAACCGAAAACGAATTACTCTTCTCCAACAGCTTCAAAATGAAGCTCAGTATACTAATGGGCTGGACTCACGTATGTTATATTTGTATGAGTTACGGAGTAGTGATGCTGACTTGCTTAGATGACCTACTCTCTATGCCTCTCCTTTATCAACGCGCGTCATTTTAAGACACCGATCGACATTTGGGGTAACTTCGTGCCTGGCATGATTTTCTTCCAATCCATTTTCGGGTATCTTGTCTTCACAATCGTCTATAAGTGGTGCATAGACTGGTACGCAATTGGCGAATCGCCACCTGGGCTACTGAACATGCTTATATACATGTTCCTCCAGCCGTTGACGGTAGATGAGCAGCTTTATCCGGGACAGATGGTTGTTCAGGTGATATTACTACTAGTTGCCGTTGCCTGCGTACCAGTCTTACTCCTGCTAAAGCCATTGTATCTGCGATATGAGCACAACAGGGCTCGCGCACTGGGATACCGAGGCATTGGCGAAACATCAAGATTCAGCGCTCTGGACGATGACGATGCGGATGGGCATGCTATGAACGGCGGCCGAGACAGCATGGGATCGGATCATGAGGCCAATGCAATGATCACCGAGGATATCGGCGATGAGGAACACGAGGAGTTCGAGTTCTCGGAAGTGATGATCCATCAAACGATCCACACCATCGAATTCTGCCTGAACTGTGTATCCCACACCGCGTCCTACCTCCGTTTGTGGGCCTTGTCGCTCGCCCATCAGCAGCTCTCCGTCGTATTATGGACTATGACACTTGGCCAGGCGTTTAATTTCGAAGGGGTCCTGGGAGTGATCATGACCGTCGTCTTCTTCTATGTTTGGTTCTTCCTGACCATCGCCATTCTCTGCGTAATGGAGGGTACAAGTGCAATGTTGCATAGCTTACGATTACATTGGGTCGAGGCGATGAGCAAGCACTTCATGGGAGACGGGATTGCTTTCGAGCCTTTTAGTTTTAAGTTGCTATTGGAGGAAGATGCGGATGAAGGATAATGAACTGGGCGCTTTGATCTATGTAGCATAGAGGATACATTACCTGTACAAACATGGTCTCGCTTCATCAGAACTTGATTAAAAATTAGACTTCGTAATAGACCCGACATTCATGTTGCTATTACGTCCAGAGCAGTGTCGTGTGCTTTCCGTCCGTCCCACATATGCACTGTGACGTTTTCTCTACCCCACGCGGAGTCGGGGATTTTTGCTCCACCTGTTCTCCTACCAGGCAACTCATCGATTCTGGATTCTACGAGTCACCAGCGCGGCACATGCTGGCCTTTCGCCTCATACCCTCAATCTAGGAGTGCGTTCTTCTAGTTGATACGGTTGCAGTGAGAAAGCATCGTTCAAAAGCCAGTCAACGCCCAGGTAGCGAATCTCAGCCAAAACGCCTGAACTTTAACGAAGCGCTGCCTTAGCCCGTTCGTTCAAGGGTCATTAGGTTTGCAAAGTCTTCAGTATTTTCTCCAGCGGTCACTATTCCGTGACCAGCTCAAGAGAAACGCTGCCTGCTGTATATACCGCGTCCTCGAAGACTTGACTGCCTTCACTTTACGGACTTTCTAGCGCATCTACAGCAATCGCACTCGCTCGATGCACCGTATTCTCTGCGAACTGGGCCATTACGAAGAAGATCCAGCAAGATAGGAAAGAGACCAAAGTGCCAACATGGCAAGGAAAAAGGAGCTCGTGCCCATGATCAATTGGGTATACGACCTGATACTATGGGTGATGTCTGTTCTGGTTGATCTCTTCTTCAGAGAAGTCCATCCACGAGGGTCATGGAAGGTGCCGAGACGAGGGCCCGTCATCTTCGTTGCGGCCCCTCATGCGAACCAGGTGAGCAGGCTGCATGCTGTCTTGGGGACACGCACTGACTATAGTAGTTCGTCGACCCCCTCATCCTGATGCGAGTAATCAAAATGGAAGCTGGTCGCCGCATAGCCTGGCTTATTGCCGAGAAATCCATGAGAAGAAAATTTATTGGCGGCCTAGCCAGAGCAGCAGGGGCGGTTCCCGTAGGAAGAGCGTTAGATAGCACGAAGCCCGGCACGGGCAAGATATACCTTCCGGACGCAAAGAATGATCCTACGTTGGTACGAGGAGTTGGCACGCAATTTGAGAAGGAATGCCAGATTGGAGGGCTTTTGGTTTTGCCGTCTGTGAATGGTACTGCGGCTAACTCAGACATTTTGGAGATACACGGGAATGAGGAGATCAAATTGAAAAAGGAATTCAAGGGTGATACGGCAATCGAGCAGCTTACGGGGAAAGCTAAAGTCGATGGCGGAGAGAAAAAGGTGGAGACCAGCGATGAGGAGAAACAGGGTTTCCAGGGAACAAGCTATAAGACTGCGCCGAAGGTTGATCAGTCGGTGGTGTATGATGCTGTGTTTGAAAGGCTCCAGAGTGGCGGCTGCGTTGGTATCTTTCCTGAAGGTGGAAGCCACGACAGAACAGAGTTGCTGCCCTTGAAAGCCGGCGTCGCGATAATGGCTCTTGGATCATTGGCAGCAAATCCGGAGTCAGGCGTCAAGATCGTTCCGTGTGGTATGAACTATTTCCATGCCCACAAGTTCAGGTCACGAGCGGTAGTCGAATTCGGCCCCCCTGTTGATGTACCTACTGAGCTTGTGGAACTCTACAAAAGTGGCGACAGACGAGAAGCAACACGTCGATTGCTGGAGATAGTGTATCAAGCTTTAGTCGCGGTGACAGTGACGAGTCCTGACTATGACACTTTAATGGTGCGTATCATTGCAATTGACGAACGTGGCTCCTTGCTGATCTCTCATAGTTGATCCAAGCAGCTCGGCGGCTGTACAATCCCACGGGTAAGAAGCTGCCTCTTCCAATGATTGTTGAACTCAATCGGCGGCTGGTGAAAGGGTATACTCAGCACAAAGACGATCCCAGGATTGTCAATCTTAAGAAGTCCGTCAACGGATACAACAAACAGCTCTGGCTCCTCGGTGTACGAGATCATCAGGTCGAATACGCAAGGTTCTCAATACCGAAAGTCGTCTTTACACTCATCTACAGACTTGGGAAACTTGGTGTGTTGACCGTTGGAACATTGCCAGGCCTAGTACTCTTTGCACCAGTCTTCATATCTTCGAAAATTATTTCCATAAAGAAGTCCCGTGAAGCCTTAGCGGCGTCGACAGTGAAGCTTCAAGGGCGCGACGTCATGGCTACCTGGAAGCTGCTCGTCGCTCTCGCCTTTGCCCCAATCCTCTACGCTACTTACACAATTACCTTGACCTATTGGACTCACAAAAACAGAGTCCAGGGCTACATGCCAGAATGGGTCCCCCTATGGATGGTCGTTTTATTTGGTGTAGTCTTCTTCCCATCCATAACATTCGCCGCCCTCCGTATCGGCGAGACAGGCATGGACATCGTCAAATCGCTTCGGCCTCTGGTCTTATCTCTCTATCCTACCTCCGCAAACACTCTACAGCAACTCCGCGAGAAGCGCGCCACGCTCTCTCATGAAGTAACAGACGTCATCAATACCCTGGGACCGGAAATGTTTCCAGACTTCGACTCCGCCCGCATTATCGCCGATCCCTTTCGCGACGGCGCTCTTCTATCTCCCAAGTCTCCACGCACCCATTCCAGAACCTCGTCCGGCTTCCCTCCGACCCCTCCAACCCGCAGCAACGCCAATGAAGGCCTGGCAAGCGTCGGTAGCGGCTCCTCAACTCAAGGCTACCTCCCGCACAATGATTCCTTCCATGACCTCGGAAACATTGGCCTCTTCGCTTCTAGGCCTCCAAGTCGAAGTCGCAGCCGAAGTAGCTCGAGTGGTGGGAAAGCTGGCAGTGCAGGATTTTCGGTAAAGGCCTTTAGCGCAATTAGCTCGAAGGAAAGCCTGGAAGAGGTTAGTAAGAAGATAAGGGGCGCAATGAGGGAGAGGGGCAAGGAGAGGAGGAGGAAGAGTGAGGATGGGAGTGGGGGTTGGGATTTTGCAGGTAGTGAGACTGGGAGTGCGACGCCCGATAGTGCTGCTGAGGGAAGGAAGGACGTTTAGTGTTGCTTTTTCTCGATGAGATGCATGAATCAGGTTCCTTTTTAGCATGGTGTTTGGGCGGTGCATTGATACTCATAGCATTTTTGGCATCGATTTCGGGGATTCGACTTGGGCTATAATCCTACCCCGTATAACCTTTCATACAAGCAGGCCTCCAACTCGCCGAGTTCAATATGGCACAACTGTACCCTCTTGCGCCTTTGAATGCGCAATCTATACAATGCCGTGAATGCTGCGTTGCGCCCCGGCTTCAATGTACATTCTCAAAAACCACCTCTCCATCGACTGCCCTAACCATCGGGAAAGCCCGTCTCCGTAAATGCTATGAGTTCCCTCCCTATATGCGCTCTTTTGTCCTGCCTCTTCATTTGCCCTGCTTGGTCGGTCCCTTGATCTTCGGATACAGCCGCATGAGATGGTAATTGATCGTATTTTTCTTCCCAGTCTTCTCTCTCTGTTCCACCCAGCCCAGCACGGATAAGCATTGCTCCTTCCAATTCGTTTTCCCACTCGCCGAGACAGGAGAACAGGAGCAAACGTACCGGCGCATCCATACAAGCCCTCAACGACTGCTCCAAGTGCTGGCAGTGCGCTGCTACGTTGCCTGAGGACGCCCAACATCCTGCACACAGAAGGTTAGCACCGAAGAATCTTGATACCAGGAAAGAAAGCAGGTATACCTAGTACCGAAGTCATGATCCCGACGCAAGGATTTTCTCCCGGTCGGTTCGGTCGCCGGACACGGAGTTTGGGGAGGGGAGGGAGGCGGGGAGGGGCGAGCTTCGTGCTGCCGCTTTTAGGAGGCATGGTCGTAGGTTCCACTGATGGAATAGAGTTGTTATCGTTGATACATCGGAGGGCGGTCTTCAGTGCTGCTGACTTGCGCGAGCTCAAAACATTCGTCGATGTATGTCGGCGAGTCGGCATCATTGACGCCAAGCCGCTAGTAGCTTGCAGGGCTGACCAATGTTTACTTTCCTGCCGCACTCGACTGCTTCTCCATCCTCCGTGTCGCATGACTTGTTGAACTTCTCATCTTGCACTTCTACGCCCATTGCTACCTGTATATGAACAATTACTACTATTGATGCAGTGAGCGAGCATAATTATCAACGTCATTCGCGACTGAGTCATCATGACTGACCCGGGAGCGCTTTCCTCGTGGTGGGTTGCTCCTTCCAAGCTTTTGCGATTCCCTGAAATTGTCTCTTTCATTGCTGCCTGCTTAAAAATTGCTCTATCCTTTAGGAATCCCACAGAAGGCATCTTTTCCCTCAATGATGAAGCTCCCAAACCGCGACCACGAGCGTGGGAACGCGCTCCGAAATCTCCTGTGCTAGCTCGTCACCATGGGCGCAAGGTGTGGAAGCGTCATGAGGCTCCCGCCAAACCGGAAACAAAAGAAGAATCCCAAGATGCTGAGCAGACTCGGCAAGCACTGGGTGATACTACTAATACCCCAAGGCCTGTGAAGCGTTTGCGACTGAGGGATGTGCCGAAGATTGAGAACAATGGAAAGGAAAATAAAGCCGCTCAGTACCTCACTACGCTGCGTGATAAGGAGAGTGCAGGCACTCCAAGACGTGAGTGTTGCCGACGATTGGATTCTATGGTGGATGTATGGGACTGATAAGTGGTGCTGCATAGGCAAACAAGCGAGCAAGAAGAGCCTCAAGCCCGACAACGCGAGAGTCAAGACACAAAGTGCTGATGGTATTACGCCGATGATCGTCGATAATTCTAAGGATGCCGTACAAGATGATACATTGCTCGCTCGAGAAAGCCCGGCTTTGGAGGATGTTCGTGAGCTGTTAAGCTCAGGTGATGACGCTGCAGGTGCAGTAGAGATTGCAGACACAATCCCACCCAGCCATTCGGTCAAGCTCCCAAAAGATGAGATAGTTGTGGAGACTGCATGCGGAACATCATCCGAGACAATCACCAATACCGATCAAGCCGCTTCAACAGATGAGGTATCTCTAGAGAATGGAGCACTAACCGTGTCCGAGACTGCTATCATTGCTGGTAAAGCTATCGAAACGGACAACGACGTTGCCAGTACGCAGGCGGTGTCTGAGGACACAGACGGCTTACTTATAAGTTGCGATGCAACGTCAGCAGCAAAGATCATTGTCCTGTCACCATCTCATCACGAAGAGACAGTGAATGCCGAGGGAGCCGTGACGGTTGATAGTGGGAGTGCTTTGTCGCCAAACGCAAATCACTCATCCAGCATACTCGAGGCTTTGCCAATTGATATTGCGGATGTCTCCTCGTCGACGGTGATGGATTCGCCAAAAACATTGACTGAAGGGGCGCTCGTTTTTGAACAGCCAAATCTCGACTCATCATTAACGCCAAGCGTTCGTTCGAGGACGCCGAAACGTGCAAGCCCCAGGAAGAAGCCAAATCTGATGTCACCACACGCAGTGACAACTCCTGGCGCTACCGGCACCCCAAAACAACTGCTTCCTGCGAAACCGTTACGGGCAGATAACCTAGGTGAATCTCCGCAGATAGGGACTAGTCTTCTCAGAAGAGAAAGCTTGCGACGAAAAGAAAGTCCTGGCAAGAAGAAAGATGCACGAAAGAATAAGACCCCAAAGAAGAGGGATACACTACAACGCAGGGACACTTTGCAAGAAAGAGAGATTCTGCAAAAGATCATCGCGGAGACCAACGCATATCACAGCGATGAAAATCTGGATGCTCGGCCCATCGAAGCTAGCATTCTTCCAAGCAGCAGCTCGGCACCTGGAGCCGAAGATAACGTAGGAGACAGCGTACATGGTAGCCCAGAGCTCATTCTTCGTGCGGAACAGCCTGAAAATGACATCGTTACCGGTGCGGAAGCCATCTTGCCCGCTATTGATGAGACCAATGTCGAGAAGGATCTGCATAGGGCCATAGAAGCCACCGAGGTCTACGAGCATCCAGGTATCGCTGACGCAAGCCAACCCCTGCTCGACCTTACTCCGGATGACACTCAGGGGATGGAGGCTATGGGGAAGGCCAATGAAGTCCTTGCGAAAACAGAACTTGACGGCGTATCGCAGGTAATGGAAGCTACCAAAAAGCAGACGCCTAATCAGAAGACGCGATCAGGAGCCCGCTTTAGTGACGACACTAGCATGCTCAAAGACTTCCTTAATCGCGCACAAGCCAGGAAAGCTGCGCAGAAGCCTATCTTATCAGCACCAGCTGCTCCGATACCGCAACATTCTCCACGTCGTTCTCCACGTAAGACGCACGGATCTCAAGATGGCCATGCTTCATCGCCACAGAAGCCGCGAAATGTCGCTCATCGACCCGGTACTCCACCCGGCACGCCGAAGATGGAGGCACTGGATTCCGACGACGGTGAAGAGCTCACTGCAGAGCCTGCATCCTGCCGACGCAGCACGAGGACTCGCCTACCTGCACCATCCAAAGCACTTCCAGGCGCCCCAAGCTTTATTCCCGTCAGAAGGGCAGATGGTACTGATCCGGTTGTATTGCAAAAGTCACAAGCCCAGGACCTGGCCGTCAGCACGCGCGCGAACACTCGACGAAACAAAGGTCAATCGAAGCCGCCTCTTCTAGCTCTGCAGGATCTCCCCACGGAACGTGCAGATCTGACAAGTACGGCCAAACAAGGAGCCGAAAATGGGAAATCGGTGGCGTGGGCCGAGAGACTCGCATCTTACCAGGACGCGAAAGGTGAAGCAGATGACGCAGAAGAGAGGCGACCGAAAGTGCGCAGATTGAGGGGACTAGGGGCCGTGAATGGGACGTCAGCAGCCAAGAGAACGACGGCGGTTGTGAGTACTTCGAATGGGACACCAGCGCCTAAAGGTCGAGGAAAAGTGTGACGATGGGACGTGGCCCTTTTGAATTAATCTCCAGAAAGCGGTAACCCAATCGGGGGTAGATAGAGGCAGGAAGCCGGGGTAAATTTACTCATTGGATTGACTGCCCAAGAATGGATATGAGGAGCGCATGCGAGCCTATGGAAAGTTGAAACCGTAGATGAGATGAATTTATACTTCCCATGTAGCCTCTGGAATGGACGCTTGGGTACAACTATCGGTACCCCAGATTCTTGCTCTAATCCAATGACAGGTGCACAGACGATGAAAAAGGGTCTGAGCGTCCGTTGAAAAAGTTGGGTTGGATGGTTTGATGCATCTGGTTAGACGACGTTGTTGCCACTTTTCGGAAGAATTACCGTAGCTAACCGCACCTCACAATTCGCCTCGTTCACATACACACACACACACACTCTCTCTCTCTCTCTCTCTCCCAGACGTCGCTCCTTGCCAATCCCTTTCAGCATGTCCTGGAATCAGGAATGTGAGCAGCAGCACGCCCCAGTGCCCGGCATATATTGATGGAGTATCGATCTACTTCAGTCGGACGCATTGAAAAGGTCATGTTGGCACGTGGAGGATTGATGAGGCCCCAGAGTTCTTATTATGTCAGAGCGTGCAAATTTGACAGGACACAAGGGAGAGGAGTCATCCAGGGAACGGGATGATGCAACGACCTTTCAGCATAATTGGATCTTGCAAAGCTTGTTCCCCAACTTCCATTCGCCATGAGTACAGTACAACTTCCGACGATTTATCAACACTCGCTATGATTGGTGATCATTAGGTGTTCTACCATCGGGGTAAATACGGAGGATACCGTCTTTATTTCTGCCTTATAACCTGTCTCTCTACAACACCAGAAGAGAATTTCCTACATCACCATTACTTGATCTTGTAGTACAGTATCTCAGTACATAGCCTCGTCAAGCCTTCAAGCTGTTGTCGCCTCTCTTACTGACTCCTCCTCTGCATCTCATTCACGCCGCATCTCAAGCATCGAAGCTAAACATTCTCAACACAGCATGGTCTCGATCCCTTCATTTTACCGCGAGACAGAGCCGACAAACTCTACGACTACAAGTCGATACCTGGCAGCAGACTTCCCCAGACTCACCAATAGAAGGATCTCATCTCCGCCTTTTACCCCAGACTTTGCGCATGAGCCTCTTCCTGCAGAATGCACCAACGACGGCCGGACCGCTATCATTGCCGACAAGCGCGCCATATCTTCGCAAGCTGCTTCACATTCACTGTGCAAAGCGCAAGGGTCTCAACATTTCCGTGACATAAGAAAAAGCTCGTGTTCTTCAGTCAAGGAAGAAGAGGGGGGTAAGTCGCACGCGATTCCCACATCCATACACACTCGACTATTACCTAAAAATCTCATACTGACCAGCCATCATGAGGCCAGGCATAGCACAGTCCTTCTTTGAGTCCGTCAATGCTTCCGTGCCTACATCTCCAGACGCCGTGCATAATGTCGGCAACCGTACCGGGGCCGGCACCTGCGACTGCTGCTGCCGGTGCGGCAGGAGCCCTAAATGGCAGCCCGTAGGACCTGGGCGCAAGCGTAGGAGCAAGAGCTATACCGCCTTGAGGACCGGCATTTCTGAGTTGTCGGGCTGGGACTTGGAGCTCCCAAGGCCTCAGGAGCCCACGGAGATCGAGGTTGAGAAATCGTACGCTCCTGGTGAGGCGCCAATTGAGAGGCTGCCTGTGGAAGTGCTCGGTGAGTCTAAATAGTAAATTAGTATTCCACGTGGCCGCACTGACCATGGAGCAGATGAAATCATCGCACAGCTTGCCCTCGACATCCCACCAGCTGGCTATGGTCCACGCAACGTCGATCTGGTCGCGTGTCTGTTGACCTCGAAAACTGTCCATGTTGCTACTATCAACACACTTTACAGCCAAATCACTCTTCCCCACTCCTCGATCTTCGCCAAATTCCTGCACCATATCTCCGAGTACCCTGGCCTAGGAACGATCGTGAGACGGCTGGACCTCTCACACACTACTTCGGTCGGACTTGGCCGCAGCCGGCAGACGAATGCTGAAGTGCAAAACCTCACCGCGAAGACACTTTTTAAATGCCTCGAGTTGATTCCAGCAGTCCAAGAGGTTCTGTTGCAAGAAAATTTGGACGATGACATCGATGAGAATGTGCTCCGGAAGCTATTCTTCGGCCTGCCCAAGCTCCGTGCTATTGACTTCTGCGCTTCAGCGTCCTCATCATTCGTGGATGCCTTTACGTCCACCTTGACTACCCTAATCGACTCCCCGTCTACGATGCTCAACATCCGCCGCCTGGGCATTCACGAATGTTTCACTCTCCCAAGCTCAGCTTTTGAAACCCTCCTCCCACACCTACCGCAACTCACCCACCTGGACGCCTCCCACACTCGTATCACGGACGAAGCTTTGATGTCACTGCCAGCATCCGCAACATTATCACACCTGAATCTTGGTCGCTGCATCTATATCACCGGAGAAGGCGTTGTGGACTTTCTCACTACTCATCCTGCAGTCAGAAGCCTTGTCTATCTCAACCTCTCCTGCGACATCTCTCGCTACCGTCTACTTTCGGATGCGGACGTTGACCGTCTTCTTCCCTCCCTGCCTTCCAGCCTGCGCTCTTTAAACTTGAATGGCGCCCAGATCTATCCACGGCACATTCCTCAGCTCATGCCTCTCACCAAACACGTCGAAGAGCTGGGCCTTGCCTGTGCCAATATCTCTCTTGCTGACGTCAACATGCTATTCCGCCAGCCCGGTCCCTCTCCCACCGGGTCTCGTGGACAGCAGCAGCCTTGGGTGCGTCCAGCGCTACATTATCTCGATCTAACCGCCATCCCCGCTGTCTCGCAATCAACACTCTTCAACACCCCAGCTCCAACCAACATCCTCCTTACGCCCGCGGCGCTCCCCCTCGAAGTCATCGAACTGGGCGACAAAGCCATCTCCTCGCTTCGGGAGTGCAAGAACACCAACAAGCGGCTGGGCTGGGTCGTCAAGGAGCTGGGAAGGCGGGGTTGGTACGTCAGGGAGCCAATAGCGAATGCGGGTGTTAACGGGGCCGGGGCGACCACTGGGAGGAGAGGCTGGAAGATGGGAGCGATGTGGTGGGGAATGAGGAAGGTGCCTGTCGCGTGGGGCGAGGTTGGGGGTTTGTACGGGCATTACATGTTCAAAAAATGAGGCGTCTGTCGGTTTTGCGGGGATGGCTGACCGAATGGGGACAAAAGTTCTATACCCCTTCCGTTCTTTTGGCGTGTTTGTGGGAAAAAAGGTTGGGTGGCTTATGGCAAGGAATTAAAGGACGCGCGTCGGCTGTACACAACCAAAAGTGAGTCATTTATTCTGCGGTCGGTGGTCAATGGGAAAAGTTGTCGGGCTTGAGTGTACATTTAGGTAGTCCAAAAGGTGGTCTTTGCATGCCATGTTGAATCTGTCCGTGTGCTCTTCTTTCCACTTTTCCACACAAAATCTATCCCAGGGACTCCGTCTATCGTATGTATCCCCGTTCTGCATCCGCAGAGCCTGGTAACAATCCCGTCCATGAGACTCGCACGATGTAAACCCACCCTGCCTCTTCCCTCGCCTGCTGTCATGAGCGCAGGCCCCCCCTCGACCGTGCAGATAGACGTCTATGGCTTTGACCCGTCGACGGTGTTGGACGGATCGAGCGGGTTTCGCCGCCTGATCCGCCCTTGCGACGGTCTCGGGCTTTTTGGAGAGTCGGTTCCGGCGTGACTGTTGTCGGCGTTGCTCGGGGAGGGCGGTTCGTCATCTTTTGCGGGTGTGGGCAGCTTCGATATCGCTTTCCCCGTGCTTCTGCGTCTTCGCATTTGTCCGATTCCGTCCCCTCTGCGGCAAGCTTGCGCTTCCTCTCCTGCTCCTTTCTCTTTGCGGGCTTCGGTCTCTCCTTTTTTCCGAGTCCATGATCTTGATCTCCGCTTCGGTCATCTTGTGTACGCTCACCGTATGGTGGAGCATCTGCTGTTGGAGCAAACGCCATTTGAGACTGGTGCAGCTCCTAGGCCAGTCATTCCTGAGGCCGGGGACGAATTTTGTGACTGCGATACTGCGCAACGATATCTCTGGTGGCGTTGGAGTGTCATTGTCATCGTCACAACCGTGCAAAGCGAGCAAAACGTCTCTATTGGGACTGTAGTACTGCTCTAAATTCTCCGATGCCAATTGATTCATGCAGCAGAGAAGGATCTGCGGCCTTGACTTCATGACCATAAGATTCTCCACGGTTAACTTGAAGCGCTGGGTAAGAGCCGTCTGGAAGGCTTCGATATTTGGCGTGGCTACTTCCATAAGTCCTTTGTATATGAGAGCCCTAGCACTTGGAGTGTTCAAGGACCCACTCAGCGGCTTTCGCCCTTGAGATGATGGTCGATGTGCTGGAAATACATCGACGGCGTAGATCCTTCCTCGCGGTGGCGTTCCATTATTAGCGAGCCAGAGGGAAGCGCTCTTGCCATGCTCTCTATCCATTCCGTTGAATTTCGTATCGCATCCTCGTTCTTGATCTTGGTGGGGTTGTGGCTCTGCATTGGTAACTGTCGGTTCGTCTGACTCGGTCAATGGGTCATTATCTGTACGAACCCATTTTGTTGTGTCCTAGAACAGTGAAATCCCGATCGGATGATTAGTTGGTTGGGTACTGGGACATTCGAGATGGTTAGTAGTTGGAATCAACGATTGGAGAGGAGAGGTTGGATGGGAAGGAAGCCTGAGATTACGAGAGGAGTGGTGCTGGAGGCCAGTATTGAAAAAGCTGATCTGGTTCAATCGTAGATTTGGGCGATTCATCCTGCAGCCAAGTCCATGTTTGATGTTAATAAGGATGAAGTTCAGTGAACAAACAAGCCTCTCGAACTTTGTTGGCGGAAGCCTCACCTCACTTGGGCACCTCCTTCACAAAACTGAATCATTCACAGCCCGGTTAGCGTCAAGTAGCGTAAATCTCAGGGATGAAAACCCTGACTTGATATCTTTCCTAGCTTGGGGTTTGGCAAGATATCTTGGGGCCGAGCTTGGTGGATGATTGCAGATCAACGTGAACAGCAGAAAGTGTGTTGATACTGTAGTAGGGATTGAGCCAGGCTTCTGAGGTTCTTGCGATTTCGAGAACTTGTGATATGGCGCCTAGTCGAGCGTTCCAGTTTTAGTTCACCTCGGCAAGTGGTGGACAACGAGCATATCGTATATTATCTTTCAGGGTTTCGCGATCACGATAAATCTGCTGGGGCTTATGGGTCGTTATTGACCTCCATCTCTAACAACATAGTGGAAGCGGTGCGGAAACATGCGGTCTCGTTGCTGCTCTAGACTGCTACCTAAAGGCATGTTTCGATCCCTAGCACGTTCCTTAGTCCTTGTTCACAGGTCCAGGAGATTCAACACTACTCGTAGAATAGAACCAACGGCACAATCCTCTCAATCGATTGCTTTCCTCTCACCTCCCGCGAAATCCGTGAGCTCGAATTGTTCTCAACGTGTGGAAGGGTTAGGTCGTGGATGGCCCGGTCGCTAAGCAGGCTCTTGAATCTTGAGTGGAGCGTAGGAAGCCTCCCCAACCTCGCCGCTCTCTTGATTCTTGTCCTTCATGGCCGACTGATCTCTCTCTTTCTTCGCCAACTTGCACGCTCCTTTAGCACACACGCTTGTGCTTCCGATGTCACATGTACTGCGAGTAGACTCCGTGAACACTGTTTATCAAGAACGCGGCCGTTGATACACACGCGCTGCCGGAGAGACGGGTCGTAGAGCCCGTTGATATACTCTTTTGTAAATAAGTAGATTTCTGAATATTGATTTTCTGTAAGCTGATTGAGTTCTCCTCCGCCGCGATCTATTCCACCTGGAGCATGCAACTGATCCTCGACACGACGGTAGTAGGTCTCGAGGTCCTCGCCTGGGCCCTGGCGAACGTCTGGCAGGGTGGACAAACTAATATAATCAGATAGCGAAGAAGCCTGTCAACAGGTCTGACCCATTCATTCAGTTGCTCTGGAGAATGTGCTACGTCCTCATCCCATACGTCGATGTCGTTCAGACTGCGTAGCCATCTCACAAGATCTGCATCGTCTGCGCCGTTGAAAGCTCGTAACGGCACCACGTGGGCTGGGCGGTTACGGTCGTTGCTGGAAGATCTTAGCAAACAAGAACCTTGGGAACCGTTCGCACTTACTAGCCATCTTGCACTTTAGTATCTAGGTAGAGAAAGGGAGTAGTAGCTATTTCGCGAAAATATGAGCTCTTTCCTCTATGGCCATGCGTATGCGCGTCTAGGTTTGTAATGATAGTGAACATTGTCAGGATGGTGAGTGCAGGTTGCTGGAAATTCGAGAGGCGGAGGGGGACGGGGAATGGCGTGAAAAGATGAGAAGGGGTGAGACCGCTCGTAATGATCACTTCCGACACACGTGGTGTTTTTGACGTCGTCTTCACCCCATGTTACCCACATCCCGGCTGGCTTCCTGATCGAGTGTACGTGGAAGCGGATTTGAATTCTGTCAGGGAAGCTTCTACCGGCACTGCTATGTTGAACCACATATACTCCTAGATACTGCCTAGTCAACGAGGTCTGAAAGCACTAATAGGAAATGTCATTCTCTGGCGGACGAGCTACGTGGACCTTCGATCATTCTGCTGTCACCACGTTCCATTATGTCAGAAATATCCTCAAACGACCTCCTCGAGTTCCACAGTCCGGCCAGACAGTTATCTTGCTCCAGAAAGAGAAGTCCATTGTCAGGGCGAGTCTCCAGGTAAAATTTGGCTGCTGCTATGCCTGAAAACCCTGCACCGACTGCTATCAAGTCGATCTTTGGCAAAATCATTGTTTTTGGCCAATTGAATGCGATCAGAGACAGGATAATCGAGAACACTTGAGAGACCTTCTTCCAATTGTACTGGCGGCTTATGCCAAACGTCACCAAATCTGAGTTATTCCAGGGAGCTCAAACACTTGTGGCATGTCGGCGGTTTGCACCCGAGCCATTGTTTGACTTGAAGCTACTGCTGAAGCGAGGCTGATCAATTCACATATCGTTCTCTTCAAAGACCAGAGACAAGTTATAATGAATCATTAGCTTTGCTGGCATGAGGGACCGTAGTTCGCTAGCGTGCAACTAAGAATCAAAGGCGGAGACGTGTGCACGAGGGCCAGCGGGCAAGAAGCAATGAGGTCCATCATCCACAGCGCTCAGCTAAGAGTAAGCATACATATGTACCCTCTATATTCTGGACACTCTCTATTTCGAGTAACTAGGATGTTTCCGCAGATTACGTAGCCTGGTTGGCCGCGGAGGAGGCCTGCCAATGCACCTTACCCGCTCCTTCAAATGACGCTGAAGTGACGCTCGATTGCAGCGTCATGAGCGTCACTCGAGCGTCATGCCTTATAAACCCAATACCTACCTTACACAGTCGTCATCGTCTACATCAACAGGCACCACACTGTAGTCCCCTCACAAATCATTGGTTCCACCACATCCTGAACAATGCCATCCCAGAACACCCCCATCCCCCACCACCGCCAGATCTGGCTTCAGCAAGCTGACCCGGAGATCCGTATCCACTACATCGAATACCTCCCCACCTCTAGCGAGCCTAAGGGAACCATTCTCCTCATCCACGGCTTCCCAGAGACATCCTACCAATTCCGTCATGTCACCATCCCTCTCGCTGAAGCCGGTACGTTATATTTTCCAATGCAATTGTTCCCCACCCATGCTGTCTTATGGGTCGCCAGACATGCCTCTAGACTTCTCTGCTTCTAATACATGCTTCGTACTCAGAATTCATCCCGAAAGAGTGATGCTGACTCCGAAATCATTGAGGCTACCGAGTCATAGTTCCAGACTATCGTGGTGCTGGGTACTCGTCCCACCCGCCTGATGGCTACACCAAGGATGTACTCGCTCAGGATTTGTACAAATTGGTGACGGAGCATGTGGGCGTCAAAGAGCCGATCCATGTCGTGGGGCATGATATTGGGGGAATGATCGCCCATGCGTATGTAGCCCAGTTCCCCTCCAACGTCGCCAGCGTCATCTGGGGCGAGTGTCCACTCCCCGGCACCAAATTCTACGAAGACAACAAACACACCGCTCCCCTCTGGCACTTCGATTTTCAAGCCCAATCCGACATCGCCGTCTCTCTTGTATCGGGCAAAGAGAAGATCTACCTGAAACACTTCTATGACCGGCTGGCTCAGAACCCGGAGGCGTTCTCAAATGAGGACTTGGAGTTCTACGCAACGCAGTATTCGATGCCTGGCGCCTTGAGAAGCGGGTTTCACGTCTATAGGATGTTTGAGACGGATGCGGTGCATAACCAAGAGTGGCTCAAGAAGAACGGGAAGGTGGAGGTCAGGTCAATGATCTTGAGTGGGGAGCATGTTTTCATGACGGCGAGTGCGTTGGAAATGGCGAGCGAGATGTACAGCAATGTTGAGCGAGGCATTGTGGAGGGGAGCGGGCATTGGCTTGCGGAGGAGAATCCGGAGGACTTTGTGAGGAAGGTTCTGGGATTTGTGGAGAAGAGGTAGGGGTAGAAGCAAGCTCAGCTTATATAGCAATGAATAGACAAACTTCCCTCCTGAACCAAAAGCTGGCAGATGGACGTCCAGATACCAAAAAAAAGCGTCGTTTCAAATGTATCTTATGTAAAGTGACGAGGCAAAAAGACGTCATCCCGTTGGGATTTCGCTGACCGAAGCTTCACCAATGTTCATCTATTCAAAATCACTCTGCCCAAACGTTGACACCTCCTCCAAATCGCAAGTCCATAACCGCAACCATGGCGATCATCCACGTCGTGATGTTCGAGGTGAAAGCGCGATACTTCTCCATCAGCTCTCAGCCCCCAATCTGACCACACCCTAGTTCAAACCCTCGACCGAGCTTTCCACAATCCAAGACGTAGATGCCTCCCGCCGTACGGAAGCTTGAGAGAGAGAGAGCTCTGCTAAATCCGATCAGGCATGCAACCGCATGGTCGACCTCCGCAACCAATGCATCCACCCCGCATCCAAGAAACCTTACATCACGACTTCCTCCGGCGGGCGGCAGAATAGTTCCGAAAGCACCAAGGTATGTCCTATCCTCCAGCCTATGCTGCCTTCGCGCCTGTGTGGTGTTTTCGTGGCGTTGAGCTGCTGGTTGATCTGCTGGCAGGCGGATTATTCGCACGCTTTCGTGGTGGAGTTCGCCAGCGAGGAGGACCGGAAGTATTATGTGGAGGAGGACCCGGCACATTTGGAGTTCAAGAAGAGCTTGAAGGGGGTGGTGGAGAGGGTGGGGGTGGTAGATTATACTCCGGGTGTGTATTAAGGGGGGTTGGGCGGCAGAGGAAAAATATGGTCTTTGCAGCAAAGAGGACGAACAGCGAGCATGGTGATATGTTCGGACGAGTTCTGTCATGAAGCATGAAGCATGGTGTATCTGTCTGAAGTCCGGTTTATAATGCCGCTGAAACGCTGGACAATATGCTGGAAGAAAGTCGCACTAGACCATGAATGATTCCCCGCAACCGCATTGTTCCTCTGTCAAGTTGTTAGCGCATATCCGATCGTAGTGCTCATCGAGAAAACTCACTGATATTCGGATTTCTGAACACGAATCTCTGATTCAATTTATCTTCCACCCAGTCCATCTCACTTCCGATAATGCTGAACAGCGCCTTACTATCAATCAACACCTTCACTCCGTCTTGTTCTACCGCCTCATCGAATTTCCCAGCCTTTTCCACGTATTCCAGGTGATATGCAAGTCCTGAGCAGCCTCTATTTTTTACGCCCACCCTTATGAACTTCGGCTCCGGAAGCTCGAGTAATTGCTGCAGGTGCTCCGTGGCGGAGGGTGTGAGCGTCATGGCTGCTTTCCGAGGGCGGAGTTTGGTGGGCCTCTTCGGTTTGTCCGTGGCAGGGGAGGACGATGGGGCATTGGTGACAGGTCTTGGTTTTTGCGCCTCTGTTTCTGTTATGCTGATGCTTTGCTTTTGTGGCTTGTTGGATACGGAGGGCGATTCGTATTGGCCTGTTTGACGGGGTGGTCTCCTATTATTGACTTCTGGCGAAATGCCTGATATCGATGTATCGGGAGTATTTGCGTTGCGGGGTGGCGGCGGAGCAGAGTCTAGAGAATGGGGGTGATATACTGTTGCGGTCGAGAGGCGCCTTCTGGTGTAGAATCTTATATGATCGTGATAGCGAAGATGAGGGACTCCCGGATGGCTTGACCTTGTCGTGTCAATGGCAACGGTAGAGGCGAATTTGAAGATGCTGTAAGAGGATGATGTCAGAGGATGAGTAAAGCGCTGTATAGACATTTCGCTGATATTGAATGGTGGAAGGTAAAGTATCTCGACAATGTGATTACCCACTTGTGGCAATAGACATGAGTGCCCTAATAGAAAACATGAAACCTGTGAATGGAGGAGTCAATTGTCGGATCTCATTCACAGATTCACATCAGTATGCGGAGTTTCTAAGCCGGAATTTGCCGTGCTGACAAAGGTGACTTTCAGCCAATCAACTTCATCATGATTACTCCCTACCGCGTGCCGCGCGCTACTACCGAGGTATAGAGAAAAGTGCACGCTCATGCCTCAGCTTTGACTGTGGATCAAAATTTAAAATGCTTGCTTTAAGGCTTGAGTATTGAGCTTGCTGTTTTCTCGAATCTATTCCCTTTGCATCAAACACTTCCGTTGCATTGTAAGCTAAAATAAAGTCCTATGGTTCCTTTCTTTGTCCAAGCAGTTAATGGATTTTGTCTTGTTCCCGCTCTACTATAGACCAAGTGCTTCGAGAAGACTCCTGCGATTCATGATTTAAATACTTGTGCAGTCATGAACCCAGTGAGTCGGTAGCTAAAGTCGTACGCCTCAGAATGGAAGTCTCGCCCCTTACCCAGCAAGCCAGACCAAGCTCATTCCAGCCGAAGATCATTGGTCTTTACGACGACCTCTTCAAACAAGATGATGATGACTTGGCGTACTCAGACGCTTTCTGGGGCGAGTTCTTCCTTCTTCGACCAGACAAAGCAGGCCTAGAGCAGAGGCTAGACGGGTTGATTACAGATGACCTGCTACATCTTCAAGTCAGCGTCCTAAAAACCATAAATATCCTCAAGCTAACCACGCTCCAAGCATGAAACTCGACAGCTGTTTGTACGAGCGGTCTCTCAAGTCAAACACGGGAGAGCTCCGTCAGACGAAAATGCGCTTGATGTATGTTCTTTGAGCTCTTCTTCCGCCCATATTTGACACTTACCAATCCAGACTTTGACAGTCTTCTTAGGGATCATTTTGACGAAGCGTTACACTAATCCGAGTGCCGACATCATTACTGTGCTTGCTGGTCTTGACGAGGTCGATGCTGTCTTCTCCGAATTCGCAAACGCCATTGAAAGCATCATACGCACTGGAAGATCAGGTAGGGGCTTCAGATCCGATGACTATCTTCGCAAGACGCTGAGAGACTATAGCGGAGATTCGCAGCAAGGCTATCGATGTTGCTCTATCATTGACTTCAGGGGCGTATCAGACAAGCCTCGTATCATACTTTGCCCACCGAGATTTATTTCCAGCTTTAATCAAGGTATGCGTAAACGTCTTGCTCTGTCTTTGAAGTCTACCCGTTGTTATCTCAATCTCTCTTGGAAGGCATTTTGATTTTCATCTTTAGCAGAGTTCAACGAAATTGATTGATCCATGTTTTTACGTTGGGAATTTCCAGCCATAGAGGCTACTTGCTTACATTCTCACAGTCTATACAAGACTCTGATAATCCTGAGCTAGTCTTCAAGCCGTTCCTTCTCTTGGGGTTACTAGCAAACTACAACAAATTTGAGTTTCGAAATCCCTATCGGCTGCGGCTTGAAGACTTTGTGAATGAGAGCGCAATACAGAAGATTGCACAAGGAATAGGCTTTGCATGCTCGCAATCCAGGCATCTCTATGTTGCCATTCAAGAGGATGTTGCAGAGGGCTGGACGGTCGGCAGCACCTTGGCATACATTGGTCTCGGTGTGCTTGCCCCTAGTAAAGGAGCAGCACCCGCACAGCCAAAAGCCGATGATATAAAGGAGGGGTTCGCAGTTTTGTAAGACTGGTACATCAACCCTCCGTGAGCTCCTGACACTGAACACTTTACAGACCAAACCCTGGTGCCGCCGTCCTGCTGGGTGTCTATGATTTCACAATTGCCAACAAAGTCTTCTGCTCCAATCTGGTCTCCTGTACATCTACTTCAAAGATGGTGGAAGCCCCCTTTTGCGCATTTCTATCCTATACATCATACCTCGTTCATCATGCTTACCGCTCCCCTAGAGCTACAATATACGGGCTATTAAATTTCATGATCCTCCGCATCATCATCGAAGATCTGGCTTTATGCAAGGTTCTCTGCGACCCTGAAACTTTAGTCTCCGTTCGTCTCTGCCGGCAGCGCCAACCACTTCTTCCAGCAACACCCAAGTCTCGCCCTGCAGCAGCCCCAATCCTCGACATACTTGTGGACAGCATCAATCACAACCTTCGCCGGCACCTCGATATACCACTCTACATCTCCTGCATCGGTCTCATTCATCGCCTACTTTCATATCTTTCCTTCACCCGCACACGGCTTACATATCACTGGTCACTTCTATGGCAGACTCTTCTCTCTTTCCTACGCTTCCTGACAACCTACGCGCCTTCGCTTACAGTCCAGGACCCAGATCTCCCTCTACTCATCAATCCTTTCCTTACCACTCTTGCGCTAGCAGTCACTTCGGGAGAATCATTTCTTCCTGATCCGGCCGCTTACGATGATTTGTTCTACAAGCTCGTCGAAGCCGGCGACTATCTCTCTCGCTTCAAGAAGGCGTTTCGCATGTATCTTACACATCCGAGCGAACCCATTGGCGTTACGTCGAATGTTCCATCGACGGCACCGATCGATATCCTCATCCAGGTTGCAGCTCACTATCACGACTTGGTCGAAGCTGAGAATGGCAAAGGGCGCATGGGCAACAACATGAGTCCAAGGGAAGTGAGCAAGGTAATTCGACAGGGCTATAACACATTGAGTCTACCAGCCATGGAAGGATTGGATAGGTGGGATAGATTCAGAGAAGGAGATGAAAGAGGCATGTTGAAACGAGTGGCCAGGGTCGCGGTTGAGGACACTAAGAAGCTGCTGCGTGCGTCTTAAGAAATTGCACTCGTCGTACATGCGCAAGCAAACATTGGCCATAGTCTCTTTGACGATCAATTAATTGCATGTAGAATTTATTTATCTCATAGATCAAACGCATGCGTCTCTTAGAGCATTTTTCTACGACGCTGGTGAAGCTGGGGGGTCCAAAATGCGGGGAACAAATTGGCGAGCCAAACAACAACGAGATCGTACATATTCCATGATGCGCCTTTGATATAGTATCTTACTAGTAGAACAGCGACACAACTATCTCAAGAACATATAGCACTCCTCTGAAGACTTGGAATATGCATCTCCTTCAGCGCCACGCGGGGTACAGTACTCCAGATCGTCCTATCACCTATCTGCGGCTTTATCTTTTCCATCTCACACATCTGCCGTTGCTGTTTCTCCTCGGTCCTTCTCCTCATTTTCTTGTATAAAGTCTTTCTTCTTCCAGTTCCAGTGTACAACTGCCTCTCTTCCTGAATGCTACTTTTGCTTGAAGGTCCAAGTCACCCTGTCTCTTATCTTCCTGCATACGATATCACGTCACTCTTAGCTCTTGAGTGAGATTGCAAATTTCTTCTCCCTTCCAATCACCCGAAGAAGCCCGCGTTAACATCCTCAACCCGCATCAACCATGGCTGGCAATGGTATGTCCTTCCGCCGCGCTCTGTACAGACTGCCTGTTGCCATTCGTTCTTCAATCCTTACCCACCCTCCTGCCAGCTCGTTCTCCCAATTCCCCGCCTTAGCGAACAAAAGTACACCCTTCACCTGCTCTTCCTCCATCCCCGACACATCATCGCTAACGAGCCCTTCCCCCCCCCCAGACACCCTCAAGCTCGCCCTGCACCAGAACAAACAGTGGGCCCAAGCAACCGCCCGCGACCACCCCGACCTCTTCCCCACCCTCGCCGCCGGCCAAAAGCCCAAGATCCTCTGGCTCGGCTGCTCCGACTCCCGCGTCCCCGAGACCACCGTCCTCGGCCTCAAGCCCGGCGACGTCTTCGTGCACCGCAACATCGCCAACGTGCTGCCGCCGACCGACCTCAGCAGCCAGAGCGTCATCGCCTACGCCCTCGCCCACGTCAAGGTGCAGCACGTCGTCGTGTGCGGCCACACGGGCTGCGGGGGCGTCAACGCCGCGCTGGGGAACCAGAAGCTGGGGCTCATCGATGCCTGGTTGATGCCGTTGCGGAAGCTGCGCGCGGAGAACAGGGCCGCGTGGGATGAGGCGGGGTTGGGTGAGAAGGAGAAGGCGTTGAAGCTGGTGGAGGCGAATGTGAGGCAGGGGGTGCAGACCCTCAAGGAGAATGCGGAGGTGATTGATGGGATGCGGGAGAGGGGCGTTGAGGTGCATGGGTTGGTCTATGATGTCGGCAGTGGGGAGTTGAGGGAGCTGGAGATTGAGGAGGGAGAACAGGAGGGGAAGAAGAGGGAGGAGGCCTTTGGGACGAAGTGAGCAGCGCGAATTGGCCGCTGAGACTGCGAATAACTGGTCTAGAGGGCGTGCGCATGAGTCTTTCTATCACTGTTCTACTCTTTCGCAATGCAGGCACGACCACTCCACACTCGTAATCTGCCATTAAGCCCTTTCAATCTCCCTGACTCCTCCGAAACTCCACGCTTGCTCAAACCTTGCTCAAAGAATATGCCCCGAACCTCATCCTAACTCTTCTCAACCCTCCCCTCCAAATCATTCGCCACACCACCCTGCAGCACCTCCTCATACCCCGGCGGTGGCTCATCCGGCGTCGGCGCCGCCGCACTCGAAGAAGCGGGCCCCAACCCCACCACCCCATTATTCGCCGGCGGCGCCGGTCTGTGCGCCCCATTCGGCCCAACGGGCGTCGGTCTCTGTATCTGGACCGGCGCCCGCGCAGCACCCCCACCCAGCTCCTCATACGCAGGCAACTGCTCCAGATCCACATCCGGCGCTCCGGCGTTCACGGGCCTCCCGCTCGCCCTCGCCGTGTCGATGGCCTGCGCCAGCGTCTCCTTCATGCGTTCGTACGTCGTGGAGAAGTCGAACGCGCCGCCTTCCTTGAAGGTCAGCTTCAGGGAGACGGCGCGCTCCGGTTGCGGTATGCCGCCGCCCGGGACGGGGATCAGGATGCCCTCCCAGATGTTGGGGCCGAAGAAGGGGGCTGTGACGTGGGTGTCTTGGAGGGAGAGGAGGGGGGCGGAGAAGGAGTCTAGGGTTGGACGTTGAGGTTGCTGCCCTGTGGGTGCGAGGCCGAGGATTGTAGTGGGGGTGGCGGGGAGGTAGATGAGCTTTAGGGTATTTTATTCAGTTGTGCGTTGGGGAGATAGGAAAGGGCGACTTACTCGTTGGTTTGTGACGATGGCTTTGCCGTCGCTGCATTTGACGGCAAAGGGTTCTTTGCCGGGGAAGGAGTTTGGTGTTTGTAGCGTTAATGCTGTGCGGGGTGGTGAGGTGAAGAGGGTCTTTTCTCTGGGGAGGGGAACGAATGAGTGGGGCCCATCGAGCATGACCCAGCTGCTGCTGTTAGCAAGAGCACACCGCAAAGAAATGTGATGGTAATACTGACTTTATGGACATCTTGGCTTCGAGGTAGGGAATTTGGTAGCTAGGTGCTTAGGTGTTAGGCTTGCTGGTGAGAAGCTGGGGATATGTAGGCAACAAGAGCACAGGAACAAGTTGCTGCCTAAGTCTTCGAGAGGTTGCTGAGGCTTTGACCGTGTGCACGTTGATATATGGGCGGCGATTGGTGTGTGGTGGAAAGTGAAACTATCGTGGCGCGGGTCTCTCCGCAGATCACGCGGCAAGATGACGACTTCGGTGGCCATGGCATTTACGTTTCCAACAACGACCACTCAAAGATCTTTGCTTGCCTATCATGAGCAGGTCTACATATGCCTCATCAATGAAGGTAAGCTTCTTCAAAGCTACACTGCGTTCGAGTAATTTGCTGCACGGAGAATGACCGACTCGATTCAGAGCTGCCTGTTGACATCCAATCTATCTACTGGACTCATGCTTCCTATATTCGGTAATGAAGTGCTCTTCAACAGAAAACCGGATCAGTAACCGGACGATATGCCTTGTATCGCTAGCTGCCTAAAAACGGCTGCTTGAGAGTTGACTTTTTTGAAGTATCCTGGCGCTCATGGTCGCGTTGTCAAAGTGGAAGATTCTGCAGATTTAGACAGCCCACAAAAGATCAGTGGTTCTCTTGCCTAAAGAACGTTGATCAGTCTTCGATCGAGGGCCACGCATATAGATCAATGCTTACCTTCCACTGCCGTGCGAATGGCCGTCTTGGCATGCTGGACCTTTAGCCAATGTGTAGCTACGAACACTGAGCTATCATTGGTATATTCGGGGAAGCTGTCTGCGAGAGGTAACAATTTCTCAGCCATAGTCTGCCCGTAGGCAATCCAATGCTCATGATTGTAGGCGAATTCAGCAGTTGAGAATTGTGCGTCAAATTGTATGGCCCTCGAGATGTTCGCCAAAATCTCTGTGCCCGTGATGTAGATCTCTGGCCAGCTGACCTTTGCGACTGGAAAGTCACCTTCGATTTCAGCTCCCATAACTCCTTCAAGGTGGTCAAGGATGCTTGCACACCGATGTACAGAGAGCTCGTCGCGGAAGGGTGAGTTGCTCGAACGCATTCAAGAAAATGCTACTTGGCTGTGGCTCGAGGTCATGAGTAAGGTGCGGGCGTCGGTGCGACGTAGTTTTGGCAAACCAGTAAAAAAAGAAAGTAGATACCAAGTGCTAATGCGAAGAGCAACAGCAAGCTGAGAAGAAAGAGAAAGAATCTGAATAGCTCCCAGGAGCTGGGGACTTCAGGCCACTCTTTTACTTCGATCAAGTGATGTATTTCGAAAGATGGCCTGATTTCTGGAACTGAGAGTAAAGGACGAGTATAAGTTGGACTGGTATGCAAATGAGGCCTTGAATGAATGTAAGTATAGATGATTATGTCTTGGGTTACAAAGACAAGATCTGTAGAATCTTCCGCCATGTTGACAAGGTACTTTTGGTTGTTCTTTCCTGAAAAATGTAAAAGAAGGAAAGTAATGGCGTTCCTTCCCAGAGATATAATGTGAATTTCTTTACTGGTACCCGCCAGCCTTACTTGTACCAAATTTGTCGAGCGATTTGTCAGCCGGATCTAGGGGTTTGTAGTCCGTGAAGAAAGAATGAGCAGATTAGATTGGTTTCCATTCTTCTGATACAGAAGTCTTCATATGCACCGAAGGAGCAGATCCATTTGAGAACGTTCGGCCTCTTCCCTGCCATCAGTCTCTGTTTCCGCTGTGACATGCTCTCCGGGCTTCTAGAGGACGTTTTCACTCAGCTCTTTTTCTGTGTAGGTTCTGCCGTGAAAGTCAAGAATTGCTTCCCACGGGGTCTTTAGTGCGTGACGAAAGAAAAGCAAGGCGTCATATCAGCGACCCTCTTTGATCGTCCTCATTCACAGCCACCTCTAGAAGAATGGCGTAGTTCTTGTATATCTCCAAACGATCCCAAAAAGTAAGCGAGATGGATACGGGACCGCCATTGAAGCAGCGTCTAGCGTCTCCCAAAGCAGCTGTTGTAAGCCATGCAGCGAAGAGCATAGACATAGATCTATCGGCGGCTTTACCCAGCATTCCTTGATCTTGGCGCATGTGAGCCCCAGACTCTGCAGAAGACTTAAGCTACCCAATGAATTACACATCGCGTCAGATGACACTTGACCGAGATCACATGGAAGAGCTCAAGGTCTCGAGCTAGGTCATCGTTTTTGAGAATGAAACACAGCCCAGCTGTATCATCAACTGGAACCTCGCTAGTTGCGTACTATATACTACATCTTCGGTTGGCGTTAATTTCTCCGAGAAGGATAGTTCAATTTCAAGTAAGATATTACAACAAGGGCGAGCTGCTCGAACGCATTCGCGAACATGGTTTTTGGCTGCGGTCCGAGCGTGGAAAAAGGTCGATTCGTAGCGATTGTATGTTGTGGGCTATCCAAAAGTTTGTAGATAGATTTCAGCGTAAGACACTCAGTCAGTGTATTCGGCGCCGCTGGTGAGATCACTTACTTGTTGGTGAACAACTCAGGAGAGAGCGTTGAAGCATCCTTGGTTCCAACCTCTTTCGTGAAATAACCAGGAATCTCAGTCCAAGCTCAAATTGAACCTACTGGGAGCTCATCTTGAGTTTGTTAGATCTCTCCGGTCAAACACGATCAAATCTCAACATTGTGGTCATTTTTGGAGCCAAGTTCACAGCAGTTTATTGCGACGTAAAGCCGGTCCTCAGCATTTTAAATGTTGACATGTCATAATGTGCATGGAACCCAGAGGCTTCGTATCCCAAGAACCATGCATTTAAAGGTCCTGTAACGTTAGACATGGGGCCATGTTTAGGTTGATTGAGCCTAAGTCACACGCAGTGATGTTTACGTTGGCCTCGCAAATGCGCATACATCTGCCATCAGCGTAGCAAATGGACTGATTCTGTATCATCTGAGCCTACACTAGACAAGACCCCACGAGTGATGACGCCGACGATCGTCCACTGGCCGAGGCTCCTCGGGTTTCCATCTCTCGTCCCATCCTTCAATCAAGCCTTGAGTGTACTCTACCTTCCGTTGCTTTACTAAGTTCACAGGTCCCGTGTCGTGCTCATACATAGGCAAGCACAAGACGTTACCTTGAGGATCCCATTTGCGCTCGACGTCGTGCTTGCTCCCTGTCTTAGCCTGTCCATATTTGAACAATGGATCCGGATGTTCGTCCATGATAGACAACATATCGAGTTGTAGGACTGTGCTTTCCACTCCAGCGAAGAAGGTCGGTGAACACTGCGATGGTCTGGACAAGGCGTACACAGGAGATTCTGTAACACGACGGCTGCTATTATCCTTAGGCCTAAGGAAGACATTCCATCCACGGCGTCTATGTTTCGAATCATAATGGTACTCGCAGCAACTCAACCATTTCCCTGATTTGAAGTTCCGGGGTCTATTGTCGGACGCGCCCGAGCAAGGTTCTAGATCCGCTGCATGATACAACTTGCCGCCCGGCATGCGGAGGTCAAAGACCTTGATGATAGAATGGCGAGCACCGCCGGCAACAAAACGTTCAGTACCGATTGAAAGCAGAGAATATATTGGTGAGAAAGTGTCCACCGGATCGCGAAATACAGCGGCAATCGAATTTGCGGAGCGCAGGTCGTGGAGACTGACAGACGCGAGTAAGCCTATGAGTATTCTAAGATCGACCTACAAGTGAGGATGCTTACCAGGTCAGGCCATCATAGGCTCCGCTCAAGAACATGTTCTCTTCTGCTCTTCCAGCCGACGATGATACATCGATAGGCGCTAGGGAGTATACTGAAGTGGCGCTACGAACTCCGTTCTCCGTTCGCAAATCCAATCGCGCATTTGCACTAAAGTCGCTGAGCTCTAATACACGCACTTTCTCTTGTTTTATCTCGCCTTGTCCAATATTGTACACGTGGAGAGGTTCTTGGGAAGGGCCGAGGCCCACAATCAACCGATCATGCCGCAAGAAGCGAGAACACCATGTCCTTGATTGATTGAATGGATTTGCAGATACCTGAGAAATTGGCTGTACTTGACTACTTGTTGGATCGATGGGATAAAGAGCAATTGTGGAGTCAGACAAGCAGGCGGCAAGCAGTGGGTTGCTCTCGGACTTTGTAGCAGCCGATCTAACTGGACGTCCCTGGGTTTCATAAGATGACAGAATCTTGCTTTGAGCTGTTTCTGTGGACAGACTGATCAGAGAGAGCCCTCCGCTGGCCTTACCTATTATGACTTGTTCAGGATCGTCTAAACCGTATTGCGGTAGAAGACTGACAGTCGTAATGTCGTCCAGCCCCTCATGTGCCCCTTTTTCATTGTAGATGGCGTATGCATATCTCTGTTTATGTGCATTTATGCCTTTCAAGTGTCCCATGTCCGAACTCTGCCATTTGTGTTTCTTGTTCTTGCCCATGATCTTACCCCGCATGTATAGTGCAGCGCCAGCTCCCCATGCAACAACCTCTTTTCTCGAAGACCAATCACCCCCGTACCATGCTTCGTAACTATCAATGACTGGAGTAAATCCCATAGTCTGGCCAACTTGCACAGGTCGGCCACGCGATCTTTGGCTCCGAAGGTCCTGACTGATCTCCTTCTGAGGGTTTATACTCCATGCAACGAAAGCCTTGCGATCCCAATTCTTTGAAAGGCTTGTGATACCGTGGGCCGCTTCTTTCCAGAATGAAGGGCTAGGTTTGGTAGGAGGCCTGATATATGGAAACCTGGTCTGCACAAAAATCCGGAAGCCATCGTTCTCCACAAAGGCATATGCCTTTCTGCAAGTCGATGCCAGATGAGATATTGCCCTGGCGGTGTCAAGATGCACGACAATCTGAGCTAGAAGCTCTGGGGGAAGTGTGGCTAAGGTAGTCTTTGCGTTGAACGTTTCCGGAGCCATGATGGAATACGTAGGTTGCTGGAGAAGATCTAAAATTTGGGCCAGATGGTGCCGGAGCGTCAAGGCGGAAGGAGAAGGTCGATTATGAAAGGTCGTACTGCGCAGCTCGTCTCGGAAAGTTTACCGATCACAGCCATAAGAGTCGTGCTGAAATTCGTGGAGCAAAATGCTGTTTTATTGTGGACGACAGGTAATTACCTGAAGTTGTCGACTGTTTAGAGACATTCACCCGAGGATCTGCCAGAGAAGTGGCACTCTTGGCGCTTCGAACTGTCAACGAGATCCTGACAACAAGACGTTTTGCGAAGATTATTCTGGCTATGAAGTTGCTCAATCTAATATTATCTACATTTGCCTGCGCATAAGTAAGTTTTCACATCCTCGCGTTGTTGACTTAGGCCTTGATGTTCTCGTAGCCCACCTCGGCAGAACTGCTATTTATTTTGACCACCAGCCTGTTCGACGTCGAGTAGTTCACATGTCTCCGAAAGAAAACGCGAGATGTATGCCTTGACCGCGTGGGTGCGACCCATAGATCATCCCAAGGAGTTTTTGGTGCTGAGTTTCATTGCTTGGAAATTGATCTTGCTTTGCATAGCTCTCACGAGCCCTGGCCCCGGATATGATACCTCTACAGTTTTATTGCATCCGTATCTACACCTCGCTCATCCGGGCTCTGGGTCTGAATGGGAGCCAGCTTCACGACTGAAAAGTCTTGTCAGATGGGACGCTATCTACTTTACCCAGCTAGCCCGGCATGGATATATATGGGAGCAGGAATGGGCCTTCGGTTGGGGTTTCACGAACCTCGTGGCGGTGACCAGTAGAGGTAATCAATATGCCAACTTACCTGCGTCGCATGAGACTGATCAATCCTAGCTCTTGGGTCCAATGGTCATCTGTGGCCGCCTGGCCCTGAAGCTTTGGCTGCTATCATACTGGCTCATGTCTTTCACCTCCTGTCTGTGCTGATGCTGTATGAACTTACATTGACCGTGTGTCTAAATTCGACGACGACAAGAATCTCGTCATTTTGCGTTCTGGCTGCGAGTCTTCACATCATATCTCCCGCCGGCTTGTTTTTATCTGCACCTTATGCAGAAAGCTCATTCTCATTCCTGAACTTCACCGGCTGTTATCTTTACGCTAAAGCCATGCTGAAGCACGGCGAGGGACAAGAAAACCAGAGGGATTGCTTGGTTCTCCTGTCCGGCGTTCTGTTTGGCATAGCTACGACTTTCCGCGGCAATGGGTTGTTAAGTGGTCTGCTACTGGTTTGGGACGCCTTGGCTTGTGGTACTAGGATTCTGCGATCCACTGATATCGCATCTAACATCCGACATCTTTTGACTGTCTCCATATCTGGACTTCTAATGGCCTGCATAGCGATAGTGCCTCAGTATTTGGCATATGACGAGTACTGTGTACGTGCAAGTGCGTACAGTGACAAGAGACCATGGTGCTCATATTGGCCTCCGAGTATTTATACATGGGTTCAGAGGCAATACTGGTAGGCTTTTACACGTCTGTTCCGTACAAAGCTGATCTTGTCCAGGGGAAGTGGCTTTCTGAGTTACTGGACCACATCGAACCTTCCGCTCTTTATCCTCGCCACACCGATGCTGTTCATACTGTTCCGTTCCGGAATTTCGGCTTTGCAGGGTTGCTCGAGTTCTGAGATCAGCGGCGACAAGGGAAACCGAGAGAACATCGAGGTCAGCTCGCCTTTGCGCATCAATCAAGCGATTGCGCGTCGTTTCGCAACACCCCAGATAGTCCTCGCAGCTTTGACGCTGACGAGCTATCATGTCCAAATAATTACTCGACTGTCCTCTGGCTATCCTGTCTGGTATTGGTGGCTGGCATCATTGATCCTCGAGGATCGTAAGACTTCCTTAATGGGGAGGAAATGGAGTACTGCCTTTGTCATTTCGAGGTGGATGGTCATCTATGCGATAGTGCAAGGAGGATTATTCGCAAGCTTTTTGCCGCCTGCATAAGTGAAAGTAGAAAGGATTCCTTGACACCCGTTCAAGTGGACGAGTAAAGAGGTCATATTCGATTTAGGAATAGAAAGTGTTAAATGACAAGGCTGTGGTGCGTATGCGCTTGGTGCCTGATGGGGAATGAATTGGTCATCCACCTTCTCCCCTGCATATGTAGATGATAAAAGCTTGAATAACCATGGCAATACTCATCTGATTCACATACTCACTGCTCAGCCAAAAAAAAATCATAACATACATTGATGATTTGACACTGTTAGGTCTCTCGTGCACCAGATTTCTCAATCCGGAGAACCGACGCTAAGCGTCGACACGCGATAATCGTTGCAGCTTCAAGATCGTCAACCAATAGTAAATAACTTCCCCAGATCTTCCAACACAGCCTAGGAGCTTCCACTGCAAGTAGCCGAGCTGGTGTCTTCGAAATAAGAACTGCAGGAAGGAAGCCTGCAGGACTCCCAACGAAGTGTCTGGTTGGGCTTGAAAGCTTCTACTTTGAGTGGCACCGGTGGGACTGGCTTGGATACTGGGAGATCAATGCTGTAAGCTCTGATATTTTACCACTCACGCACGTCTGATGATTGCCTTACCATCTTCGTTTGCGTGAGGTACTGACTAGCTCGATTTCTGTAGCACCCATTACAAGCATTTTGCCACCAGCAATCCCTCTGTTCAAATCTCACCCTCCTCTCCCATACCTGCTCTAAGTCATGGAAAGTAATGCGTCTAAATTAGCTGAGCTGATAGCATCACTTGATGGAAAAGACGGAGGCGATGACTCTCGCGCTACGTCGCCAGGTCCTGGTGCTGCAGGACGATGGACAGTGGAGGACAACAAACAGATTGCGAGAAGTCGGCCAAGAACATATCCATACTTTCGGTACCTGCCTTATGAGGTGGAGAGCGAGGTGAAGAGAAATCAAGACTTCAAAGAGATGCTAAAGCAACTCTACATCTCGGTAGAAGCTGGCGACTTCGCTGTGGGCGCTGTACACTGGACAAGGGAGTTGAGAAATTGGCTAGGCCTCAAATTCGACCCAACTAAGGACCAGAGAGTAAAGTTGGTCAGATTATACTATGAGCTCGCCCTGGCACCTGGTGTCGATACTACGGCAGCGGAGAGGTTCTCAAGCATGTTTATGGTACTGACAAAGTAAGTATTCTTACGACATGATATTCTACTTCTAGGACTGATCAGAGCAGGCGAAAGCATTACCTTCGACCTGGCACCGATCTTACTCTGGATTGGAGACCTCTGTTCCGGGAGTGGAAAGTACTTGTGATACCGTCAGAGTCTGGTGTCCACGCCCAACACGTGAAGCGTAGTTACAAGACACTCACCAAACTCTGTGCCTTTGCTCAACTCTATGTCGATCCAAAGGAGATACCAGCAATGCTGGCGGAAATTCTTCCTTATTTCACAACGTCTTTCACGGAAGGCGCCTACACTGTGACGGGTCTTCTGAATCTGCTGTTCCCAACGGCACCTCCACCTGAAGGCAAAGAGGAACTCCTACCACAGCATTATCTACCCACGTTCTTTCACTTATGGTCGCTAGTCAACAGGTCGAGAGTCTTCGATACCACCTTCATGGATCTCTTTTCGAGACTAGCTCGAGATTCACTGGTGTCCGCCCATGTCCCGTTCACCGAATTTGGTATCTACACCCAGGAGCAATCTTCCTCAATATTCACCGCTATCCTCCGTCTTCTCGAGATACCTGTCGGGCAAGCGACATCACCATACAGTGGAACGATGGACATAGCTGCTGGACTTGCCATCATGGTCGAACGAGATCCAAAAAAGCATCCCATTGCGCATCACATCGCGCGGTGGATTATAATGTCTCTGTCACCAGCCTCCTTAGATACACCCGACTCGATCATGACCAACCTCGAAGGTCTTATGCAAGCGGTCGAAACCTTCTTCCATCCTTCTAATTCAGGCACATGGACCAAGCCTCTGTCACAGCTCGTTTTCTATCTCACTGATTTCTTCGTCATGCGGTGGAACCGTGAGAAGAGCGGAGAAATGGAAATGCCAGACGACCGTAAGCTGAACGATGCCCTAAAACAGCGGTTCGTCTTGTGCTTGAGAGACGTAGTTTTCATGGGGATCTACGCAAAGAGTGGCGGTGCGATGAACTTTTCTCTGTCAAGTCTCCAGAGTTTGGCTTACCTAGAGCCAACTTTGATCCTACCCGGAGCACTGCAGCGCATCTATCCATCCATGCAAGGTCTGGTCGAAGTACATCGAACTACTTCATCCTTACGATCTTTGCAAGTTCTATCAAGGATCATGGCTCGTACAAAAGGCTTCAGGTGTCACGTCACCACAATGCTGGGCCTCGCTCTTCCTGGCATAGACGCCAACGACCTAGACAAGACCTTGTACACGTTATCCTACATCCAGTCCGTGTGCTATAGCATACCTCTCCACGACTTAACTCGAGACAGCGAAGACATCAGTGGCAGCATGCTTGCAATGGAATGGATTACTTCCGAGGTCGCCCGGATGGAAGAAGAAGGTGTGAAAGTCAAATGTGACTACCAGGATAGCTTGAGCGATGTTGACGAAGAGATCATCCTCCGTTCTTCCACTGCAGGATATGCAGAGTTCCTGAGCTCTTTCCTCGGCAAAGTGTTTACTCTTCTGGAAAATCTTCCGGACGCCTCGCGACCTAGGTCTGGTTCGCCCGAAGAAAATATCGTGAATACTCTTCCTGCTGCATTTACGCCGTTGCTGGCTTCTTTGTCGCCTGATTTGTACGACCTTGCGCTGAACAAGATTGCCGATTTTATAAGTAACCACGTTGTTCATCAAGCTCGAGACGCGATGGCCTTCATTTGCAGCTCTCTTGTCAAGGTCGATCCGGTCAAAGCCCTTAAGCGCCTGGTGCCAGTTCTGATCCAGTCAATTCGGACAGAGATCGACGAGAACGGAGCAGCGTCAACCCGAAACACAGGCACCGATGTCCTGCCTAGGGACCGAGGACTTGTGTGGAGTGTCAGTATGCTTAGTATGTCTGTTGTACATGTTGGCGACGCCGTACTCCAACATAGACAAGAGCTATTCGACATTGCCGCATATACGCAGCAGAAATGTAAAGGTCTTCCAACCACCCACATCTCGAACTTCATTCATCATCTGTTACTTAATCTCACTGGTATCTATACTGTAGACTACTCGCTATACGAGCAAGAAGTACTTGCCAGAGGGATCGGACCTGCAGACTGGGGAACGACTCCGGATCCTCAGAACCTCAACATCAAATGGCATGTGCCTAACAAGGACGAGATTCAATTTGCTGTTGACTTGCTGAAAGCTCAGGGAGAGAACGCTTTAGAACAGTTACAGGCTCTCACTTCTGGGACCTCGAGCATCAAGCGAGACGGTGTAGGCAAGGAATGGTCCGACGAAGTTTCTCGCAACCTTGTGCTTCTTCGACTGCTGTTGTCAGGCGTCTCTGTTCTCTTCGACGCGAAGCTCGATTCCAAGATAACTACCCCCCAATCAGAATCAGAGGCGAGTGCAGACACTGAGATGGTCGATGCTGAGGCCGAGTCTTCGGAAGATCAGCATGATGAGGACTCTGATCCATATCTTGAGAGCTCAGAAGAGGATGAAGTTAAGCCCACGTTCACCTATGCGTCTGGCTATTTACTCGAAGAGGACGATGACCTCTACCAAGAGCTTCACGCTTTCAGGGAGAGGACGGGGCAAGTACTGCACGAAGTCCATCAGTTTCTTGTTGAGAAACAGGAAGATGACGTGGCTTGCTTTGAGCCTCTATGCAATGCCTATCGGTCGTGGTTCGTTGACGTTGGGATTGAGAGATCCGCCCATGTCCTTGACAGGGTGACAAGACTTCTCTCTGCCGACAGTCAACCCTACAAAGTCAGCGGGTTGCGAAAAGAGTACCCCAGGCCTATACTCCTTCGGAGGGCCAACGTATATCATTTACAGCGACTGCGTCACAACTCCTACCCACGCCCGAAGACCGATTTATCAAAGCAGCTCTTTATCGACCTTGCACAATCGTCTGTGTCTGCTTACCGAGACGTTCGTAGACATGCGCAGAGTGCGGCGGAAGCCGCTTTGAAAGCCGTCAATGGAGCTCGATCCTTAGTAATACCTCCACTTCTTTCTGCCATGGAGAGCGGTGTCAAGGACAATGACTTTGCCCGTATAAAAGGTTCTATGTATTCGTTGTTCTTCGGCTCCCTGAACAAGACCATTGCTCGAGACTGGAGGTACGCCCCAACGCTGATCAAGACTTACATCTCTGCCAGCACAGCAGACAAACCCTCTATTCAAAAACTCTGTGCCGTTGTAACTATGCAGATCATGGAAATGGGGAAACCACAGGAGCGAATGGTGATTATAGAAAGGGAACTGGTGCGGGCTATCGGGCCAAATAACGACAACGTCCAAGGTATTATTGACAGAAAGAGAGCCAAGCTTTCAGCCAAACGTTCTCGAATCGAACGCAAGAAAGCGGCCTTGTCAGAGGAGCTTGTTGATATGGCCAGAAAATCGCACTGGAAGAAGGCAAGTCGCACTGCTGTTATTGTGATTACTTTAGGTCTCAGGTTCGACGGTATTGCGTCCAAAAACATGATCGACCTTGTTGCCCGAGGATCGATTGACTCGCATCCTGGGCTTAGAGCACTGTACCAAGGAGCCATTGTCGCCATTTTCACTCTTATCGACTCTCGGGCAGCTGCAAATCATAGCTATGAGGACTACCTTTTGGACAAGCAACGCCTTCCGGCCAAAGTGCAAGTCACTACCCGCCAAGATGATCCAACTTGGACGTCAGAATACCTTGCAAGCTTCGCTAAAGCAGACGCGGAATACTACGTTGACCACGATCATCCAGGCTGGCTAGCCTGGAACAAGACCATGCCTGCATATCAGACGAATCCCAAGACCGATCTGGAGTATGATGACGCCGAGGAAACTGCTCGTACACAGATAGGGCAGATATTAGATCGGTCGTGGTTCTCGTCATTCTTCGGATACCTGAGACAAGAACCGCGTGATACTGCAGCCGATCGGTTCCACGTCTCCAATGTTATGCTGCTCGGTTACGCCTTTGACCTCATGTACTCTGGTCGGACAAGTACAAACTTCCTTGAGATCAAAGAAGAAATCCGGAGGATCTGGACTGATGGATCTGACAAACATCAGCACCGTGCCACCGCCGAAATATTGGCGGCGTTGCTTCTATCGACGGTCGATAAACCGCTCGAAATGCGTACAGAGATCTGGCAGTACGTTTACCCTATGGTTCAACAGGCGTTTTCCGACGGCTTGACTCCAGAGAATCTCACATACTGGAACACGTTCCTGCAAATACTCACACAGGGCAAAGATCCTCGGCGTTCTTGGCCCCTCATTGATTGGCTTGCGTCCTTTAGGTTGGATATGGAGTCTAATGCCGCATTCAAGGAAAGCTCGAAAATAAAATTATTGCAAACATGTGTAAACAACTTGGGCTGGCACTTCCAGCTCGACAAGCCAATCATCGAAGATTTTCTTCTGCATCTTGATCATCCATACAAGGGAGTCCGTGAAGCCATGGGTCACTCGTTGTCAATCCTGTATCGCACACGCTATCACGAGTCATACAAGGATGTGCCTACATTGATCGAGAGTCAGAAAGAGGCCTCTTCATTAGGCATGAGACCATACCAGCCCACCCAGGAGTTTGTAGAGACTATCCACGAGGTTTTTGAACGACTGGAAAAATGGAGGCAGGAGCGCACACCAGGCCAACAAACGCCCTCTCCATATACTTCGGGCGGTAAGACTGTCTTGCTGTGGCTCGATATGACATTGTCATCTTTTGAATGCACTCAGCTTCTGCAATTCTTCCCGAATGTATTCATGGAGCAATTGCTCTACATGATGGACGTCCGCGAAGACCAAGAACTACAGGGCCTTGCCTATCACGTCTTCCGGCACATTCCAAACATACCTCACCGCATTGGAGAAGATGCAGAGTTGATTGATGCGCTTATACGAATCGGAACAGCATCACCTCTGTGGCATCAGCGCCTTCGGGTTCTCATCAACATGCAGGTCATCTACTTCCGCCGTCTCTTCCTCATCTCTCCCGAACATCAACAGCGTCTTCTTGACTGCGTGGCCACTATGCTGGAAGACAGTCAACTCGAGGTACGCCTTGGAGCCTCAACTACGCTGTCAGGCATGATTCGATGTTCACCCGTGGCACTACGCTCTAAGGTTGTGCAAGTATTCAATAAGAAGTTTTCGAAGATGCTCCTCAACTCTCCGCTGCCCAAGAAGCCTAGGAACGCTTTTTCGGAACCAAGTACGGGGACAAGCACGCCAACGCCTGAGCAGAGTAAGCTTGTATTGACTCGACATGCATCTGTACTGGGCCTTGGAGCTCTTGTGCAAGCGTTTCCCTACGCATCACCACCGCCGTCGTGGATCCCGGGTGTTCTGACGACGCTCGCAAACAAGGCCAACAACGATCCTGGGATGGTGGGCAAGAGCGTGAAAAGCATCTTGAGTGATTTCAAGAAGACGAGACAAGATACGTGGCAGATGGATCTAACGGTAAGGTTCTGTGAAAGACCATTCGTGAGGAAGATTGCTAACGACTTGATTTAGGCGTTTTCGCAGGAGCAGGCGGAAGATCTGGACGGGGTTCTGTGGAAGAGCTACTTTGCATAGATGGTTGGTTTAGGAATGGTCGAGTGCGTGGTCTCCTCGTCTCAGCGGGCCTCATCTCCTGGTATAGAGCATAGCGTATGGTGTTTCTGTTCGCACGGATACACTAGATCGAGGGTGGTGTTCTCAGTATGTGCATTACAGCTTGCGTGCGTTGGTTACAGGAGGCATGAGCGATTGTCTATTATGGCATTGCGATGGACATGATAGTGGTATCATCAGGCATCAAGGAGCGCCTTCAGTATGATTGTCAGCATGAATACAACCGAATCCACTCCGAACGTGAGCTCTTTCCTATTCGATTTACATACTAAAGTTGAAGGAATGTGAGTGGTAGGTGGAGCTGTTTTTGGCGCGGTTCGGTTCCGCCACGGGCGGATGAAGGTCCGAGGGCCCCACCCAAGGAAAAACCAAAAACAAAACAAGGCGGGCGGAGGAAATACGAGTAGGTACTTCGTCTGCGGGGTATAGTACTCTGTTGCTGAGTTTCTGCCAACGGGACTGCCAACTCTTCGCTCTACAACTCTACAACTAATAAAAACGTTTTACCGGCACTGAGTACTTACAGCTGTCTCTGTCATCGATTCTTCTCTTTGCCTTGTCTTCTCTACTTCCCTTCCACAATCATTTCCCTCAACGTCTCCTTCTACCTTCTCCCAGCAGTTCCCCAGCACACAACGCCCCAGGCAATCTCCTTCCTATTGCTGTCTACACGGCACCATGACTGAGCCTACAAGTACTCCCAAGCCTGGCAATGTCTCGAAAGACAGCAAAGATGCACAAGTCTCCATACAAGACGAGAAGAATCCCAAGCGATGGTTCATCGGTTCAATCGATCAAGGAACAACGAGCACGCGCTTCCTCATCTTTGACAGCACGGGAAGTCCAATAGCTTCTCATCAAATGGAGTTCAAACAGATGTACCCACACTCAGGGTCGGTACAACCACACCAACGTCACTACCAGCGCAGTGACAGCATTGACCGCTACGCAGATGGATCGAGCATGATCCTGTCGAGATCGTCGAGTCCGTCAACACTTGCATCGAAGAAGCTACGAAAGACTTCACGGCAAAGGGCCACTCGATCTCGGACATCAAAGCTATCGGCCTCTCCACCCAACGAGAAACGACAGTGCTTTGGGACAAGGAGACAGGAGATACAGTTTATAACGCTATCGCATGGCCAGACACAAGAACCCAAGCTATCGTTCGGGAACTCAAGCAACGTCACGGCGCTGATAAGCTTCAAGACATTTGTGGACTACCTCTCTCAACCTATCCATCATCACTCAAGTTCACGTGGATGTTCCGCAATGTGGAAACAGTACGCAAGGTATATCAAGCAGGCCGACTGGTGTTTGGCACCATCGATTCATGGTTGCTGTACAACTTAAATGGGAAGGAGAAGAATGTCCATGTCACTGATGTGACCAATGCGTCAAGAACGATGTTTGTAAATCTACACACTTTGGAATACGACCAGACTGTGTTGGACTTCTTTGATATTAATCCCAAGAAAATGAAGCTACCGAAGATAGTACCGTCGTCCGACGCCAATGCTTTTGGCTCCATAGCCTCCGGATCACTGAAAGGAATTAAGATCACTGGCTGTCTTGGCGATCAGTCTGCCGCTCTTGTCGGCCAGCTTGGATTTTCTCCTGGCAAGGCAAAGAACACGTACGGCACCGGCTGTTTTCTGCTTTACAATGTCGGTGAGAAGCCGGTTATGTCTACTCATGGTTTGCTGGCAACCGTGGCCTACCATTTTGGTAGGGAAAGGAAACCAGTGTATGCTCTGGAGGGCAGCATTGCCGTCGCTGGAAGCGCAGTCCAATTCCTCCGCAACAATTTTAATTTTATCGAAGCGTCCCATCACATTAATGATCTAGCGGCAACCGTCAAGGATAATGGAGGCTGTGTGTTCGTCACTGCTTTCAGTGGGCTCTTTGCACCATATTGGATTGATGATGCCAAGGGGACCATATTCGGCATCACCCAGCATACCGAGAAAGGCCACATTGCCCGGGCGACGATGGAAGCTACCTGCTTCCAGACCAAGGCCATCCTTGATGCAATGGAAAAAGACAGCGGCCACAAATTAAGCGAACTGAAAGTGGATGGCGGTATGAGCAATTCCGATCTTTGTATGCAGGTTCGTAGCTTCCTGCTGTTTCCACCCTGACATACTGGCGTCGCGGCTCAACCACTACAGACACAGGCAGATCTCATAGGTATACCCGTTGACCGGCCCGCTATGCGCGAGACGACATCACTCGGTGCTGCCATTGCAGCTGGCTTCGCTGTAGACGTCTGGAAGGAATTCGAAGAGCTGAAAGAGATCAACAGTGAGGACCACACGATATTCAAGCCGCAGATGTCCAAAGAGGCAAGTAAAAAGATGTTTGAGAGGTGGGAACGAGCCGTCGAGATGTCCAGAGGATGGCTCGAGTCCGAACATAGCACTCGAAGCAATTGACCGACTGTAGCTGCTCCCAGATCCCCTGTTTCAGTAGACATCTTTAGCATTTGTGTGTATATTATTGGATATATAGTACCCCCTTTGCAATGCTTCACTGTTGCTCTTGACGCGAGCATTTCCAATGTTGTCGCGTTATCCAGCCCGCAGAGTCGTTGATACTTGCTCTCCGATGACGAATGTGGCCATTGACTGGAGATGGCGTCGCCGTGCTCCATGCCCGTCAAGGACTCATGACCTCGGGTGAGGCATCGGAAGTCTGCTCGGGCCTCTGAAATGACGATGTCCAGCCCACTTCCCGGGCGAAAGATGGGAGAGAATACCGACAGCCCGAACAAGTACCGGGTTCAACTCCACTTACTGTGCTCGTGTCCAATTGCCACGTCAATTCCCCCGGAATGGCACCACGGTAAAGGATCATGCACGAATGCTGATCACAATGTGGAGACGTAAGGTTCTGTGTGACTGACTATCTGGCGAATCAGACCAACCCTGGCGCGCAAGCCGAGCCTGTCAACTCCCACGACCACTCGCTCGGGCTCTGAAGATGGAGAAGTTGGAAGCCGCGGTCTCCAGTGACAGCATGCTAACATCGTTAGAGTGCCCCCACGACCGGCATGTGTACGTGGAAACACCGCACGTGTAGCACCGTATATAACCGATCTTCGTGGGGTTTCCCACGTTCCAGAAGCACGGGATTATGCATGTTGCCGTTCGAGGCAGTCACTTGATCTCTGAAAGACTGGGTTCGAGCCTTTATGCCCTAAGGAAGGCAGAGAGCCCGTCATCGTGCACGGAAGATCTGGAAAGGAGAACGAAGTTGGCGGAAAGATCTGTAACAGGAGGGTTCTCACCCCATGCCCAGCGCTCCCATACAGAGCCCCGGCACGTCATCCGCAATCTTCAACTCGCCGGAGGCATTGACCGACCCACGGGAGCACCCGGTGGCAGGTGTCACTTTCCCTGATTCCTTCCAAGTCTCTCAGAATCGAACACCTTCCCTCCTCACTCACTCCCCACGCAGAACCTACTCCACTCCTCTCATCCAACAGCCTCCGACCATCGTTGCACGATGTGTAGCATCACCTGGACCACAGGATGCGTTGTTGTGGGGACCAGGATTGTACCTGTCGTCGCGTGCCCCGGTCAGCTATCCGGCTCGTCCCAAGCGCAGTTCAGTTGGATCAAACATGGCCAATGCCCTGACCTCGGGCCATTCTTGCGGAAAATTATAATGTCTCTCGGGCCCTATAGAAGTGACTGAGAGGCCGCTACCCGGTACTACTTAGAGCCGGTTCCTGCCTACTACCTGACCCCAATTGACGACCTGGCCTTTCGACTTGAAGATATCCTCCGAAGCTCGAAAAGCTTGAAAGAATGTATGCACCCTTTCGGAGCGATTTCCACCTTTCAGTACCTTGGCTTGAATGATCAGACGCGTTGCAGAGCAAACAGTAAACAATGCTACATGAAGGCCCCTCAGACCTATCTTGGAATTCGACACTGGTCTTCAAAGAGAAATGCTGAAATCCGAAATGGTGTAGGTGTGATTATACGCAAGTCAATTATCGATGTGGGCATGTGAGATACATCGTGAAGGCATGGTGTACTAGGTACCAAGCAAGGCGAGTCAACCCCATGTCCTGCAGCTATTGGCTATCCGCTGACGTTGCTGGGTCTAGTCATGTGAGGTGTCCTCCGAACGTTGTGGCGATGTAAATGTCCATCTCCTGCCAAATTCTCCTTGCAGATGCTAATGCGTCATGGTAGAGAGACGAAGCCTGAAAACTGTGGTCCGTTATCCTTCACTACGAAGTTCCCACCCGAACCCTGTTTTGCTGGTTTTTCTTCATCGTGCATTTGGTCTGCAAGCACTTTCTACATCATGCGTGTCCTCGATGTGCCTAGCCATGTCATATCTGGTCCTTTGGTCGGTCCTCTGGTCTTGGGTTTGTTGGATGCTTTATGGTGTTAAGAATCCCAGGACTAAAAAGCTGTATTCTAGGAGACTGCAAGGCAGCAGCGGCAACAGCTTCGAAGAAATAAATGCCGGGACCACACGGGCTACTGAGTCTTATCGATTGTCCTAAGCCGGACGTAAAAGAGTCTCGTCAACGGTTTACTCTACAGTCTTGGAATCCATACTTCTCGAGACAGGCCCATCGCCCACCAATCAAGATCCGGAAACTCAGCGCTTCCAGCATTAAATAGAGACCTAGTGATCTTCGTTTCTTTATGAATAGCACTTCACTCATTAGCGATACTCTAGGACTTATACTACCGGCGAGAGTGGCACTGAGATCCCCACATCAAGGCTACCCTACATGGGTGGCCAAGGGCCGCTGATACTACCAGAGCATCTCGCCCTCAAATGGACCCAATGATCATAAGTCGTCGACTCCAACTTCGTCCGGGCTTCCAACGCCATATCGGCAACAAAGTCTGAGCGAGGAAACCAGGAGTCGCTAAAACAACTATCCTTCCTCAAAGCAGCTCGACCAACGGCACAGATGGCAGGTACAAGATCCTTCGAACCACAGCCAAGCCATTTCCAGCAGAGGACTGGCCAAGGACGGGGTCCCAGACGGACACAGTCAACCAGTGACGGCAATCGTTGTGGACTTTCTCGGGAGAAATTTAGGCTCGGTGGCTGGCACGAAGCCATGAGTACCGTATTAAAGGAAAAGACTCGATAGAAGGAGGTTTATGTGTCAGAGAGGGAGAGAGAGAGAGAGGAGAACTCTATGTGTGTGTGCACTGCTCTTGAGGGAAAGACCCGTCAAATAAGAAGCTGTCGCTCCGCCCATTCGACGCAGCTGAGCTGCCTTTGAGTCCGAATGGGTGTTATGTTACCGGGTTCAACGTGAAATGGGGCTGAGCTTATGACGCATGACCACCATGCGGAGGTTCGTGGCTGTGGTGGGTTGGGCACATCGGGACATGGCTTTGAGAGAGAGAGAGAGGTGTGCAGTGGAGTGTGGGCTTATGTACACCAATCTGCAACGCCATAGAGCGCTATGCTACCTATGCAAGTCACGGTGATGGGATTGCAAAATGACGCCTAGAGGGCTGCCTCGCCGGCTGTTTCCTAGTACATATGCTTGGTAATACTCCGCTGCGCTCGGCAATGAGGAAAGAGAGGTGGAGTAGACAACTGCTTATAACTTCGCACCACCACTCCCACCCCCCCGTCCGTTATCCGGCCCCGGGTCCATATCCCTAGCGGTAGACGCCGACGTACTTTCGCCACCCATACCAGGCGGCAGCACAATCTCGGGCAACTTCAATGGAGATTGCGCTAGCGTAGTCATCTTATCCAGCTTCTCGCCCTTCAGCACCCTGTTTACCTCTTCCAAACTCAAAGTCTCGTGCTCCATCAGTGCCTTCGCCACTATGTCCAATTCCTTCCTCTTTCCCGTCAGCAGAGCGGTCGCGCGAGATTTGCCCTCTTCCACGAAACGGGTGACCTCTTGCTCGATCTTGAGTTTGGTCTCGGATGAGAGGTTTTCGTAGCTGCTTCCAAAGTCCATATTACCAAGGATGTCGGACATGCCGAGCCTGGTCACCATCAGGTAGGCTATCCGTGTTGCTGCTGTGAGGTCCTGCGTGCTGTTAGCATTTGCCTTTGCACGCGAGAAGAGGAAGGGGTCTGTACCGCTGAGCAACCGCTTGTGACATTATCGTCTCCGTAGATTAGCTGCTCAGCGACCTTTCCGCCCATGGCCGTATCGATTTCGGCAAAGTATTCCGTCCTGACCTTTGAGACTTTGTCCATATCGTCCATGAAGTGCGTTGTGCCTAGACTTTGGCCCCGAGGCATGATGGTGACTTTGTAGAGTGGTGCCGCTCCTTTGGTGAACAAGCAGACTAGCGCATGCCCAGCCTCGTGATAAGCGGTAATTATTTTGTCCTTCTCTTGGATGACGGCGCTCCGCCGCTCAGCTCCCATCAGGATCTTGTCTTTGGCCCAGTCGAAGTCCAACATGCCGACGTTTGTAGATTTGTTGCGGGCTGCCCGGACAGCGGCTTGGTTGACGAGGTTCTCGAGCTCTGCGCCAGAGAAGCCGGAGGTGCCTCGTGCGATGATTGACTCGTCAACTTCGGTAGCTACTTGAACATTCTTCATGTGGTGCTTGAGGATTTCCATACGGCCACGGACGTCAGGCAGAGGGACAATAATATTGCGGTCAAATCGTCCGGGGCGAGTGAGAGCTTTGTCGAGCAATTGCGGGAAGTTCGTCGCGGCGAGTATGATGACACCAGTATCTTGTGAGAAGCCATCGAGTTCGGTGAGGAGCTGGTTGAGGGATTGTTTGGCATATGATGGATCTCTTTCATTGCGTTTGCCCCCCACAGCATCCAACTCATCAATGAAAATGATTGCTGGGGCCTTGGCTCGAGCATTGGCGAACAATTCACGAATACGCTTGGCACCAACACCGACATAGATTTCGTCAAACTCGGCACCAGACATGAAGAAGAAGGGCACTCCAGCTTCTCCAGCCACGGCACGAGCTAGTAGTGTCTTTCCAGTACCGGGCGGCCCAACAAGTAAGACACCTTTGGGCAGCTTTCCACCAAGTGTCGAAAATTTCTCAGGGTTCTTCAAAAATTCAACAAGTTCCTCAAGGTCTTCCTTGGCCTCGTCACATCCGTGAACATCGGAGAAGCGGACAGTCTGTTGCTGGGGCAGAGCTTCATTGACAGCGCCACCTCCAACTTTCCTCAGGACCCCAGAAGTATCGATAGCCAGCTGAAGGACAACCGCGCAAACGTAGCCAATTAGGACGAAGTAGAAGGTGAACTTGACCCATTTGAAGATAACTGAGCCTATCGATTCATCGACGACCACGTACAACGGACTAGCTTTGTTACCGGTGCCAGAGCTGACCACCTTGGGGCCAGCAACATCTCCGCCTCTTGATCGTGCTGCAACAGCCTGGCCAATAGCCTGCAGCTGTTCGTTGGACGCGTGGTTGCGCCCATGTGTTGGTGTTCCGCCTCCTAAAGCCGAAGTCCCCTCTGTCCGGGCAAGCATTTCGAGTGCTCGGTGGTACGTAGCGTCGCAGGCAGTGTTGGATGCATACCGTCCAGTCTGGTATCGCTCCACCAGAATTGCGGGCATATCAGCACGTAGTAGTGCTGCATAGAAAGCATTCTGGGCTGTTGGGCTTGTAGGGTTGTTGTTGGCCGTGTGTTCCATATGCGCAAGTAAATTTTGGGAAGAGCTCCCGGCAAATAGAGTCCGTCGTTGAGAGACACTAGGCAAGCTAGATTTTATTGGTCTGTAACCGCGTATGAATTGAAAGGGTGGTAACGTTGAGTAGGGCCGCGTATTCCGTGACATGGAGTGCGTTCCCACGAAGAATGGATTTGCACATTGAAGGATCTTAGAGGAAGCTGTATGGGTGAGCGGAGGTGTAAGTCAAGAGGCCAGGCGGTGTGACGTACGGATGGTTCCCATGGTCAATAGCTGACGGCCGGGCATGATGCTTCTGGGGCACAGAGGTCTGAGAGTGGCCATGGGCGCTATTGCTAAGCAGTCTGGCAGCTCCGGCGCTGGACGGATCTGCCAAAGTCAGTATCATACCAAAAATGCGCCAGTATCTGGGACTGACATTGCTCTCCGCCTTGGACGACTCGGTCGATATCGACCGCTGTCCTGCAACACTCCGAAACGTGGACGCAACCGCCTGTGGCGGGTGTTGCCGTAGATGTCTCCAAGGGACTTTCAAAGAAGATTTCACAGATGGCCATAGCTCTGAAGTTATAGAAGCCATGTTCTACCCAAGGCATTTGTTAGAGAAACCCATCAAGACACCGGTGGCGTCTACATACCGCTACTGGGTGCTGGAACGCCATGATGGTGGTGTGGTGTTGATGAGCTAGAAATGAAAGATTCGTATCAATGAAATCGAATTAATAAAGGAGCGTTCATCATGGCCGACGGTGGCAAGACATGGTTGACCCCGGCGATGATGTTGTCGAGAAACTTCTTTGCGGATTTGCCCGTCCCATTATGGTTAGTGCCCTCGGTCGATCTTTAATCCGGAATTCGCTCTTTTGCCTCGCAACTTGCACAACTTCCCCAATCATGCGCTCTCACTTTCTGCAGAATACTGAACACTATCCAGTTTCTATGCGCTGGGTAACTCGGTGCCATACACTATGAAATCGGAAAGATTCCGGAACCTGAAAGGAGATTTTTGAATAGCCCACGATGCTATTACGAGACCCTACGTCTGCATCCCGGCAATAATGGATGACGGCTGTAGAACGTGATGAACTTTCTGATGAAGGAGGATATGAATCAACTTAGCCCAAATATCCTATCTTGACAACTGATAGTAAGAATCTTATGTTCATTAGGCTGTTGTCCAGAACAGCAGGCGTTGTGATTCATCACGATTCAGCGCCTGATCGAAGGTGAGATTTCATGTCTTCCTTGCCCTTGTTGTAGAAGTGTTACGTGCGTATGGTAGTGGTGGTAGAGTTATAACTATGGAGTAATGCCAAGCCAGAGCGATCTTTCCTTATATCTCTTGGTGCAATGCCTGCGGCTTCCGTACTTCTACTTTTCTTTCTGTTCTTGCCATCTCGTCTCACAATCCGAATTCAGCAAAACCAAGTCACAGCAACAGACACATTCCTGGCCAAACTTATACTACTGAAGTACGTATAAAGTAAGCTGGACAGCTACCCTATCCAAGCAGGGCTGCCCATCCTGACCCAGGCACAGAATCCAGGCACATAATCCAAGCAAAACATACGAGTCGAAATACGTCGCGACAAATAGACCCAACTCCGATAGCCTCTGTCTTTCAAGATGCTTAAACTCAAACATTATCTTTGGGACCTCTTTCTCTGCATCTTCCTCTTCCTCTGTCTGGTGATTATCGCGATGGTCTACTTCTTCTTGGGCCACTATAGCAGCCCCGGCGCTCCTGAACTACCTGCTTTTGCCAACGCTTCAAAAACCCTGTGTCCGACGGTTATGGAGATCTGCGCAGAGCGATCCGGAGGCGAAATCTACGGCTCGACTGCAGCGATGCAGACTTCCTGCTCCCAACAACTTAGCGACGGAGTTGGGGACAGGCCAAAACTTGCGGATGAGGACAAGGCCTTCTGGAGCTTAGTGGAGCATCCTTGGCTGCTCTTGACCCAGTTTATCGGCACCGCTCTGCTCACTCATCTGATTTCCGACATCGTTAGGGGGCGGCGTGCCCTGAAGGTGGGGAGAAATGGAGGATGGGAGTTGACTAAAGTGACGCAAGAGCAGGTGGAGAGACGTCAAATGGTAACCTTTGGGCGCAGAGTTCCTTCCAAAATGAGAGGCTGACAGATTCAGGAGGTGGACACATTGGTCCAGGATACAAAAGAGGCGCTCAAAGAGCTTGCTGCTGCCGTCGACAAACCTCATGGGAAGAGGGGTGATGAGAGCTGAATAGCGTTGCGATTCGCCGGTTGACGGTTGCTATACTTGCGGGTCTGAAGATTGTATACCTACGGCGATGATGGTGGTCGAAGGTTTTACCGGCTGAGGGGAGCAGTAATAGTTGTGGTATGGGCAATGGGAGGATCATTAGCTATTACGTGCATGGCTGCTGCTTTTGCTATCCACAGCATTTGTATCTTTGTGTCGCTTTCTTATGCGTGCAACCAGCCAATATTCACACTTTCGCTGGCCACAGGGATGATTCGAGCTTTGATGAGCACGTATGTTTTCGCTCTGATCACCATCACCTAGCTTACAGCTCCAACATTGTAGGGCTTCTGAAACAAGTATAGAACTATCTAAGGTCTCATGGCAGGCACCGAGTCTCGAGTGAGAGCAATCTCAACAGCCGCTGTCCTGAATCTTGCCATGGAAGACTTTCAACACTCTGCTGCCAACCCTCAAGTAATAACTCCACCCTGCCGACTCCTCTCTCTTCCACCGGAGATCCGAGAGCTTATTTGGACTTTCACCGTCGTAGCACCAACCAAGCAGCCCGTCAAACTCAAGAAATACCCTCTTCCTCGCGGCTTCTATCAACGAATTCCGTCAACACTCGCCCTCGCCTCCGCCTGCAGACAAACCTACCTTGAGGTCAGCCCCATCTACTACGCACAAAACACCTTCACCTTATCTACCTCCCACACTCGTATCATCGACCAATCCAGACTTCGAAAATTCATCACAGCCATCGGACCCGCCAACACGGATTGTATCACCTCACTTCGTGTGGTTATCTCAAAGCGCACCCCGCGCGTTAACTTCACTTGCCACGTCCCAGGGTTTGTCTATCTTCGAGGAAACAATCCCGTTGTTCTAGAACTCAGCGGTAGCCAATTGCAATCATTCTGCCGTTGCGTACCTCGTCGGATCATCAATTTCGTGCTTATTGCTGCTAGTCTTTGAGTCAAGTTGACCTCATCTGGACGCGCTGATTCTATCTCCGATAAGAACAGGAGGTGCACCTTTGCCACTCGGTTGCTGTCTTAGTGGACACCTCTAGGGATTTACACATTTGCTGGTCCTCGCTCCTTTAACTACCTCAACACTCATAAGCTTCTTCGACGATCGGAACAAATCTTCGCAAAGCATTCATTCATCAGCCATGCCAAGGATTAAGAAGTCCGCTTTGACTGCCCAGAAGCCATTTCCAGTTCTCAGCTTGCCTCCAGAAATTCGCAACCACATCGGGAGATATGCTGTTGTCAAGGACGAAAATGTCACTGTCCGGCCACATGGACGCCAGAAATCCATCCAGGGTCTAGTACCGAGCTGCTTGCGATCTGGCAAAGAACTCCAGCGGCATCGGGAAGACGATGAGCGAAGGACCAATTCGACGCCACTTGCACTCGCTTTCACCTCCCGGCAGCTCTATCTAGAGGTGACTCCAATCTACTACGGCGAGATTAGCTTCTACTTCCAAAATTTATGGTCTTTCACTTCAGCGGAATCAACGCTCGAAAATTTCACAGCAGCTATTGGGCCTCGAAATGCTAGCAACATCACTGCCGCCTATTTCGACACGCTCTCTTGCCCCTTGAATCAATACCTTTCTGTGCTTACCGGTCTCAAGCAGCTCACAGTCTACCCGCCTCCCTGTGCTTTTGTTTCTACACCCTACATCACATTATGGCGCTCTCAGATGAGCAGGTACGCTCAGAGTCACGCATCAGTCGTCATCAAGCATCTTGAAAACATGGAGGGTGCAAGATTGAGCTTCCTATGAAAGACACCGAGAGATTCTGAAGGGATGACGTGGAGAGTAGCGTTAGCAATGCCAGCTCCAAGAGCTACAGTATTAGCATCCTTCAAAATAGCTCGTTCTCCCAAGGTATGCCAACCTATCTAGATCTTCAACTTCGAAGCCTCTAGCATCTCACCCGAACCATCGTCACCGCATCTTCGGCCCCGGCCCCCAAGCACCATCTTTCACATCCGGCGTCAGTCCAGCAAGCCTCGGGCTTCAGCAGACTCACACAACCGTCGTCGAAGAGCCGTTGCACTTTTTATATATCGGCAGGACCTACATAGACCGAACATCACGCCTGTTTTCATGCCTTTTATGACCTGGAAGTGTTGACCAACAACTGTTCTTCCCCCTTCGCATCCCCATCTACAGCCTTATCCACTCCACTCCACTCCACTCACTCCTTCAGATCCCAAACCCCACACCAAACAACCAACCAACCAAACAACCCACCCCAGTCTCCCCATCCGCAACCCCCCCCCCCCCCACAACTACCTCCAACCATCCCTCCCTATCCCTCCAATCCTCCCTCCCTCCAATCCTCCCTCCCTCCAATCCTCCCTCCCTCCAATCCTCCCTCCCTCCCTCCACCTCGCGCCAAACCACCACTCGCCCCCCCCACCACCCCGTCAGCAAACCCAAACGCAATAATCAAATCTACCACAGGTACAGTACAGTAGGTAGCTCCCACCCCACCTCACCTCACCTCACCTCACCCCATCGGCCCGATATATTGAACCCTTCCCCTCCACGAGGCCAGCCCCGCTCAGATCCCCAACCCTGTGGCTCAGATATGCCTCGCCTCGCCTCGCCTCGCCTTTCCAAGCCGCCCGCCCGGTCCGTCCTTGAACCCATTCGTTGCACGTTTTTTCTTTCTTTTCTTTTTTTTTTCTTTCTTTCTTTCTTTCTTTTCTTTTCTTTTCTTTTTCTTTTTATTTCTTTTTTTTCTTTTTATTTCTTTTTTTTTCTTTTCTTTCCTTTTTCTTTTCTTTTCTTTTCTTTTCTTTTCTTTTTCTTTTCTTTTCTTTTCTTTTCTTTTCTTTTCTTTCCTTTCTTTCTTTTCTTTCTTTTTCTTTTCTTTCTTTCTTTCCTCCCTTTTTTCCATCAGTACATAACTACATAAATACGTACATACATCAGTAAACAGACAGACAAACAAAAGGCCTGTGCGTCAAAAACGTGGGCCCCACCCACATACCATAGGGTACGAGTAAGGGGGCTAGCCGGGTACGAGGGGGTAGCCGGGAGTGGGAAAGATGCACGCACACGCCGAGTTTTGGTTTTTTCTTCGTCTCGAGATTACGGTTCGACTAGATAGATTTAGCTGCAGGGACGGGTCAAGGCGTTCGCTCGCACATGCTTTTTTTGGCGGACGGATTGGACGGTACTGATGCTGGGTGCGTGCGGAGGTCGAGTGACAGCCTGGGGGGTCGAATGGTGTAGGTAGGTACTCTTGAGCTAGGGTAGGGTAGGGTAGGTGCGCTTTCATTCGTCTTTGCGCGCAGGTGTCTTGTCATATCAATGTAGGAAAACGTGGTGCTGGCGATGGTGGATTAGAAGTGTATGGAACAGTAGTAATTCATTGTTTGGTATCATGCTTTCGCTAAAGCTATATGCAAGCCAGCAGGGAGCCTACCTGCTAAACATATGTATCTAGACTACTGATTGGCCATCGAGAGGCAGACAGGTTTGCTAAACAAATGAACATCAGGTCAGCCCGGGGCCCGACTTTCGATGATACCCAACGGCTTTTTCCCCCTTGCTGGTAACGCCCAGCGCCCGTGAATGCTGTAATCGCGGTCGATGAGATTGAGTAGATAAATAGCAGATGTGACGCCAAGATAATGCCCGTGACTAGGAGGTTCGTTCTAAGTAAAAGTAAAGGAAAAATGTGTAGACCAAAAACCGATGTGGGATATCTTGCGAACTTTTATTGAGCAGAGGTCAAGGCAGTGTCGTATCGGCCGGCTGTCGTTAGATCGTAAGTTCGGAAATGTAAGAAGAAGAAGAAGAAGTAGTATTCGAAGCCTTGCTGAGAATGGAATAGGTATGGCTCGCTACGCACAATGCGGCGGGATTGGCATCGTTCGAGTCATAGGCTGGTGGTATGAGCGTGACAAGAGGGAGGAGTGGTCGATGAGATCAAATTTCACGCAATCATGAAGGCCAGTCGTTGCCCTGCATTCGTTGACTTGGCATGAGCGTCCAGTAATCTTCTGGCTTGACCTCTTCTTTCCACCAGTCCATCCCGTCATTGTATTGGTACAGGCCGTTAATGTGGGGTGAAAAGTATTGGTTGCCGATAGGGTAATTGTCTGGAGGGAGGAATTGAGGTGCTTGATAAGGCACCTCTTGTATGGGCGCTGTGTACTGGGGCATCGATTGAGTCGGTGCTGGTGTTGGTGGCATGTCACTCTGATAGTGCTGAGCGACGCTTTGAGCTTGTGTACCATTGTATGCATGGTTTTGAGAAGCTTCTCGAGACATGCCAGTGTATGCGTCTTGCTGAGACACGTTCTGTTGAAGGGCCCCGTATTGGTGCAGCTGGGACTGCCCGAGTTTCAACTGTTCTAAGTTCTGAACGGTTTCTTGATGGTCCGGATACGACATTGGCTCAGGTATGCTAACTTGCTGAAACTGCTGATAGGACTGCGATGCGAACAGCGAATGGGACTGAGTACTGGCAGAGCTCGGAGATGAATGCGTTAGACTAGTGGGACTGTCCTGCAGCGACTGTGGACTCCAAATGCCCATGTTGCTGTTATTTCCCAGCTGATACTGGGGAGGCACACCAGCGCTTGCGGGCGCTTGGGGTAAGCCGTCAGGCATTGTGTCCGCTCTGACGGGTGAGTACTCGGAAGAATGCATTGGTCCGGTGGGATAGGGGTCGGTCAAGGATCTTTGCGGGGTGGAAGAGCAGGAGCGCTCAAGCTTGATCTCATGGATGATTGGGGCTTCCGAGCGTGGGATTGGCCTTTGTAGCCGGAGAGGACTTGGGCGTTGGACCGTTTCTCCCGGCAGACGCCAAAGACTTCTGTTGTAGTGGCTCGGTGCCCCAACCGATTGATTCCTTTGATCGAGGTCCGCCGGCTCTTGATAAGGAAGCTGAGAATCTTCCTTGCCTTCCTCAGTATCTTCTTCGAGCTCTTCTTCTTCTGAGGCGTCCTCATCCGAATATTCAGCATCCTGATCCTCATGGATGGGTTCTGCGGGATGTTCTTTTCGGATGTGTTTTGTCATGGTGGTTTTTCGGCAGAAACTACGTTGGTTGTTAGCAAGAACGGTATGGTAACCCCGGTTTCGGGTCATGCTTACGCTTTCTTGCAGCGCTGGTTTCTGCAAATATAGGGCTTGTCATTGGTATGTATACGGCGATGTCTGGCCAGACTCGAAGACTGCGCGTAGGTGTAAGCCTTTTGCAGATTCCCGTCAACCAATTGATCGAACATACGTCTGAGAAACACTTTCCACAACCCGTGAATGGGCACTTATGGGGCTTATCACCAGTATGGGTACGGCGGTGGACGGTCAAGGCGCTGCGCTGAATGAATGTCTTGCTGCAAGGTTTGTAGTCGCAAGCGTAGGGGCGTTCATTGGTATGTATTCGGTAATGGCGTTGGAGATCGGATTTGCGATTGAAACTCTGTGAAATGCGATTGCGATCAGCCTCTGATTGTGGGTTGGGAGGTCGACGAGCACTCCCGAGGTGTAACTTTCGGGGCGCAGGATTGCTTACTTTGGGGCAACCTTCATGCCATTCGCACTGAAATGGGCGAGCGGCCATGTCCGCAGCAGAGGCTCCACCTTTGACCGTGGGGCTCTGCTTGGTGGTTGCCTTGTCCACCATGTTGGCGGATAGCAACAGGAATGTTGGGCGAGGTCAAGTAGGAGTAGGGTATGGTGGACAGGGATTGAAAATGATGATGATGATGCACTAGGCTTGGCAGAAGAATGCGGGGAGACGGCAGGTTTCGTAGTTAATTAGTGAAAGAATTGAATGTTTGAAGATGGCGAATGTTTGGTTTGGGTCTTTTAGATGTTCCTAAGAAGGGAAGGGGAGTTGAAGATATGCCAATCGATCTTAAGAAGGGTAAACGGGAGACGGCCGATTGCTGGTTATGTATACGGTAGGATTGGAAGGGGGGGAGGAAGGAAGAATTGTAGTTCACTCAAAGCTCTGTCTTTTTTTCCCGGGGACGGGGGACCGTTTCTTCTAGGGGTGTCCGGCGTCAAACGATTCGCTGTTTGCCTCTAGCCACAAGTCAGATGTTTAGGTTGAACTTGACTGAGCAGAACTTGACATGGCTTGGGTCCAAGTTTCTTTCTTAGCCCTGCGGCTTGAACCTTGTACATTATGTACGTCCAGAAGCGCACGCGACAGAAAAGGTAAAGGGTTACCTGTTAAGCAGTGAAGTGGTACTTGCTCTGCATGTAGTCCCCTGTGTAGTCTCTGTAGTCCCTGTACTTCCTGTAACTTCCTTTTACGAAGCTCGTGTTTGACAGCTCTCAGGCGCGACTGAGCATACTTTGACGGCTTCCGGGAAGCTTCTTCCCGTCACTGCCGTGAATAATGACTGGGAAAAAGGAGATGGAGCTTTGCTGATGGAAGTTGGAAAACCCTCGAGGAAGATTCCTTGGTAATGCCGCGTGCAAAAGTGTCAAGATTGTCTTCAAAACGCTCGCTCCTTACAGGCCGGTACCAGCGAGACTGCGGTTGCTTGCAGTGCGTGATAGATTTGATGCCCTCGTACCGGATAAGTACAGTATGGAGTGACTTCAGCACCTCTGCCCTGCTCGTTGATACGCTCGTCCAACCTTCGAACCGGAGGATTGCCGACCCGAACCATAGGCCCAGCAAAGAATCCTGCGAACCTGATCGGACAATAGGGTTGAGAAAAGGCTACTTGAAGGTTGTGGGACAAGCGAGCCGTGGACATGGACGTTTGGGCAGGCCGATTGAACACTAATACTACTATGCAGTCTTTTGATACTGTTGCAAGAGAAGTGTTTATGATTGATGATTGGGAGGTCTGGAAACTAAATTCCAGTCGAAAACTGGTAACCCTTGGGTACTGAATGCTGCACCCATTGAGACGGCCGATTCTTCACAAACACATCATTCTCTACCAAGTACGCTTGTATCCAACCCATTCCTCCTCAACCCTGTGTTTTGACACTCACGCTCTCCCTCAACGTAGGGTTTCTTTCATCGGGCATAATTGGACTTGGCTTGCTCGCGTATCGTTCTCTCAGTCAGAAGGATAGCAAATCTAGAGCAGAATGTGGCTACCCTTCAGGACAAACGACGCTTCACCTTTTCCCGCGGCCATTTACATCCATGGTACTTTTTTCGGTCGACAATCATGGTGGAGAATGAGAGTATGTAGTGCGTCATGCGCGAGACTCAAGATCCATTCGAATCGGACCATTTGCAGTCACGGCCGCTTCAGCAAGTTTGACGTGAACAGTGAGTGAGTAGGTTTGACATGACGAACATCCGAAGAACCATAAGGTTTTTTTGGACAAAGCTTCAACAAGCGAGATGGTGCTACTGGCCGTGATCGGGGTTTGATTCGACCTCGCTTTCAGAAAGAAGCCTGCCCAACAGAAGCAAGTCCGATGCGGCTATAATTGAACGATTTACTGGGCCAATGGTCATGGCTTCAGAACCCAGGATCGTGCCTACATGGAATATGCGTAAGCTATATCTTCAGATCCTCAATCACGCGAGATCATTGGCGCGATGCAATCTGTCTTATCAAGAACATAACTCGGTTGCCAGCATGAGCCTAAAGGAGCCACGAAAGCTCCAACAGGTCGGTCAGATTAATGTCCTTAGCTTCAGACTGGCAGGTCCGTGACCGCTTAATTGCTTTTACTTTTGCTTTGGCGGTTCGTCGCATCTAGTCTTTTGCGAAAGTGTGTTCTGTCTGTTGCTATTTGGAGAAATAATCCAAACAGCATTGGCGGTCAGTCAATTGTTTATGTCTCGTATCCTGTGGAGCAGGATGAGCAAGGACTGATGGCAGGTAAAAGTGGACTTTTGGGAAGCCTCGTGGAGTTGATGTGACGTATCATGGGTCGATTGCGAAGGCTAGAATCGGTAAAATATGCCAGTAGCGAAGCAGCTGCCTCAACAGGAGTACTCAGAGCATTGTATTAGGTAAGTTGGGATAATCGAAGGCGTATGCAGTGGTGATCACTGATTACACAGCCAGATTGGCGTTTGCTGCAAGGGTGGAGCTAGTGTAGAAGTGTGCCACTACATATCAGGGTTTGGGGAGTCTGGATGGCCATTAGTTTCCAGCTTCAGGCGTCGGGCTTCCTGGCATAGGACTGGCTGTAGTAAAAGCCGAAACAGACAGGCTGCATATGAAGTGAGAGCGAATGACAGTGACAGGATGTCAGAACGGAGGGTTACAGTAGTCGAGAGCGAGGGACTGTTACTACGGTAGGCTTATAGCTCTAGACCAGTTTTAATTTGGATCATCTGGCGGGTCCTGTAGCTAAAAGAGTGACGCGAAGCCAGCAAAGCCATGGATAGCCATGGCGTTCTGCACCATTTTCCACATTGGGGACGATTGGCGTCAGAATTGGCGTCAAGATCGGGTTATTTTGGCATTGGCTCGGCTGAGGAGAGATGCATTTCTGCTAGTTGTCCTAGTTCTCCCTTAGTGTCATCTGGGGCGGATAGACTAACCACTCTCTTTTGAAGAGTGCCAATAGAGATCTCACACCAGGCCGCTAAGAGTAAGAGTGTGTAAGGTACATGTACTTAATCGGAGGGGGAAGGAATTTTCAAGTTCAAATAGACGACTGGTCTCCAGGTTTGAGGAAATAAATTCATCATCTTCATGTGGTCAGTGCACTTTGGAGAAAAGCATCCACCAACAGAACCGGCAATGAGGAATGGCATTTGATAGGTCGACGCTTACCCCATATTCAATAATCCTGGCTATTTACCCCAGGTTTCGGTACTTTGAGCTTAGTAGGCTGCAGGCACCCGAGGTCACATAGGTTGCATACATAATTACCATCAAATTAAACCTGCTCTTAGCCTATCTTCCTCATCCCGTACCACTCTTTTCTCCACATCCCCGTGTCGTACCGTCTGACTCGCGTACAGGGGCAATTGCATCCTGCTTGCATCATAAATCCGTAGATACGCAACCTCCGTGCTCTGCATAAACCCTTGGTCCCCTTAGCCCTAACCACTCCCCCCCATTATTATTAGGATTCAACTTTCCAGCCTTCCATCTGGACCCACCCGATCGTCAAAATGCTGCAGCTGGTAACCAGTGAGCATCACGTTCTGCAGTGCTCGAACCCTGCCTTGCTTTACACATGCGAACTGCCAAACACTCGTTTCCTGGTATGGACGGAGATGCCACCGGTTCTGTAACGTCGCAAGGAACATTCTCGCAACGGTCGACATACCTATAGCCCTAGCCGTTAGCCAAACGTGATGCACAAACGCGTAGTCGCCCTCGATGAGCCCCTGTGGCGGCGTGTCTACTCCTGGGAGAAGACCTGCAGGTCCGGTCGCATCGGGCTCAAAGCAAGCTCACCAGATCCGATGGTATCTGCCAGACCCAATTCTTGGAATCTCTCCAAGCCGTATGGTATCCCCCGGACCCACAGACGCAGACGCGACGGAAGTACGGAAGTGTGCTTTAGCTTGTCTCCACAAGGCAGTCTCTACGTAAGAAAAGGCATTGGTCAATGGGGCCTCAGCTTTGATCATCATGTACTCGGTAACTACCTATGATACTTTCGCTGCATGTACCCTTCCAATGTTCGAGCTGCAGTGGGAGCGGCCCTTTTCAGAGTCCCTCGTGCGTGAATACGAGATGCTCTGCAGAGTGACTGGTCCATGTAGCATGCAGGCGCTCAGGCTGAATTCACTTCCATGTCACAGGTACATGAAGCCACAGGTCTTGGCTATCTGACATACGTTGGAATCGCTGCCGGACTGCCGCGAGAGCATGGTACCAGCAATTGTTGAAACAGATAACATGAAGATTGTTATACTTAGACACCTTGGCAACCAAGATTGAGGAGGTGGACGAAGCCATGACAATGGAGCGCGAGAGAGACACTTCTCTAGCTGCATGACCGCCGTTGAAAAGTGAATCGTTTTACATCGTACAAGCGGAACCTTCCGAATCGAAAGAGAAAGATCAGCCACATACAACTAATGCACACGGGCTATTCTATCAAAAATCGCATAAGCTATTCTATGCGAATCGCGAAGTCTGGACGATGACCAGGTTACCGTCGTCATGAAGAAACGGCTCAATCTCTTGCCTCACTCCTCAGACGCTATTCCCACGTCCGGGCCTACCGTATCGGGTGTAGGCCGGAGGGTTTCCGCGATCGGGTTGGGTCTCAACCTCCTGCCGGCTAAATATCGGACTGTCACCTAAAGAGGTAAAGGGTGGGGTGGTATTAGGTAGAGACGTCTGAGAACTGAGGCAATCAATCTCCGTCTAACAGGCTCGACGGGTAAACATCGGTAGGTCAGTCCATCAAATTCTCGACGCGATGAGCCTCGAAGACTTTAGGAGGACATTGGGTTAAACGGGACTCGACCTCGGCAGTCTTCTCCACTCCTCGTCGCCGCTTGTCAAGGCAAGCAAAGAAGCATGCCACCGACACCGTGTGCCCTTTGTAACGCCAACCGAGCGCTCATCATCCGGCCTAAGAACCATCAAAAGCTCTGCAAAGCCTGCTTTATAACCCTCTTCGAGACCGAGATCCATAATACCATCACCACAAACTCCCTCTTCTCTTCCGGCGAACGAGTTGCTATTGGCGCCTCCGGAGGCAAAGACTCTACCGTGCTAGCATCCGTCCTCAAAACTCTCAACGAACGCTACCACTACGGCCTAAACCTGCTGCTACTTTCAATAGACGAGGGTATAAAAGGCTACCGAGATGATAGCCTCGAGACTGTCAAGAGGAATGCTGTGCAGTATGACATGCCTTTGGAAATAGTTGGCTACGATGAGCTCTACGGTTGGACAATGGATCAAGTGGTCTCGCAAATCGGCAAGAAGGGCAATTGTACCTACTGCGGCGTCTTCCGGCGGCAAGCACTCGACCGTGGAGCTGCACGTCTCGGCATCAACCACGTCGTCACAGGTCACAATGCCGACGATATCGCTGAAACCGTCATGATGAACCTGCTGCGAGGTGACCTGCCACGGCTAGCCAGAGCTACAAGCATTGTGACAGCGAGTGCAGCGAGCGATATTAAGAGAAGCAAGCCGCTTAAGTATGCATACGAGAAAGAAATCGTGTTGTACGCACATCACAAGGGGTTGGATTACTTCACTACGGAGTGTATCTATAGCCCGGAGGCGTTCCGGGGGAGCGCGAGGACGCTGATCAAGAGTCTGGAGAGGGTGAGGCCGAGTGCTATCTTGGATGTTGTGAGAAGTGGGGAAGATATGGCGAGGTTAGTGCCGGAGGAGGTGAGTGGAGGCCGCAAAGGCGGTAAAGACGTACTCGTCGTAGAAGGAGAAGCCGAAGGAGGTGGCGGTTGTGGAAATGCTAATGGGAGGGCGAGCGGCGGCGAGATGGCTGATATGGAAAAGCAACTCCTCCAGAACGAAGGAGCTCAGGACAAGGAGACCGAAGTGACAGGCAAAGGACAGAAGCACGACCGGAACTGCGAAGGCTCCAATCGAATGGCCAGAAAGTTACCCAAGCAGCAAATGGGCAAGTGTGCTCGGTGCGGATACTTGTCCAGTCAAAACATCTGCAAAGCGTGCATGCTTCTCGAAGGCCTCAACAGAAACAGACCCAAGACGCAGATTCAAGTCAGCGTTGAAGAGGAAGATAATAGCCCTACGCTGACGCGGCGGATGGAGGGCTTGACCGTCATTCCTGGCCAGCAGACTTGAAAGACGAGCCTAGCGTCAGTTGTTACAGTCTTCTGCCTAAGGCCTCTGCCTTTAGTTGAAATTCAAGGTTTGGTCGGCATGTGACGCAAGCTGATGTATGCGTTCCTGAGCGCCGTGTCCGATCGAGACGAGATGACCTTCCAGTTCCAGCAGGGAACGAGTAGGCCTAAGGAAGAGGCATGCAAGCCCATACCTCGAGGTCATCACGACACCATCGAACAGCAAGCCGCTACTTGGAGTTTTCGATGTTGGCGAGCATGCCTACAGAACCACCCACACCTCAACATGAAACAACTCGAGCTATTCTCGTAGCAAGCCAGTGTCATCAAAAACATCTGCAACTAGGCCAAAATGGTTTACTTCCAATCCCACTCTTCACCTCAACAACTGGACTAGTGTTCCTTGGACCACCTCGAACGCACTTTGTTCGAGCATCATGGCATATAGTTTTTGACAACCACACTCGGCATCTTTTGCTCACATGCTCAGCAAATATAATATTCTACTCGCTGCTTCACCCTTCGAGGAAGACCGGGTGGATATCTGAGAAACTCTGAAAGATGATGAGTTGAAAACATAAGCGAGCCAATGCCTTTGGGCGGCGGCATATGAAAAACGTCGACGAAGTCGAAAACCACTTAGACGATTGAGAGTGGTCGGCTTCTTGGTTGCAAGGTGCAGAGCAGACACATTGATAGGAGATCATCCAAGATAATGCATCTCGTCACAATCCCTCATCTCAAAATCCTCTCTACGTTGGCAGCAATAACCCTCTCAAGAATCCACCTATCGCGTGACCAAACGAAACCGACCCAGACCCAATCCTTCTCCTCGCCCCTGTCTTGCGCATAGAGACGACCGTATCCATCCCGTCATCCCAAGCACGGAAACACCCAACGGGCTACCTGCAAAGCGACGACTGATCGCATCATCATCATCACAACACAGCGAAGACTAAACCCTCGTAGAGACACCGTACCACCCAGCACCCCCGCCCTGCCCTAAACCCCCTTCGCTACGCCTGGGAATGCCTACGCGCCCTGCTCCTTGAATTCGAAGCGCCGATGATTTCGACCTGACCTTTCAACACCCGAAGCACGAGCGTGCGACCCCAGTCCGGCTCAGTTGTTCAAGGCTCCTACATACATACCTAACTACTTACCTACCTACCTACCTACCCCCTCGACGGGACCGGAAGGGCGTTGGGGAATAAGTGGGTACGTGGTTGCGTCTTGGATGCATGGGGCTCGGAGTGGTTGATGTGGTTGCGATGCCAACTTCAGCCACGCGGTAGATTATACGATGGGGATAGATGGTGGTGGGTGGTTTTGGTTTGGTGCTGGGGGAGGAAGATGTCGGGTTTGTGAGAGAGGGAGTGGGATCTTGGTGGAATTAGCACAGGATGGGATGGAATGGGATGGGTGGCGGATGCGTTGTATGTATGTATGTATGTATATGTGTAAATGTATTTATGATACGCGAGCGAGCGAACGAACGAGTCTGCGTCCTGGGTCTGCTATCTATCGATCTACATACATATATATATACAGCCTACCAGCCTAGCTAACGGCGACGTGCGATCGAGGTCCGGAGACGTGATGACTCGATCGAGCGGGTGCTGGTGGGAATGGGTTCATGTTTGTCTATATGTCTATCTGTCTGTCTATCTCTCTCTCTCTCTCTCTCTCTCTCTCTCTATCTATCTATCTATCTATCTATCTACCTATCTATCTATTTATCTATCTATCTATCTATCTATCTATCTATCTATCTATCTATCTATCTATCTATTTATCTATCTATCTATCTATCTATCTATCTATCTATTTATCTATCTATCTATCTATCCTATCTATCTATCTATCTATCCTATCTATCTATCTATCTATCTATCTATCTATCTATCTATCTATCTATCTATCTATCTATCTATCTATCTATCTATCTATCTATCTACCTACCTACCTATCCATATATAGAGTATCGAATCGAATCGAGATATCATCCCTTCGCTCACATCTACGTATGCGTCCAGCGAGCTGGAAGTCCTTTTGTGTGTCGGATAGGGAGCATAGGCGGCCTCGTGGCTACGTGGGTATGGCTCGAAGCTGGTGCGGCGGTTGTGTGGTTGGGGTTTGTGGTTGGGGTTTGCGATGGGCTGGAGTCGGGGATCGCGAGTGTCAGGGTTCGATGGGTGAGCGGGCAGGAAATTCACCGTGAGTCGGTTGATCGATGTAGAATGGGGACTTGGAGCGGTCGGGTAGAATTATTATTGTGGTTACACATTGCAGTGTCTTGGATCTATATCTATATATGCATCACATGTGGTATACTTACTCCCAGTGTCTACGCAAGTAGTAGTTTCGTCAGCAAGCTAGGGCGTCGCACCTGGACTTCCCATAAGTTATAGCCTTCCAGCGTTTGTTAGGTATACAGTAAAAGGACGGACTCCTGGAAATGCGATGCACGGCTCCTATGTCTCCGCGCTGTGGTCCCCACGTACATTCGTGATTCATCTCACTCCACCAGCAGCGCGAACTAATGCATCACGCTTTGCCTCCACCTATCGACCATGTCATTTTGCCTCGGGTTGACAGCTTCGACAGGTTGTTGCATCATTGGGTTTGGAAACCCATTGGCTCCTGGAGCAGCAACAATCCCGTTCGCATAGCCTGCGTTGGAAGCACCAAGTCCACTCGCCATAGGCAATCCCCTCATGGGCCCCATCGAGGCCTTTCGCGTCTGATTCATGGCCCACGGCGTATTGCGAGTCTTCGGGGCAGGGGCAAACTTGATGTCATTGAAGGGCCTCGTACTGGCGCCTGCTGCTGGGTGTGCCGCGAGGATGGTTGCCATGCTGTGTCTGGCCGTCATTGCTGGTCTGGCGACGGACTCATCGCTTTCGCCGCTTACGTTGCGAGACTTATTGGCTTCGCGTTGCAGACGTTTGCGGCGCTGGCCGAGGGTCTCGTCGGGGCCCGGCGTTTTAGAGGCGATGCCGGGGGCAGAGGCTTCGTCTTTCGATGGTTGGTCTGCGGGTGAAAGGCCACCGAATTGCGACAGCATTTCGCTGGCGAAGTCGCCACTGACTGGTCCCGGCTGTGTAGGAATGTTTGTAGCTTTCAGTCGTCGGACGCGTTGAGCTAGGGTTTCGTCTTCGTCTTTATTCTCGAGTTGGGGTTTCTCGTCCAAGAAATTAGGAAGGTCGAGAGTGTACATGCTGTTTCGCTTCTCTGGTTCTGTGATCCGCGGCGCAGGATCCTCACCTCGAAGTCGTGCGCGACGATGGCTGAGCGGCTCATTATCTTCCACGTCACGTCTGGCAATGAGACCTAGCGGTCTGTCTTCGTCGAAGAGGCGGGATTTGTCGTTGGCGTCCATTTGGCGTCCTGGAAAGAGCACACCTAGAGGCACGTCCTCGTCATCTTGGTTCCCAGCGGCCAGATGATGGGCTTCAGGATCTTCCCATGCGAGCGTTGTATGCTTCTGTCTCCTTGACTGCTTTTGGACCTGTGCCACAGCATCCAGCTGTAACAGAGTGGAGTGCATCCCGTTTGGAAATGCCGTTGCGGCTGTGCGACCGCGCTGCTTCTGCTGCAGCTTTCGGAGCTGCAGCTCAGCCAACAGAGTAGTGGGTGCCCCGGTATATTCCTCTACTTCCTCGGGTTCCCCAACCTGGTCCTCCCCATCTAGCATCTCCTCCCTCGCATCATGAAAGTCGGTGTCTTCATCACCCAGACCGTCAAATCCTTCATGGGAACGCTGCGGAGGAGCATCTTCACCGTGCAAATCAGCAGCTTCAGACTCATGGTACTCTTGTGCATCATCGAACTGCTGAGCACTGCTTTTCCTCTTGCCAAAGTGACCACCCAAGCTCATCAAGCTACTGTTTCGCTTCTTCGTATTTTCGAGTAGGTTAGAGCTACTGTTGCGCTTCGTGAGATGGTTGATGGTGCTTCTCCTTTGCCCAGGATCTCGAATCTCTGCAGGTACGACGCTGGCTCTTGATTGAGCGGAAGCTTTACCGTACACTTCTGCGCCCACACGGCCGGCAATTGGATGGTCAGTAAATGCGCTGACAGGGGCGAACGCAGAGGCATCGAGGATGCTGTCCAAGGTCGCGACCGCCGAATCCCCTTTGACTTCAACATCCTGGCGAGTTGATGGATAGTCAAAGAACATGGTAGCCCTAAGCTGTGGCGGCATTTCGGCCATCGTTCGGCGCTTGCGCTCCTTCACATGCATGGCTGAGTCTTCTGACTCGGGAGGTACATCGCCATTCGCACTTTCAAGCACATCTGGCAACCACGCAGCTGATTTGCGGGCTTCTGTGGGTAAACTGGTCAAGAGCTCTGAGCGTCGCTTGTCTCGGTGTGGAGCTGCGGGTAGCTTTGATAATCGTTTGGGAAGATTTAACATCATGGGTACTGGAGCTGGGTAATAGACCATGTTCTCGCCTGGTGTTGGCTGCATGTAGGAGATTGGCCGGATAGGAGTTGGCTGGCTTGATACTCTTCGGTTCGTGGTTTCGTCTACATCAATTGGACCATCCGAGTGCGGCGCAATGTGTACGCCATCGAAATCCGTGAAAAGACCTGCAGATTGCCGGTACGTGTCAGAGGACGCTCGAGGTTGCTGCCCATTGTCGGCCACCTCGGATTCCTCGGGTTGCGTATGTGGGATCTCGACACCGTTAAGATTGTATTGTCCATCATTTATTACTCGAAGTGGTTTTGTAGATGACTCAGGCTGAGGCGCCAAGGGTATCAATCGGCTGGATAGCGGCGAGTCGAGTGGCTTGCCCTCCTGCTCTGGCTCAGACACCTGCTCAAGCCGCGGGCCATACGACAGAGATCTTTCCTTGACTGAATTCTGGTGTGACCATGATCCTGACCGCACCGAACCCCTGGGAGAAGCAAAGTATGCGGCGGGAGAGAAGCCACCGTTCCGAGCGACATTGTTTGTGCCCACAATTGAGTTTGACGCGTGTGAGCCATACTCATAGGAGAATTGTCGGTGCAAAGGTATATCGGCCTCTCTTTCTTCACTGTGTGAATCCAAAATCGATGAGCGTCTGCTATGCGACTTTCGTTGTTCTACCCTCATCTTTCGCAACTCTTCTCCAATGTCTGATGATAGACTCAGTCGCTCGGCACTTTGTTCCAGACGTTCGATATTGCCAACGTACGCTCCTTGGATTGATTGGAGGTCTGGAGTGGGGTGTCTCAATACTGAACCCTCTCGTGAGACAGTACGAGGGTTGTCCATCGCGTCTTGTGATGTGTATGAGCGTGGCTTGAAATCTGCAGATGTGGGTCGAGATGTTGTTAAATCATGGTGTTGGTGAAGAGGTGATGAAGGGGAGGATTGGGAGGGAGGGGAGGGAGGGGAAGGAGGAAGCTCTGATTGCGAGGTGGTGTCGTGCTCGCCCTGCATAATGGAATTGTACAGCATATTTACGGGTACTGTACATGCGAGATTGCAGAAAAAGATAATAAAGATAAAGAAAGTTGCGCTGGTGCCAATTGCCAAAGTTCACTGATCCGCGTAAAGTTGTATAAAATTAGATATCCCGCTTGCCGGCAGCCAAGCTGTCAAAAGTACCTAGATTAGTCCCAAACATCGAAGCTGCTTCTGTTTTCATTTTCTCATTTGATGTTTCCAACACGAGCTCCAAGCTGGAAGCCTTGGATTTATTTATTCATCAAGTACGTACGTTGATGGTAATGGAAATATTGAAGTAAAAGTAGTCACGTGGGCTCGGCGGGCCATCAACTCACCAGAGCAATGTTTTGAAGGTCCCGAGGTCCCTGAATCCCTTAGGATGATCGACCGCCACAACTGCCACTAGTCTATTTATAATTAGGTGGTGTGGGCCGATAAGGTCTGGTGTGATGGGTGGTAAGCTTCGGCTTCACATGACTCAGTGCATCCAATATCAAAATTCCATCAGAGTAACAAACACATTTCCCTCCAACCACTTCACCACATTACATAGGGCTACGTCTGACGAGGCTTTCGTCATAACATCAGAGCATCATCACACATGAGGAGTCTCACCTACTCTTTACTCGCTCGCGTTCAATTACACACGCGAAGTGAGGCTATACCTCCATCGCTTTCACTCGTTGTAACCGTCACGAAAAGACAATCCACATATCCACTACATCTCCCTTCTCAACATCCGACCCACACCGAGGATCCCAGGATCCCGTCATCGAAATGGCACATTTTTCCATGAATGCCGCGGATCAGGGAGACGAATCCTCGGACTCCGATCATAGGCAGAAAAGGCGCAAGACAAATCCAATGAGCCATTCCAAGCCAAATGGATCTATCAATCCCGGAGCTTCACCGGCCGCCAACTCCTTCGCCGCCAAAATGATGGCAAAGATGGGGTATGTCGAGGGTCAAGGTCTTGGGGCTACAGGGCGAGGTAGACTCGCTCCGATCGAGAGCCAACTGAGGCCACAGGGGGCCGGACTGGGTGCAGTAAAAGAGAAAACCAAGCAGGCGAAGGAGGAGGAGAAAAGAGAAGCTGCATTCCGAGGCGAAGTGGTCGAGGAGTCGTCTGAAGAGGAGAAGAAGAGGCGGCGAAAGCTCAAGGAGAAGAGAGCATCAGATGGAACGAACGCGGTGGGCATTCCAAGAAAAGCGAAGCCGAAGTATAAGACGGCGGCAGATATGGAGGCAGCAGCGGAGGGGCTGGAAGTACCAAATGTGTTGATGTCTCTCATAGATGCTACAGGCCAGGATACGAAGCTCCTTACATCGACCGCTGGATTGATGAACTCTCAGACGATGGTACCGAGTGAAACAGAATCATCAAAGATTGCACGTAGGGCACGACGAGATCTCGAAGCATTCACCGACGAGTGGACCGCTTTGATGGAGAGGAAGATCTATTTCGAGGCTCAAGAGGCTCATTTGACCTTGGAGATTGAAAAAGACGGAGAAGAAGGAAAAAGTTTTCGTGATATGAAAGACATGATTGAAGCTGCGGAAGATCTTCAGCGAGTGAATCTAGATGATGATTTGGATGACACTTATCGATGGGAAGCTTGTACGAAGAAGTTCGAGTCCTTCCAGAGATCCAACATAGGACAGCCATCGGTATTGCAAGAGCTCGCCGTCGCAGCACTTCATCCTTTGTTCAAACACGAAATGCAGAAATGGGAACCGTTGAAATTATCACGGGAGCCAAAAGGCGGGCTGCCGTATTTGAAGAGACTTCAGCAAGTTCTTATTCCTCAGCGAGAATTCAGTACCGAGCTTGCACTTCAGCACGGCGACTCCTACTCTATACCGCAGACTAAATCTACCACCCACTACGAAACTATGATTTATTCCCTCTGGCTTCCGCCAATGAGGTCTGCTATAACAAATGATTGGGATGTTTATCAGGACTCAGATGCTCTGATCGATCTCCTCAAAGCATGGAAACCTGTTCTTCCTCCATTCATTTGGGCCAATGTCATTGATCAGCTTGTTGCGAAACGTCTCACTGGAGCAGTAGCTGCCTGGAAGCCACGCAACGCTCAGAAGAGCCACAGAAACTCTTCTAGGCCACCTCATGTCTGGCTGTTCCCGTGGCTTCAGTATTTAGATGAACAACATACAGATCCAAAAAGCTCGACAGGACTGTTATCCGAGGTCAAACGGAAGTTTAAAAGCGTGCTGTCTACCTGGAATTTGTCTACTTCTCTACCTGTCGGAATTGAGGAGTGGCGAACAGTGCTTCAGTCTGAGCTTCCTTCTATGCTCGTTCGAAATTTGCTTCCACGCCTTGCCTTGCATCTCTCCACAGACCTCATCATCGACCCGAGTGATCAAGATCTCACTCCGTTAGAAGATGTGCTGCGGTGGGCTCCGTTCTTCCCCCTCGAGACGATGGCACATCTGCTCATCGCAGAATTCTTTCCCAAATGGCATCAAACCCTCTATGTCTGGCTTACCTACGAAGGCGTGAATTACGCTGATGTTAAGAACTGGTACAGTTGGTGGAAAGAGCAGGTTTTAGGGAAAGCATTGTCAGCTGGGTTCAATGAATTATCGTCAATCGCAGGTGAATGGAACAAGGGCCTCGAAACTATGAGCCAAGCTCTCGACCTACTCGAAAAGGGCATGGACGTAAGCACGCACTTGCCAGCGCCATCGCTGGATACGTCCTCTGAATTGAACCAGGGGACCCCTCCTATATTAACACCGACTGCTTCAAAATCATCCGGACCACCACCTCCTCCTTTCACATCTTCAACGACATCTCATACTTTCAAAGCTCCACAGATCGATAATCCAATAACGTTCAAAGACGTGGTGGAGGAGTGGTGTGCAGAGAACGGTCTTCTCTTATTTCCTCTCCGTGAAGCCGATCTACAGACTGGGCTTCCTCTTTTCCGCGTCACGGCTAGCGCAAGCGGCAGAGGAGGTGTCGTTGTCTATCTCAAAGGAGACGTGGTCTGGGTTCGAGGTATTGCTACAGCAGGGACCGAAAAGCGTATATTCATGCCTGTGGGACTTGATGAAACGTTGGTGGCAAAAGCCGAAGCAAGATAACACAATGAGGGGCGCGAGGAGAACAACCGTCGATTGTAACACTAGATCAAAGAGCGTGTAACGGTGAAGTATTTCGAAGAGGAAGAGACCTCGTCCGTCTGCCTCACAGATTCGTTCGGTAAAGTGATACCTCTTTCAACAGTCTCTTCTTGACAGTTTCCCCAATAACATTCATAGTTGTTTCAGAATCCGAGAAAATGATAATCATTTGCTCTGTCCCACCTTGGCTTCTTGACCTGTTCGAGCGTCCCTCTCCCAAAATCTTCGACACCGATTCTTTTCTTCTTAGCAAGCTTAATTCCAAAATTCCATTATTCGATTTCCTTATTTCATACTTACCTATATAACGCATGCGTGCGCAGTCTTATTCTTTCGTAACTACACCTCTCCCACGTGCCTTGATTTTCTCTCTATTCACCATCAATCTCCCAATCGAACAATCTCACACCAACCCACGTCACTACCATCACCACGCTAGGCCATCCACTCACCACTGATGTCCATCCAACCAGCACAGCTGAGCCTCACCCCCAAACCAGCCCTGATGCCCACCCCCCGAGCACCCACCCCCATCCCCAACCCCGAGCACCCACCCCCATCCCCAACCCCCGTCCTCCCCCCCCAACAAATCCCCCTACACCATCCCCCGCCAGAAAACTCCTTCCGACCCCACCTCTTCCAAGAAAACGTCCACCACCAACCGCCCGCCCGCCCCCTCAGTGCCTCGGTAGCATCCCCAACCCCACCCTCCTCAAGCCGGACCTTCCCCCCTACTTCTCCGCTCATCGCGGCCACACGCGCCCGCAGCGACGCAATTCCCCATCCATACCACCTCCGCGCATCCCTGGCGCCGCACCACGCGGATCGAAGTCAAGCGAACAACAACAACAACAAAAAAAAACGCCTCTCCACCGCAGCTGCTCCGAAAAGAACTTACCCCGAACCCGAAGCCCTCCAGTCCCATCTGAACTGAACGACGAGACCACAACCTGAACCCGCAAAACGACGATCCGGTCCCGTGGCCCTGGAACGTGGATCTCACCCATCAAGCCTGAACCCTCGGGCCCCCCACCTCTTCGACAGCCGCTTTCGGATCAAGCACCCGACTCCCTCAAGCCCCCTCCCCGTCACCTTCCTCACCCTCACCAACCCTGGAATCTGAGACCGCATCGACACCGCCGCCGTTGGTACCGGACCGGACCGTGGCGGTTCAACGCCTGGACTGGATAATTTCCGGCGACGCTGTTAGCGCGGCTGATGATGGTGGTGCGGAGGGAGGGGATGCGGCGGTGTGGGGGGGAGCGGGGGGCGAGGGTTGGGTGGGGTGGGATGGTGTTGTTGATGGGTTTGGGTTGGAGGGGTGGTGAGATTGGTGGAGAGGGGGGGGGGGGGGGGGGGAGGGGGCGGAGGGGAAGGAAAATGTGAGACCGGTGGCTGCCGGGGCGGGGGCGGATGAGCGGGGTTTGGGGAGTGGGGATGGGGATGGGGATGGGGACGGGGGGGAGGTGGGGTTTTCGTGCGGGGTGGGGTTGGTGAGGTTGTGGGGGGTTGGGGGAATGGGGGATGTGGGTAGAGGATTGATGATGTTTTATTATCCTTGGCTTTGGAACAGATTTGTAGTTGGGATTGCAGCTGGTGTAGTATTGCATGATATCTCAACAAAGTCCATATGCACGATGATTTCTCCGCTTCACTCCCTGTTCCGCGCCCAGCTAGGGAATCTCGGGCTAGGCAAGACCGTCGCGCTTCTGCTGCAAGTATGCGGCTACCTGCTCCGCGTTCTGGATCGGGTGGAACTGGGCGTCCGGTTTGTACCAAGGCGAGTCGTCACTGCTGAAGAAATTGATCGTTGTGTCTTGGCCAGTGAAGAAGCGCCAATTGATCGTTATGTCTTGGCCAGTGAAGGAGTGCCACTTGAAATCGTGCACCGTGAAGTCTCCGTTCAGCCATTTGGTGTAGGCGTCGTCGCCGGCGTATGTCTCCAGCTCGTTGGGCCGTGGGTCCAGGGAGACCTGGCCGGACATGAACAGGATTCCCGAAGACATGATGAGCCGGATCTCCTCACGCATTACAGCTCCGTGCGAGCGGTCCCCTTCGACGGGAATATGGCTGACGGTGAGTCCCTCCGGCGCAACGTCTCGGAGGTAGGCGAGATAGAACTCGACCCTGTGATTGACTTGCTCAGAACCGTTCAAGCGACTGTAAGCCTCAATTGTTTGCTGGGAGAGCGCTTGGTTTCGTGCGAATGGAGAAGTCATTTTGGAAAAAAAACTTTGCTGCTGAAGTGGATTGTCCAGGGACTATCAGTGAACACGAGGATGGGGCAGTGCTGATGGTGGAGTGAGTGAAGATTGGAAGGTTGTGAGACCAGGGTTGCCCATTATATATGTTCAACAAATCCCAGGATTGCCTTCACTTTGTGTTAAAGCTTTGTGCTGAACCGAAACCGTTTCGCCTGATTTCGAGGGGCAACGCCCCGAGTTAGATTCAGCTGTTGAGACCGCAAGATGTTTCAAGCCCGTCCAAGCGGAACGGCGCTGTTGCCTCTGTTAGACGCAACATTTGGGTCGTCTGCCTCATGTTTCGGACATGGCGGCGTGTCTTTATGTGCGAATACCAGGTGTTACCGGCACGGAGCCGAGCAAGTGCGCCCATCATTGTGAGGAAAACACACTCGAGGCATCAACCCGTTATCCTACGATCGTTGAGTGGCTAAAGGAGCCTCGGATCCAGCAAGAGTAAGCTTGACTTCTATGTCGAGTGGCGTAGATATTGGGCGCCAAGCCTGAAACAGCCGTTTAAGAATGCGTTATTGAAGCTCAAGGCGTGCTGATCCTCCGAAGTGGGCTTGTGTCTCATATGGAACAGTACCTTTCGGAGGCATTGGACCAAGAAACACGTTATATAGCTAGGGTTGTAGCATCTTGATTCGTGCACATTTTGCCGCTTCGGTCCTTCGTTCAATGTTTAAGGGTCGCCTCAACACCTTAAGCTTCGGCCGAAGCACGCTCGGTTCCAGCACAGAAAGGCGTAACTTTGAGAATCTAGCCCAGATTTGAGGATTGAGGAAAGGTCACAGCAGTGGTGGCAGCGTGATACTTGCTGAATACTGCGAAACGGGCTCATCGAAGGATTCTTTCTGAGCGAGCGGTGGAGACACCCTATAAAGTAGTCAAAGCTACTCGATTGTCAAATTGGTGATGTTTCCTGCGTCTTTGATCAGAAGAAGCAAATGTAAAGCACGTAAAGCAAATTTGGTGTAGTTGAAATGACGTGTTTTTGCTGCGGCCTCGGCACGCACAAAAGTCGCTTTGAGCTGCCACAGTATGCTTGTATGGCCAAAGTGACTCCTTTGTTGGGAAAACAAAAAGGTATAAAAGTAGAACAATAGAATATAAAGGTAAGTGATACATGTACCACCCCGCCTCACATCCGTGAATAGCTTCTGGGTACGATGGGTGTCAGATCCGATACAGTCTACTTTGCTTAGAGGCAAACTCCCACAATCAGCTTTACCGTTACCCCCGAAGGGCGAATGTAGTTAAGATTCAGCGCACCGAAAGAGTGTAGGAGCGAGTATGTACAGGAGGGGCTTCCCGAAGGGAGAAAGGATCCTATTCACGAGTTACGCAGTCTGTAGGTAGCAAGACCACGGCATTTGAAGCACTCCAGACTACTCGTACTGTCCAGAAGTGAGTTCTTTGATAGAGCGAGGACACCAATAGATCCTTCCACTTAGCCGAATATCGGTTAATCTATTGGTGTCCTCGCTCTATCAAAGAACTCACTTCTGGACAGCACGAGTACGCCCGGCCCGACCATCCCGGAAACAGCACCCGGATGTGAGGGGGTGTCAATTTATCAAAAGGGGGTGTATATGTATCAACTCCCAATATAAAAGACGTGTTCTGCAAGTGAGGATCCGACAAGCAAGCACACTGTCGAGTCTTCCATGCCTGCAACTGTGGTTGACACTGCGTCAATCCGCCACCTTATGACTTTGATCGAGGCGACTGGAACAGCTCGAACCGTTCGCTTCGCTGACGGTCACGATTTTTAGGAGTCAGGCCGGGAAGTACTCGTTTTTTGAAAACAAGACATGTTGCTGGAGCACTATCTGGACATCTTCCCCAAATACAGTGACATTTTCCGGCGACGTCATTCAGCAGCTTGACACCAGCGAAGCATGGTTGGTCAGTATACGAAAGGATCTTTCTTTGCGCAGGCGCTTCTGATGTCTTGGACAAGGCAGAGAGGCGGTCAAAATTTGAGTGATGGCAAATATGGGGGAAGAAGTGTTTGTGTAACATGAAGTGAGGTCCAGTGGTCCACATGGCTTGGCCTTGGCAGGGGGAAGCGCCCGAAGCGGCTGGCGCCGATGCCTGACCCTTGCTGAGCTGAGTTTAGTTTGCTTCGTATCCAGCGGGACGGGAGCCAATGGCCTGGCTTTACAGCGGGAAAGAAGGGTTAGCGTTGTGACTAAAAGGTGATAGTGATTAATTGTTTGCGCTTCGATAAATGATTGGAGGATTCTTACCGACCTCTCTTTTTTAAAGTCCCCACTTCTGCCTGATGATGATTTCTCTCCTTTTCATCTTATTTCTTATCTTACTTATCTTACTTTATATGCATCATTTCTACAGAAGATACATGTAGAGGGAGGCATCCTGTTAGATGCTTCTCTCATCAAGTAAAGTAAGGTCTTGCCCTGTTGATCATTTAGTGCCCGCTTCAAGTCCAGCAAATCAGCAATGGCAGCAAGTTTATGACAACAAAGCATTTCTACCTACCTTATGCTCCTGAACAATGTACTATCCGCCCCTCCTTTTTGTCTTTTGTTCGCTGTCAACACAAGGGGCAACATCACCTTTCTTTCCACACAATGAACAATGTCATTGAGTTCTCTTGAAGCTTTCTTTCTTTGACTAGCCAATACTTCGACACTTCCTCTCTCACAGCATCTTAAAGCTTCCACCATCACACAACACCACACGCGACACCGCAACACCACAGCCAGACCATCTCTAATCCTTATATACCTCACATCTCCAGTCCACGGACGCTCTGCCTCGCCTCACCCATCGGAAGCCGGTCAGACACGAATACCTCGCTTCATTCACAGATACCAGATATGGCTACATCAGGCGCTAATCCCACCTCTGCCCTGTTACAAGACATGTTGCGAGAGAAGAAAGCGCAGACACAGCGCGTGAAAAAAACTTATGACCCTACGAACGGACACAAGAATGGGCGCGACGACAGAGACATTCAGAGCTCCCCAATTCCATCAATGAGCGCAAGAGACAGGTTCGACGCACATTCTCGGCGCGGCAGTGGCGTTAGTGTCAGGAGTGTGACGATGCCGAAAGAGATGGGCTTTAGGGAAATGGAAGAACACATCTCGAAAATCAACAAACAGAATTTCGACCTCAAGCTGGAAGTCTTCCATCGCCGCCAACGGAATGAAGTCCTTGAGTCCAGGCTAGAAAAGTTTCAAGAGCTAGAGGCTAACAACGAGGAGCTACAATCTATCAATGAGGAGCTGCTGTTGGAACTTGAGAAACGAGATGTCGCGATCCAAGAAGCTGTCAGCTTGATCTGTGAGCTCGAAGCCAAGAACGAAGACCTGCAAATGGCAGTGGTCAAAATGGACTTCACACAATCGTCCAGCACATCGGGCCCAGAGCCTGTCAAAGAAGGGAATAGGCTTTCGGCTTCACCTCTGTCTACAATATCAGGTATGGGGCCTAGCGATGCTTCCCTCCTTACTGATATTGGCCTCCCAACTGATCTACAAGTACCATCAGAACACAGCCTCTCAGCTCCTGACACACTCTCCCCGCCAAAGGCGAGTTCAGCACGCCGAGTCCCATCTTTCCTCCGAGAGACCAAGAAAAGCACCAATGTCTTACGTAGCATGTATTCGAAAGACGGGAACGCAAGCTTCGTTAGCGTCGCTCAAACCGTTAGCCTTTTCAGTGGAGACGATGATGATGATTACGTGGACCGGCAAATGACAAACTCTCCACGGCTCAGCATTCTCAGCGAGAGCGGCTTCTCAAGTATTTACGGAGGTCGCAACGATCAGATCTTTGGTGAAACAAACAACAAAGGCGAAGTTGCTGAGCCGCCTCTTCCCGAACTGCCAAGCAACCATCCACAGCGGGACACTCAACGCGAATCAAGATTACACAAATGGTTGGATGAGAGAAATATGCCGAGGACGCCTTCTCCAAAGGCTAAAGCCAATGACAACATCTCATCAATAGGTGAAGTTTTGAGCGAAGTACCGAATTCTTCCCATGACCGAAACTCCGCAGAGACTATATCCATAGTCCAACATCCTCGTGAACAGCGTACTCCTGAAAAGCGGCAGGTCAAGCAGGTTCGAAGCCCTGAGAAGAGATATGCCTCACCATCCTTCGGGGGGCCTATTTTCGGAGCTGCTGTATTGCCACCTACTCCGGACACGATGAGTACGGCCACGTTGGATGCTAATTCGTCTACACCTAGCATTATCACCGAAAAGAGTTTGCTTGATGGCACACCCTATTTAGCTAAGGGCTACTCGGCATTGGTACCAGATATCCGCCCTCAGACTTCCGATAGCACCAGTGGGTCAGCAAGTCCGGGATCGTTGAAAGACACTGCTCGGCAGGACATGAGGGCTCGCAGCGACGCGCTTGGCATCTCTGAATCTGACACTCCAACGCGGCCCTCGCTCAGAACCTACGGCACGGAGACGTCCAGTGGAGAAGCGTTGTCATCCACACAAGCATCCCGAACCCTATCATATCCATCTCCAACGAGCAGAGCGCGACGTCTGTCCGACCAGCGATCTCCTAAAAGCTACAGAGGATCTGATTCGAATAGCGAGAAGACACTAAACCAATCGCCGCAGGAGCGGCTGCGCTCAGGTAGCGCTGCCACCATCACGCCCATCAGACGTACAGCTAGAGACGATCAGCACTCACCTTTCTTCTCCCAAAATGCAGCCGCTCCATCTCCAATCACCGCTTTACCGCATCTCGCCGCATTTCCTCAGCCCCAACGCGCTTCGTCCTTCCGCTCCAGAATTGCGAGCAAATTCAGCCGCTCCATCAGCAACGTCAGTCGTATCCCAAATCCTTCCTCTAACCCTCAAGATAGCATGCCCTCAAGACCTCCAGTAACCCGCGCCCCTGCCTCAATTCAGCACGCTCGTCTGCCGAGGCCGGCAAGTTTGTACGGTCAGCATCCCGTCCCCGTTCCTAGCCCTAGTCCTACTCATCGTTTGAACCCAATGCTTCCAGAAGGCATGCTAACAGACCTGGAACGCTACAGCGCCGGATCTGCCAAGCACCTCGAGCGGCGAAGAGATCGCAGGTGAGAGCAATACGACGAATTGGAGAAGGCACAGTTATTCAAGTAGGAGAGAAGGGTAGATGGGTAGATGGGTAGATCTGCAAGCACGAATGTCAAGCAAGGGTTGGATTGGAACAGATAGAGACAGGATTGTAACACCACAGCTGGTGAACAAAAAGGGCCATAAGAGCCTCGTTGGGCAAGCCTCACTATGTATCAATACGACTGTTTGTTATTTTCATGCATGGGAGATAGAAGTAACAGCAGCTCGAGGTCAGCATGACCGCAATTCCCCGGCTCTAAGCCCAATCTTTTCATGAAAGCTTACCTAAATGTCCTGATAAAACATCAAGAGCAAGGATTTCTACCAGGATAACCGCGTAGAAAATTTGACTTCAGGCCTAGATTTGCTGACGCGGAAGCCGCGATCTTGCAACTCGACACCATTGGCTTCTGACATCAACAATATTCAATACCGGGCTTGGAGGTCTACACATCAGCTTAGGCTTCGACGTGAGACTCTGTGTTTGACAGCGGGTGGACCCAAGACGCCAGCGTCAGAAAGCCAGGCCCCGAGCACGAGCAAGGCCAAACCCCCTCTCCCCATCGTCCAGGAACCTCGTTGCGGGACCATTCTCCCTTTTGCCGTCGTAGGAGTTGCCTGTAGAGTACGCGTCCGACTGAGACGATGCGATCCTGCCGGTTTTCGGTCGACGTTTCTACAAACACCGAGGAGCCATAGCTTATTGACGAGGACCACTTTGACCACGGTCTTGCACCTGTGATTGGCCAGTTACTCGAAGAAGTCTAGGAAAGCAGTGGGCCGTGAGACGGCAGCATCAAGGCTCGTGAGACGTGGGCTGACGGCTTCCACATCAATGATAATGTATACTGGCGGTAGTCCAGCGGGAACAGACCCGAGAAGCACGAGCCACTGGATCTCCGTTGCCGCGCGTTGGAACTTCGTGCAGCTCATTGCCATGGATCGCTCACTATGGAGAGCGTCGTTGAGCCGCAACGCTTGAGACACTAGATCTTCTAGCAAGTCAACTACGGACGCCGTTTCGATGGTGTCCTGTTCGATAGTCTTCTATGCCCAGAGGACTGGGACTTTGGAGTCACGGAGTAAACTAATGGCGTTTACACAGAAGTCCTTCACATCAACGGCTGGTATGATTGCCTTTTATCATTACCAACGAAAAATCTTTCGTGGCTTTCCAGGTCTGGAATTTGGGCCTCAGCCAGAAAGGCTTAGGAGCCGGAACGGATCTTGACCGGTTTCTGTTTCGCATGTAAGTGCAGTATTGGAGGTTCTTGACTGCGTCCATGCTACAGGGACCGGAGGTGAAGGTCATGATCTGTGATACCTGCAAGTCCGAGAGTCGTTGATTGGCATCAAGGTGGGCGCTCGAATTGACCGAACTGGTATGCTATGCGTAGTATTCATGGTCAGCGTCAGGACGCTCTACGATAATCTTGACTTACTGATCAGCAAGCTCTGTACCTCCTTGAGTACGGCATCAGAGTTATTTTGTCTTCTGATCAGCTCCTGCATTTCCAAGTGAATATCTCGCTGTTCGGCCTGAGCGACAGCAGAAGCCAAGCCATAAACCGTCCGCGTGCATGCCCCTATGTCTTCAATGAGATCGGCTTAGCGCAGTTCAACGGGACGTGTTAGCGAGTGCAGAACGTGCATTGGCTTGCTTTTCCAGTACCAATCCCGTGCTCGCATCAAGAATCGGATTACGAGAGCATAGAGTTCAGAGACAGCTTGCTTCAGCCTTGTGGTTGGATAAAGCACCGTGACAAGTTCTATTTGAGGTAAGGAGTCTACAATTCGGCAAAGACCTTTGGCAAGGGATCGTGTCATCCTTTCGGGTTCACGACCAACTGAGGAGGTTCAGCGCCAGACGAGTGATCTTCGACTCTGGTTACTTACCACGAACAGAAACTTCATCGCTGCCCATGCTAACGAGACATATTCTGGGTGCTGCTGCACGAGTACGTCCAGGATGTTTCCATAGAATTGTACGCGACTTGAGAACCTCAATAACCATTTGTTAATCTTTGAGTGTTCGTGCGCTGCGTCATATTACCGTACGCCTGACGTCTTCAAGACTTGTAGCGCCTTAAACTGCAGCCTTTCTTTTGTGAAATCTTTGGTGATGGTCGAACCAAAGATTTCGACAGCTTTGTTGAAAGCTTCATGAGCGGCATCAAGACATCTGACGAATGAGACGGAGTAAGCAGGCATACACTGAAACTGGTTGGCCTCTTGATCAATGCATACGGTCTGTCCTCGTCCGCTTGGTACCATTGTGATTGAGATTACATCGCAGATTCTAATACCTAGTCTACACTCTTGGAGAACGGATGCATGATCTATGATACTAGACATTCCAGAGCTGCCCAGAAAACGCTGACTGGTTCGGTCAATGATGTTAGCAGCTTAAGTGGGCCGACTTTTGGAAGTACTCTTTCCACGCAGCTACCCACACTGCAGGGCTGACTGAAGAGTTAACCTTGTGCGACAATCGATACTCCGTACAGTTCTTAACTTACTCGCTTGCTCAAGTATGTTCCTAACGGCCGTTACCGGACCCAAGTATCCAGAAATGTGATACATTCGAGTACGCGACATTTATCGCAGCAGATACGAGTGCGAAGCGGCTCGAAGACAGCAATTGATACGAAAGTAACCGCTGGACAATCGGCAGAGCGGCCGATCTGTCACTGTCGCCAAGACAGACGCCACGAGTTTTTTCGTCCCCACACTATAGCGTCATAGCACTCGAGGACGGAGAATCAGAAAGAGAGGCTGAAGTCGACGTGTCCGGAGAGGCACATACCGAAAGGGTCTCTGAGGGGGTCAATAGAGTGTCAGAGCCAACCCTCGACGGAGACCCCGACAGAGCTCGGCTTCATCTACAGGGAGCGTGAAAAGGCTGGAACTACCGGCCGGGATACTGCAACTATTGAGCAGTACAAAGGTGTTCAAGGATTTGTTCCTGCTGCAGGCCTCTCGGCGCATTTGACCATCTCGCATCACCAGACGTCTGGTAGTCAATTGTCTCAAGAGAAATTGGCTGCTCTGTCGAAGCCACTTGATGAGGCAGACATCGCTCCGGTAGGTCTCATTCGATACAACCTAGACATAAACCAAGGAGCGTTAGGGCCATCGCAAAGCTGCTGGATTAGACACCATAGCGGCACGGCCGACAAGGTCAAATTCTCCTGGGCTGCGGGATCCGTCTAGAAGGCGCCGTAGGAGGTCGCCAGAAATAGTATTTATTCCAGCGAATCGCTCAAGTGATTCTTCTTCCACTAGAAAGGAGTTTATTGGGTCCGCGGTGAGCATATCAAACGACAATGTGGAGGAAAAGTCGCATCTTGAGACCTGGGTATCGGAAATCACCCTCAATCATCCACATCGCAATAGTAGGGGTACATTGCAAGAGTCTAGCCGCGCAAACAATCTCAATCTTTCTGCCCATGCATCTTCCCCGGAGCAAAACTATTCGATGGAAGATCTATTGAGTCGTCTAAAGAGCTTGGAGCGGGGAAACCATGAATTAAGAAGCGGGACAGCAGAAGAAACCTCGCATACGGCGCCACCTGGAGAACCTTCCACTACATAGACCCAAACGTATTTTTGGAGTCACCACCATGGGGCAGGAAGGTGAAAGAGGACCGGTCCTTTACGCAAATTCGCCACTGAAAAATGTTCAGTTCCATCTCGAGCGACCCTCCGAGATAGCTTTCATTTTCTACAAGGAATATGATCAATCCCCACCAGCCGATAGCAGCATAATAATGTCGTAGGACGGCGTATATCGCATCAGACACTGGTCCTAAACTCGGAGCATCTGATATCAGCAGTGGAACGGCCGGGAGGAAACATTCTAGACTTCGTTCTTGCCGGATTTTGATCCGTATGGGGAGATACCAGCCCCATATATGTTCATTTACCACAGCATGCCGCTATTCGATCACGTTGTACCCCATCTCCTTCACCTCGAACATGACTTGTTAGAACAGCTGAACGAGAGCGTACTCGCCAGCCATGGCCAAAACACACGTTGCTGCAAAGCGCCGCGTAGCCAAAGGTATCGTCTCGGGACGGCTAGTGGAATACCTTGTACGACCAGGCGATGTGTGAGTCAGGACACAAGACTCTGTGCCCCACGCCTATGTAGCAAAAGAAGAAAAACCGGACAGGGAGGGTTCACGCAAATCAGAAGAAGGACGGCCTGTCACGCTCAAGGCAGAAAAGAATCAGGGGCCGAGAAAGCGAACGTACAAATTTGAGGTCGCTGGATGGTCTTGCGCCTTCGACGGCTCGTCCAAGAAAAAGGCGACTACAATTAAGATTCAGCTCAAAGTGGGTGACGAAGATTATGAAGTCAGGATAGATAGCCTGAACTATTCTCCTTTGCGATTTGATGAGGGTGACTTGCATAAACTACATGAGGTTAGAGGGAAGATGTTTTGGAAGTGCCGCACGAAGCGCTTCGTATCCTATTGGGATGACGAAACCTTTGTTCTGGGTAGCGTAAGTGTGCGTCAGAAGCTCAATAACAATCAGAAGGCATTTACCATCATCAACTGATACCCTGACAGGTTGGCGAAAGATACATGATCGACATCGATACTTACAAGACGCTACATCCGAAATTCTCAGCTATCTACAAACCCGCTTCACCCTGATATTGATGCGAAGACGATGGTCAGAGACAAGCCTCCCGGCTCGGAATCACTACTTGTATCTCCACCAATGATCACAGGCTACAACCTGCGAACTAAAGAATGGCGTAAGTCCACCATTCTTCGCCCATCACCATACTTTCGCCAGCCGACTGTGCATTGCAGGAGACCTCTTAGTCGATCAGATCTCGGATGTCATTTGGAACAAGCAAGCCTTTGAAAACCCTTGTTGCTAAAGAGAAGACCAAAGAGCTTGCGCAGGCTCTCATAACCAACCAACTTGCGGCCGAGAAGTCGACGGATCTCATTCTCGGCAAAGGGAATGGCTTGACTATCCTGCTACATGGTGGCCCGGGGACTGGCAAAACATTCACAGCGGAAGGGGTGGCCCGAAATTGCAGAGAAACCATTGTTCCGATTTACTTGCGGCGACATAGGCACGGAACCTGACCAGGTTGAGACATATTTGGACTCCGTATTTACTCTGGGCAAGATTTGGGATTGTGGTAGGTCAAAGCTTCGCTGTTAAAAAGGTCGAGGTTAATGACTGATAGTCGTTCTCCTTGACAAGGCGGATGCGTTCTTGGAGGAACGTGGCTTGGCAGATCTACAGAGAAATGCTCTAGTCTCGGTTTTCCTGCGCGTCCTGGAATCCAACGTTGGCATCCACATCCTCACCTCCAACCGTGTCGGCACTTTCGACGAGGCGTTTCAAATCCCGTATCCAGCTGGCCCTGCGCTACCAAAACCTGACCGTCGCTCAACAGAAAAAGATTTGGCGCAACTTCCTTGCCCGACTCAGAAGCCTTGACGCCAGCAGTATCGAGTTCGACGACGTTAGGGACAACGTCGATGAGCTTGTCAAGGAGGACATGAACGGCCGCCAGATCCGCAATGCGATCATTACGGCTCGCCAGCTGGCGCTGTACAAAGGGAGAACGTTCTGCTATGAGCATTTGAAACATGTTATAGAAGTCAGTGGGGAGTTCGAGAAGTAGTTGAAGACGCTGAGGCAAGGGTTGTCGGATGATCAGCTCAATAGGGAAGTGGGATTCAGGTGAGACTTGGAGGTATCACTACGGAGTAATGATAATTTCTTTATATAGCTTACATCCACACAATTACCTTTTAAAACGTCCCCACCCCTCGACACTCTCTCACCGTCGCACTCCTGCTCGCCCACGCCAAACATACCCTTCACAAACTCGCGTATCACATCAAGCAGCGCGCACATGCCTTCTGCAATCACCCCAACCGAAGTCAAAACTCCCGAAACCGAGCTCGAAATCGAACACCTACCCCATCTCCCCGCACCGCAAAGAAACGTAACGCGGAGACGCAAGCCGGGTCGGCCTACCGCCCTCCATCCCAAAGGTTTCATTCCGCGCCACTCGGTCACGTATGTGCATCGCTTTTCGATTCGTCCACGATGCGTGTGTGTGCTAGGTGCAGATGGGCCTGCTCACGAACGAACGAACGAACGAACGAACGAACGAACGGACGGGGCGGAGCGGAGCGGAGCGTTTTTTGTGATCGCGACGGGTGACGGGGATTAGCTCTAGCGGTTTTGGGAGTGAGGATGGGTCGGGCTCGGAGAGGATGACAACGAGATCGAAGGGCAGAACGAGACGAAGGGGACGGTGGGGGTGAAGGGGGTGGGGGTGGGGGTAAACCTCCCGACCGATCCTAGCTGAACTGAGAACCTCGACTCCGCATACCTACGCTTTGAACCCTCGCGCTGCAGGCCAGCTACGGCGCGGATGCAGGGTAAGGGTTACCCCGATCGACGGCTCCCCCTCGGCCCTTTATTTCGTCTGGATCGGTGGATGTTCTCGGATCCCCGCGGACTACCTTACTTTGGGAGCTCGATCGCGGTATGGAGCCGAGGGTCTTGGTCTTGGTCTTGCTTTTGTTGGTTGGTATCTGCGGTGGGAAGGGAGGGAGGGAGGGAGGGAGGGAGGGAGGAAGGGAGGGATTGGAAGGAAGGAAGGAAGGAAGGAAAAGATTGGAATGAGAGAGAGAGAACTTTTTGGACAGTGGGTCTGAGAATGGTTGGGTTCGTCCTTGATGTACTCTGGATGCACCGATGAGAGAGTGTGCGGTTGGTGTGGTGGTGAAGTCTGCCCTGGAAGTGGATGGATTGAAGCATAGGTCTAGGGAGGAGGGGATGGGAGGGACGTACTTGTGTCTACCTACTTGGATGTGCACTCGCCAAAGTCCGGACCTTGATGTATTACAGTAGGAGAGGATCTTTCGTAGAGAAGCTGTAGTGCAGAGAGTACACATTTTTCAAACCTCCGAGAACTTTTAGAAATCGAGGTTGTGTTGATAGTGGTATATGATGGTGTGGTAAATAAGGTATCGAGCCTGTATTCCTGACACTATTGTATAACTCCATCGATGTGATTTCAATTCTAAAACACTTGAAGTTTTAAAAATCGCATTCTGTATCTTATACATTTTTCATCCATCCTATCATATCGTTGTGATGGATCACCACACAAAGATTCCGAATTCCGGAGCGTGCACATCCAGTAATTGACATACACCAGCCGCCCCCCCCCCCCCCCCCCCCCCCCCCCAAAAACCCCCCCAAGCCCCCCCCCCCCCCAAAGCCGGCATCCCATGCGTTTCGGAGCCGCGAATCGACCGTTTCGGAAACTGGCACCGATCGGAGAAGATTCCTTCCGCGGCGTTTTTGGCGGGGTTGCTTTACTCTATGATCAATTGGGATCGGCGAGATGGTTGGGGATGGATGCGGTACTGAGTGGCGGGTGGAGGTCGTCGGGGCTGGGTTCACGGATAGGGGAAGAAGGAGAAGAAGAAGGAGAAGAGAAAGAAGGAGAAGAAGAAGAAGAAGAAGAAGAAGAAGGGCGTGCTCGCGTCTTGGTGTGGCTGGATGCCTGACTTCTCGCCGGGTGGCGGAAATGGGGGGAGCGCGCTGAGGAAGGTTGTTCGTTGAGGTTTTTGAGCTTTTGTTTCTATATTCGGTCAGCCGGCCGTTGTGCTCTTGCTACCTGGTTGGGAAAGACCTTCTCTAGAGCTGAGATGGCAGTGGAGGGTGGTGTGGAACTGTCTCGTGACTGGGAAAGGACTCGACAGTTGTATGGAGGGTGATGGCCCTAGATAACTTGTTAAGTAGAGATACGTTGGTACTAATAGAGGTAAATTAGATTGTATTGCAATCGCCACCACCTTCTCTCAATAAATACATGACGACTAGCCAAGATGCTCCCATTACGTAGCAAAAGCGAGTGAGTAATCCACCGCTGGGTATCTCTAGAAGCATAGTATCCATCCCAAAGTCGTGTAAACTCCTCGCTGATCGTTGATGGAGACCTCCCATATGTAATTCTCCTTTCAGTATATTCATCAGTATTTTACTACCTTATCATATCCTTCCTCCTTCAACAACACTCCTCCCGAACACCTCTATCTCCCCTGTCGCATCCACTCTTCGTTTCTCACATACCCAATTTCCACCTTCTTCCCTGTAACTCACACTTTCTGCTCCACTGCTATTCCTACTATGACTCGGCGCCCAAGGACTTTTCCCAATAATGGCACTCCTCCTCACTGGTGACGTACTGTCAGCTGGTGGAGGCGGTGGCGCATCCATCGTCTGTGGTATGTAGAGGCCGGGTTGAGAGGTGGAGAGAGTTATGGTGGGACTTTCGAGCAAAGGAGAAGAATCACTGTCGACTGAGGACGGATGCCCGTTACTGGAGGAAAAGCTGTGGAAAGAGCCTGCGAGGTTTTGGTTGCTGGCGTTGACATTGTGTCCGTTACCGTCCGCTGGTTGTAGCAGTGACGGAACCATCATGCCTTGTTGGAGAAAGGTTAGCGGCGAGCCGCTGTTTTGACTATTGATGCTACTTTGCAGACTGCCGTTACTGCCATCCCAGGCTCCACGGCGCAGTTTCTGCAGTGCTTCGAGCGACATCTCGTCTTCGGGAAGATTCATTAAGCTTGCTAATTGCGGATTCGACGGATATTGCGCCGAAAGAGGATAGCCGTGCATGGCAACTGAGATGGCAGAGTTGCGGTTGCTCCATTCGCTCCGTTCCGTGATTGGCGTGAGACTGGGATCCTTGTTTTCACGGCCACTGTTCATCCTGTGGATACCCTCGAGCACTCGGGGGCCAAAATAACCACCATTCACGTATTCGGATTCGTTGAAGCCGGATGCACGAGCGAAGAAACCAAATTCTTGGCCGTAAAACCCGTCATCGTCGTTCTCGAGAGCTTCGGCATTAGCGGCTGCAATGATTGTGTCGTCGGCTTCTTCATCGTCGAAGCCCATGTGGGCGTCATCAAAGGCGAAATTTTCGGCATCTTCACTCATCCTAGGCCCTGAGAGACTGTTCACAGGCAGGGTCATTTGGGTGTTATATCCATGCATCTGCGCCGAAGGCTCGAGACCATCGTTGGACTCATGGGTGCTTGCCAGACTGTAGGACCGCTGAAACCGTCCAGCGAGCTCTGCTTGATTGGCCGCCATTGCTAGTTGATCATGTAGGCCCAGGTTGTCTTGCGTAAGACCAGCAGCTTGGCTAAAGCTTCGTCGCGTCGGCTGCTTCAGATCTGTTACTGAGTCCCTCAATTCGGCCGCAGTAGCATCATCTTCTGGCGATTCTGGCAGGGTAGGATGTCTAGGGTCATGATTGTTCAAGGGCTGGCGAGCCACATGAGTTTCTTGTCCTTTGGTCTGGCCTATCATAAGGTTGTTTGGGTTTTGAGGCGCCGGTAGAGGCTTCAAATCTCTCAGCGGCAGTCCATACACTCTGCTCGTATCGTCATCGAACACTGATTCATCAAAGCCTTGATTCTCTCCATCATCGATGTCTTCGATCATTCCATCATCGAAGTACATATCATCATCATAATCTTGACATTCATAACGGCTTGGCAAACCAACGAGATTGCTTTCGGATGCAGTCTCTCGTGGCAGAGGCTGTACGTTGAAACCTGGATCACTTGCTACACCAGGGACGGATTTCGGACGCGAGTTTTCCTCTTTCGATGGACTCTGAAATACTTCGAGCTGTAGCTGGGCTAATTTCGGTGACGCATTTAAGACTACAACGCCATTCGGCTGACTTTGACTGTCGCGCAGCGTGCCCGGTGAAGTGAGACCTGTGCTCACAGGACCGGAGTCGCTGTCGAGCGGAGACTTGTTAGGTAGTATAAAGTTCAACTCTGGGGCTTGTTGCATGACAGGCAATTCGAAGTCTTCATCATCAGCATTGACGCCGGGTATCTTTTCCTCCAAGCCATCATCGTCCTCCATGTCACCATAATCAGCATATTCATCCTCGTCATACAATTCATTGCCATCAGAGAGTACACTCTCACGTTGTTTCCGTTTGGCTTTCTGCTGCCGGTGCCTCTCTTCCAGTAGCTGTTCCTGAGCAGCTGAGCCTACGCCGGCAAGGTCGAAGCTGAAACGAGACGCGTTGCTTTTGTAGCGACGTGGAGATCCTGGACCTTCGAAATTCGGATCGGAAAGCGAAGTAGATCGAGATCGAGCTTTTGGTGGCGACATAGCTGGATATGGTTGAGCAGATTCTTGGTTTGGGAGGGGAGTTTCCAGCACCTTGTCAAGAGGAGGCCTTGGAGGGGGAGAAGAGGTTTTCCGAATGGCGTCGATACTGCTTGAAAATGTTTGACCGGCCTTGGGGGGCACTTTCGGGGGCAGTGCACGTGCGAAAGCCGGCAAGGACGATGGATCTGGTTCTGGCCGAGACTCTTGGAGAGACATCTTGTACATGAATGCTGACGTCCGCCGTTTGGCGGGACTGTCAAGATCGTCATGCCATGCCTCTATGTTATCGTCAAAGTTCTCCTTAAAGACTGGAGTATGCTCTCTCTCGGTGCTGCTAGGGCTTTCGTCCTCTAGGAATGAAGAACCCGGGTTTGGAGAGATCCTTTTTTGGCTAATTTCCGACGACCCTCCCTTTTCCTTGGTCTGTACTATTGGTATACTGGATTCACTGGACGAATTGTTGCGGCCTGGCCGAGGAGCACTGAAGTCGTGAACTAATTTACCACGTATCCTTGGGTCATAGTCATCCGGCAGCCGCATGCCAGATGTAGTCTGACTCTGTGAATATGCTTCTTCCACTGCTTGGGACGACCTTCGACGCGCCAGAAGAGACATTGGATTGAGAAGATTGAGCCTAGTCTTGGCATAACGGTTCTGACTTGTCGTTGGCTGCGCTTGGTGATGGGGCTTGCCGGGCTGAGGTGGAGCCTGCCGTTGGTGTTCAGGTTCGTGATGGGAGTGTTTTGGCGGTGGTGGTGGAGGGCGCCGTAACGGTTCAGGAATATATAGTTGACTTTCTGGCGCAGTTCGTAAAGATTGTCGACCAAGCGGCTCGCTGTAAGATCGCATGGACTCGTAAGCTGCATCTATTGGCCGCCTTGGCCTGCCTGTAGAAATCTGGGGTTGGCTTTGATCTGAATGCGTCGGTAATGTCCCGGTCCCAAAGCCTCCAGATGTTCTATTCGGGTGATCTTTCGGTGCCATTGAGGTACTGCAGCTGTTGCTCGGCACAGGTACTGGTGGGACTGATGGAACTTGTTGTGGGGGGCGCTTTTGGGGTTCCGAAGGTGCAGGTTCTTCTCTGTGAGTCCAAGCATCTCTTGCCTCTGCTCTTTCCGAATCTCTTTGGGAAGCAACGCGTGGTATTGGTGGCAATACTGGGGGATTGGGTGAGACGGGCGAGTCATTGAGACTGTTGGTTTGAGAGGATCGTGGACGCGGGGGATCCAGGTTGAAGGTTGGAGGACCTTGGGGTGGTGGAAAGCCCTCATGATAGTATCTTGAGGCAGTACTTTGGGAGGGAGGGGAAGCTTGTGGGATAGCTGAGCGTCTGTTGTTGGGCCGTATGCCGTGAAGGTAGGAGAACATTGTTGGAAAAGGCCTCTTGGGCAGGAAAGGCTAGGCTCGCTTCAGGAAGGTAGGCAAAAGCATAGCGCTATAGTCAACTACCAGCATTGACTCGCGTATAAGTTTAGAAAAAGGTGGAGAGGTTGTGTGGTACTCGAATGTGAGAATAACAAAGGGTATGGGGCCGCACAAATGGCCATTGCAAAAACGTCACTAAAAGCGGCGGTCAATGCCGAGCGCGGGCCTTTCGGGTTTAAGAATGTCTGGACTCGAGAGTCGAGACTCAAATAGTACTACTAAATAAAGTAATGTCTCCCACATCAGATTGAGCCTTGCAAGAGAAATGAAATTGCAATTCTTGGTCATAGAGAATACGGTTGCTGCTATGTACTGGAAAGCGACTGCCACCTGGGTATATGTACTTGCTTGGACCCCGAACGCCATTGCTATGCTCTTTCATACACCCGACCCGCTTGGCAACATCGAATAGCTGCGTGAGCTTACTCAAATCTTTCATACAGAAGTCTTCTCCTTCGCCCCCTCCTTCTCCTCTGCCTTCTCCTTGATCACTTGCTCTTTGGCTTCCTTTTCCCTATCGAGCCTGAATTGCTTCTGGACATCGGGATTCTCCCAGTCCTTGACGAGCCTCCATGCATCTTCCTCTACCAACCCTGCTTCCCTCAGGTTACATGGTCCCCTGCCCCATTTTTCCGTATACACGTCACGGCCGAAGTCCATCCACATCCAGATTCCCTTTTCAAAGCCCTCGGGGTCTCTATAAAAGGGTTCGCCGTGACCTCCACGCTGCCGTGCTTGCCAGGTGTTCCGGCCGCCTTCGGCATTCGATTTGAGGTCCTGCAGAATGTTGAGGCTATGCACAAGCTCCTGATAGACGGCAGAGTTGCGTTGACCTTCTGGCTCTCGGGGAAGGATTTCTGTGGCGCCTTCTCTCTTTGCCGTCGTCTTTGGAGGATCAGCACCGCGTTTGTATAGTCGCTCTAGATCGTCCAGGGAGGTATGAACATCCCACACCCTTCCTGCCTCTGCGCCTTCGATCCTGAATTTCCTCATCCATAGTCGTTCATGCATGTCGCAATCGGTCATGTAGAAAGGAATCATAGTATCCCACCCCCCAAGCTCCACGAATGCCTGGGTACGCACTAACGCTAATTTGTCGTACGCAAACCACCGCGTAGCAAGTGGACCCCAGGCAGGATCCAGCGTTTCCCTTAAAGCATCTACAGCACGCATATAAAGCGACTTGTAGGGTTCGCCATTCCATTCCTCGTCGCTGAGCACGACCGTGTCCATATGAGCCCACCAGTAATGCGACCAGTTGTTCTCCAATGCTGTAAATGTATAGAAATTTTGCAATTGAGCGAAAGTGAAGAGAGTAGGCGTGGAGATGACATTGACAGATAAGATCTTGGTTAATCGGTGATGGTCGAGATAGAAAGGGTTTTGAAGGGTGAGGAGGTTATTGCGGTTCGAATGCATTACTCCAGTGTTCTCGATCACGTAGATGTCTTCTGGAGGCCATCCTGCTGTGATGTAAGATACGACAGTCTGTTGAAGGAGAGGCCAATTGCGCGTGAAGCCAATGAAGAGTGGAGTCGATTCATTGACATGAGGAGTGGGAGGATTGTTCCATGATGGGATCGGAGGCAGGTCAGCTGGGGATTTCGCAGATGCTGCGAGAGGAAAGGCGTCTATGACTGGTGTAGGAGTCGCGGTGGAGATAGGTTTGTGAAGAGGTGTCGGTTTCACGGTAGGTATGGGTTGTTTGGTGCGTCCAAGCGGCCCGGGAATGCTATGGTGGAGGTCGGTTTGTGTAATGATGAGAGCTGTGACGATGATGAAGGGGAATATAAGGATAGAGAGGCTGCGTCGGTGCAGGCAAAAAGAGAGCATTGTCGTGGCTTCGAGCAGATGCCCGAAGCGTTTGTGGATTCAATGGTGAAGGCATTGTGTCATGGGAAAGTCATCCGAATTCCACGATGGATTCCACTATGAAACGGGTGTAGAAAGCAAGGCACGGTTAGTAGTGTATTGGGAATCTGGTCCCTTCTTCGCTGGCTAAGCCCCTTCGGGGTAACCCCTTCTTGCTTAATACGGAGCACGTCTGACCGCAAAATCTTACATTACAGTCAGGTTTACCCGATTTCAATCAAGTTACCCGGATTTACACTAGTTCGAGCTCAATCCATGAATTTAGCAACGTGTTTTTAATGTAAACATAAATATATTACGATACATCAATAATCCGACGTGTCACACACACACGTCGCAGTCCCTGAAGCCCACGGCGCAGTGGCCATCCTTCTCCGTTCTTCTCTATTGTTGTCCGTTCTTCTCCGAAAGCCCACGTCGTAGTGGCTATTCTACAAAATTCTCTGCCGCAGCACGCTCCGAAAATGCTAAGACCTTGCTTGATATTCGTGATAGATTTCCGTGTGTAATAGCACCGAATACCAGCATACCATATTCGACTTCGATATTAGTTTTCAAGATAGGCCTCGGTATTTTACATATACGTACGAATCTATTAAAAGTAAAGAATACGAGTTAGCTATCAATGGTTATTGTCATAGAGTATCTAAATTCGATACTGTGCGAGTTTTTTAAGAATCTATATTGATATTGAGGCAATTGAACTCTACTCGTAGATATTTATTTTAGGGTACCTTACATCACTTTTGCCGAGAGTGCCAAGGCCGCATTCTCCAGCTATAATAGCCGAGGAGCCTCCGGTTCGCAGGTCCGCGAACACCTCTAATGCAGGTCAGACGCATGCAATATGCGACAAAAAGGAGCAAGGGTAAAGTAAGCGAAACAAAGTCTATTTTGATCTATCTTTTATCTATGGGCATCATGCATCATCGGTCCTTGATCTTCAAAGTCCTTCCGTCAGTTTCGTTGCGGATTTCCAGTTGTCTCTCAACTCCTTTTCGCCGTTTCCACTGCCATTCCACTAATACAGGTAGAAACGTCCATAGGTCAAATTCAGGCCATAGGGTTTCCAGAAACACAATCTCCGTATTTTGGTGACATTGCCAAAGCAGGAAATCACTGAGTCTCTCCACCCCAGACGTCCGCACTAGTAGCTCCAAAGGAGGGAGGCCGGCAGTATACATGTGATCATTCAAGATACTAGGTGTGATGGTTTCAGGATCAGGATACGTTTCGCGGTATTTGCCATCTCCATCGTCGTCTAGAGGCGTGGGATCGGATGGAGACTCAGGATGTAGAGTGGTAGACGAAGAAGCCGATGGAACGGAGTCTTCCGTGTCGGAAGTAGCGCCCAGGGAAGGAGAATGTGATCCAGCCTTCGGAGTGGCAGCTGAGAGATGTCGAGATCGGATGGTATGGGCGATATGCGACTCGGAGAAGGAACGGTTCTGTGAGGGTAGAGGTTTGGAATACTCGATCACGGTGTTTCTTATGGCCGTGGTGATCTCGTCATGGGAGGTGTATGGGAAGCAGACATTCAGGATCGCATCTTTGTTGTGCTCGGTCATGGCAACAGCTCGATCAACAGCTTTGAGAACGTCTGGTTTCACAAGCTCGCGCTGCCCCAGGACCTTGATGCAGGCTCCGTACCTGTCTAGCAGGTCGCCATGCTGTGCTAACTGTGATAGCTTTACTTTCGCCATTTCCATAAGCGCGTCGACCTCGTATTTCGACCGCTTGAAATTCTCGATGCTGAAAGCGTAGATTGTGACGACTTTGACGCCAGATTTGTAGCAGACTTCGAGGATCTGGCACAAAGTCAAGCATGTTAGCTCAATTGCTCGATGTCCAGACGTTGAACCGGCGACTCACTCGCGCCAATGCTTCGAAGCCCAAATTATGCCCTTCCAACGTCTCTATTCCATGCGTCCTTGCAAAACGTCGGTTTCCGTCCATCACGAAGGCTACATGCTGAGGTATAGGTCCCTGCCGCAAAGCACCGATTAGGAGCTCGCGGAGCTGCATTATGCCCCACTCCACGGGAGGAGACTGTAAAAGCCATCTTCGGATTTGAGAAAGGTGCATGGAAGGCATGGCTGATATTGGTCTTCGCTTTCAAGTTGCTCTCATGTAAGCTGTTGAAGTGAGCAGAGCTGTTGCGAGGAAAAGTGCACTTCGGAAGATGATCTTGGAGCAAGGGGCTGGGCAATGCTATGTTATATTATGTCCTCCTACCGGAACCCGGAACTCCACCGCGGTATCCAGCCATGCTGAAAGACGCACAGCGTGGAATTGGGCCAAAGAATTTGTTGCTGGTTGTCCTGTTGACTGCGTTTTGTCGGTACTTTTTCTTTTCGCGGTCCGTTCAGCCCTATCGACAGCGGCTTGGCATTCCGCCACTGTGCTGAGTGCTAACACTGATTCTATGGCTCACTCAGCTCGGTGTTGTCTCGTGGACTATTATTGGGTTTGCCAATCGTCGAAGCTTGAAGCATATAGGAGAGGTCTCTGTCATCAGTTAAAGAAACTTCATTGAGAAGATTCGCCATCATATGAGCGTAAATACAAATCATCGACCATTTACGATGAGGCAGCCTCTTGTGGGATACTATCTTACCAGACAGCATTGCCGCATATTAAAACCATTCCTTCCATCATAGACGCCGTGCTATCATGCTTTCAGATGCTGGGTGCCCAAAAATGGTAACCGATGTCACCTCCCGTTGGCGCCATTGAACTTGGCGCTCTTGAGATTTTCTTTACACTCGTCACAGTACCATTTCGCTGTTACGGTTTAGCAGAGTCCACGAGTTTTCAAGATGCAAAGAAGACTTACCATTCTTTGCGGGTGCCCTACTCAGCCCCACACAATCCAGGTGGAACCATTCTCTCTCGCAATTGTCACCATCGCAGCCAACCATTTCGCCATAGCTGACCCCGTCGCAGTAGCAGTACCGTTCCTGTCCTGGTCCATCCTCTTCGTCTTCTTCACCTTGCATTGAAGAGTCTTCACCGTCTTGCGCTGCAGCTGCGGCTGCGATCTGAGCCGCCAGGCCCGCTCCTTTCTTGTGAGATCGCTTGAGCGGTGCGTCTGAAGCGCGTGGTCCTCGAGTCCTATGCGGTTCTGCAAAGCTGGCATTGATAGGTGTCGCGGTCTTCGAGGGTCCCTTGCTGTTCCCTCCTCGAGTAGAGACAGATATCGATGGAGGTCTGTCGCCGCGAGTTCTGCCAGAACCGTTCTCTGTCTCTTCGCGCTTCAAACGATCAGTATTTCTGCTTCCCACTACAAGGGCACCACGCAGATCGCCCGCTCCGTCGCCAGTACCAATATCCTCGACAAGGTGCTCCCCCTTAGCGTTGACTGTCTCTTTCATAGTGCTTTTGACATCTCCGGGTGTCCTACCTGTCAGACCGGACACCTTTTCAACATCTGCCGTTGTGCCGTGCAGGCCGTTGCCGTTCGTAGCCCTGACATTCGTCGACGATGACCGATTTCTGGCTAATTGCACCGCGGACTGTGTTGAGTTCTGGCGAGCCCGTGCCGATGGCAGCCGTTGCATCATTGACGGCGCCGGACTCTTACCTCCACGATCCTTTGCGGCAGCAAACGTGGCGACGACCGGTGAAGAGGCCAAAGATGGTGGGTTGACAGTCGATGCGTTCGTATTCGTCCTTGGAACCGAAAACCTTAGCATGAATGGGACCTCAGCAACGCAACTGCACTTACCTCTTTCTTACAGTCCCATTCACCGCTAGATTTCCTCCACGACCTCTCTTCTTTCCAGTGGCGTCATTTCCAGGAATGTCTCTAGGACTGCTGGCAAGGCCCCGACCATTGCCTCCATTTGCTCCGTATACTGAAGCCATCGCCCTCTCCGCAGGTAGACCTCCCGTGGCTTTCTCGACCTTGCGCCGCTTGTTTGGTGGTGTAGCTCCGTTCAGTACTCCAAGTCCTACAGCTGTGCCAAGATTTGCATCTGCAGCTTTTCGCCCTTTGCCGCCAGATTTAGGATTCTTACTTATGGCTCGCCCATCATCGAAATCGGAGTCCACATGTTGATTCCGTTGCTTGCGTGCTGCTAAGGCCTCACGTCTTGCTTCGCTTCGCATGGCCGCACCTTCCGCCTCCTGTTGGGCTGCTGCTGCTGCTGCTGTATTCGCAGCTCGTCTCGTACGCTCTCCCGCAATCATTCCCTTTTTCTCCGCGCTCTGATCTGTATAAGCCCAATGGGTCAAGCTACCGTACCGTGCTTCTTCGCTAATCTCGTCCTCGATGTGGGGGTAGGAGCTGTTGCAGCGTTTCATTTGTTTGTCGAGGCTGTCAATCGCGGTGTTCAAGACGTGGTTCTTCTCGTCGAGGGTCTGGAGCATCTCGAGCATAGCTAAGCGCATATTGTGAAAGTGACCTCGACGAGCTAAATTTGCAGGGTCGTCATAGGCAGTGCGCTGGGACCCACTCCCAGTGTTGTCTGAAGAAGGTGGACCGTTTGAGGCTGCATTATGGGTCGCACTTTCAGCTTTGTTGGCTTGCGTTCGAAACGCCTGCTGTTGAAGGGGGCTCGGAGCTTTCAGCGCTGCGTTGAGGTATTGCCCTAGGAGCGCTTCAGGTCCATGTGTCTTAGCATCAACCTCTTTCAGCATGGTGTAATGTCGAATCATTTCTTTTGGTAATGCAGTGATTGCATCTGTGAAATGTGTAATGGCAGGATAAAATCCCGGGTTCGCGTTGCGGTCAACGTCTGGCGCTTGGGCGAGGGCGCCCGCCTGAGGTTGGACGACATTTGTAGCAGTTCTAGCAGGATTGGTACGTGTTTGACGAACAGGCTGGCGTCTGTTCGATGCTGTAGGCTGGTCGCCAATCGTAGCATTCGAGAATGCCCTCATTTCTGCAGTGCGAACGGTGAAGGAGAGTAATAGTCTCCAGTGCGGCGCAAGAGGGTTGTGATTCTGTGCTTCGAGGCTCAAGAAAGGTATTAATAGGGTTCAGAAGAATATCACGTTGGTTGACCACCTTGACTGATGGCAAAGCAGTGGGAAAAGTCATGAGTACAAGTTGGGGGATCGTGAATCATTGGAGAGAGTGATTGAGGTGGAAATCACATTTGCTCAACCACTGGCTGGAGCTGGGAACCTTTGCCGAGACTCATCGGCGCATGATGCTTGCCAAGCTCCGATCCATGTTATGTAAAAGCCCTAACCCTATCCCAAGGTCGAAAGCCTGACCGTCTGCAACGTCACCGAACAAACACACAACCCATTACAATCTACATGAACATAGCAAAGCGGGCGAGTTCATACATATGCATTCGCTGCCTTTATAGGCAATCTCCATTGTCAGCACGATCCCGCAAAAATGACAAACTCTCACGAGGTTTTGCTCAGTCGACAAATTTGCCACAAGAGAGCCCAAACGATGATGAGGATTCGGATTCTATCTCAAAGGCCAACGGACAGGGCCAAGCGGAGGGTAGAATGTCGGGAAGATTGGCACAGATGACAAATGAAATGATTGAACAAGATGGTCGAAGTGCGAAGAAAGTCATTAAAGAAGGAGGATTCTCTGAGGAATTGAAAAAGAAACTCGAGGCGCGACTGCAAGAGAGCTCTTTCAGAAGCGAGAACGCTGCTGCGTTTGCACAAGCCAGCTTACCAGTACGTTCAAATCATTCACTCACATGACAGGTGTCAGAAATTTACATACATCTAGTCCAGCGCAGGCAAAGGAACCCAAGGAATTGCCGCTGCTGAGCCTTGGGCAGGCACTGAACGTCTCGAAGATGCTGCTCTACGCATGCTCAACGATGCTCACAAGCCTCTCCGCGGTACTGGTCCTCCAAAGATCCCTTCGCCGCGCGGACCGCCCGCCAGCGTTGACATGCGAATGAAGAAGGCTGTACAGAGGTCTCATGGGGAGCGCTTGGCGAATGCTCGAGATCGGACATCTGTCTACGCACTGAGTCAAGATGCATCCTTGTCGGAGAAGGAAAGAGAGAAAATGCGAAAGATACTGAAGGAGCGTTTCACAGCTGGTGCTCGTCCGATGCCAGGCTCGGTCCAGGGCCTTGCAGCGCTGGCCAACGAGCGAATCGAAGACGCCATTGCTCGGGGCCAATTCAAGAACATAGCGCGTGGGAAAGGGCTGAACGTCGAGAGAGACCATAACGCCAACAGCCCGTTCCTAGACACGACCGAATACTTCATGAACAAGATTATACAGAAGCAAGAAATTGTACCTCCATGGATTGAGAAGCAGCAGGAGCTCATCAAAGCTGCAAATGTGTTTAGAGCTAGACTGAGGGCAGATTGGAAAAGGCATTCCGCACGGGTGATTGCCAGTAAAGGAGGATCTTTGGAGACACAAGTCACGCGAGCAGAAGCCTACGCTATAGCTGAAGCGGGCAATAATCCCAAGGCAACGAAAACAGAATCGATAACCAAGATTGACCGTGAAGGACGATTATCTCAAGTAACAGTAACAGAAACTCCAACTCCATCCAGCGAAACAACAGACTCTAAAATCAGAGTCTCAGAGGATCTAGCCAATGATTGGCCCATATCCCAACCAGCTCAAGCAATATCAGAGGTCACCGACCATGCTTCTTCATCCAGCGCTGAGAATACTTTGCCAACCGCGCCATCACTTCCCCGCCTGGCACCGTTTCGTGACCCCGCCTGGGAATCCCTTGAACGCGCCTACCACACCCTCGCCATCACCGAGATCAACAACATCACCCGCTCCTACAACTTGCAAGCGCCCGATCTAGCCAAAAAGCCGTATTTCTCTCTCGAACGCGAACTGCGCTCTTGCTTCGCGGACATAGCACCGCAGCTGCCCAATGAGATTCGAGAGAGAGCTAGGAGGCCGGAGAAGATCAAAGTGGAGATTGTGGGCCATAGGCCTGGTGGTGTGCTGGAGAGGTTTTCGAGTGAGAAGGTCAAAGTGTATGATAGTAGAAAGCCGCAGTACGGTTTCAAGCAGTTTTGGAAAGATCTGTGGGGTAGCAATGGCGTGAAAGCTTGATCAGTCCTCTTCCTTTGGTCGAGGTTGTGTTTAGATGGAAATGTGTGATGCTATCAATTTGTATGGCTTTGAATTCCAAGGCGGGAAATTGTATACAACGTCGCTAATGACATTATGAATGCTCAGCGTGTTTTGGAGGAATTACTTGTTACCTGTGGGATGCCACTAAATACGTGAGGATAGAATTGATGCACAATTGAGAAGTGCGAAAGAGCGATTTGACTCACTTCGTCTCCTCAGCTTAATTCTTACATATAGGCGGTTATTTTCAATTTCAATTAAAAAATCGCTCGACATACCAGATAGCTAGTATCAATGGATATCATTCCTGCCTCAGCATCTCCTCCCACGCCACCCTTAATCCCTCCATTTCCCTCCAGCACTCCCTGCCTAGTTCCTCGAAACCTTCTCTATCCTCTCTAGTCACTTCTTGGAAGCCCCTCCTAGATCCAATCCTGTTGCTCATGTCTCCTTCCCCCATTCGTCCTCCCAAACCCCACCCGTCCACCGCGGTTCTCACAACTCTCTCATGTCCCATTCTATCGCAGACGCTCCCCCATTTGCCCTTCCCCTCTCTTTGCTCGATATCCTCAAGCTCGTCTTGTTCGGCTAGTGCAAGCCAGACAGGCGCACAAGCCCCTTTGTAAGCGGAGACTGTGTGCCAGGGCGAGCCAAGCCAGCGGGCTATGTAGAAGGCGAGGATACGGAGGTAGAAGGGGATGATGGAGAGCGTGATGATGGAGGTGGCGCAGATGCCAGGGTGGGAGACATAGATCTTTGGCTCAGGGTTGGTGGGTAGACGGTATTCATTATCTGACAAGCTGATACGTTGAGGTGGGGTATCTGGAGTAGAGCTTCTAGTAGAGTCTGACGGCTCGTTATCGAGAAGCAAGATCGACTGTGAGGGTGTCGAGGGAGAAGGGGTCAGAAAGCGCTGAACGAAGGGTTTCATGGAGGGAAGCGTTGATGTGAGCACTATAACGTCCGTGAGGCGTTTTGAAGACTCGTAAGCTTTGGAGGAAGCGAGACCCTGAATATCGGCGGAATTGAAGTGGGATGCGAGACACTCAATGCTGGATATGAAGACTATCCGGCCGTGGTCTGGAGACGCGGAGAGGAGAGGAGTGAGTTGGTGGGAGAGCAGATAATGTCCAAAGACATTGGATGTGAAGACTTGGCCGAGAGGAGGTTCATCATTTGGGCTGTTACCAGCTTTAATATCGAGCTCCCTAGAGCCTGTTTGGGCAGCAGTGGTCTCGCCAGTGGCGCTCAGCTTGAAAGAAGGGTAGGTGAGTGATGTAACAAAGTCAGTCAATGTCTCCTTGATAGCGATTGGCCAGTCAATGCCTGTGAATGCGCCATATCCCGCATTGCAGATGATGGTATCGAGGCGTGGAAGATTTCCGAGAAGTCTGGTGGACAGGGTTTGTACCGAACGAAGGGATGTCAGATCAACTTGCTCGGGCTGAAGAGATATTCGATGTTTCAAGGGCGCATCAAGTTCTCTTGATTGCCTTTCGAGATACCGCTCAAGGCGCTTGACAGTGTCACCGCTCTTTCTAGAATCTCGAGTGGTGATGATAAGGGTAAGGCATTCGAATGTTGGTCGTAAAGATATGAATTCATCAATCAATCGGCAGCAGATGGCGAACCCAAGGCCACTATGTAGTACTGCTTGTCAGCACATCATACGGATTCTTTTTGTTGTCGATCTCACCTGTTGGCTCCGGTAATAAGCACATAGCTATGCTGTTCATTGTCTTGCGGACGAAGGTCGTCGGTCTCGTCCATTTATCGCAAGATATAATCTTAGAAGCAGCAACATGTTCCGAAAGCGGAAACCGCAACGAACTTGAGTTCCAGCGTTTCCAACTTCAGTCGCTCCATCATTCAACCCACTACCATCACTATTCAGCAAACGCCATCACAATGCTGTTCATACCGTGTGCATTATCGTTAGTGATATGGCTCGGTGCTATATTACTATGTGACCACGTCCGGCAAGTATTATCTCTTACTGGTGACGCCTCTCTTCGCTTTTGATGCGAAAAAAGAAATCAACATTCTTTCGAGATCTCTGCCTGAATTCAGTCGAATGAGGGCTAGAAGTCGTTCTGTTCTCCGCATGCGGTGACATTTCTCCTTTATGCCGTTCTCATGGAAACAAGACACGTGGTCTGGCAAGCACATTCCTTTGTCTTGCCCACTTCCGTATCTTGGTCAAGTCTTTCTGTATACCGTCATTGCCTCGAAATGTATCGTCTCTTCCTACCAAGGAAACAGAATTAAAACGCTGTCCCAATGTTGCCACAAATTATTGTCATTGCTACTTTGGCGGCGACAGCCTTTTCAGCGTCAACATCTGGCGGCGGAGCTCTGGCTGCGCTACCGGCGTGCGCTGTAAGTCGAATGGATTGAATGCTGGTAGTGAGAGTTTGCTGACTGCTTACATCCAGCAAACGTGCCTCCAAAATGCGACAGCGTCTCAGGGGAGCTGTGAGAGTGTGGACATCCACTGTCTGTGTAACAGTGTCACCTACCTCAACTCCTTTGCCTGTTGTCTCTCACAGAATTGTGATCAGGCGGACCAAACAGGTACACGAATCCGAGGGACACAGCCTTGATCGTCTGCTGACCTATCTGCAGCGGCCACAAATTTCAACTCACAGGTTTGTGGGAATGTCAATGTCACTGTTTCGTTTTCTATAGGATGTCCCAGCGAGACCACTACAGACTCTCGGGGCTCACTTACGACCATCCTGACCAACCGGCTAGGGGCGACGGTTAACGACCAAGGCGCATTCCCAACGAACTACAATAATGGAAGTGTCGAAGCTGGTCCTAGCGTGGCTACTACAGGGCCCGTGGCTACGTTCACTGGGAAGCCGCTTTTGACAGGAACATGTACTATTCCACAAATCGCGACAACCACGCTGAACGCTGGCGAAATTCTTGAGTACCCATGGATGGGCTGTTCGGAAGAAGCCCCTGAGTGCTGTCCCTTCAATATCAATGTTGGAGGAAAGCTTAGTATTTGTCCTCAAGATTATTTTACTACAAGTAATGCATGCTGCCCTACGTAAGTTTCTCTTCAGTGTTGATCTCTTCTCTCTTCCGCTTACATTCCGAGCAGTGGCTGGTCAGTCTACACCTCCGCTCTCGCAGGCGAGACACCCTGCTACACAACATCAAGCCCGGCCGTTCAATCCCCGAATGCAACACTGAGTGCTTCCGGAGCATCGGTTAGTATGATCAACACCGAAGTCTTCACTCTCCGCTACGCCCTCAGGCAACGACAACAATCCGCACTATCGGTGGGCGCCAAAGTCGGTATCGCTGTAGGCGCGGCTTGTGGTGGAGCGCTCGCATTAATCGCACTCGCCATCTTCATCCGAAAACGCCGCGCCCAGAAACGCGCTCAAAGAGAGGAAGCCAATATGCCTAAGCCCGAGTCTGGAAATATGTACCAAGGCGGCTTCAATGGATCACAACCCGCCGTCTCCGAGCTGCCTAGTCCTCATACGATCCGCCCTCCCACACCACCACTGCCGGATAACGCGATATGGTTCAACACGCCTTTGGGAAGCCATGCACCAGGCAGGGTAATGACGCCGACGGAGTTGGCGGGGAGCACGTATATTAACGAGCACCATCCGGCGTACGGAGTCAGTCCTGTGACGCCTAATGTAAACGGATTCCATGATGTACCGGGGCCGCCTGAGGAGTTGGCGGGTGACGATCTAATGAGGGGGACCGTGTCGAGAGAGACTGCGCGGACAGAGTTGGTGACGAGAGGTGAGGGGGCTGGAAGCTCGCCGTTGAGTCAAGAGAGTGAGAGGGCTGGGGGTGCTGGTTGAAGAAAGGCGTTCAGTTGGAGTTTGGGCGTTGAGTCAATCTATTAGCGTATCTAAAGGGGTTCGAGGTTTCCAGATATATCAATCATGTTCAGCTCTTGGAGTCTAGTCACTGATCATTTCACAATGCAAATGTCGGGAAGTACAGCGCATTCGAAAAAAAGATCTTGGTTGCTTTTCTTATAAGCAATCATTCCTGCTTCCGTTCTTCACAAGAAAAAAAGCACTTGCTATGGTATCATCAGCTAGCGAAAACCCTAACGTTCAAATCGACACTCCCAGTTGCCATCACACATCTGATCGTCTCCTGCCCGCCTGGATCATCTTTTCCCTTCCCTCCCGCATCTCCGTTAGAGCCGTTCACCACGGGCCCTTTCATTACTCCCGGCGCCCACCGTAGACAGCTCACGAAATGCCCGTGCGCATCATCGATCGTCTTCACACACTTGCCTTCTTGAGCCAGATCCCAGCATCGTATCGTTTTGTCGTCGCTGACGCTGAGAAGGTACTTGCCGCCGGGATGGAAGACGAGTGCGCGGACCCAGTTGTCGTGGCCTATGAGCGTTTTGATGAGAGTGCCTCGTGAGTCCCAGATCTTGATGCTTTTGTCTCGCGAGCCGGTGGCGAGGTATTCGCCTGAGCTACTAGGTGGTGGCGGCTTCTTCAATCCTGCCAAGGTCGCTAGATGTGGATAGGAAGCAGCAGGAGCGAAGATGCAGCATTCAATTACGTGCTCGTGGCCTAGAAATGTGGCTTTGGCTTCGCCGGAGCTAGCATCCCATGATCTTGCGGTCTGATCATTGCCTGCCGATAGCAGCCATCGTCCGTCGAAGCTGGGTGCTACATCTCGGACCCAATCGACGTGCCCGCGGAGCGTTTTGACACAGTAGCCTGTGCTAACGTCCCATATACGGAGCGTTTTGTCGCGGGAGGCGGAGACAAGGAGGTTGCCTGAGGCTGGAGAGCCTGCTGCTCCCGAGGGTACGAAGCGCACTGCTGACACAGAGTGGTCGTGGCCCGGTAGTGTTCGGATATTCTTGTATTCGTCTGAGGGATCCCAGAGTTTGATTGTGAGGTCTGAAGAACAAGAGGCGAGCAGTGTGCCGCCTCGTGGACCACCAAAGTCACAACTCAGAACGGGTTTTGTATGGCCTTTTAATGTGCGCTCGAGCTCGCCGAGCTCCCAGTCCCAGATCTTGAGGGTCGTGTCTTCAGAGCCGGAGGCGAGTGAGGAGAAGATTGGGTGGAATGCAACGCAGTTGACAGGGGAGCGATGAGATTGAAGTGTATGCCTGGCAGGGGAGCGAGGAAGCCAGGACGCTGGGTCTTGGTTTCGGCGGGAGAGGGATGTGGGTGTTGCACTGTCAAGTTCGGATTGGAGGTTTGAGTTGCGAGACTCGAGGTCCATTATCTATAACAGCTGGTTCAGCTTGACTGTTGGCATCTTTTGATGTTGAGACCCACCTTCTTCTGTAGTCTGACCACGCTTGTCCATTTCTTCTCCAGAAGACCCTCATACTTCTTGCTCGTAGCATCGTCAAAGGAGTCCCCTATGCCTAGCTCCTCCCTGAGTGCGGCTGCGCTGCTGGAGAGTTTTGTGGAAGACAGGTAGGCGATTATGGATTTGTGGCTAGAGAGGTCAGAGCGCGCACGAGCTGATGGCCATATTGAATGCTTACTCACAGCTCCTCTGCTTGCCGTGTCGTAAGAAGCTGGCTCATGGCGAGACTGCTCAAGCTTTCGAGCTTCAAATTTCTTCCTGGCTCAGGCCCGCTATTATAACGTGAGGATAGTCTGTATAATCTTATAATTCTGGGCTTAATTCTGGTTCCGCGCTACGTTGAGTGACACAGAAACGCAGCGAGTCCTCAAGATCATTCCTGCGGGGATTTCTGGGTAGAGTAGTGGGAGATGGCTAGCGTTGATCTGGAGGCTCCAATCTCCAAAACAAACGAGCATTATTTTGAGAGAATACAGTGTAAGTAGGTACTCATTGATTGGGTATAGTATGTGGTATTTGATGCAGAGGGGGGTCGCATTCCACCCCAGAACGCGGAGCAACAACGGTGCCGCGGCCCGCCAAGCCCGCCTTTTGTTGACATTCACGTCAGTCTGCAGCCAGCATCATCTACGACACTGCGCGACCAAGATCATCGCTACACTCTCCAAGCCTGCTACTGAATATCGTGAAGCCTCGCACTTTAACAGCGATCATAGGTCGTTCACTCCTCGTACCCCAACACTCGAGACATCAAAGTCTCCTTCGGCAGCCCGCAGCGAACAAAGCATTGTGTTTTCTTATCTACACATATGGCGGAGCAAGAGGAGGACTTCAGCTCCTTACCATTACCTGATCGTTTCACGCACAAGGTGGGTAATGTTGAATCTCAGAACGCTCGATATCTGGCTAAAAGATAATAGAATTGGAAAGTGCGAAAGGAAGGCTACGAAGATGCTGCAAAAACATTCGCGGGAACCCCGGACGAATCACATCCGGCTTTCAAACCTTTCATACTCGACTCTGGATTATGGCGAGGGGCTATTCTGGACTCAAATGTAGCGGCGCAACAAGAGGGAGTCAATGCTTTGTGCGCCTTCCTCAAGTTTGGAGGTGCACAAGCAGCTTCGAGGTGAGCAGCGATGTTCGAGTGACTGCGGAAGTAACAGCGCTGAATGAGATGGATGTAGGTCTCGAAGTGCAACAATTACTCCTATTGTCGAGAAGGGCCTGTCTTCGACCAAAGCGGCAACGAAACAGAGCTCTGTCGAGGCACTATTACTCTATGTTGAGGTCGAAGGCAAAGCAGATGCACTACTGGAAGATCTTCTCCAAGGTCTGTCGAACAAGCAGCCAAAAATCGTTGCGGCAACACTCGCAGCATTGACAGCCTTGTATCATGCCTATGGTGTGAAAATAATAGAACCGAAGCCACCACTGAAGGCTCTACCAAAAGCGTTTGGCCATGCAGACAAGAATGTACGTGCGGAAGCGTCAAATCTCGCCGTCGAACTTTATCGGTGGCTTCGAGAAGCTATGAAGACAACGTTCTGGAATGATCTCAAGCCCGTACAACAGCAAGACCTGGAAAAGTTGTTCGAGGGAGTGAAGTCGGAGCCAGCACCGAAGCAGGATCGATTACTTAGATCACAACAGGACGCAAAAAAAGCTGCTCCTGCTGGCGACGAGGACGCCGAAGTTGATGAGGCGAAGGCCGAGGAAGTTCCGGAGGTCGAGGCATTTGACCTAGCTGAGCCCGTTGATGTGATCAAGAAGATGCCAAGCGACTTCCACGAAAAGTTAGCGTCAGCGAAATGGAAGGACCGCAAGGAAACTCTTGACGAATTCTACGAAGTGGCTAATACCGAGCGAATACAGGACGGTCACTACGATGAAGTAATACAAGGGCTCGCCAAATCAATGAAAGATGCGAACGTCGCTGTGGTCACGGTCGCCGCTAATTGCATTACTGTCCTCGCAAAAGGCCTACGAAAAAGTTTTGCGAAATACAGAAGTCGGATATTGGCCCCAATCATGGAACGGCTAAAGGAAAAGAAACAGTCAGTAGCAGAAGCGTTAGGTCAGGCTCTGGATGCGGTCTTCTTGTCGACTGGTCTTTCAGAATGTCTAGAGGACATCCTCGAATTCTTGAAGCACAAGAATCCTCAGGTCAAGTCAGAAACGCTCGGATTCTTGATTCGGTGTCTCAAGATAACTAGGGAAGCGCCATCGAAACCGGAGGTGAAGTCAATAGCAGATGCAGCCACAAAGCTGTTGACTGAATCAAATGAAGCTACTAGAGCTGGTGGCGCTGAGACTCTCGGCACGTTGATGAAGATCATGGGCGAGAGGCAAATGCAGCAGTACCTAGAAGGTCTCGATGACATTCGAAAAACAAAGATAAAGGAGTACTGTGACGCCGCAGTAGTGAAAGCAAAGGACAAGCCAAAACCTGTCGCACCGCCGCCAAAAGCCGCTCCGCCTCCGCAGAAGAGAATGGTCAAGAAGGCCGCTCCGGGTCTGAAACCTCCTGTCAAGCGGCCCTCCACACCACAAGCGGAAAAGCCAGCAGCGCCATCACCACAACCTAAGCCAGCAGCAGGTAAAGCCATACCATCTAAGTTAGGTAGCATGCCAAAGTCTAGCCTTACTGCACCCTCCGCCGGCGTGAAAAAGAAGCTCGCGGGCGCCGGTCCTGCTCCAACCCTCCAATCACCTCGAAGAAACATCAGCTCCCCCAGCCCCTACGAAGAAACACCAGCTCCCAAGTTAGGCCGCGGCCTCGCTGGCCGTCCATTAGGAAAACCCTCAACCGCACAGATCGAACCGCCTCCTTCATCCGCCCCTCCAGGCATGACCCCTGCCGAACGCGCTGAATTTGAAGACCTACGCGCAGAAAAGGAGCACTTGCAGCGAGTCACCGAAGATCTACGGGCAGAGAAAGCAAAATTTATGTCCCAAATCCATGAATTAGAACATAAAAATGCGCAACTGAACGATGATCGTAAGCGAGACGGTCTCAGTATCAAAGCCAAAGAAACCCAGCTCGTCCGTGCACGTTCTGAAGCAGAAACCGCAGAGAGCATGGTGCATAGACAAGGCAGAGAAATGGAGAGATTGAAGCGGGAGCTCAACAGAACCGTTCGCGATCACAGTCCTCCCTCAGACGACCAGATCTACCAAGACAGGAATCCAGACCCTGCACCGCATCACCCGAGCACGGAACGCTATGATAGCAGTCGCTCGGAAAGCAGAGAGGTGGGCTACCAGCGAGCGAGGGGCTATATGGATAGCCCAAGTGAGGAAAAAGAGAATGGAGGTTTGAACGGGGGTGTTGGAAAGCGGGAAGCGGAAATGCCGCTGATGACGAGAGAACTCAGTGGTGGGACTTTGGCTGAAGGTAGAGAGGAAACAGGGCCGGATGGGCAGACAGTGGACAGTTGGAAGAGGGCTGGGGAGGTTACAAGTAGGTTGAAGGCTAGGATCGAGATGATGAAGGTATGTGTATCTCATTGGGTGGTCGGCGTGGATTGAGCTGATGATGTGAACAGGCCAAGCAAGGACTTACGAGACCGGGTGCTTGAGCAACGCTGGCAAAGTACAGAGTGGAGAAGCAATGTTGCCCAGTCTTGTTACGCTCTTGTGAATAATAATTAGGCTCGGTTTGACAGTATGATACCAGGTAGCGTCGTAGCATCAGCTCCAGAGCTGTTCATCGGGATCCGGGCGCAGAGGAATCTATACTACCCACTGTGCATAATAGCCTGTAGATCAGGTAATCAAACGTTCAATCGACCGTTGTTGAAGATTCTACCCATGATTGCGACAATATGTCGCGCCCTTCATCGCAATATCACCGGATATCCCTCCGTGCTCCCACCATTCTTCAAGTTTCACCCTCGAACGTTCAGAGTTACTTCGAATTTCTCCGTGGATACATCTGTTCTTCCTCAAGCCAGTGCTGACCTCTCGCGATTCGCTAGATCATGTTTAGATAGGCTTGTATCACCTTCGTTCATCTCTTATCTTTTGAGGACAGAAGAGATGATCAGAATTATCGGCCGGTCTCTCAATATCGCATTATTAGCTAAGGATTATGAAGCAGAGGATTGATTCGCAAGAGTTTCCCGCGAGCGAAACCTGCTGCGCGCTGACATGCATGCGTGCATCCGGGGCCGGAAATGGTGTGGTGGTGGAGCGGAATAAGGTAAGGCTTTCCCCCCTGGTCACGTGCTCTAAAATATATCATTCTCTCTAAATATGGACGCCCATCTCAACCCTCGTCAGCACCCTTTCCTATTCGCATTCATATCTATCCTCGTCCTTCTCACGGCGATGCTACTGAATTCGACCTCACTGTCTCCCTTTGTTTTGACTTTATTGAACTATTCAACACCTTATGTTCGGAATGCGCGCACCGGGGTTTCCTATCGTGGCACATCTACAAACGGCGTCGAACATTTCCAGAACATTTTCTACGCCGAAGATACATCAGGCTCAAATCGCTTTGCACCACCTGTTCCCTGCGCACCACCTCCCGGCACTATCGTCGATGCAACTGCCGCTGGTGCCTGGTGTCCTCAAGGACTCCGAGGACCTCCGCTACCATTCACGAGTCCTATCACCAACGTGAGCGAGAACTGTCTTAGCCTACGGATCGCGCGACCGTCTAACATTGATTCATCTGCGAAACTGCCGGTTCTGGTTTGGATACATGGCGGTATGAAAATCACAATCGAAGAATACATTTGTGGTCGCTGATAGAGTGCTTAGGTGGCGATGCGCTTGGAAGTGCGTCTGATATACTCTATACACCGGATGGCCTCGTAAGGCAGGCCGAATCAAACGGCCAATCCGTGATCTATGTCGGGATCAATTATAGATTGGGCAGTACGCCAGATCCCCTGAAATGGGTATTCATGTGTAGCTGTTAACGAATACTCAAGTGTTCGGTTACGCCACAAACAAAGCATTGAGAGATGCGAAGCAAACCAACGTTGGGCTGCGGGATCAACGTGCTGCCTTCGAATGTAAGTATAGGAAAAGCCAATGAGGAGTCTATCTTTGAATTACTGAAAAAGAAAAACCCAGGGGTCCGTGACAATATTGAATTCTTCGGCGGAGACCCAGGAAATGTTGTCGCAGTGGGGCAAAGCGTGGGTGCAATGGCTATTGGCTTGCATCTCGTCTCGTACTCAGGCACTCAAGGAGTACCCTTTCAGAAAGCAATGTAAGAGCACCACCACTCCGCAAAAGGATGGAGGCTAAGCGCACCGACAGGATGATGTCCGGGGCAACGGGGACGAATTTTAACATCATGAGCAGCCTCGTAGCAGACAATACCGCAACTGTGGCCAAATCTGTTGGTTGCACTCAGGACGATCCAGACTCTCCAGCAACTGTGGATTGTCTGCGAAAGATTCCTCTCGAAAACTTAATGGACACTTCCGTGAAACTTGCTCGACAATTAAGACCACCTTTCGGAGAGCTAGCTTTCTATCCCAGCTATGACGGCGATTATATTTCCGATCGACCTTCTGTGCTGCTCCGTAAGGGAGCTTTTGTAAAAGGTGCACTTCTTTCTTTGTTACTGATGCAACGATATAGATCCTAACCGTATCTAGGGATACCGATTATAGGCTCCTGGGTTACCAACGACGGCGCCTGGTACGCTCAGCCATCCATCAGCGACGATGCCTCTGTACTCGAAAGCTTTCAGACATTCGTTCTCGGTCTCTCGCAGTCTTCACTACAACGTCTGCTATCCCTCTACCCACTCTCCAATTTTATCCACCTCGTCAGCCCCGACGAGGAAGCGACAGCAGATTATTATCGAGCAGCACAGATAAACCGCGATATCTGGTTTACATGCCCCGTCATTGACTTTACCTGGCAGTACGCTCGATTCGGCGGCGACTCGAATATCCGTCTGTACAATATGAATCAGACAAAGTTCGGTCCGATATTGCAGTACATGGGCGTTCCTCAGTGGCACGTCTGCCACCTCTCTGATATTCCGTATCTCATGAACGAAGACGTCGCCGCCGGCGGAGACAACAGCCCCGATCAGCAGTCCCTTTCTGCTCTGTTGAGTGGAAGCGCCGCTGCCTTCGCTTACTCGGGAGACCCGACGATTTCAAGAGGTCGAACTTTCAAAGATTGGCCGATCGCGTACTCGGACCAAAGTGAACAGGCTTTGAGCAAAGAGTATCCGAAAGATCTGAGCTTGTATGTTGTAGGAGGACCGCAGGGCAGTGGTCCCGCAAGCATGTCTTCTGGAACAGGTGGTGGAGCCAAATCGGAGCGTGAGAAAGCATTGGCGTGGGAGCAGGTGATGGAGCGGTGTGCCTTCATCAACTCGATTCTGGACGAAATCGGGGTTTGAGATCGCTTCGCCAGTCCGAGACAAGTTGAGACTCGGCTTTGTGAAATCTAGTCTTCTCACGAGAATTTATCTGTTCTGGGTTACTGACAAGGTAGGACGCAACAGGACCGGCACGTTTGATAGAAGGGAGCCATGATACCTTTAGACATGGGGCAAGGTGAACATGCTAGCTGGGCCCTGGAATTCAAGGGGAAAGGACCTGTGCGAAGTCGAGTCGAATTGTATCCGGGAAAATTCAATGCTAGAGAGCCCCTTCTATTGTGTCTTTCGGACACGATGCTTGGTGCATCGTACCTCCGTGTCGCGCCTCACGTCAACAGAGAGCCCGAGACCATCACGTAACCATCAAGTATCTTTACTTCCTAACTCGGACGCGGACTCAGCCCCACACCACAGTCGGAATGGCAAGGAGAGCGTCCCCCTCCCAATTCCAGTACCTCGTTTGCGCCGGCATCATGCTCACAGCCAGTGGTAAGACTTTCTAGCAAGCTAGTCTCGAGCTCTCCTGACCCATTTCGGCATACTTCTCCGAGAATCCTATATCTTCACACTTTTTTCTCCTCTCGTTAAACTAGCGCATCATCACAGCGATCGTCCAGCCGATTTTCCTGTCAGGCGTCGCGCCCGAGAACTCGGTCGGCTCGTGCAAGATCTTCCCATCGACTGTTTAAACCGCGATTCCCGTTCTGCAAAATGAACTTCTCGACAATCGTCATCTTGTCCCGCTGCACTCGCCGCGAACGACATCTGCGGGCACATCTTTACGGATCCTAGTGGTGGGGATACCTTCTATGTCCATGTCGCAATCGACCCTTCAGTATAATACAGCTCGTGATGTTAAAGTGACCGCATTCATAACACTCGCTTTCACGCATTTGACTGACTCGTGCGTGTGCCAGGGCCCGAGAGATAGCTCAATAGCGGTTAGTGCCTAGATCACCTGAGCGCGTCCAGGCCAAGATGTAGCTCGGGTTGACCGTCGCTGAAGCCTAGTTCATCAAAGCCGGCAATGCAGTATTGCTTACAGCATCGGGAACTAATCAGGCCCATCAGGCAGCTTCTTTGAACGCCACGCGCCCACCACAACAAAAGCCTGACACACCACTTCGAAACGAGTGTTCCAGTCTATACAGGCCTCGATCCTCGACTGGACTACACCCTTTTCATCGAATATAGTCTCTCGTCCCCTTACATTGCTTTCAAGGCAGTCGAACCGGTTTAGTGTGAGATCATTTTGAAACACAGCAGTTTTAGCCTAGTGCATCACAGCCTTAGTTGACTACCATTCGGATCTGTTTCAAGTCCGGCTGCGCAACGGGGCGGATTGAGACGGGCAACCTGGGCGGGGCCTTACCCGTTGCGCACGTAGCGGGAATTCGTTTGATATAATGCAAAATTGCATTATGATCAGATCTTTTTCTGCAGAATCGCATTACACACGCATCCGCTTTTCTACAGAATCGCATCATGATCAGATCTTTTTCTGCAGAATTGCATGACCCACGGATCCGTTTTTCTGCACAATGGCATTACACACGGGTCCGCTTTTCTAAGGAATCGCATCACGGACGGACCCGTTTCCTGCAGGATTGTCGCAATAAATTTGCTGCACAGCAACTTTGGCATGCTTTAAAAAAGTGCCTCACACAATCTTTATTTATATATGTCCGGGGACCTCAGCGCGCATACGTATGTTAATTTACTTCAAAATCGCGGATGTTAGTCCGATCTGAGGGAACGTATACGTGTGAGATAGGTCCGAGCTCCATACCACCCTTCCCCCACGAGGCCCTTCGAAACAAGACAACAGCGATAACAGCTCCGAGACTGGATCCGGCGAGGGTGTAGAATCCCGGCGGCTTTCTTGTGCCCTCTGGATCTCAGGAAACTTTACCCGCACGGCTTTCCGATCACGTGCCTGAAACGCAAGTTGTACGATGCCGCGTCGCCACGACGTCTTTGGTGTCTCGTCACGCGGTCGGCGCACGAGCTTCCTCGGAGATGACGATCCGCAAAACGTATAGCGACCAGAAGCAAAAGTGGGCGTCGATGTCGCGGTTCGGCATTTCTACCTTGATGAAGTTCTGAGCCTCGCTCTTACCGTTTGGTCTAAGTCGCATCGACCTGCCTCGGCCTGATCTAAGGAGACCTTTGACATAGACATCGTTTCGTCGTCGGATACGGGGCTCATGGGCGGCTTGGAGTATTTGCGGGGTCCTTTACGAGGCGCTACGCCCAGATGAAAGTCGGGTCTGGTTTAAAAGCCATAGGTTGTGGGCTTTGCGGACTTGTGTAGCATCGCGGAAGAGATAGGGAAGAATTGAAATGTCTCGGCATTGAGGGGTTGATTTCTTTGAGAAGGGGGGAAGTTGAAAAGGTGGGCCGGCATGTTGGGATCTTGCACGCAACGTATTGTTTTCGGAGAGACGATAGACCGCAAACGGGTACCCGGTATTCCGGTTCCAATAGACGCATCTTGAAGCTCAGGTCTAGCATCCTTGAGGAAAGAGTCTGATAAACGCTTTGTTTCAAGACGGACTTAGACTCCGCAAAGCCCAGGCCAGGTCTTTCATGCGTCCCGATCGGAAGCGGGCCGGGATAGCGATCAAACCCACGGTTGGTTCAAGATTCAAGATTCAAGATCCAGAGGACGGCGTCGGTAAGCTTGCAAGCTCGGTCGGGACCTGCAATGATGCCGCCTAACGGATTTGGCTGTCTTCGCAGAACAGCGGCTTCAAGCAAAATCTCCGTGATGCTCAGAAAACCACCCAGAATGTCAAGCGTGAGCACTCTCCGCTAGCGTTGGCTGCCCCAAGCACCGGCTTCTTCATCCGCTGTCGACATCCTCCAGGAAGCCAGGTCCTTCGCTAAAATCTCCCAACCGAGCAGCCAGCCTCCCATGTCGGGGAAACCAGCTTCGAGGCACGGAGAGCGCCGCTCGTCTCGTCGCCTTTGGTGTAGCAGATCACGGCGCCTTTCGATACGGTATCTTTGACCGCCGAGAGCCGGCCGGTTGCACACGCGCCCGTCAGCGGGGTTCCGTGATCACCACCTTCGAGCTCGGGCTCTGCGCCTGCGTTGGTAGGGATTTCGATGGAGTCGCTTTGCTGTGGAGTCGCTATCGTGGAGGCTGCGTAAAGCGCTGTGCTGCCATACACCGCGCGGTGAGCTAGAAATTTTGATCGGTTCTGCCGGTACTCGCCTTGGCGGTTTTCTTACAGTAAAGCGTGTGACTTCAATGTTCCATATAGCCTCCGTCAGTATCTTCGTTTCGTGAGCGATGTAGGCGCCGGGATGGGGTGCGAAGTTCGGCATGGCGGAGATGTGAGGTATCGATGCTGCATTTAACAATAAAGTCAATGGAGATGTCGAACTATGATCTTCTGATCCAAGCTCGCGGCCAGTAATCGTGTTCGAAAAGGGTGGAAGGATCGGATTTGTGGTTGGCCGCATGATGTAAAACTGTTCGACCGTCAGTATCATGCACTTGGAGATCTGTTCCACTTTTTTATGAGTCTCTGGATGCAAGCTGTATGACCATTCTGAGTTGATTGCATAATCGGGTTGGAATGCCATCTATCCAACGAGTTCGGGTTTGCTCCTTTCTGGAGTAAGGTTCGATCATGGGAGGTCCGATTATTAATGTTTACAGATCACGTGAAGTCAGTTGGTACCTTCACACAGATGATTCAAGATCAATCTGCAGCACTCATCTTGATTCATTCGCGACAGCAAGATGGAAGCCACCTCATCAGCCAGCATCGATGCGGAGTCGTGCCTTCTAGCGAAGAGCTACTGGGATTCAGGCCTGCTGCTAGAAGCTCAATCATGATACCGCGCGGTATCGATGAAGGCCATCGCACGCCTTGCACACCAGACCAGATCCTAATCGTGCGGGATCGAACCGAGCTCCTGATCTGGGCGAGAAGGTTTCCCATCAGAGGCGGACTGCGTCCAAAATAGCAAGCCGCTTAGATTGGTGTTGTTTGAGAGATGTCACCTCTGATCGACGCCTAAACCGCGAGGACAAGGAGATCTGGGTCGAGGCAGGGTTGGCAGTTGTTGGAATGGTTGGGTTCGAGGCCTGAACTGCACCAACTATCATACAAATCGAAACCAACTATCAACTGTCAGTGCAACCGGTAGTGGAGCTTTTTTGGTAGTCCAAATGGTCAAATTTTCGCCGGACGAGGTCTTCAAGATTATTTCTAATATGATTAATAATTGGGAGATTAGGAATTCAAAGATGAAATCCTACTCGCTACCTGATAATCATCGAAATACATATGAATGTAAAGGCGATCTTGGCACGCATTTCTCGGAATTTTTTGGATTCCCATTGGATGACGACGTATTCTTACTGCACATGCCGTCATCGTTGTGGAGAAGTGTAACAAGTGATGTCGGACTTGTGAACGCTCTCTGTGCCGATCACAGTAGCGTCTCCCAGATGAATTGATTGGGGACACACGACTGAACACATCCTTCACGAATAATCCGAACCTACTCGAAATTCAAGCCGCTTCACTGCCACACAAGCCAGAGCAGATTTAAACTTGGGGATGTCTGTAATGATATCAATAGACGAAGAAATCCGACCACGGATCGTACCAGCGCCATTTGTCCGACCCCCAGGTCTTTGCCTCGAGCGCGTACCTGATGACATATAGCTCATACCCAAACGCGAAAAGATAGGATAGCACGTATTGCATCGTACAGCCCACCATAAATGGTGCGATAGCATAGAGGACGAACCAGAAAGCACTCATCTGCACATCCTGATGTCTCCTCCTGCGGATATATCGATGAATAAGACGTTGCCCAGAAGATCCCATTGAAGCTACCATCACGGCGACATTGATGATGAGACTAAGCACTACCGGCACGGATTTCGAAATCGAATCCCCCATGAGTAGAGCAATGCGTCGAGCTGATCTTTTTTCTAAGAGGACTTGCCCCTGCATGTACTTAGTGGGCCACATCGCCCAGACGAGTTGTTCAAAAATCAAAGAAGACCAAGAACTTTGGCTTGAAAGTAATTCGGGTATTTTATCCAAAATGGGGATCGTGACTTTGCGAGGGCCAGTCCAGGTTGAAAGTAATATCCCATTACCACGGATTTCCAATTTACCATCACACGCCAGGAAGACGAAGGAGTAGCAGACGGATAGGATCCCAATGATTGCATAAAGACCGTTAATCGAGTCAAGTACCAATACCGCATCAAGACGCTGGCGCCGGATAACGAGTACTAGACTAGCAATACCCCGGGCTAGGACAACAGTAAGGTTGATGAGCTGGCCACTATTGAGTAAAAGCCTGTCCCATGACCAAGGCAGCGGTGTGTAACTCAGTCAGTCAGATGGAAAGAAACCAATGTTGACGATCCCAGTTGTAATACCATCGGACATGATTGTTTTCGTTCGAACTTGGATACTGTACCCGGCTGCCGACACTAAGTAGCGAAAGCAACCTCCACGACCAGTCACGCTTCAGTAGAAAGCGAAATAAACGTAAAAGTAATTGTAAAGGAAGTCCCCTGCAACAGTTGCGCCAGGCAAGACGAACAACATAATCTTTCGAGGCAGTGCCGTTCTCCAATTTTCAGACAGGCCTTGTAGGGTACCCAGATGACCGCAAGCGGCCATGACAGCTATACAGAGGGCGAGTGTTTTGAGAACAAGAGTGGGGATGGTACGAGAGACGTCGGTGCTATTGCGTTGTGCTGTAGGTATTCCGTCCAGGCTGAGAGCGACTGGATCTAAGTACATCCTGTATGTAGATCACACAATAGGCGGGTGATTGCTTTTTGGTACATAACCGATGATAGTGAATCAACTTTGATAGAGGATAGGAAAGTGAGGCTCCACAAGATACTGAATCCTCAGTAGGAAACAAGGACCAGCGACCGCCTTTGCAAGGCGCTTCGAGCGAGGCGGTGTTTCGTTAGACTTGTGCGAAGATTTTGAAGATGATATGCGTGATTCAGGGGAAGAGAAAAAGGATTCTCCCTCTCTGACCTCGTTTTGCTTCGCATCTTTTGAAGCCGCCGCTTTCTCCGTACGACTACATGTAGAAGACACCCATGATTGATGAGGAAATGCCTCAGTGACGTATGTTGGGTACGCCAAACCCACACACGTCTAAGCCCAGGACTGTTACGATCACGTAGTAGGCCTACACCTAAGGCGCTACATCACCCTCTGTTACCTAGCCCACTCCTCAAAAGCGGTGTCCTCGGGTGAGCATCACAAGAAGCCGGGGGTAGATTTCTGTCTTCCTTTCTCCCCACAGTATGGGACGACAGCGTGCAGAGATTTTACAATCCGTTAGCCCCAGATGAGCACGCGTGCTTGGCTCGCATTCTATGAATGTTCGAGTATGCGGTTTGCATGCTAGGAGTTGGAGGCCGCTGTGGCTGCGGTAATGTAGAATGAGACCCTAGTACAGGTAAGTATTGGAGAGCTGGTCAACACTTATGGTATCGTGGGCAATGTCGTCCAGCCAGACTTTTCACAGTGGGCGAATATTGCGATCTCTGCAGTGCTGACTTGCATCGTTGAATGTCGCATATCGATTCTTTGGTGTATGCTTGGAATTGATTGTTCGATGTTTTGTCAAGTGAGAAGCGGAGCTGAAGAGAGTCTGACTTGGGATTGCCGTTATGGATTTGAACTTGAATATGAATGTGAATTTCACATTCAAACTCAAGAACGCCTAGCTAAACACTTCGTTTGCAAGCTTGAATCTAGCAGGGTTCTATTCTAGATCCTGATAGCGCTTTCCAAAGCCTTACGCTTCTTCTCCGTCCTGGCGATAGCTTTCTGCCCCATGATACCTCCGCCCCAGTGACGCTTCGCTTCCTCGTACTTTTCTGAGTAGCCTTCCTTGATGGTCGAGACGAGCTTCGAAAGCTCGGACTTGTCTTCTGAGCGGACTTCCGTGAGGGCGAGTACAGCTGCGGTCTGGTTTATGGTCAGAATCATAAATACTACGTAGACTGCGAATAGGAGCACAAAGTGGTGACATACCTTCTTGTGCACAACAACGCCCAACCTGGCTTTGCCCTTGACAATAGCATACGGCACACCCATCTTCCTGCACAGTGCGGGCAAGAAGATTACCAGCTCGATCGGATCCACGTCGTTAGGAATGAGCACCAAGCCCGCCTTCTTGTTCTCAATTAATCCCACCACATGGTTGAGCCCGTACTTCACAGCATAAGGCTTCTTGCTAACATCCTCCTTCTTCTTACCCTCGGTGACAGCCGTAGCTTCCTTGAGCAATCGTTCCTTCTTCTCGGCTTTGGTTTCTGGCTTGTATTTGTTGAGGAGCTTGAAGGTTTGGGCGGCGGTGTTACGGTCGAGCACGTTGGAGAACTGCGCGATCGCAGGAGGGACTTTGAGACGGAGGTTGAGGATCTTCTTTTGGCGTTGTAGGCGGACGTATTCGGGCCACTTTACCATGCGCGAGAGGTTGCGGCGCGGTTGGATGTCTTGGCCTATGCCGAAGTTGCGAGGACGCTTTTCGATGAGGGGATTCTACACATTCAAGGCAGACGGTTAGTATTCTAGAGACTCTCTGATCTTCGTAATGCGGATGGGACCAGATATCGGAAGGAGGGAAAATTTAGGCGGGAGGAGGAAGCAACTCACCTTCGCGGTCTTCTTAGTAGCCCCCGCCTTACTCTGGGGGAAAGGCGCCGGAGTGGCTTTCTTGCCTTGCTTGGGAGGCTGTCATTGAGAAAAGAAGATCATCAGCGAATCGTGTTCACCAAGTAAGATCTTCTTTGAACTCTAGAGAGACCACGAGCTGCATTGCTGCAAGCTCACGGCTCAAGCCTTTTGTTCTTCACCAGTGCTGGGTCGCTCGAGAGAGCTTCCAGCAGGTGGCGGAAGGTCTCATTGGATCAAGAATATGTAGCATTCATGATACTAATTGAGCCCAGAAATGGTGCTAAGCTTACCATGATTGTCGATATCGTTAATAGTGAGCGTGAAGATTTGCTGCGTAGATTACTTTTAGGTGTTCGACAAGATGTTCCTTGGTGGGAGCGCTAGCTAAGCGACCACTAGCGGATATGGCGTCAGCCTCACAGGTCCCCAGTAAACGCCCAAGGGCTTGGGGCTTGGAGAAACCAAACAACGGTCGAGAGCCAGACCGCATACCTTCTCATGGCTCTCCTAGTTCAATTCTCGACGCGTCGGTCTATTTGCGTTGTTACGCACAGAGTGAGCGCCAAGAAATAATGATACTCAATCCTACGAAAGAAGGACGGCTGCAGTCTTCATCGAACATTCAACGTAAAGTCGCCGTGAGGACTTGAGTCATTCCTACAGTAGCCTGAGACTATCTCAATCGCGATGGAAGGCTATCGAACCCGAGCCTACCCTCCTATGGTCTCTACTAAGATGGATCCCTCCTACAAAGTTGATGAAGGCTACTCCGAGGATACAAGAAGTCAAGATGACCCTGATTCCCCAATGAGAATGGAGCCAGAAGGAGACGATATGCTGCCAACACAGACAGCTTTTGACGCTGTGATGGCTCTCAGCGAAGGGGAGAAGAGTGGTAAGCAATACCAGCTTTTCCCCACAATGTTACGGCTTATAGCAGACCTTACTAACATGCGTAGAATTTGTTTATAACATGCTACGTACCCTCAGAGTCTCCTCCATAGCCTCCGTCGTTGATCGGTTATGGCCCCTCTTCCACAAAGATCCGATCACCATCTTTCCTGCGGAGATCATGTCGCAGATCTTTGCTTGCCTAGATCCCCCATTGTTGCTGGAAGCATCTAGGGTTTCTCGAGCCTGGAGAGAAAGAGTGCTCGATAGTGGACTCTGGAAGCACAAGTTCAAGACTGAAGGGTGGGGCTTGAGAATGGATGAGATTGAGCACTTTGAAAACAATTATAACCAGAGGGCAGTGGGGTCACGTTCGCCGACTACAAGGACCGAGGAAAAAAGCGCGCAAAAACTGTATAAGGCACTGCCTAGGGTTTCCCGACCAACACGCCAAACTTCTCAGAATGCTCAACAGGACAACGGTCAGGTCAATCAGGAGCCTGGAGATGATGCCGAGATGGTGGACGTCGGTTCGGCGTCCCCTGAACGGTCTCGTATCGAGCCGGCCGAGGCCTTTGGGCAGGTGGATCCCTCAAAGGCACAGGGAAAACAGCCATGGAATGAGATCAAGAAGGAAGCGCCTGATACGAAAGAGGGTCAGAAAAACTCAATTCCTGGAAAACTTCATCTAGCGCAATCTCTTATGTTATATGCTTCTCCAGGCCAATCACGTCTGAATTATCATCACGTCTTCAAGCAAAAGCGGAAGCTTGAAGATAATTGGAACAATGGGCAATTCCAAAGTTTTCAGCTACCTCATCGGGATCACCCAGAGGATGCTCACACCGAGTGCGTTTACACGATACAATATTACGGGAAGCATTTAGTGAGTGGAAGTCGTGACCGCACGCTGCGGATCTGGGACATAGATGCACAGCGTCTTATCAGGAAGCCGCTAGAAGGCCATACTGGCTCGGTCCTGTGCTTGCAGTTTGATGACCGAAAGGAAGAGGACATCATAATCTCTGGCAGTAGTGATACGCACGTCATTCTTTGGCGTTTCTCGACGGGCGAAATGATAAAGCAACTCACTAATGCTCACAGAGAGTCGGTGTTGAATCTGAAGTTCGACAAGCGATTTCTTGTGACATGTTCGAAGGACAAGACTATCAAGATATGGAATCGACAGGAGCTACGGCCTGGGGATAAAGACTACCCGGTCAAAGGAGCTCCAGGTGGTGGCCACTGCCCTTCCTATATCCTTGACATGAACGCTATTGCGAGCACACTGCGCAATGGACGACCCGATGTGGATTTTCAAAATCATCTGCTCGAACCTTATACTCACCTGATGACGCTTGATCTTCATGGAGCTGCTGTCAACGCCATTCAAATTTACAGGGACCAATTAGTTTCAGCATCTGGAGACCGTAATCTCAGAGTCTGGAACATACACAGTGGAGAATGTTCCGCGAAGGTCGAAGCCCACGCGAAAGGAATAGCTTGCGTCCAGTACGATGGGAAAAGGATCGTAAGTGGGAGCAGCGACAACACGATTCGGATTTGGGATCCAGCCTCCAAGACCGAAGTCGCTCGTCTAGATGGCCACACGAGGCTTGTACGTACGATTCAAGCGGCATTCGCGGACCACCCTGGAGGGAGGGAAAGGCTCGAATCCGAAGCGATGGAAGTCCAACGCCAGTGGCAGGCAGCCAGTATTGCGGGATTGATTCCTCCTAGCTCTGAGCGGCGACGTCAAGGAAATCCTGGATCACGGAAACCTAAAGATATCAAGAGTGTTGGAGCAAAGATACCTCCGAGCGGTGGCGGAAGTCGATGGGGCCGTATAGTATCGGGTTCCTACGATGAGACTATCATCATATGGAAGAAGACAGATGATGATGAATGGGTGATTGGGCAGAGGCTACGTCAAGACGACGCACTTCGAGCTGCCGGCCCTCCACTCATTCCTCGATCGGACGCCCAAGCTCAAGCACAAGCGCAGGCACCATCAAATCCACTCCATCTCCCAAATCATGCACTAAACTCTCAAACTCATCAAGCGCCACCACGACAGCATCCTCTTCAGGCCGCCGGTGTCCAAGGTCCTCTCCCGGCGCATCAGATAGCTCAACAAATCGTGCAAGCTGCTGCTGCAACCTCACAACAAGGTTCGTCCACTCACCAACAGCCTCCGAACCCGAATCAACCCCAGAACCCGACGCAAACCCCTTGGACCAACAGTGCTTACGCACGGCGGCTTTTGCGAGCTCAGCAGCAGGCTAACATACCTAGTCTTTCCGCTGGGGGACCATTGAATGCTCCTCAGAATGCTGGTCAAGCAGGAAATACGCCGAATCCTGCACCCACTCTACCAGCATCAGCACCTCCACCGCTCCATCCCCATCACGTGCCACGGCCTGGCCCACCAATCCCAAATGCTGCACAAGTTGGGCAACCTAATGCTAGAGTTTTCAAGCTGCAATTCGATGCTAGAAGGATTATTTGTTGCTCTCAGGATCCGAAAATCGTTGGGTGGGATTTTGCGAATGGAGATGAGCAAATTATTGAGAGCAGTAGATTCTTTGCTGCTCCTCAATGATGATTCTGGAATTTGGGATCTTATTCTGCGGCTTGAGCAATCCACCGTGGGCAGCTGAGCGGGAGCAAGTAGGTAGAATCAAAGCGGTCAAGGGTGCATTGGAAGGTTCAAGCATTTTCTCTGCAGCTACAATCTGATATCCCAAGGAGAGCTTTTGTCTATCTAATGCCTGTGAGATATTTGCGATGTATACACTATTCACTTAATGTGCTCAGCAATCCATGTTGGAAGCTTCGTCTCTACTCGTCACTGCCCGTCACTGCCCGATGAAACAGATCCTTGTCAGTTCAAGGAGCATTAAAAGCTCCTGTATACAATTAGCGTTCTCCGCATAGTTACCACATGCTTTCCATTTCTTTGCGAGGCATCCTTTTTGCCGGCTATGCTTGCTAACCTTTATGCAAGACACTCATGACATGTACAAACGTGTTCCGCTCTAAAGACCTTTGAGAGACGCAGCTGTACCTATCCTGCAAGAACCACTGCACTACGAAAAGGAATTCAAGAAGGCTCAAATTTCTCTACGGCAGTTGAACATGCTCTCTGTGGCCCTCGACACCATGGTGCAGCCACCGCAGCTCATTTGCATATGTCCACAGCTTTCTCGGCGTCATAATATAAGATTGGATTCCTGTCCGACTTGGTTTCCCTATTTTAGGCTTCTCTGGTCGCCCCTGATACACTCTGGGTTATGTTGCCCACTTCAACCAAGGCCCAAGCTCAGGCCTGCATTGTCTGTCGAGTCCTCCATCGGAGACGCTCAAACCACAGTCCACGTGAATTTCAGGCCGATGTTATAGCTTGAAGAATTCCCAGCTCCTTTGCTCATTTCAATCACGGCACGGTCAACGGTTGAGCGCCCTTGTCTCAGAGGTCAGGGGCAAGGAAGATTTGAGGCATCAGAAGGTCAGCAAATAGCAGCATATAAAATACGCCTGTCAGGTCTGGAGGTATCATCTTAAATCCTGTCAGGTGCCATGGATATGATATGGGCTGTCCCACCAGCCGGTGGAGGTCTGATCTCCACTGGGAAGTCCGCCACTCGTGCCACCAATTTTGGAGGTCCAGATTTCTGCTGTCCAACAATGCACCATTCCCAACATCGTTTAGCGGCTTGGCAGTGAAAAAGGTGGAACTTCAAGCCAACCCCACTGGTGCATTGAGCCCAAACACTCACCTCAAACACACACCCTAACCCTCTCACTTCGGCAGACTCTGTCTATGATTGTGAATCTTCTAGCATAAATATTCTACTCTTGAGCAGGACAGCATGGCTTCTACACCCCGCTGAACCCAAGCCGACTCCTCAAGATTCCGACGCACATTCACCGAGCAGGTCAAAGTTGCTGCATGGTGGCCCTCTGCATTCTTTACCAGCCCAGTACCACAGAAGCAAGTCGAAGTATTGATAGACCATTCCGCAAGGTACTGTGACTCCCTGCATTCCTTGGAAGCTTTGCTGAGGGACCTCAGATCACTCCCCCTTGCCAGCAGTGACTCGAGCCTCAAAGTAAGCCATTTGCCCAGATTTTCTGCCAATCCGTTCAGCATAATTCTTGCTTACGATACTTCTTCAGCGTCCCATCACACACTTCCCTCGCCAGATCCCTTTCTCCGCCAGGGTTCTCAATAGAGAAATATGCACTTCGCGCAGACTCTGAAGGGATAAAGCACTCCGACTCTATCGGCGTATCGCTCTTTGGGACTTGAGCAATCGAAGACTTAAAAAGAGCAACACGCGGCATGCTGGCAACAGCGCTCGCTCAGAATCCCATGGTTCAAAACAACATGGCCTCATTACAGGCGCGGGGACACATGAACGGAAGCTCGACACTTTCTGCGTCTTCTAGTATGCCATCTCACAATAGCCGGTGGTACTCTCGCTTTACAACAAATACTGACTTTAATTCAGATCAGAGAGGCCTTTTCCCTGCCGCAGTACCCTCAACCTTCTCGCCACCTCCCCCAGACGTGTTTCCTAAAATGGGCTCGAATATCATGAATATCAAAGCTGGCGCTAACAGCTCGTTGTATCAAATCTGCACGGGTCTGCGGCAGCGGCTAGGAGATGTCCCTGGATTCGAAGATCACATAATAGAGATGGAGGAAGAAGAAGAGGATTCGGCCGATGAGCCAAAAGATCCAGTCACCTTGATGTGGAATTGTTTGAGGCGTGGCTATCCGCTCATGACTATATACAACGCGTCATCGCCAGAAAGACCACTCAAATTTGATGCAACACAAATTCGCGAAGATAAGGTCGGAAAAGCAACGACGTTCAAATTCCTGCAAGCTTGCATGACAGATCTCAAGATCCCTCCCCACGAGTGCTTTCTCATCACTGACTTATTTGGGGAAGATACCACTGGATTTGTGAAGGTGAGTTTTGATATTCCTTTCGTTCAGTTGCCGTCTGCAAACCAACGCTTTTTTGATGAAGGAGAATTCTAATTGGTGTCTACGGTTGGAGACTGATCACTGACATCATCTTCAGGTGACGAAGCTTGTGAACAGGGTCTTGGACATCCTGGATACACGGGGGTTTTTGCGGCACAACGAACAACCCACCAAGGCTGCAGTTGCGGAATCCGCTCCTACCTCTTACAAAGCGCATGTCATCGAAGAGCTCCTCATGACTGAACGCAATTATATCCAACATCTTGAAATACTTCAAGAGTTTAAGAGACAAGTCACTGGCGGCATCGCAGGTGATGCAATTCACGACATATTTTTGAACCTCAATCAATTACTGGATTTCCAGAGAAGATTCTTGGTCAGAATTGAACAACAAAATCGCTTGTCTGAGAGCGAACAGAACTGGGGCAAACTGTTCTCCTACTACAGAGAATCATTCCGAGTGTACGAACCATTTATCGCCAATCAAAATCGTTGCAATGAGACCGTACTCAGCGTATGGCCAAAGCTCAAGAAAGCTGATCTATCAAACGAGTTGAGGGGCATCGTTGAGACACCATCAGTGCTCCTCAGTTTCCTAATCAAACCTTTCCAGCGCCTATCGAAGTACCCTCTGTTGCTCGCTGTACCATCACCCATCGCTTTGAAGTCAGGATATTGTACTAAATGTTGCATAGGAATTGCGCACGAAAGGCGGCCTCGACCTTGAAAAACAAGAGGATCTCGAAGAAGGTGAAGCAGCAGCCAGATCCATTATGACCCGAGCGGACGAGGCTGTCCAAAAGGAACACCATGCTGCCGCTGTCAACGAGTTGCAGAGTAGGGTTGAAGACTGGAAAGGCCACAAGATTAATCATTTCGGCGAACTCCTACATTTCGGCAATTACACGGTCTTGAAGGGAGAGGGCGCGAAAGTGGTGGAGCGCGAGGTTAGTGTCATATTCGATTCCCTGGATCCAGTCACGCGAGCAATGGTTTTCTCCCTGTTTATGCGCTCCTTGCATCGTGGAACCTCAAAGCCCCCACGCCCACGGTCATGGACGTCCGCGTTGCAATTTTTGAACCGCAACCCGCGTGGGAAACATGTCAGCGACCTTGCAAGTGTCCCTGAGCATTCGGTCGAGGAACATCGTCCTGTTCCCGTGACGCCGAAGACCCCTCCGAGGCGATCCATGTTCCTTTTGCGCAGAAAGACACCCCCTGTATGTCCCCAAATACTTTCCCAAGCACCTTCCCAGATACCCGTGGAGCCCCCTTCGTGGAGCCCGTTTCGCTTTCATTTCAAGCGTCGTAAAGGTCCTACCCGTGGGATGCTTGGAACACCGCCTTCTAGAATCAGCTCCGACGCCGAGCCTCCCATGAAGACGAAACCCCCTGAGGAGCAGGCAATTGAAATTTTTCAAAACGCTCTCCAGATTTTAAAGATTGGTACTGAGCCTAAGCCTGCCACATCAGAAGGCATGAACAGAGCTCCAACCTCGGAGTCCTCAACGGACGACGCATATCTCAGAATCATGGACTGGTCTCATAACACACCTTTCCACACAAAGGCCTCCAAGGCTTATCCCCCCAAAGCACTTACCCCTCTGAAATTTCTGCTGCTTAAGTCCATACGTGAAGCAAGGCACTTGTACAAGCTCGATGGCGCTTTTAAGAACACAACGCTTTTCTTGTTTTCCAACTCGCAATTGCCAGACCCAATCTTATCTCTAGCTGCTCGTGCTGCTGCTACTACTGCTACTGCTACTGCTACTGCTGAACACGCGTTGGGAATTAAGCCGATGTCAGATCTAGAGAAACAAGTTGCTGACGATTTGGCGATTGAATCGCTCGTGCGTGAACAGTACAAAGTCTACCTCTTCGAACGCATCCTGCTATGTTGCAAAGAAATCAACCCGAACAAGCCCAAGAATAAAATGCTGGCAGGAAAGCAACCTTTGGTCGACAAGAAGGGAAAGCTAAAGCTTCAGTTGAAAGGTCGGATATTCATGCAGAATGTCACAGACGTTGTGACCTTGAGTAAGCATAGTACAAGAGAAAATGTTGTCTTTGAAATAACAACCACTGACACTAATGTAGATCAAGGTCAATATACTCTCCAAATCTTCTGGAAAGGCGATCCTGGTGTTGAAAACTTTGTCATTCGGTTCCCCGATGAGGCGCAAATGATCAAGTGGCGGGACACAGTGCAAGCACAGAAGAAGAGTCTTTGTGACCAGGCAAGGAATTCCGGTCAAACTGGCACTTCGGCAACAGAGTTTAACTATATGAAAGACCAAGTGCTTTCTAAGAACCCATATCAAGAGGATGAGGATATGGAAGAGGAGGAGATTATCAGTCAAATCGTTGGCCCCACCCAATCTTCCTTCACCGTGAGTCGGAATCCGTCAAGCAATAGTCTGCGCTCAATAGCCGGACCCACTCGCATGGCTCCTCCTAAATTTCCACTCGCAGAGCATGGCAACGGGATGTATGCGCCTCCCTTGAGCCTGAATACAAACGTTCCCCCTGGTACAGCTGCTTCACCAGGGGAATTCCCAGGGAACTCTTACTTTTCGCCAACCAATGACTCACCAACATCCACACGCTCAACCTCTCAGCAAAGCTTTTCTCAGTTCACTCGCCAACAAACAGCTGCTGGTCATTGGCCGCACGAAGAAAATAAGCATCGTACAGCTCCAGCGATGGGTCGCGCACCTTCTCGAGAGGGACCGGCTCCACCGAACAGCTATGTTGTTAACGGTCGAACAGTCACGCGGCCATCCTTGCCTGTCATGGCAGCATCCCAAAACCCTCAGCAGAGCCGTCTTCGCTCCGCTAGTACTCCAGACATTCACAATCTGAATGCCCCTGGAGCCAGACGTCAAGGTGCTAGCCACCTTCCAACTCAAGCGGAAAACGTTCCAATGCCTCCAATTCCCTCGCATATGGTCCAAGGTCGAGCTCCCCTCAATCGGAGCCAAACAAGCTCACCAGTCGAAAGCCAGTTGCCCATCCGAAGCGCAACCCAGTCCCCTTCGGTACACCGGGATCGAGCTCATCGACAGTATCAAGAACCAATCGGCTATGATCGTCAAGGACAGAGACTGCAGCAGAGCTTCGAGAGCGAAACCCGTGACTATCATCATGGCCACTATGCTGAAGAGCCGACTCAGCTCACTCCTCAAAATACCGAGACTTCTTCGTCGGCCAACAGTATCATGGACTATCCGAATCAGTTGAAAGTCAGGGTCAGGTTCGATCCGGAACCAAGCCATGTGACCATCGTCGTTCCTACATTCATCAAACACCGCTCCCTGACCGACCGAATCGATTCGAAGATGGCTAAGGTAACAGCAGCATCCATCGCCAAGAAAACTGCTCGGCTGCGATATGAAGACTCGGATGGCGATATGGTTAGAATCGAGACCGACGAAGATGTCCATCTCGCTATTGAAGATTGGGCTACCCAGAACGAACGACAGATCCTTGAAGGTCCCGCACCTGACTTCGAGTTGCAATGGCAACAGAATTGAGACTCTTCTTGTACAAGCCTTCACTATGAGAACGGTTCTAGAATACTAGTTCGATCCAACCCCGCTTCATGCGCCTGCTAATACACTCCCCGTGGCGGATGTACGATGCAATGCTATCACCCTGTCAGCATTCCACCTGGTGGTCCCAGCTTACATCGACTGGCTGAACATCAACTTTTCTTTCGGCGTTCATGTGGCGCTCAGGCATACATTCAGGCCTCAGCACTACCACATTTCGTCTCTATTAGCAACTATCGTCGGCCTCTTGCAATTATCATAGTATTGGTGCACCGGCGCATCGGTTAATGATATCCCAACGGCGAGGGCGGCATACCCGTTCAACTCATCCCTCGGAGCACTCCATGATCTTCACGCTCCTTGTATCTAGGTCATGCTCCCTTCTTCACTCTACGACGCCTTATGCATACATCTTGCATACCGCAAACATTCTAGATCTCGTCGTTTATTTACGCTCGGGTCAGAAGCTCGGTCCAGGTCTACAACATAACGGTGTCATGGTTTTGAGGCAGGGAAAATGGGCTATGAGAGGTCTTTTCATGATGGCGGATGGATGAAGGAAGGCGTTTTTTATTGTTTATGAGAGGAGTTGGGTGTTTGAACGATGCCATGACGTCTATGAATGGTATTATGTCGCATGCGAAAATGTACAGCGGAGAGCATAGCGATGTGCAGATGATAGCATTTCTCCATTCTCATTTCAATCCAAAGTATTCACGTGAAACAGAACAGCGTGATTTCGTCCACGTCGTGAAATTCGTCCGATGCATCTGCCCCAGGCAAGACCAAGATAGCTGCAGAAGCTACTTCTCCACGCGCTCAAATCCCAAAATCAGCTGGTTAGCTCTCGGATGAGCGGTGTACGCATCTACTTGCTCGATGCCCTCGTCATCAATGATGTGCGTCCTGTAATTCGTATAGATGGCAGCCGTTATCAGTTTCATCTCTGCTCAAACGTCAGCACCGGAATCCTCTTTATCTCTCCCTCACGTCGCACGTCTGGAGAGGATCATACCTTGCATAGCGAAATTGCTCCCGATGCACATCCTCCCCCCACTCCCGAACGCCCAGAACCACCGTCCCATTTCCGCCTTCTGCTCCTCGCTGGCTTCGAGCCAGCGTTTGGGCTTCCAGGCTTCCGGGTCCGGGAAGACGTCCGCGCGGCGGTGGAGCGTGTAGGGTTGCGAACTGACGCGCACGCCGGGGGGTAAGGGCGGGGAGCCGGCTAGCGAGGTGGGTTTGGAGGGCGTGATGCGTGGTTCCGGGCCGGGTATTGCAGCGTGGATGCGTAGGGTTTCCATGAGGCAGGCGTGGAGGAGGGGAAGGGCGTCCAGGCTTTGTGGCGAAGGCAGTTCGGGAGTTGAGACGGATGAAGGGTATTCCAAGGTGGGAGAGAGGGTTAGGAATTCCTCTCGGAGTTGCTCCTGAAGCTTGGGCTGCATTGAGAGTTCGTGGAATAAGTAGCACAGCGTTATCCCGCTCGTTTCGTGCCCGGCGGCCAAGTGGTCCTGGAGCTCAGTGGCAATTTGCAGTTCTTGCGGGTAGGGGAATGGGCTCTTGAGGGTGGATTGGTGCACTTGGTTGTATACTACTGGGGTCGTGGTTGGAATGTTCTCCTCGTCCGGGACCTTGGTTGTGCTGGATTTCTCAGCTGCTTTTGTAAAAGTGAGAGTCCAGTTTTCGATATAATTGGTGGCTTCTTGCACGAATTTGGGCTCTATGATGGGGCCCAATCTGTTCAATACAGATTTCAAGCCCGGCAGCTCGCTGGACCAGAAACGGTAGGGGCGCCGTCTTCGATAGGTGTCGAGAAATTCTGTTCTGGCAGATACGTCTTGCGTCAGGTTGGACCCGTTCTGTAGGCCGAACATGAAGGCGGTGATGAAGTCCATGGTGCTTGCATGGCTCAAGTCGAGCACTTCGACGGGTTTCTGTTCGATGGCAGCGGACTCCAGGACTGGTAAGATGCGGGAGAAGATCATTGTTTGGGAAATCTTGTGCATCTCTGGTGAGGATTGAAGGTAGGATTTCGAGTACACGTTGGCGATTACACGTCTGCGGTGGGAGTGCGGTTTGCTTTCGGCGGTGGAGAACATACATGGGACGCTTTGAGGAGTTCAGCAAGGACAGTTCTAACTGAATCACGGGGAGAGATTTTTGTTACCCAAAGTTATCGAATTGGTCATACCACCGCCATTTCTCAAACCCACCACTATAGATCGTGCGGATGCCATCGTCCACGCAGTTAACGCTGATTTCATTAGGCCCGAGTCGGACAATGTCGCCATGTTTGACGTGGGCGGCGTGGATGCTGCGGTTTTCTTCGTCTCGAAATCGTTTTATGAGGATCCAGAGGGGTGAGAAGGGGGAGGAGGAATGTGCGTTGGGGATTTTGGAGAGGGGGGAGATGAAGGCGGGGTAGATGATGTACTTGTAGATTACATAGGGAACGATACAGATGGCGACTATGGCGGTTATAGAAAGCATATTGGAATGATTCTCTTTGCTCAAATTCAATTCATTATATGTGTTGGAGGAGGAGGAGTGAAAAAGGGAAAGGAAAATGGCGAGTTCGTCTCTGTGGGCTTGTTTCTCAGCCCTACTGGTACGATACCGGCGGGGTGGCGGCATGATTGGTAGCGTCCATTCATTGCTCCTCCCTTGGCAAGCAAACTTCGATACTTTATCAATTGCTTCTACAAGTCATGATGAAGATGCGTCATCCTGTACCAGCAATTCATCAGTTCTATCTCATGATGACTGTCGAAGCCTGCCGAGGCATGGCTATGTATTCAAACGTGCTTTGGGGAGCGAATGTCATGGAAAACGAATAAGTTGGCTGGCGGGTCATGGGTACAGATTTCAGAGTTTGGCTCACTGCCTCCGATTACTGTGATTTCTCCACAGCAAAGATTGAGACGAGTCCTGTTGATGAGGACTTCGAGTCCTGGCTTCTTATCAACGGAGGCTATCTACATCCTTCTGTTGAGATTGCGTCTGGTGACGATGGCAATTCCGTTCGTGTTAAACAGGGTCACGTCCTTTTGCCAGGCAGTATGGTTGTCTCCTGCCCACACGAATTGACTATATCGTGGCTGGGTGTCACTCAACATCATTTCCCACATGTCCATTCTACGTTTACACCACACATTGCCACTCGATTGTTCCTAATGAAACAGTGTTTGTTGAAAGAACAGTCCCCGTGGTGGCCGTACCTCAACAGTCTGCCTCGATCATTCAGCACTCCTTTGTGGTACGATGACAACGACCTGATATGGCTTCGAGGAACCAACCTGGGAAAGGCAAAGGAATTAAGGGAAGAGGCTTGGCGGCAAGAATACGAAAGTGCAATGCAGTCACTGTTTGCCAATGGGTCCGATTCTGAGCAGAAGCGTCTGTGGACTTGGTCCGTGACTAATGGTCTTTGCGTCTTGTCCATGATTACAATACTAATTTGAGAAGGGAGCTCTATCTATGGGCGGCCACCGTGATGACTACGCGAAGCTTTTCTGGGCCAGCGTCGTTCAATCGAAACGAAGGCGAGTTCGTTGTTGCTGGTGACAGCGTTGGTAGATGTCCGGTCCTCATCCCAGGCTTAGACCTTTTGAATCATAACCCATCTGCCAAAGTCTCCTGGATCTGGGATGCAAATGTCTGCGCGCTCAGGGTAGACGAGTCAACGTCTGGTGGATGTCAAGTGTGGAACAATTATGATCCCAAAAGTAACGAAGAACGTGGGTTCCGGTTGGCCCTTTCGCCGTCTTGAGACCCTGCTGACGGACAATGTTATAGTCATAATGGGATATGGCTTTAGTCTTCCTAAGAATACCTCTGATCATTACAGCCTTGGCTTTTCGCCAGCAATTGCAGCTTATATTAAAGCTACAAAGGCTCGCCGATTGGCCCGCAAGCCAACCTCGGACGCAGTGCAGAGTCAGAGCACAATGGAATCTGATAAAATTCAACCAAAGCTGGTTAGCGAGCCAGTCAGGAGTGGAAGCCAGGTCCTAGAATTATTAGAAGACTTCAATCTGGAGGAAATTCTAGAACAAAACATCCACTGGGTACGACTCCTCGATAATGGAAACTACGAATTCTCGCCACAATTCTTAGAATACTTCTCGATTGCGGTCGAGAATTCTCGGGAAGCACACATGGCTGATGATGACTGCTCAGCGTCTAACACGCATCTTTCGGATCGTGACTTCTCGCGAAATAAGCTCCATGTGATTTGTGCCGTCATCATGATACTGCAGAAAGGGCAAAGAGCAATACGAGAACATGAAAAGGACTTGCCTGAGATTCCGCAGAACAACAAACAAGTGGATGCGGCAAGATACCGCGACAGTCAGCTCAGAATTCTTGATAGTGTCGTGGACTCCATGGGTAAGTTCTTGAAGTCAGTCGCTACTCCAAACTCGTCCGAGGCCAGTGACCCTAGAGTAATACGACTGGAGCACATCCTCACGAACTCGCCAAAGAGCTTGTTGAAAGACTTACGTGGCGTGTTGAATGCAGGCATCAGGACTCGTGACCCCACAAAGATTCGAGAACGTGGAGGCGTCGATTTTGCGTTCACTATCTGGCTATGCGGGTTGTGGATTTATTCTCGATCTGACCCAAGGGGAGAAGACGAAATCGACCCGAAGTACCTTCGATGGCTTCACTTCTTGAAACAAAATTATGCTGAGCCATCAGAGGAATCTCTTAACCACCAAAGACCTGAAAACACTGTCCTTGAGGAGAGACCTGAGTGGTTTGATCCCGTCCGTAGTGCAAACGGCGATGCTGAATTGGATTCTGCCTTCATCGCCAGGTCATACCTCGACGCGGTGCAGGCAGCTACAGAGAAACGCCCTCAGTCGGTATATAATGATGGCCAGATCACGGTTAGGCGTCTTGAGTGGTGTCTCAACATCATCAAGAATGAAGGCGTGTGGTGTCCAAATCTGGACCCGAGAGAAGACGAGGAAGATGATGACTGGGTCTTGTTCCTCGAGTATGGAGATTCCCTGAGGGTTTGACAGACGACTACCCACCTAGACTTAATTGATCAGAGTAGGGGTCATATGGAATACTATGTAGATCCAATGTGACAGTGTGCCATTGTGTTGCACCAATACTGCAAGCGTGGTTAGGACAAACTGCAATGATCTGTCTTTTCTCATCCCCATTTGACATAAAACAGTAGTTTTAGGGCTAGGGCTAGTGCATTCGTGTTGATGGTCGATAATCGAGATTGACATTCTTGAGCAGCCATTGAAAAGATCACATCTACTTACAGCATGGGCTCCTACTACGACATCGACGCCATCCTCACCGATGCCCAAAAAGTCCCTTGCACCTTCGACCTCGACATCCCCGGCCTAGGCTACCTTGACGAAAACGCAGGTGGAGATGTACTACGACCCCCGTTCGCCAGAACCTTCCATTCTCCCCCTTCCAGCTCTCCATTCAACTCCAAAAGCATAGCTATCTAACCACTTTAACACTCCACTCCCAGATCAAAGCCGGCACCCGCGTCTCCCTTCCCCTCTGGCTCAGCACCCTGCTCGCGGTCCAACGTCTCGGCCCCTCTTCTCAACAATTATGTACGCTCGATTTGCCGGCTTCTATATCGCCAAGGGTGTTGGCCGCGTTGAAAGCGGGACCGAAGACTGTGGATCTGAGGCAACTGGCGAGCCATTATTATGAGCTGGCGGCTAGGGTGCTGGAACTGTTTGAGGAGGAGGAGATTGTGGATGTGTTGGGTGAGGTACGTGCATTGACTCCATGACCCATCAGGGGGGGGGGGAGAAAGTATGAATAGGAGGCTACGAGTGCGGGTATCATGTTAGCGAATATTGTTTGGGGCTGACATGCGGCGGTGGGATACAGACATTCAAGGAAAGAGCAGCTGAGATTGCAGACCATGCTCATAATCCGCGAGGAGCATTGGGGGAAGCACAGGATTTCCTGAGGGGACTGGATGAGATGGAGAGACAGTGTAGGTGCTTGGACTATCTGGAATAAAAACTATGGTGCTGACTGAGCTGTAGTGTTCCGATCTGCTCATGGTAGTTCCAATGCTATGCGCGAGTGGATGGGGGAGACAAAGAAGAAACGCTGAGCTCGAGGAGGCCTGGGGCTACTGGGAAAGCTTCTCGCCCTCTCTAAGACCTGCCCCAAGGAACTGGACACAGGAAGCTTGCTGTAGTGATGTACCACGTCGTCAACTGCATCGACATGGAACTCGATTCTAGGCACAAAACCCACGTAGGGAGCAGCCATCGCAGTGAGCAGTGCTACTAAATTCTTGCATCGAGGTAAAAGACCTTCTCAGAGGTCTCAATTCTTCAGTTTAACCAACCATGATTACAAGCAGGTACCGAATCCCATCATCCGTATTCGCCAGACGCCTCGCTCCAATACCACCGCCAGACTCAAAACCATCATTACTTGTTGAAGCCACCATTCACACCACAAACCCAGTGCGTCGAAACTTCACATCTCACCACGTCCAAGCCCGCTGGCGTACCATAGTAAAGCTCTTCACGGAAAACTTTGCCCGCGATGCTGGGCCATCGAGCAGGAACTTGTACCGATCATCTGCGCTATCACCAGGCATCCTGCCCTTTCTCTTTCCCTTCACCGTGTCGATGCTCTCCGTCTTCCAAGCTCCCAGCTCAGGAAACGAAAACAGCGCGTCGCTCTTGTCGACGTTGACCCCTCGTGGCACGCGGGGACGCATGGATCCTGGCGATGTCGAAAGCAGAGAGTTGGTAGCGAGGTCATAAGGTACCTCGTAGGTTCTGGAGCAGCCGATGCCGTGTGGGTTGTTGATGAATCGATGATCGTCATCCCGCGCATATTCAATATGCTCTTCTTCCGGCTTTGTATCCAATCCCAAGCCAACGACCATGATTCTTGCTTCCTCCAACGCCGTGCTTTCTTTGCTGTCCCGGCTCGAGCTTTCCGAGCTTGCTTGGCTTGACTTCTGCTTCTTGGTCACCCGGTACTCCCTGTACCTCCTCCACAATCTCTTCAGATCGGTCGGTCCCGCCATTGCGCGGACTTTGAAAACTTCCAATCCCCCACAGACGCAATCAGTCTGCTGTCGCTTCGTCGCAGCCCAAGAACGGAAACTGGTTCGGAGTTGAGGACACAGTCAAGGATCAATGCTATGAGGTGGTGCGTATTCGCTGCAACAAGTGCAGGTAGGTAGATAGGCTTCGAAAGGTTGATATACGGATGTTCTCCCAGTCTCAAGGCGCCTTGGGGTCCGAGTACCAGCAACAGCAAGGTGGATCCACAACACACACAGTTAAAGACCAGATTTCCTTCCTTCCCTCCTTCCTCCCTTCCCTCTTTCACTTCACGAATATAACGCACATTATTCCCCCCCCCCCTCTTGGCACCGCAACTCGTACCGAAGGGCCGGGCGCCCCCATTGAAATCTCAAAAGCTACCGCTCTGGGCTTCGTCCAGCCTCAAAGCTTCTCAATCAACGTCGCACTTTTTCCCCCCCTCCCCTCTTTTCCCTTCTCCCTTCCTTCATCGTGACCCACAGCGTCTCAAATTCTCGCACTGGGTTCCGGGGGGGGGGGGGTGTGCAATCTTTTTTTTCTCTCTCTTTCTTTCTTTCTTTCTCGGTCGAAAGCGGGTGGGTCGTGTGATGGAAAAAAATGTACTTGCTGGTGAGGGGAGATGTGGTTGCTTTTCGGAGTTGTGATTCGATGCCCTTCTTTTTTCCTTGGCTGCTTGTTTGTTTGTTTGCTTGCTTGCTTGCTTGCTTGTTTGTTGTCATGGCTGCAGAGCGAACTACGGTGCAGTCTGAGCGAGTGGATGACGCGAGCTGCTGCTGCTGCTGTTTTGTATGTGGTTGAGAGAGAGAGAGGTATGAGCTCCCTTGCTGCGTGAGTGCTGTGGAAGATCCGTAGCTGGTGGTATGGCCCACGAGGTGGTGCGTTCTTTGCTAGCTGGAGGGGAAGGAGGTACGTTCTTGGGGAGGGGGATTCTGATTTTGGGGAAAAATGTTTTGCTTTCATCAATCTCGCAAACTGCTCGAGAGAGGAAGGGTATCTATCTGCCAGAAAATCCATCCCGATGCTCACGGCTCCCATGAAGATGTCCACCCCGGAGGCCGCAATGCCCATCACAATGCCCCATATCCAAAACATCAAAACTGCCATGAAGATGTCCACCCTGTAGGCCGCAATGCCCATATCCAAACACCAAAACTCCCAAGAAAATATCCACCCCGTAGGCCGCAACGCCCATCCCGATGACCCAAAAAACTCCCCCCCATCCATCCCCCCTCCTTACTCCTGCACCAATGCCCGTCCGGCGACATAACTCCACACCTCCTCGTACACCCTCGCCTCCCCCGGCCCCGCCCATTTCCTCCAGTGCTGCGCGATCTCAGTCAAGTATCTCCCGTGGTATGGCGCAGTGGCGCGGCCGGCGACCAAGTCGGAGAGCGCCTGGGCGGATGCGATGCCCGATTTGCCCATGGTGCGGGCCGTGCGGTGCCAGCTGGGTACGGGTGCGTTAGTACGGGTTCTGGATCCGGGGAAGACGTTGGCGGAAGGAAGGGGGGTGAAGAGGGTTACAAACCTGCCCGTTTCGATCAGATCGACCTTCCATTTTCCCTTCATGTCGGCCAGTAGGAGCGTCAGGTTGCTCAGGTAGCGCGACTCCTCCGCGGCCAGAGCCAGCAGCATGCAGCCGGTCGCTTCGTACATGTCTCGGTGCTGGATCGGCGTGGTTGCCGCACCGTCGCCGGCCGGGTCCCGGCGGCAGGTGTTGAGGAGGAAGAGGGTCGTTGCTTCCAAGACGGCGTCTCCGAGGGGTCCGGTCGATATGCGCGTCGTCTCGGCGTGGTGGATTGCTACCTCCGCGCGGCATGTTTGCGGGAGCAGAAGGAGGTAGGCTGCGTCGTGGATGGCGGTTAGATGGCTGATGAAATCCGAGATTGTCGTGGGATAGGCCATGTCGGAGAAGAGCGAGCGAGCGAGATGGAGTGGTGTGCTGCCGTTGGTGGTGGTAGTGGTGGTGGCGCAACCTGGCTCCGAGAAGTTCATGTTTGCGATGTGAGGACGGTCCGTGGTAAGTTCTTGCGGTAGGAGTCCGGGAACTTGTGGTGGCTGTAGCGGTGAAGAACCGTCAAGTATGGTTATAACCGCGCTGTTGTGTGCAATGGTAGATGTTTTCGGAGGTGAACAGCCCGTAAAGATGTTTGTCTGTTTGTGGCAGTGGGACTGTAAGAGGTTCTCTGAAATTGGTTCTTGGTGGTAAGGAGAGGTTCTGAAAAAAAGAGAGCTCAGGAAATCTGAGGGTACGTATATATATAGATACGGGAGTCTTCGGCTTGAAATTTTGCTCACAGAATGAGAGAGAAATCTTGGCGGAAAGGAGAACTCGATTGGAGAAGATTTGGCGACATTCGAGTGAATTGGTGGCGACTACGACCAATCCCCCACTCTCGTAGATACTAAGTAGGGTGCAAACGCTTCACCGACTTACTCGAACCGCTTCTCGGCTGTCTTCCAGTTGATGACGTCCCAGATAGCGCCGAAGTACTCGGCTTTGCGATTCTGGTATTGCAGACTGTACGACCAATTAGCAGTCTTTCCTTATGAAACCCCCCACTGCACCAGCGGCTAAGAATGAGGAGAAATAACACATACTAATACGCATGCTCCCACGCATCAATGCCCAGAACCGGCTTGAACTGCCCAACCACTGGGTCTTGGTTTGCATACGTCCTCACCTGCAGCGCTCCCGTCTCAGTATCCTTGACCAACCAAGCCCACCCACTGCCCTGAATGCCTGCCAATTTCGTATTCATAATCTTCTTCAAGTTGTCCAAACTCCCATACGCCTGATCAATCGCATTTCCCAATTTACCACTTGGTGGCTCACCACCGCCGGAGGACTTAGGGGCCAGGTTCTCCCAGAAGAGCGAGTGGTTGATGTGCCCGCCACCGTGGAAGTTGATGAGGGGTTGCAGAGCGATTTGTGCTGCAGGGTCGGAGGAAGAGGTGGCGGAGGCGAGTTGCTCGGTGAAATTGTTATAGGAGTTTACGTAGGTTTGGTGGTGTTTACTATGATGAAGCTCCATGATTTGGCCGGAGATGGAGGGCTCGAGAGCGCCATAGTCATCTATCGTGAGGTTAGGTGCCGGATAGAAAGCTTGAAGGGTGGTTGAAAAGAAGTGGCGCACATGGTAGATCTGGGAGGGTGGCTTTGCCGCGGGAAAAGGAGGGTATGGTTGCTGGGCGGGCAATCTTGGAGATGGTGGTGAAGTTGCGGAGGCCGCTCCGGACGGTGGATTGGCGGAGGAGGGTGGTAGACATGTTAAGTTGATGATGTGTGTACTGTTGAGGCTACGGCGTAGGTATTTGCAGATCAATTGAACTCTAGTAAACGTTGTAAATGTTGGCAGAAAAAGAAAGTGTGTGTTGGGGACATCAGGGAGCTCTGAGAGCTTGGAGTTCGACGTCATCCACGGATTGTTAGCCGCATATTCCGCCATATTGGCGACGACGAGGCATCATTTGACATTCACAATACTCTACTTGCTAAGAAGAGCAAGAGCAATAGAAGTGGTAGGAGTAGTTTGTGAAATGACAAGCTTTGTATAAGCATATTTGGGTATCATCCATGCCGATGCACTCACGCCTGTAATGCATGCTTCAATTAGAAGCCTGTGTACCGAGTACGCCAATCGCTAAATGCTCCCCAAAATGTCCATGCTCACTTCTTCCCCTTCCCACCACCCTTCTTCTTTCCTTTGCCCTTCACCTCCTCCCCAACCCCCGGCAAACTGACGGTGCCCTCCCTAACATCTTCCTCGTCGACACCGACAGTCTTCAGCTTCTCCATCCCGCTGATGAAGAAGCCCAGGTCCCTGTTCTGCTCTTCGAGCTCCGCTGTCTCTCTCTTTACTGCCTCCAGCTGATTACCTAGGTGGGTGATGCGTGTCATGAGAGATTCATTCATAGCTTTTTCATCCCGCCACTCCTTCTCCAGCTTGCGAGCCATGGCTTCAAATTTCTCTGCCTTCCTCGTTGCTCGATCACGGTCCTTCTCAAGTGCTGGTATCGTCTCGTCAGCAAGGGTGTCGTGTGATGCTTGTAATGTAGCGAGTTGTACTGCGTTCTTGACAGATGCTTCTGTAGCTCTCTCGGCGGACTGGGCGGCTTGGGATGCCTTGTCGGCTGCACGCTCGAGAATTTCCTCAAAGTACAAGCGTTGGCTGTCAAGCTGGCTTGTTAGTAGATGTGTATACTCTAAACCAATGCTGTCCATTTTCTCTCGAGGTACGTAGTCGTCGAAATCATCGTCGTGCGGCTGTGGTGTCTGTGTGGAAGACGGTGTGAGCTCCACGAATTTCCCATCTGTTTTATTCTGGACGATACGATGAACGTAGCCATCGGTGGCATAATCCCACACCCGTTGGGTCGTCATGTCCATGGCAAAACAATGCTGTGATTGCTCATAATGGCTGAAGGCGTGAGCAGCATCGTATCTCCCGCAGCCTACATTGCCGCAGATGAGGCAGATCCACAGGTTAGCATCCGAGCGGCAGATACTGCATTCGTTGAGGCTGACATCTTCTCCCGAGCTCGTGCTGTTGTATATCCTTTTTCCGAGACCGAGATCGTCTTGGGTGTAGCGGCATACGGGACAGCCTGATCCACGCCACTTTTGAAGACAAGAGCAGTGGAAGACATGTTGACAGAGAATTGTGAGGAGACCTGTGGATTCGTCCATGCGTTCGAGGCAGACAGGGCAGGTGGGTAATTCGACCAAAGACGGAGTGGGTGGGGCGTGGGGTTTGGAGGATCGTGAGGTTGATGAGATGGGAGCTGTTTGAAGGGTCGAAGATGTGGAGGTAGAAGGTAGTTGCTTCGTGACGGATGGTGTAAAAGGGTCATTGGTCATGTCTGGGAAGGAGGCTTCTTGACCTGGTGTCTCGTGTGTCCGGAATTCGATAGACTTGACGAAGACTACGTGGCAATTCTCGGGCTTCATACTATCAGCTCTAGCAAGCGATATCCACAAAAGAAGCCTACCTCCATGCCATCAAAAGCCTTGCCATTCCATTCTCTCCTCCACTCTCTAGCCTTCTTACCATTCCTGAACTTCATAAGTACCATGTACCTATTCCCCCTTTCCGTCCTAATCATTCGAAAATGGCTGACAACATCCCTCGTCTTTTCCCCAACGAAGCCTAAGAAGTCTGATGGCGTGAGGTATGAGGGTACAGCAAGTATGCAGAGCGTGGTGCAGTCCTCGTCTCGAAAGGCTGGCTGTTCATTGTTCTCTTTCCTGGATAGGCTTTTCCCCGGCTTTGAGTGCTTGGAGGTTGTAGGCTCATCGTAGAGACCAGGTGTTTCTTCAGAGTCTCGGTATAAGCGTACTACACCACATCCCAGCTCCTCTTGATCAGGATCACAAGGCTCGTATCTACCCTTTGTAGCTAGACCACCGGGACCGGCGCTGATACCGTTCGTGATCTTTGTGCTCGTATTTTCACTAGGTTCGTGCTTGTCTGGGTTTGCCAGAGATGCCATGGTGATATCTTGAATTGATATTCTGTCGTACCTCCAATCCCGAGATACTGGGTGTAAGGCTGTTGGCTCCTGCTTCTCACTGCCACTGCTATGATTACTTGTAACCATAGGCTGTCCTCCTTCAGCATCTGAACTTGATATGACCGCTTTCGCTGCAAAGTGTCCGTAATTACGCTGCTCTTGTTTCCAAGGGGCTGGCTGAACACGACTTGTCAATAGGGACGCCGGGGCGTCAAGGTCGAAGGCGATATGGAAGAAGAACGAAGGCATTGGCATTCTGCTTCTGTAGTATCATCTTCGAAACCTTTCTGCAAGTGCTTCCTTTATTCTAAGAGTGACGGGTATTCAAGGGATGATTATGGAAGGCGAGCATGTCACGTTGGCAAGTGCTTGCTAAACGACAAACAGACGCTTTTTGCGAGGCAAATTTCCAGGTCCATATGCTATGATAGATACGGTGTACTACAGCTTACATTCACGATCACACCATAGAGACAGAGAAAAGGTTTGTAGCCCCAGAAGTATTTGATACTGATCTGAGCTACATAATGCTACTGCCACGAGAGCAATCACCATCGACATGACCTTCATAAGATGAACCCGTAGGAACTCCCGCTAATGAACATCATGACAACTCAAAAGCAAACCCAGTCCTCGAAAATAGCAAGCTCACACCTATTGTCCACCGCGAAGTCTCAGAACCAAGTGCAGGGTGCTCTCCTTCTGGATGTTGTAGTCTGACAAAGTACGCCCATCCTCCAATTGCTTACCAGCAAAGATCAAGCGTTGCTGGTCCGGTGGAATACCCTCCTTGTCTTGGATCTTCGCTTTGACATTGTCAATGGTGTCTGATGACTCAACTTCCAATGTGATGGTCTTCCCAGTCAGAGTCTTGACGAAGATCTGCATCCCACCTCGTAACCGCAGGACCAAGTGTAGTGTAGACTCTTTCTGGATGTTGTAGTCTGATAGGGTACGGCCATCCTCGAGCTGCTTGCCGGCAAAGATCAATCGCTGCTGGTCCGGTGGGATACCCTCTTTATCCTGAATCTTGGCTTTAACGTTGTCGATCGTGTCTGAGGATTCGACTTCGAGTGTGATAGTCTTGCCGGTGAGAGTCTTGACGAAGATTTGCATACCACCACGGAGACGGAGGACGAGATGGAGAGTAGATTCTTTTTGGATGTTGTAGTCAGATAGAGTGCGACCATCTTCGAGCTGCTTGCCGGCGAAGATTAGACGCTGCTGGTCCGGTGGGATACCCTCCTTGTCCTGGATCTTGGCCTTTACATTGTCGATGGTGTCCGAGGACTCGACCTCCAAAGTGATGGTTTTACCGGTGAGAGTCTTGACGACTGTAAATGTGTTAGCGTTGGAATGGATCAAGTAGAGCAGGGATGACCCACAAATTTGCATGCCTCCACGCAGACGCAGAACCAAGTGGAGGGTTGACTCCTTCTGAATGTTGTAGTCGGAAAGAGTCCGGCCGTCCTCCAATTGCTTTCCAGCGAAGATGAGACGCTGTTGGTCCGGAGGAATGCCTTCCTTGTCTTGAATCTTTGCCTTTACGTTATCGATAGTATCGCTAGACTCGACCTCGAGGGTGATGGTCTTGCCGGTGACTGAAAGCTGTGTTAGTAGATAAAAGTAAATCGATGAGGCAGCAGCTTCAATGTGGGGTCAACTTACGAGTCTTGACGAAGATTTGCATGTTGATAGATGCTGAAGTATGTAGTTGAAGTCTGGTTGATGGTAGATGAGTTTTGGAGTGAGTGTGAGCGGTGATTGTACGTGAATCCGATGGATGTTGTGAAGAAAGGTAGATGTAAGTAGTAAGAAAGGAAGTATGGCGGAAGAAGCGGATTTGTAGTTGAGGCGGATGACACAGCCTTGGCGCTAGCGGAAGTGTCAAAGCTCGAGGCGGCTGGAAGTGGCGAGAATCTTCCATGCAATTGTTTAATTCCACACTTCACTTGACCATTGTCCTCGGAATCCACCTTGAATCTATGTCGATAACAATCCTGATTGATCGATAATACTGTTGATTTGGCTGCCTTGGTTTGCGATTGGTCAGATGCTCGCTTTCGGACGTCTTGCCAGCTACGACACTCACTGTTTCTCTCACTCTACGGCTAGGTAGACAGGTGCTTTCAGGAACGATAGATTTGCCTAGAAGTACACTGGCGCTCCTTGTTCTGCAAGAAGTCTCCAGTATGTGTTTGGCTAGGACTGGGCCCCCGCGGCCTAAAGCCACGGGGCTCTGGGAAGAAAGCTGCTACTCAAAAAGGAAACAGGGCGTAAATGCGGATAGCTTCCATATTTACCATGACTCCATGATCATAAAGCGTCTAGATCGCTGTAGATGTCGTGAGATGGTGGTACATCCGTTCTGCATATATTGCAACATCATCATCACTGACAGAAATATTCCATCTGCATGCAAAATCGTAAAGGAAAACTCCTTGTCATTGCATTTCCGTCGTGACACCGTAGTATATCATCGTAATAAGGTGATGCCTAGCAGGCAGAAGCACGAATGACAAGTTTCGAAGTGAATTTACCACACAAAGAGTCAAAGTCATCGCGGTCAAAAGTCGTATCACATCGAGATCGTAAATAACTGTCTAGAATGATTGTCAGCAATTCCACAATGCTAGCACTGAGCTAGAAGTACACACCATGACGCGTTACATGCTGGCGGACTTCCGTCAAGGCTTCGCATACAGCTTGGTTCGAGTTCAATAGATGGTGATGCTTTCGAGTTTCCCATTCTTGGAATGCCGGCAACTTCTGGGATATAGCGGAGAAGAGGCCAACAATGACCCCAACGGGTGTGGATTCCATGTCGTGGCAGAACTTGCTGACAACTTCCTTGTCCTGTTTGGGGTCAGCGGTGTTGAAAAGAGTAGTGAAGAATGGGATGAGCTTACAGGAATCCGGTAATGGCAATCGAATTGCATCTCTTCCCACACGGAGAGCAAGATCGCAGCCACCATGAAGATAGTGGGCCAGTGTCTGAGCCTTTCCTTTGTGTACACACTCGAGTACAGATGGGATAATTCTTCCAGAACTTCCTTTTGTAATTCTCGCCACATCGTCGCCATGGCATCCTTGATCTGGAAGTTGATCATGACTGGAGCAACGGTCTTGCCATAGAACTTGGAAGTGCCATCGGTGATTTTGCCAAGAAAGCCTTCTTCCTCTGGTATGCCCTCGACCATGGTCACATGCTGAGTGAGGTTGTAGGCAATCAGCAACTTCAAGCACTTCCGGATGACTGGAGTCCTCTCACGATACCAGTACCGATAGGCTGTCTTGAGCATCTGGGTAAGGAATGGAGTGCCGTCGAAATACTCATCCACGAACTCCACAAAGCCGCCGTCGATGTGATTGTCGAGGTACTCTGACAAGATGGCCGCAGGAATCCCTTCTACACCGGCAGAAAGCTTCGCAGTGTTCACGGAGTGCTCGGAAGGAAAATCTGATACTGTCTCCACCCAGTCCAAACCAAAGCAACTTTCATCACGGACGAAAACTTCACGAGCACGGACTGGCAGCATGTGGCCGTAGCCATGGGTGATGAACAGAGTCCGCTCCTGCTCCGCAAAGCCTTTGATGTTGCAGATGGAGAATCCGAGACTGACATGACGCTCGTAGTCCGCCCTCCAATCCTTCATGAAGTAGGCCACCTCTTTTATATCGATTCGAGTGCAAGGAACTTGCCATAAGCGGGCGTGCGAGGGTTGGCATCCTTCGCAAGGCTCTCCAGTGTCACACTTGAGCATCGTCAGTCGCTGCGAATCTTCACGAGCTTGAGTGCACTTACTGTCTTCTTGAGGAACTTGCAGCGGATACAAGCTCCCAGCTTCCTGATCTCGCATGCCTGTTTCCTTTGCTCCGGTCGCAATGGACCTTTCCTCCGTCCTACACGCTTCTCTGTATCAACTTTAGGAGCCTGCGGCTGCCTACGTATTGTTGGCTTTGTCGCTTTGCTATTCGAGTTCTTTTTGACTGCTTGACGCCTTCCCGGAGGAGAGACCCTTCCAGTCGAGGTTGGAGACCGCTGCGGAGACGAGGAGGTCTTAATTCTGATGGGCTTGACGATTGACGACGTGACGATGGTCGATCGAGTGTGCTGTTCTTGCTCTTGCTTGATGGGTGGCGATCCCACCAGAAAGTCCGTATGATCATGGTGAAACTCTATATCACTCAGACTCGCCGAGCGGTCGCTGGACGGTGAACCGATTGCATGTTGCGGTAAATTGACATAGCTACCCCACGATTGACGGGATTGCCGTTCCACGTCTGAGTAGGACGAGTCGGAGAATGTCCGCCCATGGAGTGTCTGTTCAGGGTTGAAGATGTTCCCAGTGTGCAAGTCTTGGTATGATCCGTCCAGAGTTTGATGGTGGTATTCTACCGAGTTCCAACCGTTATCGCTACTCGAAAGAGATCGAACCTCCAGAGACGCATCTGTGGGAGAGTTTGGTAGATTTTGATAGGGCAAGTTCATGTCTGGTAGGCCGTTCGACATGGGATAATTCATCAGATCGTTGGAGATATCTTGCCAATTAAACGGTATGCTGCCGTCCATCTGGCCTGCGATGGGAAGATAGGTACTCGAGTCATACTGCAGTTGAGGGACGTAATCCGTCGGTGATGTCTGGTAGGGCATTGCGTATGCCGCGTCGGCGCCAAACGGCTGAGGATAGGTGTCCAAAGGATAGGCAAATTGTGGGGTTTGAGACTGCTGGGGGAGCCGCCAGTCTGGTATATAGCTTTGAGATGGACTTATCGGCTGCTCGTACGTTTGCGTTAGACTTTGGAGTGGAGTCGTTGACCGCTTCATGATATTCGAGGGGTTGGTGTTGGCGCTTTGGTGATGCGGTGCGGACCGTGAGGCATTTGGGTCGGGCGGGATGGTGATGGGCCAGCTTACTCGCGGTGTATAAGGGTATCGCAGGCCTCTTTGGTCGAAGTCGAAGCCAGCAAGGCCATCAGCAGACAGGTCGATGTCGACCATGGTGGGCAATCTTAGGGTCCACGGTTGGGGAATTATTGAATATTGATTACTGTCATCTAATGAATAGGATTGTTTTGTCGAGGGAATAATCTCTGGAGCATCTGGAGAAGAAGGGCATCATGGGGCTGGTGTCTGAGCTAGGAGAAGAGGAGAAGGGCCCGGGGGTGGAGGGTTTGGGCGAGAGGAGTTGGTTTCTGTTTCGTTCCAATTTTTCCCTTCTTCTCCTCATTCAACAAATTGTCAAGTCATCCTTCATCATTTCACCATTTCACCATTAATATTTTATTACCATGTTTCTCGCAGAAGGGAAAACAGGAAGAGCGGTGAAGCAATGCAGCAAAAAAGATAGGGCGGGTTGCGCCAAGAAAAGGTGGGGTAGCCGGTACTCGTATTGGCTGGAAGGTGCAAGGATCATCCCATGATCCTCCGCAATCGGCATTACGCTGTGCCGAGGACAATAAGTTAAAGTAGGGTACTTATGCAGCTGGCTCGAAGGGAGACCACTCCGCTCCTCTACTTCGCGCTTTCGCCTACCCTATACGGAGTAGAGGATAAGCAGTGATTCCAATCTCTTCCATACAATCTCTTTTCTTTTTGATTGGATGACACGAGCAACACTTGTGCTGGTGCGCTTTTGCACCATAGATAAACAACATGGCGACGGCAAGGGATTGAGCACGAACAGCACGTTCATGGACCCTAGTACCATCCGCATCTGTAGGAGACACGAGTACGGCAATTGGGAACATTCCTTGCGTCTCGAGCCGCTGAAACATCGGATGCGAAAGTATAGACGAACTTTAACCCAAGGGCTTGACGCACTACACCAGGGCTCAAAGGATTATAGACTGCACTGCAAGTGCTGACAGGGCTGGAAGGTAGCGTCCATAATACCCCATGTCGTTGGTGTGGATGGAAGCAGCCAAGAACGATAAATCCCCCCCATAAGTCATTGGCATGGCTGAAAGGTGGCCCCCATCATAAATCATGGCCTTGGTGTGGAGCCAAGATCAAGAACGAACCGGAGACCTTATCATATTTGTTGGCATGGTCGATAATAATAAAGAGACACTGCTTGTGTGAAGAGGGACATGTTGGCTCGTGACCAAACCAAACCCTACACAACAGTCTGAGAGTGAAAGAGTGATAGAGTTGGTCTTCAAGGCATTGGGCACAGTGCTGATCATAGACATAAAGAAGTGTTTTGGATATGCAATGATAATTTTCGTAAAATCAGCCCATGGTAGCTTATCCCTTGCTGTGGTAACTTGATAAGTCGTCTTTATAGAAGAGTATAACGGTGTCACTCAGACACCTTCGCCACGAGCTGCATACTGGGGACAACCCATGGTGTGCCAAATCTCAGTACCCGACCGAGATCCCAGCCATATTCTGCTTTGTCACCGAGCTGCATGTTGTTAGAGGAACAGGCTGCTTACACCGCTACCTTCGCCATGTGTTTTGACAGCGTTATCCATTCCCAAGCAAAATACAATTCTTTGTGGCAAGAATAATCGCGAGGCGGAGGTTTTAGGCTTGTTCTCGCAGGGCTGAAATCTCAGGGTTCGGACTGGCACTACTGGTCACCTTGCGTGTAACACAATTTTAAGCAGATTCACAAATTTTGTCTTTTTGAAGACTTGATCAGTGGCAAAGGACGCCGCTCTTTTCGTCCCTCTTTGGCTATCATGAGAATCGATCTTTGCGAGGTTAGTCCAAAGCTTCCGGAGAACGATACCTTGGAAACAGTGGCTCGGCTCCATTAGCCTTACAAGGAATGAGAGTCAAGTCGAAACGGTCCAAAGTGATCTTTCAAGATTTTAGAGCCTTGTCCACCCAGCACCACCCGAGGAGTAAGGATGAGAAGGACTTTGAAAGCGGCAAGCCCAGGAAAATGACATCCGTTGCAAATGCCATACCCAAAGCTCTGGAGGAACAGGTGGAGTTGATACCGCGCGATAGACTCGAGCAACTAAGCCTTCAGGAAAATAGGATAGCTAGCAACAGCATAGACGATTTCCCAATACCAGAATTGTTCACATCCTTACCCCCTATTAAGGACCCATTAGTCACAGACACATCTCTTTCACAAGACGACACAGCCAGACACTGTCTACCACTTCATGCTGGCACCAGCCGAAGCTTTTTCGATCTCAACACACAAGGCATTCCTAGACTGAACCAAGAAGACCATGTTGAGTTCCTCAATGATACCATTCAGAAAGCAAAGTACATACCCTACGATGCTCTCCGGCCATGGGTTGTTTACTGGTCTTTAATTGGCCTCAGTGTACTTGGTGAAGATTTGGAGAAATGGCGAGTCAGGGTCTTGGAAACCTTTTCACCCATGCAGAATCCAAGTGGAGGTTTCGGTGGAGGCCATGGCCAGACATCGCATGCTGCCGCTTCTTATGCTGTCGTCTTGAGTCTTGCCATGGTCGGTGGTAGCGAGAGCTTGGACATGATTGATAGGCGGGCTTTGTGAGTGTTCCTTGAGTCTTGAATGTTCATGTAATGACACGATGTCTCCGCATGTAGATGGAGATGGCTTGGCGAGCTAAAGCAAAGCGACGGTGGTTTTAGAATGAGTGTTGGTGGAGAGGAAGATGTACGGTATGGTCTCTCTGAGGTACCCTTTCTCAATGGTCAATGCTTATGAATATAGTGGCGCATATTGTACAATGACCATCATTTCCTTACTTGCATTACCTCTCGAACTTCCACCGAATGCTCCTGCGAGAGCAAGTGGATTCACCTCATTTTTGGATGGACTACCGGAATACCTATCTCGTTGTACGATTTCTTGCTTAAGTCCTATGCGCTGTGAACTAATTCGTGAAACAAGGCCAGACATTCGAAGGTGGTGTATCTGGTGCTCCACAGACCGAAGCTCATGGCGCATATGCATTCTGTGTACTTGCATGCTTGTGCATTCTCGGACCCCCACACGAAAAGATTCCGAAGTACGCTGTTACTTGCTGCTACCTAAAAAAAACGGTTCGCTGATTAATCAAAGGCATCTGAATCTACCATTACTAATATCTTGGCTCTCTGCGCGACAATATGCACCAGAAGGCGGTTTCTCTGGTCGGACAAATAAACTTGTGGATGGATGCTATAGCCACTGGGTTGGCGGCTGCTGGCCCCTGGTCGAAGCAGCTCTGAATGGACCTCAGACATCGACTTCGATTAGGAAGGCGAAGATCTCGAGTCTGTACAGCAAAGAAGGGTTGACCCGATACATGTTGTCCTGCTGCCAGGAAGACAGTGGGGGCTTGAGAGACAAACCTAGCGCGTAAGTGACGCTAATGAGATGCGACGCTGTGCGAATCTGACTCCACTTCCCAGATACCCCGACGCATACCATTCGTGCTATGTATTGGCAGGCCTAAGCTCGACACAGTATTACAACTACTTCACTGGGGATTCTGATGAGGCGAAGACCGTTGACTCACTGGACTCGGCTCTGCGGTGGAGTTCGTTAGCGATATCTCCCGGACATGAGAGCGGTACTGGGAGGCCTGTTGATGCAGAGAATCAGGTGGAACCTTTGCATCCAATTTTCGTGATTCCGTGGGCCGCTGTAGACCGATGTTTCCAACATTTTAGCCAGAAGACGGGATTTTGAGGAGTTGATATGTGAGGGCCGAGTACCTTTGAATATGTACATAGAACCTTGGTACCCAGTGCCATCGGCTTAGATGTATTCATGTATCCCTGTGTCCCTATGCTTGTCCATCATTGGGAGAGTGGCTGTCCAACGAGCATGCAAGCGCCAAGACTTAACCTATTTTGTACTAGCCGCAAGCATTTGGAAGAATTGACTTTTCTGACCCTGCTTTACTTTGACTTCACCTCCGTTGATGCTGAGTTTTTCTTGCAGATTCAATCTACAGTTGGTATGCTTGGGTTACATGCACGATCATCTCGATTTCTTATCATGCTCGATGATGATTCAACAGAGTCTCTTTCCTGCTAGCCTTGAGGCTTGAAGAATGACAAAGCCTGGTCAGATCAGCTTGCCGCCGATGGGAGAAACGGCTCGATGCAGGCCCACTTAGCTGCATGAATTGGTATACACGGGCGCGCCCTTCTCCCCTCACTAATGACACGGATAATATTGAAGCGCCGTCGGGCTTTAGATCGGAAGATTTGCTTGGAGGACCCTACCTAGCTTGCACGATTATTCTTGAGGCTTCCAGGGTAGCACCGGATTTCAAACCGCAGAAGCATGACAAGCGGCACGACTCTTTACCTTTGATTGGAACGGAACTTCGTCCAACATCATCGATTACCACAGATGACGATACTCGGAAGGATGATGAAGACGTTGCATGGAGCGGTAGGCTACGAATTACACTTCCAGTTCGTCCGAGTCGAGTAGCCGTTCCCGGACTCCAACGCATACCTCCCTGCACCTTCAAACGCATTGCCAACTCATCAAGCATGCATAGATCAGTGAGCATGGCAGCACGCTCGACTTAATTATTGAGTTGCCAAGTCTGACTGGAGGCACTGCGTGATTAACACCTGCAATGTCTTCGGAACGTTTGGACGAACAAGCCAGTGATACGAGGGCAAGGAAGCCGTTGAGCTGGGATGTCCCAAACGTATTAAGCTCGAGTGCTAATTAAGCGCAACGAGCGCCGCCGAGGTTTAGGCCTGAGGCTTGGATCTCCCTTCAGAATGTTGCTACTCCTCATTGCCTGGCCCTGGATTGCTTTTACGGTCTTCAGGGATTGGTTTATCGCTGGTCTGTGCTCGTTGAGAGGATCTTCGCGCGAATGACAACGCAAAAATGCCTGACCCAGATTTCTCTCGCATTAGCCAAAGAGGTCAAAACACCGAACTGCAGGAGTCAGTATTTCAGAAGTATCTAAGCACCTAATCTTGCGGGGTTGGTACTTATCTCCCTGTGGATCTGCCTATGAGAATGCTCTACCCTCGAACCAGGCGTCATGTTCGCCACTGATGCGCATCCTTAGTGTGGAGACGGGGCATAAAATATCTGCGGCACCTGCACGTCAGTCATCGCCGCTCCTTGCTTGGATCATTCCAGAGAATCATTTCATAGGTCAATGGCTCCTCATGTCGGGCCCTAGAAACTCTCACTGGTAAAACGTGCGCCAGCGCATCGTCGCGTGAATTAGCACGAGCCGCAGAAGTGTGAGAATGCTGCTAGAAGTCCCCTACCTGTGCTGGCCGAGTATCTTTCTTCTCCACTTCGTTATTGACTCTTCTGTGGACCGATCTGGCAGTGATATATAGCTGCCACTCGGGGCTGCATTTCATAGATCCAGGTTTCCTCCATGCACCAAATATTCTCCGACCTGCATTTCTCGTTACTAAACTGGCATCGCACGGGGAGACTGCGAGCAAGCGTTTCAAACATAACAGAGTAACAGTTTCAGACCTGATCAACGCCTCCTCTGCTACGGATTCATACAGAAAGGGTGACATTGGGCATCAACGCTCTTGGAAGCCAACTGGAGCTTTCGAAAGGAAAAAAGTCAATTGCTAGTCGTTCCCGAGCTTTCGTTTCCGGCACACCTCCCAGCCTTGGATCCACACCACCATCGCGGCTATGTACTACCAGGAGTACCTATCCAGTCAGTCACCTCATTTATTTTTGCGATTCGTGATTTTGCGGTCACTACCCAACGCCCAAGGCCCATGAGACCCGATTGCCGCTGCACTTGTGAAATACTATACCTGCCTATTTGTCAACAAATCACGGCGCTTGGGTGCTGCCTCCATTGGACCATCTTCAATGTCATCTTCGTCTATTTGAATGGGCTTGTTGCAATGATCTGTTCGCATTTTCTTGTATCCACTTTACTCTGGGTCGTAGAGGATTACACCAAAAGTTAGCTAAGTCTCATTGTTTCATTACTGATACTGTCCGAACCAGATCTATGCCAGCGACGTCAATGGCCGGAGCCCATCTACAGACTGTTCCGGGCAGAACCTGGTTTTGTTTGCGTAGCACGCGTTAACAATCGCGAGTATCAAAGTGATAAGATACATGAGAACGAACGCCTAGCTCAAGAGAATGCTGCTATGCGTGCTTATCTCATATGTCAGAACTTTTCCAAGAGCGACGGCATGTATCCAAGTGGCCACAAAGGACGGAGGGGAGGAGATGTGGTTCAAGGTTTGCCAGTCGCCATTGGAACGGAGAGGATGAGTGTCTACACGGATGATTCAAGGAGTAGCGGAAGCCGGAGCGGTGGCAGTAGCCCTACAACTGCTGAGAGTGGCCACTCTTATGGCAGCTCTTACGGAAGCCAGAATTACGGGGGTTGCCGTAGGCTCAGTGCTGGAAGCGGTGTCGGAAGTGGTGGTGGTGGTTATGCTAGCAGGACCTCGAGACATCGGAGCGGGCGCCGTTGAGCTCCTTCATTGGCGCACCTATTCGAAACTCGGTATTGAAATCCACTCCTTTCCTTTTGGCGACTTCTTGAACTTCCCGGGATACCAATGACGGCTTTACGAGACGACTTGATGACCGACACGACCTAGACTTATTCATTGGGATAGGGGGTTGGCAGGATTAAGAGACAAAAATTATTCACAGCGAAAGCGTCGCATCTTCTTCATTCCTCTCGGAAGAGGCCATCATCACTTTGAGCATCTTGGAGCGTGCATCTGGGAGGATGGAAGGATGTTTGAACGTCGAGTTACTCCATTAACGACTTCTTGTATGCTGCATAGCGACGGTCGACGGGTTTGAGGGCCTCAAGCATTAGCCATGCGAAAACTCTAGAGATCTTAATCAAAGTCATTGAATGCACCTTTCGATCCTGTCAAGACACCAGTAAACGATGTTCTGAGTTGAAACAATGAGCAGAAATGCGTTGGCTATATCTCTGCTCATTGTTCAGGAGAACGTGGAAAAGGGGTCAGCCCTATGGTTTCGCGCTTGGTTTGCACTTGCTTCAAGCAAGTTCCATGCTTCAAACCAATTTTTCAAGATCGCTCGTTCGCGTCAAGCTTGATTTTACATATCCACCTCATCTTGTCCATTTATTTCTCCCCTACTGGCTATGTCTTGCAACTCAACATCAATTGCTTTCGGCGTTCCCCAGAGTACGGCAGAATGCACCAGCCACCGTCGCAGGCACTGTCCTCGCGGTTACTGTTGATACCAAAGAGCTATACCGTTCGCAGCAGGCGTCTACATCCTGCAGCTGTCAACCACTCCATAGCAGTAGACCATCTGACTTTACGGAGCTCCGCAAATCGAACTTTGACAAGGAGATATCTAGGAGTCATCACAGGAGTCTACCAGAAAAGGCAAATCAGAAGGGAGTCGACCATAGACAAAGCCATTGGCGCGGAGAAACAGAAGCAGAATAAGGCACCATGGCATCGAGAAGGCTCAGATATGCCTCCAGTCGCGCGTCAGCGCTCCGCTGGGGCCATGATCAAAGGTAGCCGAACCCCTTTGCGTGCGTCTATTTTGACTGATTTGAGGCTTAGGAAAGCTATTGACAACCCCGTCTCGCCTCCTCAAGCTCATCATACCTCTCACCACTCTTGACAAGAACTCTGACCGGAAAGACGTAGAGCCACTAGCACTTCTGGTCCATCCTCAACAGCCTTTGTCGTATCTGGAGCGCCTCATACAATCGGAGCTACCTTCAATCAAGAACGGAAAAGGAGAAGAAAAAGTCCCGGCGGTCCATTTCAGAGCGGAGGACTCTCAACAAGATGCAATTCAGCCTACAGAGAAAAAGGCAGATGAAAGTCCAGAGGACTTGTACGAGGACGCAGAAGGCGAGATGGAGGAGACCCAATTCGAAGGTCGGACTGAAAAGACTGGAAAGCTGGGCAAGAAGTCTACGACAAACGCTGCACAGCTAGGCGAGGGAGGAGTGGAAAGTTACAGTGGTCTAGGCCATGAAGGGCCTTCCGCCAAAGATGAACCAAGGAGATTTGTTCGTTGGTCGTCCTCAACAGAGGTCGGTGACTTCATACGTGATGCCGCTCGCGGGAAGGAATTCGCCGTGGAGATTGAAGGAGCTCCTGAGGAGATCAAGGTCGGAGTGCCTTCTTTCAATGATCGAACGCACTACTTGCGATTCAGGCTACGGAAAACTGCTAGCAAAATCATAGATCTGGCCGCAGTCAAGAAAGAATGTGATCTACAAGCACACAAAGGCGCCCAACGGGTGGCAATGGGAGGTGCAGCAGTCCTCGTCGGTTATTGGTACGTCGTCTATCAACTAACGTTTAATACATCCTGGGGCTGGGATACTATTGAACCTATGACGGTGAGCACATGGATCTGATCAATGGCACATATGATTCTAATCAGGAACAAGTACCTTGTCGGCCTATCCACCCTCATCTGCGGTTATCTTTGGTTCCTTTACCACAACCGAGAGGTATCCTACCGCTCAGCCCTCAACCTTACCATTAGCCGCCGGCAGACGAAGCTGTATCAGCAGAAAGGCTTCGATATCCAAAGGTGGGATACACTGATCGAAGAGGCGAATGGATACCGGAAAGAGATAAAGCAGATAGCAAGTGAGTACGACGTTGATTGGGATGAAACTCAAGATGAGAAGGATGAGAGGGTTACAGAGGCTATGAGGAAGGTTCGAAGCGACCAGAACTCGGACCGGAAAGAGAAGAACGTGAAAGAGGACGAGGATGACTAGACCCCTATATTCAGGCCGTTGCATGAGCAGTAATACCGACGAGACCTTCTTGAATCCATTGTACATACTTGCATAATGCGGAAGGAATCTCACCGAAGGAGCCACTGCCGCGAAAGGCTAACGGTAGCTGCTTTCCTCAATTTGTCCCTGCCACCCGACCGAGATATCCCTAGAATGATCCTCGCGTTAAAGCAGAAGAGGCTTGTACGCCTTCTGTACTTTACTTTGGGGTCATCTTCTTTGAAACGGCACAGCGGAACCACTCCTAGAGGTACCTTTCACAAGCTGTGGTGACACGAACGCGGGCAAGACAGTCCAGTGCCATCATGCAATATCGAATGGCATCGTTGATCGAGATGAGCGGCAATCTCATACATTCTATTATACAATTCCGCTCGAACAGTGGGACTTCTCCCGAGACTGCGAATATGCAGACTGCCTCCTAGGGTTGTACACTCTTTTACAAGCGCCAGGTGCGAGACGGATACAAATTGAAAGGCCGAGGACGCAGCAAGTCACCCATTGATGACAGCGACACTCGCTCGACCAGGAGACATTATCAAACGGGCGTGCCAGCCCTCCAATCATCCATCTAACACGATGCCTGACCTACTTGTCATCTGTACGTATTTCTAGCTGGATCGTAAACCGGAGTGTGCCCTCTGCCCTTCCCACTGCCGGCAACTGGGCCTGTCACATGTCAGCAAATACATAGTGTTTTTGAAGCGCTGTGACTCTCAAAGCTCACCTGGTGTTGGTGGTGGTGGTGGTGGTGGTGAACGTACCGCGATATCATCATTGTCATCGTCATCGTCATGGAAGTTTTGGGATCGTGCGGCCTTCTTGTTACGGCCATCGCGATAGCGACAGACGTGGTATAGAACCCATCGTGCAACCCAATTCGGCTGCCCTTGGGCTGCTCCTTGGTCGTATAGACTTCGCGTTTGGGAGCATGCGTTATTCACAATGGTGTTCACTGCGTTGATGAATGCCTCTTCGGAGAATTGATTCGCTGAAAAGGGCGGAAGCTCCCTTGCGTACTGCGCCTTGAGGGCGCCACGGTTACCCATAAGTTGGGCGTCGTACACTCGGATCGCTTCACTCTGTCGGTCGTCAGTTTCTCTCTGTCAAGATGAGTCTTTCCACACATACTTTCATGATCCAATACTGGGCTTGGTGGTTACGGTTGCGCCCGTCAAGCCCCAAAGCCATCAAAAATTGCCATTTTGGGCTGCTCCGGACGACAATCTGCTGTGCCGCCATGGTACCGGTATAGTGTCAGCTTGTCGATAGGGAGCTATGTTCCCAGAAACACTGATCAGACTGATGTTTCAGAGTGTCCAATGATAGGCGAAAAGAAGGAAGAAGAAAATGAGTGAGTACTAAATGGCCTCTTCGCAAGATCGACCGCCTTTATGTACTCGAGCCCGAGTACTCGAAATTCATGATCAGGGGCCCGGTCACATTACGGTTGTAGAGTGTTCAGTTCTGCATAAGGCAAAAAAGGCACAGTGCAACCCGCAAATGCAACAAATCTTTAAGAAACACGCCGACGCGACCCAAGTAACTTTTGATTTCCATAGGAATGGTCCCTCGGAAGCAGACTGCATGGAAAGAGGTTACGTGCATATCCCGTACGGGTAAGAAATAGGCCGGTGACAACCACAATTTCCTCACCGAGACGAGTCATCGAAGCGAACGAATGTAAGTTTGTGGTTTGCTGACGCAATAGAGCCGTGCAGTCTCGTTGAGGAAGTGATAGGAGCCTCTCCCTCACACCCGCCAGCGAGTCCTTTAGTGGAGATTTTCGGTATCACGGAAATCTTATCACATGTGGTTAATGAAGTTGATGCAGCGACCCATTCGGCACGTCGAGTGCATTGACCTTTACGTGCGGCCGTAAAAACACTTTCAAGCAACGGGAATTAATCGAGCGAATACATCGTTGTGCTACATACCCCGAATCCTCGATACACTCATCCATTGTTACTGCATGTAGTCGGAAAGGATGTGCGCTAAAGCAAGGTATTCACATTCTGATAATCCTCGAAGATGCAAAAACAATCCCAAACAATGCCGTCGGCTAGCTGCATGTACATGTTTGTTTTTTTACAAATTCAAATACTTGCCAGCTATCCCGCCGCGTTCACCGCTCTTCCTGGACTACATGTTCCCTGAGCCAGCACATCAGTGCTTGACCTGGGTCATGTACCACCTGGGTCGTGTGCCACCCTTCTGAAATCATATCAACTCACCCATCCATGAAGCACTGTACTCCGCTCAAGGTTGGTTTCCGTATGCGTGCTTCGACCCACACAACTCTCCGAGCCCATGGGCAGCTGTCATACTTGACTTAGATCATAGAAAGCTTCCGGTTGGCATCCAGTTCGCGTCTTGGCAAACAGCCTCACTATCCCCAAAAGCAGCTGCTATACTTGCTTTCTAGACTCTTCAACCTGGGCGGGGGAACCAATCGGTCAGCGACGGGAGTCTGCAGTTCCATCAGAAAAGCCTCGAGAAAACGGGCTAGGTCAAAGCGTTGAGCGAGGACTTAGAACCGACCACGTCCGAAGTGGTGATGCTTGGATTTGTTCGGCCGAAGGTGGACTTTGTGATCTGGGGCCTCGGACAGCTCGATTCTCTTGGAGCAGCAGCAAAAGTTTAAGGGGTTGATCGCTTTTTCCGCGTTCGCCCTGCATAATCTCAAGCCAAGGGCAGGAATGTCAAAACTTGGATGCATGGCACTTGCAGTATACGTCCCTGTTTCACTGGGCTTGTGTCATATTGACTGGAAGGAGCTCTGGCCATCACGCGAAATTTTTCTCCGCCCCGGGAATACAGACTCCTTGAGTGATAGCTGGCCTTAAGGCGCGATAAGACCCGAGTCTCCGGAGACTGACGGAGCATACTGCAAGAGTTCGGGATGTCTCATTATGAGTTACATTGCCTGATTTTGCCTCCTGGTACTGCGTTGTCCCAAGGTATCAAGAGGGACGAGCTCAGCCAACACAAGGGCTGGTATGGCTCTGGCCGGCAGTTGTGGGCTACCAATTCATGCAGGGAGCTATCACCTGCATTGATATTGGCGCACGGGATGATATGTATGATCAGTCCTTGGTTCAATGCTAATGCTGTTGGCAAAGGAATCGCAATGCAATGCCCAGAGTGAGTATTAAGATTACTGCATCAATCAAAGAGCCAATATCCATGCAAACGATACTGACTACTCTCAATGTCGCAAAAGCCTGGGTTTTCTCTCCCAATTGTCCCCCAAGACGACCAAAGACCATTATCTTAAGAGAGTTGTGGACGTCCAAAATTGTGAAATCCCTTGTGTACAATTAAGCGAACCGAAGCCCTAAGCGCGGTATTAGTGGCATTTGAATTGACATATTCGGATAAAATTATTTGTGACAACATAAACTCTCCTCTCGACCATAGACAATAGTGTGTGTTTATATGGCTCTTTGGTGCTTCCAGCCACTATGGTACGGATTCTAGTATGTCAGTGTCGGTCCCCCGGTGGTCAGTCGACCAGCGGTGACCTCGTTGCCGCCGATGACCTCGTTTCCCAACGAAACATTGGTGACCCCGACCCCAACAAGAATATGCGCCGAGACATACCCCAAGAGAAACGTGACCAAGATTCGCAACCAAAACAACTTCACCTTGTGACCAACTACTGCCTCTTCCATGATCAACACCCACAACCTCAGAAACCACAAAAACCACAATCATGGCCACTGAAGAGTACATCTCCCCCTACGCTGTGGACAAGCGCACTCGTCGATCTGTATTGGCGGCCCTGGTGGACAACAGGTCCATCAACGACACGCACAATCGCGACTCGCGTCGTGCCACGGCCAAGTTCAGGCCGGCGTTCAACGGCGAGTCCTTCGCGAGCGCTTTGGGGATCATTACGGTGGTAGTCGAAGGACTACTCATCGAAGGGGCCGGGGTAGGAGATGGGGAGAGACGGTTAATACCGGAGCGGCCGAGGGGATCGAGCAGGGCGCCGATTTATTTGGGGACTGACAGGGCGGTATGTGATTTCTCATTCGCAATCATGTTTTCTGGGTTGGAGACATTGAGGATTGAGCTGTGAGAATTCCGTCGTGGGAAAGAGAGTTGCTTCTTACTTCTCACATCTGTCTTGGGACTCAGGTACTAAACGCAAAGGAATTCTGCTAACTTTGAATCTACGTAGACCTTGTCTTTGTATGATCCGTTGGAGAACTTGAAGGAGATGTTGGACACGTTCTGCCGTGGAGTGATGGCTTGGGCCAACAAGCCCACGTGAGTCTAACTTGCTTTTCAGTCGCTGTTGTGAGATAGGCTAACGGTCAACGTGAAGGTACTTCAAAGAGGTTACCCGCCCCTTCATCAGTAAGTCTACCCCTCCTTGCGTCCATCTCGCGTCCACTCCCTCAGACCTCCCGAGCTGACAATGACTTCTAGTTCGCACGATCGAAAACTCTATCAGCGAAGCGTCTACCGCAAGGAAGCTTCGCAAGTCTTTAGAGTACGTCGGCCCAATTGATACAGGATACGTTAATAGCTTTGAGGCCTTTCGTTGCTCGATGCAAGATCCAATCCTTGAGCTACGACATTTGGGCGAATTTATCGAGTCAATTATCGCGGAGGGGGATGAGATCTCCGCTCACCCCGCAAAGATTCTCAACCCGGCTGTCGAAGCTTCTGACAATCATCGATCCTCATCTCCTTACTTCAACACAATCCTGAACCCTGAGCCGGCCACGCAGGCTTCTACCGGTGGACGTGTGAAGACGGAGAGTACGGCCAGTGAGCGTGGCGGAGCGTTTAGTGGCTTCGAAGACCTATTGGAAGCTGCTGGATACGGGTTCGGCATGCACAGAAAGTCACAGTCTCCCGAAAATAAGCCAGAGCGTGAAGCAAAGCCCGAGCTCCAGTACCCGGGCTCGCCCAGTTACTCGCCACCCCCTTCGCCATCGGTCTCCATCGATGCTCTCCTCCAGCCCTTCTCCGTCTCATCAATACAAGCCGAAGAACACCTTCCGGACGTCTCATCGTCCATATTACTCCAACCCAGCAATCTTTATCGGATCAAACCATGTCCAGCTCCCCCTGGGACTCCCAAATGGAAGATAGACCTCAGCGGTCGCAAAGGTCACCCTATCCGTATCCTCCACGTCGGCCCCCGCGAACTCGACATCCTGGCCAAATGCCTCCCGCTCGTCCACAAAGCCACGCTGAAAGGCGAAGAGTGCATGCGTGTCATCGTCGAGAAGGAAAACCTGGCAACCGAGATGGGAGCCGAGTACAAGCAATGGGACGACTTCTGCTCCGACCTGGAAGACAACGTCAGCATCGACGCGAAAGAGGCTGGAGCGAAATCGAAGCAGGACTCCGGAGACACAAAGATCGATGACACAAAGGGCAACGGCAAGGGGGAAGCCAAAGATCCTTCCGTCTACGGAGCCGTCGCCTCCGGAGGCAAGGACTGGTTCGGCTCGGCGGACCCGAGCGCCTACGGCCGCGTCGGTCCCGGAGACGACCCCGACACCGCCTGGGGCTACCGCAAACTCGACCCCCCCACCTTCCAAACGGCCAAGGCCAAGACCCCGCGCCGCACCGCCGCCGCCGACGTCGACCCGGACGCCACGGAAGACGAAGACGAAGACGACGACGACACCGGCTTCCCGCGCGACTTCGGCTTGGGCTCCCGGTCCCCGACGGAGCGCGCTTTCGGCACCGCGTCGCCCCGGCCCGGCTCCGATTCGGGCTCGGAGGGCGGGGAGGAGGTGATGCGTTTCGAAGAGGCGGTCGGGGGGGTGGATGACGGGTTGGATCGGGAGATGGTGGATGTGGGGGGTTGGAGGAGGGGGAGGTTGTTGAGGAGGAGGGGGGGGAGGAGGGGGGGGGGGGGGGGGGAGGAGGGCTGAGGGGAAGAGAGGGTGGAGGAGTGGGGAGCGGGTGTTGGGGTTGTTTGGGGAGGAGTTGTGATGTTGGTGATGAGGCCGAGAGAGAGGGGGGGATGGTGTGCTTTGAAAGAGACCACTCTACTTACTCACTCACTCGTGGTTGGGTGCTTGTGGGCTGCATCATGAGGCGGTTGTGGGATACGATAGGCTGGATACAGAAGTTGTGGATACGATAGGCTCGATACGGATTGATACGATGTGACAGGAAGTTGGACAGCGAGTGCTGATGAGGAAAGCCTGGATACGGACATAGATCTAGCCAGCTGGTTAGATGCCTTCATTCATGCGTAGATCTAGCCAGCTGGTTAGATGCCTTCATTCATGCGAGAACTGTCACCTTTTCAAGGATTCGTGCCCGGCTGGAAAGTCTAGTGCGTTGAGAGGGATCGAGCGATAGTCTGGCATAGAAGGAGAGATTATTGTGGCGGAGATCCTGAATTCCGCTGAGTGGACATGGACAGTCGATTCATTCACTATGAAAGTAGGCACAAATGATGTTTGGGAGCTCTTGGAATTGCCGCTTTTTCTGCCAAACTTGCCTGTGCGGATTTGGGATCTTGATTTTCTCTGTGCATGGGTTTTGCTACATTGTCTCACATGTTTGGGGGTAAATGTGCTCTCATTGGATCTAATCTGCGTTCTAGCTAATGTTGCTGGGGTTGGAGATGGAGTTACACTATCTGTAACAGGTAGCCTCGAGTAGCATTAGCTTATGGCGGTGAGAATCGAATATGTAAGCTGCCGTGGAAAATGCTGCTTTGGACAACTTCTGCTCCTTGATGGCGGTAAGAGTTGAAGATGTGAGCTTTCTGGGAGATGTGCTGTGAAAAGGTGCTGATTGTGGGTGGTGGAGCATGCCGATTTGGGTGGTGAAGCTGGAGAATGGAGTATGTAATGTAAAGCTCATCGTAGTCTGTCAGCTTACCATGAATCGCCTGGATTACAACACTAATGGATTCGTATTCGCCACAAAGTTGTTGATGCTATACATTGTCTGTTGGAATAGATGACGACCATGTGTGGATTGCAAACTGCAAGCGAGCTTAGCCAAAGCAGTCCAGTCCAAAGTGTCGTGGTGCTATGGAACAAAAATGGTCTGTTGACTAAGATCCTTGGCTTCGAAGTCTGATTTTGTAGGAAGTAAAGATGCTTGTGGTTGAGAGCTTCTGTCCTTTGGGAGAGATTGAGGACCCCGTGTGAGTTGTAAATCTTTAGAACCAGGAGTCATTGCGTGTCGAGTCTGCCGTATAATGTTGGTAGCGAGTCTCTCAGGAGGAGACTTCGTCATCTTCATCGGGATCTTCTTCTTCTGGGCTAGATGCCAGCGGTTCATCGTCGTCTGACTGAACAATCCCGTGGGCCTGAGCCACATTAACCCCCCCAACGTCGGTGTTAGAACTACTTGACCCCTCCAGAAGCCTCTCAGCTTCTTCCTCGTCTTCGATTTCCTCCGGGGTCGCCCCCAGATTAGCCATCGCCCGTTTGTATTTCTCCCTCGCGTTGGCTACTTGCTCTTGCCAAGTCTTCTCTGTCTCGACTGCGCCATCTGCCGCGTTTCTCGCTCTATTCACATGTTCCTTCTGTCTCTCAGCATCTTGCTGTAACCTCGCGGCCTTTTTTGAACGCTTGTTTGATACTTGATCTGCCTTTTGTGCGGCCAACCGCGCCTTGGCTTCTTCACGGCTTGCCCATAATGCAACTCTGACCACGTCGGCTTGCTTGTTTTTCAAAATTGATTTATAGCTCTTAACTCTGGCCACCGCGTTGTCTCTGACTACGGTCTTTCTTGCCAGATTTTCGGCTTCAGCTTCCTTCTTCACAAGCTCTGCACCACTGGGATCCACCAGCTGTACACGAATACTCTCCGCGTACTCTTTTTTCTTTATCGCGGTCCACCTATGAGCGCTCTTACCATCTCTCTCCAACTTTGTGGTATCGTCACTCACTATGACCGTGACATGCTTTACCGAAAGAGCACGCAGGCGTAGGATGGATTCCAGGTCTGCTTGCTGGGTATTGGCAATCTGCTGTTCTGCTGAGTCGTTGGTGTTGCCGTATCCCCGAAAGACGCACTCGAATCCTTGATTTATGCATAAATGAAGGACTTGAACCCCTCGTATCACATTCAAATTGGACATCTTCAGGGCTTTCCCCCAGTAACTGGTGTCCCAACGTGCTCGCTGGTAGCCGCTGTTATAATAGTACGAGCCAAGGCCACCGATGGTTGCGGAGATGTGGATGCTGGTAAGTTTGCGTTTCTGTGCTGGGTTCAGGCTGCAGAGGAATTTTTCGAGTGTTTTGGGATCCTCGAATGAGAAAGTGTTGGTAGCCCACAGAAGGTGATTCGCTTCTTCGTATAACTGGCGGCAAACACCAAGCACATTCAAGTCAACCCTGAGAGCTTGCCGATCCTCTTCGCGTAGGAACATGGGTCCGCTTCCACACATGTTACAGGTCGCGTGACGCTCTTGACAGGAGGCAACATAAAATTCCGGCGACTCGCCCTCTGGGACGACCGCATGACCGGAAACAGCTTCCTCATAAGCAGACTGCTCTGACAGATTGGCAACACAGATAGCATGGCGGAAGGCCGGTTGACTGGCTTGCTCCCATACAGACGGAGTCGCTCGACCTGCAGCAGACGAAGCAAGCCTAGCTACGCGGGCTGCGATTGCACCATCGTCATCATCGTCGTCATCTTCGCCATCGTTGCAATCGTCATCGTCAGTATCGAACATAAAATAATGTCGCTTTTCACGGGATCCACCGTCTTCACTAGCACCAATATCAAAAGGTTCTTTCTTCTCTCTGATCGCAAGCGAAAGCTCATAAACATCAAGATACTTGACATGAATGAGGTTGTCACCCACGAGGTGGATCAGAATGTTCTCTCGGATCTCTGAAGGTAGTAGGAGTAGTGGTGAGGTAGCCGCATTCTTGCGAATCCTGTGATGATTAGATTACTTAGGTAGCTTAGCAGGAAGAGGGTGGGTGTGGACTTACAGGGTTTTGGTTGCGGCACTGTTGGTCTTGGTCACGGCTTGCTTCTTGCGTGGACGTGGCTTCGCACGTGGCGCCACCTCGTCATTGGAGACCTCATCAAGAACGGCTTTGCGCTTCCTCCTCGCCATCTTGAGTGAGTGCTTAGCGGTCAATACGGATACGTTTTAAAGGGTATTGTGGGCGTAGTAACAAGGAGAGAGTCGAGGAGAATGGCAATTTCTTGAGGAGGAAGCACGAATTATGGAAGGATAGAAGGGAAATGGGACGTGGTATGTAGTTGAAAAGAAGTGGGAAGGTGCGAAGTCAAGAAAAGGTAGAAGATTTATACTTGTCGTCACTGCGGTGTTGACGAAGTGAGTTTCACTAGCACAAACTTCACATCATTTCATGGCTTCTACGCGAGCATTTTGTGTATCTTGCAATCAATACTTTGACAACGACGTTTGACACTGGAGATATGTGTTGGAAGCTGCTTGCCCTACAAATTGTCCTCTTCAATGTCAGAGCTTTGGCGCAGTGCTCTGGATCAATTTTCATCACTTTTAGCGCTTGAGTGCAATCTTAATACTCAAAGCCTAGTATCATTACTGAGTTTCCTGGGAATGAAGGAATAGATTTTCCGAACGATTGGACTGGGGCAAGACTGTGGCAGTGGGAAGACGTGAAGTTATACGCCATGATTACTTGTATTTACCCGGTAATGCCTGCTCATCGGTACGAGTACTTTACAGTAATGCAAGGTCTAAATTCCGATAAATCCGAAACCAAGAAATTGTGGGGGACCTCGCGGGGGTTTCGGGCATGACCTGGTAGATACGAGTACTAGTACCGTAGTCAGCGCAGTCCCGCGGTTTTAATTTCACATCTTGATGCTACCTCCTTTTACCAAGCATTGTTGGGCCTTCTTGTCCATCTCTGTATATATTCCATGTCTAATCCTGACCACCTGAGACCTGTACCGCCTCGCCTGCCCACTCCCTACAATTCATCGAGTATAGACAAGTCGCCAACATGCCCCTCACAGTCCTTTCCAACGCAGACATCCACTCCCTACTCCTCACCCTCACCCGAGATGACATTGCCGAACTCCAGTACGTATTTTTCGGAGCTCATCTTTCCTCTTAAGCACCACATCTTGAGTCATGAAACATGTCTGGGGATCTGCCCTCTCGAAACAAATCCAACGCTCGATATGCTCTCTCAAATAAGCAATACTGACTGTGAACTCGTGATCCAGGCACAATCTCGCGGAAGCCCTCCATGAATATTCGACAGGAACGCAAGAAAGCACCGTTGGATGCAGCGCCAACCAGCCCCAACGCATTGCTGTCCCCGCTGCCAATAAGCAAACTACTCTCTTCATGCCCGCCAGCACAAGTACGAGCAGAGGCATCAAAATCATAACCCTAGCCACAGCGCCTATCCCTTCGTCTACGCCTAGCCTTGGCAAATTAAGCATCGATTCTCCACGAAGTGGTTCTCCCGTTCCCAAATCACCTTCGATCGCTAGCTCAAGATCTTCTACAACCTTAGCCTCGCAAACATCCTCAAAATCGAGCGTCCCATCTACAGACCTTTCAGTGTTTTCCTCCCACACCACTACACCTCGTGGCTCCCTAACGCTCCTAACATCCACCGGCATTCCCTACGCCTTCCTCGACGCGGAAGAACTGACAGCTTTCCGTACTGCGCTCGCATCTACCATCATCTTTAACCGCCGCTCCCATGTCCATTCCATTACGGTCTTCGGGGCAGGCATGCAAGCAAAATGGCACATACGCCTCGCTCTCATGCTGCGTGGGTCCGAAATTCATCACGTCGACATCATAAACCGCTCATTTGCCCGGGCAAAAGAACTCATGCATGAATTCTACACCTCACCCGATTGGGAAGGCTTACGCAACGCGAATTCGAAATTGGCATTTAGCATTGTCTCCTCCGAGTACGGCGAGTATCAACGGCTATTGAAGGAACACATCCGCAAAGCAGATGCCATCTTCCTTTGCACGCCTAGCACCGCCCCTCTTTTCCCAGCCGAACACCTTACCAGCACCGAAGGCAGAAAGAAAGGGAGATACATAAGCGCAATAGGCAGCTACCGCCCTCACATGTGTGAGATCCATCCCGACATTCTGAGTCAAGCCGTCGCACCTGACCATAAACGCCACCATCATAAGCACGCAGACAAAGGAGGCGTCATTGTAGTCGATTCGCTTGAAGCCTGCTTGAAGGAAGCGGGCGAAATCATCCAGGCAGGAATAACGGCGGAGCAGCTCGTGGAGATTGGAGAGCTCTTGATGGTCAAGAAAGCGAGCATGAGGGAAATTGAAATGGGAACTGGAGAGGGCGAGAAGGGTCTCCGGAGGTGGGTAGAGAATGGAAATGTTATCTACAAGAGCGTAGGAATCGGGCTTATGGATATCTGTGTTGGCGAAGATTTAGTAGCGTTGGCGATGCAAAGGGGAATTGGGACTCGCGTGGAGGGGTTTTGAAAGGCCTGGACCTGCTCTTGAATTGCAAGTCGGAAAGGCTATCTACTGTTTTGCATAACAATGGTAAGCTTTACGAAGCGCAAGCGTCGGCGCCGGGGGGTTTGGGTGGCTTTACATCACAAGTCTCGGGGGTGATTAGATATTTGACACGCATAAATGGCAGCCGCAAAGGCATGATCATTAATAATATTGTACGCCTTTGAAACGATTGGACTTATATGTAAAGAATACAGTGTGGATATCAAAACCCGAAACTAGATATCCCAGCAGTGAAGAGAAGCCACCGAAGAGACCCGACTTATGTTTCCAGGCCAAGCCACCGAGCTTCCTTACCAAACCGCCAATATGTTGTAGTATTTAGACAGCCTAAAGATAAATCATCCGAGGTACATTTACTCGTTCGCCGGAGGAGCACCGCCCAGTGGAGCGTTACGACCAGCTGCCCTACGCTGTGCCTCCTGTTGCTGGACTGCCGGATTGGGGCCATTCCTCCTCGCACTACCCTCAATTAGTACCGTCCGCCCGTTGACCAAAACAAAGGGAATGTACTCACATAATCGTCCTGGACAACATACTGACCACAATCATAAACGCCCAGCTCGGAACCAAGCCGATGCCGAAAAGGGCATATCCAATCGCCTTGTTCACGCCCAGCTTCGCCAACTGCCCGTCGAACGGATCGAACCAGCCGTCGTACAGAACGCCCTCCTCGTACTTCTTCCCCGTGTGCAGCGCGACCATGTCCCCCGCCGTCGACTGGGTCACGTTGAAGTAGTTGACGTGGATCGTGCTGGCGGGCGTCGACTGGTCCGCCCGCGCGACGGGGCGCCGAATGTGCCAGATCGTGGGCGGCTTGGCCATCCACGTCGAGCAGAGCACGCCCTGCTTGTCGCAGTCGACGTAGGCGAGGGTCGGCGCCGTCGGGTCCGCGGCGAGCACGGCCGCCGTCTCGTTCCACTCCCGCTCGAGCCGGTCGCAGAAGCCGCCGCAGGTCTTGTTGCCGCCCGTGACGAAGACCATCCACTCCTGCGGCGATTGCGCCGAGGTCGGGTCCGGGGTGAGCGCGGATTCGTAGTTGGCCATGGTCAGGGGGACGACCTTTGCGGCCGCGATCTTCGCCGCCGAGGCGGCGACGGGGGACTTGACGGCGGCGGGGACGGAGGGGACGGTGGTGGGGATGTAGCCGCGCAGGGAGTTGAACCAGTCTCCGGCTTGTTCGATGAGCGGTTTTTGGATGTCCTGGGCGGCTGCGAGGGCGGGCAGGGCGAGGGCGAGGGAGTGGGTGAGATGCATCTTTGCGGTCTTTCTATTTGGGGGGAGGGGAAAATCCGTGTGAGGTAGGGTTGGATGGCGGCGGGAAGATGTTGGCAGAGGTAGCAAAAGGAGAGGGATTGATGAAGAGACGTTGCAGAGAGATAGAGGCTCGGGAGAAAGTTAGCGGTCGAGTCGCGCAATTGATGGTTTGCGCGCCAAGGCGACAGATAAGATTAACACTTGTCCTTCAGTAAAGTACTTTAAGACCGTTGCGCCTAAACCTCTAACCCGGCAACAATTGCCTTTCCTTTGTCTTGCCAAAGTGTAGCATTTCCATCCCCCCGTCTTTTCTTACACCAATCGCCTTCTCTGCTATATCAATTCCATGTAAGCAACTTCTATTCCTTAGCATTTCTTTTCCTTGATTAAGTTGCCTCCCAGAGATGGCTTTTTCCGATACCCTTCACTAAGTCCTTGATGTAAGCCGCGAATCCATCGAGATAGATGTTGACCAGCATGACGATAATGAGGGCAAGGTTGGAGCCGCAGCAAGCGACGAGGATGTAGCGTACGACGAGGATGACCATAGCAGAATAGATAACGACGACGAAGACGATAACGACGTCGAAGGTGACGGGAATAAAAAAGACCAAGACAAAGAAGATGAACGTCTTTTACTAACCCTGAACCAACAGAAGGTCTTAATTAAGGTACGTACTTTATCTTGACATTTGATGAGCTCACGGCGCTGATCAACTCTAGAAAACATTTATGACGGCGTCCCTACGAGGTCCTGCCTCTGAGATAGTGGATGACCGCAGTCATCGCTTCTTTGGCGATTTGTACTAGAAGAACCGTCGGGATGTCTTGCCCAAGCCAACCTTGACAAGTATCTCCAGCTTCTCAAAGGGATCGAACCGCCCGAAAAGCGGGCCTGTGAAGGTATATTCCTAGGAGCTTAAGCCGTACTCGGCTCACTCTTCACAGCACACAATATTCCTTTCGACCAAGAAGAAGCGTTCGCATGCTTTCGAGATGCCAAGACTGGTACTTGGCGGCAGAAAGGTATTCAAAGAACGCCAGAGGAGTTGGTCCATACAGATGGTGACATTAAGATGGCAGAGATCGCTCATCGACTCCATGGTCCATCTTCTACCACTACCAAAGCAAGGAACGGAGCATGTGGTGATACTACGAATCCGTGCACGGCACTCGTGTTGGCGAACGCTTACAATGGAAACGGTACCTTCTTTGACCATTGTTCGCGTAGAGAAGTGATGGATCCATTTGTTTTCTATACCAAGGACATTCTTGCCTGCCACGAAAGATACTTGTGTCCGATTCGCGATAATATGCATGCTCCAGTGGAGATCGTTTATGGTATCCCAACCTGGGAACGAATGAAACTTTTAGTTCAAGATAAGCTCCAAGCCCTTGATCTGTGGGGTAACTACGAAGGGAGCACGATATACCTGGAATGGGAAAATGTCCAGGAGAATCTTAGCGAAACTTCGCGTCGTTTAGGAAGATTTCTAATATTTGCGTCCCATTTACAGAATATGATGAGGGCATGGTCAAAGAGCTATACTGCTGGTCAACATAGTTTGCTCGAAATCGGATATCGACTGGCTGGTGTTGGTTTCATTGAACGTTTCTATTAAAACGAGGTTTGGCGCAAGCAGGTTAAATTCTTGCCCTACGCTCAATCCAGCGTTAACGAGCCATCTGAATTGAGTCGATAGAAGCCCTTCAGAAAGTGCGTAGTCAGAGACTGGATCACGAAGACTCGGCGACAAAAGCAGAGGTAGGAAAACTGTTGCGGAACTCAGTTTCTGCGTGAGAGAAAGAGAGAAGGGAGAGTACAGAAGCATTTCGCTCTGATGGATCTACTGAGAATGTGCATAGCGGGCCAATGCATTCGTCTCCGACAAAAAAGATCATCCTCGTTCCTAGATGGAGCAAGTGTACTAGTACCTTCTCACAATCCCTAAAAGATGAGAAGGATGTTAGCAATCTACCACTTGAGGTCGAGTGCACATGTATCGTATGCCTAGACACCTCGAAATATGGAAAAAACAATTGCACTATCGTCATCGATCAGTCACCACGATGGACCAAAAAACAACGCCGCCGTAATATGTCGAGAGACGCCTACAACATAAGAAGCAACAGATCTGGAAAACCCAGGCTGTTTTTGCCATTCAATGCAGATTTGGAGTCGTGGCCTCATGTGACCACTCAGACGATTTACAGGTATTATTACCACGGCCTTTCAGAGGGCGATCAGCTTCTGACGTTACAGAAACCACCCTCTCTGCAGCGCGAAACCTGAGATGGCGGGTTCTCATCGGCCGAATAAATTAGAAGGAACAGAATTCACCATTATCGCGACCGGGACTCAAAAGTGGACCCTGTGGATCAAGGGGTCACTCATGGGCGGTACTTTATGCTTCCTCACGGTATTACGTAGCCCATGAATCAGAGAGCATGCAACATGAATCCGCTAGCGTGTAATCTTGTAATGAAAAACTTACGGGAGACGAGGTAGATCCGCGATGGGCTGCAGGATTTACAGTGGCATTCGCGTCGCTAAGGTACTCGTACGGAGGAAAAAGAGATACGGTGAGTGATAAGAAACGTGTATTTTAGGTCCAAAAATTGGGTTGTCAATATAATAACCTGGGACGGATTCTTCTCCGCTTGGACTTCCTCTTTGAGATAATCATCATACTGCTTCGCCGTTGAGGTGTGTCTGGTAGAGTATCGCGAGACCTGGGGACATTTGCTCGCTTCTACATTTACAATATAGGTACCGGAGGTTACAAAGCAATCGGTTGGGTAAGCCGCGAAGATGGAAGTATTGGTACTCGGACTCTGTCGGACTGGAACCACTTGTGCGTACCTGAGCGCTATCGAGGCAGGACTTACTGACTGGGTGATGTAGCTATGACGATAGCACTACGAGAATTGGGATACGGAGAGGTGTACCACATGAGATCCGCTTATGCCAGCGAAAGGGATGTTGAGCTATGGATACAAGCCTTGGAAGCGAAGTACGAAGGCAAAGGGTCCCCTTTCGGCAGGGAGCAATGGGACTCAATCCTCGGTCATTGCAAGGTATTGTCACCCACGTGTGAGTCTGTTGACGGTAAATAACTAAAGCCCAGGCTATCACCGACATCCCTGGTGCGTTCTTTGCCACAGAGCTGGTGGAGGCGTATCCCGAGGCCAAAGTCATCCTGACTACACGAACGCCGGAAAGCTGGCACGCGTCGATGATGCAGATTACCTGGGCAGTCTAACAAGACCGAGTGCGATGGATCGCTGCCAAGTTGGACGGTCCAACTTCACGACGCCGCCGCATGAGCGACTTGTTTTTCCAGCATTTCTTCGGTCACGATTTTCCCCGTACTGGTAAAGAGGTCTTCATTGAGCACAGTGTTGCTGTCCGGCGTCTTGTACCGGCCGAGCATTTGCTGGAACATCGGGCAACGGACGGCTGGGAGCCTTTATGCAAATTCCTTGGTAAAGCTGTTCCGCAAGACAAGGCGTACCCTAACACAAACGATGTTAAGTCCTTCCGTTCGAGGTTCCAAGCGATGAACAAAGGAATTTTCATCCAAGTCCTGACGTCGTTGGCCACGAAGGCGGTACCGATCGTAGCCATCACTAGCATATTGTGCTGGATGTTCTGGGCAAGTATTTAGTATTTTTTGGGTCTTTGAGTGGATATTCTGGTCTATGTATGTTGTACTGAGGAACCATATAGTCTCAACTCATCTGTCCAGGAACTGCAGATACCTGGGTCACCTGAACGAGATCAGCTGAATAGCTTGGTTTGCCTGAGGATTTTGTTCAGGAATCCTATAGAGGTCTTCTTCCAATGACTGTGACTCTGTCTTGGTTAATGGCAACACCTTTCCGACACTCCAGGTCCGCTTTGATGAGGCTCTCGCGGAGAGCTTGTCCTTTGCCATCACCTAGACGGTCCAAAGCACGATAGCTCATCTCCTCAAGTGCCAACAGAATGACATCATTGTGTAGCAGTAGATGCGTGAGATCTGTTCCTTTCCGGTGTTCGAAGACATCTATCAATCCACCTTCGCGAAACGTCCTGGGCAGATCGGCAACCCACCTATAAGTGTTATCTTTATAACCTCAGATGTTTTCGCACAGCACATGGTATTCTCACTTTGGATGCATTCTAGTATCATTCTGTCCAGTAGGTGCGTCGATTGCGGCGGTGAGGTTTGCGGAAGAGTTGGAGGATTGGGCATGAACAATACTGGCAACGATTTGTCAGGACATACACTTTCGCGACGGTGTTTGACAGTTTCTGGTACATACTACCTTGAAGCCAGATCGTATTCGGCCCATTGGATGTAGCCTCCAGGCTCTATCAACGTCGCTGTCCATAAGCGAAATATTCTCCAATAGGTTCATGATTCACCAATCGAAGGGAAAAAGGTAGAAATTGTACGCACTGAGCATTTGAATGAACGTCTTCAAGAGCGGCATCGGGTCATTGTTTTGGACAATTAAGAGAAAAAGGCGGATGTGGAGGATGTCGTATTTCCCGATAAGGTGTTCGGGAAGGTCGGCAAATGCATCGAAATCATATATGTTGACATTATCAGGAAGCCATTCCTTGGGTGGGCATTGAGAAAGGTTGTTGTCGAAACCGTCCAGTTGGGCGGAAGATGCCAACGTTCGAGCCATCTCAAGCAGCCAGATCCTGGTATCCGGACGTTATCGTCAGTCCTGAATACTCTTTCTATGGCGTGGAACCATCAAACAGGTGGGACGCAGACCCTGTGCCAGTGCCAATATCGGCGATCTTCAATTCCGAACTCGATGTTGGAATACTTGGGTGCAGATTGTACCCCATTTGATCTTTCCAAAAGAAATGTTGTAGATTCAGCCTACATGCCATGGTCAGGGCCCAGCTTCTGACACAAGGTCAGAGCGAACTCACCTCGCAGTTCCTTGGTAGCCGGTACCTAGCATGTAATTACGAGCATACTGCTCGGAGCTGCTGCCTGCCATTATGGCAATGAGAGAAAGCAAAATCAATGCTTAAAGACAGTCTGAAGTCGAAGGACAGCTGCGAGGTACGGTCGAGTGGAACACTAGTATGCTTCAAAGTGTGGCATTCTAGACTGTTTAGTATTTCCGCACTAATGGTATTTTATTGAAATCTGAGACTAGCTCCGGAAAGGATTCCTGCTGCAGCGGACCAACGGCCGTAGAGTATTTTACCTGTAGCCTAACAGCCGCTTTGGTCTTACCGCCGCGTACCAAACCCGTGGGCGCACCAGCGTTGATGAAGCTACTCTACTGAGTCTCGCCCAGCTCTCGGAGACTTCAATCTACGGACACATGCAAAGATCTAAGGCCGCAGTTGCTATGTAAGCATGCAATTCTGCAGAAGGCCGATCCGCATTCAAGCGTGTGAGGGATTTTCTTGGATGCAGGTCGAAGTGGGTTTCCGCTACCTATCGAATTTGACCTGTTTGATTGGGTTATGCTTTAGGTAGCTAATGGGATATGGCAACCTAGCGCCCCTGACTATGACCTGGACCTGTTGCCACTAAGGATGCTGAGGAGTCATCCTTATCAATGGCTGCACATGAGTCTGTTGTTCTTTCATACACTGTCCTAGTCAGCCTTCCAAATGTTTTTGACAACACTCTTTGGCCTGTGGCCCACCAAAATTTTATCAGCATTAAGCTGGCCTATCAGCAATCTATCATCGACCTCCATTGCGCGCTACATTGGTGGAGCAGCTGGGTTTTTCGCGCTCAAAGTCCGTCCTCAAGATGCTGCTCCGCTTTTGTGGCCGCGTTCCTACCGTTGGGAGGCTGACGACTCCAGTTTGTCTGCAAATGCGTCTACCGTATTACATGGCACCCACTAGTGAAATATCCTGGGCCTTTCTTGGCGAGTGTTACAGATCTTTATGCTGCTTATCACGGCTTCCTTGGGGACATACATCTGGACATATGGCAGTGCCATGAAAAGTATGGTGAGTCGGACCAGTCTATGTTGGTGTCCTATTGCCCGCTAACAACCTCGTCTTTGATAGGTCCCTTCGTCCGCTACGGTCCCAACCGTCTGCTCGTGAACTCGAGCAACGGCTTGCATGGTATGCAGCAAGAAGAACCTGCGAGCAGAATCATTACTGACTTGTTAGATATTTATGGTCATGGTCAGAATTTCCAGAAATCAAAAGCATACTTACCCATGGTACCTGAGGAAGGTGGTTGGTGTACTTTGACCTGTATCGACAAGTCTATGCATCGCTACAAGCGTCGATTAATCACTCAGGGGCTTTCAGACGATGCCTTGAAGGCCTTTGAGCCTTCTTTGCTAGCGCATATCGACATCTTCTGTCACAAACTTGGTGAAGGCGGTCTCAGGCGTAACGGCCAATGGACAGAGCCTCGAAACATGAACGACTACGGTATGCCCTGCTGTCCTGCTTTTAGGACGTCAATTTCTGATGAGAGTATTTCAGACAAATGGCTCACACTTGACGTCATGGGTGAATTCGGGTTTGGGGAAAGGATGGGATTATTGGAAAGTTCGAAACACCGTTTCATCATCGATGTGATGCATTTCTACAGTTGGGTCATGGGGTTCTATGAACAATTTCCGGGAATTGCAAAACTCCGCTTAGAATATGTCTTGCTCTTCGGGCGGCGATTACTACGCTTGAATACGGCAGCGCAAGATCAGTGGGAGGACTGGAAAGATCGATTCGCTGCTTCTGTCCTTCAAGAGGATCAATCGCAACAGAAAGGTCTTTTCTCGACCGTTCTCAAACTCAGGAATAATTTCTCGCTGTCCGAGCTGTGGGCTGAAGGCTCCTTCTTAATGTTGGCTGGTAAGTGTTCAAAGCTAGGAATGTGCTCGAAGATTGGGCTCATGGTTGACACACAGGCTCGGATACTTCTGCCACGACGCTGTCTGGTCTGTTCTTTTACCTGGCGCACAATCCAGACGTTCACCAAACATTAGAAAAAGAAATCAGGTCTAGCTTTGCCGAATCAGACGCTATCATTTCAGGTCCGCAGCTTTCCTCATGCGTCTATCTCCATGCTTGCATTAATGAGACCCTGCGGATGTCCCCATCGACACCCGGAGCTCCTTGGCGGGAGGCTCAAGCAGGCGGCGCTGTTGTGGACGGAAATTCTGTTCCTGCGGGTTGCGATGTTGGAACATGCATTTACGCACTACATCATCGCGAAGAGTATTTCCCGCAATCTTACGCTTTCGTGCCCGAAAGGTGGCTCTCCGGAGCTTTGGTGTCATCTGAACAGCTTAAAGCGGCACACAAGGCATTCAATCCTTTCTCGCTCGGTCCAAGAGGGTGCCCTGGTCGATCACTGGCGTTACTGCAGATTAGCCTGACGCTGGCGCGTGTCCTTTTTGACTTTGACTTCCGTCTTGCCGAGGGGGAGCTCGCCCATGTTGGGGAGGGCACTCCTGGTGTCATTAATGGCCGACACAGAGTAAGCGAATTTCAGCTCAGCGCTCATGTGACTGCCTCAAGCAAGGGTCCACAGCTTCAGTTTCGTGCGAGAAACATTGAAGGGTTTAAGCGCTGATTGAGAGGATTGTGAGCTTCAAGTTTTATGAGGTATGGGATTAGACATCAGGGGCACTACAAGCATCCTTAGACTTGAAAGATTACAAGATCTGGTTCCGTAGTTCGTGAACCCTGCGACCACTTTTACGCAAGACCAGCATCCCCTGAAATGGGTAGAAAATACACGAATAGAGTAATCAACTAAGTTGACCAATTTGATACAACCAGGCCTACTCTACTCAAGGAGGTTTATTGTGAAATTCTCAAGGAAAGGTTTGGAGACCGGAACTTATATGATGCAAAAGTTGGACTGCTTCACCGGGCGCACCAGGATGAACGGCATAGTCCAGTCAATTGGAAGCCAAGCCCCGCACTTTAGATTACAATACTGTGCGATTTTAACAGGCGTAACATATAATGGATCTGGCTTGGTCATCTTACGGATACAATCTCCATGTGAACGGCACTTACTCTGCTTCCTTCATCACCTCACTAACTATTAACAATCGCATATCAACATGTCTTTATCCACCGTTCAGAAATTGATGCTAATCTCGCAAAAAATGCGCGATGCAAACGCGCAACGCTCTTCGAACTCAACACTGTCATTTCTGCAGAAACAAAGCCGCCATGATGCTGGATTGGATGGCTCGGCATGGGTCAGCAGGGTTTCATTTTTGCCGCCGAAGGAAACGCATGTCCGCGAGGCTCTGTTTGAGGCTATCAAGGCACTTTCAGATGACAGCCTTCCTGATCTCAAAAGACCCGACGTCTCGGCCGTGGAGGCAGAATGGATAGGTGGTCGAAAGTATGATGATACGAATGTTGTTTCCGAACAGGATAAATACACAGCTATGATGAGAGATGTGCAGACGCCGACCACCATACTATACGCTCGTGGAGGGGCTTTCTAGTTCGTACCCCTATCTTGCCCCCTCGGCTCCATCCTTGGGATTGTTGCTTCCCTCTACCAACCTGTTTAGCATCTTTCTAATCTGTCTTCAGTCTCTTCGGTCCCTCTAGGCCTCGTCCCACTGCTTTCCGACTCGCCGAACTGACAAAGGGTCGATGCATCACGATCGATTACCGTCTAGCTCCGCAAAATCCCTTTCCAGCCGCTCTGCTTGATCTTTCCCTCAGTTATCTCTCGTTGTTATACCCCCCTGTTGGATCTTTCCATGAGGCGGTACCTGCATCGGCTGTGGTGTTAGCTGGCGAGAGCGCCGGTGTGGCCCTTTGCTTGTCCCTCATTCAGACCATCATGGTGTTGCGAAAACTGCAGTCTAGGGACAATCCTATAGTCCAATTTCATGGCCGAAATGTGGAAATTCCAATGCCTGCTGGTGTTACAGGTGTCAGCGGTGGGATGGATCAGGCTCTGGCGGTACCTTCATATGCGGAAAATGCCAAGTTCGATTGGCTAGCGGACGAGCTGCCTTGCACGAGGCCTGGGTACCCGACCTGTGAAATATGGCCGTCCGTTCCTCCGCGTGCCCACGTCTACTGTGATGCTGCCCTAATGCATCATCCTTTGGTGAGCCCTGCTACAGCTGAGAACTGGGTCGGTTCTCCACCTATGTGGCTAGTCTCTGGACAAGAGAGACTCACAGATTCCGTCAAGGTGATCGCAAAGACAGCATGTGAGCAGAAAGTCTGCGTGTGGTGGGAACAGTATGAAGGGATGCCCCATACGTGGCCAATGATTTTGAGAGATTTGCCCCAAACAGCCGTGTGCTTCCAGCACTGGGCCAGAGCTTGCCATGATTTCGTGACTCGAGATCACCGAACACTGAGCTCTCATGGCATCTTTGTCACGGCAGAAGATCTGGAAACCAGAGACGTGAGTGTGGAGGACTTGACCCAGCTCACAGCCGAGGAGGTACGGTCTCTGATCAAAAGGAAAGCGACGGATATGAGGATATGGACTGGAAAAGATGTTAAAGCAAACATTTGATACCGAGCGCCCCGGATCTCAGAGGCTACCACGTTAGGAACAATTTAGAGCCTAATGCGCATGGTTTACCACCAATGACCCCATACCTTCTCTTCAACATATCGACACAGTCGAACATCGTGGAGTATCGAAAGCAGCTTTAACATACTGTATACCTAGCCGGAAAAATACACGGTAATTAGACGCAGGAAAATAACGATCGCTCTATTAGGCGTTGAATCAGCCCTTCTTTTTCACAACAGTAACGTAGTTCTACTCAATCAGATCTCGGGAAGCGGGGTCACCATACCCGGGGTTATGTCCGTATTACTCATTAGTGGCACAGCTTGCAACAACGGTGTAGAAGAGTGGGTGTTATGTCCGCTCATGAGTATGTCCGGATTACTGCATTAGTAGCACAGCTTGTGTAGAAGAGTGGGTCTGATGCCGCAAAAGCTAGTGTTTCCTTCTCTTTCGACATGCATAATACCGAATAAGTATTTTCGAATCCTTAGCAATGCTTCCACACCCGCGGACTTGCCGACCCAAGGGCGCCTTGAGAATCTAAAAGACTAAGACTCACGCCCTTGCTGACCATACCATCCCCAACTACGGTCTTCCCACTGGCGATGACGCCTTCAGCCGCCCCCCCCCCCCACTTTCAGCTCCGCGTGTGGACCTCGTCGATCCCAACAAAGTGACTGAGGTGCCACGGGCGGCAAGTAGATCAGAGGTCGAGAACAGACCGAGGAGAGCTCACGGCTCGGCCGAACCGGGATGCTGGGTCGTTTACCAAGACCGGAGCGTATAGGAGCGAGGTAACCTTTGCCCCAGTGGTAGGAGTAATCTTGTTGCCATGATTTTAGGTTAAGGCAACTACACGAGTCAGGTTGGGTGTGGCTACCTTAGTTGTCGCGGAAAAGCGTGCCTTGTCGCTAACCGTAGCGCCAGAAGAGCGTCGGGACCCTTACCTGAATGGCAAGAATCCTCTAAAGCACACTAGATCCGTAACACCAGTAGGCGTGGGAAGATGAGAAGGCTTTACCTTTTCATATGAGGTGCTGTCCATGATTAATAACACCAATTCTCAACACTACGGCCGCTACCCGCATCTTGTGAATCTCAATGGAAGAAGCAACACCAACCCCTCTTCCTCCCGACACCAGCAATGCAAATGCGTTGCTGGTCGTTCTCTGGATTACCCTGGGACCAGCCCTGATCCTCGTGTGCTTGCGAATGTACACCAAAGTTCACCTTCAACGTCACGTCCATTTGGATGACTATATGATTTGCCTGGCGCTGGTACAACTTTCGATTCACTGCTGTGTTTGCGCCAGATGCGGTACTTAGAGAAAAGAAACTGACACCATCAAGGCTGTGTCCGTATATGCAGCCGCTTTGAATCATCTTCAGGTGAAGAATGGTTTCGGGAGGCATATCTACTACCTCACAAATGATCAAATATCGCAAGTCATCAAATGGTCGACATTGGTGGAGATCGCAAACGAAATTGCAGTGTTCTGTGCCAAGACATCAATATGTCTATTCATTTTGAGGATGTTATCAATTACCCATAGAATTGTCAGATCCTTCGTATGGGCTACCATAGCTATATTCTTTGTCATTACTGCCGTTGCAGTGATCACACTTGGTGTGCAATGCACACCGTTCGAGGGAGTCTGGAACAAGAGCTTGCACCCAAAATGCATATCGAGCGAAGTTGTCACTCAGATTACCAGAGCCTACGGCGGTAGGGTTACCAGTCTTCCAGTGTCAACGTCTGCTAACAGTGATTCGAAGTACTGAGTGTGATTACCGACTTCATGACTGCCAGCCTACCCATTTTCATCTTGCGAAGCCTGCAGATGAGCCTGCGCACCAAGCTTGGATTGTGTATCATCATGGGTCTTGGCTTCTTGTGGGACTCCAGCGCTTTTGGTGTCTGGAAAGTCACACGCGGCTCACTGTTTACTAGTACCGCAGCCACCTCCATTGGCAAAACGGTCACCACCAACTTCGTGACTGAAGATATTACATGTATGTGGTTCTTGATTTCCTGTGACGAGACGGAAATCTTACAAGACACCTTCAGATGACCTCGTCGCTGTTGAGATATGGTCTATGTGAGTTTAAAATGTGAGCTGAACGGCTGATCTGCTAATCTTAGTATTACTAGCCTCGAAGATCAAGTAGGAATCATCGTTGCCTCAACTCCTGCTTTGCGGCAGCTCTTTATCTGGAGCCGACAGTCAATCTCGGCACGCCGCACGAAAACTTATACGCAAGATCGTACCTTCGACCGCACCACGATATCAGAACCAAGCGCCGTTCAAGGCAAGAGCGGCATAAGCAAAGAAAATCTTATTCCTTTGGGAACCCTCCCAGTGCGGAAGACCACTGAGCTCGAAGTCAATTTCTCGAACAAGACTGAGAGTGATGATCTCGAGCGCGGAATTGGCTGGGACTGACTCTACAGCGAGCGATGCAGATGGGCCATGCTAGAGAGAATAAAAATACTACTTCGGGACTCGAGAATCATGGATGAATTGTTACGCTTGTTGCGCTTACCGTGGTCTTTTGCCAGGACGGCGGTACGAGCAGTCAAGGATCATGGCCAATGAATGTCAGGCGTATGCGCATGGACATACCCTCAGATTGAATCATCCTTCATAGAACGTCCTCTCCTTTATAGCATTTTGACGCAAATTGAGTAGGTCGTACCTGTTACATTATGTAGCCCAAGGGAGCGATGAGAGTCTTACACTACGACCAATCTCCTGTCTAACGGCCGTCAGGATAGGAGTAGGAGTCGTGGGAAATACAACCGTATCTGTCTCGAATGACGGCCTCGTAGTCTTCGTAAGTATCGGCGGTGATTCTATAATTGGAGAAGTAAGCGAGGACCCCAAAAATCGGCCAATTGATGACGATCCAACGGAATGGAAGCGAATTGCTAGCCGATTGTTATATCGCTCATGTGTCATTGTGCATAGAGCTCAGGGCTGCAGCAGCATTCCCTTTCAACCCCACTAGAGCCGAAAGTTACAATCCTGATAGTTCCCCCCTTTCCATCATCGAGAGGAAGAGATCTGAGCAGGGCGTCCCATTTACCAACCACTCACTCAATCAAACCATATACTAGTTGGGACCGATCGACCGGAAGTCGTATTGCAAGAAGCACCGCAGTCCGGTGATTGAGGTCGCCCGCGATCGGGGTTCGGCTGGTGGCATACGTTGACTTCGCGGATTTCGGAAACGCGAAAGCTGTACCTTCGATCCAGGAGCCGTCAAACCATATGTTCTAGTCACTCCCCTCTGTCCCGGGTGGTTGAGCGAAGTTTCGGACGAAACCGACCGCTTCCCCATACTGCGCACCGGCAATGGTTGTTTCCTTAACTACTCCAGTAGCATCTCAAGACATTTGAACCCTTTACGAGATGTGTGAAGAACATCATGCGACGAGGTTTGAGGACAAGATGACTGTCGCGGAAGATCCAGAGCCACAAATCGAAGTCAGAACTTATAGAAAAGATGGCATTGTTCTTATCCCTAAGCCAAGTGACGACCCAAAAGATCCACTGGTACGTTGCAGAACTCCCAATAGAGCGGGACAACTGCAGCCAAGGTCCAGAGTTCAATTAACTGATAATACAATGTTGCGATCTCTGTAGAATTGGGCTCCTAAGAGAAAGTACGCGACGTTGTTCGTACTGTGCTTTGCTGCCTTTGCCGGTGCGGCAACGCCAACAGCGCACCAAACGGGATACGTGGTCATTTCGTATACTTACCACAAAACCCCTACTCAGCTCTCATACTCGATATCTGCTGCTGTCGCCGGCCTCCTCGCCGGCCCTTTGATCCTTCTCCCGTTCGCACGCGTGATCGGACGCACTTCATCCATCTTCTGGAGCTTGTTAGGGGCAATCGCCACCCAAATATGGGCCGCAAAGATGACCAGTCCCAACGATTACATTTCTTTCGTCGTATCGCGACTTTTCGGTGGTATGTTCGGCTCAGTGGCTACCATCCTTGGCTCTGGGTACATAATGGATATATTCTTCTTGCACCAACGTGGAAAGTAAGCCCTCACACACCAATACTTAGGCTCTTCATCGCACATGAAAACGTCGCTGACTTCATACTGAAGAGCATTCGCTTGTTACGAACTAAGTCTGCTTTTGGGTGTAATTGCGAGCCCAACCATTGGGGGCTTCATTGTAAATTCGAAGCCTTGGCCGGATATCTTTTGGTGGACACTTGCTCCGTTGGGAGTAGCAGTCATCTTGGTCTTCTGTTTTGTAGAAGAGACAGGGTTTGCGCGAGGGAAAGACAAGACCCCTTACCCCTTGGTCCCGGTGCATTTTCTGGCCAATAGAGCTCGGACTCTTTTCCCCGGAACTTCCGTAGTACCCAAGATCAATATGGCAGCTTTGGTGCGTTTTCACATATTGCAGAAAATGGGCTTAGAGTCTACACTAACGTATGGTCAGCTTAAATTCGCAGTTCTGCCTCTCGCCATTGGTGTGGCTCCAGCAACAACTCTGGCAGGCCTATACACGCTCATCACCTTTGCTTGGAGTATCCTCATTTCTACGGAACTTACAATATTCCTTGAAACACCGGTGAGTGAAGGAGGTTATGGCTCACGCCGCTCCAAAACGCGGCCTGTGAGTTGACCTAGTGATCCCTGTATATCTTCACGGATAGCAAGACGCTGTCAAGAAGGTATACGCTTATGTTGCTCTTCAATCTAGTTACCTTCACTATCTGGGTAGCGTTGTTTGCTGCTCAGGTCTCGGCGACGCTCTTCAATGACAGGCTCCCTCTTTGGGCTTCCCGACGCATCGGACGCAACAAATGGCGTCCAGAATACCGCCTCTACAGCATGTTTCTCCCCGCAATGATTTCCCCAATCGGGCTCGGAATATTTGGGGCTGGACTGCAGTATCATTTGCACTACATGGTACTAGCTCTGGGCACCTTTATGGTCAACTTCTCCGCTCTGCTGTGCGTTCCTGTATGCATCAACTACGTTGTTGAGTGCTTTGTTGGACATCCAGTCGAGGTGTCTGTGGTCATGAACGTATATCGGCTCGCACTGGGGCTTTCTATTCCTTTCTTCTTCGAACAATGGGTCGAAGCTGTTGGTGTTGGCTGGGTCTTTGGCATGGCGGCGTTTTTCTCGTTGTTTGCTATGATCCTTATGTTTGTGCTGAGCTGAAAAGGGAAGACATTGCGCGGACTAGTCCTCCTGCAAGAAATTGTGGAGACTGAGGAAGGGGAAGACATCGTCAATTAGGATCTTGAACCGGCTTGGCAGGAAAGGACTGAGTTTCTAAGAGCAAGATGTTTATTAGGTCACGCTAGTGTTCTATTGAAATCGATTGATCCCTCTATTTCGCGCCAAGATCATACAGCAGTTCAGCCCTACCGTCAATACTTCATTCCTAAAAAATAAAAATATAAATAAAAAAAAAAATTCGCGCCAAGATCATACAGCAGTTCAGCCCTACCGTCAATACTTGCCTTGTATTTACGCGGTACCTCGGTGCGAAGGTTTATCTTCCCTCGTTGGCTTGGCGTACATGAAGCTCAACGTTTGTCTCCAGCCTCCTCGAGAGCTGGAGCTTTGCGTTGTCTGAAGGTGTCCACTATTTTACATCGGCCCCCAGAATTACAGACAGACTGCCTGTGCTTCTCCAAGCTAATTGAGCTCATAGCGAATAGCGATACTCTTCCCTAGCGTTCGCTGCAGTTGTTCGTGCGGAGCTTGTGCAACAGTCATGGAGGGTAGAAGGAGTTGGACTGGACGAGGCAATTGGGTCTCAATGCTCTTCTGTATATATATGGCGCTGTCGTTGGGAGGGTTTGTCTCTGCAGCTTCGCTCAATCAGCGGCAGGCTGGTATGTACCCACTGACCAGACTGTCGTTGCTTCAATTACATGTTTAATGCTAACAAACCGCTTCGCAGATGACTTCTCAGCGGAGAATCCCGACGACTCAGACACTTCTGGCCTGCCAACAGGTGTTGCAGCTAGTGCGCCAGTGCCAATTGCGAATACGACCGCAGCTTCGAATGGAACTGTGAAGGCTTCGTCCCTCTCTTCTGCTGCTGCGGTAGCCACCACCGCGTCCAGTCCTCTCAACAGCACGAATGATCCGAACATGTGCCATAGGACATACACAACGGACCCAGAAGGTGCCACGGATATCGCTAATCCCTTTTGCAAGCCAGGTGATGGACAAGAGGTATACCCAAATATCCCGTATCAAGGTAGGTCTCAGCTTGAATGTCCTGTGGAGAGCACATGCTAACACCTCGCAGTGACTTGGGACCCCTCCCTCTTCGAAGACGGCGCAAATAATACAGTACAAGTCTACAACGTCGACGCCACCGGCCTCAACTCTCCGGCCACCGCAGACATACTCGCATCGGGCAACGCCACCAACTTTGAGGGTTCCGTCTTCCTCAACATGTCTTCCGTTTGGCTCAACGGCCAACCAACGGCCAATCTCACCCTCTCCCTCATAGTCGACAAGGGAGACAACGATCCCAAAGTCTTTGGCGGCCCCATCTTCACCCTGCTTTCCACCTCCGATTCCGACTCTACGCACTCCGCGCCGTCGTCCGCCTCTTCGAGCAGCAACAAGCTCGGCGAAAAAGTCGGCCTGCCCGTCGGCCTCGTCTTCCTCATCGTTGCTGCCATCGCGGTGGCGCTGTTTGTCTGCTTCCGCAAGCGGAGAGGCCAGGGTTATGGCACGGGGAAATCGCTTCGTCAAAGAGTCGGTAGTGGTACCGCCAGGGGACATAGAAGGGACGCGAGCTTCCATGACGAACCCACCAGGGGAGTGGAGTTGAAGGATAGGAATAAAGGGCTTACCGGGGAATCGCCAGAGGACAATTGGGACTGGGGAAGCCCCGTCAGCAGTCCGTCGAATGCCGGTGGTGCGGGCAACGCGTTTCGGGATGAGATTCAGAGGCAGAGGAGTGGGCGGTGAGGCGGGGCGGGATCCGGTTCGAATCTGAACGGATGAGTGCGGAAAGAAAGGGATGATGTGCGATTTAGACGGATGAGTGCTTATACCTTGACGTATATAACGACTCTTTTCTTGTCATCAGTTGCGCGAGTATGTAACTGCCTTTGAGCCTTACGAATATATTGACATGAATTCTATTTCGATCTGGTTGTGTGATCTATCCTTTGCTGTTGGCAGCGGTGCTAAATGTCATTGTGACTACCTCGGGGAATGCATCGACTGTGGATGTAATCTTTCATGCCATCTCAAAAACGCGTGGCATTCCCCCTTGATATTTTCCTCCGATTTAAGTTTTTCACCTCCCATACCGAGTCTTCATCACTCCATCTCAATCCACGAACTTGACCCCCTTTCCCCCGCTAACATCAATCGCTCCGCCCCTGTAACTCCCCCTCTTCTTCTTATTCTTCTCCTTCGTAAAGCCCTTTCCCTTCGTCACACTCAGATCCTGATGTGCCCTATCCGCATAGTCGTAAGAGCGGTACGCATTCGAAGCCATCTTAGGGTCAACGGGGGTGTCTTGAGGAACGCGCTGGAAGGGCGTGTTCTGCTTCTTCGTGAACTTGGAGGCTTTAGGCGTGGGAGAGGATGAGCGCTTGCGTTTTGTGCTGGTAGTCGTAGTGGTGACGGTGGTAACAGCCTGTTGGTCGGCTGAGGTCAGGGATTCGGAAGAAGAGGTCGATGACAGGCTCGTGTTGGCTGCGGAGGGTTTTTGCGCCGAGCTTGCCTGGAGAGTTACGCTGGAGTCACTGGATACTTGGGTAGGCTTGGCGGTCACGACTTTGGTTGTTTTGGTGACTGTTGGTTTCGGAGGCTTGGAGAAATCGACTTCTGAAGACTCGCCATCTGATGAGATTGACTCCGAAGAGGATGAGGATGAGGATGCTTCTGCCTTCGTGGTAGTTGTCGTGGTCAGTGTTGATTTGGGAGCCCCATTATCAAACTCGCTGTCCGATGATGAGCTATCTGAGGAAGGTCCTGACTCCGCTTTGGCGATCGCTGTGGTAGCTGCGGCAGGTTTGGCAGGTTTGGCAGGTTTGGCAGCAGACCCGCTGTCTGATGACGAGGTATCCGAAGAAGAGGAGGACTCGGCAGATGGTTCGGAAATTGGGACGCTATTTTGAGGCTGCGGGATGACATTGAAGATAGAGCTGGATGCGTCTTTTTTCCCTGATACTGCCTGGAGACCTGCAGAGGAAGAAGTGTCGGAGTCTGATTTTGATTCGGAGCTTGAAGAGATACCGGGGCTTGCTTTGCGCTTGAGGCTGTTCACTAATCCGTTGACTGTCGGCTTGGGTGAAGCTGTATGTAGAACTAGCTGTGCGCCAGCATTTTCTTTCTCGTCGTCGGCATCGCTGTCCGAACTTGAGTGTGATGTAGATATCGATGATGACTTTATCTTCGACAATTCGCTAGACTTCTTGGTGGGCTTCTGAGCTGGAGTCGCATCCTTCATCTCTACATCCTCGTCACTGCTCCCACTACCACTGCTACTCGTGATGTCTTTGGCAATGACCTTGGCCGCTGCAGCTTCACTGGCCTTGGCTTCCGCTTTCACTTCCTTTTTTGCCTTTTTGGCCTTTTTCGACTTCTTGACTGCCTTGGGGTCGTCGCTATCGTCACTATCGCTGCTACTGGTCTCTTCCACTTGTAGCTTTTCCTGGTAACCCTTGTACCATTCTTTGAAGATCTTGACCAGGTCTGGGAACCCTTTCGGCAGCTTGGCCCCTAGCTCAATCTTCCATGCATCTAGCTTCTTCCTTGATTGTAATTGAGTGGTGTAAAGGCGCGAAGTGTGGTGGAAACCGTAAGAACTTAGAAATGCCCCCACAAGGCTGAGCAGTAGATCCGGAGGTGGAGCCTTCATTGGTGCGTTGACTGATGCGTACTGCAAGAATCTGATAGCCTGGTCTCTTTCCTTCTCATCTTTGCTTCTGTGGGCCTCTGACTTTGGCTTCGGATTTATGACTGGATTCTCTTCATCTGGAGGAAACATCCATTCTGGTTGTAGTTTGTCTGGTGCATTCTTCTTTTTCTTCTTTCGAGGAGGCTCTGAGCCTTGTGCGGGCAGCTCGAACTCTGGCTTGATCTCCACAGACGGTTTCTTTGATTTGGTTGGCATTTCGATTGTTGAAGGAGTCGTGCATTGTGATAAATTGGTGATTGCGGAGCCCAAAGAAAATAGAAATCGTGACAAGCCGGCTCGTGCGCGGGTAGACCCGCTAGCGTGGGCGGTGTTAGCGTATAATGGACTGTCTCGCCCTGAGATGGAAGGAACCACCTTCCAAAGATCGAGTACTTGACTTGGCAACGCCTCGTCCTCAGCACAAGCCTTTGCCTTCCGAAAATCTGCCTATGTGTGGCATGCGATTCAACCAAAGCCGTCCAAATGAGCCCCGCGCGGCGAGCATCTGCCCTCGATGAATGTCAGTACTGCCGGGCAACGCCCGCGCGGTCCTCCGAATGGGCTAGGCCCTGGTGGGAGACCAGTCCAAGATCATCGCAATGGCAGTAACATCAGTGCAATGAGTTCGGCCTCCGCGAATGATTCTCGGAATCGTTCAGGCTCAGAGATGAGCCGGGCGGAAACATTCGAGGACGAGAAGAAACGCATTATCGAGAGCTCTTTCGCCAAGAAGGAGGCAGATGGATCGGGTCAGCCGTTCAACGTGTGGCCGAAGTGTTTCGTGAACTGACAACGTCATAGCATCCGAGTCATACATAACGCACATTCGTATTGTGGAAGATGCAGCATACCCGTCCAGCCCCCCGCCTCTTGAATCTCCACCGGACAACAAAAAAGCACGAGTGATCATTGTCGCCGTAAAGAGATCGGGACGCGTGCGAATGCACAAGGCGAGGGAGAACGCCAATGGAACCTTCTCGATTGGAAAGACTTGGGTATTGGACGACTTGGAAGTGATCGAGTCCTTTACCAATGCAGTCCCGCAGACTGCTGAGCAGCAGCAGAACAAATCTAGGGCAGGGCCGACTGGGTTCATCGTGACTGTACAGAAGCCATACTATTGGAAAGCAAATACTGCGAAGGAGAAAGACTTCTTCATCTTCAGCCTCATCAAGATATATAGGAAGTATACCGGGGGAAAGCTACCGCAGCTCATTGGCTTCAGTTCGCAGGAACTTGATCAATTAAGTGGAACTTCGGGACCGCAGAATGGTGCACCAACGGCAGCGCGGCCCAATGCACCCGCAGGAGAAAGTGTCAGAGTGCCCAGTCAAGAGCCTTCAGTCATACGAGAACCACCAGTAGAGACAAGTCGAGAAAGGAGGCAACGTCCATCTCAAGAACGCCCGTCTCAGGAGCGCCCATCTCAGGAACGCCCATCTCAAGAGCGCCCTCCCGAGGAGCGCGTGCTTCACAGTGCCGTTGCGCAAACTCGCTCTGTGCGGTCAGCAGGCAGTAACGAGCGCATTCATATGCCTGGCGCATTTCCCTCCACAGACTCTATACAAGACCCATCGCCCCAATCATCACAGCATCAGCTGAAGACCAACCGATCCGAGTCGCCAGCTCTGCGTAATGCTGTCCCACAACCTAAATTCTCCAGACCTTCTGCAGGACAGAGTACAGATTCATTCCAAAGTGGCCGTGAAACTCAACCCGCTCCTCTGCAGCCAAGTGGTCGATCAAGCAATGAGAGAGTAGGTCAAAACGGAACATATGCAACAGGGGTTACCCCAGGGCCCGACCGCCCGACAATAGCACAAGATAGGCCAGTGAATGCTGTAAAGGACATCCCGACTCCGGTACCACATGCTAAAGAAGCCACGCCCGCCAAGCAGGCAATAGCTCTAAACTTCAATCCAGGCTTGAATGACAACTCCCCGGACCAAGCAACCACTCCCAAGGGATCTCTTGACCTGCGGAATGGCAATATGCGAGACCACTCAATGCCAGGGAGAGACTCCAGCCAAGGCACTCGTGGGCTGCCATCTTTAAATCAATCAGAATCGAGTGAAGACAACTTTCCAAACGAGACGCGATCAACAACAGCGTCAAGCCATGTTGCTCAAAGTAGTCAGACTACAAACCAAGAAGTCAAATCATTAGAGCCAGCAGCCCATGATGATGGTATCTCAACCCCTCAGCCATCTGTCACAAAATTCCCACCAACCCCCCCTCCAGAAACTCCAACAGAAGAGGAGCACCGACCTGGGCTTGGGCCGATGATAAAGAAGAAGAAGTCGACCACGGAGGTTGCGTCAAAATTTCGAAAAGCCGCCACCGCCTACAATGCTTTCAAACCTCGCGCTGGTGGTGCCGCGGAAAGGGTAGCCAACGACAAGACGGCCGGTGGTGATGGCATCACAGGTGTTTTTCAAGCACCATCTCTTCTCAAGGGTATCAGCCAGGACGACGTTAGACCGGCGACACCCAAGCAGAGCCTGGAGAATCGACCATCGACGCCCGATGTTAAAAGGGAGATTCCAACAGTGCAGATCACCACTTCTCCCGCGAAACCCGTCACGCCAGTGCCTCCAGAGCCTGTGCCACAGAAACCTTCGGAACTTGTCTTGCAGAAGAGTTCCGAGTACGAACAGCGGCCACCAATCGCAGAAAAAGCTCAAGAGGATCGTCGTAAGAAGCATCGTTCTGACCATTCCGCCAAATACGCCAAAACACTGGGCATTAATGCTGGTCTATTAGAAGGCCGGACTTTCGAGATCGAAGAGGTACTAAATGATTTCGGTTGGGGAGAAGAGGGAAGCGGACGGGCGACATTCGAGGAGCTTGAAAAGGGTATCCGCAAAGAGATTGCCCGAGTGGAGGCCGGCAGCTGGCTAAGTGCCGTGGAAAACAATGACGAACGTGTCGTGGCAGTAGCTGAAATGATGGACCGAGTTGTAGCAGAGTGCGATGAGCTCGACAACCTGCTTACTTTGTACAACGTCGAGTTGGGGGTATGTTAGATCTACTGCTATTTTGGAGAGCACTGCTGACTACAGGCAGATACTCAGCGAGGACGTCGCATACATTGAGGCTCAGTCACAGGGCCTGCAGGTGCAGACAGCTAACCAAAAGCTCCTCCAAAACGAGCTGAAGAATCTACTGGACACAGTATCTATTTCGACTGCGGACCTGAGCAAATTGAAGAACAACTCTTTGAGCACCACTCGCGAGGTTCAGGAAGTCGAATACACTCTCGCACAACTTTATGCTGCAATGTTGACAATTGACCCCAAGCTTCGTCACAATGATAGCAAGTCAGTGAGTGTCGATCAAGCTAGCCTGCATCGAAGTAGCAGCACTGGACATGGAAGCACGGAGCTCAGCTCCATGCACGCCGTCCGCGAGAAGAAAGAGACATTCCGCCGAGAGAGCGTTGATTTTATACAACGGCTAAAGCGGCATATGTCAAAGATGTTCCAAGATGTGGAGCAGCAAACGAAAGACGCTTTGGAGAGCAATCGAAACAACAAGGTCTCAGCGAATCCTACCAAGCTCGACCATCATTTACGGGATGCGCCAAAACAAGACTTGTGGTTGTATTCACCGTTGATACTTTTCGCACGTGAGATGGAGATGTCTGAGTGGGAGGATCTTTTGCGTATGTATGAAAGCCGGATCAAGACCCAATACCAGGGAGAGTTCGGGGATAATTTCTCCGCTTGGAAACGGACCACCAGAAAGCAGTTTGGAGATGAGCAAGATGTTCTGTTTACGACCCAAGAGAAGGAGAATGAGAGCCTGGTTGGACGCAAACTGACCGTGAAACGATCTAAGACCGTACGCGCAGGAGACCGAATATCAAGTGGCGACAAGACGAGAGACGGCAAGGTCACCGCATACGAAGCCTTTGCGGGTGCTTTGACGGAGACGGCTAGAGTCATCTTCGTGGAACAGAACTTTGTGGTCGACCTCTTCCATGCATCGTCACTTGATACCCAGGATTTCATCGACGCACATGCTATCGAACCCGCGCAGCGAAAAACTGGAGACCTGATGGTCAAAAAGCCTTTTGACCCCGATCGCAACATGGCCAAGACTGTGTCGGGGGTCATGGAAGAGATCTATTCATTCTGGCCGACTGAGCTGCAGAGTCTTGCTGACTGGACCATCAAGCAGGATGCTATGAATGGCGTTGGCGTCCTCTTCGCCCTCGAATCTCAGCTTCTCGAGGTCGAAGAAACCAATCAAGAGTTCCTGACCCAAGCTGTCACTAGAATCCGCGACCGTCTGGTCACTAAATTTGCTCACTTTATCAATGAGCAAATCCGTGGCATCGAAGACACTAAAGTCAAAATCAAGAAGCGAAAGGGTGTCATCGCATTCATGAAGACATTCCCCAACTTTTCTATCGCTCTTGAAAACATGCTTCCGCCAACTCGCTCTCTCGACCACCTTCCTGTACGCGCCACGGTCAATGACGCCTACAATAGAATCAACAAAGCCATGTTCGAAAGCCTGAAATTCATTGCAAAGGAAAGCCCAACGGCGACGCAAACTGCTGCGACTGCAGGTGATCCTGAGGATAAGGAAGCCCTCAACTACCATATCCTCCTCATCGAGAACATGAACCACTATATCGAGGAAGTAGCCGTCCGAAAAAACCCCGTCCTCGAAGACTGGAACTTCCGCGCGCGCGCTGAGTTGAACGAGCACATGGAGCTGTATCTCGCTGCCGTCATACGTCGACCTCTGGGCAAGCTTCTAGACTTCCTGGAGTCCACCGAGTCACTTATACGGAACAATCCTGGCTCCCCAACCTCAATAGCCACACGTGCCTCCCATTCGCGCTCCACCTTCAAGAAGATTCTCTCTAGCTACGACGCAAAGGAAATCAAACGAGGTATCGACACCCTGAAGAAGAGAGTAGACAAACACTTCGGTGACGGTGACGACACGGCTGGCTTGTCTAGAGAACTGGTCACCAAAGTTTTCAGAGAGTGTGAAGGCAGATACCTTCAGATTGGAGAGAGAGTTAGCAAAGTGGTCAAGGATGTGTACGAAAGCAGTCTCGAGGTCGAGTGGAGAAGGGAAGACGTCGTTTCGGCTTTCAGACGGTAAAGGGAGGGTAGAGTGGTTATGTATATATTGACGGCCAATTGCAGGCGTAGCGTGGTTGTCTTGTTCTCTCTTCGATGGGACTGATACAGGGTGTTATTAATTTTCACCGATATAGGGATGCATTACCGGTGGATCTCGCTTCGGAGATGTCCGGGCGGCATAGGGTTGAGGGATCTCGTCCAACGTTTCACAGCATATTACGGCCGTCGCATAAACCAGGGATGCTGTGGTCTTCCAGCCCTTGATGGGATTACTTTGTTGTATATACTTTTCCATTGAGCGTGATACCAAGCCAGACCTGACTTGAGGCTAACCCCACGCCTTTCCAGCTCACCACACATCAATGTAGACATTACCAATGCAGTCGGGCATGCCGTATCGCTGTTCTGCTGAATGTAAACAGCTTTCCGGCTTGTCTCCTGCTCTATTTGTACATCACCGTCTCCCAAAGAGTCCCTTTATCTTAGCCAACACCCCCCCTTCCTTTTCCTTCTCCTTCTCCTCCGCAGCCCCAGCCCCAGCCTTCACCCGCTCAAGCTCCTCACCAGCACTCCTCAGCCTCTCCGTCGCCACCTCCAACCTCTCGCTCCCCCCTCCCCCCGCTTCCTCAATCTCGGCTTCCACCACCTCTTCTATCCTCGCCACTTCGGCCAACATCACCGACGACTCCGCCTCCCGATCCGAGTCTCGAGCGAGCCCCTTCACAGCCTGCTCTGCTCGCCGCGCCCGTTTTTCGCCCTTGGTGTAGTGACGAACGGGGGGTTCGGTAAGGGTGCCTGCTTGTTGGTCATCGTCGGGCTGCGAAGGGAGAGCGTCGGCGGCGAGGGAGGGGTTTGTTTTTTGGGCTGGATGGGCGGCTTCGGCTACGGTTTCAGCTTCGATGGCCTCGGTGGTGCGGTTGATGTGGTCTTCCAGTGCTGTAGGTTCGGGTGACGGAGGGTCGATGGAGGTTTCCACATGTCCTGCGTCTTCCTCCTCCTCTTCTTCTTCTGCTTCTGAGGGACCTGCTTTGGCGCCTTGGATTCGCCCGACGACCTCCCCGCTCGCCCTCTCGACTTCGTCTTCCAACGTGTCCGCCCTCCTCCCTTCCCCCTCCAGCGCCGTCACCCTTTCCCGCCCCACCAACCCCAACGCCGCCCTCTGCTCCTTCACCCTCCTCCTCACCTTCCCCGTTCGCATGACCAACCACCGCAACCTCCACCCTTCCACCCCCAACTCCTTGATCCGCCCCGCCTTCTCCCCCAACAGGTACTCGTCCAGCCCCCCGCACTTGTCGATCGTCCGCAGCACCCGCGCCTGCACCTTGACCTGCACGAACCGCGCCAGCCCGTCGCTCCAGAGCCGCTTGTTGTGCATGTTGGGCCGCCAGGCGCGGCGCGTTTTCACGGCGTTCTTGTCGGACACTTTGTTGCCGAAATGGATCTTCGCGCCGCCGTAGAGGCCCGAGTCGGATTGTTTGTAGTGCAGGGCGGGGCCGTAAGGGTAGGGGGGTGGGCCTTTGGTGTAGCCGGGGGCCGGGGATTGAGTGGCGGGCTTGGGGACGTGGAGGGTGGTGGAGAAGGGGCGGAGGCAGCGGAGAGATGGAGGTTTGGGGAGGGCCATGGTGGTGAGGAGGATTTTGTGGGGGGTGGGGGAGGTTTTGGCGGTGGTTGAGAAGAAAGGCGTGGACGGAGTTCCTGTGTGAAGAGGCTCTTCGTTTTGGGAGCCGGCTATAGGATGCGAGATATTATAGGTTAGTGATAGACTTGTAAGTGGCAAGATACATCTCCACCGGCAGAAAAAGGGCAACGATTGACAATTGGAGTTGGCATATCATGAAGCTCGATGGCAGCTCAGCCGTCGTTGAAATGGCAGAACAACGCCAAGGAAATCTCAGCCCTATTTATGAAAGATTAAATAAGAACTTCAAAGCTGATTCAGCTCCGCCTCCGACTTTTTACGTTATTCATAAAAATTTAGAGAACGTACTTCCACCTTTAAAGCCAACACCTCAGTTAGATATTCGTGATACCGAACAGTGGTATACACTTTCTAATATTTCCACTAGGCTAAAGCCAATCGCCAGCCCTTAAATATCCGGACGCGATGCCATCATTTAGAAAGATCCTCACGCCAGCGTGCCCAACTCTTACCAATTATTGGACAAATACGATTTTCAGTTATCGACGGCGTATCGATAGAGCGGAACCTCTACTATTATAACCGTATCCTACATACATTTATACAAAGGGTGGAGCCACCTGCGCTTTAGATGCGGCGTCATTGAGACCTTCACACGTTAGAACGATTTAAGATTTCAAGCATGTAATCGATGTTAGTGGCGAAGATTTCGGAGGTATTTCAATAGACACGCAGGCTACATATTTAGTAATTGAGGCATTGAACGAGATTGAAGTATTGACTATAAATAACAGAGTAGTTACAATAAATACTACGTAATATCAGTCAAAATCCCCACCTTCTCTAACCTTCTTAAAAATAGAGGGCGTACAAGATAAGTACTTCTCTACAATTTTCTATAAGGCGCTAAAAAGTCGAGCGGCTGAATCTCGTCCTGGACTTTTAACAATCCAGAATCAACGACATAATCCATCACCACAGCGAATCCAACCTCCCACCACCACCACCACCACCAAACCCAAATGACCACCCTCCCCGACCCACCCCTCCCCTCCACCGCCTCCTACATCCTCGCCACCTTCATCCTCGCCGCCTGCGCCGGCTACTTCCTCGGCCAAGCCTCCTCCCTCGGTCTCCTCTCCCGCCGTCCCGCCCCCAACCCCAACCTCCCCGCCGCCGCAAAGTCCACCAAGAACCCGAGCTGGCCCAACAGCTACGATGTCGCCGTGCACCCCGACAGCTCGGACGAGGAGCTCATGACGCATCTGAGGGGGGGGAAGAAGGGTGCGGGGGCTGGGGTGCGGCGGGTTGGGGATAGCGAGGAGGAGGATGGGAGCGGGAGTGGGAGTGGGAGCGATGGGAGTGAGGATGGGAGCGAGGGTGCGCGGGGAGAGCGGGGCGCGCTGAAGTCGTTTGAAGAGAATGAGGGGGAGGAGTGCAAACTGGTGTTGGTCGTGAGGACGGATTTGGGTATGGGTAAAGGTATGTTACGATTAAATCTGCTTTCACCTCCCTGCTTTCAAATCTCGTTTTGATTCGAACATTACACTTCCGAACGCTTGGGCTTCTCTTCTCTCCTCTCCTCTCCTCTCCTCTTCTCTCCTCTTCTCCCCTCCTCTCCTCCTCTCTTCCATTCCCCCCAAACAAACCCCAATCTAACCCCCCACCCCACCCCACACAGGCAAAATCGCCGCCCAATGCTCCCACGCCACCCTCGCCTGCTACAAACACCTCCTCTCCTCCTCCTCCTCCCATTCCTCCCATTCCTCCCATCCCTCCTCCCCCTCCCTCCTCCGCCGCTGGGAATCGACCGGCCAGGCGAAAATCGCCCTCCAGGTGCCGAGCGCGGACCAGCTCGAGCTGCTGCGCGCCCGGGCCCGGGACCGGGGGTTGTGCGCCCGGGTCGTGCGCGACGCGGGCCGGACGCAGGTGGCGAGCGGGAGCGCGACGGTGCTGGGGGTGGGGCCGGGGCCAAGGAGCGTGGTCGATGGGGTCACGGGGGGGTTGAGGTTGTTGTAGGAAAGCGGGGGGGGGGGGGGGGGGGGGGGGTTTGGTGCTTGGGGTTGAGGTGAGATGAGATGAGGTGAGATGGGATGAGATGGGACGAACGCGGAGAAGCTGTAGAAGCTGGCGATGTGAAAATGAAAAGAAAAAAAGATACCCAAGATCGGAGTGGTTATGGTACCGGTGGTGAATATTGAATGTATAGCGCTCTTCTGATTCTATCAATGCCAGCAGGGCCACAGTGGAAAGCTTCGTTGACCCCCAAAGAGTCAACAAAGCACATACATCAGGCCAATCTCACACCAGCCTGCCTGTTCTTCTTCTGCGTAGTCCCCATCGCATTGTTCATCCCCGTCGCCTGGCTGCTGTCCAGCGTACTCTGCGCCTCCCTCTTCTTGTCATCCTCGATCTTCTTCAGATGCTTCTCCGTCTTCTGCTTCCCGCTCCCCTTGCCGTGGAACTGATGGCTCAGATGCTTGAAGGCCTCCTTCTGGTTCATGCCCCGTCCGAACTCGTCCACGTACTTCAGCTGCACGTCGGGCTTGTACTCGCGGTTGAAGATCTCCGTCATCTGCCGGGACTCGAGTTGGTCGCGCATCTTGTTCTCTTGCCGTGCATACTCTTCCCGCTCACGAGCGGACATGCGGTCAAGTTTGCCGGTGGCTCGGTCCCGCTCTCGTTGCTGGCGGGCTTTGGCTTCGACGGCTGCTTCGCGCTTTTGTTTCTCGGTGAGGAATTTTTGGCGGTCGCGGTGCAGGGCGTTGATGTCGGTTTCCTTGTTCTGCTTGATGAGGCCACGTTGTGAGAGCATGGAGAGTGTGGCACCGAGGCCTTGATTTAGGGTTGCGTCATCTTCGAGCCCGGTGTCGGTCATACCTGGTGCAGCGGACGTTGAGGTTTCGCGCTTGACGCGTGCTTCGAGGTCTTCGCCGTCTTCGATGTCGTTGTAGGATCGACCCATGTCCACGTCTCCGTCTTCGTCTTCAGGAGACGCCTCTTTTTTGGCTGGCGTGGCACTGCGGGCTTTGACGATTTGAGGGCGAGCTTTCCCCTCTTCCTTAGATCGTGCTAGATTGGCTACGAACTCTGTAGTCTCATCAATGATCATACCACCCTCTTCTGGTTGGGCTTCTTCTTCAGGCGTAGCTGCTTCCTCTCTGATCCTTTGCGCAAGATCCTCCGGCATTTCTCTTTTCCGCTTCTTGAGGGCCGCTCGTCTTTGCACAGCTAAGACCGCCTGGAGATCTTCGTCGTCAGCAAAAGAAGTACTTTCAGTTACCTTTGACTGCGCCTCTGGAATCCGTGAGTTGCCGGCATCAACAACCATGGCGTCCCCATTTGTTTGAGTGCCGTTGCTTGTCTCTACCGGAAATATGTCATCCTCATCAACAGCCCTTTGCCGCGTAGTTCTGGCCTTTTTCTTCTTCGGTTTCTGGATCTTGGCTTCTGTTGCCTCTGTATAATCTGATATCGGCGCGTCTTTGAGAATATCAAGGCTAATGGCTGTGGATTTTAACTTCCTCCCAACCGCTTGCTTCATCGCTTCACGCTCCTCCAATGATGCTCCCTGCCCATCCAAGGTAAAGCGCTTACGCTTCTTGCCATCGATCGTCTCGTCATAATGCTTCAGAATCGTCGAGCCGCCTTCTTCAATTTCAGCATGTGGGTCGTAGACGGGCTTCTTGATCTTCGAGCTCAGCCTCTCGGTCAGTGCCTCTCGCTCTTTCAGGTCCAAGTTCTCCAGTTCATCCCCTTCCTCTTCGTTCTGATCGATCGTGGAATCTTTGAGTGTCAGGACCTGCTCCTCACCACCCTCGAAATCTTCCAGCTCGTGGGCGACTTTCACACCGGCGAGATCCTCAGCCGTATGCTCCGGTGCATTCTCCCGTTCCGCCAACTCCTTCTCCAGCTTCGCCAATCTCTCCTTCTCGAGCCTCTTCCTTCTTTTCTTCTGCTGAAGCAACCAAGTCTTGGTATCGAGGTCTTCCTTCTGATCCGCCTCGCCCAATCCCTTTCCTTCCAGTTTGGAAAACTTCTTGGCGGCATCTCGAGCTTTCTTGACGGCCTCATTCTTCGCTTCTCGTTGCGCTTTAGCATCTGCTTCTTTCTGCAGCTGGTTCCAATTGTCGTACCCTTGTGCTTGCCTTGTTTCTAGCGTACTGCCCTTCTCCTCTTCCTCCTCCGATGAGCTCCCGGCGCCTTTGGAGGCTTTGAATCGGGGTCCGCCGCCTGGGACGGGGAGGAGGGCCATCCCGAGGGATGCCCGGATGCGGTTCGTCTCTTCGATATCCATGATGGTAAATGAATGGACTCGCAAGGAACAAGAAGATAAGAGATCGCTCAGTAATGACGACGAGTATCCGTGCCGTGAGTCAGTTGACAGTCAGAGGTAGAGCAAGAGTGAAGTTCAATGAGGCGGCAAAAGTTCCGTAGCCGCCTAGCGCAAAAAAGTCTTGGCGCACATATAAGAAAGATTTTTTTTTCCCTTTCCCCTCCCGCTTTCTTCCAAAACAACACGAGATCTGTGTCAGCCTCCCGCAGCCCTCTTCCCCTCGGGGACCTGGTGTCGTTCGGTCGAGACTGACAACTCGACGTCAAGGAGCCGCTTCTCCTCCACGGAGGAAACCCCCATAGCGTCAATCTTCCGGTCGACAGGTCTCAAATCGAATCGGTTTTGCCTTTCTTCGAAGCCTGAGCTCCCGTCCGGTTGAGCTCGGTGGAGGGGGGGGGGGCTTGCCGAGGACGTCATATTCCACCACGTTCCTGATGGGGCGTCGTCTGATGAGGGTTGGGTAAAACGTGCGTGTTTGTCAATCCTTCTGTGTTGGTTGCTTGCTGACGTTCTTTGTAGCATGACTGTCTACATGATTCAGTAAATAGATTCGAGTTTGTCTTGCTGGCGTGGGAAGGCTTGGGCGGGATGTTTTCTGCGATCTTTCCTCCGGGATCATGACCTTACGAGTTTGGGAGATTGAACGGCCATTTGTCCTGTGTTGTCCGCTCTTGTATCTTAACCGTACTTCCATTGGTGGAGCATGAGCCTGCCTCTATAACAATTACGCAACGTCCACCTGACCACAGCAATGCCGTCGTCAACCAATTGCCCCATTCCCGTCCTCGCAGCATCCCCTTCCTGCGCTTCTACGTGGTCTCGAAACCGTCGCCCTAACACGTCCTATGGAGCAAGCGATGGCATTTCGCGCCGAGCCGACATCCGACCGTTCTGAAGCGCGGGACAGACGATAAAAATCCCTTGATGCATATCTCTCGCCGATCGCGTGGCAGGCATGATTCACCGTCGTCGTCTCCGTCAGATCTCGATACCCACACACACACACACTCTCTCTCTCTCTACATCTCTCTTGCGAAAAACACAAGTTTGATTCTCTCGCCATGACTCCGACCCACCCTCTCCTCCTCTCCCCATCCCTCCTCACCCTCACCCTCACCCTCCTCTTCGCCCTCCCCGCCCACCCGGCCTCCCTAACGCCCCCCACGCCCATCTCGAATCCCTCCCCCCCAACCGCCGGCCGCTCCATCGAATGCTTCAACCTCACCACCCCAAAAGCCTACCCCGTCGACTCGAACGACTGTCCCCCCGCCATCGACGCCCTCTACCACGACCCCTCCGGCGTCATGGCCCTCCAGCGATTCTCCCGCGACCCCGCCCTCGCCGCCTCCACCTTCCAGGTGCCCTTCGCCTGGCAGTACGGCTCCTGCCAGGTCCTGCTGACCAGCGGGGTCGCGGGCGCGCTCGATACGTTCCGGCTCGCCGACGTCATCGTGCAGGCGCTGCGCATCATCGAGGAGTGTCCGCCCCTGAGCAAGAAGGCGTTGGGGGGGTTGGGGCTGGTGGGGGGCGGGCAGACGTTTTTTGTGGCGGTCAATGGGCCCGATTTGTCGCCGGATGGGGAGGGGGAGGGGGAGGGGAACGAGAGGTGGGGGGTGGGGATGTGACGGAGCTGCGTTTCCGCGGTGGAAGTGACGGGTCAGGCGTAGATGTTGTGGATCCGGATTGGGCGAGTGAAGGGCTGATGGCATCATGAGGACTGGGGGCATCGTGGCGGAGAAGATAGGCAGAGTCTTTTTGAGCCTCATGGCTGATTTTCGGACGGGCTTTCCAAGTGGTGGAGCCTGAGTACAAGTCTCCCTATGTTTTATGAGCAGACAGCAACGCAATGTGGATGCTGTACCGTCCGGCGAAGGAGAGTGCTCAGTAGATGCAGAAAGTTAAGAAAGCGTTGGATATCATTGGGGAGAGGAATCATGAGGGTCCCCAAACCCAGATGTGTGCGATTCTAGCAGCTCTTTAGCAGGCCAGTGTACATTTGCCAATGTGTTCGGCCACAGCTTCTATGGGCACAGACATAGATGTCACCCCGTGAAGCCGGTATGATCGCTCGCTATTAGCATAACATGGACTTTGCTGAAATCATGGGAGTAGAGGAGATGACGGGGTATGTACAATGAAGCGAGACAGTGTCGAGCCCCGCTTGCTGTTGAACGATTGAGTCTGCCGATGAAATGAGGTGTAAGAAGCCATCCGTCTGCCCTTGCTTTCAACACCCTTCGAATTTCGCGAGAGCTTGGAGAGTCTGTTCGCAGGCTCAAAGTTGCAGTACATTAAATTCGCGAGGCGCATTTTAATTCTCGATGGATTCGTCTCCGCTGACAGGCTGGTCGTCAGTGTCATCGTCGTAGTTCCTAGCGCCCAACCCGAGCCCCCGAGGATCTTCGCCTCTATTCCAGCCGAAGAAATTGTGGCAATTTCGGCAGGCCGTGAATCTGCAATGTTCGCAGCGAAGGATGAATATCCAGGCAGGATACTCACAGACCTCACAGCGCCCTGGATTTTGTTCAGATTTACCTCTCTCGTAGTTGAAGTTGTTGTGATCACAGTCGACCTGCAATCTCTGCTGGAGCTCTGCCAGCTGCTGCTCGCGAGGGCGTAGATCAGGAGGAAGAACTCGGGCAACGCGGCGAGCTGCACGGATGTCTATGCCTCTGGCAGCCCGTGTTTGAAGTTGAGGCTCGTCATAGTCTCCACATTCGCAATTCCTCCATTTCGTTCCGCAGCGATAGCAGAATTCTGCTTCACAGCGACATCTATGTTATTATGCTTAGCGGCGTACGTGAAAAGAAGAAAGCTTTGCAGAACTCACCGCATGTGATGACAGCCAAAGTTCAAGGCTACCATGTGACCGCATTGGTAACAAGTCTGCCAGCCTTCTTTCTTCGCGAGTGCTAGCACTTCCTCGTGTGCTTTGTCCTTCTTGCAGACGTGGCCGACGTTCCTACCATTCACATTTTGAGGGAATTCGGCGCGGCATTGTGTACAAGTATCTCTCCAACATGTCACGCAGGTGGCTCTGACTCCTTCGATTCTACCCTTTTCGATCCTTACTCCGCATCCCTGAATGCCGCAGTACAGTGCTGTTGCGTTCTTGATCTCGGCTTGTCGTGAGCTGTAGCGGCTAAAGACCACAGCGGAGACGTTATCAGCGACCGTAACGAAGGCAATTGGGATCTTGCAGCATTTGGGCGGGAAGCCGTCATGTGTTTGGAGGCTAGCTTCGATGAAATGACCGAAGCAGTCCTTGCAGTAATAATGCTTGCAGGAAGCCTTGACGAGCTCGTCAACGGCTAAGTGGTCGCTGCAGCTTGCACAATCTCCAGTGGTTGGAGAGGTCTCGAAGGCCGTTGTAGGTGCTGCCGTCTCCTTTACCATTTGGGCGCCACTGGCTTCTGCTGTAGAGGGTTGCGGATCTTGGACTGAACATATCCCACTACCCTCGACCTGAATCCTCGGGTGACCTCCATTGGTGATCTGCTGGCCCTTGACCTTCTTGTGAGGATGCCCCACATGCTCTAATGCTGCGTGAGAAGAACAGCGAAGCTCGGCGTCTTTTGGGTTGACCGATACCGATGAAGGCTCGCCCTCTGGTGTTAGTGACCTTGCTCGCTTCTGGCTCGTCGCCTTGGAAGGCAATGTTTGATTAGCGCTCTTGGCTGGCGCTAGCTTACTTTGATTCGATACCGTAGGAGGTGCGTGGTTCAGCAGGGCCAAGCGGTCGAAAGTCGTGTCATCAATCTGCGGCAATGGCGTCGACCGGGCCAGTAGAGCTGAGTCGTCCTCCACAGCCTTGGCCATACTCAGAGCGAGGCGTCGACTCGCCTCGAAAGTAACAGCATCGAACCCGGAATCCATCTCAAGTTGCTGTCGTTGTAGGCGGATGACAATCTTGTCGGCGGTGCCTGAGACCTCAAGCTCATCGAGATCATGGAGCTGCAGCGCAATGGCGAGCTGGGCGGACGCGTTGTCCATTGTTGACATGGCCATCCTTGCGAGCGGAACGTGCTACGTGGACTAAATCCTCTATCAGAGCAGGTTCTTAGGTATACAGAACTTGGACTTACCTTGTGCTTCACATTAGGATCTGGCGCGGGTTCAAGGACACTCACGTGGGAGCGAGTATATTGAAACGTTGAGCTGCGTAATACGTCAGAGTTGCTTCTTTGCCTTCTGAGGATGCTTTTATCCTACGTACCTCTCTTCAAGGCCTTGAGACTGGCATTAGTAGTGTCGCAGATTGATGGTTTTCTGCTGAGGTTGCAAAATGTTGAACTGAAATCAATTCCGAATGATCAGACACTGATGAATTAGGATATTTCTGTAACGATTAGACTTCGTGTGTGTCCGTTCCTGGAATCATTCTCGTCAATATTCGCTGTAATCTAGTGAGCTCTAATACGGGTGGCTGTTGTTGTTGGTGAGAGTGAGGAAAAGGGAAGGAAGTGAGGTTAAATCTTAAACTCACATACACGAGTGAACGAATGAAGCTCCTGGGGCGGAAAGAATCTAGCAAGGAGCAGAGTCCAGATCGATGTATGCGAAATCTCGATCACGCTACGCATATGAAAGCAGTCTTCTGGAATTCAAGCATGCTCAATTGAACCCCTCGCAGGCAATGCGGTTGTCTGTTGTAGTCTTATAGGTCATCTGCGGTCTCTTACAACTCTCCGGCCACATTGCACCTGTCGTTGCGCGTCTCAGTGTGCTATAGGAAGACTGCTCCCATTTACAATGCCATCAGTGCTCAGGATCATGATAGAATTGCTTGAGTATTCGTTCCGCCTCCTTGTACTCCACCTTGACCGTCGCCACGGTGGCCTTGATTTTCTTCAGCAGCACCGTATCCTCCATGTCTGTAGATTGTCCGGCATCGTCTTTATGTGCGCCGTAATGCTGGATCTTCTCACAAGAGTCCTTCACTTTGGTCATGCCCAGCGTCGCGGAGGAACCCTTCAGAAAGTGGCCGAGGGACGAGAGAGTCGCCAATTCTTGTTCTCGCCTAGTGAAGATTAGCGGTTGCAATGATACTTCTGACCAGACAGGGGGCCACGGCAGATGCGAAGCTGGCTACCACTTACTGAAGTTTCTGGCTTTCGGCGGTCGACCTAGTGCCATGTCAGGATTGTGTTCAGTAGAGTAGATGACGATGATGAAGGGAAGCAGAGGGACAGAGACTATGCTGGTGATATGAAGCCGGTGTTAACGTACAGGGAAGCAATCATCTTCTCAAAGGTTGCCTCGGCCTGCTCGAAGAATCCGTAGACAATGCTCTTGGAGAATTCCCGCTCATCTTCGTCATCGTCCATCTCCAAAATCTGTTCGAATGTAGAGGGATCGATGGAGTCGCCACAATCAGGAAGGCCAGTCGAGCCAGTCTCGGACTTTGGGGAACGAGTCAGCATGCGGGTCTATGGCTATAGAACAGCAGGCAGACCCGGGCCCGGGACGTACAGGATCTTCCGTCGAATGACTGGCCATGTCGTCTTCTTCTTCACCTTCGGACCCCTCTTCTGGTTGGCTGTGGGTGGAGGGCAATGCGGTCTTCGGGATGGAGCTGACTTTAGTCATGGTGAGCGTTGTCCTGCAAACTGACCAATGTCGGAGCGGGCGCTAAGGGGCTCTTGCTATTGGCTGCGAAGCGAAAGAGAGAAAAGGAAGGTAACAACGTTCTGGTATGAAGTGGGTGGGGAAAGGTTGGAAGGTCACACCTGCAGACAGGGAAAGCTCTGCTTGTTATCAGCATATGTGGCACCGATTACTCCAGGGCAAGGGAACCCACAAGAAGAAAATGCAGCTTTGGCTTCTATAAGATTTCTGAGCAGGCTGGTAGATATATGTAAACGGATGAAGAGTAAGAGTAATTGCGGTCGTGGTGGAGGAGGAACTCGGATTGGAAGGCTACAGCATAAGTTCGGACACAAGATGTAGAAGCTCGGTCGTTCCTTAGTGGTATGTGTCTATGTTGATAGGAAGTAGTAAGGTATTATGGATTACTGCGATCCAAAGTTTGAAGGAGGAATATTAGTAGATCATGCCCGAAGATGAATGCAGGGAGCTAGTAGTATATGAGTTTAGGCGGATATAGGATATACGTAGCACAAGGTAGTACTGAAATTGGGTCTATCAGTGTGAATGGATGATTCTGGTTCTGTCTATCAAACATGCTCCCACTCTCTACTACCTTACCTTACTAAACTCATGACTCGCCAGTGGACACTAATTATATTGCTTCAAGCTGAAAGGGGGAGATCCTCAGATCATACGTTATCATACTCTACGCTATCGTATGCTCGTCAGGGGAATTCTTTATTGGTGGATACTCTAAGGCTCTCGATGGCTTCCGGATCATCGCTTTGCCTACACGTATCAGGGAAAGTGACTCCTTCCTTTGCGACTATTAAATTACCCGCTCTACTCACAACTGTATAACTAATCAGACTGACCAACGACACATGGCCACCACTTCAGCATTTCTCTTTTCACGCGCTAACTATTCTATCTCGGCAGATCCTATGCGAATACGCCTTTCTCACGAGGCGCTTCCCAGACAGCAGAGATGGAAGCGGTGGGACGAGCGCACGGATCCTGGGGAAGCTTACCCTGTCAGCTGGTCTATTTACCTACACAGTATGTCAAGGTACAAGAGATATGGGTAAGCGAAAGGATGAAACGAGCAGGCAAACTGCGTCACCGATGACGCCTGTGCGCATTAGAGCACGAGGACCCCCGCTCTCCGGGTAAGCCTTACCCGCAAAATGGACCCGGGTCTAGATCTCTCGTAATGTACTTTTATGCCGTGACAGCGGAGGACAACGCTTCGTTCTTTGATGAAATGATTCTCCGATTGCTCCCTCCTCACTCAAAGTATCCTTAGTCCTCGGTCTTGCACACTTGCTACCCTGACCGACGGTGAGATGATGACAGAAAGGTGGAGCCATGGCGATGCGATACGTTAGATATGACCGAGTGGGCTGATCGATAGATTCGTCTGGAATCTGCACATGAATGGTGGTGCATATCATCGGTTGGCGCTTCAGACTTCAGCTGCAAGACCCCCCCCTCGTACTAGTACCCGCCAAACGCCGTGATGCAGGGCCATAAGGCCAAAGCCGATCCTTGACTCCATTGTACATATGCATGACCTCGTAAAGAGCCGCAAAGACGTTCGAGACCCATAAAGCTGGCCTATCTTTCGCTTCTGCTCCCGCGTCTGGGTCAAGACTGAGACCGAGGATCCATCCGTGCAGAAATCACTCATCAACATCGTCATCAACTCCACCAGTCCATGCATCTGTCCGTATCTATGACGCAAGCAATTGATATTGCTCAGACTGAAAGGAAGACACCAACACCAACATGAGAACATGAGAATGAGGCGCTGGGTCTGCGGATATAATGCGCCGAACAGATACCCGCTATTACAATTATCGAATCAAGCTATCATACAGTTTTTCTCCGGCGCTAGATGCAAGGGAATTGTTGAAAATCTTCGGTTCGGATGATGAAACAAGATGAAAGATAGAGTAAGCAGGTTAGAAGTAGGACGGCAACTACGGCGACCCCTTCCCAGTATCCAATCTAACCCGTCACTTTGTGAATGGACTCCGCAAGGCGCTTGACATTGCCCGTCGTGATCCCGGCTACGGATATCCTGCCGTCTTTGGTGGCGTATACCGAGTGCTGTCATGTGTAAGCACCGTAACTGAATCGTTGGTTCAGCTCCAACTCACCTCCTTCGCCAGCTTGTCCATTTGCTCGGGCGTCATCCCAGTATAAGCAAACATGCCGATCTAGACCGCGTCAGACCCTGGGCTCGTGCGTTGTGCACAGAACATCATTACCTGCGAGGTGATGTGGCTCCAATCGTGCTTGCTACCTAGGTCTTCTAGATTCTTCTTCAGGAGCGCCCTCATGCTGATGATTCGATCAGCCATTCCCTTGACCTCCTTAAGCCATTGTTGGTTGAGCTCGGGGTTATTCAATATCTCGGCGGCAATACGAGCACCGTGAACGGGAGGATTCGAGTAAAGAGGCCGGACGAGGATCTTCACTTGTGAGTCAACTCGTTTCTTTTCTTCAGCCGACTCGCAGCAAATGGAGAAAGCCCCAACACGCTCGCCGTAAAGTCCCTACCAATCATCAGCAAAATACAGGCGAGATCGTATTCAGCAAGAGCATACCATGTTCTTGGCAAAGCTCTGGGCTAGACAGAAGTGGTGGCCCTCAGACTGAAAGTGCCTGACAGGGAAAGCATCCTTGGTGGTATCCCCGCTGGCAAACCCTTGGTAGGCCATGTCAAAGAACGGGTAATGCTTCTTCTCCTTGACAACATTGCTAATCTGCCTCCATTGCTGTTCCGAAGGGTCAATCCCAGTTGGGTTGTGTGCGCAGGCGTGAAGAAGAACAATGCTGCCCTCTGGGGCGGCCTTGAGATCCTCTACCATACCGTCAAAGTCCAGACCAATGGTGTCCTTGTTATAGTATCTGTACTTTACCACCTCCAAGCCAGAGTCCTTGAAAACAGCATTGTGGTTTGCCCAACTAGGTGTTGGTATGTAGATCTTCTTGCTCGAAGGATAGTGACGCGCCAGGAACTCGCCACCAATCCTAAGGGCGCCAGTGCCGGAAATAGATTGGGTTATTGCGATCCGATCATTCTTGAATGCGTCGGAGGAGGAACCGTAGGCGAGTACAGCTGCAGCTTTGGTGAAAGAAGGTACACCTGTGATTCCCGCATATTCCTTGTCGAGTGCCGAATCAACGACCTTTTTTTCAGCGGTCCGCACAGATGGCAGGACATAAGGTTTGCCCTTGTCATCGCCTGGAAAGTGTCAGCGTGGGGCTTTGGAATCACATCGCCCTACTTACGGTACGCCCCTACTCCTAGATTGATCTTCTCCTGGAAGTTGTCCGCCTTGAAGGCCTCTGTGATCCCCAAGATAGCCTGGGAAATGGTAGCGTGTTAGGGGAGCTTATCACTTGGCACAACCTCTCGCTTACATCCTGCGGCCATGTCAGTTACCTAGCAAGAGTCAATGGCTCGTAAACGTACTGGAGGACCTTGAGGAACGTGGGCCCACGTAGAGGCAGACCTCAATGCTGTTATCCTCGGCAATGAGGATCTTATAGCAACTGGGCGGGCGATCAAGCGGCAAGCAGATAGCATTGTGAATGATGTCAAATACAAAAAGGAGGAAGTAGGAGGAAAGAAGACGTTGATGGAGGAAGCTTTATTTGACACGGTACGTACCTGAGACCAACAGAAAAACCTTCGAATTCAATGCCAAGAGCATAAGGGTCCCTCGGTCCGGTTGGTCCAATAGCTTCTCGGGAACTAAAGACGGAAGGTCTAACTGCATTGTCCATCGAACTTCTTTCCACCTTTCCCAGACCGAGGAATCTCAAATTGATTCCACGAGGACGATGTCTGTCCTCTCGCGACTCTTCCCTATACAACAACATATCTATAACCACACTCAGCTTGAGGCTTACTGCACGTTGTAATTTTCCAGAGCATCACCTTGTCTTCAAGCAGCGCGGTGGGGGTCCGCTCACTGGGCTCTGTAGGCCTGCTGGCCTCGGCCTTTGAAGTCAGAGAGAATCTCAAGTGGGACACCTCTCGACCTAAACCATGCATTTTGCAATGCCTCCTCGAAAGACCTCTCAACCTCCTCCCTATGCCAGAGCGTCTCGGTCGTCGCCGATACGGCGGAAACAGCTCCAATTCGTCGCACTCATAGGATGTACCCTACTCTTACTCGTCTACTTTGCTATACGTTTGTTTGGCTCATCGGCAGAAAAAGCTCCTCCAGGCACACCTGAAGTGGTGGTGGTGACCCTGCTCGATGAGGCGACCATGAGCGATGAATACCGGGCACGGATTATGGAGAACAGAAAATATTACGCCGACAAGAATGGTACGTTGTATACATTTTTACCCTCGAGATTACCCTTGTCTGACAACTGACGTCTACAGGATACGCTACCTTCTTCCCAGATGTCGCAGACTACGACTATGGCAATTCCCCTAGAAGCTGGGCTATGGTGCCTGCTCTACGGCATGCCATGACCAAGTACCCACATTCAACCTACTTCTTCAATTTGTCGCCACATAGCCTAATAATGAACCCGAAGATCTCCCTCACCTCCCACGTCATGGATAAAAAGCGCCTTGAGTCGATAATGCTTAGGGATAAGCCTGTGGTGCCACCGGACAGTGTCATCAGGACCTTTACACACCTTAAGGGCGACAAGGTCGATCTGGTACTCACACAAGATGCCGAGGGTCTATGTCAAGGTAGCTTTATTCTACGGCGAGGTGAATGGGCGAAATTCTTCCTGGACACGTGGTTTGACCCTTTGTATCGCAGCTACAACTTTCAAAAGGCCGAAGCCCACGCATTGGTAGGCCTCCTCCATTTCCTCTTACCGCTCGCTGTTTCCCACTGACGTTCTCCGCACAGGAACATGTGGTCCAATGGCACCCGACTATCCTGACAAAGTTGGCACTCGTCCCTCAGACTCTCATCAACTCCTACGGCGTCGACATCGCCAGCCGTGGCGGCAAAGAAGTGTTGTACAAGGAGGGCGAATTTGTCGTCAGACTCGTCGGTTGTGAGTTGGACGCGACCCGGTACTGCGAGAAGGAATTCGACATGTACTACCAGCAATGGAAAAGCTACCTCAACAAGGGCACCATATGATCGCTTGATTTCGACTTACCTTGGTGTTCTATAATGCGGGTCGAGATACCTTGGGTTTTCATCTGTCGCGTGTATTATAATTTGACATTCACGCGGAAACGGGACATCTGTCGATACACCAGCTATCATGGGTCACATGACGGGCAGTACCCCGGATGGTACTTAGGGTCACGGCGTAAGATCTATATCTTTATTATCTACGAAGATCCAGGAACGATTCATTTCAGTGCTCTTCTCTGTGCATATTATTCTTTGCGCGTGGCAGTGTCCAGCCCCACCTGGTGCGACTGCAATATCAGCGAAACAGATATTCTCCACCTGCTGGGGTTTGCATCTCCACACGTTGAATGCTTGGCAGCAGCGAACCTGATAAAGGCCCCACGGTGCAGACTCTACTCCACACCTTCTCCATTGCTGTCCATAACCCATGCTTCCATCCTCAGACTGCGCACCTAGGCCCTTTTACTCCCGCGATGTGCCTTAATACGTCAGACTTTGGCTGTTCACGCCAAGCGCCTGTTGTTAGCCTGAGATCAGTTGCGGCATATCATCGTGGCCGATCGAACCGGGCTTTTGAAAGGCGGCGTAAGATCCGTGGTGAGTTGGCTATGTGTCCACAGGAGTACTAAGGCGCTGCTGCCTTGCTTCTTCAAAAGGGCCGGTGTTCCGCGTTCTTTCTCTAAAGGAGCTCTCGTTCTTTCGCGTCGCTTGCGTCGTGGAACGATATCTACGGGCGTCAGTTGGCCGCTAGGCACTGTCCGGTCGGGTACTCAGGGAGCTTTGTGAGCCAATTTCTAACCAGCAAACTTGTGGAAAGTTGTGTGTCTGGAGTTGAATGGAGCTGGAGGCTTACAGCCTCTGATGAGCCTGGATGAAGGTAGTGCACTGGCGATGATGGGGTTTGTGCCCGTGTGGCAGCGTTCCGGCGGCAGAGAAAAGGGTTGATCTTGGGCCACTCGTGGTTCTTGGCGAGTTTGGGTCCTTCATGGTAGGTGATGGGCGTTTCGGAGTATGTTGGTCGTGAGACTGTTCGGTGTCGGGTTTTCGGCTTGGAGGTTGTATAAGTATAACCGAAAGGGGTTGGGACGCCAGGACCCGTGTGCCAAGCATGAGCCGGAACAGATCCGCTCTGATGAGAAATACTTGGCTTCTGCTCCAAGTTTGAGAGTCCAGACTGATGTCACACTCATCCTTTTAAGCTGAGGTAGTCAAGAGTTCCCTTGACTCATGCACACTTTGTAATCAATGGAGGCGAAGGTGTCTTTGTCTCTGAGACGGTCTATCAGCTTCCTTGATATTCCACTGGAAATTTGTTGATGACCTTTGCGTCGATGGATATAGCCTTTTCGAACAGTGGATCGCGACAATGGGAAGGGTCTTTTACTTGCATCGAAAAGGGTCGGTTTGAGGCCTAAGGAGTTCTTTCTGGGGAGAACGTCTTCCATGTTCATCTTGATGGAGAGGGAGGGTACTCCCTTAAAAGATATTTTACGGAAGCCAACATACGAGAAACACGAGTAATGCATGTCATAATGCAACCCCAGGGTTTGTTTTACGGTGACATGGGACTCACGCGTTTCGACTAAAAGTTTCGAACAGCCTTAATATTTCCCCTTGAGAAAACTCTATCCTACCCTACAATGTTGCGTTAATTGCGTTTATCATCGAGGTAGATCAGATGAAGAGAGGACCGCTAATAGATGTCCCAGGTCCAGTAACTTCAGCACCTCTTATATACTCGAACATACGAGGAACACGAGATAAAGCACTGTCAAAATGCAACCTACAGGGTCTGTTTTACGGTGACAGTGCTGATCACCTCCACGCTCTGGTCAGAACAGTCTTTGCGCTAAAGATCCACAGAACCAGGTTCTGAGGGTCTCAGTGAGAGGGAATGGTTGAAGGACCAAAAATTCAAAAGGGTAGGTACGTTTTGGCTGACGCTAAGAGCAAAGGGGTTGACGGTGAACCGGAGCAGCAGGGATGATCAGCGGCGAATTGTCTTGGAATATGCGATGAGAAGAAAGATCGAATACAGCATATCGGCCAATGGCGGAGTGGTATGAACGGATGTATCCTGGTTGGTAGCAGTATGAATTTGTACACTATCCACACTGACTAGCAACAAGTCCAACATATCGTGCCCTTCCTACCAATCTAATCCGTCAGGGCTGTCTGAGATTCACCAACAGATAATTATGGAAGAATGAAATAAAAGAACTCGCGGAACCATCAGTGCCTCGGCGTCGTTTCTTCTGTAGGTCGAGCATCAGCTCACCTTTGCATCTTGCCCACACATTGCTAGCAGAATCAATAGCTCTTGCCCTTCCCATGCTCCGACTGCGGTTTACCACCGTCCAACAACCCAGGTGACTGATCATGCTTCCCCTCTTTGCGAAACCGTTCCATGGGAGTCAACCCTTGGTCATTGCTGCTTCTGGGCTGTGATTGGGGACCCGGTTCTCTTGCATTACGTTGGTGAGAAATATCACCGCCGATGGCCGAATCAGTGGTTGCTCCTGCGTTTGGCCCGGGGGGATCTGCCCAGGCGCCTATGCCACGCAGCAACGTATTTCCGTACGGTCCAGTGAGCCGTTGGGACAAGGCTTGATTAGGGTCTTGTGCAGCGGGCTGATGACGAAGAGTGGTGCCAGGGGTGCCGGAGGTGGCTTTCGGCGTTGCTTGATGTTGATCTGGGGGTTGAGGCCTTGGAGGTCTGGGCTACCTTTGCGGGCCTGGATTTGTCTCAGCGTTAGTCGGCATGATGTGCTGAGCTGAGGATGCAGTGGGAAACACAGGGTGGGGTAAGGATACGGACATTTCTTTAGATGTATTGGCTGACATGGTTCCCAATAGGCTTGAGAGTAGATTTGCTTTAGAGGGGAAGATGCTTCACCGCAGCGGATCACATATGCTGCAAGAGAACATCGAATGCCATGGTCACGGTCTTGCTTTATATACACCTTTGTATGTGCGATATGGAGGTGACGAGGGATTCCTAGAATCAATGCACGGACAAGACTCGGCATGTCTTTTGACACATTCCGGCTCTCCATAGCTGAAAAAGATTTGCTCGATTCCTAAATGACATGAGTAAAGGACAAAGCCTTGGTCGAGACGCATTCCCCAAGCCCACAATTGGACGAGGACTCCCTTTTGGGTTTTTTTTTTCCTTTTTTTTTTTTTTTTCCCCCCCTTTTTTAAAAAAACAAAAAAAAAAAAAGGGAAGGGGCGGGCTTTTTTTGGGGGGGGGGTTTGAAAAGTTTGGGGGTAGGAGAGGAAAAGGGGGGGGGGGGGGCCCCTTCCCTTTTTTTGGAAGAGAAAATAGCCTGAATCCCTGGAACCGACACTAGATTTTTCATCACATCTAAGTCAACCCATGTAATCAAGCAATACCCGTCGATCCCTACAAATGGGCAATCAGGTGGTACGCATGATTTCCAGCACACTTTCCCGGGTTTGAACGCTTGCGATACGATTGTCGATTTGTTTTTGCAGGATTGTATAGGCGTGTTCGCCCGAAACACTAGAACGCTAGCATTACTAGTTTGCATGCAGGACCGTTGACATGAGGTCCAATCAGGTATGGGTTTGCACACAGAGCCATGCATGATGCAGATTCCTGATGTAGGAATCTAGTCAAGGTGGTGTCACCAGTGAGGGGGTACGTAATTCGTAATAGGTTCGATTCCTATTGGCGCTGGTATAATGATGTGGTGGTTTTTTATTTTCTGCTAGGTCGACATGCAGTAAGCGGTTTGCCTGAACCCTCAACTCGCCACTTTTAGGAACGTAGCCTTGTGAGGGAAACGATAAGTTCCTCACCTTTGCCTACAATCTTTCACTCTATTCCAAACTACCCTATTTCCACCCAAATTGCAGTTTACGCTCACGCTTGACGGCCTTTTTGCCAACCAAGAACCCTTTTGCACCGTCTATGATTACAAGATTGATCATCGGACAATGGATACAGGTCCTGTGGACGTCACAGGTAGTTCGTTTGAGCCAGGATGCCCATACCATCCGGAGAGCCTGTTCCATCCTTTGGAGCGAGGCTATCATCCTATCTTCCGTTTTATCGAACATTTCAGCGAGTAAGTCACTGCGGTAAGATGCAAGAGAATTACAGCCACTGACCTTGGCAATAGTGGCTCGGACTATGTGGCGGATTCTTTCGGAGAGCACAACTACATCACCAAGTCCGAGGACCAGTCTTGCTCAGGTGACTGTCGCTGTCGGCGTCTCGATGAGCGAATCGGCGGGAACTCGCCTTCATAGTCCGCAAGACCGTCTCCACAATCGATGTCGAGCTCTCATCCATTGCCCTTCAATCGCGGATTTCCGATATCTTAGGACTAGCTGGTCAAGATCCACCTAGCAAAATTGTTGACGGTTTCCAGCTTCTGGAGAATTCCGGCTTCTTGGAGGTTCATCTTCGGCAATTGCGAGCAGAGACGCAAGGTCACAATCCTATGGGAGTTGTGGCGGACCCAGTATATGTGCAGGGAACGACCCTTGGCCGAACTGGCTTTTCTTGTGGAGGGCCTCATTGGGGATCACCAAATATTCGAAAGCTTCGGTTACGAAAATCTTCATGAAAGGGGGTACTTGACTTATGAACGTTGGATCGCCTGGACCAACTCCAAGATAATCGAGGCCCAAGATCATCTTGACAGGATTCTTCACGCCACTGGTCATTCTGAGGGTGTCAATGATGTCGATACCGCCGTCAATGATAATCTCGCAGAGGAGCCACTCGCACATCCGTCCATGTTATCCGGGCCTTCTTGGAAGCCTCATTTCGTGGGACCCGAAGATCAAGATTCTCGGTCTCTCAGCTTAGCAGCTAGCAGTGGTCTGGTAGCGGAGACCCAACGGCTGTTGGACAAAGGAATCAATCCCAACGAACCTCCTTCACTTTCAACGGACGGTTTCACCACGATATTAGTGGAAGCGATTAGGAATGGCCATCAGCAGGTCGTGAATCTACTCATAGCTTACGGAGCCAATGTCGACGGAGCAAGCCAAGAAGGGCTCTTAGACGAGAGTAACTCGCCATTGATCGCCGCAATCTACAAAGGCGAGAGCGAGATCATTACTCAACTGTTGGATCATGGGGCGAATCTTAGGATCCTCTCACACATCAAGCAAGAAGACCAATGGCTGATCGCCCGATCGCTCATAGACCATGGAGCCGACGGCACATTACTCCTTCTATCATTAGAAGATCAAAAGCTTGCAGACCCTCGACTTCTCTATGTACTCCAGGACGGCGGTGCGAATATCTACTTAACTCGGCCAATTCCAATTCTAACTCAAGATCATGATCTAAGCCTCCGCCTCTCAGTTACGATGTCGCGTACATGCATAACATGTGTGTCCGTACCAGACAGATGATCAGCGCGATTGAAAGAAGCGATCTGGCATGTGTTGAGGCAGAGATTAGCTGCGATGCAGATCCAACTTTTGGCGTTGATGCCGCGATATCGAAGCTTGAACCCAAGGCTTTGCGACTACTGCTTCACAAAGGAGCTGTTCTCAGATACATGGAGTTCGGGAAAAGGCAGGCGTCTCTCCTGGAAGCGATTACAGCCGATGCTTGTCTGATGATGGTGGCTGAGGAGGGATTTACTTCCGCTGTGGGATCTATCTTGCGCTTGAGAAGCTCTGCCAACACAATCGAAGGACGCGATGGCAAGATTTTTCCAACAAACCTCATTCGACTGGAAAGGACGCCAGTTCTGAAGATGCTGCTCAACAAGGGGGTTTTTTGTCGAGACTTTGTCGCTGACAGTAGCGTCTGGTCTCTCCCAGTAGCGGCCAAGAGCTCAATGGATGTATACACACTGCTTCAAAACTTTGGCGCTTGTTTCTCCACGGCGCTATTCGCTGCCGTTACCGCTAACAATCTGACCGATATGAAATCATTGGAAATTGCGGTAATGCTCGTGAAGTATGGCGCAAATCCTGAAATCCATACCGAACGTGGTGACCTTTTCACCACGGCCGAAGAGAACATGTAGTCAGTGTTCACGAAAGCAACAAGCCCCTGCAACCCTGGTGTCCTCGTACCTGCCAATCACTGGTCATATCGCTACCTGAGCTTTTGTGCCAAAGATACTCCACTTGAAACATATATTTCAGAGGACGGCAGTAAAAAAATTTCACATGTAATCAAGGACGCTTCCGAAATCCAGTGACAATTTCAACCGAATCGGACGAAAAATCACTCAATGAAATAAGACTTCGTTGTCTACACCGAGTTTCAGAAGGAGCATGCACATATCCTCGCGTGTGCCCAATCATCAACCGTCAGGAATACTGGAGCATGGGGTCAGTATGGATTCATTCGCAACTACTCATCTGCGTGGAGAAGCGGTGTGCATGCCCTTCGTAGACGTGAAGCCACTTCAAATCTTAACAGCGCGACATGGTTTTTGGCTATTGCAAAAGCTAGACTTGTCACGGAGACAAGTAGTCCTACGGATTGGCAAGTGCAATTTATGTCAGATCTGAACCGCTATCAGGGACTTTTCAGTCAATCGGATGGGAGTCTAGATGCTTTTCGTTCGGCGGCGCAGGATATTTGGGGAGCCAGCCTGACATACCCTCCACATCATGACGGTGTTGATCAGACAACTCTAATGTAATTCCAGTCACTGGCCGGTAGCCTACTCGACGGCTCGGAATCACCTTTGAGACATCGAGGAAATAGCAACCACGGACTTCTCACAAGCCAAAGGAGATGGCGGATGCATCAGCCTTCAAAGCTAGGGAAGAAAGATGGATACCCCAACCCCTTTCAAGAACGGTTGCCTGAGAGTCTTGTCGAACGAGGAGATCCTGCGTACTACTACGCTTCAGGCTCAACAGATTTCCATGAAGGCGGCACTGGGCAGGAGTATGCATCTGACAGTCCATTCAGAGGTACAAGAAATGGTCCACCATATGTCTCAGCTCATTACACCGTAGCGTTAACGATAATGGCGGGTTTCATTTTCGGCGTGGTTCTCGCTTTGTTGCTGGGTAAGATCTTGATTTCCTCAATGGCGTATTTACGCTGAACACCACTGATATATATCTACAGCTCTGGGACAAAGCTTGGTCCAATCAACGTTGAATCTCAATTCATCAGCGCTTAGCGAAGAGGGCCTCAGAGACACATTTACCCATCTCTGCAGTAGCACCGAGTTTCATCTTAGCCATAGCACTCATGGATCATTGGACTTGGTCAAAACCGACATCAACTGTGCCATATCATGCGGTATTCTCAACAGATTTTCCGATCTTTCCAAGTACGTAGAAGAGGCAGATTTTGTGCAGGTACGTGAAGGCCGCATCGAATACCTTTCTGGTCTTCAACACTAACTCATTCAGACGACTTCGATAAACCATTTGAGGCCATCACCATCAAGCAAAGCCTTGTACGTGCCTGCAACATCTGGGATGCATCATATGCTCTTCAAGAAAGGTATCACGTCCTTCGAGCGTTCGTAGGATTACGAGGCTACAAGCGGATTGTCCCACACACAACACGCCCAACCACTTCGGCTGAAGAGCCCCAAAGCGCCTCTCTCGGGTTTGGTGTTTCAATCGACCACGGTGATGGTATCATCGAGTCCTCACGGCTGTGTCAGTCGCTGCAAACCAGCCTTCCAGTTTCACCATCGATTAATTTCAAGTGATGTGGAAATGCAAACACAATCGCCTCCCGGGTATGGCAGACTCTAAGCCTTGAAAGAAGCACTCCGCTAACGTTTGGATAGTCCATCATTTCGTCCTGACTCGCCGACAGTTGCGCCTGCAAGTAACTCATCTAATGGTTCCAAAACCTGCGAAGAGTGCGGTCGAAAGTTTGTAGGCGGCAAGATTGTCAGCAGGTATAACAGACACCGGCAGGAGATTCACGGGGCGCTAGGGGGAAAGGTTCGCTTCCCATGTCAATATCCGCCTTGCCGGAAACACTTCTCCAGAAAATATGCTCTTGACGATCATGAAAGAAATATGCATGGGAGGGTGCTGTCTAGTCGTGCTCGAGCCACTAAATAGGAAGGTGTCGGTTTTCTGTACAGCCAGCCGTAGGCGCCTACCTCATTCTCGCAATGGCGTTTCCTATCCTTCAACTGGTGTCAATCCACCATTAGCTTCAGCACGCATGTATTCCCTCTTCAGCAAAGAGTTAAATGTATCCACGTCCCTTCAAATCTATTCTACACAGTGTAATGCAACAATCCACACTCTTACGATAGCGCGTCTTGTTGATCTCTGAACGAACTCAACAGACTGACTACACCTGCCTACTCTCAGGTCAATAACAGTGATAATCACATCCGAAGCAGATCCTCCGACGGCGCGGTCCTGCGGTTCCTCCAACCACTTTCGTCGTCTCAGCGGCAGCCTTTGTCATGCCACAAGGAAGACAGGCTCGCGCGGTGTAGCGTGGGGGCGAAGTCGATGACGATGGTCTAGGAGATGGCCGGAGCGCAGCGAAAATGATTGGATCTGGGGGTTACAGGATCATCTGGAGTACTCAACTTGTGGAATCAGCATATTTTTACATGAGATACCGAAAGGGCAGATAATTCGTTCCATCTTGATCCTCAATGGTTTGATAGTATCATACTGGGCGATGGAGGGAGATGTTGGATGTTTGAACAACAGTAATAAAAATCCCGCGGGGCCACTAGCAATAACGCTAAGCCCGAACCGCAGAGTACTCGTACCGCTGCCGCGCGCTTCACGCCTTGGCAATATCAAAATCTTCAAAAATTGTTCCCGTCAGCCCGATCAATAGCTGAGAGTACTACCATTGCACCTCAGACTCTTGATATCCTTCCGCAAAACCCCCTCCGCCCCTTCCCCCCACACGTCTCCCCCACGCCCATGGACCCTCACCCGCAACCATGCCCCCAAAACCGAAACCCCAACTAACCCACTTCCTCCTCCTCCCCCTCGTGACACCCACATCGCGCCCACAGCTACAAGCCTCGCTCCAACGCTTCGCCGCCGAAGTCACCACGCCCAACGAGTCCGGCGAAGCCAAACTCCCCGCCAAAGCCATCCGCCCAGTCGGCGCCATCCACCTCACCATCGGCGTCATGAGCCTGCTGACCCCCGAGCGCGTGGCCGCTGCATGCGCCTACCTCCAGAACCTCGACATCCCCGGCATGCTCGCCGCCGCTTCCGTGCCCCCCGTCGTGACGTGGAAACCCCTCAACCCGGACTCCGCAGCCTCCCCGTCCGAACCCACGGACGCGGCGCCACCGCCGTCGCCGCCGCCGCCGCCGCAGGCGTTGGTGACCACCCTCTCAGGCCTCCACACCCACCGCGCCCCCACCGACTCCTCCTCCCTCCACGCCCTCCCCACCCCCGCATCGCCCCCGCTCCACCCCTTCGCCACCGCCCTCCGCGCCGCCTTCACCGCCGCCGGCTTCCTCGTCCCCGAACCCAGACCCCTGTCCCTGCACGCCACGCTCGTCAACACGATCCACGCGCGCAGCGCCCGGAGCGGGAAGATGCGCTGGCGGAAAGGCAGCGCCCGGTTCGACGCCTCGGGCCTGATCGCCCGGTACGCGGGCGCGCGCTGGGCGACGGACGTCAGGGTCGAGAGGGTGGCGATTTGCGAAATGGGCGCGAGGGATGTGGGGGTGGGGGTGGGGGAGGAAGAGGAGGTGTTGGATCAGGCGTACAAGGAGGTGGCGAGCGTGGAGTTGCCCTGAAGATGATTTGGAAGGGTAGAGAGCTGCAGATGGCGGATGCGCTTGGCTTGGCCGGATGCTTCGTAGAGGGTGGGGGGATGCTGGCTGGAGCTTTGAGGGAGGCCGGGCACGGATACCCGTTCGAAAAGGTTCGTGGTGGATACGTTCGCTGCTTGGCCCCACCCTTCGAGATGGTATCCTGGTCTCCGAAACCGGAGTTGCTACTGGAAGATCCTTGGAGACAGAACCTAGGAAGGGACGACGAGCCAGCGCTCTGATATCGTAGCGTTACACACCGTTGTAAGATTCCAAATTTAGACTGAGGCGACCGACTACAGATTCGGAGATCGTTCGTCGAAGGCAAGGAGTGCCCGGGAAAAATAGACTGTTACTTTGAATCGCTGACAACATGGTTATATATGTGTATCATGCTCATTAAAATACATGTCCAGGCGTAAAGACACGAAAAGATCAATCTTCTAGACGGGGGGAATATTAATGCACGCTGAAGCCACGCCAATCAATCATCGCGACTTCTCCGTCTTCATCCCTTTGCATTATACTTATCATTGAACGCATTTACTGCAATCCCAATCTGCTTGTACAGCCAATTCCTACTGCTCTCTTCTGACACGGGAATAAAAGGTCCGTTGGTTCCTCCCTTCAAGGTGACTGACATGCCCGTCCTCTCCTTACTGATCGTCTGGATATCATTCAGCTTGATATCCCACTCGCTCTTTAGCTTCTTCGTCGTGACCAGCATGATGCGGTTGTACGTAAGCATGACGAGCATGTCTTTGCCTGGGAGTTCGAGATGCGCAATGTAGTCTTCGTGGAAGTATTTGCCGTCGTCCAGCGTCTTCAGCCAGAATTGGCCTAGTGCTTCGCGCTGAGCGTATGGACGCACGATGCCATCCATACCGATAAAGCGGGTAAGGCGAACGCGGTCGAGGCCTTCTTGGTCGAAAACAGTGGTGGTGTTGCGGACACCTTCGGCCATATCTGCGATTCCAATCAGCATCATTCCTGACAGGCATGGGGCAGTCGGTACGTACTTGAGGCAAGGTCGAAAGCCCCGATGGCGGGCTTAGTAGCCAGACCCAGAAAACCCTTCCCAACACCTTTTACAAATCCCTGTAGGCCTTCTTTCTCAGCGCCTTGCAATGGGTGCCGTGCAAGACCACCGATACCACTAGCCATGCTGCTTGCGAAAGCGTTTCCTCCAGATGTGACACCGTAAAGTGCATGCTTCGGTCGGTTTCTCGATTTCGACATTCGACGCTGGTCCTGGTACTCCTTGTCTAGTGTGGCAGCAGCCAAGCCCTTTGACATGCTGCCGGTGAATTTGGCCATACTATCAGAGAATCCGAAGACAGACTTCTTGACAAAACTAGATGCGCCCTTTGCTATGCCAATACCCAGCTCTTGCGGCCTGTCAGTCATGACCAAGCCTTGATATGGTTCGTAGAAGATGTCGGCCACTCCAGAGCTGACATTGTTGAAGAGTCCAACGGGATTGCCCAAGAAGTCCGCCGATCCGAGGATAATATGCATCTGGCGGATACACTCTTGAGTGTAATGACTCTGCACGTTGGTCATCAGGTTTGGGACAGAGATACGCGCATTCTCCAACATGAGAGCATTGAATCTCAAAGGCGCATCGTTGACATTGCCGACGGACATTGTCATGATGTTGACGAAGAACATTAAAGGGTTCGATGACGCCTGCGTATCTTCAGCATTGATGCGCTCTGTCCGAACAAAGGACAAGTCCAGCTGCATGGGCTGCAGATGCAGAAACTCGAAGTAGATGTCTTGGCCTTGCTCTTCTTGCTGCGGCTCAGGTATGTCTAAGTCTTCGTCACAGAGCTTACCTTCAGCCTCTTCGGACCAGGAAGCACCTGGGACTTTGGCGAAGTCCAGCATTGTAAAAATGAAATCCTCGTCCAGCTCGATGGTCATTTGTTGCAGAAGAAGGGTGAAGTACTTTATGTAAAGGACACCATACGAGTCGTCCTTGACGCGAGTGACCATAGCGTGGAAGATCGGATGTGCTTCCATCTCTTTGCCGGTCTTTGGCACCACGCTGGGGTATAGCAACATAGGGAAAATGCCACCATAGAGCTGGTTATCGATCTGAATCCATTTGGTAGTCCAATTCAACGTCTGGTACAGCTTCGAGTCGCCATACTTGACTTCGATCTCGCGGAACGTCATGTAAAGCAGCTCTTTCAATTTGGTATTGACCAGCGAGATGCCGATACCAGCAAGACGGAGCTGAGCCTTGAACGTAACCTCGGACTCCATTTCTTTGACCTCAAACCCTGTGTTCACGCTGCTCTGTGACTCGTGGGCCTTTGCAGACTTCTGCTTGTACAAGCTCTTCGATGGCTTATAGTTGGAGAGTACCAGTGTCTGCGTTGGACCATCTGCCGCAATATTGAGGTCGATTATCCTTGGAGGCTTGCCTTGCGCTCCAGGGACCTTCAGAGGAACGAGGTTGCCAATTTCAGCAAGCTTGACACGCCTTTCTTTGCCGTTGGAAGTGATGACTAGCTCTGAGTTCTTAGCTGCAGGATAGTCCCAGGCGTATGGCATGATGCTCTTCGGCGGAAGACGATAGCGTATTGGCTTCCACCCCGAGCCTTGGTCTTCCTCGTCTTCCTCAATGTGAGGATTAGCTTGGTAAAACATGAACTCCAGGTCGCTTTCGTTGCGCATAGAGAAAGGCCAGTGTTTGGTTTCGATGCTTATGTGGAGGAAGATCGTAGCTGCTTCCATGATCACTTCCACGCGGATGAGCTGTTGGCGTTGCCCGGCTTTGGCAAGCTTCACATGAACGGTTCCCAGGTTTGCTATGTTGAAAGGCGAAGACCATTGATTGTTCACACCAGGAAAGCATAAGCATAGCTGCTTTTCGGGCGCCTGCCGCAGAAAATGGAGCGGCAGTCGCTCGCCGTGCTTCATTTTCATGACGTTGGAAGACCCGGAACCAGGTTCGCGGATGTGGACCTCCTCTTTCAATTTGTTGTTCAAAACAAAACGGGGAGCGACAGAAACAATTTTGGTCAGGTTATACTTGCCCTCGCCTTCCGTTACAGAGATACCAACATGCAGCTCAGACTTGGCATTTGAAGATGGCAGAACAGCATCAAAAGCACTACCAATAGCGTCGAAACTTTGCGGCTTGCTCCAAGTCGACTCGCCGACTTTAATATTCGCACGGTTCTTGCGGTCTTCGCTCGGATATGAAAACATGTAAGGAAGAGCTTTTTTACTTCCTCGATCTGAGTCCATGCGCATGCCTTGACCAGCCGCTGACTTGGCTGATGAAAACATTGTCTTGCTTTGGATATTGATGTCGAGACCTGTCTTATTGAGAACCAAGTATGGACTGTATACCGAGACCTTGAAAGCACCACCGCTATCAGGCATGTTGAAGTAGTGAAGCTTGAGATTGAGCTGTATGCCTTGCGGGTCTTTTACAGCTAAGGACTTCTCACGGCGGAAGTCTTCTTGCTGGTTGGAATTGATCACAGCAAATTCGCTTTGTTTGAAGACAGTGTCCTGCATGTCAACACTGAGTAAGAGCAGATGAGATAGTTCGACCACATGCACTGGACTGACTCCCCCTTTCCTAAGGAAGTTGGTCCAGTCTTTCTTCGTGTTCTTATCATAGATCCGGTATTTGAAGTCGTATGGTAGCAGGTTCTGAAGCTCGATCGGCGCATGAAGCTTGATTCTCATGTAAGGGTACACGCTGGTCATAGGGTCTTTCTTGTCGTAGGATGCATTCATCTGGAAATAGAATGGTGGTGATTGCTCACTGCTCTCACCTTTACATGTGATGGTTCTTGTAGGCCGCTTGAGCAGGTCCTTCCAAAACAGCCGTTCGTTTGACCAAGAATAGCCAAAACCCTGATCAGGCCGGACGACCAAAGAATGCATGAAGGCAGCACCAATAGGAGCCGGTCGAGCATCGCCAGGAGCAATCTTCTCAATTTTGAGTAGATGCCCTTCTTCAGGGCTGAAGACGCCGATCTCCACCGGTATTTGAGTGTTATTCTCAACGACCAAGGGGGACCGAAAAGTGATGTACTTGACATTGTCGCTGCCAAGCTTGACCTCGACCAGCAGTCGATGCAGAACCTTGTCTTTCCGTGGCTTGAGATTGTACAGCGTCTCGCCCTCGCGGTTCACGGCGATGCGCTCAACGCTATCGAAGCCGCTTCCTTCAAGCTTTATTCCCACGATGCCGGTGTTGCCTTCCGGTGATAGATTCTCACGCATTGACGTTGGATCTTCGAACCGCCATCCTGACTCCTCGCCATCGCTGAGCTTGGCAGCGGATCCCTGGTCTTCTTCATGAGTAGCTGCCCAGACACTGAGGTCGAATCCTGTGTAATTGCGAATCTTGTACGGCGCGTCTGATGCCCGTGGCTTCGAGAGGACATCCTCGTCTGTGGACAAAAATTGGGCAGACTTGGAGGCAAGTGCAATGGTTGCGGAGGTTACTGTGAGCTCCATCATCTTATGCGAGTAGATCTCAACCGAAAGACATTCCGGATTTGTTTCCTTTGACATATGAAAGCCTAGATTCCACGGCTCGATCAGCGGTTCCCAGGCGGACTTGGAGAAGTTGTAGACATTTATGTATGTGTCAAAGCTAGTATCCCCTGTCATCGCGCTGGACCAATCGCGCACATCCACGTTGAATTTCTTGACGCTCCAGTCGAGGAGGGGCAATTCATGTAGATCTCCAATAAGGATGACTCGGATTCCATCAACTGTAGCGGTCATCTCTTCACGCTTCATCACTATCGAGCTTTGCGGTGGTTTTGCGGTTTTCTCTGCGGATTTCTTATTTGCGATAGACTTGGAGGTCTTCTTCGCCACCGTGGAAGTTGGCTTTCCAGCAATTGACTTGCGCTTCGTTGATGCTGCTGCCGTCCGAGTGATCTCCTTGATCTTGGCTGGTTCCGTGTCCTCCTCTTTTTTATCAGCGCCACTTATATTGTTGGCCATTTCGGATGCCTTATTAACAATTTGTAGCGCAAGCAAGATGTCGCGAAGAGAAAGTCTCAACACTAGAGGCTCAAGCTCTACCGAGATGCTCGTCAACGAGGAGTTTTTACCTTGGGAGCGACTGTCCATTGACATGGTGATCGAGAAGTCATCGAGGATCCGTAGACGGGTAGTTTCAAACTTGTCCATACGGCACAGGAACATGCCAACTTTAGTGATCTGGAGCGTAGAAGCATTCTGTTGGGAGACGAGGACTTGCTTCGTTCCAAGCACAATCGCCTCAGAATTGGAGATTGTAGGGTTTGCGATCAAGATGACCTGCGCGTCCACAATGTTGACGCGGAAAGACATACCCATGGAGCTCTGTGCCGCGGGCTCAGCTTCAGGTTTTTCCTCCAAACCTCTCCCTTCACCATCGACTGGCGTACTGACACCGCTATCGGTATCGTTGACCATCAGAGCTTCTTGTGAAGCGTCCTCGACCTCCAGCTTTTCCTCATTTGGAAATGCACTGTTGGCGAAAGCTTGCACTGCCAGAAGATAGTCTATGGCCATGATGACCCGCGGACTGTCAACCGTGAGCATAGCAATCATGTGTTTGTCGTTGCCGCCAGATATCGTTACACTGGCCATGAACTGCTGCTTTACGTCATCATTGATCAAAGACATGATCTTACGGAACTTGTTGGTTTCGTGCTTTCTGCTGTCTGTGATGGTAAAGGAGTTGATCAGAAGCTCAGACTCTAGCGAGTCATCCGTCTTCATGCGTAACTTGACCTTGGTGTCATTCAGGGCAAATTTAGTCAGACTTGCAGCTTCGATGTCTCCAACAGGCTCGCCTTCCTTGGCCAGAATGAGCTCCAGAGCGATTGTAGGCGCGTCGAACACAAAATCGAGCTTCGTCCAATTGTCGGGGCTCGCATCGAGCTCGGGCCCTTGGTGGGTAGGCGATGAAGGCTTCTTTTCTTGACCGACGGTGTTTTCAGTCATCTTCTTTGCAGGCTCCACAGTTGATTTGGGAAGCTCTTCCATAACTTCCTCTTCATTTTGGTCAGGGTCCGCAGCAAATGCAGCCGGTACAGTCTTTGAGAGCTCCATGAGAAATTTCAGCTCCGTTTGTGCGACGCGCAAATTGATACGAGACATCTTGCCTTCTATTTCCATATCTGGGCGCTTTGAGCCTTTTTGGTGCTCGGCGGAGGTTACCTTAAAGTCAAGGTCTACTTTATCGATCATTTCCAGCTCCTCAGATTGCTCGTTGTTATAATGGAATTTGGAAGTCAAGCGCACATTCCTGATACCGGCAGATATCGTGTTTCCTTCGATCGTTTTGTCAAGTGTCACGAATTCGTTGCTGGCATAGATTTCGCCAAGGTAGGCCGTCAGCAGGTCGCGAGGCTTGTCTGCCTGCATAACCCGAGGGAAAACGAGAATTGGAGTCTTTATCAGAACGTCGAAATGCATCTTGCTTGTGCTCTCCTGCATTTGGCTTGCCTGATTGGCCGCGGCCTCTCTTGCGGCATTGAAAATCGCTTGCATTTTGCCAAATTTGACAAGGAAGTTGATGATCTTGCGGAAAGGTTCTTCAAGGAAGTTGACTTTGATTGAACCAGATCTGAGATAGATTTTGGTATCGTAGCCCGGGTAGTCTTTGTCCTTTGTATCAAAAGTCTGATACTTGAAGTCGGCGAGCTCATTGCCTTCGATTGCCACCAATTGACGCAGAGGGGAATCCTCTGAAGCCCCCTGATTTATGTCGTCCACCAATGACAGATTTCCTAGTCGGGCTCCAACACGCATCGAGCCGCCACTCAAGAAAAGGCCAACGTCGGCTGTGTGCAAAGTGAGTGTTGCTAGGCGTATCCCATCGTTGTTCAGAATGAGGGCGACGCTTTCTAGATCAATCTTGATGCGAATCTTGTCTGAGCCAGGAGACTGCGCTGTGGTAGGACCCTGAACCTTCTTGGTCGAATTTTCAGTGTCTTCGATGACCTTTTGCGACTGCGCTGACTCATCGGGAGCAGCAAACGTGGTGAGGACAAAGTCCAACAATGTCAACAGCGTTTTACGCGTTACCACCAAGTTCAACGTTGAGATCGATACATCCAAGTTTGTGGCGATGCTCTCATACGTGGAGTCAAATTCCGGGGAGTCATTGTTGACCTTGACAAATTTGACATTGAAAAGATCTTTCTCCTCTTCGGCACCAAACACTTGGCTTGAGATGATCTTCTTAAATTCAGGGCTGGGATCTTGATCAATATAGTCCTCCACGTTTAGCGACTTCAAGAGTACTTCTGCGACCATGTCGTAAGGCCTAAGGTAGAACTGGAGTTGGAAATTTTCCGCGACAAGCTCCACAAGCAGCTCATCTGGCTTGCGGTCTTCGGGATCAGATCTATACAAGGATCCCTGTAACTTATCCACCGTGAACTTGAACTCGAAATTCCGCTGGTGGAGATTGATCTCTTCGCCTTCGGGTTGTTTTGAGGTATGTTCAGATTTCTTGTCGCTCCCTTCGTCCGACTCATCCTCAACATCGAGATCGTGTTGGTTTGTTGAGACTGATTTTGACCGCTCTCTACCCATGACAGCCTCGGCTCTAGACTCCTCCCTCGAGGAGCCTTTATTATTTGTAGGTGCCTTTGTCCGACCATCCAGTGATTCGTCAGTCTCAAATTTAGGAATTGCAATATCGATCAGCTTCATCAGATTCTTGTATTTTTTGTCGGATATCGAGGCATGTAGGATTGGCAGGTGGCCTGAGATCCTCGTTTTCGTCAGATCTGTAGCTTTCGGAATAATCGACGTCTCGAGTGTGAAGTCCATGTTGATACGATCGATGATATGCATATTCTTGGGATCATTTTTAGCATTCAATTGGTCCTTGGTAGCTTGGATACCCGGACCAATGAGAAGCTGCGTTGAATCAAGCTTCAGCAAGAATTTGTCGTACATCAGACCCTCCAGTCGCCGAAAGTCTTCGTCGCTGTACTGCTTCTTCTGTTTTGACTGGATGTCTCGCATGGTCTCCTTGTCCACAAGCTGGCTGTTGAGGCTGACATGTCCTGCATCAAGAATCAAGCACAAAGCACTTTCTTCAGTGATACTCTCGGGAATGATGATTAAAGGAGCTTGAATGTCGAGATTTGCGTTCAGTGTCTTATGTTCCTCGAGTGCGAACTCTAGACCGGCCCTTGTCTGCTGTCTGATGCCCTCAACTGTTGCACCTGCGGTTTCCATCAGAGCCCCAATAGATTCCATATGCCGCTCCGGTGGTTTGAAGAAGTTCGCCACTTCCACAATGAACCGAGGATTATAGATGACTTCTATGCTCTTAAGATTCATCGTGAGAGCATTATCGGCGCTTTCATCCAGAGGATTCTGCTCGAAGATCATGTGGAACAAGGCCTCCTCGACTGCTTTCGTCTTGGCCTTTTGCAGGTCTGGGTGTGCATCCTCAGCAGCGACATCTTCGATTGAACCCTTGACGCTTCCGGCTGTGGGATCCTTGAAATTGACGATTTGGGGGAATAGGCTTCCTTCCGTTGTTCCATCGTTGATACGCAAGCCTCCGAGACTCAGATCAGCCAAGAAAGAGTCTGGACGTTGTATTGCTTTGGCTTGGAAGTTATCGAACATCAGGCTCAGAATTTCAGTCGCTTTGCCATGAGGATCTCGTTTGAGCGTGAAGCTGCCTGTCTTGAGGGAAGACTCAACTTGCAATTTAACGCTCTCTCTGGGAAGATCTACACTATCGGCAATTGCCTTCTTCTCGTCCCAATCTATTGCACTGTAGAGTTCTTTGCGCTGCTCCTCAGTCATGGTTGAGTCGTCGTCCTTGTGTTGGTCTTCCGGTTTCTTGCCCCAAGCCCATTGAGTCCAGCTCTGTTTTGGAGCAGGTTTCTTGACACCGGCATTCTCTTTACGAAGCTCATTACGAGCCAGGGAACGCCAGAAACGGAGGTCCTCGTAGCTTAGCTTCTTCTCAAGCTTGGCCAGCTCTTCCGTTTCGGCAGGGGTCGTCTTCTCTTCCTTCTTTTTCTTCTTGAACAACTCAATGTAGCGTACACGATCATCCCGTCGCTCCTTGATGTAATCCCAGGAACACCTTCGATTTCGTTCCTGAATTTTGGTGTAGACGGCTTGGAATGCGAAGTGAAGCCAAGCCTTGGGGTCCTCCTTTGGCGTGCTTTTGGGCTGAAGTTTCTTATACTCTTGATGGCGAATGAAGGAGTGGAAGAGATCAACCATCATCAATGCATCTCTGTATTGATCGTCGTCTAGTACGAAGCCTAGCTCGTTGAACAGTAGGCGCGCCTTGATCTTTGGCTTGTCGACCTTGCCTGACTTATCCAACTCGACCGCAGCGCGACCAGTGACCGGCTTCAGCATGTACTGGTGCTTTTCACTCTCGCCCGTGTGTTTTCGGAATTTCTCGATTATGCCCGCATGATCATCACCTTGTGCCTCAGCGCCCACTTCCTGGCCGTTGCCAGTGCCAAACAGTGTTGCATCCGTATTCCAGTAGAAGGCCAGTGCATTGAGAACAGCCAATTTGTTCGTGGTACCAGATGTAGACTGTACATAACTCGGCCTCCAGTTCCCGTCTGTGCTCACTGCACTGAATTCTTGTAGCGTCAGACCCAAGGCAAACGGATGGCCTGGTGCAGCAATGGAGTCCTCGTATCGAATGTGTATATTCTTTATGCTGACTTGAAGGTTGTCGACAATGGCGGTAGTGACGCTCTCTGTAAAGCTTTGGCTTTTCTGTTGCTCCTCTTGGCTCTGACCCTCAGTGTTCTTCGCCTTCAAAAGCTCCGCGTTCTCTAACTTCTCAAGCTTGACGGCGTTGGTCCTCTCCAACTCTTCCTCTTCGTTGTACTCTGCGTCTTCTTTCGGGGCAGCGAGGAGGAAGACATCTTCGATGTTGACTCGGACTGGTTTGCCTCGTAGATTTGTCCATGGTATCGTCATGGTCAGCTGGCCCAGATGACCTTCGACAACGTTGACGGGCAGTTTGAGCTGATCCAGAGCTTCTCGCCGCAGCTCGAGGTTCCGTAGTTTGACGTCGCCATTCCATATCCCCACGTTGAGCTGTTTGGCATCGAAGTTCTTGACGTACATGCCCAAAAACCTGTTGAGCAGGTTTGCAACAAGACCTTCCAGCATGATGGCGGTTGTGGCCTTTGCCCTGGCCAGGAACGAATTGTGGGATTTGTCTGAGGCCTTGAAGATGCCTCGGAGGGAGGATGTTGGTTTCGAAACGTTCAGTCGTTGCTTTTCGAAGTCATGGCGGACGAGGCAAAGCAAGGTGACAGTGATGCTCACGATGCTTGCTGCCGGGTCAGTGAATCCTCTCCAGTGCTCGAAAGATGGTCGCTGGCTGGGAAAGAGCGTTGTAGAGAGGTGCGGGGGGTCATTTGCTGGAGATGCGCGGTCCAGTCCGCCGCCTACAGAATCTGGGCATCTACTAAAGATCCGCGTGCATTATGTACGTGCCCTGCGATAAACCACACCCTCTACTTCCATGAGTCTCTTGACACAATATCAGCTACAAATTCTGGACACTCTTCGGGCTGTGCATGTGAATTTACCCGCAAATTCGATGCCATGTCTTCTTCAACGATCGTTGACGATGCCATCTGGGCACAAAGTGTGACGTACTAACGTACTGGTTTACGTAAGTAAACTCTTGGCGCTGAGCTCTGGTGGTTTTGAGGAGGAACTGCAACACCTCCTACGCTCGTTCTGCCCTCCACGTCCACCATCCCGACGACCCATTGAGAGGCTCTAATAACCTCAGTGAGCCACAGGAATTAGATCCCCGTCGTCTGAATTTAGTTGGCACGATGCTTCGATCTGGGGGTGCTACCTCCCTTAGCCGGGCGTCCCTCCGTTGTGTATCGTCTACCAGTGCCCGCACCACATCGAGCCTCGCACACGCGTCGGCTTTCCCAAAACAAGCTTCTCGCTTCATCGGTGCCCAGAATCGAGCTCCATTAGCATTGGTACCCCACAAGCCTTTCAGCACATCACTCCAGCGATACGTTACCCATCCAGGGAATCCTTTCGACAAGATCGATAAGAAGCATGAGGAGGTAGTGGAACACGAGAAGATAGAACCGCATCCTGAGGAGGTGTCGTCGACTTCCACCGTTCATCAAGTCTTTGGTGAGAAGGGGGTTGAAGAGCAAGAGAAGGATGAGGACATGCTAGCTGGTGTGAAGGCTGATTTTGTGAGTTTCCCTCGTTTGGCTAGGACAACGCACTTATGACTGGGCCTGCAGAAAACCATAAAGGATACCTTCGCTCTAGATGAGGTTCCTAGAGAAGCTCTCGTCATTGGAATGGCTGGCGTGCTTCCCTACCTTGCCACCTCGCTCTCGACTGTCTATCTCGCCTTTGACATTAATCATGCCTCTGAAACTGGCTCGGGCTTCTTGTTCTCTCCACATGTTGCCGAGCAACTCCTACATATCATCGAGCCGTTGCAGGTTGGGTATGGTGCAGTGGTGAGTACTCGGTAGTCATATCACCCCGATGGCTCACGCGCTAACATGCACAGATCCTGTCTTTCTTGGGGGCCATCCATTGGGGTCTAGAGTGGGCCAAATACGGCGGTGTGCATGGCTACCCACGTTATGCCTACGGAGTCATTGCCCCAGCAGTCGCATGGCCTACGATCTTACTGCCCATCGAATACGCTCTGATTTCTCAGTTCTGCGCTTTCACATTCCTCTACTTCGCAGACGCAAGGGCTGTGGTTAGAGGATGGGCACCGCATTGGTACTCGACCTACCGCTTTGTGCTTACGTTCATCGTAGGCGCCAGCATCGTGGCCAGCTTGATTGGCAGGGGACAGATCGCAGACCAGATCAATAAGCTTCCTAGCCCAGCTGACAGGGTCAAGGCCCTCAGAGATATGCAGTTGGATGCCATGGAGGCTGAAGAGAGGGAGAAAATGGCAAGAATCGCTGCGGAGGACGAAGAGGGAGGAGACGATGACGAGGAGGAGGATGGAGATGATGAAGAGGAGTAGAGACAGGAATATCACATGCTGCCCGCCTTCTGTAAATACTGGGTTTATAAGGCAAGAATTAGTTTCAGTATATTCACATGCAGGACGTGTGCCAAGGAAAGTATTATTGTGCAGATCCGTACCCCAGTTTTAAGTCCAGAGGAAAGAGCAATCTGCAGCAGGTATGACTCTCCCTGCATTATATTTCCTTACTATTTTTACTTCAACATCAGTGACGACTGAGATATCGCCTACCGACTCTCATCCAATCTTTCATTTTGTCCATGAGATGGGCTGTCAAATTTGAGCCGATAGATCAGCGACCCGCTGGTCCCCCACCGGCTTTTCGATACTCTAACACTATTCATCAATGACTTGAGGGGCTCCTGAATCTTGACACGTGGCGATACGTTGATGATGAGGTGCCCGAATGTTATGAGGCTTTCGCGATGAGCAGGAAAGGTGCCGCAGCTTTGTTGTGAAAGAATACGAGCTGTGTGTCAAAGGGTTTGTCTTCCGGAGGAAGGATGGGGAGAGGTGAAGGTCACTGACGGCGCTCCTGAGACGTTTGGGATCATCGGTCGATGCCGTTTGCATTCTTCGCTGGTTGAAAAGGCAATAACTTTCTTGGGAAGCATCACCAGACGCCCGTATATTATCTTCTGCGGCCTGCATAGTCGCATGAGAATATGTGTTGGAGTTGCTTTTGCTAGGACACTTGCGCTGTCACTAGGACCAGTACTGGCTTAGCTGGCTGTCACTGTCCTTGACCTCTCCTCCTCGAGGTGTGTACGAGTAATGTGACTGTAAAATATCTTGAAATCAACAACCACCAAATCGTGAAACTGTAGAGGTCTGTTCGTCATCCGAAGGCGCTGAAAGTGAGGCCGTTTCTCGCTTCGGCACATTCATCCTCTTTCTTTTTGGTTTGGTCATCACACTGGAGACCTTTTATAGGAGTCTAGTCTGCGGGTATGGCCAAGGTCTGTCGCCCAAAAACTTCGAGGCTGGCGGCTTCCGGGGACCGGCTAGAGTATTAGAGATGACATCAATGTGAGTAGCCAGGTAATGTAGGGAGGGTGTCTCGTTACTATATATTTTCCGTGCTTTGATGTCTTCTCCCCTTCATCACTACCAGGGATACTTATAATGTCTGCTAAATCTGCAAGACCCACTTATGATGCGGATCAGATTTCAAAGTATCTCAAGCACATTTCTCTGCCTGAAGATTCCAAAGATCTATTTCATGCACCGGGAAAATTGCATCATTGCAATAATGCCCTCAAGTTCCTCACTCAATTGCAAAGACATCAGATAGCTACCGTCCCGTTTGAAAACTTAAGCTTACATTATTCTCGAGATCATACGATTTCTCTAGACCCAGGCTACTTATTTAACAAAGTGGTTGACCGAGGCCATGGAGGCTACTGTATGGAAAATAACTGCTTCTTCGGTACCGTACTGCGGAGTTTGGGCTTCAACGTGTTCAGTGCTGGTGCCCGAGTGAATACAGGGGCCAATGGGACCGGAGAGGATAGGTGGGAAGGCTGGTCCCATATGGTTAATATAGTCACGCTTTCCTCCGGCCAAAAGTACATGCTCGACGTGGGCTTTGGCGGCAATGGTCCAATCCAGCCGCTGCTGCTCAACCCGTCTGCTGCTCCCACTCAGCACATAGCGCCAGCGGAGGCGAGGCTCGTCCACGAGAATATTCCTCACAACACCGACCCAAATCAAAAACTTTGGCAATATCAACACCGCATCGACCCGCAGTCAGAGTGGCAGACAATGTACTGCTTCACCGAACTCGAGTTCCTCCCCAAGGACTACGAGGTTATGAACTTTTGGACAAGTCAAAGCCGGAAGAGCTGGTTCACGTATAGTGTTGTAGCTGTGAAGATGATTTTGGAGGGGGAAGATGTGGTGGGGACATTAGTTTTGAGTGGGGGTGACGTGAAGAGAAGGGTGCAGGGGAAGACGGAGCATTTGAGGACGTGTAAGACGGAGGAGGAGAGGGTACAGGCTTTGCGGGATGTGTTTGGGTTGAGATTGACGGATGAGGAGAGAAGAGGGATTGGAGGGATGGTCACTGAGTTGAAAGAATGAAAGAGTAGATGGAGGATCTGATCGTAATGTGTTCCATGATTCGGGACCTAGTATATGCGCTTCTCCGTCTGTTTGTTGTCAACGAATGCGTGGCTTCCGCAGGGGCAAGGATGCATACCCGCCAAGGATTGTTCAGCTCGAAACCTGGAGGCGCGACCACCTTATCGGTTTGCCCTCGTAGATATCCCGTCAACCTCCTGTCCCGATCCATCACTGCCAATCGTGTAAGCTAGAGCTTATGCCGCCTATGGGGGTATGTATGCGCACTCTGCCTGTCCCATTGGTCTATCGAATGCCTTGCTCTCTTCCCTCCATTCTGCATGTGTCTGATCTTGGAAAGGCCCGCTCCTGAGATGCCGAACATCTATGAGATGTGTCAGTGCCCGTGTCTTGTTGAGGGGTTGAGAGATTCGTACGGCAAGCATGATCCCAAAAGGAAGGAGAGCTTCGAAAGGGACACCCATATTGGCTACGGCTTCATCAAAAGATCGATAGGTGACGTCTGGGAGTCCTGTAAGACTCGTGATCGCGCTACTGCATGCAGAGATACAATTTGACAAAGATAAAAGCGTTCAATGAGGAGGGGTCAAAATCGCGATGAGGTGAATTTTGAGCTTAGTACGTGGTACGATTATTACCGGTATTTTATAAAGCCACCAAAAACTGATCCAGCTATATCATCTCGGCAAATCACTTTGACAAAGATATTGTGCGGGCAAATATTATCTTCTCATTGACTCGAATAAGTTTCAAGGCGACGGCATTCCTTCAAACTTATTCGTTGTGGGACTAGCTCAAATCGTTGCACTTGGAGGTAAATACGACTAGTCAGCGCGAGCTTGGCCGCCGTAGAACCTCATTTCATTGTAGGGGCGGCAGTAAAGTCGCTCTCCCCGGTCTACGATCACCTTTGCAGCTCTGTCAAGGCCAAATTCACGCGTCGCAAAAGCCTTACGAATCTATTGAGTCGGGATCCTGCCCCAAAGCGCGGGTTCACCACCAAGAATTTGCGCGACGGCCGCGGTTGAGAGACCTGGGCAAACTCTGCTGACAGACCATATCCACCATCGTATCCAGCATTCCTCTACTTTAACAAGCGCCCATCCTGCTACTCTAATCGCGAAGAACTCCGAGGGTGCCGACTTGGATGGTTGTGGCCAAAGACAAGGATCCTTCGCTGGCCTGAGCCCCACCGAATCCTTGAGCTTGATCCACCTTACCCCACCTGCCTCTCTCGCTATTCCTATCGTCTACGAGTGGGGAAACATGTCATGATATGAGGCTGTGGTAGCGCAGTCAAGCTGTAGCCACGCTGGCGACTACTGTGTTGACGATGGCCGCGGTGGCAGCGCCGTTGGAGACTCGGACTCGAAGTATGGCATACGATGCGATAGGCAGCGATATGGATGCCGAGGGTGACGAGGAGTCGGCAGATGAGGTAAATGCGGAAACACCAGCCGCAGGCGCAAATGAGGAAGATGAAGAGGATGAAGAGGAAGACTCGGATCCCAATGTGGAGCCTGACAGCGATGAGGAAGAAGAAGAGGAGGAAATCGATATGAAACCCTCGGTCAGAAGTTCCGCAAGAAACCGAAAAAGAGCGAAGGATGCGGAGAGTGATGCGGAGGAACCTGCGTCAGATGTGGAGGAGAGCAGTGCTGCGGAAGATGATGACTCAGACAAGGCCTCGAGTGATGCAGAGTCGATGGTCGCCGAACAATGGGAGGCTGCGAGTGAGGGCGCATCGGGTGCCTCGGTGGAAGTTGCGAATCGCAACAACTGCGTGTAACTCTTTTCCGGAGAACATCATAACCCTTTTTCTTAAGCTGATCGAAACACAGGTTCTGCGGTAACGATGAAGAAAACGACCCGAGCGAAGATTTTGAAGAATACATGGCATGCTCTGTTTGCGGAGATAACTGTAAGTGATAAAGAATGTTTGATATCCAGAAATTCAAAACAAGCTTTACGTTGATCTCCCGGTTGTTCCTAAACCCTCGAGCTAACCACGAGCCTGCAGCCCACCGGCAATGTGCCCGAGACGCCAAATCTTTCAAGTCAACCGACGGTAAGTCAAGACTTGTCACCTTCCCCTCCGTAAATTAATGGCAACTTATATTTTCCAGATCCCTCAGAGTGGAGATGTCCGGAATGTATTGACAATGCTCTTGAACCTTCAACTCCTGGAGCTGCCTCACAGCGAAGGTCATCAGCTACCAAGTTCACCAGAGACCTATTGCCCCAAACGCGCGGAGGGTCAAGACCTGGCTCTCATAATGTCTTCAACAATCTCATTCTCGATGACGACCCTTTGGACGGCTCTCGCTCATTGCGAAAACGCAAAGCTTCATCAGAACAACAAGAGGATGAGCCCAAGAAACGATCAAGGAAGAACAGCGTGTTAGCTAGAGATTTAGAATCCGCGGGCCTCATCCCAGGTGGGCTTGCTGAGGACGAGGATGAGGTCGACGAAGCTGAACATGCAGACGACGCTGATGCAAGCACCTCGGCTAGACCACCAAGGTCTTCGCGATCTTCTAAGAGACGAAAGTCAGAAGATATCGGCCGTGGGTCTGCATCGATAGTCAAGAGAAGCACAGAAAGTATCGTGGTGTCTTTTCATTTGAACCCAGCACAGCTTGCCGCTCGGCTTGAACCAAAATCCAAAAAGAAAAAACCACGCCCGCGAGAGTCAACCACTGAAGTCCAACGGGAGCGTGAGCGCCCAGCACCTGTAATCTCCACCCACTATGCAACACCCTTTTACGCCTTCCATGAACGTGAGAATGATGAGCTGAAATCCAAACCATACGGTGGTGTTTTATCCGAAGCTGACGCTGACACTTCAAAAACCCTGCCCTTGCAAGCTGATCGGGCAAAATTTAATGAAGCTCGTCAAAAAGCTGAAGACGATTGGAAACAGAAGCTTGCAGCTTCTGAAGCCGAGGGCGAAACAAAGGCCCGAACACAAAAATTGGCGGGGCCGCCAAGCAAGATCAAATGCGTCAACTTTGGTGGATATGAGATAGAGACCTGGTATGCTGCGCCATATCCAGAGGAATACAGTCGAAATCGCGTGCTATACATTTGCGAGTTTTGTCTGAAGTACATGAATTCGGATTTTGTTGCATGGCGGCACAAGCTGAAATGCCCCGCGAAGCATCCTCCCGGGGATGAGATCTACCGAGACGGCTCTATATCCGTCTTCGAAGTCGACGGCCGCAAAAACCCGGTCTATTGCCAGAATCTCTGTCTGCTCGCCAAACTCTTCCTAGGATCCAAGACTCTTTACTACGACGTGGAGCCATTCCTCTTCTATGTCATGACTGAGTACGATGAATATGGTTGTCATTTTGTCGGCTACTTTTCCAAGGAAAAGCGGCCCAGTAGCCTTAACAACGTATCCTGCATCCTGACACTTCCTATACACCAGCGCAAAGGATATGGCAATCTCCTCATCAGCTTTTCTTACCTCCTCACTCTCGTGGAAGGCAAAACTGGATCTCCAGAAAAGCCTCTCTCCGACATGGGGTTGGTTTCCTACCGTAACTACTGGCGCCTCGTCCTCTCGTACGAGTTGGTCGACAAGAAGACACCAATAAGCATAGTTGAGCTTTCAAAGCGAACTGGCATGACGGCCGACGACATAGTCGCTGCATTGGAAGGTCTAAGGGCGCTCGTCCGTGATCCAACCACCCACTCGTATGCCTTGAGGCTCGACCATGACTACTTTCGGCAATGCATCGAGGATTGGGAGAGCAAGCAGTACGTTAATATTAATCGCGATGCTTTAGTTTGGACCCCATACATTATGGGCCGCAACAATCTCGCGCACTACGACACTGCACCAGCGCTTCCTACTATTGCGCCTAGAGAAGACGAAGAGGAGGATAAGGGAGTAGCGCCAGAAGAGGGCGTTCAGCAGACTGCTAAGGCTGATGCTCTGGCCGCTCACGCAGCCGCCAGCAAAGCTATTGAGAGCGCGATCGACGACGCGGACGACAGTCAACCGAAACTCAACGGAAATGCCAGCGATTCATCCAATGCAGCCGATCAGATGGACCCAACTCTTGCACAACTACACGCCCAGCTGGGCTCCACGCCTCATTTAAATCGTTCGTCACCCAAAAATACACCCACCAAACCCATACCACCATCTCCGGGACCAAATGGCATCTCAAATACACCATCTCTGCAATCCACTCCCTCTATCCCACCCACCCGATACGAAGTGTTCCCTCCAATCCCTGGCACGGCCCGTCCGCGACGGGGTGGATGGCGAGGAGGTCCACGCAAGTCTGCACTAAACGGTGCAACTACCCCGAGTGCCACACCTACTATGAGAAGGGCTGCCACTGGCTTGGGGATCGGCAAGGGTAAATCCGCAACCCCAGGCACACTGGGCCGCCAGAATCGAGCGGCATCTGCTACGCCTCGGCGGACGAGACATAGCGACGAGGTCAAGAAAGCCCAAGAAGCTGAATCAGAAGAAGAAGAGGAAGATGAAGAGGAGGAAGCCACAAAAGGTGGCGTCGAGATTGATGCACCAGGCGACAAGGAAGTAGATGGCGAAGAAGAGGACGACGAAAAAGATGCAGAAGGTGACGAGGATATGGAAGATGCGGAAGGTGAAGAGGTGTCTCAGGCTGAAGAGGCCGAGGAGGCAGCCGCTGATGCAGACTTCGACGTCGAAGACGTAGAAGAGAGCGAGGCCGAAAGCGAGGAAGATGATGCGATGGAGGACTAAAGGACGGGCTTGTCACGATATGTTTGTCGCACGCATGATGGGATCTTAGAGGGTTCTTCCACTAGGGTGGGGCGCTTCAAAGGCAGTCTGATCTCATGAAGGTCACACGGGATTTCCCATGCACTGTAGTCTACCTAGGCGTCCGATGCTCAATTCGATTCAATTGTAATTATGATACCCTACGCTTTGATTTGACTAGGCTTGTTAAGATTCATCCTTTGCTTTCTACAGGCAGAAGAGCAATGTTATTGTGGCTGTGTACTTTCAGCCTTACGGCTACTTCCCGAAAGACCAATCGCTAGGCTTCTGGGACCAATTTTTTTTTTTTTTTTTTTTTTTAAATAATTTAATAATAATTTTTTTTTTTTTTAAAAATTTTTATAAAATTTTTTTTTTTTCCCCTTTTTCCCCTTATTTATTTTTTTATTTTTTTTTTTTTTTTTTCCCTTTAATTTATACAATACTTCAATAACACTTCTACATTGCACCCTGCCGCCCTATTATGCAACACTACTCACCAAAAAAAAATAATATCTATTCATAAATTTGAAGCATCCCCTCTTTCACCTTCCCAAAGACCAATCGCTAGGCTTCTGGGACCACCAGCTTCTCTCTGTTCTCCATCTTCCCTTCTACCACCGTAGTCAATTATCTGGTCTCTGCGTACGCTATATACTAGCCATATCTACTGTTTTCAGTATCGTTCCCCAGCTTTTTCTGTCCTGTTGAGCCTCCGGCATAGGAAGTCGTCCGCAAACGGCGATGCTGAGACACTTCCCCACTCCCAACATAGATCGGATACGGTTGCAGAGTTGAAGCAAGGCAAGGAAAGAATGATCGATACTGAATTCGCGACAGAGTCGAATGCTGTCCGCTGGTGGCGTTCAAAGCATAACAACCACAGCCAATTCAGCGAGCCTTGGCCGACAGGGTCGATTTGGAACGTTATCATTCCCACCTGGGGTGTTGAAGGGATCGCTATCCTTACTTTTCCCCTTCTGATTCTCTCTTATTTGCTTCTCCCAAGGAAAGCGCAGTCCAATAATTTTGAGTATTCCTTAATTTATAACATGAGCCTTGCCACCGTTGGCGCCGTTGTCCTCGTTCTTTGTATCGTGGCGTATGCTATGTCGCACGCTACGGACTCAGACGTCGACCTGCATGATCCAGAGATCTTCCAGGAACGCAAAAACTTGTACCGAAACAAGCGAGATGACTTCAGAAGGAATTTTCGGGCCATGGAGGAGCTGAGGGAGTGGAAGGCTAAGAATGACGACTATGATTATGTGGAACTGTAAGTGCCTAAATGTCCTTGGAGGAGAGCCGCTCCAGACAGTGTCAAGCTGCATGATGCCTCACAACGAGCATCAATCTTTATTAGCAAGGTTTGGAATGCTGATCGCACTATCGCTCGTCACAGTAGTTCTGGAATGATCCCTCCAAATTTGGTTGGTAAAGCGACTGGCAGCAAGCCTTTCGCAAAGAGCGACACTTGGTTCTCTGTAATTCTACCCTGCCTACTCCCTTGCTAGCCTTGTCGTATCTTATATTTACTTTGCAGGAATTCGAATCCCACAACCCTTCTTCCCTCATCCTCTCCGAGTCTCAAGACTCGTATATCATCGGTAATCTCGCTAGTTACGACAAACGCCAGTACCCAGAGTTCAAGCCGGGTGAAAACACCCCTGAAGGCCAAGGCTTCGGCCACTGCCTCGTAATTCCTCGCAAGCGCATCTTCAACGTCGTCGACCCCGACGCTACAGCCAACCACTCCGCCATGCTCAAAGAAATGAAAGAGCATTTCATCACCTTCTGGAAAACCGAAGACGGCTCACCAAAGCTTCTTAGACGCGTGCGCTCTACTTTCGACGAGCAAAACACCAAGCTGGCATCTAACGACAGGAACGCCGAGTCTTGTGAGAGCTTGCGATCTACGCTGATAAAGGACTTTGACATGCTGAGTAACAGCTTCTTGAGATGCAACCCGGACGATTTCGAGTTCGCTTTTCACGCATATCCGGCTAATTCAGTGGGGCATTTGCATATGCATGTTTTTCCGAAGAATAGCGACTTGAGGAAGTTCTCGACGAAGAGCCATGATTGGAAGACTATTCCGATTGAGGCGGTATTGGAGGTTGAGGAGGAGGATTCGAGAGCGCTGGTGGAGTGGGGCAGTGGGTGAATGATGGCCAGAGATGAGCTTTGCGAATGTCTGGAGCAGCACATCTCAGGCAACAATCACGTTTTAAAGCGGCCTCTTACAGATCCGAAGCCCCTAGGGGGAGACACGAGACTAGACCTTGGCCGCTCGACATGGCCATTTGAGGACCACAAGCTCCACCACGTCCATATCTTGTTGTACACCTAGAACCCCTTCAGCAGCAACCTACACCGTTTACGTCAGTAGCATTCACGCTACAGGGTTCCCAAAAATCAGGATAAGACAAACAAACCTGGAAGACTTCCCAGGATAGCCCATCCAGGTGCTCAAACACGCCCGAACTTTAGTGTAACATATGCGATTTGCTTTCACGGCTCTAACGGTACGTTCGCAAGTTAAGGCAAGGCTCCGTGGCACTGGTGCCCGCTATGTTGTAGCATTATGATCGTAGCTATCAGTCATTTGCTGGTCATTTGCGGTGATAACTCCGTACCACGGCCCTTGCGGTGGTGGAGCCAGCGGCTGGGAGTTTAAGATGGCGATTGGACCGCAGGCCTTTTGGATGATGATGATCGATGGGATAGAAACTTGCGTGCGCACCGGGCCAACACGATTGTCTGTTGTGCATACGACTGACGACATTGTGCTGGAGTTGATCACAACAAGTCTCACAGTAGGAGCACTGCGTAAGCTTCGTTCGCCAATTTCTCCAAGCGAGGTCCACCGGTGTCTAGCCTCGACAAGCATCGGACAATACGCTCCATTCTTGGTCTGGTCAACTGTCGTTAAAACCGCGGTACGCATCAGCCATGTGCTTCGACGCCGGCAAAGACTTTGCTGATGGGATCACGTTTGAACGGGTGCTGAATGCAGGCTAAGAACTAGGCCAGCTCACGCAACCTCTAGCACTATTGATTCCCCCACGACTTCCACGTTGCCCTATTGGCATACAATATTTCGAATTCTCGAATCACGTTGTCTACTACTCTTCCCACCTTAAATACTGGAGCACGGTCAACAGGCAAACTCAAAGGATGATCCCTCAGCGACGGAAACACCCTTCGCCTTGCGCCCACGTCCATCAGACCGCTCGGGATCGTTGCAATCTATGAGAACTGACAGGTTCTACAATATGGCAAACGCCGATTTTCCATCACACGTACATCTTTCAAATTGATATGCTCGGTCCCGCGATCATCATTCCTATCAATATTACGATATATCAATTTGACCGCGCGTCGAGGTCAAATCGCCAGACATCGATTGGGCGTAGAGGTTCAACCGCACCTAACCGAGCCTTTCAAAAGCCATACCAGCTGCTGGCCGTTAGGCATCATTGTTCACAGTATTATCTGTCTCATAGGCACTGTCACGAGCGTCATGAGCACGGCTGGATATAGGTATATGTGATCGGGCTGTCTCAACCCCGGGGCTGGCAGGTCCGAACAGACATGTTATCGTATTCCAGCGTCAAGAAACTCTTATGCCTGTGCGGCACAGACCTGGAGTATGTACGGTAGCTATATACAGGCGCGGGTGGGCGAGACAAAAGAGCTCTATGGCTCTAGAAGGGACGAAGTCGAATTAAGAGCCACATGCTGATGCAGCACGAGTATGTATGTTGCTTGCTACCGACAACTTTCTCTGTTTGCCGTCCATGGAACTCATTCATGATGACAAATACGAGGCCTCGCTACGAGGCCCACCCGGTGCATCGTCGAAAGCCCTGAGCCTCGTCGCAATGGAATGGGCCGAAGTCCTCACTGCCTGTTGAAATTACTAAATGCGCCAACCCTGTGAGCTCGTATGTAACAGCTCACTCCGGGTTCCCTATCTCGAATAATCTTCCTTCCGCGAGGTATGGCTCAGTCACTCCATGCAATTCAAGAGGCGTGGGTGTGCCTGCCAGCTCGTGGGGTCCAGACACAGCTCCCTCTTGACCAAGCTCTGGAATCCAGATCGTAGCCCTCGGATCTGATTTGGTCTCAGCGTCCGTCTGATGGCTTGGTAGCTCGGAGACGGCTCTTTGCGTGAAACGGCGTCGGCGGCGCAAGCACAGCATTACCGATGCCATGGTCAGGAGTGCGAATATAACGACGCCGACTACTATCCCCGCTATAGCACCATCACCAACATCATGCTGGAGCACTGAAATGTTTTGTCCGTCTGGTGAGGGGGCCGTACTAGCCAGAGTAGTTGCAGTAGGGCCAGCGCAGTCACTGTTGCGGTCAAGGGGGCCAATGGGGAACTGTGCCCACTTGCCAATTTGCTTGATGAGCTAGTTGAGGCTGCGGCCGAGGCTTGCGTAAAGGATGCAGTTTCGGTAGACTCCGTGGAGGAAACAGCGTTGTCACCAGAAGGTGGGACTTCGTAGGAATCCGATAGATCGCTGTTAGTCTCGCCTCCACCAAGTGCTATATCAAGACTCATTACGCTGTCTTCGTTCTGTTGCGTGAGCTCAATCTTATAATGATCGGTCGAGAGGGAGTCACTTGGCGTCCACGTGTATGACTCGCCCGTGATGTTGCTACCGATGACAGAGACGATCGGGAACGATCTAAATCTGTCTAGGCAGAGTGTCGAACTTATAGGCTGAGTGTTTGGGGCGTTAGACTTTGCGCCCGTGAATGCGTCGGAAAAGAAAAGTATGCTCACAGATTCATTACCGAACCATTGGAGTTGTACAGGGTCGCCAACGTGGACATTCGTTTGGAGCGCCCCGAATGAGAGAGATGTAGACGTCATGTCGATGTGTGGGTCGAGAGAATGGTCGCAGGATCGAAATACTGAATCGAAAGGTTCTACTGTACGTATAAATTGGAGGGATCGCCTCGGAATGCGTTCGGTGTAAGACTCAATCTTCGAGTCAAGAGAATGGAACCGCTATCGGCGGCTTCTGCATGGTTTACCCGTTCACCATCGGAATGGTTTCCCTTTTCATTCCGGTTGGCTGCAGTTGCATGCACGCGCCCCTTGAAGAGTCACGGATCAGTCGAAACGCCGCCCCTTCCCTGCCTTCTTTAGCTATTCGTTTTAAAGGAGGCATGAGGCAGTGTGTATTATCATTGCTAGGCACTATAAGGCTTGGTGCCTGCTGGTCGAAGTATCGACATTTTTCGAGGCATAAAAGGAGAGCTGATGCGTTGATAGTTTTGTCAGTGCCTTGGGTTGACAATGTCTGGATTGGGAGGGTGAGGGTTCCATACGGGACACTTACAGTCTTGGGGGTTGTACACCTAAATAAAAGGGGTACATACATGTATCCACCCGCGCTGCTGCATGCGAGAGCTCGGTCTGTTATGTTTCACGTGTCGCGATCTTGTCTGGGCCTAGATATCCCGCTCGCTCGCCTCGGTGACTGAGCATTTTTTCCTTTTTCAATTCTTTCGAGCAGTTTAGTTGTTGGGATTGGGGGGCGTCCTCTGCCTGTTATGCGGAGGAAAATTGGTGAGCTTGAGGACACAAGGATTGTCAGGTGTCGTAGAACCCTACAAGGCCGGCAGCCCTTTTTTTAAGTTAACGGTTCGAAACTTCACCGGCATAATCTTATGGTTGAGTTGTACTTCCGTCCTTTCGTGGGCCTTGAATTCGGTTCGAACAGGACTCCCCACACGTCTGCAACTCGGATACCACCAGTGCTGTGAAAGTCCGGCCGGTTGATCCTTTGTTAGTATCGGCGCCCTTGATCTTTTTGGCATGAATCAGTGTTTATTTCGCCAACGCGTTTACCCATGGGACATCCAACAGGCTTGACTCGGGGAACACTTGGCCTTGCGGACCAGCAAATTGTATACCTATCTGCCACATAACTACAGCTATATTGGCGACTTCGGGACTTGTTAAGCCAATTGCGATTGAGGGCCTCGATATTATCGACGGCTGTTTCGCAGCAAACAAATCCTACTGAGGTACAGTGGGAATCGAAAATGAGGTCCGAAGAATGCATCACAAGGCACAATCTGATCCTCTTCATTGGATTGGTTGATGACGAGACATTCTGTCCTGATTTGACCAGCTCTTCTAGTTGTATTGCGGTAGGAAGTCAGAGCTGGGATCCAAGTGGTTGGAGAATTTCTGAGCAGCTCAAGGAAAGATGGGCGGTTCTATTTGAATGAACGATTGGGATGATAGGGAGTGACTTTCGTCTACTCGCCCCCACGCTACTATGAAGACCGTTTAGTCGCTTTTTGTTCGGAGGAATCTGGCATTGAAGATGAACTTGCCACGTGGGACTTTTCGGCGATGAAGTACACCATCATCGTACCTACTTTTGTAAGCTGTCCCAGAAACATTAAGGCTTGGTGAAGCCACGCTCGGGAGGACTCGCTAATATTCGCCGACTGTAGCGTTCGGTGTCTGGTCACGGGCGGCAGTATTAGTTAGGCCGGCTTATTTCAGAGATACCGTGACTGACTAAAGCGAGGCAAGGCCATTTTCAGGACATAATTGCCTTCTCAAGATCACTACGTTGTTTCTGCACCGACATTAAAAACATCGATGTCGCCATACTCCTTTCCGATACAAGCCAAGTCTCCCAATTCACCAAATGATTCGAAGATATGGAAACCTGTGGCTCGCAATACAGCATCTTCTCCAGGCCGGTCAACCAGGCCTGGGACCCGGGAGTACGTCTGATAAAGCTCTACGACCTTCTCCCACCTCTCCTACATGCTCAAAGCTTCCCTAGTTATACCAACGAGCTACTCAGCAAATACGGCAAGAACAAATACCAAATTCTCAACCTGCAATTATCGGCACAGGAGTCGAAGTATGACGGCGCAGTTTGAATGGATCGGGAGGCTATCGCCCTGCAGCTTTTGCGCTCCAGCCCATATTCAGCGAGCAGTTGTTGCTGTCTGCGCTGTGGAAGTCGCGACACGGCAGACGGAGGAACAGGTGCGATCTAACGATAGCAGCTGCGTTGGTATTGGGACCCTCTCTGGACTTGTTCGGAGAGCGAAATCTTGCAGGGTTGGAGAACATGCTGTGGTTTGTCGAGCGGGAGCCTATACTAGGTCTGTTTGCCTTTGTGGAAGACGCGCATGGGAAGCCGTTCTTAGACGTGTTTCTCGAACGTAACATCGCTTTTGAGGCCAGCGTCTATCATATGCATATCCAGACGGGGAAATTAGAAACGGGGCCGGAGTCAGTTCTTGCACGGTACAGAGTTTTAGAAACGGAAAGCGAGCTGACTCGGGTTGGATTATGTGAGTTCGGTTCGCCCATCTACAATCTATGTTCTCGGAGATAAAGTTCTCCTTAATTGGACCCAGCTAAAATCAGATATGAGCACCAACACTCTATTTTCCCTCGGCCCCTGCTTTTCACCATAAGTACCAGGGCGACTTGAGCTTCATGGAAACGATTAAGAAATGGTTGTTTGAGTCGCCGGTCTATGTACTCACGAATGGTGATGTGCAGCGGCATTTCCATCAGTGGTTGGCCGCTTGAGTCCAAAGAAGTCTATCTCTGTTTTCGGCTTGCAACTTGACCGGGTGACGAAAGGTATGTGATGTCACCGAGAAGAGGGCGACGAGTATGGGAGGAAGGATTATTCCCAACCCCTTTCCCTCCACAAAAACATCAAGCTCCCCTTATAATTTGGATATCATAGCAGATGCATTAGGAACTCAAAAAGACTCCACAACCATTCATTACCGAGTATCACTAAGATCTATTCCATTGAGCAAGCTTTTCAACTCATACTGAGAATCAGTCATCCCTACCAAGATCTCGTATCTCACAACCCTTACAATCCTCACTCCCCTTGCTACACTGATTTCAGCGTCCATCTGATCGCTTGACAGCCCGAAGGCGTTTGACAGGTTTGAGGACATTTCCCCATGACCGAAACGACTACCACTTTGTCTCACAAATGGCGCGGATTTTGCCATTACTGCCTGGTCTGATAGAAGTCCAACCAGATGCTGCTCATTCCGATCTTGCCACTCAGTTGTTTTCACGTCTCGGAGGAATGTTCCTGACTAGGGAATGGGTCCAGGGATTCAAAACTTGAACCTATCTTGTTTCAAGCATCGGGATCCCGTCTGTGGCTAGATACACCCTCACCCGCTTCATTGGTGAATTATGCTTCAGCTTTTCGTCTTTGACGCAGGTGCTTGACGGGAGAAACATTGTCTGTCTGACGTGTCCCGCCTGTGAGACAACCGTCACGAGCGTTGTGATATAAGGAGCCATGAGCACCCGCTTGACTTTCAGAACACCACATCGCCATCTCAACTCTCACCATCTTCATCACAGACTCACCCAACACCATCTTCTCCCCCTTTTCACTTCCCCCATAACCCTTCAAACCTACCCGACCGACATCCCAAACATGACGGAACCAGCACGACCGCCCGCGCCCGGCGCCCCGGACCCCAAGATGGAGAAAGTCCTCGCCATCATCGAACCCACCCTCGGCCACTTCTTCCACCGTCCCATCTACCTCCGCCAGGCGCTCCAGACCCCCGGCTCCCCCCTCCACGACCACGCCCTCAATTTCGTAGAAAGGACGGACGCGCGCTCCGTCGAGGAGGGGAATAAACGCCTCGCCGTTGTGGGGAACGCGGCGTTGGAACTTACGGTCGCGGATTTTTTCTTCGCGCGTGGGGCTGAGTGGAGGGGTGGGTGTGAGGTTTTCTTGAATTGGTGGGGATGGGGATGGGGGTGGAAGGAGAGGGAAGGGGAGTTTGGAGCAGCGCTGACTATTCGTTGCTGACTCGATCGATGATTTTTGATCTCTAAAACTGATTTTGATCCGTGTTATTAGAAATCGCCACCGAATCCAAAGCCGTCGCCACCGACGCCTCCGTCGTCCAGCTCGGCCACATGATGGAGCTCGGCCCCGTCTTCGACGGGCCCGACGCCCCGACCCATCTCGCCCGGACGGTCCGGGCGGTCCTCGGGGCCGTCTTCTGCGACGGCGGCGTCGTGGGCTTGAGGGGCGTGTTGGCGCGGTTCCGCATGTTTGATGGGGAGACGGAGAGGGCGGTTGCGGGGGAGGGCGTCGGGGCTGGGGCGGCGTAGGTTGTATGTGGTAAAAAGGGGGGAGGGGGGAAGTGGTAGGTGCGCTGCATCGAAACTGGACGTCTCGACATGGTGGGACGGGGTTACGGGTTGAGTGATATAGTCGCGTGTTGTTCAGACATGTGTCCACGGAAGAAGACACGTGTTCAACGCGAGCTGCATGCATACACACATATACACCTACCTGTTCTGCACTAGCTAGCTTCTTTCGATCTTTCGATCTCTATCTCTTGCACAGCTATTGTTTTCTGACCAACTCACTCATCCACTCACGCTTGCCTGTTTGTACATAGCGACCTAGTATCTTCGCTCCAGACCTATGTCGTGGGCCATGGAAGGGTTCTTGGTGTCGGGGTGCGAGAATAGGCCTGTGGACACGGGCTTCTGGGGTTGCTTTGGCCGGCGTTGGAATATTCCAATTGTTTGGACTTATCTTGATGTGGCCTCTGTGTGTGTGTGTGTGTGTGATGCGTGAGAATAAGAAATGGTTTTGGCTGGGAAGCTTGTGCTTTGACAGATTTTTTTTCTCTTGTTTTTTTCTCTACGGCTTGTTTGACTGGTTTTTCGTAGATATGAGATGTGAGATGTAGTATCGGCGAGGACTGAGGGATCACGAGTAGGGGAAATACGTTTGTAGACGTATTTAACGCTTTGGTTCGTTTTTTCCTCTCTTCTGATTGACGGCTGGCTTCATATTTGACCGTCGAATTGCATCACTGATCTACCTACGGCCCTGATTCAATCGCATGTGATCGAGAGGTATGAAGGTAAGTAGGGTAGGATGCGAGGATGTGGTATAGCGAACCGTTTTTTTCCTTCTTCTTCTTCGTCTGAACTTTATAGTCCCAGTCCTTTCGAGCGAGGAAGAAGAGAAAAGGAACGCGTTCAAAGCCGTCTCTTCTTGAGTGAGAGAATTAACACTTCACTACAACGTACTCTTTCTATCCAAGCTCCAGAGTCCGCTCCAGACGATGGTGTTGGACCCCGAGAGGAAGCATCATTTTGCGTACGGAAGGGAATGGGGAGTCGAGCTCCTGGTTGGAACGGAGTGAAATGGATTGCCGAATTGGTTGCAGAGGGATGAAGCGGTGATTGAAACCAAAATCAAAATACATTCAAATCTGGGTAGAAAATAATACAATGTAAATAATAAAACAGGATCCGGCTTACCCAAAAACGGGAGCCTTAAACCCTAAAAATGAACCCAAATTATCATGATAAGATTACAAGAAGCGCAGGAGGTCAGTCCCCGCCGGACGCCCCGACCTGCACATGTAAATTACATTTCAACCCCAAGAATGCATCCATCACCCCATGGGGTAAAAATATGGGTCGAATTTAAGGATCAAGGTTTGGGGTAGAATTGTAATTTGCCCAGCGGTGATTCGTCGGCCTTCTGCAGGGTCATGAGGATAAGGGATGAGGGGCTGGTTGACTGGCGGTGTGAAGTCATGTTTTGCGGGCTACCTGCTCGTTTGAGATTCTTTGGTGGGAGGTTGGGCACGGGTGCGGTTGGGTGGTAGATGGTTATGCTTTGTTTTCGCCCTTGACTCGATTTCTTCAAGGTGGTCTTATTCCTTACTGTCGCGCTCGTAGTGGGTTGAGAAGGACTGAGGGGTTTTGTGCTCAGATTTTTTTCATTGTTTCTTCGCAATAGAGCAATTGTTTGGGAGGTGGGATTAGTTGATGAGTAACTATGAGAACAACCATGGGGTGATAGGTGAGGACGGAAGAGGAGACGGACGGGATGTGGATTGGGGAGAACGCGTATCGTCGAGGCCCGTGAATATGTTTAGACTAACTGCAGTCGATATCGGTCGTTGTTCTCGCACTCGCTTTCAGTTATGGGAGGCTCTGCAAGCCCCGCAATCCGTGGTGATGATGTTGGATAGGTCCATTTTCTTCAAGTCATATGGCGTTCCAACGATCCTCGGGATAGGTTTCCTCTAGACAGGCTTTCTTTCTTTTCCAAGCTGCATGGCACGCTCAGACTCCACCCAGTATTGATTATTCTTCACCATAACTTCCACAACTATGGCGGCACGACTCGAAAAAGTAACCCCCCGCATCGCCCTCACTCGCAAACGTATCGAGGATATCATCTTTCACCGGTTCTAGAAAACCTCTCTTCCGTGGGAGGCTCTGCAAGGCATCAGGACATCCGTGTCGGGCATGACCGACAACGGAACTTCCCCTGATGGTAATAAACGTCTGACTCTTATTGGGGGATTCGCGATCGGTCTTGCGTTGGCGGAGAATGTCAAATACGGCGCAGAGAGTGCTGAAGGTATGTACGTTTGTCGGTTTCTCGCTCGAATGCTGGATCTGGAGTTTTCAATTACTTATAATGACTTGGGATACAGATTTGGAGACTATCGTGCGTACGAGGGGCAGGTGATAATCTCCCGCGCTATATTGGTGAGAGGGTCGGCTTGGTACAAGTCCTCGTTTCCGATTACACGTGTTCGGCCAAGGTCGCTGAGGCGGAGGAGGTTACGATGGTTATGTTTGTTAGGACTATCCTTGGCGCGCTTTATCTGGATACGGGTATGAGCGGGGTTAAATCGTCGCTGGGAAAGTGCGATGGGGTCCTTGGGAAAAGGAGCAAGAGTGAGCCTGGAGCAGATGCGGCGATGGGATGTTTGGACGTGTTTGATGAACCGTATGGTGAGGATGAGGGGGAGGGAAAGCGTACGAGAGGTAGGGAGGCGGGGTGCTGTCGAATGGTGCGTTCGTTTATGTGGTACTTCGTGTTCTCTTCAGGGTCTTTCTTGATCTGTTGGGTGATAATCGATTTATGTAGCAGATATCGTGGAGATATGTGGCGCGGTGTGAATGGCTCTGTTCATCTGCGTTTAGAGGAAATGTTCTATTCAATGCGCAATGAGCTGTCTCGCTGATCTTCAATGTGTAAGTCTTGTGTCAGTGCAGCTATGTACATTTTATCCTAGCCAATCGGGGAGTATTCCATTTCTCTTCATTCCCAGCTCTTTAGGACCTCGATTGCGCCCTTATCAGCTACTAAGCGAGCATATCCCCATGGCCGGCACTCTATCACAAGAAAATGCTAACGAAGCAGTCGAGCGCAGACGATGACGCATTCGAAGACACACTATTTCTTTCCGAGGCTCTAGATTTGTCCTTTTCTCCCGCCGACAGTAACTTGAATCTTGCTGAAGGGGGTGGGGTTCAACGGCGGTCGGAGCAAACGAAGTCCAGCTCTTATCCATTTCATCTCTACGATTGCTGGAGATCAACAGATAGCTTCAAGACAATCCTTAGAACAAATATATAAACTGATTCAGTGATATCGGTTGACGAAAGAGATCGCGTCGGACGATAATATGGTGAGTATTGCGAATGTGAGAGAGCTAGGGGCGTGTTGGGGACCGGACACTTGTGTTGGGGCTGACTATCAAGAAGATTTTGAGACTGGCTTATCTTGATACGGATTGGAAATTAGTCGTGACCTAATTTGGACTTCTTCTTCTACTTCTCGTCATCAGACGTGGTTAGCGTTGCAGATTGATATAAATTGGTCAGTACGAGGGTAGATCCTTTAGTAGAGCCGTCAGTCTGCAAATAAGCATGTTCCGGTTATAACATGCTGGCCGTGGTGGCAATTTCGAGTGCAAACTTCCGGTCAGCGTATCATTTGAATGGCCTGGTCGCTGTGTGTGTGATTGGTTGATCGATGTGCGAACCATGATTGTCCCAGGCGACAATTTCGATTAGCAAGAGTGGATCTTCGAAGGCAAAGCCGACAATTCCGATTGGATGCCGTTGCTATGACGACGTAGACACTGCATTCGCGGAGCCAGTAGTTATTAAGCCTTCACCGCCCTCTCTTTCTCCTTTCGTACCTCCATCGTCATCCGTCAGCACATATCAGACGTCATGTTAGCTGAGGTTCCTAAAGGGGACTCGGCTACCGAGTAAAGCCGTAGTGTGGCTAAGACTCTTAATATACGTAGACTTAATACAGAAGCTTAAGGGAGTCGTTTTTCTTCTTACTTCTATAAGAATTAATCTTATAATAAAATCTATATATAAATATATATTTATCTATTACTAAGTTTATATTACTATATAACTTTAAATATATTTAAATTTATCTATATAATTTATCTAATAATTCTAATCGTAGTATTTAGAAGTAAGTAATCTCGCTTAATAGCGTCGAAAGAGTTAATTAATTAAACTACTTAATTTATCGCGAAAATCGTAGTTTAATTAATTAACTCTCTCGGCGCTATTAAGTTAAATTACTTACTTCTAAATACTACGAGTAATACTTTTACTTTTTAAATAATAATAATTAATATATCAGTATATATAAAAGAATAAGATAGGGCTGAACTAGAAAACCTTGAATTTGTATGTGCAGCCAATCATCAATTCGTCAGGTCTACGCTTTTTGGTTAGACACCGCGGGTAAACAAATTAGCGTCCGCAACTATCAAAAAAATAGGTGTACATTATTAACATATAGAAAAACTTTTTGTTTTCTATTAACTTTTTAAGATTTTAAACTTCAAATTTTGGAGCGCAGTCTGCGCTTTCCGAATTTTTAAGAATTTTGAAATTTGGTCTTATAATTATTAAAGCGCAAGGAATTCAAATATCGCTCATCAAAGTCCGCTCACCAAAATCCGCTCGACAGCCCTAATCAAAAAACAGGTGTACATTATTTGATTTTAGAATAACTTTTTTGTTTTCTATTAAAATTTTAAAATTTTTGGTTTAAACTATAGAATATAATGTGAGCTTTTAGATAAAAAAAGAATTACTAAATTTAGTCTTATAGATATTTAAAGATAAGGAATTCAGATATCGCTTATCAAAGATCGCTCACCAAAATTTACTCGACAGCCCCGATCAAAAAAAAATGATTATGAATTTAATTCATAGGCCTTTACTCGTATAATAGAATAAGATAGAGCTAAGCTTAAAAATCTTAAATTTATATATATAATTAATTATAAATTCGAGTTCGCTACGCTAAAATAAGTATATAAATTATAATTAATTATTAAGAAGATAAAGTTTAAGAAGATTTAATTATAAAGATTATATTTTATAAGAATATTATAAAGAGAAATATATCTATAACTTAGTTAAAATCTATATAAACTTCTTATTTAATAAAGAGAAATAAATCTAAATAGAGAATTCTACTATAGTTTCTATTATCGTTTTTAAATTCTAAGTAAGTCTCTTAATATTATAAGCGTATTCTTAATATATTACTTAATTCTATAATCTAATATCTTAGCGAAGATATCTTCTATTATATTATATCTTCTTTTTATCTATATAATTCGATAGTCTTATTATTCTATTTATCTTATTTATATTAATATTATATCTATATTAATTCTAATACTTAGCTAGTAATTAAATTTAAATTAATTATCTAAGATACGAGTAATTTAAATTCTACGAGATTTTAATTTATTATAAAGAAAGATTATTACGAATCTAGAACTATTAAGATTATTAATATTAAGAGTATTAATACGTCTAGATCGATTTATAAATATAAAGAATATTATAAAGAATATAATATAAATTAGAGTATTAACTAGATATAAATATAATCGTAAGACTCTTATTATTTATTTAATAGTAGTTGATAGAGGTTGTCTAGCCAATAACACTAGTGGGCCTTGGCCATGGTAGATATTAGGCTCTACATCAGTCATACATAGCAGTTATCCTTCTACCTCTGGGACGTACATCATTGGTTCTCTGGGACGTACATCATTGGTTCCTCTTATTTCCGGGATGGCGGTGTGCGGGCTTTTTTGCTACCCGGTTGCTCAGCTTCCGGGCGAAGCCGCAGTGTGGCCATGACTCTTGGCATACGTAGGCTTTTGGCATAGAAGCTTAAGAGGGCGATGCCCCCGTTTTCCTTCTTGCTTCCGTAAGAATTCGTCTTACTACAAGATCCATATACGAAAATATATTTATCTACTACTAAGTCCACATTACTACATAACTCTAGACCTACTTATACTTGATTATATAAGTCTGTCTAACACGTCACTTCGTTCTTTCCAATTGCGCCCCGATCGGCCTTCGCTATGGAAGACACAAATATGATGGACAAAATTCGCGGGGTTGAGGAGATCATTGGCTATCAATTTAGCGATCCTTGGACGATATGGGAAGCGCTTCAAGCCGCCGGGTCGCCGGTCCAGACTATAGGCAATCGAACACTCGTTGGTGGGAACAGACGTCTCGCGGTGCTAGGCGACCGGGTGCTTGACCTTGCGATCGCAGAAGCGTGGCACGAGGGGATGGAAGCTCGGGGTGACAAAAATACATGACGAAGGATCGCCTGAGGTCACGAGCTGACTTTATTTCAGTTCGATTTGACCAGATCCGACAGGCAGTTGGGGGTAACCTCAACTTGGATAGAATTGGCCGTGCGACTGGTCTGGTGGCATTCGTCAATCAAAACCCTTCGACGCTGGGCCACGTGTCTCCGGTCACAATGTCTGCCACTGTTGAGGCTGTTCTAGGAGCGGTGTATTTGGACAGCGACATGAATACTGTCAAACGTGTGATGAACACGTTGGGATTGGTGCCAACTTGAAGGGTGGGCCCCAAGCGCAAGCCAGTAACGTATCCCCTTTCTCCCCCACCCCACCTCTGGTGAAACGCTATGCGAGTTAATGTGACTTTGTAAATATAGCCTTTGCATGGGGGATCCTCGGAGCTTCCGCATCGCGGTCCTCTCGCTGGTTGCGATGATTGAAACCGCGTTCTTCTCCATTTCAGGGTCTCTACTGCGGATAGAATGAGCAGTCGAATCCGCAGTGGGCAACCCTTTTCTGGGAAGAGCTCGGATAGCAGCGTCGGAGCCCAGCGGAAGGACGGCGTTGAGGCGGATCCAAGGAACCCCCATGCCGCAGGATGTTTTGCCTGAGCCACAATAAGATCGGTTGCCAGAAGAATTTGACCGGGTGATACGGCTTCTAATTGCTTGCAATAGATGCCACTACCCTTGATGATGGACAAAAGCGCTTGTGATTTTCTTTATTCCTCGCGAGAGCATCTGGTTGCTGGGACTCGCAAACACGGTCGATGTTCTTGATTTCTGCGACGACCTCTTCAACAGAGGTCCGAATTTTGCTTTACCCGCATGTAATCAGTATCTCTTCAACAGAGATCTGATCTGATCCTGTTTCGTCATGTACCCAATCAATAGATCCTCAGTTACACAGACAAATAACAGAAATAGCGTGACTTAAATGAACGTCCTCGAATCCCCCCATTGCAAGATTTCTGGGCAAATTGCACCCGCTACGGAGGGCCACCAACCCTTGTAGCCGTACAACACCTTGGTGTTGACACGACCCGTTCCCGAGCGTCGCCATGTCATGCTCTTGCACCACCACCCAATCTCGAAACTTTGGCCGTTAGTGTCGATCGAAGTCTACCCTTGAGTCTCAGCTTCGACTGTGAACTCATCTGACGACCAAAAACCGGCAAAATCTTTGTGTAAAAACACTCTATACTCTACCGATACCAGCGCTTGGCCAGGGAAAATAGTATTGTTCGGCATCGGCGGCCGTTGTCCCATAATTTCGATGATGAAACGCAAGGCTTTGTGAACCAGACGGCTCTTCTCTTGCACATGGTCGAGGCCCTTGAGGTCGACCACGGCTAATATCATGCCAGGCAGCTCTACCCGCCTTCTGCGCGAAAAGCGAAATCCGGAGCCGTGGTAGGCATCGAAATCTCGAGTCCCAATGCGGAAGGTCTGCGTCGAAGCACCGATGAGACTTTTGATTGCAGGAATAGATGCATCGAGGGTGGGAATGCTTGCGAAGCCAACCCAGAAGTCAAACTCGATTGTCTTGATCGCGGGTGCCAGTCCAAGCAGTCGACCAACCCAGTCATTTCTGGCTAGTTCCAACGGCGCGGCCGCGACGTGTTTGATCAAATGACGAGAGGTTTTGGGGAGTAGGGAGGGTCATGAATTTTGGGCAGCCCGACAAGACGGCGGAGGAATTGGTGATTGATGTTAAGATGATCGGCAATCTGCGTAGTACCGAGGAAGAGAAAGGTGTTCTCCCCGTACAGAACGGGATAGGCTTCGGCGGAGATGGAGCGATTGACGGCGAGGATGGCGGGATAGAGCTTGGGAGTGGAATAGCTTCGGCCACCCACTGCCTTTTCAAAGTGACAGTACTGGGGCTTTCCGTCGAGCAGTAGGCTGTATATCTGGAGTCGAAGCTCGAAGGGCAGAGACTCGAATCTTGACCTGGGTGGAATGGCGGGGCGAAGAGGCAAGGCCTCTGTCGTTGGGATCCGATTATGGATCCGCTGTAGCGTAAGCATACTTTTATGCTTTAGTCTCTGGTGGTTTTTTCATACAGGGTGTTGGTCGTAAACAGGCGAGCAAACATCATCCACCGACTACATTATGACTCTCCCAATGTTCGCAGCCTTTACTAACTGCTAAGACCGCTAAGGTATAGGTACTTTACCTAGGGTACCTTAGTAGATGCACAGTCAGCCTGAGGGAAGCCTCGACAACCAATCGGTCAATACTTTCGTGTCTTGCATTTTGCGTATCTGCGAAAGCTTCACATTAAATCTCGACCCCCACACCACCTGCATAATTCTACAGACTCTTGAACAATGTAGATATCAGAGAGTGTGTGTGCAAGACAATTGATGTTCGATTCTTGTGACTCTGATACCGCCGGAATATCGTCTTCAGTCACTTTGCAGATTCCGACAGCGTTAGTATCGCACAAAATCAGAATACCAGCTTCTATATACACTCTTTTTTGACACATGCATTATGCATCATTCTATGCATCTGTACAGGTGACGTGGTGGGGCTCGGGGCCCGATTGCACCGAAGGCGCGAGAAAGTCACAGAACTTATCTTCTATCAATACTCGTATGTAACTCGATAACGGAGGCCTTGATCACACAAGTTCCAGTACGTTAACTTCTTTAGTCGAGTGGCTAAAAAATGATATCTTATACAAAACAGGAACGCATCTGGCGCCGTCGAAGAATTATCCGACGTGGAAAATCCGCCTCGGTGAATGCCAAGCTTTTGCAAGGGTCTTGCGATTAGACTTAGAGTACGCTAAAAGGGCCAGCTTACCCTAATAAACGCGCCTGCCGAGGTGCGCTAAGAGTCTAGATTCTACTTACTTACTTTACTTTAGAAGAGCCGTCAAGCCTCCACCACCCAACAAAGTAACCACCTGGATGCGGCAGGAGAGAGCGCAAAAGAGCGGTCAAAAAACTGAGATGGATCACATGATGATTATTCATGTGACTCTCTCTTCCTTCGATCGACCATGGCTGATCGATAGACTCGGTGCTGTGACGGGCGGGCGAGGCTTAGCCTTGTTTTAAAGAGAGAAAGGAACCATTGTTTGCAGCTATGTTTGCAGCCACTCTCTCCACATTGACCTGCGCGCGTGGGTTAGGTATTGACTTGTTTTCAATATCTACCTTAACGTCCAACATTCTTCTCATCTGACACTGCTCTCTTACATTCTTCTCTCCTGTCGCTGCGCTCATTGCATCTCACTGCCCCACTAACACCACCACCGAAGCCTGCGGTCGCCATGGTCGTCAGAGCCCCCGGCCAAGGAGGCATCCTCCAGGGATCCAATCCCTCCACTTACGACCCGAAGAACCCCATTTACGTCTTCATCATCCAGGTATGTCTCTCCATTGATCTGCCGGCGGACCCGATACTGACCCATCCTCGTTCTAGGCTGGCATTATCCTCATTTTCACCCGACTGCTCCACCTACCTCTTTCCAAGATCAGACAGCCAAGGGTCATCGCAGAGGTCGTAGGCGGCATACTACTCGGTCCCTCTGTCCTCGGCCGTGCCCCGGGTTTCACCAATGCAATCTTCCCCGCAGCTTCCATGCCCACACTCTCAACGGCGGCCAACGTTGGTCTGATCCTCTTCCTCTTCCTTGTAGGACTCGAGGTGGACTTGCGGCTACTGGTCAGGAATTGGAGGATAGCGCTCAGTGTTGGAGCTGCCGGTATGGCTCTCCCATTCGGGCTGGGATGTGCAATTGCATACGGACTCTACCATCAATTCCGCGATGATAAGGGTCTCGTACCCATCAGCCTCGGGACATACTTGCTCTTTATCGGTGTTGCCATGGCCATCACGGTAGGCCTATATCGTCCTGGCTGTTCGCGAATGCTAAGCACATGCAGGCTTTCCCAGTACTCTGCAGAATCCTGACCGAGCTGAAGCTACTTCAGACCCAAGTTGGTGTTGTCGTCTTATCCGCAGGCGTCGCAAATGATGTGGTTGGCTGGATCCTGCTAGCTTTGTGCGTCGCCATTGTCAACGCTGGATCCGGAATCACGGCTCTATACGTTCTCCTCACATGCGTCGCCTATGTGCTTTTCCTTGTTTACGCCATTCGCCCAGCTTTCCTGTGGCTCTTGAGGCGCAGTGGTAGCATTCACAACGGCCCCACTCAATCCGTGGTGGCTCTGACTGTGCTGATGGTCTTCGCCTCAGCTTTCTTCACGGGCATCATTGGAGTCCACCCAATCTTTGGAGCTTTCCTGATGGGGTTGATCTGTCCCCACGAAGGAGGATTTGCCATCAAGCTCACAGAGAAGCTTGAGGACCTGGTCACCGTATTCTTCCTCCCACTTTACTTCGCACTCTCGGGTTTGAGTACCAACCTCGGCCTCCTCGACAATGGAATTACTTGGGCGTATGTCGTCGGAGTCATCGCGGTGGCATTCATCGCAAAGGTTGCCGGTGGTACCCTTGCTGCGAAAGCCAACAAGCTTGTGTGGAGGGAGAGCTTCACTATTGGTGTTCTGATGAGTTGCAAAGGCTTGGTAGAGCTGATCGTATTGGTGAGCCTTACGGATCCCCTCTCCCCTGCAGGGATACTGACTGGTTCAGAACATCGGTCTCCAAGCAAAGATCCTGAGTCAGCGTACCTTTACCATCTTCGTCGTCATGGCTTTGGTCACCACCTTTGCCACAACACCCATAACACTCGCGCTCTTCCCACCCTCGTACCAGAAGAAACTCGCTGCTTGGAAGCGAGGTGATATCAACTGGGACGGGAGCCGACTTGATTCGGAAGACGCTGCAGGCAGCTTTGGGGGGTCTGTGGCGGGCAAACCGCAGATCACAGAATGTCGAAGGCTTCTCGTCTGCCTCCGACTTGACAGTTTGCCCAGTATATTCACCTTCGTTGCTCTCTTGGGCGGTGAGAGGTCTAATACTGCGGTTGCTAAGGTTCACCCTCGCAAGGATGGCAAAGTCGCAGGAACCGAGACAGATAGGCAATCCTCAGGCCCGCAGCGACCCCTCGAAGTGCATGGACTTCGAATGCTAGAGCTCACGGAACGTCTCTCGTCTGTGATGAAAGAGTCCGAAGCAGACGACTGGTCGAATCGAGATCCCGTGGTGAACGCTTTTCACACCTTTGGCCAGCTCAACAATGTTGCTGTTTCCGGAGAAGTACAATTCGCACCTGAAACACAGTACGCCGCCATGCTGGGTGAACGGGCAACGGGCAATACATCTGATATGGTCTTACTTCCTTGGAGCGAGAGTGGTAGCCTTTCCGAAATCGTCACGGCGTCTTTTGGTGAAGGGACTCATGGTACTTTCAGCAATGCGTCATATAATTCCTTTGTCTATGACTTCTTCCAAAGCGCACCATGCAACGCAGCGGTGTTCATCAACAACGGCTTTGGTGCGATCCCACGCGAAGAGCCGCGGTCATTGACCCGCGTTGCTACCGACCTCAGCTTGCGAAGCAATGGGTTACATACGACGGCACCGCTCCGAGATCTCAGCCATCACATCTTCTTCCCTTATGTCGGATCAGTGGATGACCGGGTCGCCCTGCGCTTCGTTTTGCGACTGGCTCGGAATCCGAATGTCACCGCTACCATTGTGCATGTGAAGGGACCGAGCGATGAGACCATGGTGGCTGGAACGGGCAAGAACAATGCCATGGTTGTCACGAGCGTTGTGCCGGAAAGTGATAGCGAGGCATTCTTCCAGTCGATGGCCGACTCCCTACCGGGAGAAATGCAATCGCGCGTCTTCTTCGATACGGTTGAGACGCTGAACACATGGGATGAGTGTGTGGAACGCGCCAAGGCGGAGGTTGGGCTCTCGCCCAAGAACGCAGGTGACCTGGTGGTGCTGGGCCGAGGTCAGCGAGGCATGTCGTATGAGGGCACCGATATCTCGAAAGGGGATGTTGATCAAAGCCTGAGTCATATGAGCAAGGCTCTGATCAGCGGCAACGTCAAGGCTAGCATTTTGGTTATCCAAGCGGTGCGGAAGGGGTACTAGGGTTGCATGGCTGCATTCCGTTCGGGGGGGTAGCAGATGTTGCATGCATGTTTATTGTGGAGAAATGTTTCGAGGAGAGTGATGTACTGTATTTACGATGGTCACAATCGTCTCTCTCAAGTCTCGCGTCGTTACACTATTATATACAGCGGAGAGTTGAACATTTCGCGTGGCATTGATTTTTCATCACCCTTCGTGCTTTACACCCAGCAAATCCGAACTATTCTACGGAGTGCTCGGCTATTTCGTCTCTCATCATAAAGTATTCCTTAATTTTCTGGGTGACATATTACTATCACACTGCAGCCAGTAAGGCCTAGAGTACTGCTAAGATTAAGGTACCTACTTGTAAGGTATGACCCGGAAAAGCTCGGACCCCGCGATCAACGTGCTAAGGCAGCGGCCCGTTCCTAGGCTCGAGAAAGATAGTTAGACTTAGGGGGGCACGTTCTGCTTGGCATCCGCTTGTACTGTTGTAGAATATCTAGATTCCTACCACCAGTCGTAGAATTGATACCGGACCCGAGCAGCTGAAAATTGCCCGACGTTGCGTGTGTTTGGTCGACCGTCGATACCAATATTATCGTACCTGTTGGAATTCAGCATCTCAGCCCTATTGTGCTTGGCAACAACTATAAGTAGCACACAAACTCCATAGAAAAACAACAAGCCGTCATCAATTTCAACAGGTTATGAGCCCGGTTTGATGAAAATCGTCACCACGACGGCTTCCTTCGTAAGATTACTAAAGGTATTCTTACGTCGTACAATTCAGCCACAGAGGTCCCGGTCGACGTCCGCTGCGTTAACACAAGTTGCTACTCACACCTCTACGGCTTCTCAGCGTAATTCCACACCTCACAGATCCTACGATACGATATCGACCACAGCACTGTTAAAGGCAGAAGATTGGGGGGCTTAAAGAGCTAGGATTCAGGGGAGGAAAGTAAAAGCGCACCAGACAAGGCAGCTAGGGGAGGACTCGACAGTTAGAAAGATGTCAGATGCCAGTGTCAGATGCCAGTGCCAGAGCCAACGTCGCCTGTGCCCGATGCCAGTGCCAGAAGCCCGTACATTTCGAAGTCGAATCAGTCACTCGATATACCCTACAACACGCCACAAAGCCCTCTACGGAGGCATTCGACAAGGCAGCTAGGGGAGGACTCGACAGTTAGAAAGATGTCAGATGCCAGTGTTAGATGCCAGTGCCAGAGCCAACGTCGCCTGTGCCCGATGCCAGTGCCAGAAGCCCGTACATTTCGAAGTCGAACCAGTCACTCGATATACCCTACAGCAAGTCATCTCGGAAAGCCCTACTACGGTAGGCACATACACTCATTACGTCCAGAGCACTCTTCCCGATTTCCCTACGAACGAACGAGGTTTACGGGTTTAAGGAGGCTTCAAAGTAGGACACAGGCAATTGATTCATGGAAAGCTACAGCTACAGTCCCAAGGGGAAGCAAATAGGCCTTCGCTGCAGGGGGAGTGTTGGAATTCAGCATCTCAGCCCTATTGTGCTTGGCAACAACTATAAGTAGCACACAAACTCCATAGAAAAACAACAAGCCGTCATCAATTTCATCAGTACCGTCACCATATCGGCTCGGCCGAGGGTGGGGGGTTGCATGTTGCATGTATGCCTGGGTTTTTCATTGGGCCCAAAAATGCCGCAACGTTTGGATTTTCCCCGAAGGCACCCCACGTGCTGCTGCAGCTTCTTTCCAAACGTATTTTCATAAAATTGTTCATCGTTTTGGCCCTGTTTCTCGACTGTGTGATGCACTGATACACTGATACACCAACCTTGATCCGGTCGTGGTGCAGGGGGCGCAGTCATCAATGGGCGTTGTAGATTATGTCCGTCGCTGGAAGAAGTGATGCATTTCATAGGCTGGATGATACGGTCGGTGGAGCTGGACCCTGACCCTGTCTTACTTTTCTTTGTCTTATGGAAGGCTTAACATCTTTGCCCTGTCTCTCTTTTTCCTTCTTTCCATTCCTTCCATCCATCATTCCCCGCCGCCCCGCTATCCTATCTCCCTTCCATCTCTCGTTGTTTGTTTGTGTACATAGAAAAACCCAATCATGCAAACACTTCCCCCCCTATCGTCAAGTCACATCCACATCGCTGATGATGCGGTCGATCGCATCCCCTCCATCGGCACTGGTGCCTACGCGCACCAGCAGCGGTTGGAAAAGCCGGGCTTGAGCAGGTATAGCACGGAGGAGAAGGAAGTCGAGGAAGAGGAGGACGGGAGGGATGTGAGGAAGAAGCAGGTACGCTGACTCTATCTCACATCCGACCACCTCTCGCTGACACCGAGCCCCAGACTTTCCGAGGCAAATACCTCTTCTGGTACGTCCCTCGATCCCTCCCTTCAGGCTCCCTCTTTCCACGACCCATGAGACCAGTCGACTTGTTCCCTTTTACCGATCTTACATCTCACCCCCTCTCCTTAGGCTCGCGTACCAATCCATTGGCGTCATTTACGGCGACATCGGCACCTCCCCCCTCTACGTCTACTCTTCAACCTTCAGCTCCGAGCCCAGCCGGGATGACCTCCTCGGCGCGCTCTCCTTGATCATCTGGACCTTGACGCTGATGGTTAGCGTCAAGTATGTTACCATTGTGCTCAGGGCGGATGATGAGGGTGAGGGGGGGACGTTCGCTGTCTATAGTTTGTTGTCCAGATATGTATGTGCCCTTGTCATCTTTGTGGTTGGGGAAGTAGTACGGAAGGGGGGAGAGGGGAGGTGTGAGGAGCAATGCTAATACGGTGATGGTATCATAGGCAAATATCGTGAGACGCGATCCAAGAGAAGAGAGGGGCATCAAGATGGAGAGGGTCAAGACTAATGAATTGAGCACCGGCAGCAAGTCTGCGAGGAATTTCATGGAAAGGAGTGCATTCATGAAGGCCTTGTTGAAGGTTGTGGGGGTGTTGGGGGTGTCATTGGTCATGTCCGGTATGTTGAAAGGGCCTTTGTTGGTCTGACGGGACTGACCGTATCTTAGATGGTGTCCTCACCCCAGCTCAATCTATTCTGGGTGCCATTCAGGGGTAAGTAGTCTCTCTAGTCTCTCTTCGGCTCGCTATGCCCGGGTATTGAATGAAGCTCGCAGCCTGGAAATCGTCAAGTCTGACATCTCCTCATCCACCATCGTCGGCACGACTTGTGCTATCTTGATCTGCCTTTTTCTCATTCAGCCTCTGGGTACATCCAAGATTGGAAGTGCTTTTGCGCCGATTGTCATCATTTGGCTGCTGTTCAATCTCGCCTTTGGCATCTACGTAAGCTGCCTTCATCCACCCACACGCTTTGCCAATGAACTGACGAGCTCGGCAAGAATCTGGTCTTCTTTGACCACTCGGTCCTGAAAGCGTTCTCGCCCTACTTTGCCGGGGCATACTTTGTACGGAACAAGACCGACGGATGGAGGTCTCTTGGAGGCATTTTGCTCGCCTTCACAGGCGTTGAAGCATTGTTCGCCGATCTCGGTGCTTTTACCAGGAGGTAAGCACTGACTCCTGGCTTAGCTCTCCAATCGAAGCTTGACTGTCGTCCAGGGCCATCCAGCTCTCGTGGTTGTGCTTCGGGTTTCCGTGTCTTCTGCTGGCCGTAAGCTCTCTCCTATTTGACATAAATCTATGTCTTCCAATCTCTGATTCATACCCAGTACATCGGTCAAGCTGCATACATTAGTCAGAACAAAGGTGCCTACTCCAACCCCTTCTTCAACTCTGTGCCTCCGGGCATGTTCTACCCTAGTTTGGTCATTGCCATTCTTGCGGCTATTGTGGCAAGTCAGACTATGATCACTGCGACCTTTCAAGTAAGAGTAGCCCATGAATTAGTCGCAAATCAATCATCGGAACACTGACTCTTATTTAGCTGTTGTCCCAAATAATCAAGTTGTCATACTTCCCACAAATCAAAATGAAACACACATCGAGGACCTTCCACGGTCAAATCTACATTCCGTGGGTCAATTGGATTCTCATGGTCGGCACGATTTGCGTCACAGCGGCGTATAGCAATGTGCGCACCTATCTCTTTGCCGTTAGTGCTCGCAAACAGTGAGGCCATACAGAACAACGCATGCACAAGTAGATATGTAGATAGATGATTGGGCATATCCAACACTGGGGCAGCTGAGACCTTTCTGGACATGCAAATAGTCCAAAAAAAGGCCCCCCAGCGCTAGAAAAACTCCCATGTCTGAGCGACATGCCCTGGAGTGAAATGAGGCTATATACAGGTGTGGGTGGGTGGGAGAAAAATGATATGGCTCTGAAAGAGACGAAATCGAATGAAGAGCCGTTGACAGGTGCAAAACAGGTGGCTATATAGCTCGTACTGGACACCTGTCCCCAACCCCTTGCCGGGGTACCAACAGGGGTACCAACAAGGGTACCAACAGCGAACGGCTGATCAAACAGCCACCAACGCTATGGCCTCATAATGGACCCACTAACCCACAGTCCCACTGTTGCGATTAGTGCTCGCAAACAGTGAGGCCATACAGAACAACGCATGCACAAGTAGATATGTAGATAGATGATTGGGCATATCCAACACTGGGGCAGCTGAGACCTTTCTGGACATGCAAATAGTCCAAAAAAGGCCCCCCAGCGCTAGAAAAACTCCCAAACAACCCAAGACGTCGTCCAAAGAGGGCGAAGGTCTCGAGGAGGACTCCTGACGGTACCTACTGCAGCAAGCAGTAGGGACCGGTAGCACTAGCGCGGACGGGCTGGAAGGTGCTGGTGCCGTAGTGAATGATAGGTAGGCTGGGTGAGTGACGAAAAGGCGGTAGGAATCGCCGGCGTCACGTGCTGATATTGGAGCCCCTCTGCGGAAGGACTGGCCTGAAAAGTGGCCCTTAACACCTAGTTGTAGCCCCTCTGCGGAAGGACTGGCTTGAATAATAACCCTCAATAATGACCCTCAATACCAAGATGCAGCCCCTCTGCGGAAGGACTGGCCTGAATAATGGCCCTCAACACCAAGTTGCAGCCCCTCTGCGGAAGGACTGGCCTGAATAATGGCCCTCAACACCAAGTTGCAGCCCCTCTGCGGAAGGACTGGCCTGAATAATGGCCCTCAACCAAGTTGTAGCCCCTCTGCGGAAGGACTGGCCTGAATAATAACCCTCAATAATGACCCTCAATACCAAGATGCAGCCCCTCTGCGGAAGGACTGTAGCCCCTCTGCGGAAGGACTGGCCTGAAAAGTGGCCCTTAACACCAAGTTGTAGCCCCTCTGCGGAAGGACTGGCCTGAATAATGGCCCTCAACACCAAGTTGCAGCCCCTCTGCGGAAGGACTGGCCTGAATCATGGCCCTCGGTGGGGCTTCACACCTGATGTAAGGCTTTGACGCGTATGCGTCATCGCCCGATGCAACAGCCCAAATGGCTGGAATAGATGAAACATCTTCATGGCTGCGGTAGCCCAAATAGTCGGAGTGACAAGGACGTCCCATAGCTGCGATAGCCCAAATGGCTGGAATAGGTGAAAAATCTCCATGGCTGCGATAGCCGAGATATCCCCAGGGCTGCGATAGCCCAAAACGGCTGGAATAGCTGAGATATCTTCATGGCTGCGGTAGCCCAAATAGCTGGGATAGCTGAAATATCCCCATGGCTGCGGTAGCCTAAACAGCTGAAATAACTGAGACATCTTTATGGCTGCGGTAGCCCAAATAGCTGGAATCGTTGAGACCTCTCCATGGCTGCGGTAGCCCGATTAGCTGAAATGACTGAGATATCTCCATGGCTGCGATAGCCCAAACGGCTGGAATAGCTGAGACATCTTCATGGCTGCGGTAGCCCAAATAGCTGAAATAGCTGGGACATCTCCATGTCTGCGATAGTCCAAATAGCTGAAATTGCTGGGACATCTCCATGTTTGCGATAGCCCGAATAGCTGAATTGGCTGGGACCTCTCCAAGGCTGCGATAGCCCAAATAGCTGAAGTAACTGAGACATCTCCATGGCTGCGGTAGCCCAAGTAGCTGAATTAACTGGGATATCCCCATGTCTGCGATAGGTCAAGTAGCTGAGATAGCTGGGACATCTCCGTGGTTGCGATAGCCCGAATAGCTGAACTGGCTGGGACATCTCCAAGGTTGCGGTAGCCCAAATAGCTGAAGTAACTGAGACATCTCCATGGCTGCGGTAGCCCAATTAGCTGAAGTAACTGAGACATCTCCATGGCTGCGGTAGCCCAATTAGCTGGACTAGCTGAAATTCCCCCTGGCTGCGATAGCTTAACCAGCTGAAATAACTGAGACATCTCCATGGCTGCGGTAGCCCAAATAGCTGGAATCGTTGAGACCTCTCCATGGCTGCGGTAGCCCGATTAGCTGAAATAACTGAGACATCTCCATGGCTGCGATAGCTGAGATACCCTTGTGGCTGCGGTAGCCCAAATAGCTGAAGTAACTGAGACATCTCCATGGCTGCGATAGCCCAAACGGCTGGAAAAGCTGAGATATCTCCATGGCTGCGATAGCCCAAATGGCTGAAATAACTGGGACATCCCCATGTCTGCGATATTCCAAATAGCTGAAATGGCTGGGACATCTCTATGGTTGCGGTAGCCCGGACAGCTGAAATGGCTGGGACATCTCCATGGTTGCGATAGCCCGAATAGCTGGAATGACTGAAACATCCCCGTGGTTGCGATAGCCCGGACAGCTGAAATGGCTGGGACATCTCCATGGTTGCGATAGCCCGAATAGCTGGAATGACTGAAACATCCCCGTGGCTGCGATAGCTGAAGTAGCTGGATATGACTGCGGTAGTTCAAATAGCTGAAATGACTGGGATAGCCCAAATAGCTGGAATAGCTGAGACGTCTCCAAGGCTGCGGTAGCCCAAATAGCTGGAATAGCTGAGACATCTCCAAGGCTGCAGTAGCCCAAATAGCTGACATGACTGCAATAGCCACATGGCTGCAATAGCTCAAATAGCTGAAATAGCTGAAATAGCCACATGGCTGCAATAGCTCAAATAGCTGACATGGCTGCAATAGCCCAAATAGCTGAAATAGCCACATGGCTGCAATAGCTCAAATAGCTGAAATAGCTGAAATAGCCACATGGCTGCAATAGCTCAAATAGCTGACATGGCTGCAATAGCTGACATAGCTGAAATAGCCACATGGCTGCAATAGCTCAAATAGCTGAAATAGCTGAAATATCCACATGGCTGCAATAGCCCACATAGCTGCAATAGCTGACATAGCTGAAATAGCCACATGGCTGCAATAGCCCACATAGCTGCAATAGCTGACATAGCTGAAATAGCCACATGGCTGCAATAGCCCACATAGCTGCAATAGCTGAAATAGCCACATGGCTGCAATAGCTCAAATAGCTGACATAGCTGAAATAGCCGAAATAGCCACCTGGCTGCAATACTCAAATAGCTGAAATAGCCACATGGCTGCAATAGCTCAAATAGCTGACATAGCTGAAATAGCCACATGGCTGCGATAGCCGAAATAGTTGAAATAGCTGAAATAGCTGCAATGATTGAAAACATCCACATGGCTGCAATAGCCCAAATAGCTGAAATAGCCACATGGCTGCACTAGCCCAAATAGCTGAAATAGCCACATGGCTGCAATAGCTCAAATAGCTGAAATAGCTGAAATAGCGACATGGCTGCGATAGCCGAAATAGCTGAAATAGCTGCAATGATTGAAAACATCCACATGGCTGCAATAGCCTAACTAGCTGAAGTGACTGAAATATCAATGTAGCTGCGATAGCTGAGGTGAATAGTTATAGGTGGAATGGCTGAAGTGTGTATCCAAATGGTAGTTGCATGGTCGCATGGCCGTACGGCTGCAAATGGCTGGAATGGCTCCAATGGCTGGCATGGCTTCAATGGCTGGCATGGCTCCAATGGCTGGCATGGCTCCAATGGCTGAATAGCTGCATGATCTCTATGTGACTGCAATAGCCTCAAATAGCTGGTATGCTGGACAATTCCATATGGCTGGAAATGGCTGAGTAGCCTCATGGCCGCATGGCTGCAATAGGGCTGAAATAGGGCTGAAATATCCATGTGACTGCAGTGGCCTCAAATAGCTGGAATGGCTGAATAGCTTCATGGCCGCATGGCTGAAATAGTCGAAATATCCTTTCGCAATGACTGATAAAAGAAAAATGATATGGCTCTGACAGAGACGAAATCGAATGAAGAGCCGTTGACAGGTGCAAAACAGGTGGCTATATAGCTCGTACTGGACACCTGTCCCCAACCCCTTGCCGGGGTACCAACAGGGGTACCAACAAGGGTACCAACAGCGAACGGCTGATCAAACAGCCACCAACGCTATGGCCTCATAATGGACCCACTAACCCACAGTCCCACTGTTGCGAATTGCCCATCTTTCTCATCACGCAACGAAGCTGACCGAGATGAACCACTAGACCACGAAGCTCGGAGAAGCCTACGGCGTCTGCGTCATCCTTGTCACTTTCATCACCACCTGCATGGTGTCCCTCGTAGCCTTGATCATCTGGCGCCTGCATTTCCTAATCGTCGTCGCCGGTTTCCTGGTTTTTGGCACCCTCGACGGTCTCTATCTCTCATCTGCACTCACAAAGGTCCCCAACGGCGCTTGGTTCACGCTTTGTCTCGCTATTCTATTGTCGAGTATCTTCGTCCTCTGGCGCTATGGGAAAGAAAACCAATGGCGTGCCGAAGGCGAGGATAGGATCTCTCCTAGCAAGCTACTGACCGAGTTGCCAAATCATGCGGAGAAAGATGGTGATGCACCTGTACTGCGCCTCTCGTCCAGTATGGGTGGTGCGCCGGTCAGCCGGCTCCGAGGCGTGGGCATCTTCTTCGATAAGACAGGCAGTCCGAATGGTACTCCGTCCGTCTTCATCCACTTCTTGCAGAAATTCCAGGCTGCCCCTGCCGTCGTCGTCTTCTTCCACATCCGACCTCTCTCAACCCCGACGGTAGCGCCCGAAGACCGTTTCAGCGTATCCAGATGTTTCACGCGCACCAGCTCGAAGAGTACACTGCAGGACTTCTACCGTGTCACCATCCGCCACGGCTACGCGGACGAAGTCATAACCAGCGACCTCGGTCTCCTCATCTACGAAAACATCCGCAAATTCATCATCCACGACCGCGGCACGTCCACCGCACCCACCCCCTCACCCGAGTCCAACAACTCCACCTCCGAAGACTCCACCTCCTCTTCCGACCCCCCCACCACCGCCCCCTTCAACATCTCGGCCGAGTCCGCAACCACCGGCAAACAGCACCACGTCCGCCAAGCCCTCGCTTCCTTGCAAGCGGCGTACGATGACCAGGTCGTGCACATCGTGGGCAAAGAACAGATGCGTATCCGCGAGGTGCGGGGGTGGGGCAACGTGGGCGGCATGTCCAGGAAGATCGTCCTCGCGGCGTTCCTCTGGTTGAGGAGTAACACGGGCAGTAAGGTGGCGAATATGAACCTCGATGTCGAGAAGTTGGTCGAGGTGGGCTTCGTAAAGGTTATTTGACAGGAGGAGGGTGGGATGAATTGAATTTTTTTTGTTTAGCTGGGTGGATAGATTGGAAGCGTGATACGGTCTCTTGTTTCGATTGATTGATTGATTGATTGATTGATTGATTGATTCATTCATTCCATGCGATCGATTCCGTGAAATATACAACTCCAAAACTATCTTACATGTACATGTCCTCACGAAAACTCCCCCTCAGTCCACCACCACACATGACCCCTCCCTCCCTCCCTCCCTCCCCCCACCCCCCCCCTCCATCACAGCCAACTTGCCTTTTTTTCTTTGTTGGATACAACATTATTTCCCCCCAGCTTCCGATCCGATCAGTCCACCGAGACGACGGCGACGGCGACGTCCCCGTTCGAATCTCTTCTCGGGGCTGTCTCGGAGGGTTTGGAGATGTGTCTGTCTGAGGGGGTTCGGCATGTTGATTCGGATTTTTAGGAGGCTGAGGGCGCGGGGATGTGGGATGGGTACTGGGATGGGGATGAGGGATGAGGGATGAGGGATGAGGGATGAGGGATGAGGGATGAGGGATGAGGGATGGGGATGGGAAGGGACCCTTTTATCATCTCTCCCCTTCTATCAACTCTCCGTGTCTTTTCTCTCTGTGTCTTTTTCTCTTTTCGCTTTTTTGTTTTTCGCTTTTTCTCTTCTCTGTTGGCATTTTTTCTTTTAGCCTTTTCTCTTCTCGCTTCTCCTCTTTTCGAACACGACGTCGCGCTCGCCCTCAGCGCCGGCCCTATCGGATCCGAAGAGAAGGTTACGGATCGACCAACCATCCGTCGCGCTCGCCCTCAGCGCCGGCCCTATCGGATCCGAAGAGAAGGTTACGGATCGACCAACCATCCAAGTGTGATCTAGGCCTCAAGTACTAGTACCATGCCAAAACCACGCCGGTGCCACATCGTCATCGCCACCGTGAGGGGTAGCTACCACACACTACGGTGCTGCGGCGTGCTTTCCAACAGACGGGTCCAAACGCCGACGGTTCGGCGGTGACATCGCCCTTGGAGATCTTCGAAAGCTTGAACGGGGACGTCGTCGGCCGGAATCACACGCCGGCTTTTCGGCTAGCGGGTGGCCGGAGAGAGTTTATAGGCTGCTAGATCTGCGACGGCTCCTATCGGCGAGGACTCGGGAGGTTGAGTCCGCGAATTTCGGGTCGCAGACTGGGATATAGGACCTTTTTTTGGTGGCACCGCAATCGGATGGAATGGAGTTTTTGATAGGAGCTTCGGAAGGGTGAGATTTCCGTGGCCGCTCGGTCGGCACGGCGGCCAAGGACGAGCGCGCTGTTTGATGGTGTGTGTCGCAGCGGCAAGTGGACGGCGTGGGTCTGTGTTTGCGGTGACTGCTAGCCCGGTACTCGGGCTGATATCTATGGACTAATACTGATTTTGTCTTGTTATTTTGGGTGAAGAGGTGATGGAATACCTGGATTGATTTGATGGTATGCGACAGGGATCCGGTGGAGAGATATCCGTGCTACGGCAACCCATACTGACAGGGAGGTCAACCCCGCGAATTCGATTTTCTGAAAATCGCAAAACCATATTTCATAGCCACCTCTCAATTTATATATCAATCATCAAAATTAATACGATAGCTCTATAGAGTATAAAGATTTATATCAAAAATTCTAAACGCTAAAACTTTTACGTAAAGATCTTTAAATAATACGCTTAGAAGTATTTTTCTATTACGCCTTAGAAAGATATCTAATACTCAATTTATACGATATTTCTAAGGGAGGGTTTTCAAAAGTAGGGTTAGGGCTAGTACTTTCGCTAACTTTTTATAAATACTATTTAAATCTTTAATTAAATATTACTTCGTTAATATTAAGTTAAATAATATAATTTCGAATTCTAAATTAAATTATAGAATACGCGCTATAATTTACACTCTTTAGAATCTAAATTAAGTGCCTTGGTGTGAAGCAATAGTGTACATTAAGGTCGGCAGGGGGTTTTTCGTAATGGTCTATGTAGGCTAGTTAGGTAACAAGAATACCATAAGTATTATTTACAAATAAAGATTTATTACAAGATTTAACGTATCTACCCTGAAATCCTCTTGAAGAATCTTTTTATATCAATTATTTTTCAATCTCATGATATCGTGGTTTAAGATTCCTCCCGGGAGTCTCCTGAGAAAGCGAGTCTTCTATAATTATTTCCGTAAATACGAATGCCAAGCCTCGTTTTCGGGATCTGGCTACTGTAAATTATATCCACGCTTTTTAATTTCTGACTTCAGATTCAAGCGATTTAGCCAAAGTTCTCGTGGGGGTGATACTCTCGAGGTCTTACGGGGGGTGGTGGGATGTGATGGGACGGGGTGTGATGGGATGGGGTGTGATGAGATGGGGTGTAGGCTGTAAAGCAGTATTACGCCATAATGTAAATTACAGCTTAGTCATTAGTGGTAGGACTGAGAAGATCTCCTGATTTAGGGATATCCTGAGCGAAAATTCTTCTAATTTTTAAAAATACTCCTAGGATCTCTGTAAAATACGATATTATTTTACACTATAGCTACTTATACCCTAAGCCTTGTCAATGCGGGTCGAAATATTCTCCGCCTACAATTTTGCTAAGACTCTCCAGGTATGATTAGTAAAACCCCCCTGCCGACCTTAAAGTAGGATAAGCGAGTATTCAAAAATGGAAAATGGAAAATGGAAAAATGAAAAAGGGATTTTCTAGGGTTGACCCCCCTGTCAGTATGGGTTGCCGTACGTGCCGTATTTTCCGAGTGTTTGGAGTTCACTTACCGCGGTGACTTCCGGGCACGCACTTTGTGTGAGATCACTGCATCTTCGCAAGATTTCCGTTAGATAAGTTTAGCAGGCTCGGTCACCATGGATATGCTGTATTCTTTCGCGAAGGATTTCAGCCAAATGTCAATGAATATACGGCAATCGGGATATCTGTCATAGTCCCGGCAGTTGTTCTACTCTGCGAGCACGTTCTCAACAAAGGCGTAAAGATATCCCTTCTCTTCGGGATTTTTGGTGTCATGCAGCCACTGGCCTTTTCGGCATTGCGTCCAAAAAAGCTCGAGTCAATCAAAGGTAGATGGATGGCTTCATGGCTTGCTTTTACTCTGGTATCCTTCCCGTACGGGTACATGCATTATCCGCAAGCAGCGATTTTTAAAGTGTTTCTACTGCGCTCTAGCATTTGCGTTTCTTTGATAACTACTTGGGATGCTAGCACCGGACCGGACTGGACTACCCATTAACATTACTTTGGATTGGAAGGAGATCCGGTTCCCTTTCTTCACCGGAACAAGGAATCCAAGAGAGTCGAGCAGTTTTAAACTTTTGGAAGGATACAATTGTGTGTGTTTTAATCAAATCAGTAGCCAACGATACCGGTACAAAATCGAGTCATCTCATGCAACAGTGCTTCCTACGTCGACTCCTGTGATCCTTCCGGGGTGTCCTTGGAACAGAATATGCACAAGAGGCTCTTCGAAAAGTTAGAGGAGAGTTGGTGAGGTATGGACTCTTGAGTGTGTCGGTGGTTTGCGAAGGCTGAGCCGGCGCGACCGTGGTGGGGGTTTTGGCAGGGCTCGTTCGGGTTTGCTGCGTAGGACTGCATCGTCGGCGGAGATGTGTGTGTCCGATGTTGGGGGCGGTTCTAGGGTGATGACATAGAAGGATCTGGAGCGGAACAGGCACTGCGGTGGCATTCTGCCGTCGCTCGTCAATAGAGGGAGTGTTTTCGATATTATTAATCATGATCGCATGTGTTGATAGAGACCTAGAGATTAGGCAGATTGGATCGGAACGTAGTTTGGGCCAGATGCTAGTTCGATACTTCTCTCGAGCATTGGGAAGGAAGGAGCATACATACTCATTGGTCCTCGGTTGGGGTCCTTGATTCTCGGCCTGTATGCATGATGCAGTTCACCGTCGGGTTGACAAAAAGCCTTCCCTCAGACTTGCAATATCCAGGTCGAACCGACTATTTCGTTGTGGTCTCAGTCACTCATGATCTTTTTTGCGATGACAAAATGGGCGTCCTTGACCGCTGTTGCTGGGGAGGAGGCGTTACAACAGGCTGATTCGTTGGATGCGCAGGACCGTCCGCTCACTTCCTTTGACAAGGAAATTTTTGAAGAATTTACCGCCGGATCTGGTAGAAGCTTGTGAGTTGTTGGTCAATTCCACCCAGAACTTGAAAAGACTGGCTCTTGGGCCTGTGGGAGTTCTGACAGAGATCATACGAGCCGTATGTTTTCCCTATTTCTCATCATCGAATCTATCTACTTAACGTTCTTGGACTGAATGCGCGTTTGATGCAGTGCAATTGACGAGGTCTCTCTTGGCGCCATCAACGATTTCAACCTAGCCGATTGTGTCCCTCTCGACGGCTCCGCAACCTTTGCGCAGATAGCAGAAAAAACCCAGCCTATCCGTGCGACTCATCGAGCGCTTTCTCCGCCAGGCATTCACATCTTCGCAGAGCATCCTCCTGGGCCTGTAGGCCATACAGCGTCATCCCAGCTCTTTGCTACAGAGTCATAGCCGAAAAACGCCGTCGCAGTGATGGCATAGGAGATACGACAACCCGCCACGAGGGTGACAGATGCGGTGAGCCTATTTGGTGACAGCGGCGAGCCAACTGAAGCGCCTTTGACTTTGGCCGATGAGCTGGGTGTGGGATTGTTTTAGCATCTGGCGAAGCATCCGGGAAGAGCTGAAAGCTACGGAGGTGCCATGATATGGCACGGTTTTTTTGAAAGGTAGAATCTGAAGATTTGGTGAATGGGGGTTCGTGGGATCTGGTCGATCGGCCAGGCGCGGTCGTGGTTGGTGTGGGTGGAGGTCAGGGAGCTGTGCCAAAGGCTCTGACTCCGGCTACAAAAGATGCCAGGTCTGTCGTGCAAGGCTTTGAGGATGCGATTGGGTATGAGGGAAAAGCATTGCTGGAGGACTAGAAGGGCAGAGTCGAGTTCATGCAAGATGACTTATTTGTCGAGCAGCTGGTGAGGGGGGGGGAATATCGATTTCTTGAGATGGATTTTGCATGGTTGGAGCGACAAGTATGCGGTTCGCATTTTGGAAGGTCTTGTTCCGGCGATGAAGGATGGATCGAAGGTAGTGCTGTTTATGTTCTTGTTGAAGGATGGGCCTGAGACTGAGAAACTCCCTCGGTGAGTGTTAGAACTTTTGTCGATGCGTTGTTTCTTCTTGACTCCTCTTTGAATACTTGAGATGGTTACTGACGTGATGGATGATGTTGAGCATAAAGACGTCGACCTATCCATGCTTGTCGATTACACAGCAACGAGAGGACAGCGAAAGCATTTGAAAACGTATTCCGGCGGACCCTGGATTCCAACTTGTCGATACAAAAAAGCCTAGGGGAAACGCGATGGCTATCATCGCGGTGGTCTGGAGGTCTGGAAAATGTTTGAGTTGGAGACGCAATGGCAGAAGGCTGAAGTTCACTTGATGTTGACAAAAGAGATGGTCCTGCGGCGTAGAATTCAAAATCTGAGAGCATGATATCATTGGCCCTGGTTGACCCGGGTTGAAAGGAGAGGGAAAAGGCTTGGTTGACGGGTTCTCCATAGGTACTTACCCGTCGATTAGGTCACTACGTATATCATCGGTAATCGCTAGATCAGCCATACTAGCAGGATGGTTCATCAGGCGAGACTGCTGCACGGCCCACACTGGAGGGTAGTGGGATATCATCGTGGAGGAATCGAGTGTGCCAAAGTCATTGTCGAAGTATGCAGTGCCAAATATTCAGTCCGGGCATTCCTTCCTCCTGCATCTTGCCATCAATTGCTGTGGAGACCGCGGAGAAGACCCGCGCCTGCGGGGGAGGACCCGGTTTCGGGGAAATATCGAAGACCGCGCTGTCCCTGTACATTTGTTATTCGTTTCCACTTTTATCAAAGTATCATGATCTCTTTCTCTGAGCCGTCCGTTCTGCTGCAAAAATTGTGCCGCTCAAGACATCAGCTGCGGTCAGAACAAAATTCTGTAACATGACTGCGATTCTTGAAGGATTGGCTAAATGCCGTGCTTTATCTCATTTTCTGCCCAGACGCGAGCACCACTACACGTACTCTTCCAAAAGTCACGTCTACTTAACATCTCTTAGGAAGAGAATCCTCGGGAAGAATTGCTCGGCAGTTCCAGTCTCCCGCTTGCGGTCATCGTGAGGAACACGTCCCCATGTTCACCTGGGCCAGTATGTCAGTCGGATTATTCTTTGCTGCTCCGTCGAGTTTTCCGAAATCATACCAAGCCCCCTAACACTACCGGCCTTCCCATGCCGTGCGCAAACAGAAAACAAGGCGGTCACGGCTTTCCATATATCGTAGAATGAAGACACATCAGATTTACCGGCACTGAATATATTGGCGGAACATTTCAGATCCGCTTATTTCACGAGAGATTTTCGTTAGGGGACACGGCTTGCAAAGAAGTGGGTCAATGCACATACATGAATCGATGTTGTAAGGAAGGTCTTCCGTAACGGCCGGATCGCTGCCGGGACCAAATACTCGTCGTACTTTGTCGGCAGGCATGTCGTAAAGAACGTCTCTGCATGACTCCCACGTCGCGAGTGTTCCGCGGCAGGTAACCGGCATTTCGTATGCCCCAAGTATTATAGCTAGATTGTTGTCACCACCTACAAGTGTCAGCCACGGGATGCAGATCAGTATGTGAGCTTGTAAAAGATTATTTGCAATGAGTCTGGCTTCACTCTTACCTATGTTTGTCGCGATACCACCTTGCGATACAACACTGGTTGCGCATTGCACCACAAGAGCTGCTGCAGCTCGACGCAGCATATTTAATGACGCCTTGGCTGTGGTATGGTCCCCAATCAGAATTGCTTGGACGTAGCAGAGCCCTCTGTCACCCATGACCAAATATGGAAGAGGCAGTATGTCTGCGGGTAAGCCGGTGTGGCGTTCACCAAATGTCCATGTGCTCGCATCGGGGAGCAAGTATTCCTTTGCGTCTTCGCAGTCGAGGATGTTGGGATTGTAGCCATAAGCCTCGCCATCGCAGCGTATCGTGAAACCATTTTCTGCAGACGCGTTAGATGTTGGGACGGACGCGTTTGAGGGAAATATTGGCTCCACAATATTGGGTATTGCTGAGAGCTTCAATGCGCTGTCTTCTGTTGGTTGAGATGTTGTGGCCGAAACAGTGAAGCCAAAGGAAACCACCAGCAGGAGAGGAATTTGAGGAAACATATCTTAGATGAACTGCACCACGGGGTTGTGCTTAACCAGCATGGACTAATCAGCACGAGGAAGATCAGAGAGAATGATGGAATGATAGCCGACAGTTACTCCTCCTGAATTCCCGCTTCAAGCGAGTGGGTAATTGAGAGACCGCGTATACTGCTATGGTAATCTATGCGCGAGCTTTTTGATTGACCACGCTAAGTCGGTACTGAGAAGTAGAGATATGTGCAGCGAGCATTCCCTGGTAGCAACCTGGATCAGCCCCTGGACAGCCTAAATAGCTGAGTTGCTGGGGGTTCTTGGGTACAGCAGGAGAGCTCTCTCCATCTGGTGGTCCTCAGAACTCAACGAGACGTAAACAACGTGTTTCGCATAAGGCTGGAGACACAAAGTACGATTGGATAGACCAGCGTTTGCCTTGGACTAGGTGCGAGAACTGATGCCATCCAGCTACCGCCCACGAAGACCCCTTCGATTCTCCATGAACCATTTTTTAGAAGCTTTGTAGGTGAACAGGACGTATCGACAATGATCCAACATAACGACAATACTGCGTTAGATAGACCGATCATTTCGATGTCGCCTGTTGCCAATTGTGGGATTGGTGGATTGGTACAAGGAATGTGCCGGGTCCTATTCAAAATTTCGTCAATGAAGGACAATTTGATTGTTTTTGCGGGCACAGATCGTGTTGTCTTCAGCAATACTTCGTGCTACCTCCTCTTTCAAGTTAAATGCAGCATTCATGACAAGATCTTGCTCTTTCATTGACATCTTCTTAGCGAATCTATGTCTAATGAGTAGAATTACAATGATTGAAGCTCGACCTATGCCACAATATCTGCACACCTTCCACCCCGCCACAATCGCATCCACGAAGATGAATATCGGCCAGAGGATCCCACACACGAACCATCCTCCAGCAATATATCAGGCTAAACCATCTCTTTAAGTGAAGCGGATCATGAATGCCACCATGAGCGCGAACAACCCGGTAGCTTCAGCGAAGGCGAAACCCAAAATGGCATATGCGAACAACTGTCCCCTCATGCTTGGGTTGCGAGCCACACCGGTGATCAAAGCCCCAAAGACCGTTCCGATACCCGCACCGGCACCAGCAAGACCGATTGTAGCCATACCGGTACCGATGTTCCCGCCAGCAATGACCATGGCTTCAGCGAGCTCCGAGGAGAATGGACGGACCATTTGAGGCGCGAAGGAAGCCTTGAAGGCGTTGCTGACTTGTTGACGCTTGAGGGTTTGGAAGGGAGATTTGGCGGCATTGTTGTGCTGGAGAGAGCGGCCCATGCCTAGTCGGTAGAACGTGTCAATGAGCATAATGACTTTCTAGCAGTGACAAGGTTGAAGTCCAGTATAGAGCCAGGGAGATACGTACCTGAGATGGCTCGCTGGGGGTTGTTGAATTGCAGCTTAGTAGTGCTACGGAGCGCAGGGCGTGCGGCACCGGCAGAAGCGGAGCCGAGCATTGAGGCGACCTTGGGGGCCATGAATCGTGCCGAAGACATGGTTGAGATTGTGAGATGTCAATTGAGGAGTGGAGATGTGTTTGACGACGTCGTTTGATGGTGCTTGGGGCGGAGGAGATGGATGAGGTGGAAGGTTGTCAAGTTTTTCCAGGAGATTGAGCTTCGAGCTTGGCGGGAGCTAACAGGATGCGGGCTAGCGTTGAATCAGCGCCAAGACTCCTCTCCGGCCTTCACTTCTGCATCACCACTTAAAAAGATTGATGTCGCCGCGTCTATTGAAGCAGAGGGCTCTGCGTGTTGGTCAATCACCATCTCAAGCTTCAAACACTCCCCTAAAGATGCAGGTGGCACCTGTTGTCACGTATTGTGATATCTAGTCATTACTTTCCGTCATAAACATTTTCCACTTGTACAGCCAGCATTTGTGATGGCAGACCACTGGCGCTGGACTGACATAGCATCACTACCACATGCTCATGGAAACCCTCTCAGATACCGAATCCACAAACTTTCCCACAGCCATCCCGAACCTCGCAAGATCAAGAACAATTTGCTCATTATGCCCGACGGTATGGAGGTTGTCCTCCGGCATCTTGCTTACAAAAGGACTCTCGTTTATCCTCAAAACATCCTCGACACCTCCATGCATCATGCAAAGATCATTGAAGTTTTCTTCACCTTGCTTAACCCAGATTCGGGCCAAGACGTCGTTTTCGATGGCTTCGATGCGTTTTGCCGAGGGCCCAAGGATTTCTTCCAGGGTCATTGCGTCAAGGATTGTGACGTGCTTTGCAAGCGCTGTCATGAGAGTGGTTTCTTCAATACTGAGTTGTTGCTGTCATAGTCCATTTGATCCTTCTCGCGATAATCAGTGAGAACGCGACTGAGGGTTTCGTCTTCTAAGCTATCGACAGCGGCGAAATACCACACCAATTTGTAGCAAGGTTCTTCGTCAAGCCCTGCCTTCGCCGCTACAGACCAAACTTTAGCTTATGCCCATTCACAATTGAGTGGATTCAGTAATAACCTACCTATCTAAAGTACCCGGACATTTCTCAATCATCCTCTTAGAAAAACTCCCCTTACCCTGAGCGACATAAGCGCGATACCCCGCCTAGTTCTTCTTCAACCACTCTGGAATGCCCTCAGGTATTCGATCTCCACCATATATACGCTTCCCGGCCGCTGCACCGAATGCCTCGAGGTTGGCTTTCTCGAGAACCTTGACAGCGACAAGCTTTTTGCCGAGATGTAGTGCTATGGGTGCCATGAGCATTAGCTTGGAAGCGTGTTGCAGGACTCCACCTTCGAACTGGATCTTCTGGTCAGGCTGAAGCGTTGAGCCAGATGCGCCAACGAGGAAGATGGCACGAAGATGCAATAGCCCCTCTTTTGGGAGCGCATGGGGTGCAGCTATCGAGAGGAAGGCATTGAAGTCCTCGGTGGTGGCCTCACGATCGTTCAGCGATTCTCGCAGTATGCAGTATGCGCTGGCGTAGGCGCTGGCTTTCTCGGAGGGTGGCTGACTGAAGGTCTCGGTTTTGTCGCTACCGTTGGTTTTGGCATTGCAGCGCTTAACCTAAGCCGGGACTGTGTCCTATACTGGATCGGCGAAGGTTTGGTATCCTTGGGCGCTGCGGGATTGCCATTCTTCCGCCATGTTGCTGGCTAGGATTGGATGAAACTCAGGAGGTAGATCAGCGCCGCTGGGGATAGCGAGAACGTGGTGATGAAGTGACATTTCGTGCGTATCTGTCTTTGACCCGGAATGGAGGTTTGAGCGCGTTGATTGACTAAGAAGGGTATCTTCCTTCAGCCGCTGATGTGAGAGGATGTGAGGTAAGGCTAGTCTTGATATCTAGCTAGGATCACTAATACGACGTAAGACTCTCAAGTAGTAGTGTCAATATGCAAAGTGAGGCGTTGAAGGTGAAAGCTATTAATTGTGGGGGGAGGCAAGTCTGAGAGCGAGCGGGAGGATGGAGTACCTTCGTCCCTTCTCGCTAGTGCGACGAGAGAAGATGGGAAAAGCTGGGGTACTGAATGAGCAGCGGTGAGATAGCAAACAGTACTTATCAAATTGCGATTCGTCCTTTGGAGTCGGATGCGATCGGACTCGACGATGGGGGAGCGTGCTCAGTATAAAGGATTCCTCGTGATAGCCTGCGGCTCTATACCCACTAGTCGCCCTCGTGGAAGCTCCCGGAAGAGCTCTATACCCCCAAGTGTGCATACATCAAGGCTGTTTAGGTAAATTTGGGGTAGATCTGAGCTGGTTAGACGTTCCTCCACCAGTATTTCTCGTGCTCCAGAGTTCTAAGATTTGGAGCCGCGGAGAACGTTGGGCCGCCGTATGTCACGGTCCGGACTCGGGAGAGCAGTCTCCGCACATGAATGCAGCTTGATTCCCCAGACAACCCATGGAATAGGAACGCTGCTATCGGCCGGGGTAGAAATGGGGTCGAAGGCCCGGATTCGTGGTGTTCCCGAACGGCATGGCCCACAGCAAGTCTCGCGCCGTGGCTTCACATAAGTCATCAGTACGGATGGTAGGCTACCAATGGCTTTAGATGGTCATTGTTGGCTTGGGCAGACCTTGAAGATCTTTCAAAGCCGGAAACACCTCATTTCTTGGGCATATGAAGCTTGCAATCAAACACTGCCGGCTAAGTACTCTCGGAGACCCGAACGTCTTTGAACTGGACTTGTACAGCATCTTCCAGGGTGACGAGATTGGAAGTGAGATGGATGTCCAATTGGCTTCGTCAAACGTACAGATAGGGTTCGAACAATCCTTCGTGTACGCCAAACATGCTTGGACTCACGTGCCTGAGCAATATTCGTCAGTTGCCCAGTACACTGTCAGGCTTCAGTCAAAGCCAGTTTCGAGGTTTGAATGTTGAGGATTTTAGTTATCTTTACTGATGCACCTCTAATAGGAGAAGAGAGCGCCGGATCCAGATCTGCTCGCACTTACCCCCGGATCCGAGACTGGTCCAGTGGCAGGTGGGCGCTGGAGTGTCTCTGCTTGGAGGCAAATCTGTAGGGCTAAACCGAGACGCCGCGGAGATGACATCTATAATATATAGGGCAGGGATTCTTCAGATATTGGCTTAGTAGGCAGTAAAATGTGCTTCCGCTATAAAGCTCGCCATGATGGATCGAAGAGGTTTGTACGAGTAGATCGATTTAACAGACGGCCATGCCAAAAGAGACGTGAAGAAACACACAAATACAGAAACGCGCTGAATGTGGTGTTTTTGTATGAACTTGCGCTCCTTGGATGGCTATGCAATTTTTATTTTGGGCTTCATGTGCTTCGCACAAGTCTAATGAAGGCGCGTAGGAGACTACAGAGCGCAATTTGGAAAAGGCCTGGAGTGGATTCTGACACACTGCATTTTTGTGGTGTCAGTGTGACCGTGAAGCGGTGACGTACCAGTCCTCGTTTTCTTTTAAGCTTCCTCGGTAATGGGCAAATGCCGCCGGCGAAAGTTATGTTAACTGGGCAAGATCGACTAGTTGCAGTCAATACGTCCGTATTGATTGGTCTGGAATGTTCGCTGCGGAAGGCTGCAACCGTCGCTTCGGGGACATATAGTGCCGTCCTGCATGCAAAGTGATTGTCCTCGCCTATCGCTGTCGTCCAGAGCCGCCGCCGCTAGACCGAACGAGGCGCGAGGCTGTGTACCATGCATGAGGTGTGGTGGGGGGTTTAAACGGGGGGAAAAGGTCCTCCGCTCTTCCCCTGCTTTCCTCCCAGCTCTGATTACTTTGTCGAGATCCTCTGAGATCTGGCACATATCGCAATATTTATCGCGGGTTTTGCAAGTGTTGGGTGTTATCTCCTTCAGATTATGGCGGATCCGGAGCCACCACTCCGGTTGCTTTCGCTCGGTAGGGTGTTCTCGGGATGGAAAAGATGTACTCCAGAGCTGACTCTATGCAGATGGCGGTGGCATCAAGGGGCTCTCGAGCCTTTATATCCTCAGAGATCTGCTGGTGACCGTCCAGAAGCTTGACAATAGGGAGACAGTGCCTGCTGGAGAGACTGCTTCTCCCCGACCATGCGATTACTTTGACATGATTGCTGGCACGTCAACTGGAGGGTAGGTCTCCTTTCTACCCCAATCAATCTTTCATTGGCCACTTTCTCTGTCCAGTTCAAGTCTACCTGGCGCGTAGCCGATGTGGAAGTTCGCGCTCACATGGGCTGCGGGAATTCCTACAACCTAAGCCTCAAACGCGAACTCCACGAATTCGGTGACTCTATTTTGCTCTTTGTGCCCAAGAAGCAATATCCCTTGCTTTACTTAAACGAAGCTGTGGAGTTCTGAGCTAATGCAGCTGTTACCTACTTTTCTTTGAGCAGTCCACCTATTGTGGCCAAAGCAGAAAAGTCAACGCAACCTCGCTGACTTCCTTAGACTCATTGCTGTCATGTTAGGAGTCCTCCGAATGGACATAGAGACTTGCATAAATGCATATCTGAGTATGGCTCCAGAGATATTTCCCATTGAATCGAATGGTAGCGAAAAGCATATTTGGGCAAGGCCAAAATGTATGTACTTTCCGGACCCTTCCCCTTGTTGCTATTATGCTTCCTTATCCGTCACTTGGCCTAAATTTGTGCCCCTTTTGAACCCTATTGACCACAGAGACAGTGGCCTGAGAGGCGACCAACGCTTCGATCCAGCACCTTTTGAAGCCGCTATCAAAGGTCTTGTGAGAGGGAATCTTGGAAATAATGCAACGGGGAATGAGACGATGCGATCTCAATCTAGTCAGGGGTGCAGAGTGTAAGCCCATTCCATTCCAGTTTTTCTCGCTCATGTTATTGACAACGTCAAGTTTTGTTTGCGTGGTTTCCGAAGAACCCCGCCGTCCATTCCGATTCCGAAATTACGAAAGCCCCAGGGTTGTATCTGAAGATATGACAATCTGGGAGGCCTGCCTCGCTACATCCGCAGCACCCAGTTATTTTCCACCAGTCTCAATCGGCAATCCTCCTCGAACATTTGTGGATGGCGGTCTAGGATACAACAACCCCACGCAGGCACTTCACGAGGAGGCGATGCAAATTTGGCCCTCGAGGAGTGTAGGTTGCATTGTCAGTATCGGAACGGGGGTGATGGGTTCTCACGATGTTGGGAGAACGATCAAACCTTTGTTCGAGACACTCCAGGCGATGGCCAGTGACACTGAGGACGTGGCTCAAGAGGTCAAAGAGGAAATGGAACACCGATATCCGGACCAGGACATCTATTTTCGCTTCAATGTACAGCAGGGCCTGCAGACTGTGGGTCTAGAGGAGTGGAAGGAAATGGGAAGGGTTCAGACGGCCACTGAAGCTTATCTTCAATCCAATCGGAAGCAGGTGATGGCTTGCGCTTCTCAGATCCTTTCTCCAACTCGTACGTAGCCAACCAAGATCGTATGATTCTCTAGCATGACTGACTTTTGTATGATAGATGCTATGTCATTAAAACCTGTTCGAGGGAGTGTGAGGACTTTTTCGACCGTTCCATTCTCGAAAGATCCTGGCTTTGTTGGTCGCGAGGACATCCTGGCACAGCTTGAGTCCGAATTTGCGGACCCAATATCACAAAGTTGGGCGTCGCTGTATGGTCTCGGTGGCATAGGGTAGAACGCGGACCTCTTTTCACCCTTTATTCAGAGAATTGGGCTGACCTTTGCTGCCAGAAAATCGCAAATTGCCATCGAATACTCATATCGACAAAAAGAGCGGTTGCCTGAGATCTCGACTTTCTGGGTCCATGTGAGCGACAAGGCGAGGTTCGAACAGTCATATACAGAAATCGCCACGACAGTAGAGATTCCTGGGACTGGAGACGGCAAGGTCGACATTCTCCAGTTGGTGTCCAAATGGCTCGCAAATCCGGACAATGGTCGATGGCTGTTGATCCTCGACAATGCGGACGACGCTACCGTGTTATTGCACCTACCAGAACGAGATCCTGAGACTGGCGCAACGTCTGTGCAGCGCCGCTTGCTGGATTTCTTGCCGCGAGTGCAACACGGGGCTGTGCTCATCACGACTCGCGATCGCACTTGTGCGCTAGACCTGAATGGACAGAACGGCACGCCCCTAGAAGTGCGACCGATGAGTACAAATGAAGCTGTCGGCCTGCTTCGGAACAGATTGCCAGATGCCACTGAAGAGGAAGCTTCTGAACTTGTGGCAGAGTTGGAGAGGGTGCCTCTCGCCATCTCCCAGGCTAGTGCGTACATCAAAGCGGTTGTCCAGGTTTCAATATCCATATACCTCAATAAATTCCGTCGCAGTAATGAGGACCAAGCCACTCTGCTTAACAAGGGCAAAGGGGACTTGAGGCGAGATCCAGCGGTACCAAATGCAGTGATAACATCCTGGGAGTTATCCTTCCGCCAGATCCGTGAAAAGACCCCAGGCTCAGCTAATTTGTTATCGCTTATGTCGTATATCAATCGGCAAGGTATCCCACAGTTTCTGCTACAAGGAGATGATGACGATGTTTCTTTCTGCGAGAAAATTGATCCTCTCATTAGCTTCTCTCTGATCCGTGCAGAAACCAGAGAGAATGTATTCGAGATGCACAGACTTGTGCAGACAGCAATGCGGCATTGGCTTCGTAGCGAAGGTTGTGATCAATTATGGAAAGAGAGTGCGATTGTGCGGGTGGCGCATCAATTTCCAGCACGAGAACAAGAGCAACATTGGCCGATCTGCGATGCCCTAATGTCTCACGCGGACGAGGTGATACTTCACATGGCTAGCTCCAAAGAATCTCGATTAAGTCGCGCGATTATACTGGTACACACGGCCTTGTATCTAGTCGAAAGGAAAGGGCATGCCGGACTTGCGGAACAAAGATCGACAGATGCGCTTCAAATTCTGCGAGAATACTTTGATGACGACTCAGACGATATCCTCAATACCATGAGCATATTGGCTTACGCTCAAAGTGTAACTTCTCAAAACGGAAGAGGCGAGAGATCTCCAGGAGTTCTTATTGAGGCAAAGACGGGAGAAGTATGGGTCGGAGGACCAAAGGACTTTACTCTCCATGCATAATCTTGCTTGCTCATATGGTGCTTTAGTGCAGCATGAAAAGGCCGCGGATCTACTGAAACACGTGTTCGAAGTACAAGAAAGGTTATTAGATCCGGGAGATCCGAGTCTCTTGGCCTCTGGAAATGGACTAGCGGTTACCCAAACCAACCAAGGCAAATACGAAGAGGCTGAAAAGCTGAGTACTAGATTGTTGGAAATGAGTACCAAACATCATGGATTCGAGTATATACACACTCTCGGTGCAATGCGAAATCTATCTCATGCGTATTTGCGACAGAACAAACTCGAAGAAGCCGAGAAGCTGAGCGTTCAAGCTATTCCAATCTCCATCAAAACCTACGGCCGTAGTCATCGGAGGACTCTTGAGACCCGAACAGAATTGGCTGAAACCTATTACCGTCAAAAGAAGCTGGATGAGGCGCAAAAAATCTGCATATCGTGTCGTGATACGATGCAAGAAATTTATGGCGCGGAAAATGTTACGATGGCAGGTATCAGCAATCTCCTCGGCTTGGTCTATCAAGATCAAGGAAGGTTCGTTGACGGGTCAAGGCTCTTGAAGGATGCTGCGGAGATGGACCGGAAAGCCTTAGGGTCTGATCACCCAGACACGTTGAATAAATTGTCCAATCTTGCTCTTTGCTACTATGATATGGGGGACAAGGTTCAAGCCATTCAATTGATGACCAATGTGCTTGATAAGCGGAAAGAAGTCCTTCACGCCAATCAC